CAGGGCCGAAGAAAGGGCAGAGCGCCCTCCTCTACCGACTCGTCGGAAGGTGACCAAATGCCACCGAGGGGCCTTCCCGACCGGCCCGGCGACCAACTGCCGCGCACGAGTACAAGACCCCAGGTATCCGTGGAAGAAGTAGAAGACGAAGAAGCCCACCTACGGTCCGACATACCAGTCGTAACCCCCAAGAGACCGTCGTCCCCCGCCATGTCCCTCACCGTGAATGCCAACGACCAGAAGGTATTTGCGGCGATGTACTACGAGCCCCATGGCATCTTATGGACCCGTCGGGCCTTACGGATCGCTCGAGGAGATGCGGCAGCTCGCGCCGTTCTCAACGGATGGATACACCCGCGACGACGAGAGGAGGTGACCGACCAATTATGTCACCAACTAGAGGAGCAGACCGAGACGGCTGCGCAGGCCAGAGAGCGGTGGCAGTGGATGGAAGATCTACAGAAACCGCCCATGTACATACGGGGAAGGAAGGGACGGAATGTTTCAATAAAAGTGCAGTTGGAGACGCTCGATACCCGGGAGACCCATGCCGTATCTGCCCTAGTCGATAGCGGGGCGACGGGAAGTTCCATCGACCGCGCCTGGGCCCAGGCCCATGAGCTCAATTTGAAGAAAGCGGCCCGACCCGTCCCGGTTTACAATGCCGACGGCACCCGCAATAAGGGAGGAGATATCACCGAGTATGCCGAAGTACGGCTGCGCATAGGGGACCACGTGGAAAGGATCGAACTAGCCGTAGTCGACCTAGGCTCCACCCCCCTGTTCCTAGGGCACGACTGGCTGCAACGTCATAACCCCCTGATCGACTGGGACACCGGAGCGGTGACCCTAGCTCGATGCACGTGCAGGAAGATCCCATTCTCCCTTCCCGACACCGATCCCTCGGCACGATGGGACGAGTACGAGGAAGGGGATACCATTCTCGTCATTGACTTCGAAGAAGCCTTCCACGTGCGAGCCATGGGAACCCGGGCTAATGAACTAGCGGCCCGAGCCAATGCCAAGAAAACCACCAAGTCGTTTGAAGAAATAGTCCCAGAAGAGTACCAAGAATTCAAGGACCTTTTCGATAAAGAAAATTTCGACGAGCTACCACCCCGTAAACCCTGGGATCACGCCATTGAGCTGATCCCCAACGCCAACGCCAACTTAGACTGCAAAGTCTACCCTCTCAATCATGATGAGCAGGAAGAGCTAGACAGGTTCTTGGACGAGAACCTGTCCACGGGCCGAATTCAACCTTCAAAGTCTCCCATGGCTTCGCCGTTCTTCTTTGTCAAGAAAAAGGACGGCAAGCTACGTCCCGTCCAAGACTATCGAAAGTTAAACGAGATGACCATCAAGAACCGGTACCCGTTACCACTTATCGGAGAACTGATGGATCGGCTGAAGAAGGCCAAATACTTCACCAAGTTGGATGTGCGCTGGGGTTATAATAACGTTAGGATTAAACAGGGGGATGAGTGGAAGGCCGCCTTCCGAACCAACCGCGGACTCTACGAGCCCCTGGTGATGTTCTTCGGACTAACCAACTCTCCCGCCACGTTCCAATGGATGATGAATGACATCTTCAAGGATCTCATTGCGGCCGGGGAGGTATCGGTTTATTTGGACGACATCCTCATCGCTTCAAAAACCAAAGCGGAACATCGACGGATCGTGCGCAGGGTATTGCAGATTCTCCACGAGAACAAGTTGTTCCTCAAAGCGGAGAAATGCGAGTTCGAGGTGGAGGAGACCGAATATTTAGGAGTGATCATCAGCGAGGGTAGGATCCGCATGGATCCGGTCAAGATCGCGGGACTGCTCGACTGGCCGGTTCCTCGAAGGAAACAGGAACTACAATCCTTCCTAGGATTTTGCAATTTTTATCGACGCTTCATCCGTGATTACAGCAAACACGTGAGGCCCTTAACCTCCTTGACGGGGAAGAAAGAATGGCAGTGGGGAGAAGCCCAACAGAAAGCATTCGAAAAGCTCAAAGAGCTGTTCCGCGAGGACGTAGTCTTAGCCATTCCCCTGGATGAAGGAAAATTCCGGGTGGAGGCAGACTCGAGCGAAGGAGCAATAGGAGCAGTACTTTCTCAATGGCAGAACGAAAAGTGGAGACCGGTAGCCTTCCTCTCCAAGGCCCTCTCAGTCACCGAGCGTAATTATGAGATTTACGACAAGGAGTTGTTGGCCATAATGATCGCCCTCGAAGAATGGCGCCAGTACCTCATGGGGGCGAGAGAAGACTTCGAGATTTGGACCGATCATTCCAACCTCCAGTACTTCCGTAAACCACAGAAACTCAACCGACGACAAGCCCGGTGGGTTACTGAGTTAGCGGAGTACCAATTTAGTCTACACCATAAGCCGGGGGCTCAAAACCGCAAAGCTGACCTCCTATCCCGAAGGGCGGATCACGACCAAGGGAAGGAGGATAACCGAGACGTAGTAGTCCTCAAAGCCGAAAACTTCAGGGCGTTGATAATGCCCACCGCCGAGGAACTTCACGAGAAAATCAAAACCGCCACTCACGACGTTCGACATTGGGACAGAGGGATCTCGGACTCCCTCAACCACGAAAAGGGGGTATCTCGAGAGCAGGGGATGTTGTGGTATGACGGACGGATCTACGTTCCCGTAAACCATGAACTCCGAGGGCAGATCATTGCCCTCAAGCATGATCACGCCACCGCTGGCCATCCAGGCATCGAAAAGACCAAGGAGTTGGTACTCCGCGACTACTGGTGGCCCCGAATGCGTCGAGACGTGGAAGCCTATGTAAAAGGATGCGATATCTGTCAACGAACCAAGGCAGATCGTCGCCCGAAACGGGCCCCTTTACACCCCAATGAGATACCTGTACGCCCGTGGACCCATATTTCGGTCGATATGATCACCAAACTGCCGGACTCCAACGGATATGACTCCATTCTCGTCATTGTCGACCGCTTCTCTAAAGCTATCATCCCTATTGCCTGCACTGAAGAACTGACTTCCCTCGGATTTGCAAAAATCCTGAGGGACTACGTCTATGTACCCTACGGCGTAATGCCTGAGAAAGTAATCTCCGACCGAGGCTCGGTCTTCGTATCTAAATTCATGAAGGAATTTTACCGACTGCTTCACGTCGAGGGGAATCCATCCACCGCATATCACCCGCAGACAGATGGCCAAACCGAGCAGGTTAACCAGGAGATCGAAAAATACCTCAAGATGTTCGTCAACGACAGACAAGACGATTGGAGCGAATGGCTGCCTTTAGCAGCCTTCACTCACAACAACCGTCAGCACTCGGCGACGGGATACTCCCCTTATCGGGTGATCTTCGGAAGAGACGGAGAGGTTATCAAGAACCCTCCACGAACAACGACCGTTCCAGCAGCAGGGAAACTAGTGGAAGAAATAGAGAAAGCCCAAGGCGAGGCCAAGAGATCGTTAGAAAAGGCGGCAGAATCCATGAAGAAGGCCTACGACAAACGAAAGAACGTCGCAGTGGAGTACCGGGTAGGAGATAAGGTATGGCTCGATTCGACCAACCTTCATCTCCCGCGTCCGACCCAGAAGCTTGGGGACCGTCGTGTCGGCCCCTTCGCAATTACGGCCAAAAAGGGGGCCTCGGCTTATGAATTGAAGTTGCCGATAAAATGGAAAATCCACAATCGCTTTAACGAGTCACTCTTGACACCGTATACCGCTCCAACGTTTCCTAATCAACCACGTCCCGAAAGGCCGCCTCCAGAGTTGATTGACGACGAAGAAGAATACGAAATCGAGGAAATAGTGGAGCAACGGGACAAGGTTGTAGGACGAGGACGAACTCGCCGCACCATCACAGAATACTTAGTAAAGTGGCGAGGATACCCGAGAGAAGAGAATTCCTGGGTTAAACGGTCAGATATGGCAAACGCAGAGGAACTCGTAAACGAATACGAAGCGCGTCTCCAGCGGATTCACTGGGAGGTCAACAAATACGGGAAAACCGTCGGGAAAGACGACAAAATACCCCCGGACGCTCGTACACCGTACCACGACCCGGATACCCCATGTGTCACGGACGTGGAAACGGTTTACTCCTCCGAATGTACCAATCCAAGACATTCTGACGCACAATCATCGTTCGCCATACAAGAAGTCACCGCAGAAGAAGCAGACGGGGTACCGGTCGTGGAAGAAACCCCCGACCATGAGGATTCCGAACTCGACCTCAGAAATCTACAAAAAATCTATGAAAATTGGGACTTCGACTCGGAAGATGATGACAACGATGATGAAGACGACCTCTCGTTCTACTCCGAATCCAAAGACTCTACCTCAGGGGGAAGCAACGAAAACTCTACGGAGTCATTCAAGACGGATGACTTTTAGAGACCAACATACGGTGTAGAAGGGGATTTCCACCGCTCAATTACGAGCATTGAACCCTTAGGGATCGCGGATCCCGACAGACAGTTGAGGCCTAACCGGCGCAAGGTGGCTTAGGATTTAATAGGAACCTAAGTCCAGGGGGAGAGAGGGTCAGAGGCCGAACCCACCGTTGCGACTTTTTATGGGGTAGCGGAGGTCCAATCGATCCTGTTTTAAAGCAGAAGGGAGCCCCTCAACTCACTTGTGTGGAAGGAAGGAGACAAATTCTCATTCGGGACGAATGAGTCTTAAGGAGGGGGTAATGTTACGATTATTCTTTTCTTTTTCTTTTTCTTTCCTTTTCTTTTCTTTTCTTTTTCTTTAGTCAGCCGGATTACGCGGCGCGATCATCACGGACTGACTGCGCAGTAGTATTTTTAGATTACTCACGTGTATTTAAGCAGAGCCTCAGCTGGCCTAAACCCCAGCTTCGGCTAAGGTTTATTCTACCTAACATCGAACTCCGTTCTTCTGTCTAAGTGTCCCATCGACTTACGTCGCCTTTGACTTGCTAGTGTATCGTCTACCGAAGTGCGAGTAGCGATCCTAGTACGATCTAAGTCGATTTGAGTTAGTGGCTAACAGCGACGCATATATAAAATGCATCCTACACCTCGAAGGCCCTCATCAGTTACAACCAACAAATCACCTCTCGTATTACACCAATGTCGAACCTCAAAGCTCTTTTCCAGCCCCTCAAACTTGGCCCTACGACCCTCAGGAATAGGATCCTCATGTCCGCCTTGACACAGAACCGTTCCGTCCCCACGAACGTCCCCAATAGTCTCAATGCCGAATACTATCGGCAACGCGCTGAGGGTGGCGCTGGCCTGATTATCACAGAAGGCGTCCTCGTTTCTCAACAAGGGTATGCATTTCTCTCACGTTCTTCTTCGTGCTGGTGTTTACACTGGTTTTTAGCACTGAATGGCAGAATGCTCCTGGCATCTGGTCCCAGGAGCAAGTCAATGGATGGAAAAAGGTTACTGACACTGTTCACAAAGAGGGAGGCATGATATTCACTCAGGTACTTCTTATTTCCACCTCGTTTCGTCTACCTTCTGACACGCTCTATTTTTTTAGTTATGGCATCATGAGTTCTCAACTTTTCTTATCATATTGAATATATACTAACATGTCATTAGTTGTACGTGTAAGCCACCCTGATGCGCCTGAACAAATCGCCTCAGGACTCCCCATCTATGCACCCTCAGCAATCTCAGCCCAAGGAGGAAAATTCCGTTTCCTCCCCGGCGAGCCAGGCTACGTCACCCCCACCGCAATTGATGACCCCCGCACTCTGCTTGCCCAGTGGAAGCAAGCTGCCATCAACATGAAACAGGCCGAGTTCGATGGCGTAGAGATCCATGGCGCGAACAGATACTTGATCCACCAGTTCCTCGATAGCACCGCGAATCACCGGACAGAGCAATGGGGCAGGAGCGTGGAGAATAGAGCTCGGTTCCCTCTTGAAGTTGTCAAGATCGCGGTAGACGTCTGGGGTGCGGATAGGGTTGGTATCAAGTTGAACCCCGCCGGGGGGTATAATGATGTCGGGTATGTCCTCATGCCAAATTGTATGGTTTGTACATTGTGCTCATGAGTTGGAACAGAATGCCGCTTCAAGAAACGTTAGACACGTTCCGGTACCTCATCTCAGAAATTGACAGGCTAGGGATCGCCTACGTCACGCTTGTGTGGTATGCAGAGCATCTCGATCCTGTTATTGACGGGTTCAGCGCGCAACGAAGCATGATGTCCTCGGAACGTATGCCCCCTTGTTGAAGAATCCTGCTACGAAAGTATTCGCGAATGCGTCATTCACAGGCGAGGAGGTGGCACGGTATGTTGAGGATGGGAAGGTGGATGGTGTTTTCTTTGGTATTCCTTGGGTGGCGAACCCAGATTTAGCGAAGAGGTTTGAGAAGGGCGTTGCGCTAGAAGGGAATATTGATTTTATGACGCTTTATGGGCATGGGGGAATGGAAGCGGATGAGAGGAAAGGGTATGCTGACTATCCTGCAGTGGCATTGTAGATATCCTTGCTTTTTTTAAATTAGTATTGATACTTTGATTTTTGGTCATTACATTGCAGACTTAGAGCACTTGTTCTTGTTCATAACTGTAGATTAAGGGATCATTGACTCTGTTTGTTCCACTGACACTGACCAATACCTTGCTAGTACTTGTGTCCATCGATGTTACAGCCGCTGTGATAAAGTGGTGGGCTACCGCGGGGCGTGCCATATCCGATCGCGAGTTTTATGTGAAGAGGGAGTTGCACGCATTTTCCGCAACCACTGTCAGTCCCGATAACATGTGCACAATATAATGTACATGCATCAGAGGTCCCATAAGCTGCTATCATCACTGTGACTATGCTAGATAACTTGCTCGGAAATAGGAACTGGCAATAGTAAATAAAGGACTCTATTTGTTTGCACCTTGCAGCTTTATTGAGTAAAACTTGTCATGCTGCAAGAAGGCGACATTGAGACCCCCAAATGTGGCTTTCTGAGCATTCAGTAAATAGCATGAAATCAAAAATATCTACGTAATTGACTACTTAGTAAGAGACGAACCGGACAAGATGAAGAAATATCTAGTATGGTCAGAGATCATGGTTCCAGATTACAGCTCTCCCGCTCACGACAATACAGGACTCCAATCCTTCCTCAATTATTTGTGTCAACAATTCGACATCATCAGAAGACGCCTCAGTGAAGGCTGCACAAAACAGTCCACGTAGTCGTGTGGCACGCTTCTGGTCGACATACCATCTTGACCGCACCATCGCTGTGAATGCATGGGTCATAGGTAGGTCAAAGTGTATGTCCATATACAGATTCTCCAGATGAGGGAGCAGCACGTCGGAGATGGGCTTATCCGCATCTGGATAAGTGAGTGATTTGCTGAAGGTTTCAAATGCATTTAGCGTGAGATGCCCAAAATAGAGGTTCAAGACCTCGACCGTAGGCGTATCCTTTAGCAAATTGATGAGAGACTGGTCCATATCAATGCCACCCAAATCCAAATTCTGTAAAGTGCACTGCGAGCGTACAATGAACTTGTGGATAATTGGGGTAGGCGATGCAGTGCTGCCTACAGTAATCGGGATCCATAATCTCTTGAGTGCAGGAAAGGTGAAATGTGACAGCGCGTAGGCATGAGGTGCATGCAGTTCGTGTAATGATGTATGAACGATGGGGGCAGGTAGGCTGAGATTATACATATGATGGGTGAGAAATAGCTGTTGCAAGTTGGGGGCCTTGCGCAAAATACTGATGTCATTTTCAGCGGATCCACACTTGAGATCAAGTTTAGTCAGTTGAAACCAAGGGAGATTCAAGGAGGATGGGGATCGAAAGCCAGTCACGTGGATATCGTGCAGACGGGGAGCAGTAGTAAGTACGTCCAGGACATCCTCATCGAGTTCAAAATCGGTGCCAAATGGATCAAGGAAAGATCGAGAAAGGTGAAATTGCTCCAGCAAAGGGAGAGGGTGTCTCTGTGGCTTGGGCAGACGACAAGTGAAGTCTGTTGTGGAACAGTAGACTCCGACAATGTGCCAGTGATCACAATGATCCAAGAGCACATCCCATAGATGTGCATTCAGGTCACCACTTTCGTAGTACTTGATCCTGAGAGGGTAGGATTGGGATCGAAGAAGGGATACTTCCAGCTGATGAACGCAACCTGAAAAGTTGAAAGTCCATGGCTCTTCGATGTCAATCCAAGACCACAATTTAGGATATGATAGTGCTATGCCTCTCCATCTTTGACAAACTTGGGAGAGAATCCAAGGGGTGTCGTGGCATTCAGCCTGCTCATTGGCGATGAAGACCCAAAAAAAGATATACATGGATATCTCAGTCATCAGTCTTGATATAGGCAGGTCATCTCCTGCCGACAACATAGTGTAAGAGTTGTTGGACTTGGAAATGCAGATAGTATCTATCAAAAGCAATTATGCACTTGTTTCTTCAGCAAAACAGGACTGCTTACCAACAACAATCTTTGAGATAACAGACATGGCGGCAAAGAGAGAGACAAGTTGATCCTTTGCCAGCTACGTATCGGCCAGCTGTAACCAACAGGCAACGAATCCGTGCGATTCCAACTGAGTGAAGTTGGGCAGTGGCTGACTCTGAAATGCCGTACACCTGGCGCCAGCATGGAGTTTCATGCACGTGACTACGTAGTCTTTCAAATGGTCGAACTTTGACCTGAAGTTACAAATGTTACCAGTTGCCAGGGACACCCTATAGCACTGAGGCTATGGAAGGACCCCAGATAATGCCCGTAGTGTTGTGAAAGGCCAGGCTTCAAGCCTCAAGCCTGGCCCAGTCCAGCCCAGTCCAGCCTGGCCTGCGAGTAAGGCTTGCTCAAGGCTTGTGCTGAGGCTTTGCTTAAGGAAAGCCTTAAGCCCTAGGCCGAAGCCCTGGGCTGGTGAGAGGGGTGAATATCCTTGTGTGAGATTGATTTGTATGAATGTAACATAGCTTAATATTATCCTGTAGATGAGTTTACCATGTCTTTTCATTATAACTTGATTGTATGCAAGTATTCATCAATTGAAAGCAGTTATGACATCACTGAAGTATGTTTTCTCCATGATGACAAGACCACTTAAGCAATGATAGCTTCGTGGATGATCAGTGTGGTTCAGTAGATAATATATTATACTATGTAAAGCTATATCCTAATGAATATTAACATTTAATGAGTCCTGATAGGCAGAAATGTATTATGAGGCATAAGCCCGGGCTTAAGCCTGAGCCTTGTAGGGCTTGGGCTCAAGGCTTGGGCTCGTGAATTTGGGAGCCTGAACCTGCTCAAGCCCGGCCCAAGCCTCCAAAGCCCGGCCCGGCCCGGCCTTTCACAACACTATGCCCTATGAACCTTGATCACAGATTTTCGAAATCTTTGGCATTTTGTCCGGACCAAAAATATGCGATTTCGGTCATTTTTGTCCGATTTGGCCTCAAGGTTTTCCGGCATCGGGGGCCCGTCGGGACCCCGCCACACCCTCCCGCTGCGGCCCGCCCTTTCGGCAAGGGGTCAAATAGCCTAAAAAGTCAGGTATCTGTCTGAATTTTGCTCTAGATTGACTCCCGGTTGGTCCCATTTGTCCGGACTTTTCACCAAGGTTAGACAGTCAATTTGGCCAAAATCTGTCCGAACTGGGCCTAGGGTTCATAGGTATTATCCGGGTCCTGCTATGGAGCATTGAGGGACTCGGAATCGGACGCCGAGCCGATATTTCCAATCTGGTAACAGATCACGTTACACGACGCGAAGAGTGAAAATCCATTTCCGGTTTGCCATGTTCTCTCTTGTCCTCTCAGCATCACGGCGAAGATGCCTCAACGCGCCTCGGAACTTTGGTTCTTCAGCACGACAGCTCACAGACAAACCAAAGACAACCGATAGCTCTAACCGTCCAAAAGGCAGGAAAACCAAGAAAGCGGTTGATAAGGTTCATGAAAAGTACGTCTAGACTGTTACCGATCCTTTCTCTCGTAGATAACATTGCTTCAGGGAAAAGTACGTACGATATTTTTAATACTAGAGCACCTCTGAGTACATGACAGGTACCTTGCTCGTTGGGATGCAGAAATGAAGGCGCAGCGAACGTGGAATACGACCATCATGTTCGTCTTTCTTTATCCTTCGTTATTTTTTTCTCACACGATTGCGAAGCCGAGGAACTGATGCAATATACGACACGCTTGTTGATCTCCTGTCATCGCTCACCACCTACAACCCCTTCATGTTCCACCCTTCCTCACGCATACGAGACAGCAGGCAGTCGCATCGTAAAACCCTTCCCAATTGGCTATCACCAAAGGTCTTCGTGCCCCCCGTTGAAAAAGTCTCACCGATTCGGGACGACATTGAACTGATAGCCCAAATTACGGGACGTCCGTGGGTTGATGTCTGGAACAGCCGGTGCCATGGATCTGCCCCGACGCATAGCCTGGATGAGTTCGTACGATATGCGGAACAAAATCCAGATGCCGTGATATATCCTATCTTGATTGTGCGGGAGGAAAAGGTTGTTAGTGGTATGCACAAGATACTAAGGACGATCAGGGAATGGAAGCAGGACGCTGAGAAGAGGGAGAGGCATGAACTCGAAAGGCTGAAGACACATGAGACTGAGGTGGCGGAGAAAGAAGTGGAACTGAGAACGAAACTGTACCGCCAGGTGTATGGTCCCGGAACGACATTTTACCGGGACATTGGGGAGAAGGTTCTGGCCAGGGAGAAGCGGAAGGAGAGAGAGAAGGAGAAGAATGCTGGATTGTTCAAAGCTGCGATTCTCAGGCGCCAGATGAGAGCGTAAGGTAGATAATGAATACTTGCTAATTACTTCCGTCCAACCTGGAATACCGCCATTTCCTGCCTTTGTTTTCTTTTATCTTCAGTCATTTTACGCCGTTCCTTCCGCAACGTCTCGTAGGGATGATATACTTTTCTCCACATCTCCTCCCTAAAATTCACTTCTCGCTGCAGACCTTCCCCGGTGCTCACACTTATACGTAACGCGTCGCGTAGCGTCTTACGTAACCTCTCCAACGACAAAGCCTCCCTCTTCCCTGCTGCGATAATCTCTTGGTGCACCCACTGTGCAATTTTCGTTCCTGAAAAAATCACCTCCTTCTTCATGTGGTCAACCATAAATGGGAGCTTCGTACTCTCGGGCTTGCGACAGAACTGCTCCAGGAACGCATCAAGCGAGTGCGTAGCAAACGCGTTCGTTCTATGCACCAGACTCGAGAAAGGCTGCGAAGTATATTCGCATATGGTTTGAATATCATCTCGTGTCGGAAATGGGATAGTTTCGAGGACAAAGTTGTAGGGCTTGACGGTGCTGTTGTTCCTTTTGATGAACGGGTCGACGTACTTGCTTTCGGGCAGGAGGAGAAAGGGGTTGTAAGTCGTGAGACTCTGGAAAACGGATATTGTTTCTTGGTTTTCTGGGAGGTTGCCGTGGCTGGGAATTGGTATAAGAACAAGATGAGGATGAACAGGTAAAAACGCACTATAGAACGAGTCGTCGCGCCCATGCATCTCCTATCGTGACTTTTTGAGGGATAGTTCCACTGAAACTTCATCATTACACGACCACATCACTTGTTGAACAAATCCTACCCTGATTTTTTGCGAGCACTACCAATCGATAGTTAGCATATAGCCAGTATGGCATACAGCGACTCTTACGGAGACTTTTTTGACGTCGCATCAGTCTGTATGTATCGTGCTGAAATAAATATTTGTGCCCGTAGTGGTATGGCGCCTCCGAATTTGCAGCATCGTGGAGAAAGAGAGAGCAAGGACATGGCGGAAGAAAATGATTACCGGGCCGGTCTAAGATGCCGGCTCGGCAATTACACCCTTAGATTCCCCACGACGATGATTGTATAAGCTTTGTTTTACCCTCTTTTTTGGACATTTGGTGGTGTAGGGTGACGGATCTAGCTATTGTTTCCTCCTTTCGCCGGTCGCAAAGATGGCAAAACAGCCCGGTCTCCAACCCATCACACCCTGAGCGAGTGTCATTCCGAGGCTAATGAATGTTCTAGATTTTTTGTTCTTCCGTATTCAAACGATATTACACGCATGTAGGTAGCATCGCACAGTACCTCCATCCCCGGCAATGCGCAATAAATCTTGGTGAACTTGGACTATCAGGCTGACGGCATGCAGGATTGAAAGGTCAAATAATACGTTATCAGATTGAAACAAGATCAGAGATAACCTTTTTGTAGTCCTGCGAGAACCAAATCATGCTCTAAAAATTCCAATTTCCATGTCCTCCGGGCACTTGCACAACTATAGCTCCCAGTAACCAATGTGAAATTCTCGCTCCTTCTGCCATTGATATACGTTTTGTATAGTAGGCTTTCTGTGATATAAAAAATGGTCTGGGCTTACATGATGTCATTGTAAAGCAGATTGAAAGCGGGACCAGTCAGCCTCCTCCGGATATCCTGTCGGAAAATCATGTCCTGCCGTTACCTTGAATTCTGAAGACCTTTTTCAGAGCAAAACTGAGGATCTTGGCATCTTGCACAAAAGGATGGGGCGAGATGATGACGTACTTGGTAGAGAGCACAAGGCAGAAGTTGGGTTCGGCTAATCCGGAAATAGACATTCTCGATAGTATCTGTGCTGTTGACGAAGAAGTTGATGATATATCGTGGGTGGTCGGTCAAGTTCTTTCCCATGTCGGGAAGGTGAAGGACTGGTTGGATTCCCAGAGCTGAAGGTTCGGTGCTGTCGCCAATGCCTGAATTGAGGAGGATATGCGGAGAACCGATGGAGCCTGCGGAGAGAATGATCTCTTTGAGGTTTGACGATGCAAGTATATGCATTGTTGCTGGAAAATGAATTTTTATTAGCCGCCTGTATTGGGTATGTTAGGGAATCGGGAACCTCCATTGTCCTGAGTAAACTCGATAGAATTGAACGTTGGCACGGTGTTGGTATCCGAGGGAAGAATTCGGGTCAGGTGGGCGTGAATCAAGACATGCAGGTTCAGTCGGCCAATGTACCCAGGCCCAAGATAGGACGTTTGAGAGCTACTCCGGGTTCCGTTTCCGATCGTTGATGTTCTCCAACCTATAAACAATCTCCACGATCAGTACACTCGACGAGACAGCCACTTACAAAACCTTCACCAATACCCAGCTGGTATTCAGAATTATAATCTAGATTAAACGGGAACTCGCGAGGCAACTCCTCTGTCACCAGAATGACGTGACCGTCCGTACCGCGTGGGTATCCCGGGAGGGAAGCAAAGTTGATGTCTTTGTCCAAGAAATCAAGGACTCTGCGGTCGTTTAGTTCTTGAGGTAGCCAGTTAAAGGAGGACATCTATGGGAAAATCAGTCCTCCCACAGAAAGAAAGCGACGTTAAAAATATACCTTATTCTTCTGATATGAAGTCCGGAAGACGGACGAGAGGTCTGTGCGGAAGTAGTTGGCAGAGTTCATGGCGCTATGGGTGAAACCACCGCCTCAAGCTAGGTATCCATTTAACGTTGTCACTTTTTATTTAAATTCAAACGGAGATACTTCATATACCGAGATGTTTACCGATATTTCCTGACAAACATTATATATCTGCTTTGATTAAATCGGCAGCCCTCTCTGCGATTAGATATACCGGAACCTGAGTATGAGCCGCGGGTATGAGTGGCTAGAAGAAGACGAGGTATTGAGCTCGCATATGCATAGTACCCACAGGAGGAATGGCTTACCAAAATTGAAGCATCTACAATTCTCACTCCCTTCGCGCCCTTCAACTTCAAATCCGGGTTTACTACGCCCCAATTGGCACCGGCGGGTGACATACTGGCGGTACCCACAGGATGGAATACGCTGCTAGCACCATTCCGGATATCATTTTCGGTAGTATTCGCAGTGACGCCAAGTATGTAGCCGTCCCATACCGCAGCAGTAACAAACTTCTTCGCACTCTCGGCAGCATATTGCATAATAGCAAGATCTTGAGCATGCGAGAAATAGTTTGGATTGATGAGTGGCGGATCCATAGGGTTCGTACTGTTAACTGTGATATTCCCGCCTGTTATCAACCATTTACCTGTGTTACTACTTATTAGAAAGACAAGGCAACGAGTGAACACACGGGATAGAGGGCATATATCTGCGATGCCGATAGAAAAGAAGTTTCCTGGAGGAGGAGGATCCAAGAGGATGCCATTCTAGAAAGAATTCAGTATGGCTACAACCTCATTGAAACAAATTGTCCGTACCCCGAAAATAAATTCGTAGTGCGCGGTCTCATTTCCCGCGCATGGATCTCCGTCCAATATACCAGCTTCTTCAGGAACACGGAGGAACCCTACCTGGTTTGATATTCCCGTTGATAAAAAGCCAGTTCGGTTCGCTCGCCACTCTGCTAAGGCCTCTGCTTGAAATGTCGCATTTCTGAAATAGATGTTCTCGATAGTGTCCGTGTCGTTAACGAAGAAGCTGATGGTCAATACGGTATGGTCTGTCAAATTCTTTCCAACGTCGGGAAGATGAAGCGTCGGTGTGATCCCTATAGCTTTTAGTTCGGTTTTGTCGCCGATGCCAGAGTGGAGAAGGATGTGCGGGGTGCCTACAGATCCGGCAGAGAGAATGAGTTCTTTGAGACCAGCTGGTACCAGGGTATGCATAGTTGCTAGACGAGGAGGTCAAGTCAGACTAAGTATCAAGATGGTACTTCGAAGACTTTATCACCTCCTGCATCCTGGGTGAATTCGACAGCATCAAATATCGGCGTTTTTGGTATTGGACTGTAGGATCCGAGTGACGTAGGCATGGGTCAGGACATGCAAATTTGGCCGTCCGATATACATGGGTCCAAGATAAGATGTCTGTGAGCTGCTTCGAGTCCCATTTCCAATTGTGTATTGAGTCCATCCTGCCGATATTCAATACCACAGGAGTCAATCATACAATCTCCAGAAAATTCTTACCAATTCCTAATTGGTACCCGGAATTGTAATCCAAATTGAATGGATAATCGTCCAGAAGCTCCGACGTAGTTTGAATGACGCGGCTATCCGTAGCTCGCTGGACTCCAGGGAGAGACACCGAGTTGATGCCGTTGAAGCCATGGACCGCAGGATTGAACTGACCAGTGGTGTTGTGGTGATCGCTAGAGGGGACAAAGCGTTCATTCTATCGTAGCGTTATCAACCAGGGATGGTAATAAAAGGCAAAGGATGAACCTTTTGAATGTACGGCTGCAAAGCCTCCCATCCCCAACCAGGGTCGCCACTGATCTGCGCATAACGATCGTAATCTTGAGACGAACCACGTGTGTAGAACATATAATCTGGGAATACATCAATTGAAAAATCTAGGCAAATCCATCAAAAGGACTTACTGACTGCACTACTCCCTCCCAATCCAAATCCTCTAGGAAACGGAACAGAACGTCCATTCAATCCTGGTTGTTCAGTTGTGGTAAAATTCCATTCCCAGGGGGTTCCGGGAGTTATGTCAAGGCAAAAGAACGGAACCTCAGAGAGGAGAACATCAGCCGTCCTGCGGAAGAGTCAGCATTAAAAGTCAAAGCATATAGAGGCAGACAGACGATCTGCCAGCTTCAAGTACGAGCACGGAGACGTGATCATCCTCTGTCAAACGGTTTGCAAGAACATTCCCCGCAGTTCCACCTAGATTTCAATGTTATAAGACAGAAAACGAGTACCAGGTGCGCTGGGAGAACTAACCTCCGATGATAATGAAGTCATAATTCTGAGTAGGAAGATCTTCGAACCTCTCGTATATGGCACCAAGCGCGCTTGAACATAATATGAGGAGGGTAAGGAAAATAGCATCCATGGTTAATTCAACGGACGCACCACGATCTTAGAGATGGTTACTTATATATATGTATTGTGACCGTCCAAATCCCCAGCTGGCCTTGGTCATACCTGGAAGAGGACAGTCCACATGATACAAACTAATGACACGTTAGTGGGGCGGGATGGAGTGCTAAGGGGCGCTCGGCCACAGCGGTCACCACTACTTGGTCGACCGGAATTTCATTTCTGCACCGGCAAGAGATCGTCATGAAGGAAGTACGTCTTGTGCCCATGACGTTGCTGAAGTGCCTGCCAGTTCCGTGACTTCATTGAATTCCGGCATCAGTAGTCCTGAGGTTACGGAAGCTGACATTATTAAATGATAATACGGAGGTAAGGAAAGGTGATCGTTTACCCCGGATTAGAATCCAGATTGGACTGAGAGTATTCACCGACAATAGTTTTCACCATGAGTTAATTGACACCCACAGCGCCCATCGCCATACGCCATACACCGGCCAGCTTGTTTCGGGCTCGGTCTCACAGTAAAAAGTCTTTACTTCCTTGAAAAGGACTGGCATGAAACGGCCGGGAAGAAATAAGCAGGAGAGAGCTAGCGAATAAATCCACAGCGATGCGGCTATGATAATGAACGAGGGAAGTTAGGCGAAGTGGACCCCTTCTCCTTCGGACCTTAGGCTAAGCCTCGGTATACATGGCGAAGGGCCATTGCAACGAGTGTAAATTTCTGCGTCACTGGAACCAACTACATTATCAATGCCATTAGTCAAGGAAGAATTTTATATACTTGGTGAGAGATCTCCTTACCTCAGAACAGGACAGTCCATGCATAGAAGGTACCGGTAATTAGTCCTGCTAGGCACGATAGATGGGGAGAGGTGATTGGAGGAAATTCTTGAAGCACAGCGACGGCCAGAGGTAGTTACAAGGTTCGGCAGATTCCGACATCCTCTATGTCTGGTGCAAGTATAACAAACGCGAATTATTCAGAGGTGAGGCATTCAAATTCGCTCGCTAATTTCTAAGGCCTGCAGCGACGATGGAGAACAGACGAGAAGGAGTACGACTCAGATCATGGGTAGGTTCTCTGCAAAGTTCTGGCAGATAGCAAATGGGCGCCTTACAGAAACGTTTCCTATCATCCAAAGTTAGCACAACTCGCAAAACACAACGGCCTTCCTGACAGGGTCAACGTAGCATTCCGAAAAAAAGTTCGTCGTCCGAACCCACGAAGGCGGCGCAGCAACACCCACAACCTCCATAAAGCTTTCCAGCTCCTTCTGTCTGATCGTTTTCGTCGCCGCCCTGTACGCGCTTTTATTGGTAGCAAAGCACAGAACGAGAGCTGACTAGGATTTGACGATTACGACCTTGAAGATACTGCGAAAGAAGATGCGGTGCTCGCGAAGGGTAGGTAGGATGTGACAAAATATTTTGCTGCTGTTGTCTCCGCAGTCCAAGTGATTCTGGTAATCGGGTATGAAGAAATTCTCGTCGAGTGGCCAACCCCACAGCGTCAAAGGGAAACCCTTGGGTTTGGGACGTGTTCTATGGGCTGTGCGTGCCTTGTGTGACTCGGTGACACTTTTTCAACGGGGGGCATGAAGACCTTTGGTGACAGCCAATTGGGAAGGGTTTTACGATGCGATTGCCTGCTATCTCGTATGCGTGAGGAAGGGTGGAACATGAAGGGGTTGTAGGTGGTGAGCGATGACAGGAGATCAACAAGCGTGTCGTATATTGCATCAGTTCCTCGGCTTCGCAATCGTGTGAGAGAAAAAATAACGAAGGGTAAAGAAAGACGAACATGATGGTCGTATTCCACGTTCGCTGCGCCTTCATTTCTGCATCTCAACGAGCAAGGTACCTGTCATGTACTCAGGGGCGCTCTAGTATTGGTATCTCATACGTACTTTTACCTGGAGCAATGTTATCTACGAGAGAAAGGATCGGTGACAGTCTAGACGTACTTTTCATGAACCCTATCAATCGCTTTCTTGGTTTTCCTGTCCTTTGGACGGTTAGAGCTATTGGCTGCCTTTGGTTTGTATGCAAGTTGTCATGCTGAAGAACCAAAGTTCCGAGGCGCGTTGAGGCATCTTCGCCGTGATGCTGAGAGGACAAGAGAGAACATAGCAAACCGGAAATGGATTTTCACTCTCGCGTCATGTAACGGTTTGGCGGCCCGGCTCCGCTGGCATTTCCGATGTCCCACGAACCACCACCACCACGAATACTCCGTTATTCCTTTATCCCCGACCCTCCCCTTCAGCTCAAACTCGTCATTGACCTTGGAAAGCGTTCTCCTTGCAAGGTCTTACATAGCAGCTCTCTCTCTTTCCAAGACGCTGCACTATTTTCGCCTATAGCACGAGTCCTTTGCCCTTGTCAAGGAAGATGTCACTCTCCTTTGGCTTTTATGGAATCACCTTAACCTTGAAGTCGCCAATAATGTCGTTCAAGGAGCTGATTATCCCGCGGATTTCCCCCGTTTCATGCATCCTTCCAGCCTCCATCGGCTGTCATGCTGCAATGGCTTTACACAACGAGCCATCGAGGTCGGTAGGAGTAGTTTACTTTCATTTACCTGAGCTGTATCAGTGGAGATGGCCAATCAATCCAGTTTTCCAGTTTTCCCAGTCCTGCGCCCGCCCTCCTTGACATCGACCACAACAAGTGCTCAAGGTTGTGTCTGATCTAGAACGACATGTCGTACGTCTGGCTCTTCCTTCCTTCCTTTCAGTTCACGGGAACAAGGAAAGACTCCTTATTGGACAATGGCAGTAGGTTTGCATCTGTATCACAAACCCGGGATGTAGGCCATTTCGTACGTCTTGTTGTTATTCATTTGCAGGTGATAATTGATCGGCCGTGCAGATGCTAGATGAGATATGCTACTCCGGATATTGAGAAGGCTGGATAAGGAGACTGGACATTTGAAGACCAAGCTAAGCTACAGAGCGGTGCTATGGCGTATGTTTGAATCTCGCCAAGTTCCACTAGCCACCCCATTCGTCGTTGTGCCGTTTTATGGCTGTCGTATAACTCGAAAGGGGGAAAAGTCGAAGGCAGGATATCAAAAGCCTTTCATTGGAATTAAATAACATGATGACTCTTTCGTCTACATTTTCGACTAGAACGCCCATTATCTCCTCAATTTCACCAAAACCACGGTAAGGACAGAGCACAATAGTGCAGTCATCTAAAAGTAAAGATATCTAAAGTGCCGCCGCAGGATAATCAGCATACCCTTTCCTCTCATCCGCCTCCGTTCCCCCGTGCCCATAAAGCGTCATGAAATCAATATTCCCCTCCAGCGCAACGCCTTTCTCAAACCTCTTCGCTAAATCCGGGTTCGCCACCCAAGGAATGCCAAAGAACACCCCATCCACCTTCTCATCCTCAATATACCGCGCCGCCTCCTCACCTGTAAACGCAGCATTCGCGAATACCTTCGTAGCCGGATTCTTCAACAAGGGCGCATACGCTCCGAGGACATCATGCTTCGTTGCGCGCCGAGCCCCGTCAATAACGGGGTCGAGATGCTCTGCGTACCGCATGAACGCAACGTATGCGATCCCGAGTTTGTCAATCTCAGAGATGAGGTATCCGAACGTGTCAAGCGTCTCTTGAAGCGGCATTCTGTTCAACTCGTCAGCACAAAGTACAAGCCATACCACTTGGAATGAGGACATACCCGATATCGTTATACCCTCCGGCGGGGTTCAACTTGATACCGACCCTGTCGGCACCCCAGACGTCAACCGCGATTTTGATGACTTCAAGGGGGAACTGAGCTCTATTCTCAGCGCTTCCGCCCCATTGGTCTGTCCGGTGATTCGCGGTGCTATCAAGGAATTGATGGATCAAGTATCCAGTCGCGCCGTGGATCTCTACGCCATCGAACCCGGCCTGTTTCGCGTTGATGGCAGCTTGTTTCCACTGGGCGAGCAGAGTGCTTGGGTCGTCAATTGCAGTAGGTGTGACATAGCCTGGCTCTCCAGGGAGGAAACGGAATTTTCCTCCTCGAGCTGGGATCGCTGAAGGTGCGTAGACGGGGAGTCCTGAGGCGATTTGCTCTGGTGCATTGGGGTGGCTTATGCGTCCAACTAACGATGTGTTAGTATGTGTTTCCTACGGTAGAAAGACCGGGAACTCACGATGCCATAACTGAAAAATAGAGCTTGTCAGAAGGTAGACGAAACGGGAGGGAAATAAGAAGTACCTGGGCGAAGATCGCGCCTCCTTCTTCGTGAACCGCATCAGTGACCTTTTTCCATCCGTTGACCTGCTCCTGAGACCAGATACCAGGAGCATTCTGCCATTCGGTGCTGAAATGTGTATAAGGACTAGCACGAAGAACGTCGCGAGTGATACGCGTACCCTTGCTGAGCAATGAGAACGCCTTCTGTGATGATCAAGCCAGCACCCCCTGCGGCGCGCTGTCGGTAGTACTCGGCGTTGAGACTGTTGGGGACGTTCGTAGGGACGGAACGGTTCCGCGTCAAGGCGGACATGAAGATCCTATTCCTGAGAGTGGTAGGGCCAAGTTTGAGGGGCTGGAAAAGAGCTTTGAGGTTCGACATTGGTATAATGCGAGAGGTGGTTTGTTGCTTGTAACTGATGAGGGCCTTCGAGGCGTAGTATGCATTTTATATACGCGTCGCGTCGAACTTCAAAGGCCGTTCAGCCGCGCAGACGCGTGGAAGACTTGATGGATCAGGAGATAGCATGACTAACGCAGCAACCTTTCGGAATCCAGAATTTCTTTGTCAACGAGTTGCTTTGTAAACCTATTGTTAGCCGTTTTACCGCGAAATTTTATCGATATCATGGAAAGAAATGAACGTGTAACCAAGCTTCAGTGCCGGGTGATGAGTGACACCGTTGAATCAGAGTGGACCGTGGAGGCTTGACGGTACGACCAGACGATCAATTATAGATGCGAATATGAATATTTCCTGTTAACGCTAGGTGGACCACGTGGATCAGTGAATCGGACCAAAATATAGGGTCGTTCTTGAAGTTGGAGAGGCTCGGATATCGCCATCTGCTATTATTGCTGTTGGTGGAATTTGTATATTCCCTATTGATTCCCTATTTCCCCGTTCCGGTCTTGAAAACACCGCTAGAAAAAGGAATATCAGGATACAACCTCGCAACACATGGAAAAATCACTCTGGCCATGATGCTCCAGACATTAGAATCGAAGGGCGTCCGACATCACACGTTAAAAGACCAGCCCGATCTGGGTGCCGGCCCCAACGAAAAAAAAAAAAAACAGTATTACACTCACTGATCCATGCCTGAGATTAACGTTCTTAATACGATAGGTGTGAAGATCAGGGTGGGTTGGGAATTGGAGATTCATGACGGTTTGTCAAACCGGTTCCCGGACCGAAAACTCGTAGATCAGAGCAAAGGCCGGGAGTAGAGAAGAGAAGCAAAAACAAAACGCGTGGTGAAGGGAATGCCAAGCCACGGCAGGAGACGCGTCATATACAGCAAGGCGCTATCAATCGAACCAGCCTCAAGGCGACACGCGTCCTGGCAAAGGTGATGCGTGTGTAGGCTGTTCCTATGGAACATGGCGGAGGCTGAGAACTCGCTAGAAACAGTGGTGTTGAAGCCTATGTTGTGAGGTTCGCGTTCATGAACAGAATTAATGGCTGGCACATAAGAAGTAGTAACACTGCAGAAACAGACGTTACTACTTGCTATGTAATCACTTACTGTAATGTAGTTGAACGTAAAATAAACTGAGTGACCACGTGCCACACTAAACGCCGTGCCGGTACACGGCACTGAGGAGTCAACTTCTCTTCAACGTTTCAACCCTCACTGAGTTGGAATCACACAGATTCGCTGTGGGCGGCCGACACGTAGCTCGCAAGGAATCGCTTTGTCTTTCTCTTCGCTGTTGTGTCAACTACTATTGTCGGTAAGCGGCTGCGTTAAGTTGTTGAAGAAACAAGTAGTTTATGACTGCTCTCGATTTCAGAGAATCATGGAATCAGCAGATTCCCCTTCCAACGACTCTCACATGCCGTTGGCACGAGGTGACCTGCCCATCTTGGGGGTGATGCCAGAGATATCGACCTATATCTTTTCTTGGGTCCGCATCGCAAACGAGCGAGTTCGCTGCTACGACACCCCTTGGATTCTTTCCCAAGTCTGTCAAAGATGGAGAGACATCGCACTATCATATCCTGAATTGTGGTCTTGGGTTCGTATCCAAGAACCACGGACTTTCAACTTTTCAGGTCGCGTTCGTCAGCTGGAAGTATCCCTTCTTCGATCCCAATCCTACCCTCTCCGGATCCAGTATAGCGAAAGTGGTGATCCGAACGCGCATCTGTGGGCTGTGCTCTTGGACCATTGCCATCACTGACGCACCGTCGAAGTCTATCTTTCCACAAGGGAATTCACTCGTCGTCTGCCCAAGCCACAGAGACATACTCTCCCTTTGCTGGAGCGATTCCGCCTTTCCCGGTCTTTCGATAGCCACATTAACACTGTGTTTGAACTCGATGAGGGCATCCTGGATGCACTTGCTACAGCTCCCCGTCTGCACGATATCTACGTGCTCGGCTTTCGATCCCCGTCCTCCCTGAATCTCCCTTGGTCCCAACTGACCAAAATTGATCTCATGTGCGGATCCCCTCAAAATGACATCAGTATTTTACGCAAGGCCCACAGCTTGCAGCGTCTATTTCTCAACGATCATATGTACAATCTTGGCCCACCTACTCCCATCGTTCATACGTCGTTGCGCGAACTGAGTGCACCTCAAGTCTACGCGTTGCCACATTTCACCTTTCCTGCGCTCAAGGTATTATTCACCCTGATCGCCATAGGCAGCATTCCATCGCCTACCCCGATTATCCACGAGTTCATTGTACGCTCGCAGTGCACTTTACGGAATCTACATTTGAATGGCATTGATATGGACCAGTCTCTCATCAATTTGCTAAAGGATACACCCACGGTTGAGGTCTTGCGTCTCGATTTTGGGTATCTCACACCGAACACATTTGAAGCCTTCTGCAAATCGCTCGCTTATCCAGAGGCGGATAAGCCCATCTCTGGCGCGCTGCTGCCTCATCTGGTGCATCTGCATCTGGATACAGGCTTTGACCTACCTATGACCCATGCATTCACAGCGATGGTGCGGTCAAGATGGTATGCCGACCAGAAGTGTACCGCACGACTACGCGAACTGTTTTGTGAAGGCTTCACTGAGGCGTCTTCTGATGATGTCGAATTGTTGACACAAATAGTTGGGGAAGGATTGGAGTCCTGTATTGTCGTGAGCGGGAGAGCCGTAATCGGGAATTATGATCCTTTCGAGGCTTTTGAAGAGTGAGGTTGCTTTCTCTGACCATCACTAAATATTTCTTCATCTTGTCCGGTTCATCTCTTACTAGTCGATTTTGTAGATATTTCTGATTTCTTGCTATTTACTGAATACTCAGAAAGCCGCATTTGGGGATGTCGATGTCGCCTCTTTAAAACATGGCAAACTTCACTCAATGAGGCAGCAAGGTGGAAACCAATAAGGCCTTTTATTTATTATAGTCAGTTCCTATTTCCGAGCAAGTTATCTAGTGTAGTCACAGCGATGATAGCTGATAATAGCAGCTTATGGGACCTCTGATGCACGTACATTGTACTGTTATCAGTATCGGTAGTGATTGCCAACTCTCCGTTCAAAGGTGGCTCGGATATACCGAACAATAAATAATGATTGCATGGCCGACTAGCTCAGTTGGTTAGAGCGTCGTGCTAATAACGCGAAGGTCTTGGGTTCGATCCCCACGTTGGCCATTGGTTAGATTTTTCTCGTCTACTTTTGACTTTTAATGTTTACTACCCTGCTTGTCATCCAGGTGTTCATTGTTCACTTTATAATGTAGTAGCGCACGATGTGGAAGTTACATGATAGACACGTTACCTCGACAAAGATTCCTCTCGGCGAGGAGGTAACTTATCGCTGTATCAAAAGTTTCAAAATGTAGGTTTCGTGCGCTACCTTAGTCAAACCTGCAGAAGGGGACCTCCCAAGGTATGTTTTGATATAGTCTCTTGCTGTTCGCAAGCTTTGGCTGAAACTTGCCGCTTTTACGTACCTCTGCAATCCACTGCGCTGAAGCCCTACGTAGCAGTATAAGTCGTCTTTGCATCAGCTCAACCCCAGAAGATGTTATTCTGCCATGTGTACTACAGACAGGTAGTATATGCCAGACCTGATAACCAATAGTTTCCTGCTAACCCGCAATGCCAATAAAAGAGCGTCATGGCAAGTGTCGGGCGACTTGGCGCAGTAATGAAGCCTCCGGGTTATCACTGTTTTGCCAAGATCGGTGCCATTCTAAATGAGAGTAAAGAATGTTCACTACGACTGCGAGGATCTGATCCCCTTCGAGCATTGTGGTAGACTGTGGTGTTCTAATGCTATTCATGAGTAAAGGAGCATTTGATGGATCTTTAAAAACCAACTAGGAGACTGGGGCGCTACTGACAACCTATTGTTCAGCGATCAAATGGGTCTCCGTAAGTCTGGATGAACAGCGACTTTCGGAGTTTGATTTCAGCCCTGATCGTGTCAAACCACTTTTGAACCTGGGCAGCGTTCGATGTATCCGCAGACCAGAGCCTCTGCTTCGCCTTTGGAAAAAGTCCCTCTACCAACCACTTGAGCACCTGCCTCTCCTTTATCTTCTTCTCCCGGTACACGGTCTTGGGGTACATACGAGATAACCTATCCAGAAGGATTTGCTTTGTCGTCCAGTCGATTACAATGGGTAGGCGCATGCATTCGGGATCACGTTCTAGGCTCTCCATGAGCCCTTGAAGGTTGGAAGTTTGGGCTTTGGCGTGCCGTATGAACCTCATGCCATCAGTGTCGATGATGTATTGAACCTCGTCGAGAGTTGGGAAGGCTTTACTCTCGACCTTTAGCACGGGTGGTTCGGTGCCGGAAACATGGCCGATGTTCTTGCTGTTCGGGTGTAGGCAGAATGGTAGGAGCTTTTCGACTTTGCGAAGCTCTTCTAGTACCTCTAGATGTTGAAGGATGTTTCCGTGGCTTGAAATGAACCATGAGGATAGGTCCTGAAAAGCAACAATGGGTTGTTACATACATGAAAGTTACCCGGCGAAGCAGGCGTTTTGGAATACGTTTCGGAGGGGGAAATAATGGGATTTTGTCCTCTCCTTGGGAGGGTTCCTTGTCTCTATGAAGTCTGATCATCATTTAATTCTCTCCAAGATTGGTGATGCATACGTTTGCGGACCCTGCGTCAGTGCTCCTCCAGGACCATCTATTATGGCTGGGGTTTGTTTCGTGTATTTTCGTAGAGCAAATGGTATTTTAGGAGTGATAATTCTTGCGGCCGTAAACATGCCGTTCGAATTCGACGGCGAGGATTTCGACGCGTTGGTCGAGTGTTGAGATGGAAAAAGGTCTACGGCCCGACAGATCCGCCAAGACCGGTGTCACAGATGACTAAGCTGACGAAGGTCTCTTGAACTCTTCCAGTCTCCTCATGAACTACAAGGTCGTAAATACTTCCAAATACTACGTTCGACTCCGTTCCTCATGCCAACGTTCTTCTCTTCCATCATTTCTTCATGAACGATTCAGCCGCAAAATCGTCAAGGAGTATTGTCGGCCTTTATCCATTGTTCGCGAAACAGCGATGACCTTACAGAAACTTTGTTGATGCAACGCGACCCTGTTGAGCTTACCGATATTAGCGTTCTACGAACAATTGCTGAGAGGTGTAGTGCATTACAAGAAGGTCTAAATAACCTCTCTGAAAATCAGCAAGGACAGCGCGTGTGACGCGCCCTAGAGACTCTGGAGTAGACGTCAAGGCGTAGATAGCGGGAAACAGCCCGAAGAGATGGCTCTGGTCGATATCAGGGTTATGATTGAATATGAACCTCGTCGAGAGGAGTCTCGATGGTTGCAAGAGGAGACGATGAGAGCAAACATACGGGTGATGTCCTCCGCTCTAGCCCATGGGAGTATACGACCCCTGGATATCCTTCGGAGCCGATCATGGCGGAAGCAGCTGCCATTTTCATTTATGAGGACTGAGTGGACATGGTAAAGGTCGTCCATCGCCTTCTCGAAGACGATTTCCTCGATGACAGTGAAAGGGGCCGACTTTGTCGCGAGGCTTATTCTCACGAAGGCCTGGGATGCGGCAATACATCGACTGCTATTGAACAAGAAACGTCCTATGATGCCGGACTCACACAGTCATAACCAGGCTGTTTATTCAAGACCTATCCTCCTGATAGACCTTTTGACTTCCCTTCTTTCGGAACAGCGTTTACACAAGCTTCTACAGAGCACGCCTGATAATCGCATCGGAGGAGCGACTTCTGCTGAAGCGTTCGAGCACGCATACGTGTATTTCACCCACTTTGGACGTGCCGCATCTTCTAGCACGATTAATTCTGGCTCTGCGTTCGCGGCGTTCATCCGTGGCATGGCTTATCAGTGCTCGCTTGGGCATTTCCTCATCGATATCTTTGTTCCTCTTGTCAAAGAGCAGGCCGCACGACCAGATTTCGATGTCGATTGGCTACCAGTTGACCAGCTCCAACGCTTGGGTGTCATGATATCTGTCGAGGAGGAGCATAATTTTTACGGGAGGAATGATATTATCAATGCGGAAGCATTTGGATTTCGACGAAGATACGGATGTTGACGTGACTTATATTGACACCTCGATGCAGCTTGCTGGAGCCAAAGTCCGTTGGTATCATCGTCTTCCTCAGGTTCACCCACGATGCTGCCTGCTCCTTCAAATACGATTGGATACTGCAACAGAACTTCTGCGGCAGTCTGACAAGAAGAAACATCTCCGCTATTAGTAAATATTTCTGGCTGTCCAACCGCCTTCCGTCTACAAGGTCATCTCCGCAAATGAGCAGGACAAATATTCCAGGATTCTCATCTTGAGTGGGCTACTTTACTAGCACCCATACAAGACACCGGCATCCTGGCCTGTGGATCCGTCACTCTTTGATCGGGTCCACGGCAGGCCAGGTGTTCGCGTCGTTATGGATAGGCAGTTCGTACCAGGTTCAACCGGTGACTATCGAAGAAGACGAAGACGATTCGGATGTTCGGGTGAAGGCGGAGGTGAACATTATGCATGGTCCAAATTAGTTTTGCTGAGTAGAATTCCTCTTATGCACCGCTGTCCTGCCCTCTTAATAATCAAGATTTTGATTTATTCCTCTTTTCGGAGCCCCTTGCGTACCTTCATTGGTTCTGTCTGTATACCTCCTGTCTTTGGGAGTGATATGTCTGGCTATCGCAAATATCTTGCTCGACTTTAATCACGGCACGTTGAGATGGTTAACATACCTTTTAGGCCTGGCTCCTGGTTCCCAAAATTGTATCAATGTTGCCATAGCGGGCCTATGCCTCAAAGTTCTTCAGCACACTTCGATATTTAACAGTTGTCTAAACTATATACATTCTGGTCGGTGTTTCAACTTCCATGACTATGCCCTGACTCCCCTTCGAGACTTAGTGGAACTTCACATCGCCTCAACTCTAGGACCAAAATTGATGATGCGGCGTGTGCATGCCGAAACTCCAGGTTCTGATACACCAGTGTCGGAGCGGTAAGTTACCTCCCCTTGGATAGATTTTGGCGATACAAACAGTTCACGTGGTCACTGTTGAAGAGGAAATGTGAAGACTCTGACTCAAAGGCTGAAGGGTCAAGCTCAAGTTTGAAGCTCTTGGTGCGCCTTAGAGCTAAGAGCTATGAAAGTCAAAATAACAAAATGCATATTGCACAACGCGGACCAAAGGGGGTAAAAAGAAGCAAAGAAAAATTCCCAAAAGTGGACACTGTGGGAGTTGAACCCACGACCTCACGCAAACTTAAATGCGAAGCGTGCGCGCTACCAACTGTGCCAAGTGCCCATAATCCTCTACTCTATATATTTGCTATCATTCCTAATGAGAATCTGTCCTGTAGGTTGAAGTCAACTCCAGTCTCTCCCATTACGACCATCATTCCTCCCGACACACTATCTGCAGCCTGGACATTCGGCAACATGGATATCGATGTACCTGAAGAGAATACGCAGGCCAGCACCTCGCAGCCCAAACGTTCATTCACCGTCCCGGTGGACGACGCGCACCCCTTTGACCTTGAGAGCTACATATCCAATTACTCCGGGCGTACTGCTGTGGACCGCCTGATTCACATAATTCAACTGTGCCCAACGATTGCCGTTGATGCTTTCCACCTAGCCATCCAGCATATTCACCAGTCTCGCGACCCGTCTCAGTACCAGGGCCTCGTAACGGCGTACGAGCAGGCTCATGCGAATGCGAATGGGTCCCTGCCACCGATATCTGAATTCGCTTCGCTCAGCACACGGTGGATTGATGAGACCCTTGCTAAAAACCAGTCGGATCGATTGAAGCTCGAGATGGAGCTGAAAACATACTCGAATAATATGATCAAGGAGAGCATTCGGGTGCGTAGTATTCGACTGTCAACTCGACTCTTTCTAACGGAGGTGCAGATGGCTCATCGCGACTTGGGCGACTTTTATCGAGTCATCGGAGAATACGCCACGTCGCTGAAGCATTACACAAAATCCCGAGAATACTGCACTACAAGTCAACACGTCCTCGATATGTGCCTTTCCGTCCTCGAACTTCTTATCGAACAAAGAAACTACGGCCACCTACCTACCTATGTCTTCAAAGCTGAAGCCGCTTTGGACGCAGCCACAGCCGCCGCCTCTGCTTCCGCCAATAAAGACGCCCCTACACCAATGGTTTCAACTGGCGCAAAAAAATCCTCCCCTGAGCGGGACAGAGTGCAGTCCAAACTCGACTTTGCTACAGCCTTGTCATATCTAGGACAGGACAATTACGAGAAGGCGTCGTACAACCTCCTGCGACTGGGGTCGACGAAGGATCTCGGTGAATGGATTGGGAGGCTCGTCAGCCCAAGCGATATCGCTATATATGGTACTATATGCGCGATGGCGAGTCTCTCTCGCAGCGCGTTCAAGGCTCGAGTATTGGATAACTCTTCGTTTGGCGTGTACATCGAGCAGGAGCCCTATCTCCGTGAACTTATCGAGGCGTACATGGCCAGCAAGTTCCAGACTGTACTTGATCTTCTATCGCGGTACTCTGTGTGTTCTGTTTCCCGTTGCATTGCATTCTTCTGCTGATTCTCGCTTCAGACTCGCCACTACATCGACATCCACCTCACCTCGCACGTGCATGCTCTGATGAATGCGATCAAAAACCGTGCCGTGGTGTTATACTTCCAGCCGTTCTCGTCCATTCGTCTCGACAGGATGAGTCAAGCCTTTGGGTGGAGCGTAGACGAGACGGAGGGCCAAGTGGTTACCCTCATCCAATCAGGAGATATACAAGGAAGAGTGGATAGTCAGAACAAAGTAAGTCCTATAGTCAACCTGCCCTTTTTCGTATTAACGTCCCGAGAAGATTCTGCAGGTCAAACAGGTTGACCACAGGGCGGATTTGTTCGCGCGCGCCATCAGGGCTGGGAATGATATGCATTCGGCGAATAGAAAGCTGTTATTGAGGATGCGGCTGTGAGCATTATAGTGTCTCAGTCTGTTGTCCTTACTAATTTAACACCAATCTTACAGGCAGCAGCTGGACCTAGTCATCAAGCCTCCCAAGGGGGCATCGTCTTCACATCAGAGTTCCATGGGGGAGTATATTCAGGTTGAATGAGGGTGTTCTCCTTTCCAATCCATTATTAGTCTGTACAAGTATACGCAATCGTCAATCCATCATTCAAGTTGTACAAAGAACCCTGCAAGCCTTACGCGCTGTCCGCGCCGCCTGTGATAGCCAAACGCCACTGGTACTGGGCTCTTGGCACAGTTGGCAGCGCGCACGCTTTGCATACTTTGATTATCTGCGTGAGGTCGTGGGTTCAATTCCCACAGCGTCCAATCTATTGCTTGTTTTATGATTTTTTAACAGCGGAGCGATGGCTGACACGAGTGACGAGTCAGCCCCAATCATCAATGATCACTAGTCACTGATCAGTCGGGACTCAGGAGTCGAGTTGGCCGAGCAGTGAGTCGGCTCCATCCATTGAACGAGACCTGTCTTCATGATTTTCATTACTGATGGATTATCATGGAGTGGGAGTCATTTCGTCATGGTTACCCCGGGCCCTGCGGTGCTTGGACCCGGCTTCCGTCATTGAGGAGAACATGAGGTCCCTGTGTATTCCATATCGCTTCCCTGTACATATATCACAAAGTTGAGGACGACGCTGGATTCAAAGATACAAGTCTTCCCACACCTTTACAGAGCTATCAGCGCCGCTGATGTTCTTAGTGCTGGTAATTCATTTGCCTTCCACAAGCCTTCCATCCATTCATTTTTAATCATCACAACTTCTTCGGTGGTAATGCACCAGCTCCACACCGGTATCACCGAAACTTGAGGCAAGGTGGGTCCAGATTACAGGATGCGGTGTTTGACGTCGAGCCTACAATGTGTCGGCGCTAAACAGAGCCCCAGGGAGAAGAGTAAAACCTGCGTCGGAAGTTGGAACAACCATCAATTATTTTTGCTGAAATTTGACGAACGTCGCTGAGGATGTCTTATCATTAGTATTCGCATTTTCTTGTTCTAGCGTAGTCAGATGGGACTGGATTTATTTGGATTTCATTGTGCTGTATTCGTTGAGTCTGGTTTACGAGACTAAGTCGGCTCTGCTTTTGTGTTTGAACTCTTTATGGTTCACTTGGTTCCAGGCTAATTTTTTAAGATTCTAATTTCTCATTTTTCACAAGGCTGTGTAGTGTGCACGAACGAATGTAAAGGATCTACCTTACGGAGGGTCTTCAACCCGAGAACAGAGCACAATCGGCATATATTAGCCAGAGTACGACAGAGCCAAAGACACAACATAAGGTAAAATCAAAGGTTAAGAAGCGAAAAAGCCGAAGACGGCGCATACGTAGCAGTCCGATGGCATAGGAATGAAGTCTTTACCCGCCGATCCGATGGAAATCCATATAGTTTACAACTAAACCATAGCAGCCCAAAACCCTGGTCATATACAGCCGAAACATGAAAAAAATTACCCATAATCTAGCTTTCCTGATACCAGATGCGCATGTGCTTCTGGTTTCCAATAGCACGCGGTGTCTGATGAGACCACTTGTCCAAAGCATGAGCAAGATCAGCGTACGTCGTCTCTCATTCTTCAAGTAGCCGGACTGGAGAGTACACACAAGCGAGTGTGTGAAAAGACCAATGTACCCTCCTTCCACCTTCTTCGCCTTCGCAAACTGGTAATCTTCGCATGCCGTCAACGCAACGAAGGAGTCCATATCCGGGTACCAGTCATCCTCTAAAATGGAGCGATAGCCAGCATAATCCTTCAAATATTCGTGCCCGGCGAGGAGCATAATATGAAGCGGAGTCTGGTCTATTCGAGGAGCAGTGCGTGCTTCTGGCGGAGGTAAATCCCGGCTGACACCACCGGAGTGGCAACAGTCAAGAATGACTGTGATTCGGCTTCCCTTGGCTCGGGCAATGAGGGATAGGATGGTATTAAATTCCCGGTCACTAATGTCAGGAACGGGAATGCCGTCGGAGTCAGCGGTCACGCCACGATCGATGGGACATAGTGCCTCGACGAATCCCAATTCTGCTTGCTCGTCATCTTCCTCCGAAAATGAATAGCAAGAGCCATGTCCGGCATAGAAGATGATGATATTATCGCCGTACTCGATATGGGGGTTGTCAATGACACTGAGAAGTGTGCGAATGATGCTCGTGCGGGAAGGGTTCTTCGTGTATTCCTCCGATAAGCCATCCGCTCGTTCCTCGCTTCTGGCTTATCTCGGAGCAATCCTGATGTGGGCAGGAACGAGCCACCAGTTTGGTTCGCCGCCGGCTCGTCGTCAAGAAAGGAAACTCAGCCCTGCCTCTCCATAAGTAGTTAGTCCCGCGGCAACTTTCTTCATCTCTTCCCTCTTTCTCTCTCTGCCAACCACGCCTCCCTTCCCTCTCCTCCTCCGCCATTTTCTCTGCAGCCATCACCAGCAGCACTTGATCCCTGGTGCTGCCGTGCTATCGTGTGTATTCCTTCTCTTCCCTAAATCCCTCTAGCTCATCTTGCGCCACACTCCTATCCTTATTGCCCTCCCGTTATTTTTTGCCTTCTGGACACCTTTTTTGCTTTCGTCCAATGTCTGTAGACTTCGAACCAATGCTCGCTCGCTCTTTTTCATTCATGGAGCATCCCATGGAAAGCCCTTTCTTGATGGACAACATCGAGAGTGCGATGGATTATCTTCAGTATCCCCCTTCGCCTTCGCCCCCTTTCGGCTCTTCCTTGAATGGTAAGCCTTTTCCACAGTTCTTACGGCACCATACTTGACAATCCGTTTCTTAGCATCTGCGTCTTCTGGTGGCGAATACGACGGCGTCAACCTTTCCCACCCGATGGGCGGCGACCACACATACACCGCTTCGCCTCAGCCGTATATGGGTGAGGATCTCGGCATCTCACCCCGCGCTATGACCTACGCTGGCGACGAGGACCGAACCCTCTCTGGAAGACGCAGCCGCGCGTCCAATGACTCTCCTCCGCCCTCCATTCCCTATGCAGCCACCGTCCCCCGTTCGTACCGTCATGATCCCATTGGTGTTGCTACTCGGAGAAATTCAACCGCGAGGAAGGTCCAGAAGGCAAGGAAGAGGAAGGCCAGCGATGAATCAGATGATGACGATGACGAGTACCAGGTCTCTCCATCCGCTGGAGGACCTATGGATAAGCAAGTCTCGTAGAAATTTTCACCAAGCAAGCTGCTAATCATGTGCATTAGCTGTCGAGAATCTGTTCGTCAACAGCGAATCGAGTCTGAACAGAAGCGTCGCGATGAGCTCCGCCGCAACTATGATCTTCTACGAGATGTCCTGCCCCCAACCCAGCAGAGGACAAGCAAGGTTCATCTGCTGTCAAGGGGTGAGTCACATCTAAATTAAGCACTGGTATCTGACCTGACTCATTTTCTTTTTAGCGAGCGAGTACATTCGGGAACTACAGGCCGTTAGCTTGACAACTCTCGTATTTCTCGACCCATTGAAGCGCGAACTGCTGAGGTAGAGAAAAACCAGTCGAAATGAAACGCAACAGTCTACTTGCTTCGCATCTTCGGACTGTTATTCCTGAACGACGAATCCGAAACTTATACACTTCAAACGGATCAGACTAGAGTGTGTCACCACCGTTTTCATGAGGATAAAGGATGCAAGCAAGCGAAGACGTGATGAGCTGTTTCCGGTTCGTTACGCCGGCGTGGCACAGTGGGGACATATCTCCGAATCGAAGGAATCTTGTGTATGCACAGTCAAGCTGGGGAGAGCGAGCAGAGGCTGTACAGTTATTTACCGGTCATTGGAACGCCGAAAAATATTTTTTATCCCATCTACCCCACATCGCGTCTTTTTCCTCAAATAAAGTAGCCACAAAATTTTTAATATTCCTCAGTGATGTCTATACAAAGTATGAAGTGGATCAAATCATCTATTATTGAGATATTCGTAATTTACGGTGTTTCATTGACTGGTAAATGACCACGTGGCAAACCCCTGTTCCACCATATTCACCCAGACAGAAGATCATCAGCGTGTATGTCCTCGAGTCAGAACCATGTACTGCCAAAAAAAATTGATGTTGTATTTGTTATCTTGTGGCTATGGACCAAGGTGCTGCTTTGTGGTGGGTTTGGCTGGATTACATGATGATCGATAATAATTCTTTTACTTACTGCCATCGGGTGTAATCTGTTCATCTTTGTTCGTGTTGTTCTCCCGTGTGACCATCAACCAGCAATTTATCAGCGTCGTCGAGTCTCTAAAGATCTAATCTACCATGACGAGGAAGGCAGCGACCAGCCTTTTGATCTACGAGGGGTGCGTAGGCTCTGCTTTCTTTGAGTCAGGGTCGTTGAAACTTGACGTTAAGTAGAAATTAAGCTTTAACACATTCACTGTACCGGACGCCAGTCTGGACATTACATTTAAACGTATTGTACCTCGTTGGCGTGGGTGATGTCACTGGTTCGGATGTTGGCCTCTTCGAGCAATTTTTCGTACTCGCTATCGAATCGTATTTCAACCTAGTCGCTTTCGATCGGTGCAGCATTCAACAACGGCTTTGGCGACATCACTTCTCCTTTGACCCACCATATCGCTTCCATGTAGTAACATCGAGGATGACCTTTCTGTAGTCTGCTCTGGAAATTGAATATTCCACCTCCAAGCCTTTCTCTCCACAATCTAGAATTGGCTGGGATTCCGGCAAATACTCTAAGCGATGATCCACGCAGAAACGACGTTCACGGGACTACAGGTACTATCTCATTGTCCACTTTCACCTCATACTACTACCGACACACCATTTGCCGTCGTAGAAGGAAAGCTCAGACATGGTGGTCTAGCGGATGCCGCTGCCGCTCTGCGGTGAGGTTCGATTCCCCAGATCTGAATACCTCTCCCGAAAAAAAGTTTCTTTTTACTCGCTGCTGGGTGTTTTCTTTCCTCTTTGCGACGATTTTTAGTTCGCCAAGTCTTGGTGCAAGCGGCCGGAGTTGTCACATTACCTAGATGACGCATAACTGTAGGGTATGACTCCCTAGACGTTGACGTTGATGGTTCGAGACGTTCAAGAAGTTATTGAGGAACGAGCTTGGCCTGTTCAAATTGTTCTCGCTCACATTGGGGGTTGTTGGGTACCAAGCGACTTAATGCAAACTTAATGTCGATACTATAGGCCACTCTCGAAGCCGTTTGAATTCAAGCAATATTTCACTACAACCTGCGGGCGGGAGTGAAAGTGTGGCAAATGCAAATGAAGGGTACAGATTCATCGTCGCGTTGTAAGTCCGATTTCGAGTTTTCTGCCAATTTTCTGCTCTCAACTTAGACCAGATATGGCGTGCGCAACGGATAATGTCATGGCTTCCGAGCACTGTAGGGTTCGATTCCCCACGTGTGCATAGTGATTTCATGCAGCTCAGTTTCCCCGGAAATTGTATAACATGTTATCAATACTCCCAACCACCACGAATCTTCATACATCTATTTTTACCTACAAACGAATACAAGATATACTAACGCTACAACGTATAACACCACCCCAAAATCTTTCTACTTACCCTATCCACAAGTCCATCATAATCCAAATTCTGTCCACGAATGAACAGACCGCAGTGTGCTCCGACCTCGTCCTTGACACCGCCAATCAGTACCTTCTCCCACTTTTCCCCGCCACCGAGGACCTTTCCCAGCCCTGTCGGCAGAACGATGAAGTGTCGTCCGACCTTTCCCTTCTTCGCCTCTTTCTCTCTCTGCTTTTTCAGCTTCTTTAAGTGTTTCTCGTTATCTTTCTTCGCTAACTTCGTCTCCGAGGCTGTTCGGGGACCTAGCACAGGTAAAGACGTAGAAGAATTTGATGATGTCGACGGAGTCCCCGCCATGCCTGTTTGAAGCAGGGCCACGTCGTTATCAGCCTCCTCTACATACCCGTCTTCCTGTGCCCGCGGCACTGTCTGCGTCCAATAGTTCACCCATAACCCACCGTTCCATTTGACAAGCGCTGTGTATCGGGCTTTCAACTCTGGGGGATCAAACATGCACGAGCCGAATTGAAAATGCTCAACGAGCCAGCGTTTACTCGCGGTGAAGGGTTCATCTGAGTGTTTACGGGCCCAACGAACCAAGGGATCGTTCGCGTGCGAGTCTAGGAAGCCCTTCGCCTGGTCGATAAGGGAGGGCGAGGGCGAACGGGAAGGCGAAGTCGAAGATGAGTGGGAGGGGAAGAGCAGCAGGGAGGAAGATGATGTCCGGCCTATCCGTCTAGCGCATGAGTGCGGGGAGTGACATACAGACTGAGCAACATACCACCTATGTTCTTCCGGAAGGTCTCCCAGTCGTCGGTAACATCACTATCAACGATTTGAACGTCGGGATGTTCGTTCATCTCACTTTCCGTTTTCTTATCCTTGTCATCGTCGTCAGCGAAGAGGGATGCAATTCCAGTTATGACGACATGTGGGTGCATGCCTAGGTAGGGTGTATCGAAGGCTATCATTGCGACGATGCGATGCGGCCTGTAGCCGTTGGGATTGTTAGATATATGTGTCGCGGCTTCAGCTGCTAAGAGGCCGCCCATAGAGTGTCCGAGGAGAATCACGGGTCCCGGTGGTTGTGTTGTTAACCTGGGTAACACAAACAGTCACTGTCAGCGCCTAACAGCAGTCGAAGGCGCAGTAGGTGCTTACCACTCGAGAAAATTCTTGGTAGCATGTGAGATAGGCTTGACGCTCTTGTACGTAGGATATAGACTGGTTTTAATGTGGATATTGAGTTCTGGGGGTATTTGAGCTGCGATGTAGTCCTGTAGATCACTGGGGAATGACTACACAGCATGCTGAACGAGACTACGGTTTCCAAGGCAGGATGGACGGACCTGGAAAGTGGTATCGTCGCCTAAAAGTCATGTCAATAGTTTGGTCAATGTACAGACGACGATTAAGCACCTCTAAAGCCATGGATGTATATTAATTGAACGAGTTGCTGCGCCATGGTGAGGGGCGGAGGTAGAGGAGTGCACGCCGGGTCCCGGGCCGTGACCTAATTTCTCACTAAATTTGATGCACCGCACTGGTTAGAGATCACAATTCTGACGTTCATGGGGAGCTCTCAATATCTGCGCCACCTGATATAACGTTAATATCGAAACGAGAAGTATCGCCGTTCAGACTTCGACAACTTAAATGGCCAACTGATATGTAAAGGTAACCGTCTCACCGGTACGAGATAGTGCCATTACAGTTTTTGGAGATTTGCATTGCGAAGAGGACGTGAAAAATCTGGGGCAGGAGATTACCGGTCAAGTGCCGCACGTTGAACGTTGGACTTTCCTGGTCCAGCAGGTTCCCCCAGATCAAACTGTCAAAAGGCGTCGTCGCGCGCAACCACAAATACCTGAATGTGGTGGATAACAGATCTGACAATAACAACTGTCGTGCAATGAAGATGAAAGAAATGTCCCCATAATATAATCCGAAGAAGATACAATAATGATCATGTTGCAAATACACCTATGATCTTGAATGCAGGTACCGTCTGCCCTTCCTCTCCCAATAGCTGGCATTCTATAAAGTGTGAGCCACGGCTCACAAAGTGGTCGATGATGTCGAGTCTATCAAAACCATCAGCTATGAATACGCGGTCAAAATTATTATGCTCACGTTGCTGTAGGCTCCCCAATCTCGGCGGCATTCTCTAATACCTTCGCTCCTGCATAGTTGTCGTCGACCCAACATTCCACCGCACTTCCTGCTCCAACAGAGGACGTTGGTTCTTGAAGATAGTATATCCCAATATCACCCGCGCCGACCTGTATGGGGATCCTAATCTTGCTCAATGGTAATGAAGAGTGCCAGTAATGACTTGTGGCCTGCATGGCGCCACTACCGGTCTGCGGGTGTGCTGAGTACCATCCGGAACCATAGAACAGCGATGGAGGAAGTGGATTGATGAGATCGTTCGCACTAACACAGTACGGCGCAATTTCCTCGAACGGCACGTCCGACTTGGGACGTGTGTTGATCCTACCAGGAGGGACGTGGAGCGGAGGAACGTACGCGTTGCTGGTAGGCGGAAGCAGCTGAGGCTTGACCCTGTTTCCTTCGGCGTCAACTTCTTCCTTGCCCTCGTCTCCAGGCTCCGGTACTCCTTTCCGCTGACCCACTCCGCCAAACAATCCATGGACATCGCCGAGCCCGCCATTTTCATCTAATCTGTTAGGCACGGTGTCGTAGGAGCTTCCGGTGGCGACAGCCCAAGCAGAGCAGATCTGCGCCTGGAAATAGGCGATGAGGACGTCGCTGAGAAGTTCGTGACCAAGTGGGCTGGCAAGGATTGGGTCGACGAAATATTTGGAAACACTTTCAGGGTCGCTCATATAGTCGGAGTAGAGCGCTGATTTGGTCGAAATGTGTGCAACGTCGTAAAACTGAGCGACCACGTTGTGCCAGTGGTCTGGGCCGGCGAAACCGCTGGATTCATGGACTTGTGGACTAAAGTGCCCGAGAAGAATAACTGCCGGCTGATCGGGGCGGATGAGGAGGGAGCGAATAAGAGTCTCGAAGTGTTCCATCATCTCCTTGTTGGCAGGATCGTCAGAGTCGAGCTCGACAATGATAAGGTCAGTGACGTCTGGAATGTGGTGCATGCTGCAGTAGCCATAGTAAGCGGAATTTGTCCGTCGCATGGCGCCGTTCGTAAGTTCAGAGGCCGGGTGAGGAAAAACAGAATTCCACCACTGGAAAAAGCGCGAAGGGTAGCATCTGGGGGCTACAGGGTCATCTCCAGCACCATGGCAAGCAGACACTACAGAAATAATGTAAGGATAGACGTAGAGTACTGCGGAAAAAACGCACCTGAACCCCCAAGGACGCTAATGGTGACAGGCTGGCCTGCCAGCGCTCTATTGATAACTCTATTGACCCTCGCGCTGCTGCCTAGATGCATTCTGCTTTGCGAGAGCTTGAGAGCGCCGTATTTGGCACCGATGGCGTCGCCAGGGCCGTAGACAGGGCAAAATTCGAATGGATTTGGTTCTGCATGCGTGTTATTGAGATAATTCTTGGACTTGAGGTTAACCGTAGTATACGGCTTCGATGTTTGCGCGGTGGGCAGTATGTAATGAAGGAGCGAAATGACGATGATGAAGAGACCGAGAAGGACCCATACTCTAGCTTTTACGCCGAAATGGCGCTGATTGAGGCGGGATTGTTTTTGGTCGGAGGACATCCTCAAGGGCGATTGTATTGGAGGAGATATATGTGCCGGTCCTCGTCGTCGCTGTATGCGCTGTTGGCGACGACCACGACAATGAACAGAGGGTGAGAAAGGATAGTGGTGGTAGAACGGGAAGAGTGGTCCAGCGGCTCCTATCCTCGGACCTGTCACTTTCACTCGGACGTCCACCATCTTTTTTGCTCTCGCCGTCGTACAACACGATGAACAAACAGAATGGCGTCATTCAACAGATCAAAAAGGTGCCAACACCCATTGCGCTCGCTATTGGCATCTTTGTGGGCATGATATTTGCTAGATTATTTCCATGGACAAGCGTGCGTTTACCTGGATATATGCGCCTGTCTTGTATTCACATTTTTGCAGCCCTCTACTCCAGTATGGAGAAGCAGCTATGTACCTGCGAAATCGCGCCAGAATACCCGACAGCCAATACAGCAACCGACGCTCGACCAGCGTTTGCGGGTGCTCGACCTCCTAACGACGCTGACTCCCCATTATACCAAAGAGTGTACACGAAGTGCTCAACCACTCTTCTCCCAGCAGGCCCTAGAGCGTTATACCCCTCTCATGGGCTACAAAAGTCTATCACGCAAATCCTGGTTCGATACCTTTGGCTTCACGGATGCCTCCGAGCAGCCTTTCCAGGGTGCAGGTTCACGGCGCGATGTCATGGGCAGCGACCACAAATATTTCTTCGCCATTAATCTCTACAATTCTTTCGACGTCATCCCCGACCTCTTTGCCGCGCTATTTCGCGTTTCCGCCATTTTGGGTTACCACAACGTGTTCGTTTCTATCTACGAAAACGGTTCGACGGATCAGACCAAAGCCCTGCTACGGATATTCGATGCTCTCACCCGCAGCGTTGGAATGCGTATTACTATCCGAACCTCAATGCGTACTAGAGGCGCATTTAATCACCGGATAGAGTACCTTGCCGAGGTACGCAATGCCGCGTTCGTGCCTCTCCACGAGTTACGTGACGCTGAGAACGAGTACTTTGACACCATCATATTCATGAATGACGTTCTTCCTTGTGTCGACGATCTACTCGAACTTATCTGGCAGAGTCGCAACAATAACGCTGGTATTACTTGCGCGGCCGACTACATGTACCATGAGGACATCGGGGCCCCTGTTTTCTACGACAATTGGGTCGCCCGAGATATCAACGGTACCGCCTTGGAGAACGCGCCGTTCGAGCAGATATTCCACCACCCCCTTTCGTCACAGCGCTTCCAGAGACATTTACCGGTCCAGGTGCAGTCGTGTTGGAATGGCATCGCCGTCTTGGATCCCGCCCCATTCTACTCCCCTCCCCACGTCAGGTTCAGGATGGCCAAGATCATGGAAGGCGAATGCAGTGCTTCAGAGTGCAGTCTCATCTGTAACGATTACTGGGAATCGGGATATGGTCGGATATTGATGGTTCCGAGAGTCAAGTTGGCATATGATAGCGTGAGTAGTTTTTCCTAAACTTCCTGTCACCACGCGGAACATTCGGCGGTAAAGTTCCAGACAATCGGATAACAGAGAGAAGCGAATTCTTGAAATTTACCGTCGAACGTCCGTCAGCGCCCGGCGAATCTCCTCGTGGTGTTTGGGAATTCATTAACGGGCTTTATGATTCTGACCGTCCCACAGAAAGTTTTCGATATCATTCATCCTCAGAGGCGGAATCTCACGGCCATTCGCGGGTATGTGCGGTTAGGAGGGCTCCCCGACAATCCTCGTACAGATCCTCAGGACCGCTCGTGGTTCGGCCCGCACGATCGACTGTTTACGGAAGAGGAGAGTGAGCCTTTGACATTTGTTCCTGGACCGGATTATGGTATTATCCATCCTTTGGTACTTACTGCGCAGTGACTGACGTCTTGTCTTTGCAGTATGGTGCTGGGGATGGGATGGCGCTGGAGACTTGGAAGGACCAGATGTGGATCCTATATGGGAACAGATGTCGAACAAGTCGAGGCAGGAGAGTGCCATTGTTGTGAGGCATGACCGGAGTATGTTACTGTAGCGGACATGTACATATGTTTTGGCTGGGAGGATTTTATATATTAGATATCTCGGGCGGTCCTTTGATGGGTAATTAATGGTCGTATCATACATGTACCTTTGGATTTTCTGGACAAAATCCGAGCGCCTCTCTTTTTATGCACTTTATTATTCCAGTCATGTTTAATGAGACCGCAATACTGACTAGAGGTAGCATAAATGTTGTCAATAGTGAGAACTTGTGTGCGTACAGAGGAAATTTTTTTAAAAAAGACAAAAGCAAAAGGGCGCGAACATGTGGGATCGAACTGACGGCTTAGGTATCAGCGCTTTGCCGGTGCACTACAGATATTGATGCTTATGTAATACTCACCCTCCAATTTTCACGTCTGGCCTTGCGTCTTCATTTCAACCTTCACCATCATGCCGGCTTCTACTTCAAAAACTAAAACCAAAACCAAGCCAGTGAAATCAGCCATAGGAGCACCTTCCCAGCACAATCAGTCTAGCCGCAAGGGTAAACGAGCATGGCGCAAAAACGTCAATATTGAAGATGTCGAAGAGGCCATGGAAGGAATGAGGGAGGAAGAGAGAGTGACAGGGTATGCGTTCTGTATTCATTTGATGATTTCACCAATTCCTATGGGTTTTTTTTTCCCAGTAAACCCCTGCAAAAGACGAAAGATGACAACCTTTTCTTCGTTGATGTTACTGGCGATGAAGAAAGTGAGTGTCACCAAGTCCTTAGGCAAATTTCTCCTTGTTTACAAATATATATTTAGTCCGGAAATCCATACCAAAGTCACTCACATCGCAAACCACTGCAGCGAAGATTCTCGCCCAGCGATCAGCTGTGCCGGCGGTATTTTCACGAACGACGTCTTCGGGAAAGAGAAAGACGGTGGTGACGAGGGAGGAGAAGGAGCGGATGTTGCGTATTGCGAAGCGTCCAAGGCAGGGTCCTTTTAACAGCGTCGTCGACCCTACAAAATTCGGGGCGGGGAGTGCTATGATTGGCGTAACGGAGGCGGTGAAAAGCAGTGGACAATTCGACCCTTGGGCTGAGGGCGAGGAACAAGAACCCGAGGTACCAGAGGGAACAGAGCGTCTCCAGAAGATGCCTGTGAAGGTTTGTTCGTTTCGCATTGTGGTCCTATTGTGATCTAATACTTCATGATAGGCCCCAACGCATGTACAGCCCCGGAAAATCATCGAAGTCCCGGCAGTGGTCGAGCCTCACCTTGGAACCTCATATAATCCTCCAGTTGATGCTCATCGTGAGCTCCTTCTCAAAGCTTATGAGATCGAGGAGAAGAGGATCTCGGAGGCTGAAAAACTGGCAGAGGTCAAAAACCGGATGGAGAAAGCGAGAGTAGATGCGGACGACGGTGATAGTGGTGTACCCGGAATGAAGGTCGATATCCCCACTACGGTTGAAGAGGAGCAGGAGCCGTCAGAAGTCTTTGTTAAACCGGCCCCAGAGAGGAAGACGAAACAACAGCGAAGAAAAGCCGCCAAGGCACTGGCTGAGGTCTGTCACATAATGCATCCTTGATGCCTTTCTGCCATACTGAAGTGACCTTTTAGAAACGTGCACTAGCACACAGAGCTGCTAATAAACGTATGCTGTCCACGATTGACAAAGTCAAAGCTTTACGCAAGGAGGCGAAGCTGAACAGCGCCAAGCACGATGCAGAGCGTCAACAACGTCGGCTTTTGGCCGAAGCCAAGTTGAGGAAAGGGTTGTCGGGGCAAAAACTTGGGAGACACAAAGTATCGGAGGGTGAAGTCGACGTGCAGCTTGGAGAGGACCTCAGCGAGAGCTTAAGGGCGCTCAAGGTGTGTATATAACTTCTTTGTACCTTCGTGCTCTGATTTTATTTTGGCAGCCTGAAGGTAATTTGTTCAGGGATCGGTTCCTCAGCCTGCAGCACCGAGGACGGATTGAACCTCGCGCGCTCGTCCTGTATGTAGCCTGGAAATTTTCTGTTATGGTGCGGCGCTGACTTTGGTGATTTTCAGACCTAAGAAACAGAGAACACGGACGGTCGAGTACGAGAAACATGCGTGGAAGAAGTTTGATAGGCAGCAATGAGATGCCGTATGCTATCTTGTCTTGTGCCACACTTGAGTAGTGCTGATTTAGGTCTGTAATATAGGTTACATTAATGGATAGGGTCGCCGATAAAATAAACACAGACACATCCTAACATGCCTGAGAGCAAAAGTGCACGATCGACTCCTCTTTGCTCCCGCTAGAGACTTGTCCTATCAAGCATGAAATAAATAAAAATGCCGCTCAACCAGTGTTCGTGCCACTCCACAGAAAACGTTCATTGTCCAATGCAACAATCTGGAGACCATTGTATCCCCAGGGTCGCTCCAGCCACCTTGCCATATTCGACCCCGTGACAAACTTGACCAAAGGATGTCGATTTATTCATTAACCCCTTCAACATCGACGCGCGAGCCAGTTAGTATCACCCACCCTTGTAATTGGCAGTCCACCACGCCAATTGACGTTCCTTGTCTTTTTCGTTTCATATCCTTCACACTCCCTTCTCTCCACGTCCCCCCTCGTTTGCAGCATCCTCTCTATCTATGGCCCAACAACCAGAATCAACGACACCATCGGTGAAGTCCCTGTCGTCACTTCTGTTCGAGGAGATCGATTCTATTCTCTGTCCTCCTCCGCAGGCGTTTCCTGTTTACTACTCTACATCCTCGCCGCTTCCTGTGGCAGACGACCGGCAAGAAACGTCCAACACCAGCGACGCGTCGCCGCGGCCCAGCAGCATGGTGGCGGACCAGTCGTCTCCTTCATTGCCACCGTCACTGGTTGAGGTGGCAGACACCGAGGCGGAGATATCCAGCACTGACGACGCGTCAGAACAGTCCTCCGACAGCATAGAACATCACCCACTATATCACCGGCACCTTCTTTCGCCAATCCTGGAGGGCGGTAGCATCATTGACGACGAGCCACGTTATCCACCTGACGAGGAATCAATCTTCGACTGTTATTTGCCGTGGTCACAGCCCGATGCTAGTGAAAATCCACCATGCCTTGCACTCAAAGAGAGACCGCCCGTCCCACCACGTGGAGACGTTATCAGTTGTTTATTGCCTTTCACTCCCTTAACAGGAGCTACCGCAATCGTACCTCCTGGGTATCTTCAGATATCTGGGCGACGTTTACCGCCTCCGGTCGACCGACCACCCTTTGATGAACCTCTGTCACCGTCCCTCTCATCCAAGGTAAGCATATTCTACTCTGTCTGCTGCCAAAATATATTGAAGATATCGGTAGGGTATCATCGACTTCCCATATGACTTTCCAATTGATGACGCCCCTCGATCTGCTCCGCTTCTGGGCAGGAGCGATTCCGAATCAAGCCGCGATAGCTCTAGCACTGACGAAGTCCATTCCGATAGCAAAGTGTCGACTCGACGTTGGAAACGACTATTTCGCAGCAGTCGCAAGTCATCCAAGGTCTCGATGCCTCCACCTACGAGTCTTCTGGAATCCTCGACTCCGGATGTATCAGAGTTTGGCGCTGTCGAGTCGGCAGAGTCATTGGCGAGCGGTGAAAAACAGTCATCGTTAAGCCGAAATGTGCTTAAGAAGCCGCCTAAGAAATCCAGTAACCTGGATGTGCCGTCGAAGAGCGACACTGAGGCTCCATTGACGAGTGTCACCAAGGTGTCCCGGAAATTTCCTGGTTTACTGAAGCTTAGTGCTATAGTTCGATCCACAGACTCGGAAACCGAGCATGGAGCGCAGCCTTCGCTACTACCCCGCACACCTGATGGTTCTTTTCCGCCCACTCCGCCACTGAGCGCTCACGACTTGGGTAAAGTCAATGCGTTTTATGCCCCAGTGCCTATACTACCGACACCTAGGCCACCGATGACGCCTAAACTGCCTGCAACACCTCAAGTCCCGATGACCCCAGAATTCCCTTCAACTCCCAATATCCCACCAATTCCCGACATCCCGCCTACTCCCAAAATGATATCAAGCCACAAATCGACTCCTTCTCTCCGAACGGCTCAGAGTCTCGACACCATGGGTTCTAAATCCATACGCTCCTTCAAATCCGCTCAATCGTCCAAATCCTCCAGAGCCATCCCCCCTCCCAAGCCTGCTCCCACCTGCGAACTGCCTCCTACACCAGCGCCTGCTATAGTCCTCTCTCAGACGTCTAAAGAGGATAAGAGGAATACCATATTTTTCGTCATCGAACCAGAATGGGACCAAAATTCGGACGACGATGTGCCTTTCCAATTCGTTCCCAGAGAGGCTGTTACTACAAGCGAGCAGAGGGTCTACATGGATGTTTTCAGCCATCGTATGTCGTTGCGGCCACGGTCTGTTTCCAATCCAGAATTGTTGGCTGCTTCAGTGGCGAAGAGTCTAGCGTCTGCCGTTGAAGGAGCTGGGTATTGAATGCGAACGATTTGTTTTGGTGATTTTCCTGTGCCCTTGTATATAGTTGTATATAGTACCATGTTGTATTACCTTCCTTGTAACTATCGGAGGTCGCAGAGGACCGTTGCCCGGAATACAGTGTATTTTAAACTCCTTCATGACGATCGAGGAGGATGTTGAATAGACAAATGTGCATCTGGAAGGTGAGGAATAGAATTTCTGCAAACGCAACAGAATGTAGGGACGGGTCTGGCGACAACGAACATCCAATATTGAACAGTGTTAAGTAAACTTGGGCTGCGAACTCCGAAGTTACCATACGTGATCCCAGGCATCAATTATTTGTCCGAAACGACACAAACACCTGGCAGACCATGGACCCAATCAAAGCATATCGGATCAGCACTCCAGATCGGCTTCATTTTCTTCAGAAGAGCAACAGACGCCGGCTCTTTGCATGGGTGCTCATTGAGTACTCCCTTTAAGGAGAGAATGTCAAGATATTTATACTGCTCGTCTGCGTCGACGACCTTGTAGACTGACGGTGAACAGCCAGATATATTCATCGTATACCGAGGGGGGCTCCATCCTGTGGGACTGCTCCGTTTCCGTATTCGATAGGGTCTTGGTCACACTTGGGGAAGCGAGCGATGTCGTGAGCGACCCTTGAGAAGACGACAATACTACCAGACTCTGACTCCCAGCAAGCTGCATCGAGATGATAACGTAAGGCACGTCAACGTCCGTATCTTCGTCAAGTTAAAATCTAAACGCTTCCGCATTGATAACATCATTCCTCCCGTAGAAATTATGCTCGTCCTCGACAGATATCATGATACCCGAGCGTTGGAACTCGTCAAGTGATATTCGGTCGACTTCGAAATCTGGACGTACGACCTGCTCTTTGGGAACGAGGAGAAGAGGAACAAAGATATTGACGAGGGAATGTCCAAGCGAGCACTGATAAGCCATGCCACGGATGAACGCCGTGAATCCAGAGCCAGATTTAATAGTTCTAGAAGATGCAGCACGTCCAAAGTGGGTGAAGTGCACGTATGCGTGTTCGAACGCCTCAGCAAAAGCCGCCTCTCCAATGCGATTATCAGGCGTGTTCTGAAAAAGCTTGGACAGATACTTTTCCGGGAGCAGGGCAGTCAAAAAGTCCATCAGGAGGATAGGTCTTAAATAAACGGCCTGATTATGACAGTGCGAGTCCGGCATCATAGGATGTTTCTTGTCCAGTAGCAGTCGATGTATTGCCGCATCCCAAACCTTCGTAAGAATAAGCCTCGCGACAAGTTGGCCCGTTCACTGTCATTGAGGAGATCGTCTTCAGAAGGCGATGAACGACCTCTACCATGTCGACTCGTTCCTCATAAACGGAAATGACAGCTGCTTCCGCCAGGATTGCCTCCGAAAGATATTCGGACGTTGTATACTCCCCGTGGGCTGGAGCAGAGAACATCACCCACATGTGTGCTCTCACCATCTCCTCTTGCAGCCAGCGAGACTCCTCTCGGCGGGGTTCATATTCAATCATAACCCTGATCTCGACCAGAGCCATCTTGAACACATCCAACTTTCCCTTCAGTCTGCTACCAGATGTTACAGTCGCAGGCTCACCCATGTGAATCCCAAATTTCGGTATTTCTGTACAATCCTGATGTGTCAACTTGGTCCGGGCCAAGAATATGATCCACTGTTCCAGGGCACCGGCAGCGAGCATCGTATGCCACCTGGAACATTAATATTAACTCAGCGCAATGAAGGTCAGAGAAAGGTAAAACCTACATCGGCCGCCCAAAGCGAGCAAGATGTTGGATGCTCCGTATGCGTTCAAACGTCAGCTCGGGATCGTCGCATTGTACATTTGCACAGACGTCAAAAGGGAGAACGGTGAAGGGCGCGGGCAACGAGGTAGTGATATTGACCGCCGGCACTGATACATTGTTGGACGTGAGCAAGCTCAGTGCCCCACTTGTCGACATTGAACATGACGAAATGGTCGGCACTATTGAGATGGGCCATGACTGAACATAACGAAGCATAGTTATTTTGTGCCCTAACGCTCTTTGGAATCAGAGTATGGGCCTCGTCAATATAAATCAGTAGTTTCAACTTCTTGCTCGGCGACAACATGCTGATCAGATCCCTGTAAGCCTTCTTAGTGTGTTGTGTAAGCCTCGGCTTTTTGCTGGAAGGATGCGACTTCGAAAGCACATCCTCGACTTCCAACTGTTAGTACATCAGAATCGTATATGTGAGAGGGAAAGCTGGATCTCACCCGTCGAGCCTCCCTCATGATGTTACCGTACAGAACTTCACGATTATTGCCTTCAGCCAAAAACATTTTCCAGAGGAGTGCTATATCTTCCCTTATCTTGTCTCCTACTAGGCTCTTGACTGCTTCCCGAACCTTCTGGAAGAGGGTGCACAAGAAACACAAGTATCGAATTTGCAGGTCCCCGCCAGGAAATATCAAGAAGTCACGGAGCTCAGCGTCTGTGTCCGGATATGCTGTGGCCAAGTCAGACACGGCGATGTGATTTGAAGGGAAATACGCACGAGCTCCACCACTGGACTCTCTGATATTTATCGGAATGGTGAATATTTGTGCTGCTACTTCATGCATTGCTCGCGACTTCCCTGTGCCCGAACTTTGGATCATTGTACCGATGTACCCATAGCCGTCCACTGAGTTTTGGGAATGTGAGATGGTCTTCGATTTCGGCGATGATGGCTGCAGGATAGTCACCGATGTACGGTGACTTCCATGCTTGTATGGCTGCAGTGGCTAGATGACCTCCGTATTCAGTAACGCCTTACATGAACGACAAAGTTAGTGTCGCACAACTAATGGAAATTAGGTTAGACATACCACTCGCAAGTACACACGTCGTCTGAGGCAGCCGGATAGCACCTATAAGATGAACCCTAGTCAGCTTTGCAGGCGATTGGCTAGTAGATCATATATTTACTAAGTCTGAAAAGGTCACGGACGCTCTCGTGTGTATTTTCTTGATCGCACACCTTACGTGCAGCGTTCAGAACAACACCGAAAACTTCTTCGGTCTGGAGGAGTCTTCGTAGGGAATTGATGCCGAGTTTATGAATGTCTATCTTCGCTTTCTCAAAATTACATGCACCTCTCAGCAACTGTTCTGCGAACAGTGCTAGGTACATCAACGATGCCTTGCCGGAGGGATCGCCCTGTAAGACTGTTGAAATTTCTTCACGTATATCGTCTAAAAAATGGACGTCAACAATGCTCTGAACCTCTTCTGGGGTGAGTCGTTCATCGAGAAGTAACGGGGGAGAAGAACGTTTGTGAGGAAAGGAGATATCACTGTCAGAGCGCGAGTGTTTAGAAGAAGAATAATTACCGCCTTGATAGTTCATGATGAAGAAAGATATAACGTCATTGAGTGATTCAGATACGTAAGTGGCATTTATAATAATTTTCGATCGAAAGCTGGAGTCACCAAAAAAAAACAGTAGTCCACCCAAGAAGTGATACAACACATATAGGTCAGAACGAGATTTACACAAGAACTAAAGATACACGCTTTTCCTATGACTAACGATAAGCAACTAAAAATCTGTGCTCCTCGAAACACTCTCCCACTCCGCCTGGAGCTTCAGATATTCCTGCGTCTGATCCTGCACCATCTGGAAACAATCCGAGCCCATCAATAATGACTTGGGGAACTCCTTCCCCCGTGCGACACCCTCCCCACGTACAACATCTAACATTATCTGTACACCCTTCTTCGGATCTCCAGCCTGTTTACCATTTACCACTACGATAACCGCCATAAGTACACAAAAGAAGGTGAAATGCAACGGCACGCTTACCCTGCAAGCTGCTATTGACCTTCTCTGTGATCTCTTTATAGTCATCGATCTTGGAAATGTACGGTTTCCGATGGTTCGGCTCTAGAAATGCAGTACGGAAATACCCAAAGTCGATACAAATGCTTCGAAGACCCAATGGAGCAACTTCAACATGAAGCGTCTCGGATATTCCACGCAGTGCCCATTTGGTGGTGCTGTACAATCCAGCGCTGGCTGAGGATCTGAGTTGGCATGAATAAAGGCAGAAAGAAGTACTCGAAGATAGGCCTTACACCCAACCAGCGACAGATCCTGTCCAGACAAAGGTACCAGTTCGTCGGGTGCGCATGTAGGGGAGGAATGCCCGCGTCACATTAAGCGCGCCAAACACGTTTGTACTAGGAGGATGGTTAGCAGGATGGAGCGACGCAATGGTATCTTATACTCACTTAAATTGATCGAACGTTTCCTCGGGTCTAGAATCATGGTTGTTACAAGAACAGAAAGAATGAAAAATGAAAAATCATACGTGCTCTCCTCCAGCGCTCCAACGAGAAGGTACCCAGCATTATTCACTAATACGTCGACTCGGCCGTATATCCCCACCGCTTTCTCTGCGATCTTCTTCAGATCATCGAGAGATGCAGTGACATCGAGCTCGAGCGTCTCTGCACCTTTCTCCTTGAGATCTGCTAGAAGGTGCAGAGATCGTGCACGAGCAGTGGCGATGACTTTCTCGCCTCGCTCGAGTGCAGCAAGAGCCAGGTCTCTTCCGAGCCCGGTCCTATAAAACCAAAAAGTCAGCATTCAGCATGACGATTGGTTATGAACTGCATACGAAGTTCCAGTGATAAGCCAGACAAGTTGGGAAGTGGACATGATTTACTATTAGTGTGAATGTCGAGCCGGCCAGACTGGACTCTTTTATATTGACACTCTTGCCATTCCGTCACGTCAGGTGTATTACTATCTGCGATGTGTACGCGTCAGTGATTTAGATATCGGCTGCGGTATGATTGGTGGAAGTGCATGACAAAGATTTTGCCACAGCGATCATAATTCTGTGGAAGACGAAGTACATGTAGCTTGTGCCGAGGCCAAGATTCCATTTCTTCATCTCCGAGCTCGAGGGACTCGACTGCTATTTTCCACATGAAAAGATGACAAGGAACGAGACAAGGATTGAGATAACGCCTCGATCCCTATTGATTTTTGAGGTACTACACAATTGTTTCTGTATATTTCTCAGTAAAAAATTTAGAGTGAAAGAAGAGATTCAAAGATACCTGCATGGAATTTTTCATAATGGGACAGTGTATAGTTGACATGCATATAGATTTTCAACATTAATGCATAATGCGCGGAGAGACTTGAGTCCTCTAATCGTTAGTGATACTTGGCGAAAAGAAGATTGATCCAGCTACGGCGTTTTCCGGTCCGAAATATTTAGGGCCGGCTTGAATAGAACCTGGATCCGGACTCCCTTCCGTCTCTCTCTTCCACTGCCAGTTAGTATCAGTCATACCCTCGAATCTTCTACGGTATCGACAGCTTCGAACGGGTAAAAATTCCGTCAAGTATGGGTCTGGAGTAGTCCAGGCTTGTCCACGAAACCCAGAGGGTCAGTATTGCCGCAAAATTTGACATCAAACTCGCGAACACAACGAACAATATCGACAATGTCGACGTCACTTGTGACTCTCTCTTTACTTGGAAGGCCTACTTAGACTGGTGACCGTCTCTCTAATCACGCTTGACGTTGCAAGCAAGGATCACACTTTCTTGTTTGCAACGTCAAGTATACAGAGAGACGGTTACGAGTCTACTCGTTACTAATACCCAAGGTAAAGATGACAACGATGCATGTCGCCGTTTTTTTACAATCCTCCCGACGCCAATTCGATGATTGCCGATTGCCGATAGATGGAAAGACATCATCACAACGGAAGATAGGTCGATGTGGTAACAATGACTTGGAAATCTCGGACGGTGTAGGTGAGTTTTGGAGACATTTTTTTATCTTTTCGGACCAATGGACGCATTAGGAAGATACGAATGACAAATTCAACGTGCATTTTACAGCATCGATTCTGGGCAGCTACAACAGCGTCTTCCTTCAATGTTGGCGCAACGGGGAACCTTGTCTGCGACGCCTTCTCATCTCAACGACATGAAAACCAGTATATAGAATACTGCGTAGGTCTATATCCCGGAAGTAAACCTACGGATGCTCCGACTGCATAAGGAATTGGGTTTGGCGCAGGTACACATCTAATCGCATTCCTTCTCACCTCGAAACTGACACTGTTTACACAAAAGAGAACTAGTAAACGCGAATTGTGTACCACCTAATAGCGTGAGCATCCTCTCTTTTGTACCCTTGTCTCTACTCAAGACTTTGCCAGCAGTTCGTCAATAAAACAACATTGTATTTTACTCTCAAGTAACTGGCATCAGTTTCTCATGGCGACGAGTGCCCCTGCCCGTGACAGTCAAAGTTTTTTTTTACAATAATTCTATCGCAGCAGTGATTTTGGACCTCAGCAAGATGAAGATTGTAGATCAGTGTCGCCCTCTTTCTATGCCTTGTCGCAGATTACGTGCCTGTCTGTGGTACGTGGTACGACGGTCCCGAAAATTTCAAGGCACTGTTCAGAAAGCTTTCTTGGAAGCTAAGATTTCGGCATCAGAGTTTGCCCTCGTATAAGATTAGAACACCGACTTCTCTGACTCGATATTTACATAGATCTAATATGACTTTCTGCCGGTTTCTGTGCAAAACCCTTTTGCCTGCCTGCCTGGAGAGCTGCCCGTGCGCAGTAAGGTGCTTTTTGCATTTTCGGAGGCTTTCTCCATCGCGTACTGCTGGTTGGTGTTTTCTGAGCCCGATATTCCTCCCTCTAATTCTCGGTAATAGGGTGGAGTGTCAGACAAACGTAAACTATTACTCGTACACGGGTAGACCACAGTAAGTAGATCAGATGTCATCGCCACGGTATCAAGTTCATTTCTGTGAAACCCCTGAAATTTTTACCAGCACTATCGCATATGTTTAGATTCGCATCGATGTTGGCCTCTGGTCAAATTTCAGGAACTGATAGCACTTAGATGTGTCGCATCCTAATCAAACGCAACTAATAACCTGTCCACGGGCAACGTTGAAACTCTCGTAAAACGCAAACGCCGACCACGCACATTGCACGAGTCCCGGTATCAATATTGTGCAGAAAACATAAAGGTTGACATAGCTTCTATATTATGAAAGAGGGTGACACCAACTTACCTTTACTTAAAGATCCGGATGCATTTTCTGCGTCTCCATCGGCTCAGACTTAACCCAGGAAATAGGATCTGAGAGATTAACCTATCAAGAAATCTCGTGCAATATCTGTGCAGAGCTCTTCTCTGACGCGCATGCCTTCGCTGAACATGGTTTATATTTCTTTTAGTAGCTGCAGTATCCTTCTGAATACGAACGGCGGAGTCGTTTCCGGGTCTTTTCCGCCTAGCCTCTCGGATCTTCGCGAGGCTGAACGTTCAGGCGCTATTACTCACGACACCGGACCGTCAAGGGGAGAAAACTTCAGGGGCCCAAATGTTAAAATTATTTGTTTCAAGCATTCTCGACGTTTTCTTTTTTGCTTAAATGCATACACCCATCTCATTTTAATGGCAGACGACCATGTCTACCCACACGAATATTCACTCCCGCGATGCTATCCCTGCAGAAGCGATGCTAGCCCCAACGACTCAAGCCCTTGATGAGAAGGCTACCAAGGACACCAGCTCGGACACGGATCATACGAGTCCTGATGACTGGGAGTACCCCGATGGTGGTCTCCGGGCGTGGCTCGTCGTCCTTGGGTGTTTTATGTTCTCATGTACCTGCATGTAAGCGTCTACCTAGACGTCGTATCGCTCTCATTCTCATTGGATTGTTTAAAGGGGATTCGGTCTGATCTGGGGTGCGTTACAAGACTATTACCACACTCATATGTTTCCGGATGTCAGTCTCAGTATCCTGAGTCTGGTGGGAGGTGTCCAAAATTGTGTATGTCTGTCCATGTTTTGTCCGTACACGCGCTCAATGTCGTTTCCAGACTATGGGAGTTACTTCATATATTGCGGGAGGGATAGGTGATCGATAGTAAGTACTTAAGAAATACCGCTCCCTCATCGTCTCATTCTGGTTCTTTCAGTGGATACAAGGTATATCGGTGTCTTTCTTGTCATTAGGTCTGGGTCTAACTCGTCAACAGAAAATGATCGCTCTAAGCAGCGTCCTTGCTTACACCTTTCTCCTTGCGTCGGCTTTTTCAACAAAACTTTATCATCTCTTCCTGTTCCAAGGTGTCCTCCTTGGATTCTCCCAAGGTCTCGGCATGCCACTGTACATGGCCTTACCGTCGCAGTGGTTTTTGCGTAAGAGGGGGTTCGCGACAGGCCTCGCCGTGGCTGGTTCCGGTATCGGCGCTGGTATAGGTTCTATCATCATTCGTGTCTTGTGCGTTTCCATCCCTTACAGGAGGAATGATTACCTCATCGACGTTCTTCCAGGCTCACCCGTCTTGGGTTGAGAAAGGCAATGCTCGTCTACAGTGGCATGCACGGCGCGGTTTGGATTATTGCCTTCATCTTGCTCAAGGAACGACCCATGACGGGGCTTCGACGGAAGAAACGCTGGTTGCCAGAGCGCGTCAACGGCCAGTTCTACAGCGTGGCTCTGAGCATCTGCGTTGGGCTCTTTGGATACCTTGTACGGTCATCATTCGTCCCCTCCCTACTTGTCGTAACTCAATGCATGTTTAGGCCCCATTCTATTTTATCACGACATACACCAAACAGTTTGTGCCTTCAATTAACCCCGATTCGCTTCTGGTTGTAGGTCCTTTGGTAGTCATGAATCTTTGTGGTATGTTCTTCATCCTTGTGCATTTTTGAACTCCCCACTAACGGAAACCGCACATCTCACAGCTGGAATAGGACGCGTGAGCCTATCATTAGATTTTCCCGCTTAATAGCGCACTGTTTCTTGAGCTGATTGTCCTATATGACTCCTCCGATTAGATATCTGCTGGGAGCCTTGCTGACTATCTCGGACCGATCAACGTGTTCTTCCTCTCGTTCTTCCTCGGAGGCGTCTTCCAGATTCTCGTTTGGACGTTTTCAAAGACGTACGCATCGATCATGGTGTTCGCTGCTCTCTTTGGGCTCGTCGGCTGCTGGTTCATCAGTCTTCTCCCTGTCGTTTGCGCAGAACTGTTTGGCGTCGAAGGGCTGTCGACGATTACCGGCTTCATGATTCTGATGAACGCTCCAGGTTCGTTCTATCCTCCGACTAGAATTAACCCGGTTACTCAAAGGAAGCTTTTTTTAAGGCCAACTCGCCGGATCATCTATATCTGGGGCTATCCTAACCAGATCTGGTGGCCAGTGGTGGGCCGTGACATTATATTCTGGGGGTATCATGATTCTAGGGGCTTGTTGTATACTCTACGGTTCGTACATAATCTCATTTCCATCCGAGTTCTTCCTGAAGGTTTCTCCCTAGCTCGCTTTTCGAAGGAAAAACGACTGTTTGCAGCTGTATGAACGAGGCGTCGGCCTTACGCACATAGAATTTCCTTTCTGATATCGTCATGGTGTAAAGTAATACATGGATTTATAGAGCTACCAGAACAGATATGTACACATTTCAATATCTAGATTTCTTCGTCGGGTCCCGCGAGAATGAGAGCTAGCGCTGGTTGTGTGCTTTCCTTGGGCTCAGATGTGAGAGCGACAGCACGAGCCAAAATAGCGCTATAGTCCTCCAGTTCGGCCCACAGTTCCTTCTCGTGAAACCCGATAAATGTCAGGTTATTGCGCAATGCATTGAGCGTAGCTGTAGCCTCCACAAGATCACGTCCGAATGCCTCGCCGTCTCGCGATGCTTCTGCAACCTCCCTAGCCACTTCATCAAATAGTCGTTCAGGGCCAGACTCCACAGGGGCAGGCAACGTGAAACTTTCCGTGGACATACAAGCAAGGCTCAAGATACCAAGCAGTTTTCCCTTTTTCTTTTCCTCGAGCTCGGCCTGAGCTTGGATGGCAGGTCGAGATGCGGTCACCCTTTGTTGTAAGATATCTCTGATCCACTCTGGAAGCACGGCGCGCATCAGTTCGATCCGATTACGCGTGTGCAAAAAGACGACAAGGAAACGAAACGTCTCGATGTGCGGAACTCGGATACCGACCCGGGGAAGCTCCTTGTGCATACGAGGTGGAAGCTTGGGCTCTTTTGATAGGTTAGGCATGTTCAGTTTGAACAGCAAATCGTTAATCGGCATTTGAATCGAGCGAGCGCGTAAGGTGCGCTTTTGAGACGCGGTTTCGGAAATTTCAGAAGCGTCGACAATGACGAGTATGTGAGTGGGTCCCAGAGGTCGAGGGGATATCAGTTTGTCTAGAGTGCTTAGTCTAAGGCCAATAGGGTTCCATGGGTCGAGTAATGTTACGTTCCCTTTGGTGTCCGGGACGAGACGGTTTCTGATATCCTTGAGAATATCCTTTGGGCCTGCATCCGCAGATAAGACCCGTCGCCGAATGTTTTCGGTCGATAAAGTCCCACTCGTGTCCGATATGGACGGGCCGGCATTGAGAAAGACAGATGTACGAACGGGAGTCTTGGGAAGTTTCATGCTTGAGTCAAAGTTCTGATATATATGCAGAGACTGACTAGAACGCATGTCAGAGGCATAAGGCAAGCATTTTTGAACGACTACTTACGCATGGGTAGATGTGGAACGAAGCTTGAGTGCCTCGCGTAGTTCTTCGGTGGTGGCATGACTCATGAGTGTATCTTCACGGTCCGGTGCTACTTCCACGAGATCTGCACGGCTGATGACACGTTCGACGATGGTGCCATCTGCACTAGACACGCTAGCAGCAGAAGGGGAGACAAATTTCAAGAAGATGAGAGTAGAAGACATACAGAAGAGGACAAGAGATTATGCTAGATGCAAGATTTTATAGATGTGTCGCGTCGTGGTGACATCGTGTTTGCCGATATTGTTCGTAAGTCAAATTTTGCCACAGCAGGAATTGCCCTTTTGTGGGCACAATAGTCGCTAATAGACGAGCCTGGTATCACTGCATGCCTACTCTTGGTGAGATCAGACCATCATCGCAAGGTTGATTGTACCATTACTAGCAAGCCTTCTACACTGAGCTACAGTCGAAGGTAGTAGAAGATCGAACTGGTAACTGGGAGAATAACGGAGACAAACGGAAGCAAAAATGACGGGTCCGTTCTCTGAGCCGGCCCTAAAGTATTGAAGTCCCTTCGGACCACCTGTCCGAGCTTCCGAACAAGTTTTCCCACCGAAAGAAAGCAGTCACTTCGCATCTGTCTGTGTATTTTCGAAAATCTGTAGGCTTGCCAAAGATGTATGGTCGCAAAGGTCCACGTCGGTACCTTCTTTCATTTTACTTACTCTGACAGAGGCAATTGTAGCAAGGATTTGACAAGGATCGCACTGCCGCTCTACTCCAATTCCTTATAGTAGTGGATATCATCATCAATCATTTGAAGACATTATCCCCCATGCTCTCACCTGTGGGAAACTGTCATCGAGAAATCGCCCCTTAGGCTTGGCAATGGAGAAATGAAGCCTCGCCCAGCATCGATGCATCGATGACCCACTTCAAACCATCAGCGGCGGAATCTCCAGAATTATGATTGGTTCATCGTGTTGTGGCAAAGTTTTCATCATATGTTCCTACCAATCATATCGCAGCCGACTTCCACACCGCTGACGCGTACACTTTGGTCCACTTGATGCAGATGCTTCCTTAACACCGCCGACAGATGGGTCATGTCAGGAGTGGCAGTATAAAAGTGTCCAATCTGGCTGAGTCGACATTCACGCTAATAGTAAATCATGTCCACTTCCCAACTTGTCTGGCTTATCACTGGAACTTCGTATGCAGTTCATAATAACCAATCGTCATGCTGAATGCTGACTTTTTGGTTTTATAGGACTGGACTCGGGAGAGACCTAGCTCTTGCTGCACTCGAGCGAGGCGAGAAAGTCATCGCCACTGCCCGTGCACGATCTTTGCACCTCCTGGGAGATCTCAAAGAGAAGGGAGCAGAGACACTCGAGCTCGATGTCACTGCACCTCTTGATGATCTCAAAAAGATCGCAGAGAAAGCGGTAGGAATATACGGCCGAGTCGACGTGTTGGTGAATAATGCTGGGTATATTCTCGTTGGCGCACTGGAGGAGTGCACGTATGACTTTCAGCTTTTATTCCTTCTGTCTTGGTTGATGAGCACCGTTGTAGACCTGAAGAAACCTTCGATCAGTTTAAGTGAGTACCGGACGCGATAGCATCACTCTATCTTGCTAATTTTCTCCCCGCAGCACGAACGTATTTGGCGCGTTGAATGTGACTCGAGCATTCCTCCCGTATATGCGCGCCCGACGCACAGGTACCTTCGTTTGGTTAGGATCCATCGGCGGTTGGCGGTGAGGCTTATCTTCGTGTTCCCTTTTCTACTTTTACTCATACCCAGTTAGAGCTGTGCCCAACGCCGGACTCTACGCCGCCACCAAATGGGCTCTGCGCGGAATATCAGAAACACTTCATGTCGAAGTTTCGCCCTTGGGTCTTCGAAGCGTTTGTATCGACTTTGGGTACACCCGTACCTCTTTCTTAACGCCAGACCATCGGAAGCCATACGTTTCCAAGATCGAGGACTATAAAGAGATCACGGAGAAGGTTGAGAATGCTCTGCAGGGTAAGTGTTGGAAGGGTTGTTGGTTTATATGTACTGATGGCGGTTATCTAGCGTATAACGGTAAGCAGCCAGGAGATCCGAAGAAGTGCGTACAGGTAATGCTGGATGTTGTTCGGGGGGAAGGAGCTGCGCAAGGGAAGGAGTTCCCCAAGTCACTGTTGCTAGGTTCGGATTGTTTCAGGGGTGTGCAGGATCAGATACAGGAATATCTGAAGCTTCAGGCGGAGTGGGAGGACGTGTCGAAGAGTACAGATTTTTGACTGATTACTTCAGTAGATTCGGGGCGAGCTAGTCATACAAAAATGTGTGTTTTCTCCTGTTTGAACTTCCATTGGTGTCTATGGGTGTGCCATGGTTCTGTGAGCCGGCCCTAAATTGTTGACATCATTGTTGACTCGGATCACTTATCCGTACTGCCGGACCACTCTCTAAGACTACCATCTTATCTTTTAACACTTACCACTATTCAAACGATAGAAGTAAAGAGACCAGTTTGGATCAAAGAACTCAGGACTTTCCGAGCATTTTCAAGATCCACAGACATGCCAATGGTATATGGCCGCATCATGCGCAAAAACTCGACGTAGATATCCTTTAATAACCCCTTTGCGCATTCCACTTACGGAGACCATCGTAGCAAAGATCAAATTTCTCCTCTTCCTCAAGAATTGGTGGATATCATCGTAAACTACCTGGAAGGCGATACCCGAACCCTTATATCATGCTCTCTCGTCTGTCGGAAACTATCATCGCGCTGTCGAGCCCTCCTCTTCAAGCGATGCGTGCTCTATTCAGGCGACGAGTGCAATAAGCTGCTGGATTTCCCCGAATCCACACTTCGACATATCAAGACTTTATGTATACCGTTGGTTTTTTTCTACCCCCCCGCTGTCCGACCAGAAGTCCTCAATCATCCATCTTTTCATCAAGTCGTAGCATCCTTAGGACCTCTTGACCTTGAGGTCGATACCCTATCTTGGTCTCAGTTGAACGACGGTGCACGGAAAACCTTGTCAGCCCATTCTTTCCGCCGTATTGACATTCAATCTGGTCGCTTTCAGAGCGTAGCCGATATCTGCTACCTCCTACGCAGTTCGCATGATCTGGAGACTCTCATTCTGCCAAATCTCCAGATAGAGGAAACCACGATAACTCATCCACCTCATGAGGTGGGACCGTCAGTGTCGCATCTGACAGTAAATTCGGGGGAGGACAGGCTAAGACTGTCCCAGTCTATCGTTTCCTCCTCGTGTCCCGTATCTGTCAATAACCTACGAGTACTCGACGTTAACATCTCGCATGCCGAAGACCTTGGACTGTTACGAGAGGTGTTGGCCAGGACAGAGGACTTGCAAGTACTCAAGGTGTCGCATGAGTTTCTCAGTAAGCCAAGTATTGTCATCCAGTGCAGGTCATACTAACATCCACCTATAAATCAGATTCCAATCCGGAATTACTGCCGGCAGCAGACCTCAATCTGACGAAAGTCAAAAGTCTGACCGTCAGGATGTCGGACTATCAGGAACTCGAATGCCCCGTTGTCTATCCAGCCCTTTTTCGATGGTGGTGCGAAGTTTGGGCCAACGCCAGAACGACAAGAATTGACGAGCTGGTCATTCGGGCGACGCTTGACAGATTTAATAATCCAGAGTTTGATATTACTCTGTGGTCTCAGATAGCCGGGACGCTATCGAAACCGCCGTGGAAGACTCTGTCGACGCTAACGATTGTGATTTATACCTCGAATGACCTGTATGCAGAGAGTATATTCTCTCCATACATAAAGAAAATTAAGGACATCATGGCTGATTTACTGTCGGGGACACAGTCTGTGGAAGTCGATGTTAGCCTGTATGTCCTACATCATTATCTTTGGTTTTCGCGTGTACTGACTTTACGATGAAGGGAATACCCCGAACCGGACAATGAGTTCGAGTATGATGGGGACGACCCGGTAGAAGGGGAAGAGCCTACTTCTGATGATGACTTGAGGATCGGGTATCCGTTTTAGCAGACAAGGTGCACCATCAATCCAGTCGTTCAGGTTCGAGCCCTTCCAACCAAATGCATGTAACATATATTCGTTCCTAAACGGTTTGAGTCGGTGCTTCCAAGGGACTTATCGATGCCGATGCCTACAGTCTTGGACCGAATCCCACGCTATTCATTGAGGAGCGGAAGTTAAGTTCCAGTCCTGCGTCCAAATTACCGCCCGAAGAGATCTCCGCCCGTTTCTCGATGTTTCGGTATTAGTATTGCCAACCCGACTTGACCGTACCATCGCCAAGTCTGGTACCTGATGGATCTGCCGTTCTAAAATCCGTCTACTACTTCACTCTTGAGCATCGTTCCCATCTTAGCGATTGGTAGTCTGAGCCTTTCCGGTATATCCACCAAAGAAACACACAGCTTCAGAATTATTGTTGTGATACGTTCATCAATACGATCAATCGAGCCAGTTAACACGATAACATAAGACAGAGACGAACGATAGCTAATTAGGGTCTGGCTCAGTATCCAAATCACCAGCGTAAGGTCCTTCAATAACCACTGCCTCGGTGCCATACGTGATTCCTGGTGTCAAATGCATCTCTCTAGGTTCTGGGGCGACGCCAACACCGGGGAGACCGGGAGCCCAATCAAAGCACTCCGGACCAAGGCTCCAAAACGGCTTCATTTTTTTGAGAAGACGAAGAGACGCAGGTTTCCGGTACGGGTGCTCATAGATTATCCCCCTGGAAGCTAGCATCCCAGCGTATTTGAACTTTTCGTCGTCCTTGATTACTTTGTAGACCGAAGGAGAGCAACCAGATATTATGATCGTATACCGAGGGTGTGCCTTGCTAGCCTTTTTGATCTTCCGCTCGGGCTGACTCTTCGTGCGGGAAGTGGGTACGTCGACTCTCGACGGTGTGTCTGTTGTTTCAGTCGATGGTTCTCGATCCGTCGGTGTCGTGGGTGTCTCTGGAGGTGTTGGTGTCGTCGGACGCTTCCCAATGATACCGAGTTGCATCAAGATAGCAACATAAGGCACATCGACATCCTCGTCCTCCTTGACCCAAAATCTAAGTGTTTCTGCATTGATAGTATAGTTCTTCCTCTCAGCATTCTGCTTGTCCTTGATTGAGATAAAGACCCCAGAGCGGTGAAATTTCTCTAGCGGCAGTTTGTTGACATCAAAGCTTCGATGTGCAGCCAGCTCTTTTGGGACGATGAGAAGAGGAAGGAGAATGTCAATGACGGGATGTCCAGAGGAACATTGCCATGCCATGCCACGGATGAACGCCGCAAAAGCAGAGCCAGAATTGATGGCATCAGGAGATCTGGCACGTCCAAAATGGGTAAAGCACACGTATGCATCTTTGAATGCCTCTGCAAAAGTCTCTCCTCCAACGCGATTATCAGGCGTGCTCTGCAAAATCGCGTCCAGATGGTCAGGATGTAGAAGGGCAGCCAAGAAGTCCAACAGAAGCATAGGTCGAGAATAGACAGCCTGGTTATTATCTTGAGCAATTGGCATCGAAGGATTTTTCTTATCCAGCATTAACTGATGTATCGCGGCGTCCCAAGCCAACGTAAGGAGAAGCCGGCCGACAAGTTCGCCCCGTTCACCCTTGCCAATGAGATTTTCCTCAAGAAGGAAGTAGATGACGTCCACTAGGTCCACACCCTCCTCATAGGTGGAAATGGCAGCGGCCTCCGCCAAGACCGGTTCCGAGGGATGTCCGGATCTCATATACTCTCTATGGTCCGGCACGGAGAACGCTACCCGCATGTGACCCTTCACCATCTCCTCTTGCAAACGGCGAGCCTTCTCTCGGCGAGGCTCATATTCAATCATGACCCTAACATCCGCAAGGGCCATCTTGAACAAATCAGGCTCTCCTTTCGAGGTGTCCCTTTTAGACGTCTCATTCACGGGCATACCCTGATGAATCTTGAACTTGGGAGTTTCTGCGCAATCTTTATGCGTCAATTTGGACCGAGCCAAAAAAATGAGCCATTGTTCGTTGGCGCCGGCAGCAAGCATTGCATGCCACCTAAAGCATTAAGTCAGTGCAATGAAGGTTAGAAGGTCGTCAAACCTACATGGGCCGTCCAAAGCAAGCAAGGTGTTGGATGCTCCATATGCGTTCAAACGTCAACCCAGGATCGTCGTATTGAATATTTGCGTAGACGTCAAAAGGGAGAATGGTGAAGGGTGCAGGCAACTTCGCTGTGACGTTGACCGCTCGGGCTGATATATGGTCGGACTTGGGTCGGCCGAGCAGGCTCAGCGCCCCAGTAGTCGACATGAAGATGATGAAATGGTTAGAACCGCCAAGATCAGCCATCGCGGAACACAGAGGGTCATAGCTATTTCGTTTGCCGGGACCCATGGGCGCCAGAGTATGAGCCTCGTCGATATATATCAATAACTTCAACTTGCTGTTGGAGACGAGCATGTCGATCAGATTCCGGTAGGACTTCTTTGTAACTTCGACAAGGTTCTTCTGCTCAATTGAAGACCCTGACTGAGAGGAGGCGTACTTGACTTCCAACTACCAGAACATTAGCGTCCTGCATGTTAGATTTAACAGGTGGATGTCACCTCTCGAGCCCGTTCAATGACATTGTGGTACAGATTCCCACGATTGTTAGATTCCGCGTTCGCCAGGTATGTTCGCCAGAGAAATGCTGTATACATTCCTGCTCTGTTTCCTGCTAGCGTCTGGAGTACTTCCCGAACATTGTCGAAGAGGGTGCACAAGAAACACAAGTATCGAATACGGAGAGTCCCGCCAGGAGAAATCAAGTAGTCGCGAAGTTCGGCGTCTGGGTCCGGATACGCTGTGGCCAAGTCAGATACAGTAGAACGATATGATTTAAAGAAAAAGGACACACGGGCTCCACCACTAGAACTGTCTGTCTCTCTGATATTGATAGGAATAGTAAAAATCTGTGCTGCTATTTCATGCATTGTTCGCGATTTTCCTGTTCCCGAACTCTGAATCATTGCGCCGATGCACCCATAACCACCAGACTTTGGGAGGGCAAGATGGTTTTCGATCTCGGCGATGATGGCTGCAGGATAATCACCAATGTACTGTGACTTCCATGATTGTTCGGCTGCGGTCGCTAGATTGCCTCTCGCAATGGCTACGACGGGCGATAAGGTTAGCGTCGCATAACGAATGGAAATCAAGTTGGACGTACCACTCGCAAGTACACCCGTCGTCTGAGGCAGCCGGACAGCACCTACGAGATGAACCCTAGTCAGCTTTACAGGTGATTAGCTAGTAGGTCATATATTTACTAAGTCTGAAAATGTCACGGACACTCTGGTGTGTATTCTCCTGATCGCACGCCTTACGTGCAGCGTTCAGAACAACACCAAAAACTTCTTCATCGGTCTGGAGGAGTCTTCGTAGGGAATTGATACTGAGTTTATGAATGTTTATCTCCGCTTTCTCAAAATTACATGCGCCTCTCAGCAACTGTTCTGCGAACACTGCTAGGAACGTCAACGATGCCTTGCCGGAGGGATCGCTCTGTAAGACTGTTGAAAGTTCTTCGCGTGTATCGTCTAAATGGAGATCAACAATGCTCTGCACCTCTTCTGGGGTAAGTCGTTCATCGAGAAGTAACGGGGGAGAAGAACGTTTGTGAGGAAAGGAGATATCACTGTCAGAGCGCGAGTGTTTAGAAGAAGAATTATCGCCTTCGTAGTCCATGATCGATGAAGAGAGACAGGAAGATCGTGATAGGAAAAGTGAGTGTTTGAATTAGTCCAATGTCCACCGAACACAGCCACCACGTGAGTCCTAAACAGTAAGTCCACCACCCCGACACGGTCGCTGTCTCCTTCCTCACCCATGAACATCTCGCCGCCCCATTATGCTTAACGCCACTGGACCTACCATTCACCCAACGTCCATCGCGAAGGCCAGGACTCAGCTACCAGTGCGCCGGCCGCCTGGACTGACGCGACGGTCATTGCTAGCGCATCGTGTTGATGCCGCTGACTTGGCTGCAAGGATTTGTTAAAAATTTCTCTTTGAATGCCACCTTTGGACTTCAATCCACGCGACAGCTAGGTCGGAAACAAGGCAATAAATTGTCCAAATTACCCTCGAAAAGATTTTCGGCCATTTCTCGATGTTTCGGTATTCATATCGCCAACCCGATTACCATCACCAATCAGTACCTGATGTATTGAGCACCGTTCGCATCTTAGCGATCGATAGTCTGACCCTTTTCGGGATACCCGCCGAAGAAATGCACAGCTTCAGAATTACTACCGTGATACGTTCATCGATACGATCAATCGAGCTGGCACAGCAGCGGAAAGACAGTCTTCCGTGGTCTGTGAGGGAGACGTTCGGAGACCAACGTTCAACGGCTTAACCCTCTTATTGACGCTGAAAGAAGATCGTTCCTCGAATATACATCAAAGATGCTAGCGGCAGTGTTCAATCTGGCGCGTGCCCTTGATATTTTCCTCGTTATCGCACCTTCTTCCCGACTGTCGCCTGTGGCGAATTCGAATGATACCGGAGCCCTGACAAACGATGCTTCGTAAAATCTTTCTGCGCTGTCAGCATCTTCACGACACGGTCTCGTGCTGATTCCGGGTTTGTCGGACGTATTCTCGTAGCAATAGTCTCTGCATGAATAATCTACCAGCTCCTCCGAGTCCAACATTGACGCGCATAGCCATGAAGACAGCTTCCCTTGCCGAATTCAGTGCTGAAGCGGATTCGAAGTCGCTATACTTTACCCTTGGACGTGGTAGCGCACAGAGACGATGATTCGTGCATTTCGGCGCTGTCCATTGCTATACGACAGCACCCCTTCACTACCTGAAACAGCATATCAAACTGCCTTATCTGTGTCGCTGTTGTTGCATCCAAGCTTCTCGAAGGTGAGTATGAACCGCAACAGAACGTGCTTTATCGATGGTAAACTCCTTCAGTTAATCCGTGAAGGAACATTCCCGGAAACGTTCCATGCGTACTACTTTGTAGTTCCACGTGTGTAATTCGTTAACAATTTCAGGCGATTTTCATTAACGATCTCGGCATCTGAGGAAAGTCTGAATGCTTAGATTTACTCGTATGGGCACACTTTTTTGTCTGACCACCACGAATTTTTATGATGCTCGAGGCTTGTCCAGTACCGCAACGTTTCGTTACGCCACGGCAGGGATGCAGGCCGAGAGTGCTTCAGATAACCCCGATCGGAATAATCACGACCCGATCTGGTGCTGACACATGTGGCGTACGTAATGTGTGTTTCTCATCATGTCCAATACATTGCCTGCTCAATTCTCCTTTTCTCCTTCCCACCATCATCCAACTCATGGTACTGCCATTTCTCCCTTTTCGCATCGCACCTGCCTATATATTACCCTCACGACGCCCCTTCATATTGCCTGGAGCTCCAGATTGCAATTAGCAGGCGCCAGTACTCGCATCGTACCTTGAACGTGTAGGAAATTTTTGCGTTGGGGATTGGGACAAGCCATTGTCGTACGCCACGATGACGGGACATTTTATGGGGCGCTCATCATACGAAGGACCAGCGAGACCGACGGCCCCTAAGACGCCAATGAATGCTGTGTACGCGGATAGTGATCGGTCGGAGATGGCGGGCACCTCCGATATTGCGACGGCCGTTCCTCACAATCACCCCAAGAGTCTTCGAGCTCATCTCCAGAGCCTTCTACCTCGTCATGCCGTGTTTCATGCCCAAATCGAGATACAACAGATATCGAGTGTACCCCTCGTTCATGGAGAGTTTGCCGTGCGGTGGAAGCTGAAGAATCTGACTACGCCACCTGGGTCGAAGAGTAGCTTACTGGGGATCGTAAATCCTAGGAGGAGTGGTGGAACGAGCCCCAATTCCAGCAAATTTGACATCAAGGGTAAGGGAAAGGAGAGGGAACAGGCAGAGGAAGAAGTGGATATCGAAGACGATAATGAATCGAGCAGCGTCTATGCATCTTCAATATCTCCCGACGGCTCGTCAAGTCTCAGTTCCTCTGGCGACGACCGGCACGTTATGCCCTCAGTCGTCATCTCTTCGGGTGCCAGTTCATCGCATTCGCATTCGTCACCATCCACGCCTGCATCTTCTCGCCCTGCAGCTCGTGGGCAGACACCCTTTCTGCCGCTCATGGAACATTCAGTGACGTGGTCCCAATCATTATCTGTTTATATCAAGATACCACTGTCTCGTGACCGTGAAAATCCCGACGTTCTCATGCCCAATCCCGCTAAATTCGTCGTGATTCAGCGCGTTATCTCTGGAGACCCCGATGCGCCACAAAACCCACGCATGGGAGCTGTCTACCTTGACTTGTCTCAATATGCGGACCCGAGTCTTGGCGAAGTGACGCGTAGATATCTCCTCAGGGAGAGCAAGACGAATGCTACGTTGAAGGTACGTGTCCCAAGTCGAGTCACGCCAACTGCCCAAGCTGACAACCGCTTGTTCTAGCTGAGTATCCAGCTCACCCACGTCGGAGGCGAAAAGGCATTTGTGGCTCCATCATTACCGAAGGGCGAGATCCTGAACGGGGTAGCGGCCTTGTTAGAGAATGACGTGTACAGAACCCGGCCCCGCGGATTCAATATTTATGGACAATATGGCGCCTCGAAAACGCATATCCACGACCATCATGAGGAGGATCCATATGATTCTGATTCAACGACTTCTTCTCGGTCACGCGCACACTCCTATGCCTCCTCTAATCATCATCACCGCCAGTATGAGCAGCAGCAAGGCAGGCTGACACGGCCGTATGATTTATCAGAGCTTCCTCTTGCCTATGCATATGGTCCCAAAACCACCGAGGCGCTAATCGAATCCCTCTTCAACCCACTTGAAGTCTCAGAGAGAACCAGAGTGGAGGGGAAGGAGAGTCCTTTCGTGAACTACGTTTCTGGTCTGGATGACGATAGTCCTATGCTGGGCAAGAGGGTTGGTCTGTCACAAGCCGCATAACATTGGTGGAGGTTAAGCTATTGTATGGTTTATTTATCTTATCTTGTATTGCTTTCTGTTCGGATTTCCGGGTGTTTCGTTCTGGATAATTTTACGTCTCTCTAGTTTACGATACGTCATGTCAATTTCTTACTCTGTGGGTAGGCTTTTCTGCATTTTTCGCAACGACAAGTACTGCATCACTAACACACACACATTTACTGTTTACACAATACTGTTACGCTTCGTGCAACCGTAATTCAATGATAATTCGCTTCTACGTGCTCTTCCCTGACAAGAAACGAGTAGAGTGTATTAGAGGATATACCGATACAGAGAAGGTGAGTAAATCTAGATTATCTAGGTGGCATAAGCAAGCAATTATAACACTAGTCTAAGTAATGTCTGGTTTTATCAATGCAAAATATTAGTCCGAAACTTCCAGATGTACAGAACAATAGATACGGTCACTGACGCTAGACGGAATGAGCCTACGGCACCACAGAAGAAGATAATCCACGGGAAAGTTTAGATGTACGAGAAGGGAGCTTTACCAGGGACAGGAGCCGTAATCAACGTCGCAACTGGCATTGACGTACAACTTCAGTCCCTCCTCCTCGACCTTCCTTAAGAAGGAAACATCGCTGGCCTCCAGTCCGTCAATGACATGCTCGCAGACGATACTCTCCAGTAACGCCAACAATGGCTGTAGACCGCACCGTCTTGATCGAATCATATCGACAAAAGTATGATCCAATAGTGGGTCATCAAACCCATGGTGCACTAGATGAAGATCCTTCAATCTGGGTAACACCGCCGACAGGCTACCCTTAGGATACGCGAGAAATCGCATAAAAGCCTCAAAGCTTCCTGGAGCTGTACAGGAGAATTCTAGTCGGAGATCTTCGATGCTAGGGATATCTAGTAGTGTCTTGTGAAGATCCTCGTTGATTTCTAGACCATTGAGATGAAGAGTGCGTAGCGCGCACTGGGAACGGGAAACGAATGAGTGGATAGTAGGGATAGGTGAGGGGTTATCGGTGTACACGACACTCAGGACCTCTAGGTTGGGCAGAGTGAGATATTGAAGCGGAGAGACATCCCATGTTTCCATCGAACGCAACGACGACTGTACGACTGGCCCTGGGAGAGGAAGACCAATCTCGTGATCGAGGAGAAGTAGAACCCGCTGCAGATTCGAAGACTTGATAAGAATCTGCATCTCATCATGGTCTGTCCCACAAGCGAGGTCGATGGTAGTCAGTTGGGACCACGGTAGCTTGAGGCAAGACGGTGAACGGATTCCGTACAGTGAAACTTGCCGTAGTCGAGGCGCAGTAGAGAACCCGTCAAGGGCATTCTCCTGAATAGAACATCCGCGAACCATGTAGCGGTCGAAGCGGAAGTCGAATGACTCCAACAAAGGAAGGTGTTGATTGCCTGGAAGGCGACTGGGGAATTCGGGAGTCACGAAGGAGAGGGAGATAGTTTTCCAGTGGGCGCAGTGCGCCAGGATGACAGTCCACATGTGAGCGCCGGGATCTGCTGTCTCGAAGTATTCTATCCAGAGGGGGTATGATCGAGCACGAGCAAGGGCGGTCTGCAACTGGGCGAGGCGACCTGGCGAGAAGCGCTCCCGACGCCCCATTATGTGCACACGGGACCATAGTTGTGGAAAGGATAGGGCAATGTCCCTCCAACGCCCGCAAACCTGGGAGAGAATCCATGGTGTATCGAAGCAGCGGTGCCGCTCATTCATGATGTCGACCCACACGAAGATGTCGGCCGATATCTCTGGGGGTATAGACAAGATGACTTCTGCGGTCGAGGGTATAATGGGAGGTGAAGATTCCATGGCTTGAGACTTCATGCACTACAAGTGAATGGCAACTCCGTCAGCGGTTCGCTGTGAAAAAAAAAAAACCGACATACCAAGTGATAATTCTAACCTATTGGAATCCTCTAAGAAAGGCGTAAATATACTCAAAGTATAGGCTTTGAGGTAGCTAAGACGCGAGGCAACGCGACTGTGTTGTGGTGAATCGTGGTCGTGGTTCAAGTTGCCGAAGTTGCAAGCACATGATAACCGAAAATCATAATTACCTAATAAAGTCCAGGCTTACTCCAGGCTCGAGCGGGAGCATCATTGCGAAGCTAATCCACGTTGTTGCTGGAGATAAGGTTGCACTAGCCTGTGAACCGTTGCAGTACACGCACGTTCGCGTACATACCTGGCCTGATGCTGCGATGCTAGAGCGTGTCAACTGGCAAGAATCATATATCAGTGCAAAGTTGGCACCATCAGTTTCAACGTTACACGGGAGCGACCTGGAATGTCCACGGCTTATATCCTAACCAAGCCTACTACCACACAGATGGCCAGCTCTAGCCACCCTATACTCGCGAGCGGCGTCCGGAAACCCTTATTGGGAGTGCCTGAGCCGGCGGTGGCAACCGTCCCACCTGCCAGTGGCTGGTTCCACAGGAAATAAGGCTGCTCAGCATATCCTGAATCAGCTGCGTTCAGAAATGACGCATATCGTCCGTCCTCGTCACCGTAAATAGAAGCGACAGCTGCTATGTTTGGATATAGCTCAGCGGAATACGAGTTCTCGCCGCTAGAATTCGCTGAGATTCCCATGGCGTAATCCAATGCCGTCTTGATGGTAGCTCCAGAGGAGGAAGTGTTGTTCCAGACTGGTGAGCCGGGGGCAGCGTATTGCGCAAGACGGGCATTGGTCTAGCCAGCATATATCTATTATCAGGACGTTGACGTGAACAGACGAGAACGCTCACTATCATGGCAGCTAGGTTATAAGCACGATAGTGGTAAGGCCGCGTCCTGGCAGCTTCGAGCGGCTGCAACGAATGACGTCTTAGGTGATGATTGTATATATGGAAGAACACTCATACTTGTTCCCCGCTGGCATTGATCTGAGAAGGATACAAAGTCCTGAAATATGTGTCTGTAGCATTCCGTGCGCCAGGAAGGTCATTAACAATGATCTTCAAAGCAGCTAGTTGGTTGTAATAGAACGTCCCGTGGTTGCTAGATACTGTAAAGTCAGGCTCTACAAGAAGGCATGACGTTGATGACATACTTGGCTGATTCACCCTCTTCTAGAGCTATGGCCGCGGACTCCAACCAAGTAATATATTCGCCCGACCATTCTAGCATCTGAGCATCGACTTCTGTAGTATAGTCCACATTAACTCCCTGTCGGAGAATGAGAATGCCAGATGCAATCTTAGTGAAGCACTTTAGGTCGCTATGGTGGAGAATGAGCGCCCTCTTTACATACACTGATTTTAGTACCTACAGAATACCGGTGTGCTCACCAACCTGACCATCGGGACCGCGTTTCATTTGTGCGTAATTGAGATTCGGATTCATCCTGGTGCCGTAGTTCAAAAACCACACCTTAAGAAAGTTGACCACATTTTGCGAATATAGCGATGTCGGCTGGTCCTGAAAAGTGTGAGATATGGAATTGTACAGCACAGCGTCTGCGAGGTCAGAAAATGCTCCGACATCATTAATCAAGCGGCCGTCTGGGTTGAACATGCCATCTCGAGTTTCATACGGACACTCTGTCCAGACTAGAAAATCATTCAGTGCCTGTAACAAACATTGCAAATTCACGCCCACTTTGTTGAGGCGAGAGTTCCGTGGTATTTCCAACACCCGTGCAATTAGGCCAGGAGCTGGAGACGCAGCATGTTAGCAGGTGTACTAGTAAGATATAACACGGACGAAAGACATACTACGGAGCCCAACTCATATAATCGTGCATGTCACCTGAAGGAGGTACAACAGTCTTGTTCATGACAGCTACGGAAAAAAAACTTCAGCATTGAAGTCATACCCACAGACCGAAGTGCATTCACTCCACGGGCCCTTCGAAGCAAGTTCCAAAGCCCATTGTGTTATCGTTTTCTGTGCATCACCTGTATTGGGCGGAAAATTCCCCGATAGAATGTAGTCAGGATCCACGAAGTCGTTGGCATAGCTCGTGTAGGCCTTGACTAATAAATTTGGCGCAAGAAATGAAACGAGGAGAGCAAGCATAAGAGGAACGATTGGACACCAAGTCGAGCTAGCAGGAATGCCGAAGTGTGGGCGTCCTAAAAGTACGTCCTCGACGTTGACGTACCAAAACCGTGCTAAAGGGGTCACCCATCGCTACTAGGAATTGCGATATGCCCGATCCAGAGGCGCCAAGAAGTATTTCATTTACAGACAGGGCGAATGCACTAAGCCCCACCTAGGAACCCATGGCAATTGAATGGGGGAGCTGGCCTTCCTGCCTTAGGATGGTAGTCATAGATAACGAGATCCCACCTCACAAAGAGATGATGGTGGTAAGAAGAAGGAAGATGAATTTGACAAGTCGGACGAATGGTGGGACGATTCGGACCAAATGATTTTAGCCACGTGGTCCATGAAGTCGGAAATAACACATGGCGATATTTTTTCGACAACAGCAAGACAGCAAGAATACGAGAGTCGTCTAGACTATGTGAATAATAAAGGAAAAAATCGACGCGATGACTTTAAAATAAGACTTAAGATCATCAATGTCTATTTGCTTCCTTTGATCAAGTCGGCGGCCCTTTCTGCCATTGCGTAAACAGGCGCCTGCGTATGTATATGTGATGTCGTCACGAAAGGCTGAGAGGGATAGGTAAGAGCTAGTATCGCGCAGGCAAGAACAAGAAAGCCCTATCAAAACCGATGCATCGACAATCCCCACCCCCTTGGCACCCTTGAGCTTCAAATCTGGGTTGGCTACACCCCAACCCGCGTCAGCCGGGGACATACTTGCCGTACCGACTGGATGGTAAATGGTAGCCACACCAATCCTGATGTTTCTTAGGAGACGTCCGTCTGAACGCCAATGACATATCCATCCCATACCGGTGCCTTGACAAACCCTTTCGCAACAGCAGCAGCCTCCAGCATGGATGGCGAGGTCCTGTGGATGCGCGAAAAAGTTTGGGTTGATCAGTGGCGGGTCCAGGGGACTGTTGAGTGTGGCGTCGCTGCCTTTAATGAAGAGAATGATAAGTGATGGAAGCAGTGGATAATAAAATATACTTACGGGATAGAGGACATAAAACCGCAGTCCTAATAGACAGGAAGTTCCCTGTAGGGGGAATAGGTTCCGAAATAAGGCCGTTCTTTAGGAAGAGTTAGCCTGGGTCGACGGTATCGCATTCGACGCACCAAAAGCATGAACTCGTAGTGCGCTGTCTCGTTCCCCGAGCACGGCTCACCATCCAAAATACCCTCGGGAACGCGAAGGAATCCTAGGTGGTTCGTTATTCCTGCAGTCAAGAAGCCCGTTCGATTTCTTCCCATTCCGCCAAGGCCTCTGCTTGATAAGTCGCGTTTCTGAAATAGATGTTCTCCATAGTGTCGGTGCTGTTAACGAAGAACTCAACGTCCCATCTGGGATGGCCTGTCGTATTCTTGCCAACGTCGGGCATATGGAGAGTTGATTTGATTCCATGGGCTAACAGCTCGGTCGGTCACCAATGCCAGAGTTAAGGAGAATATGCCGGGTACCGACGCTTCCTGCGGAGCAGATGATCTCCTTCAGACCTGATGGAGCCAGGATGTGCATGTTGGCTAGATGGCAAATTGATGTCAGTAAGACAGTTCTAAGCAAGACGTCAAGAACCCACTTCACCTCTAGTATCCTGAGTAAACTTCACGGCACCGAATGTTGGCGGTACGTGATTATATTCAATACACGAGCGGAGGATTCGGGTAACATGGGCGTTGATCAAAACATGCAGATTCCGCCTCCCGATGTACTGAGGTCCAAGATGGGACACTTGCAAGGAACTCCGAGTACCGTTTCCGACAGTCATCGGCGCCCATCCTACGATGTTCTGAAGTCAGAAAAGACTGTCCAGAAGATCATAGTGAATTCTTACCAATACCCAGCTGATATCCCGAATTATAATCCAAGTTGAACGGAAACTCGTCCGGCAACTCTGACGTCGCCTGTATGATCAGGTTGTCAGTACCCCTCGGGAATCCAGGCAGGTTAATGCCATCGAAGCCGTAGGCAGCAGGATCGAATTGACCGGTTATATCGTGATAGTTCGCAGGAGCGACGAAACGTTCATTCTGTCAGAGTAACGCTAAAGTCAAATTGACAGAATGGTCCAAAAGAACTAGCCGACCTTTCGGATGTATGGTTGCAAGGCCTCCCACTCCCAGCCCTCGTCACTGCTAGCCTTGGCATAGCGGCCTTAATCTTGAGATGATCCGCGGGTGTAGTACATGCAATCTGGTACCTCTTTAACTTTAAGATCTACACAGCGAAACAATGACTTACTAAGGGCACTACCACCCCCCAATCCAAATCCTCAAGGATACGCGATACCATTCAAGCCCGACTGCGCAGTCGTAGTGTAATTCCAGTCTCATGGCGCTCCAGGTACCATACGGGTACAAAAGTACAGGATCTCAGCGTCGTGAACTTCAGCCGTTCTGGAGAACAGTCAGTATGGAACGCAAAAAGGAGGGATGGACGAACGATCCGCCCGCTTCAAGGACAAGGACGGAGGTCTTTTGTCAAGTGATTCGATGCTACGTTTCCCACTACTCCGCCTTGAACTCCATGTCAGCAACGAGCTCAGTGAAAAATGGTGTCTGTCGCACTGACCTCCAATAATGATATAATTAAAGTTCTGGGTCGGAAGGTCCGCAAACCTCCTACAACCCCCCCAGAGCACTGGAGCATGACGCAAGAAGGATAAAAACAGAGAGCGCCATAGAGAATGAGTCATACTCAGTGAGAAATCCTGGTGTCATTTTAAATGCGTCGCTGCCGTTTCAGTTACGAATCTGTCAGGCGAATGGTACCCCACATTAGTACAAAGGTTAACGAGATATAATGAGAGGGAATAATTTGTCACCGTGTGAAATATTTACTTGTTGATTCCTGAGGAAATCGTCAGTAGTTTACGCACGACGGACTGAGCGACAATAATATAATCCAGTCAACTAGTTCAATTCAAAGTTCTCCAAACAAATTCTTTAAGGTCACGATGCTTGTCACGAGCCTAAAGGCCATTGCAACAGTTGGCTGTCGCACAAAAGGAATCCATTCAAGGACTTCCACAACGTTCAGAAGGAAAGAGGCAAACTCAGATTCAATTTTAAGCATACTACGTGTGAGTTTGTAGCGTCGTTGGCGGTGGAGGAAGGCTGTCGATGGCTGAGGGTGGTGGTTGTGGTTGTACAGTCAAAGTCAGTAGGGCCGGGCCGGGTACTAACCGATTTGCGTTACCAACGCGTCACGCACGATGCGGAACACTTCGAACTCGTCTGGGAGTCATTTTGAGGTACTTGTCTCTTTCAAACGTCTCTGCATCAATTTACATTCAACAATCAATGAGCGTCAATTCCTTGGCAGGCATCTCGCGGCAATCGATTTCACACTAAGTACTTCTCGTCCATACTTGTGGTTTGGACTTTTAATATGAACCATCTATTTGGATTTAACGTTCAAATCCCGAACATTGCAAGACGGATAATAGCTGGAAATGGGTACTGCCAAGCGATGCTTCTCAGTTCCGATGGGCGCGGACAAGGTAATCCCTAAACAAAAGTGTGTCTTACTGCAGCTATCCCGTCATCTGTCAAGAAGGTGCGGACAGAGTAATCCCTAAACATAGTATCTCTGAGAGAGAGAGCTTATCCCGTCATCTGTTCAAGATGCTCCTTGGTTGCCATGAACCGAGCAAGCTTGAGGTTTAATGTACTTCTGATCCCAAACCTACTGAAGTATGCTAACTTGATAGAAAACTGAGCTATTACTTGGCTATTATCTTGCCTCACTGTGATATCCTTTTTTCAAAGAATTATGGACCACGCAGTGCGAATGGAACATAAACGGGAAGCTTCACATCAGTATAGAACAATCTTTCCTTTGAAGTCTAACAGCAGGTACGATGTTCTAAACTTCGTATTGTCATTTCGGCACTCAGTTACAGCCGGACAGATCCAACAGATCCTTGATTATTCATGTCGGATTAAACCGTACTGTATGCATATTTCTGCACGTCCCCGTATTGCATGCTCATATTCGATGTGTCGGAGTCACAACTGTATGTGTAGTCGCAGCAAGTGCTTCGAGTTCCAATTGACGCCCGTTTACCCAGCCTAAAACATCGTCGGCGCTAAATCACGACATAGTGGTCTTGTGCCACCTTTCTAGGACTTAATGATCTTCCCTCAGGATCTGGGAACATGAATAAAAGAAGGTGGCCAAGTCCAACCGGGTCAGGGAGATAGGCAATCTCAGCCAATCATAAAATGAGAAGCTCTCAGGGAATTTGATCTTGTCTATGAGCCTTCCGATAAATACCGCCGCTCAATGCTTACGCTGCGTCTTGCCTCTTCAGTGTCCCAACTTCTTGGACGCCGGTCAAATGAACTTATAGAAGTAGCGTTCTCCTCGAATTAGCAAGAACCTGCTTTGCTATAACCTTACGCATTCTTTCTCCGCTTGTGGGTCTTCCGCTTTAGTGATAATCCGAAAGACGAGTTTGCCGTCAACACATGACATCACGGGTCGGTAAATGCGCCTTCGGTTACACTCTGAGCAAGAGGACTCGCGACTATTCATCCGTGTCGAGTTAGTACGAAAGTATAGCATGTATACCGTGTTTTATCGTTCCAGTCACCTGTACAGTACTATGCCAGTAACATCGGATGCTACTGCCCATAAAATAAATGTAAAGTGAGTCCGAGCGACTTCTTTAGACCAGGTGGTTGTGACCTTCAAGTTTGCCGTGTAGCGTGCAAGAAGTTACGAGCTATTGCGGCATACATTAATTTCGTACGCTTCGGGTTCCATGGTCACATATGTCACTAAGAAGAAGAACGGAACTAGATACATTAGATCTGAAAACGGAAGTTAGAGCGAGCACCACATTCGACTCACACAGAGAATCTCGGGAGTATTGTGATAATCAAGGTTCTGATTAACCCTTCACGGTCCTGACCTATGGTACGATAAGCCGGCTTCGATATGATTCCGGGTGGCATTCGACCGTAAGGCAGTCAATAGTATCCAGCGATGGACGGAGTCAGAGCCGTTGAATACTTACTCCGTGATTAGAGACCTAGGCAGTCAATGGGAACTCTGAGATCTGAACTCACCCCGACAAAGAGGCATGGCAACCCATTCCAGGGCGGCCCCTTCTGAACAGTTGGCGTGTCTTGTAATTTTATGGTTCGTGGACAAAGTCAGAGGAACAATTGCCTCATCAGGATCGATTTACGTAAATGATGACTTTGTTTTTGACATGTCACCGTCGAAGTCTCAAGCAAATCAATGCCTACCATTGTACTTTTTTGTGCTCATTAAACGTGGAGACCCTCTAATCTGGACAAGAATTTGTATAAAATGACTACTAGGTTGCTTCCAGTTGTACCTTCCTCTCAACATCTTCTCTCACCTCTCTCAGGATGTCTGCAACTCCGTCTACTCTTGCCTTCATCAAGTTCATCCCTAGGAGCGTACCTTTAGCATCTGAGGATCTTCCGGTTGAGCGTCCAATCAGCAGGACTCTTCTAGTAGACACGGCGCCGGATCGCGAAGATACTCTGAAAAGCCATGCCACCACTGTTGAGCAGCTTCGTCAATCCCTCAAACTTAGGTCGATGTCACCTCAGACGTAAGTTTCCTCACAACCACCCCTTGTCACACTTTTTAAGTCTAATTATGGACGTTTATTGCAGTCAATGGCTGTACCACTCTGTTGGCTGCGATAGCGCCCAGGCAGTCACCAATTCTGAATCTGTCGTTCGCGCTTCAACCTGGCTGGATGCCTCGTCGCCAGCACACGACGAGGCCCGCAATACTCCAGGGGGCGCCAAGTTAAACTCTCGTCCTGCATCGTCTGGTTCAGAAAATAGCACCCAGGGCACAATAGCTTCGCCCACTGCGGAACAACGCCTTGTCAGAGATCCTGGCAACGATTCCCTGAAGGCATGGATACTGAAATCTACCACTTCAGACGGTCTGTTGGTTTCCCCTCGACCGTTGGGACCGACACACATCTTGGTAGCTTTTCCGTCGCAGGACCCACTGGCAGGTTCCTCAATATCTGTCCCTGCGCGAGCCCTCGAGTTTCCTATCAACGACCTATTGTTCGTGTTGAATGCGCCAAATCTCTCACGATCACCCAAACTCCCGACCCGTTTGTACCAAGAGCTTCCCCGTGTTGGTGTCCGAGTTCCAGACGTCGAGACTTTTCGTCACCTTGTCATCTATCTTCATACCCGAAACTTGGGGCAGCTGATACGCGCAATCATTCCAGATTGGATCAGGGATATCGTGTATCCCTTGACTGCGCTACCTGCCTTCGCAATGGCCGTGTCCGACGCAAAGGAGAAACGGAAACGCGGGTTGTTTGGGATATTGAACGATGTCGGCCTTACCTGCTCATGCATGAACGATGTTGCTTTCGAACCGCAAGAGAAGCAGCCTCGTCCCGAAAACCTTGTTGATGCAGTGGCACAGGAACTCGCGGAGGCGTCTCGTGAAAAAAATCGTAGTGATCTGATCAAGTACACTGCGGCACTTGATGCAATGAGGGCTAATCTCGGGCTTATAGGATACTATGAGCAGTCGTTATGGAGCGAGCTGGACTTGTACCGCGACACCCTCATCCGTGCTATCAGTTTGGAGTCCAAAGTTGGACAGCGTGAATGGTCGACGTAAAATATCTTAGGAAAGACTTCTTCTAATTATTTAATTGAGGTGATAAGATCTTAAATACTTTCTAGCCATAGTAAATAATACTTTAATTCTTACGTTAACACGCGCATTAATGGCAGTCATACATGAAGAAGCGATCCTCAAACCCAATACAGATCTTTCTGTTCCACATCTTATCTATCCAAACTTCGATGGAACTTGAAGAATAGGCTGTAACCTAATTCTTTCTTATGCAAAAGCCCAGATACGCTTCTCATACGAGAAACGAGCTAAAAATGGAGTGTTTAGCTTTAATTACGGCGATACGTTGGTGCTGTTGCTCACCGTAGAGAACACACAGGGCGCCAAGCACTGTCACACCACCAGAATACATAGTGACTGCGACCCAATTACCTCCTGAAGCAGAAAATATGGCCCCCGCTATCGGAGCTCCGGCCATTTGTCCTGATGCAAGATATAGTCTTTAGATAGCATAGGGAATTGAGTCGGAGAACTCACCAGGTGAATTCATCAGTACCATAAAACCAGTAATCGTCGACAGGGCTTGTATGCCGAAAAGCTCCGCACAAACCACAGGTAATAGACTGAGGAACCAGCATCCAACCAATCCGTTGAGAATCGAGAATACGATAATCGAGGCGTAAGTCTTCGCGAACGTCCATATCAGTAATTGGAAAAGGCCTCCAAAGAAGAACGACGAGAAGAAGATGTTGATGGGACCAAAATAGTCGGCCAGTCTACCTGCTAGAATCTACGAGAGGTCAAAAAGAAACACAGAGAATGATTGAGACGTTAGTTGGGAGACAATGCGCTTATCAGCGGGGAAATCTAATAATGCGCTTACGCGACCGATTCCAGCTGACGAGAAAGGTTATTTAGAAGATGGACAAACAACAAGCCGCTACAACACGTACCGCTAAAATTCATCACGACCAAGGGAATGACGGCCAGAATGGAATCCTTTCCGATTGAGGGTACAAACTGCTTGGTGTATGTGGTACTGAAATAGAAGGGTCCCTGATTGGTATCTCTGTCTTAGCAAAATGCTCACAGATCGGTGAAGCCCTTACAAGATAGCCAAAGATGCCAATAAAGACGCTGATAGCGACACTGTAAAATCTTCCATCCACACGTTCAGGCAACCATCGTTTCTTTTCTTCCGCCTGACCCGGACGTACTCGCTCTTTTAGTAAACACAACGCAATGATCCATATTACAGCATGCATAGAGCTGTAGATCAGCATTGTCTTTCTAAATCCCACAGTTGATAGTCTACGAAAAAAGACAGTCGTAAACATTTCGGAGACGGGGATCAAAACGCACAACTTACAATTTACGGACAATGAGCGAGGAGACACCACCACCTATTCCTGACCCACTGACCGCCAGGCCAGTGGCAACGCCTCGTTTCTCAAGGAACCACTGCGACGGTAGAGACATGTATAGCGGCATCCCTAAACCGTGGGAGAATCCCAAAAAGATGCCTTGAAACAAGAAGACATGATAGAGTTTTGTGGAGAATGCGGAAGCAAGGAGACAAGGATAAGCGAGAAAACTGCTCAGGATCAGGAGCCTCTATACGGAACAGCTGTTAAGACCGATCAAAAGAAATATATAGTGACCAATAAACCTTATAACCACTGCGTCGATGAATAAATCAGGCACAGGGTAAAACGAAGTGAAAAAAGCGGACTGACTATCGGTCTCCCAGGCCGCCTGACAAGTACGCGGTGCCGTTCATCAGCTGATGATGAAGGGATTCAATTTCGGTAAATAGTCAGGCACTATGTGAGAAACTGACGAAATTCTGAACGCCTCCGGCTAAACTGAGAATACTAAGGCTGGTTTCGGGGAACATGTATGTATGATAGTAATCTTGAAGAACACCCCAAACGAGGCCGTATGCCCTGGAGGAGGATGTCAGAATTCACACAGAAATGAGAACGGAACATAACTCACATGCACGTCGCTGCGAACATGAAGCACCCAAGGACTACTAACCACGCGCGCGTGCCGCCATCGGGATATCGTAATTCTAGAGGATAAGAAGCGGCCTCGTCGTTTTTCTCCTCATCGTGACCTTCATCCGCCTCCTCCTTGGTCACTTCCCTAGCAAGCGGACTCGAAACACTGAGCGTGACTTGGGATGGTACCAGCCGTACCTCGGCGGGCACATTGGACTGCACATTAGTCGGACTGAGAGAGGAAGCCATAGGTCCTTTCCATCTAAGTTTTGGGTCTCGTTGGGTAAAGGAGGAGGCAAGAAATAAAAGATAAGCACGAGGCCCCGGTGTATGGCTGGGACAAGTTTTACCCCCCTATACGTTTACACGGACCGGCCCCCGACATTTGACCGCTTTTGCTTGGAGCGAGCTGGGGCAAGGAAAACTTTTTTCCGCTTGTACATCGGGGGCGGTATTGACGCCGGTAATTCCGCCATGGGGAAATGTGGGGCCCCACCTTATGTTGGTTCCAACGAGAAGTCGCCAGTTGGAAAATGCACAGCAGCCCTTCAACGGCGCTGAGATTTGCGTTTTCGTTCAAGGTCTTGAACTTAAGCGCCAAATGTGGCTCAATGAGTTGCTTGAAAGATCCGACGGCAGGATACTTGCCGGTGCCTTAGACCTTACGGTAAAGGGGCTGTTCTCAGCTGTCAGACTCTTTCAGCATGTAGAGGAGAATTCATAGGACCAAGATAGTACGGTACCACGCTCGCATTACAGTATCCCTGCCACTGCATTCGAGGCAATTATTGAGGCCGCTCCGTTGTGTGTCACTTCCCCGTTCTGCGTAGAAAAAAAGGCGTTTATCGGCGGTGATCACTGACTCGGATTTCCACACAGTACCTACAAATGAAAACTCAGTTCTTAGACAGAGTGAATACGATGTTGGCTTCAAAAGTGCTTCGGCTCCCACTTGATGTGGTGCCTATTGCACTTGTCTGTCTGTAACTAGTAGAAAATTAGAGCAGGCAGTTAGGGTGGGCCTTTTACTACGTACGCATCTCGCAACGTCAAAGACGTAGACGTCACTGTAGGGAGCTGCTATCCCAGGGCTGATGGACATGCGGCTTCTCCACCTGACTAGAGACCGACATGCATAAGGAGTGCAGATGCATTCATGATTCCTTTGCTTGACGTATCACTATTGTTGATTCAGCTCGAGGACTGCGAGTTCGGTGGACCGTCTTTTACCGCCCGCAAGACACGCCATACTGCATTGCATACAGTCAGCATGCCGGCGATGCTGAGACATTGACTCAGAGAGAGGCAACCGTTTTACGGCCGATCCTTAGCCTTTCAATGAGGGTCCAATAGTCTTCTTCAGCTCACCATGATGCCTGTAGGACTGAGTCTGAGTAATGAAAGAAGACGCGCCGATCTTCATTTCGGGCGCAGCTAACATGGCTGTCTCCAAAAAATCGACACCTTTTCACAGATGGGAGCCGAGCCCGAGGGCAATAATGGAAAATACTGAGTAAGAGTCCAAGTCCAAGCCGTGCCGGTGTGAAATGGAATACAGATCGCAGTTTAGATTCTTTCCGTAACAAAAGTGGGGTCAAAACCTGGACTGTTCAAATGAAAGTCCGTTCGGTTTAGGTCGAAGAAGCAGAGAAGTACACGTAAGAAAAATAACGGAAAGAGCACACCCCACAAGCAAAGATGCAGTTCCAAAAATGCACTTAGATATGTTCCAGTCAGTTTTGCTTTGCTTTGAGAGACTCAGCAGGTGCAAAAGAAGGATCCTAAAGCAAGTGACGGTTGCAGTCGCGAACGCGCCTGGCCGGCACGTCATAGCCGGCGGCAGCTATTTGCCGGAGGGACCAAGCAGCCCCAAACAAATGCTTTCTAAGTTCACAGCTTTCTTCATCTCCACCACGTCCTCCGAAGGCAGAGCCTATTCTGACGACAAGAATGGTTCGTATACGTTCTTTTTGTATTGTGGTGAATGAATTTTAGATAATTCTGCCAGGCATCTCTCCAATTTTGCAAGGAATGCAATAATCTTCTCTATCCCAAGGCGGACCAACAACGACGAGTCATGGTCTATGCATGCAGAATCTGCGCTTATGATGATGAAGGAGAGAACCAATGCGTGTACAGAAATGATTACTTGACTGTTACAAAGTACGTCACGATATTACAATGCCGATTCAGAGTTAACGTCAACGGTGCTTTTAGAGAACAAGTTGGTGTTACGACTGACCTTGGGACTGACCCGACACTCGTGCGTTTATTGCTTGTAGACGCACCCTGATCAATCACTATATCTGCCAGGCTCACTCAAACCTTCCCTGTCCCGAATGCGGGCATGAGGAGTAAGCTTATTTCCCAGGATTTCCAGGGCCACCGGTGCTGATGACTTGTTGCGTTGTAGTGCGGTCTTCTATCAGGACCAGTCAAAAAGAAAGGAGACACGCATGATCCTTTTCTTCGTCTGTGTCAAATGCAATCATAGCTTCACGGATCCTAGTTTGGCCATTGATAACAGGCCAGATGCAGCCGGTGATGGTTGATCGAAGTTGTATTTTTTTTCTCCATAGGAACCGTGCCATACATGCGCTCGGTGTACATTAGACGTATAAAATTTCATTCGGCTTACTAGCGGCTGACTTTTAGGTGAGATCGTTACGGCCTCAATTTGACATCAACCCTTTGCAACACCGACCTGACTACTCTCGTACGACGCCATTATACATTCTCAGGACTTTTCCTTGTCCTTTTTTCAGATGTGTACCTGTATCCAACTGTGGTGGGTTACAGTCGCCGGTATGAATCGCCATTCATCAAATAGGACACCAGCGTTCACCGCTCCTCATGTTTTCCTCCTTGGCTTCTCACAAAATACGATCATGCCGTCGGCTTTTCTTTTAATGATACGGCTAACCACCCCCAATTGGTAAATATCCCATTTCACCTTATGTATTCTTAGTTATCGCCCGCTTCTCAAGTCACGAGTAATCGTGCCGGGACTTAGGGTCTGGCGGGGTTTATAAGCGCAGTGCCGGTATAAAACCGTCAAACATCCAGGGGACGGGGAGTTGTGCCATGCAGACTCCATCATATGTGGATACGGAAGGCCCCGATGATCACAACCACGAGAAGAGCGACCCAGGATCCAAGGCGGAGGAGCCTCTCACCGCTACGTCTGAACCTGTGTCTTACCCGGAAGGTGGACTGAGTGCATGGAGGACTATTTGTGGCGTGTATGTATGGTCGATTCGTCTGATATTAAAAGGCGACGAACTAATACGGTCTTAGTGCCCTTGTACAATTTTCCACATTCGGGTGAGTGCTTATCATGAAGCCATTTAACGAGGTGGATGAATGGTCGTATATTTAATCAGGTATACAAATGCTTATGGTGTTTATAATGGTAAACTCCTTCGTACAATCTTGCGCGGCTCATTCAAATTTTTCGCAGACTTTTATGTGCGAGAATATATGACGAATATATCCTCATCTCAGTTGAGGTAATAAGCATTCATCGTTCATTGTTGTCTGCCGCCTCTTAATGACGATCCCGTTAGTTGGATTGGGAGCGTGCAGCTCATGCTTGTGCTCTCCGTTGGTCTATTCAGTGGAAGGCTATATGACACCGGGTACTTGTGAGCGGTCTTGTTTCCCTGACATTTCCGAACCTTTGTGCTGACGTGTGTGTGTGTGTGTGTGTGTGTGTGCCTCAGCTATCATCTAATGATAGGCGGCGCCTTCTTGTTCGTTTTCAGTCTCTTCATGTTATCGCTCACGGCACCGGGACAATACTATCAAGTCCGTGCAGTTATGTACCTTGACATGCAAGCTCTCTGATGTACACAAAAGGTTTTTCTTGCCCAAGGTATCGGAGCCGGCCTCGCGATAGGCATCATGTACATTCCGGGTATCGCAGTAGTGTCGCACTATTTTCAGCGTCGTCGAACGTTTGCCATGGGTATCGCAACTTCGGTAATCAATATTCTGGGGTGTCGTTATGATAAATGATTAACGAGAGCTTAGGGGTCCGGCTTGGGAGGTGCGGTCCAGCCAATTATGTTGAACCGGCTATTTTATGGCCGTGTGGGGTTCCATAATGGTGTACGAATCAGCGCTGCGTTCAACGCCGGGGTCTTGATTATCGCTCTACTACTCATGCGCACGAGACTGCCACCGACCCCGAGGAAAGATGGCAGCACGCTTTTACACATGCGTGCATTCTTTCGAGAGGGTCCGTATATTGCTACCGTCGTGGGGTAAGCGATCGCTCTTGTGTTACCAGTGGTCGCGAATCGTCTTGACCGTTATGCAGAACTATGTTTATCCTTGCTGGCCTCTACTTTCCCATCTTTTTTCTGCAGTTGAGCGCTATCAAAAACGGCATCAACGCCAACTTGGCGTTCTACGTGGTTAGTAATTTTTATCTTCATTGCTAACTCGGATCGATCGTAACAATGCGACAGCTACCAGTACTCAACGCTTTCACAATTCTTGGTCGAGTCATACCCTCCCTGTTCGTTCATCGAATGGGTATTTATAACTTTATGATACCATGCGTAGCATCGTGCTCTGTACTGATATACTGCACGTTGACGGTGAAAACAGTCGCCGCTACTTATATTATCGCCCTTCTTTATGGTCTCTTCGTTGGTGCTTGTACGTCAACTTTACTTCAACAGGAGACTACCACGACTCATCCATCTTGGGACTTAGATCTCGGCTTCCTAGCGCCCATGGTTGGCTCGTTGGCTAAACGAGATTCAGAGATAGGTGCACGTATGGGCATCTGCTTCACGTTCACTGGTGCGTTTTCCGAGTCATTTAAACCTCACCGAAACCCTCATTCTTCGTTCCAGGTTTCGGAGGTCTCGTTGGTACGTTATTTGTTATTATAGCACAACTGGAGCCAACTTACTAAGCCCATACAATGGCAGGGAATCCTATTTCTGGAGCGTTGTTGACTTCATCCTATATATGGTGGCGACCCAGCCTGTTCGCTGGGTTGTGCGTCACATGTGGAGCCATTCTTTTCACATTTGCGCGCTTTGGCGTGGCCAGACAGAAGGGTACTCACAGAGTGTAATCTGGAAGCGGACTGGAAAAATGTTGTTGTCGTGATGGAGTTCGCGGTGGTTTATTTATCTAGACCTTATCAGGTAGGGTTCGACGAGATGTGTGTTTGACGATTCGGTGACTGTAGTGCTTACATGGTAGTACCCAATGAGAATAGGCATGATTCAGATCCGCCAAAAGCCTTGGAGTTTTAACTTAATGGGTAGCCTCAAGAAATTTTTTCATGGAACTCTTGTTCAAGAATAAAAGCAAGAGTGATACCCTTTGTGGACAAGGCGGGCCAGACTACGAAGGTCTAAAATATGAAACTGGGAATAGTGGGGTGTTCCTATCAACCAGGAACCAGCCGCCGATGGATCCGTCTGTCCAACCATCATGTCCATTTATCCAGTCAACATGGAATTATTCGCTGGGGTGATCGATAGCCTTGATGTTGGCGATGTGTCTTGTCAGAAGATGCAGGTGGCCTTGGACGTTATGAATAGAAAACGTTTACTGGGCGAAGGTAGCGTGGGCGCATACAGCAAACTCGCTGTCTTTAACCCATATACCCTGCCGTTGAGGCCATCGCTGCGGCTGCTGGTGTCCAGGGTCGCTTCAGTGTGGAGCATGAGTCTACCGCGGGTTCCCAAGAAGGTGGTTTCAATATCGCTGTCTACTGAGGTTGATCGAGGACGGATGCGCTCGACGGAAGTCTATTCTAGTTTGTTCCGACAAGGAAGAGGCTTACTCTGTTTTCAAAGGTGGAGGCGCTGAGTCGACCATTCAGTTTGGATGGTCAGTAAGAAGCACACTGCGCTCAGGCCATGGCCATGAAAGCGTGTATGATGCTTCGCCGCTGTCTCATTCAGTGCATCTAGCTCTACAGACGGTGACTGCAGGTACATAGTACGGGTTTTTCTTTGCGGAACACATCGCAATTACAGCGCAACCGGGTATGTTCTATTATTCGATCTTCTATTCTAGCTGTCTGACCAGTTGTTTCTAGTACTTACGCTAAGCCGATCCGTATAGTCTAGTACGGGTTCTGCTTCTTTCACCTGCTTTCAAACTCCAAAATGAAGCCCTCCCGTATCCAGACCTGCTCGCAGTTTCGGACTAGCATACCAACCCAGCCATTTCTTGTAATACTCGTCGCTATGTTATGTGCCAATTTACTTCCAGGTCGTAGCGTCGGGAGTCCCCCTCCTGATCTCTTGTTGGTGATATCCGATGATCACGGAGAAAGATGCAGAAGTGACAGCGAATCGGAATACATAAATGGGAGATGAAGATGATCCAAGTGGCATACCGATTCGAGTAAAAAAGTCGCAACTCACGCTGTACGTGTTCTCATCTATGCCGACAGTAGTAAATGATACTGACGTATCTTGCTAGATGATATTGTACCATCCGTGCTTGCGCTCTAGCTGGATCATCAAATATTCCAGTGGCCAGTACCAAAAATTCTGGTAGATCCTTACTACACCACCAATCATTTATGCATCTCTGCGGTCGTGCTCTTCTCCATCAATCAGTGTTGAGACGGTGAATATCGAAGAACGGATTCGGGTCAGTCGATAGAGCAGTGTATGGAGGAGCTGGCCGAAGGCGAGGGAAGTTGAGTTTATATCCGAGGTCCACTCGAGAAAGGTTCTACTTGTATGCATGAGACTCAAAGATTATCCCCTCGTCCTCGTGTACTACGAGACGTTTGAAAGGCCCGTCGGTGGCTAGTTTGGATTCTTGCTCGAGGATGCGGGGATAACTTAGAGAAATTTTATGGTACGAGCTGGAGCGATGTAAAGGGCCGAGGGACACGAAACGCGAGCGAAGGGCGAGGCATTTTATTATGAATCAGTGTAAGGCTTGATTCATGATTCATTAATTCGAACCTTTCAGGCAAGAACTTACCGACTCTTCGGTGGAGAAATCACTCTTGAAGTGTTTGGCATAGTGATCTCGACCTGGCGCAAACCACAGAAGGTTTCAAATCTTTGATTTTGAACCACCGGAAATGCACCATTCAGCGGGATGAGTGCGGGGAGTTACATTTACAAGATCTATTAGACGTATAATGAAAACATCATACGGCCTGGGTTAAAGAAGCAATAGGTCCAGACCGGCTGCCGATCGGCTGGAGACGGCTTACCTGCCGGTCAGCTATTTTGGTAGGGTGCCGAATGGCGGCCAAATTCACTTTAAAAATAGACTAGGTTGGTTGAACGACTTTTTGAGTTTGACTCGCACGACATAACGACATATAATAGCACCCCTCGGACCTACTTCAAACCATGAATACCTCATGTCCCGCGAACATCCAAGAATTTCTGGCGTTCCTTCCCACCCGACCTAAATCAGAGGCGAATTCTTATTCATGCGAGTCGACTTCAACCAGTGAAGAGGCTTATACCGCTCAAGATGTAGCCCCTCCAGGGAACAGTCCTATCCCCTGCCTACTAGACCCGACTCTCATCCCCAGGTTGATGGAATTTAATGGAGTGATCAATAGCCTCGACGTTGGGGACGTGTCTTGTTAGCGGGACTTGCGACGTATGAGAGCGACATCTATCCGGAATGAGGCTGACGTGAGCGAGTACACATCCGAATTTATTTTAGCGGTAGAGCCCGTCGTCCAGGCCATTGCTGGTCCCGTCAGTGCGTCGGCTGGTTCCAGGATGGCGACCTCAATCTTAGCGTTGAGCGACAAATCGATAGCGAGGATGGCCGCCCTTACTGAGTGCCCATTCAATTCTGTTCCAGCAACAATGAGGCTTATCCCTCGTTGCTTTCAAATGCGGAGGCTTTGAGTCGGCCCCTGGGGCTTGATGCGACAAAGAAACAAATTGGCGCTAGAGCCATGGTTGTCAAGATCTGTAGTCTTCGTCGAGGAGCGTATGATACCCTTTCACACAACACAGCTCGCCTTGCAGATGGCTACCGCAAAGCAGAGTATGGGTTTTTCTTTGCTGGATATATCGCAATTGCAGCACAGCTAGGTCCGATTTTTATTGTCCCGTCTCCTAGTTAGCTGTCTTACCGGCGAATTCTGACAGTGAAAAACTTATTGAACAAAGAGGTTTGTTCAGGGTCAATGCAAGATTGATGTCACCTTGACGCGTCGTGTCTCACTTGTCTTTCTTGTCTTCGAAGTTGTCTTTGTTTTGTTTTCACTATATATTTGCACTGCGAGCAGTTCTTTTCCCTTACCCTCTCACTCACTAGTGGGGTGAGGGCCAATGCATCTGCGTGGCATGACCGAGTCCTATGTGTCTTCTTTCCATTGGGTACGCGAGATTTCATATATTGGCCGGCCTGTATATGAACATGCCACGGTCTTTGCCCATCTTGTCCTGCATCATGTCAACATCGTCAATATCATCCTCCTGTAATGAATGTCTGCCTAATGCAATGCCGTTGTTAAAACATACTTGGTTCTCCACATCTACGAATCATGCGGTGAAGTGTCACGCTCCATAATACACAATACCGGCCAACTGATACTCTGTCAAATTACCAAGGGCACACCAATCCTGAAGGAAACTCTGTGAGCATTATCATGCAGACATACGATGCTCGGGACTGACTGCATGTTCCAAGGAGCATGAGAGACAAGATCTGTTTTATGAACCAGTCGGTGACATTATCGAGACTGGGCAGCAAGAGGTTCGAAGAGATGATAGAGGACTAAAAGGTATGCAGCACACAGGAGAAAGAGTTTTTCAGTAGGATCAATTGCAGGAATGAACGCCGAGGCAGGTGCAAGGGTATGAGGCATTGGAACTCTTGAACAGATACTTCCGACCAAAAGGGAGGAATGATGCCACGAAGGAAATTCCCATGAGCGTGGACGTCAACCCAAACAGTATCCTGAAGAGATTGGCAGAAAGTAACCTGGTTTACACAAAGGACGAGGTGAGCTATTTCAGGGGTATAATCAAGGGAGGCAAGAAGTGAGCATTCCAACTGCAAATGGTCCCCATCTGACTGGGGGTGACAGTTACATAAAAATGAGGCTGCATATGTTCAAGATAGGTGACATAGTAGAAGCGCAACACTCCGTCATATTCGTGAACTGCCGAGGAGGCAGCATAAAAATGAAAATGATATTGTGAGCGATAGCGCTTGTGAACTGCGACCACATTACAGTAATCCACCGGTAATGAATGAATAAACGCACAAACTAACATTATTTCAGAACACTGCAAAGAACAAGAGTACTGCGAACGACAAGGACCCACGACACATGCGAAGATGAAGCGGAGAATTGGGTTCGAGTACGAAGAGGAAGAGAGAGAGAGAGAGAGGAAGCAAGTGCAGGAGAGAGACGGGAAGGTATGAAGTAGAAGGGGAAGAGGCGTAGATGGAGGCACATTTCAAAGGAGAGAAAGAAAGAGATATTCAAATGACTGAGTAGGCTATGTGGAAATAGACGAAGTAGAGATGACAAATGATCCAACTGATGGTACATTGAGAAAGAGCAGAAACCAACGACGAGAACATAAAGAGAGAAAGACGGAAAAGAAAAGCAAAAAAGGAAAGTTAAATCGGAAGAAAAGAAAGAAAGAAAGAAACCGGCGGGAGAGGAGGAAAGCGACGTGAAAGAGAAGCCAAACGGAAAGTAACGGGAGAGGCAAACGGATAAAGATGGCATCGAATAGAAATATTCCCACGGTAAGGCCAGGTAGATGAGTCGGCAAAAGCCGATAAGGTTTGATACCTCGAATAGAATTTCCCACGATAATTCAAACTAGCATAATAACCGACACCTATATACATAGGACTCGGAACTGCTCGCAGATACGTACGCATACTCCTTAGTCACCCTCTCACTCACTGCTCGCAGTCGTACACGCAGTGAAAATTTTCTCTCCCACCCGCCTCCCTAGTTACAATCTTCTTCTTTCTTTTGTCACTACTACTTATACTATGTATACTCCGTAGTTGGCTTGGGTGTCCCCTTTCGGGCGCTCGAGAACTCGGTCTCACAATGTCGTCATTGGTCCCAACCTCACCCTCTCGCATGAACATATCCTCGAGAATCCGCTTTTGTTTCCTCGCTCTCCGCTCGGAAGAGATCCAGGCATTGATCGGGGCGCACAGGCCCGGTCGCGCCGCCCGTCTTTCCCAACGCATCGAAGTCCTTCTACCGGATCTATTCTGTCTCATTACAGCTGTCGTACTACTGGCAACAGACGGGTTTGAGTGTGTTATATATTTGATACCACCGACGTCGCTTGCATCGCCATATATAGGGTAAAAAATACTTTGTTGATGTATTTCCCGCGATTTCGCAGTACCGTCTCACCATTCGGTGGGTTCTATTGTTGATGCTCCGCGAATTTTTTGAGATTCGGACGTGGCCGGCAATTGACGATTTGACAGTGTTGGCGTCGGTGCCAGTAGCGAACCTCTTTCAGGTCACAGGAAGGAGTAAACGATAGGATATTCTCAAATATCGGGTCAGTTAATTATTTTCTGGCAGTACGCTCTACTGATCCGTCTCGTCCGGAAGGGATGTTACTTCTTTCACCCGTTTTCAAACTCCAAAACGAACGTCTTCCAAACTCCGGGCGGCAGTTCGCGCTGCTTCAGGCTAACATCAAATACGAGCCTTTTCTTGCGGTCATCGTGGCTACGCTATGCGCTAATCTACAGCGTCAGGATTCTGTCGTTGGAAGAAAGGTCAGACGCAGACGAGGGCGGTGGAGGCGTCAACGATGATGAAGAAAACATTGACGGGGAAAGTGATATTCCTGCCTTTTCTCTGCAAGTCACAACCGACGCTATAGGTGTTTTCATTTATCCAGACAGTAAAATGTACCGATACTACATCTTGTTAGATGATATTACAGCATCCATACTTGCACTCTAGCGACATCCATCGCATTTCTGTCCATCAGAATATCCCAGCGGCCAGTACCAAAGATTCTAGTCTGCCTCCGAGTCCGAGTCAACAACCATTCATGCATCATTGTCGTCGCGCTCCTCTCGCAGAACGGATTCGGATAAGTCGATGGAGGTGCCGTGTCAACGACGAAGAGGGATTGCGTATCATGAAGTTCGTGTCGGAAGTCCACTCAAGCATGGTCCTGCACGAGCTCTATATGTACGACGTGCCTCTCAAGGAGTGTTCCCTCGTCCCCGTGTGTTACGGGGTGTTCCAAAGGCCTGCCGGTGGCTGGTTTGGTTTCCTTGGGGGACAGCCTGGAAAAATTTTATGGTACGGAATGGAGCGACGTAAAGAGGGGCATCAATGCGAGTGAATGGTGAGGCATCTTATGATGAATCAGTGTGAGGTTTAAAATTCAATTCATTGACACCCCAACCTTTCACGCACATGCTTATTGATTCGGTGGAGAAACTACATCCTTTGGATGCGTGGCATGGTGACCTTGAGCCGCGGAAGGGTTCACGTTCTTTGATTTTGATCATTCGGAAATGCACTGTTGCGAGCGGGCTGAGTGTGATGAGTTGCGAGATCTGTTGGACGTGTAGACTTGTTTGGGGTAGGCACACGAACACCTGCTGTGTAGATAGATGTTCGGAATGTTGTGATTATAGATGGGACATAGAATGTATCATGGTTAGCAGGCACCCGTAACAGATAGAATGATCAGAGACCTGACGGGTCTGTATTCATGCTCCCAGTCGGAAGTGTTGTACAAGACGCACGATCCAAGCGGCTGGGTCTTGTTTCGGAAATGAAATGGTTTGCCAAGGAGACTGAAGAATGAAGAAGGGGAACATTCCAATGAGAATGATACCAATAGTCGAGTGTTACAATCAGAATCACACAAACGAGGATTGGATGAAATCGATCCATCATTTAAAAGGTACTGATATAAATAAACGAGCTCGAAAGGGCCAACGAAAGGGCAAAAGAAGACGAAGTAGAATATATGGTCACATTTTTACAAAGCGAGGGCGACGAGGCCAATGGCGGTGAGACCCACAAATGCATTGGCACCAACGGCAAGGGCACCATTGCTAGTAGACGAGGTCCTATAATAGCAGAACTTAGCCGAGATCATTTTGATGCTAGAAAATGAATCACGTACGAGGATGCTGATGCTGATGCTGACGCCGCCGTTGCAGATGCTGATGCAGAGGCAGAGGCAGAAGCAGACGACGAAGAGTTCGGGGAAGTCGAAGTAGCCGAAACGGCTTCTGATGACAATGTGACGCCCTGAGAGAAAAAGAAAAAGATGAACACTGATGAAAAAGATGACAAGAAGCATGGGTGGCGTACCGCGGCAGCGCACAGGGCCTGGGCGACGGAGAGAGCGGTCGTAAGGTCGTCTCCTGAGCAAGAGCTAGTAATGCAAGACTGGACACTGCTGACAAAGTCGGCGTTCTTGCAGAGACACGCGTTGTCTGAGGTGCTACAGTTGCCGTAGTTGACGTTGGAGCCGGTGATGCACTGGGTCGCGCAGCCTGAAAGAAAACTGAGGTAAGGACAAAGATGCGTTTGTTTAAAGGAAAACGCGCGAACGCACTGGGTAGCTGGCGGGATTGGAGACTGGCTGCTGAGGATCCAGCAACGAGAACGGAGAGAGGGAGAGCAACGAGTGAGAATCGCATGGCTGGTGGTAGATGGAAGGGAAGGGAAGGGAAGGACGATGGGAAGGAAGTGTAGAAAAAACTCGAAGGAGAGCTTGGGCCTGTCAGTGGGGTGACAAGGGTTTTTATACGGTAGCGACAAAGGCACCCGGAGACAAAGGGGAATTAGAGAACAATGAGACGCGTGGGAAAGGCAGCATAATGAACGATTTGTCTTTTTCTTTATGCAGCACAATGGGCGTCTTGAATAGAAATAGTCTTGAATGAAGATTTGCGTTTGTCCGGATATGGACATTGGTTTGTCTCGTAGTGGACATACTTGGACAAATAAAGCGCACTGCTCTTACGCTTGGCAGAAGGCGCCCAGCATTCAGACTATCGGCCAATCGGGAGGGGATGAATTTTTTAAAGTCGAATTGCCGAGTGAACAGCATCCGAGTCGATACCGAAAACATTTGAAGCACACAGACAGCTTGGTTCCTCCAAGGAGATAGAAAAGAATATATTACGAAGTTCCTTGTAATAATACTTTCTGCCGTGAATTCGCCCTTTGATGCAAGAAACCCAGGATAGCCCTTCTATTGTCCCTATACAGAATTAGTACCAGGAGTGCCAGAAAAAAGCAACCCAACTCACCTATTACGATCCGGCGTCACCTTGAGCCCCAGAGTCTCCATAACCTCCATCCTGACCTTCCTCGCGTCTTCCAGCGTTGGCTTCCGATTGAGCTTGACCCGGTTGAGGGCAGCCCTCTGCGCCTCGATGATCTCTGCCAGTCTCGCCTTCCCTGCCGTCTTCTTCTGCTCCTTGAGGAACGCCGGGGATTTTCGTAGCTGAGCATTAGCAGGCAGCGGTGTCCGTATTGCATCTAATACGCCGACGCGTAGCCGCATTCCTTCGTAGCTGAGTTCTGAAGGCTTCATGCCCTTGGTGAGGTAGTTGTCAAGTCCGCCGTGCTACGCTCCCGTCAGTCATCGGCATAGACTTCTCAGCAAAGATAACGCACCTTCTTTATAGTCTTCAAGGCTCTCGTAGTGACCTTCAACTTGACGGACTGGTTGAGGGCATCAGAAAAGATACGTTTCGTCTGGACGTTAGGGAGCCATGTCCTGCGTGACTTGTGCTTGGAAAACGGGACGTTGTTGCCGTATTGCTTGGACTTGCCTTGGAAGATACCAAGTTGTGACCGCTTGAAAGGTTGCGATAGGACCGCGACTTTCAGGACAGACAGAGTAGGTCGCATTGGAAGGAGGGAAAAGGCGCTGGGGTTAGGGTTCGCTGACCGGCCCGCCGCGAACTTCGGCACGTCCGAGTCAACTTAGCTGAATATTGTTGTGGAATTTTTTTTCTTTACGCACAGGCCCGTATCTATGCATTGATAATTGTTGGGATTTGGCAATCCGGCATCATGCCGAAGTTGCTTATTAAGGTAGAAGTCGTAGGAAAAGCGTGGAAAGTTCTAGTAAAAGTACATTTAGTATAAAAGTAGGTACTGTAGCGTAGATCCTCATGCGTTTGCAGAGCTCAGCCAAGCGCAATACTATTGGCTTGCTACCGCGCATGTGACACTGGGAACGAACCGATACCCCGTTTTCCAACAATAATCACGTACTGTCTGATGTCTGTGCGTCCAAGATCTCAGCTTCTGGCTCTCCACACATCCTGTTGACAACGATGCAACTAGACTCGTAATTGTCTCTCTAGACACGATTGACACTTGACGTTGCAAGCAAGACACTTTCTTGCTTACACGTCAAGTGTGATCAGAGAGATGGTTGCCAGTCTACGATGCAACCTCGACCGTCCAAAAAAAAAACTTGAACCCTTCCACGGTTTCCGTGACTCAAGGTCACCGTGCCAAACGCCATTCTCTGCTTTTGCAGCAACCATCTGTAGTGCAAGCTGCATCGAGGGAGACAGCAACTCCGAGCCAATATGACTCTACTCGATAAATAAAATACCAACTTTCTCATCAAGTCTGGGTAGCCGACTCAGATCCTCCGCCTTCTCAAATAAGGCTTATTCTCATCAGAACAAACTGCCTGCCGAACGAATCTATCATCAACTTGAAGCCATTCTTGTTCACGGTCGAGGTCTGAATGCACAGGCTCATACACCATACACCATACTGATGCGCCTAGCCTCAGTGATGGCCTCTACCGCTGGAATGGCGTGGCCAGCATACAAGCTTCACTTCAGCTTCCGAGTCAGTGAAAGGCATCCTGCATACCGGCAAGACACGCCGCCAACGACCAATCCACCTCCACCGAGGAAATTCTTCAGCTTTGGGATCAATTGAGAGTATGGTCGGCAGTAGATGGGGCAGTGTAAACCTCAGTTAATATTTCCGAGTAGCAGTTGAGGAAGAAATGTCAGAAATTATTGAATGTGCTGGACATGAGTATCAGGTAGGTCCGAGGGGTAATATGTCATGCCATTCATCTGAGATCCCAAGAGCCTAGTCTATTTTCAACGACAACCCGCCAAAATAGCTGACCGGCAAGTATACCGCCTCTAGTCGAGCGTGTGAGGTTTAATTTTATATGTCTAATAAATTTTGCAACTCCTCGCACTCATCCCGCTGGCAACAATGCATTTCTGACCATCCAAAATCAAAGAACCTGAACCCTTCGGTAGTCAACGCCACATTCCGCGGTTCGATGTCACCGTGCTTCACACCCAAAGAGTGTAACTTCTCCACTGAATCAACGAACCCCTTCCTGGAAGGTTCGTGTAGTCCCAATAGTACGCATGGATGAGGTAGATAGATTGCTCACCATTGCATCGCGGTCACACCCCTCTTTACATCACCCCAGCTCATCCCATAGATTTTCTCTAGGTTGCCCCCCACGTCCTCCAGCAAGAAACTAAACCAGCCGCCGACAGGCCTTTGGAATATCCCATAACACACGGGGACGAGGGAACAGTCCTTGAGGGCCACCTCTTACATATAAAGCTCACGCAGAATCATAGTCGAGTGAACCTCCGATATAAATTTGACGATACGCAATTTCTCTTCGTTGTTGACGCGGCACCTCCATACGCTGCTCCATTGACTTGCGCTAATCCGTTCTACAAGAGTCACCGTGTCAACATCGGTTGATGGAATGTGAGGAGCACGGTGGCAGAGCTGCATGAGGGATTGTTGCTGTAGTGATTGTCTACTACTAGATTCCTCGCTACTGGGTGCTGGAACACTTTGACTGTCCAAGAGCGTATCCTGATCGACATGGATGCGGTGTATGTCACTAGAGCTCAAGCACGGATGCTGCAATATCATCTAGGAAGATACATCAGTGTCTTCCCCGCCCAAACAAACGAAAGCACGTACCGCATTAGTTACGACTTGAAACTTAGGATACCAACTTTATCACTAGAATCAGTATATTCTTCAAGTTCACTATCACTTCCATCTCCTTTGTCGTCTTTGTTGGGTAACGCCTCCAACAAGAGATCAGGAGGACTTTCGACGGTATGACCGGAAAGTAGATTAGCGCAATAGCATAGCAACTAGTATCGCAAGAAACGGCTCTGTGGGTATCTTAGCCTGGAAGTGCGTCAGCGAGTTCGGATACGGAAGGGTCTCGTTTTGGAGTTTAAAAACAGGTGAGAGGAGTAGAATCCTTCCGGGACGAGACGGATCGGGAGAGCGTACTAGAAAGGGCTGGTAAGACATCCAGGAGACGACCGGGAAAGAAAAAAAGCCCACCCAGCTGCGCTGCGATTGCGATATAACCAGCAAAGAAAAATCCATACTCTGCTTTCGCAGCAACCATTTGTAGTGCAAGCTGTATCGAATGAGACAACGACGAAGAATGATACTCGATGAACCACTAACCTTCACAGCCATGGCCTTGGCACCAGTTTGCTTCTCAGTGGCATCAAGACTGAATGGCCGACTCAACTCCTCCGCCTTCTCAAGTAACACCGAATAAGCTCTATCTTCCTCGGAACAAACCACTACAGGCTCCCATAAAACGCGTCCGTCCTCGAGCCATTTTCGTACCACGGTGACGTCAAAGTCACCTTGAACCTCGCTGACAGCCTGTTGTTCCACACTAAAACGACCTGGAAGACCGGTGGCCTCAGCAATAGCCTGAATGATAGGCCGTATCGCTGAAGTGACGTGACTGCTGTACCTACTCATGTCGACTTCAGCTTGGAAAGATACATCACTCATAGCTTCCAAGCATTCCTGCATCGACTGACAAGAGACACTGCCGATGTCAAGGCTTCTGACCAACCCAACGAGGAATTCCATCAACCTTAGTATGAGAGTAAGATCTGGATGGCAGTAGATGGGACGATCCTCTGCAGGGGCTACATCTTGCGCAGTATAGACGTCAGTTGAAGTCGGGTACGTCTCTGAGTCCAGCCAAGGTCGGGCAGGAAGGAATGTCAAAAATTCCTGGATGATGGCAGGACATAGGGTATCCATTGTGTTGGTGATGGTGGCGGTGTGAAGGGCTCCTGCGAGTCAGACAGAGAGACAGAGGTCAACCTAGTCTATTTTTCACGCGAGTTTTCAAAAATTTGCTTTCGGCACCCAATACCGAGACCTCAAAGCGACCATATGTTTTTGTTTCGGATTCGTCTAGGATTTCTTGGCAGTGTCGGTACAACATCTAGCTTGCTTTATGCGATTTCGTATCGTGGTCCTTGGTATCCTCTTCATCCTCCTCAATGTCCTCCTTTTTCGGTTCATCATCCTTCCCCTCGTAATCCTCCGCGATACGACCAATCTCCTTGACCAGCCCTTTCTTTTCCGAAACAAGATCCAGCCACCTATCGATATCCAAACCATGCGCTTTGTACAAGGCCTCCCGGCGCGTCGATATTGAGCTGTCCAGCACTGACGAATACGAAACCTCCCTTCCTCGATACAAAAACCTACCAAAAGTCAGATCATTCTTCCAAATAGACACACACCATCACACTCACCACAAGTACCCGCAAATCACCGTCGACAGCCCCGACAAGTACGTTACAGGTTCCATCACGTCCCATCCATAATCCCAGAATGTCAGACGCGCAACGATGCCCCAATACGCCACGAGCATCCCGAATCCCCCAATCGCCATACGCTTCGCACCACGATGGGCTTCCTTGTCGCACGTCCGTTTAATTTCATGCATAGATTCTAGTTGTGCGTTGATAATAGCCAGCCTACGGCGAAGGAAGACTGTGCGGTCTGCAAAGGTCGGGACACGCACGGAGATAGCGCTTGTTTCTTTCCCTTCGTCGTTGGTGAAGCATATCCGGAACTTGGCTGAACGTGCTGCATCACGGATAAAATCTCCGATGTCGGTTGAGTCTGACCATTGGTAGGGGCGCTTGGACACGGCCGCGAAGCTTTGGAAGCTTATTCGAGCAGGTATTGAGTCGGACTCGGTGAGGGAGCTTAGAATGAGCCGGCTAACGTGGGAAAGAGGTTGGGCGGGGTGCAGTAGAATAACGGTGGGCGGTTTATTTGAGTTTGGAATTGGAATGATGAGCTTGAAAAGGTGTGAAGAAGTCGGCAAAAGTTTCCCTAAAGACTGTAAGCACGATAATCCCCAGCTTTGATGAAGAACACGCTTACCCGACCCAGGCGATACACCCTCCAGTTCGTCTGCTACATCGCCATTCTCCCATTTTGTGTTTGCCGGCGCTCCAGCTAGGAACTGCGCGTGAGCTACCTGGATTCCTTCCTGCGAGCCTGGTGCAGCACTGAGACGTCGAATCGTCCTGGGAATCAGCGGTGCACGAAAGGGTACTAAATGGGAACGCAGAAATGGTACCCTACACAAGGAATAGAGATTGAACATGACGGTGGAGAAACTAGCTCCATCATGGGATGGAGGTCCTAAGGCAGGACGCGTCAATGACATCATCTGACTTCCCTCATTTCGTTATGTAATCAAAAAAGTGTTGGAGGCGGTCGTCGCCTTCAAATATGACTGAACCCGGCTGATCGAAAGAAATATAATATGCGAACCGTCCCACGCCCTAGCCAGACAAGTGGAATTTATCGTTGCTCTCTTTCTGCACTACCTGATCTGGCCTATTACCTACTCGCACGGCCAATGCCGCTCGGCTGGAGGCGGCATACTTGCCGAATTACGGCCAATTCAACGTCAAAAATAGACTAGGTGAACTGTTTGAGTATGACTCGCATGCCATATAACAGATACAACAGCACCCCTCAGGCCTATCTCAAACCATGGATACCCCATGTCCCGCAAACATTCAAGAATTTCTGACATTCCTTCCTGCCAGACCTGAGCTGCGCCTAAATGCGACTTCCGAAACTGAGGTTTACACCGCCCTAGATATCGCCCCTCCAGAGGACCGTCCCATCTACTGCAGGCTATACCCTGAGCTGATCCCAAAACTGAGGAGTTTCCTCGGTGGATTGGTCCATGACCAAGGTGTTGGCGGTGTGTCTTGCCGGTCGATGCAGCGGGACTTGCAGCGTATGAGGAGGATGTCTTTCCGGACTGACTCGGGAGCTGAAGTGAGCTTGTATGGCAGCCTCGCCATCTCAGCGGTAGAGCCTGTCGTTCAGACCATCGCTGAGGTTGCTGGGTTCACAGGTTGTATCAGTGTGATGTACGAACCTGTGTGTTCCCAGCGAGGTAACTTTGACATTGCCGTGGAACAAGAATGGCTTGATGACGGACTCGTTCGGCGGGAGCGCGTACTGGTTTGTTCTGACGAGGATAAGGCTTATTTGGTATTGCTTGAGAAGGCGGAGGATTTGAGTCGGCCACTCAGACTTGATGTGACCAAGAAGCAAACTGGTGCCAAGGCCATGGCTGTGAAAGTTAGTGTTCATCGAGTATCTTTCTTGGTCACTGTCTCACTCGATACAGCTTGCACTACATATGGTTGCAGCAAAAGCAGAGTATGGATTTTTCTTTGCTGGTTATATTGCAATTGCAGCGCAGCTGGGTGAGCTTTATATTTTCCGGTCGTCTCCTGGATGTCTTACCAGCCCTTTCTAGTACGCTCTCCCAATCCGTCTCGTCCGGGAAGAATTCTACTCCTTTCACCTGTTTTTAAACTTCAAAGTGAAACTCTTCCGTATCCAAACCCGCTCACGCAGTTCCAGGCTAAGATACCCGCCGAGCCGTTCCTTGCGATACTGGTTGCTATGCTATGCGTCAACCTACTTTCAACCGGTCATACCGTCGAGAGTCCGCCTGATCTCTTGTTGGAGGCGATGCCCGACGAAGACGACGAAAGTAACAGCAAAGAATATACTGATGTCTGGGAAGAAGCCGGTCAGGGTAGTATCCCGAGTTTGAGTTTACGAGTAGCAACCAATGCTGTACGTGTTTTCGTGTATTCGGACTGTGCAAGGTACTGATATATCTTCCTAGATGATATTGCAGCATCCGTGCTTGCGCTCTGACGACATACATCGTATCTATGCCGATCGCGATACTCTCTTAGATGGCCAAAGTATCCTAGCTGCCCGTACTAAAGACTCTAGTCTACCTCCGAGTCAGCAATCATTTATGCATCTTTGTCGTTGTGCCCCTCGGATCCCATCAATCGATGTCGACGCGGTGACTCTTGTAGAACGAGTTGGGGCGAATCGATGGAGCAGTGTATGGAGGTGCCGTGTCAACGACGAAGAGAAACTGCATATCATGAAGTTTGTGTCGGAGGTCCACTCAAACATGGTTCTGCGTGAGCTTTATATGTACGAGGTGGCCCTCAAGGACTGTTCCCTCGTCCCCATGTGCTATGGGATATTTCAAAGGCCTGTCGGCGGATGGTTTGGATTCTTGCTCGAGGATGTGGGGGACAACCTAGAGGAAATCTATGGTATGAGCTGGGGTGATGTAAAGAGGGGTGTGAGTGCGATGCAATGGTGAGCAGCTATCTATCCCATCCATGTATACCACTAATGGAGCTACGCGAACCTTCTAGGAAAAGGTTGATTGATTCGGTGGAGAAGTTACACTGTTTGAGTGTTCGGCATGGTGACCTTGAGCCGCGGAACGTGGCGCTGACCACAGAAGGGTTCAAGTTTTTTGATTTTGGACGGTCAGAAATGCATTGTTGCCAGCGGGATGAGTGGGGAGTTGCAAGATCTATTAGACGCGTAATGAAAACATAGATATTACCTACTCGCACGGCCAATGCCCCTTGGCTGGAGGCGGCGTACTTGCGGAAAAGGTATCGAGCAAGAGAAAGTGAGTGCCTCTTTTCGTATAGAAACTAGCAGCACCAAAAGTTTGAGTTCCTTCGATGACTCTCACGTATATCTTCAGTAGACAAGCTTCAAAAACGAAAAGTTATGTGTGTTAAGAGCCAGCAACAGGAAACTACGGATCGTAATAGACGCTTGCTTTACCGGTGAAAAGCGTCTGCATTATCCCTAAGGAACTCGATCTGTTCCTTCCGATAGTCATCCGGGATGACGGTGATATTGTCGCCATGCAATTGTAAGAGCACCTGGGGCAACGATCAGCGAGAGAAACCCCGCCTCAATGAATGTTTTAACATACCTCATTGTCCGGCGTGTACTGTGGCCAGACGGGACCTGGAAGATGATCAACAAGCGTTCAAACCACAACACGAGAACCACTCACGGGACGTCCCTAAACCATCGTTGGGATCCAAGCTCGTAGCGAAAGAAACCCAATAGTCGACCATCATCTCCGCTAACGAGATCGACGAAGCGGGTTCGCTGGAAGAATCAAGTTGTCCGTAGATGAATTCTATTTCTGATCCATGAGGAACTGATAAGCATGTCAGTAGTAGTCGGATGGATGCGAAAGGGCCGAGATCCTACCTCCTTCAGAGGCAGCATGCGTCGATGCATTTTGTGTGAACTGGTATCCGTACGCTTTGACGCCTGCCCGGGCAGCAGTCTGTGTCCATGTCCGACGTTGAGCATCAAAGGTCAAGTCCCCAGCTGAAATAGACGATTAAGCAAACTTTATTGGGAACGAGGAAACAATACTAACTGATGGATGCCACTCTCTTCCAGCCTACAGGGTACCCAAAGGTTTCATTTCCAGTGCCATACGGCGAGCCCAAAGATGGATCGTCAGGGTACAGCTCGATAAGCCGGTCCAAGATGGAATCAGAGATGTAAGGTGGGAACGCCGAGTAGGTAGTCTGTATGTAATCCTTGATGTCTTCATCGGTGAAGTTGCGATCCGTCGTCAGGCCAAGCGTCCCTAACGAGCACCGACATTGAGTTCGGCCCTTGCATAAAGTGCTCATATCGTACCTTCGTCTAGGTTCGTGCCTGATATAAAAGGAATCCTGGCAAACTCGCCCTTTGCCCAGAGGTGTGTAGGCAGATCGGGAAGTGAAGGACCGTCCAGTGCAGGATACACAGGGAACCCTTCGATGGCCGACGCATAGCACGCCATAAGTCCTTGATATACAGCTGACGAATTCGCCGCCTGCAGGCAGTCAAAAGTGTTTTGCGTGCCAGCAACAGACTCGCAGCCTGGTGTTCCTGCTACGAAATACTGCCATGTGGATTCTCGTGCAGCTGCGTTATAAATTACGGGCGAAGAGGCATAACCGGACTCGAAGATCTACCAACAACTCAGAATGATTACTTTTGTCAAAAAATTGCATGCTTACCGCAGCATGGGCAAATTGAGAAATCAACGGGTTTAGAAGCTGCAGGTTTGTCATCATGGATCCAGCGCTTTGTCCGAAAATTGTGACCTACTAGGCCTTAGAATCCAAGGAAAATGTTATATAGTGAACGTACGTGCCTTGGTTTTGTCGCCACCGAACAAACCGATATTCCTTTGAACCCATTCCAAGGCTGTTAGTTGGTCTCTGAGTCCGAGACTGAGTTGTCCTCTGTTATCGGCTTCTTGTCCTTGAGGGAAACCTAATGGCCCTAGCCGATAATTGTAGTTCACGTAGATTATGGGAGTGCCCTGCAAGCAGTTAGCCACGAACACGTGCGTAGGACACGGAACTGACTCTGGTAACACTTTGGGCAACAATAGTGCTTCCATTGAAGGACGACGAAGCGCCTGAAGTGAAACCGCCACCATAGGTCCTTCAGCATCATTAGCGCTAAGACCACATGAATAACAAATACCACTCTACCAGAACATTACCGGCAAGGGATCTTCAGACGATGCTCCTTTCGGCCGAAATATGTTGATAGTCAAACAATCCTCTGACATTTCATCGGTATCAAGGCCCTGTTATTTCCGCCATTAAGATAGAATTGCAGATATCAGGCAAAAACAAACGTACGCTCTGTAGACATGGTAGTCCGAAATTCTGAGCGTCGAATTCATCGGTATCAATATCCGTTTTCAATACAGGACGCTGCAAACGCAACGCTCCAACAGGAGGTTCAGCGAACGGAATACCTAGCCTTCACTTTAGCCTTGACCAGCACTTGGAATGGTATGTCGGCTCACCTCCAAAGAAGTCTTGTTGTAGCCCTGCAACATCCCTTCCAATGAGCTTGGTCTTGCCCAGCTGGACCTCGGGGGCGGAAGCAGCAGCCAAGAGAACACAGGACAGGACAGATATCACGATGAGCATAGTCATGCGATGTGGGAATGGTAGAGAACACGGTCTTCTTATGTAGCATTTCGAGTTCGGAGAAGCGACCGTTTGGAAACACGAAGAAGAGGCATTATTGTCATGAAATTCGGGTTATTCGCGCGCAGCTGCTGCGAGTCAAGGCTCTGTCAATCAAGGTTAACGCTATGAAAAATCCGACGCAAATCCGCCGCGTCAAGAAACGGGATTGACATACCGAATTAATTGTCAGCGTTCTGACTCAGGCTTGCATAGGTTTGCGACCGCTGCTCAAACAATTATTAATTGAACCCTTAACGGAAACCCTTACAAGTCACCTTCTTCCGGAGTATTGCCAGAGCATTGAAAAAAAAAACGTTAAGTGTTGCAGGAAGATCGCAGTATAGCACGGAAGAGAGACGCGTTGCTTGTTTGGTCAACTTTGTCCATTCGATGGACTTGAACGCGTAAGACGTCCGTGGTAAGCCTTTTCCTGGTTACAGCTCTGCTGCGCGATATCTTCAGAAAGCCATGGTCGTCGGAAGGAAAAAGTTAGGAAAAAATGGCACCCATCCGCTCAGAGCTTGTTTACTCAATGCACTACTGCTGCGAGTGTTATAAATAGCACTTCAACATATATAAGTAACGGAAGAGCTCTTCTCGGTGACATGTGTCTGTTGAAGATTCGACGATTGGTCTTGGTCGCATGGCCGGGGACCTTCGCGAGAAATATGACATGTACTGAACTCCACCTGCTCATCGACATTTTCGTTCCTCAGACCTCCATCCAATATCTCTCATGACGAAGCTCCACATTTATTTGATGTTCGAATTCAGTTGTAACCATACGGAGTTTTTCAAGACGTCACACATTATGTCGCTAGGGATTCCAAGATGGAAACTTGCTCTCCGTGTCAAGCTAGGCTCTTACAGTTCGATACATACAATCAGAACTGTGCAGTGCAAGAGCATTCGGTGCATTTGCAGAACTCGGCTCCGTGGTCCCATTCACAATTTTCTAATGTCCCAATGAGGAAGCAGAAATGATGCAGAGGGCCGGGATTCAAGTCTCCAACCCATGTTCAACCCACCTCTTTTCGCTGCGATGAATGATGATACACTCAGCTGGGTAGCCCTGCGGCGGACGATTTACAGGTGAGATTCAGTCGTTGTTCATACTGGGAACGGCAAGACTACAGCAAACGCTGTTCCGGAGAATCGTTTTCGGAGAGGGATGAGATGAGGACAAGGGTCTGATTTGAAAATTGAAGAGTCAAATTGATGGCCGCCAGTCGGCAGGTCTGCCGCTGATCTAAGCTTTACAGTCGCGAATCGGGAAGCACGCGTCTTTCCTTCCACTCTCGAATGAAAGCGCCGTATTGGTTTTCTCCATAATCAAGGTAAACTCGTATTATTTGACGCTATCATAGTACTGACCATGAATAGGCTCAGTTTTACGTTTATGCCATCTTTATGTTCAAATGTCGCCAGCTTAGCAAATTACCCAAACTCAATGGAAAACCGTCTGTCGCCGTAAGCAAAAAAGAAATAACTTTCATCTCTTCCTTCATTTAAATTCTGGACTCCAGTTCCGTGGATGCAAGCCTGGCGCTCTGACTGGTGCATTTCCCATCACCGACCGTTACGCAGTACGACTGGATCCAAAACACCCAGCACTTAGAATCAATCTCAAGATCCTCCCACTCGTATCCCAGCCTTTCTTGTCCATCAAGGCAATACCGTTTGGCATCCTCACCAAGCCCGAAAATGCTGTGACGTTCGAGAGGCCGGTGGAGCTGTGGGAGAGTCGCGTCGCCAGGCTGAAGGATCCTCCTACAGAACACACAGACATATCGCTCCCTGTCCACCTACTGATGCCGAAGAAAACCGTGCACAAGAAAAAGTATCTCAGAGTCGAAATTGCGCGCAAAGTCAAAACGGCCATTGCACTCATCTTTTCGAGGGGTTTGGATGTCAGGAGTGATGGTGAGCTGGTGCTGAATGATAGACAGACGAGGGGAGATTGTGATAAGCTGATCGTAGATGGTGAGTTGCCTTGTTGTGATCAATGGGTAGTCACTCAAACGATAACCTCGCAGGATGGAGTTATATCATCTCGCCGCAGCTCGAGATATATCGAATGCCATTCGAGGACCTCGTAAAAGGATTACGCAGATCGCTGTTTCAGATTTCGAGCGGCATCAGGCAGCTGGAACAACAGTGGGCAGCAAAGGATAAACGCGTGTATTTTGGACGACAAGAGGCGCGCTTTACTAGTGCTCGTCCTGGGAACCCGACTCTGGCTGAGATGCGCGCCAAGATGCGAGAAAATGAAGAGAGGAGACGTAGAGATGCAGAGAATGAACTTCAAATCGACGATCTTTCAGCTGTGCATGTGAGCATCCTTTGGCTTATATTCCTTGGCTTTTATATTCATGATGATCCAGGAAAAGGCGGCGGTTCTAGAAGCGCCTCTGAATGATGAAACACTGGCCTCAAATGTGTCTTTGTCGCCAGACTCTGGCTATTCTTTGCCTGTGAGTCCTTTGCAGCCGTCCATGGTCCATTCTCCTTACATCGCCCTAGGATTATCCCTTCGACAAGTCCCGGCAACACGATGCATCAAGTAGCTTTGCGTCAGCAACTGCTAACACCTGCAACGATGAAGAAGAGAACATTCCAGCTAGGATTCTTGAACACGATGACTCTCCCTCACCCTGGACGAATCAAATACCACAAACACCCCTCGAGACGTTTCGGGACGACAACGTTGGTATTCATTCCCCAATGACTTAGACTTTACCTTACGACACACTTTCAGGCATCAGCTACTCCCTCCCTCAAGAAAACGGACAACTCTTCTTGGATCTCATTCTTGGACGACGTGGTTGAAGACGCCGAGAAGGACATTTTATTCGCACCCATCGAAGATGAGGAGGAGCCGGATATTCAGGATGTGAGCACCTCGATGCTGTCGTTTATAATCCCACTCTAACGAATTGTAGAATTACCGACAGATGAACCATCGGTACGCTTCAAGATGGGATGGTTTCCAGACGGATCATGGGTCGCATCCGGCACAAAGAGATGGTAGTATTCCTGTGAGTGTTGCCTCGTTCCGCTTCTTCCGCTGTCACTGACATTGGTCGTTCGAACAGGAGAACTCTGTGAGCATCCTTTTTCAGTGTCGATGCTTGTCACTCATTTATCAAGGCCCAGCAGTCTCGCATCCCAAGGCGACCTCCAATTTCCAACGCAGACGAACCTTCCCCTCTCGTAAGTCTCTCCATGACTAAACCAAAAGATACAACTTCTCAAAGTCGTTGTTTTACTAGCGCCCGGTCCTCGACAAAGCTTGGCATAGCCTCACCCGACGTATTCCCCTCCCGGAGAAGGCCTGGTCCCATGAAGAACAACGTTATGTAGGTAGTCTCAGCTGTGACATCGGTCTGTTCATTCATGGTTTCCACTCGTGAAGATTCCCCATCCGAAACGGCAAGCAAAGATAAATGAAGAGGAGAAGTCTCAGCCGGAGCCACCACCACCAGCACCGCCTTCAGTAAGTCAATACTCCTTGGCGTGCTCGCCGCGATGCTAATCTGCTGGCGACAGGATGGGGTGTCTGCGCTGGACCGTGCGAAGGCCATGGTAAATTCAAAGAAGCGGATCATGATTGTCCCCCCTCCTCGGCCTCGTAGGAAGTGATTGTTGTGCAAAACTCTTGCTTATACGGTATCAACGTTTCCGCCTACGCTCTCTACTCTTGTGTCCTTTCGTGCATAATATAAGAGTATAACAATGACACTTTGGCTCTACGCATACCAGCCACCTAAACTCGATTTCGGCTGGACAATATGAACGGAGAGCGCGTGTTAGAATCTAAGGCACCAGGAATAGTTGACGCCTATTTTCTACCCAAGAAAGAGACTGCCAGAGTGATGTTCAGGTCCCAGAAGACGATGAAGAAGTTGCAGTCCTTCGCCACAACCGGCAATCGATATCATGGACTGTTGTCACGTTGACAAGCTACGTTTTATTGCACTTCATGGTATTCCGGTGACCGAGTCGCTACCTTTTTGTGTACGTTGTTTTCAACAGAACTTCTGAACGAGATTTTCGTGATTTTTAGTGAATGTGATGATAGACGCACGGAGCACCAATGGACTGAACGAACTCTGCTATAGCAACGTATTTAAGGCCATTTGGCGGAATGTTGCAGACAATTGTTGTAGCGCCACACCGAGCGTTTACCGTTGAGAAAATATTCAAGTCGGAACTTCGGGCCGACGTTGCTCGACCGGAACTTCACAGCCTCAAGTTCGACCTTCACCTCCATCCCCCCTTCAAAGTGTTCCGGGAGCCATTAACCCGAGTCAGGCTTCTGGATTGATGTCTCTTTCTCCATTCTTCTCTTTGCGCTTCCCTAAGACACCGGTATTTTGCCAATCCGAGTCTGCAGTGGAGCTCATTAAAAAGGGGCCGAGCATGGTATGGTATTGCCGTCGGCGGGACGACTCTGGTTGATTTTGGACAATTGTGGTGTGACACAGCCACATAGATCCACCCGTTCTGACACAACTCCCTCACAACTGGTCCTAGGTGCTAGTGGCGGGAGCCATATTAGACCCGTGCCTTTCTCTACTGAGCACCATCGTAAACTCGCCTAAACTGACTATGGGATCTCCCGGCCTTCTGGAATGCTGTCCGGAAGACTTTACGCTCTCGGTAATGCTGGATTTGTCGGTTATGGGTCGCAGCAGAACAGGTAGTCGACGTGGTGATGTACGCTGCAATGCCTGACATTGGATTTGGTGCGTACTGGATATATGTGCTATGTTTACCTCTGACTTAACCCCACATGGGCCTGCGTGGTGGTATCCTCCTTGCCAAGATCGTGACTGCTTCCTGTCATCTCCATGATCTCCTTGCCTGGCGGGTCCCCGATATTCTCCTCGCCAAAGTTCGTAACGTACTTCGCCTTGCCCATAATTGTCTTCATGAATCCCCTCCGACTGCCTATCACATCGCCCTAGTCCGCTTCGTATTTGTCAGTTTGCGGGCCCTGACGATGAGACGAACACGTCAAGCTTTGGATGGCCGCACCGGAACGCTACAGAGATTATCGACCTCTTGCGAATAACATCTGCACACCCATCCGTTCGCTGTTTTCACAGCATTGACCCAGAATTCGGTGGTCCTCAGTGGGGATTGCAGGTGCATCTAGACTTCTTACCACTAACAATGACTTGATTCTGACCTCGTAAGGACACGCAAACGGTTTGAGGAATGAGGCTAACCATCGTAACATAACGGTCAACTGAACAGAGGTCTGGTCAACGTGTCTAACGCGTCTGGCAAACTAGACGCGTTCTCCAACAACACGTACAACACTAAGTCCGTCCTATCTGTGTCTGGATGTCGAAGCGTAGTAGAAAGCACCGTCCCACCATCTTGTTCTCTGTGACGAAGTCTTGTACGTGTTTGACTAACCCGATGATTGAAGTTATGACAGTGCTCGCACGCTGTAGGTCTTATGGGCTTGAAACGCTTCAGTCACGTCATCTAGTTCAATATATATCATTAGTACCCATTGCCACCTCATAATGAGAGCATCTTACCTTTGATAAAACAGTTGAGATCTATTATTTCTAAGTTATCGGGTTTGTTCAGTGTCAGGATGAGCAGGATAACAACTAATACATACTTACTATATTAACGCTACGTTGCAGCAAGAGCTTCGATACATGACTAGTCAGTAAGCAAACAGAGATACAATACCATGCCCATTGACAGCCACAACAATCAATCCCATGCTAACCATCTCAATCTGCGTCCAGAGAAGTAAACTAAATGAAAGAGTGTCAGCAAAGCCGGCGAAAACACAAAAACAAGGCTTCGACCTACCCATGCACAGCCCAAGCCAGCAGCCGCTCCCGCCAAGTTTTTGCAGAACTTGTTTGTTTAACTGATTCCTAGGATGTTGGAACAAATGGGCACGAGCGAAATTGATATCCGTGCTGTCAAACGTTACGGAGGGAGGGAGGGGTGGTTCACACTGATGGACCTAGATTGTAGATACATGCAAGTTGAGCAGAGAGAGAGGTAGCGCATGGGGGCTGAGACTCACCTTCTCTCGCTAATCCACTATCACTATCACTGTTCCTCGCCGTTGAGCTTGACATCGTCACTTCACGTTCAAACAGTGTAGAGGGTCTTCATGTACCGTCGTTGTGGGAGGGAAACTGTACTCGGAACGACGGACCGATGTGGCAGTGTCGTACGTGGGTGGCTTGCATCATTGTCCAAAAATCAACCGGAGTCTTCCCGCCGACGACAATGGTATAGTACTATTGGTAAAATGATTTTATCCATTGATATTACGGAACGTCGAGACTAACACATTCGTTTGTGGATAACCTCAAAGTGTGCCTCATTGGTGCTGTCTAGTTCTCTTGGTCTTTGCAGAGGCTTCAAATCATCTGGTAGGGGGCCTGTACAGTGGTCGATCGCTGAGACAAATTTTCTCTCTTCACCGCCTCGAGAAGAAGGTCAAAGTGAACCAAAATGTGGAGTACCATCAGGTATAAATTGCAGGAGACAACGTCGCCTTCAACCACACAAATCAACGAACAACTCCATCTCTACCAAATTACTACTGCACAATGAACGTACTTCCCACAGAAGTACTTGCCCAAATCATCGAGGAAGCATGGGCACTTCCTCTTACCCCCTTTGAACGATTTCGAATGACGACCTCTTCCGTTCTCGTCAGCAAATCGTTCGCTTGGGAATTCACTCGCGTGTTCTGCACCGACGTACACGTCTTCTCGCCCTCCCATCTTGACCACGTCATTGGCCGAATGCTACAACGAGACACAGTAGCCTTCCGGCCGACCGACTCGTCCTTTTCGCCGCCATCATTCTGTCGGTCCATCACTTTCCTCCTCGAAGTCGATCCCTATGGCACCAATCCCGTAACGCACCCAGTATCCGAGGAAATCTACGATCTCATGCCGGTGCTTCAGCAATTATTCCCTAAAGCCGGCCGGGTATCGATGAACTACCACAACTGGTGGTATAACGACTCTTCGCTCGCACGGTTCCAGCTTCCGGAACAAGTTACCGAGCTGGAGATGGTGTACACGCATAGCGAGCGGTGCATACAAGAGCGTCTGGAGAAGATTTCGAGGATCGATGTCATCCCGCCGTACGACCTGCCCGGAGTGAAGAAGTTGACGATCCGGGGAGGGAATCGCCTGTTCAACAGCCAAGTAAAACAGGCGTGTTACAATGCTCGAAACTGATGAACAACCGGACAATAGCTATTAGTTAAATTCTGTCGCATATCTTCCTGGACTTGCTATCTATATCCTTTTGCCGTTTATCTTTTACCTTTTTACATTTTGGACAATTCAGGTTTTTACTACGAGCTTTTCCTGATCCGAGATGTTATCGTCAATGCAGACTAGTACTTGGATCCAGTTCGAACTATTCGTGCATGACTCCAAGCAGCGGCTCGTGGCTAATCAATGCATTGTAAAACCTGTCTAATTTGAAGTTAGGTTATACTAAGGAATAGTGTTGTCGTAACCCAACAACACTCATCCCCTAGCACCAGCTTACTCTTACTAGTAGCGCTCCTACGTCCTCAGGTTACGTCAAGGATCGGAAAGACTATTGTCCTTCATCGACAACAGAAGGGTTAATAAGTTATCAATGAGATGGGGATACTCAACGCAAGGGAAATGGAAGGAATAGCAATCCAGGGGGTGCTAGTGGTGGTCAGGATCATTATTATGGAAGACGAGCACGCCGCCATCAATTGAGCACAAATTTTCCCACAGGGTTTTCATCGGAGCCGAACAAAAAGGTCGTTCGGCTTGCGAACGGCAATCGCAACTAGTCTCGTTACCATTCCGAGTCCTATGTATATAGGATTCTCGGTCATTATGCAGGTGGAATTGGCCGTGGGAAAATCTATTCGAGGTATCAAACCTTAACGGACTTTGCCGATTTCCCTACCTGAGCTTTCCGTGGGAATTTTTTTATTCAACCCCGCTTTCGTCCGTGTCCTTGTCCGTTGTTTTCCGCTTCACTTCTCGTCCACTTTTCTCTCTCCTCATTATCTTTCCGTGCGCTTCTCCTGCTTGCTTCCTTCGTACCTACTTTATGTTTCTCCATTTTTTGTCTTCTCTTTCTTCCTCTTCATCGTCTCCCTACCCGTCTTCGCCTTCCTCCCCACTCCTGGAGCTCTCCTCTCTTGCGCTTGCGCTTTGTCCCACTTTCATTTTCTTCGTATTCGAATCCTACGTGGTGCTTCAAGCTTCATTGATCATCCTCAGGGTGTGTAGTGTGCCCTTTTTACCCACAGTACTCTTATTCTTTGCCGCATTCTAAAATACATCGCGTTTGTTATTCCTTTCTCGTCAATTGTTTGATCGTTGCTTACCATTGTGTGTGGTCACAGTTCACAGGTGCAAGTGCCCTCAATACCATGTTCATCCTTACACCTCCACTTCTGCATTTCACGAATACCACTGAACATTGTGTCTCGACGATATTCCCTATCCTGAACATGCGTGGTCTCCCTTTCGCATATCTGTTGGTATCCATTAGATGGTGTTCACGGCGCTTCGAATACAGCACTCACTTTTACTTGCCTCCCTCGATTTTCCTCTAAATGCTTGACTTCGTAGTCCTCAGTGTGCCGTATTTGTCCCTGCCAGTATCCTCGGAGTCCTTTTGGGGTGGGTACTTACACTGACCTTGTCTCCCTCGTGTGGCTATCACTTCCTTGGGCTGGGGGTGTGAGTTCGGGAACTCCACCACGCTGTACTCTTGTGCTTTGTAGGCATCCAATCCTGCAATTGACCCTGCCAGAACTCTATCTCTCTCTCTCTCTCTCTCTCTCAGCGCAATCATTCTACCGAATCCCTGGCTGCTCAGACTGGACAGTGTCACCGACTCGCTGAGAAAATGATCTCGTCTCTCATTCCCCTTGAAAAGGTATAGTTATTTATTCACCTCATGTCAACATGTGGGCGCTCACGGAGACTCTTTCACGATTGGCGGCAGATCCAATGCCACTATTACGCCGGTGGTGGTGAAAATCATTTTGTCCATTGCATCTGCACTCTCGCCATGACAACACTGCATCATCATCGATACGAGCTCTGCTTATTCCAACATCGTTGTATCCTATGGTTCCGTTAGTACCAATCAATAAAGCTGTCTGTTCATGTTCATCTACCCATCTGCGCGAGATGCTGAGGTTCTTCCTTCATCCTGTCTTCGATGAGTGTGTCAATGGTGCTTTCTGTTTTTCTTTTGCTAGAACAGGAAGGTTGCCGTGGTCCACGATGCACTGGTTCTTTGATAATCCATTGTGCACACCATTATTGATCTTTGGCCGATGATGTGACGGAGTTTCGGTTAGTGGATATTATGCACTACTATGGCTCGCAACGCTTCAGCGTGTGGACCCATACAAATGGTTTAAGGATACTGGGAAGATAGGCATTGCAAGAAGGACTGCTCGACAACGTCAACGTGACGCGAGACAAGATGGGAAAAGATCATGATATGTTCATACATAGGCAGGCTATTATATGATCGGATGCTTATTTCTGACATGAACAACAGATTACAAAAAAAACATAGGACTCGGACCTGCCACGCGGATGCGTCGGCCCTCACCCCACTGGTCCTCTATATGAGGCAAACTGTGGATATACAGCTTGCCATGTAGAAGGGACTGTTCCAGAACGAAGTAAATCGCGACGGTACCTTTCAAATTCCAGCATATGTAGGAGCTTACGACTTTGACCTTGTGCAATTTTGAATTGGACACGCTCTAATACGTTCTAACATGTTCTGTACAGCGTCGAAATTCGAGGGCAGAGCTAGCTTTACCAGAAGTGTCTTCATCTCGGTCTTAAGCTGACCGTAGAAAGTGAATATTTGTTTTGATGATATAGGTCCTCAGTGTAACGGCGATTTGTGAAAACTCCTCTTTACAGAGTCCATGAAGTTCTCCAATCTCCTAGTAACTCAGCGTCACAGTGCGCTAGTTTACACCACGCTCCTTGACCTCGGTCTGACGACAGTCAAACTCAGGTTCTACTACAGCTTTTTGGTGGTGTCTCTGGCTTTTATGTCTATCATTATGCGAGTACTGGTAGCTCACAACAGGAGTTTCCGGATTTTTGGCGAGGTTCAATGATAGACGTGTCAGCCCACCAGCGGGTCTGGGCGGACAGTTAAGCATCTTATCATCAATATGGATTCCATTCTTTTTCATCGCACTCTTCTACACGTGTTATCCCGACCATCTCGATATGCTTCTGGCGAGCACTAATTGTCCATCCATTTGATTTCTTCCGCATCTTCTTCGATTCGATCCTGGTATGATTGCCCAACCTGAAAAGATGCTTCCCATTGTTTCGCTTTCGAATCAGAAGAAACTCTTCTCTCATGACATGTGGGTGCACTGATGGATTGATTCTGGCTTCCACTCATAGGTCGATCTGTAGTTTAATTTCGGACCCCAGGACGCTAGCATCAGACACATGGGATTTTTATACGGGGATACTGTGAGATCGTCTGCTTATACATTCACCTTATCACCTCCGGCATCGAAGTATCACGCCTCTTCCGTACTTGGAGCATACAATATTGGGCAAGTGAGACGAGATCACCGTGTCCGTACTGTGTGTCCGTGTTCCCGCCAACATCATCAGACCTCATGGACTCCGCTCTGCGCGTCGGCGCTGAGGCACATCGACCCATCCTTCACCATTCTTCACTATGTCTACTCCTCCAAGGACTGCTATAATCACAGGCGCGGCCCAAGGTGTCGGTAAAGCCATTGCACTACGCCTATCCACCGATGGCTGCCAAGTCGTAGTCAGCGACTCGACGTCTCAGAAGCTCCTTCTTGATGAGTTGGTCTCTAAAATAACTCGAACTGGTCGCGCTGCGATTTCAGTCACAGCTGATGTATCAGTTGAGAGCGACGTAGAGGATCTTGTTGCTAAAACAGTGGCTCATTTTGGATCCATTGATATAATGGTGTGTCGAGCGCCGCTTTTCTGTGTACGCGCTAAGAACTTAATAGGTTGCGAACGACGGTGCCATTGCGCAAAGTGCACACACTATTTTGGACAGTAAGGAGTTAACAGTGATACTGGCTCTCTTGTGAATTGACTCTAACTCGGTTCGCAGCATCTGTCGAGGAATGGGGACGCGTCTTCGACCCTAATGTCACAAGTCAGACCTTGTTAATTTTCTCCCTTGCCGTCGTACCTAATATCAACCCCAGACACACTGCTGTGCTACAAAACCGCTGCGAGGGCCATGATCAAGCAAAACCGAGGAGGCAGAATAATCGGCGTATGCTCTTCAGGAGAGAAATCAAGTGAATTTGGTTCCACCTGGTGTCGGTGTCGGCGTGCCTGACGTTTTCAAAGGATGCAACGCTCGGAGTACCAACAATGCTATCCGAGGCCTAACCCAGATTGCTGGCGCGTAGAATCGTTTCTTGTGCGCTATCCACTTCATCCTGACTCTTTTTCATGTAGCTTGTGAGTGGGAAAAGTACGGTATCACAGTCAACGGATACGCACCTGGTGCGAGTGATGCACCTCTCGGTAAGTTCTCTGATCAGGGAACTCTAACTGGAGGGCTGATCCTTGTGACCTAGTTCAACAAATGGATGCTCGAGTCGCAGATTTATTACATGCAGGTCCAGAAGCATATGTCGAGATAATGAAAACCCAAACGGCTTTTGGAAGAGTCAATCGGCCTGAAGAGGTTGTTTGCGTTGTCTCGTTTTTAGCTTCAGAAGAGGCTGCCTTCATGACAGGTTAGTTGCTCCAGTCATTGCCGTTGCGCATATGTTAGTAACTACTCCTTAGGGCAGACTCTTACATTCAACAGTGGGCTTTGTTTAATCTTGTTCGAAGGCCTTGTAGTAACTCCGGCACCATCCAGCTCCGTTCCAAATGCTAGCGATAATGATTCGCTAACGGCTCGACTTTGTGCCCGATATCTTAAACTTTTTAGCCCAACCAACACGGGTGGTGCTTGCTTTCTGCGTCGGTTTGCAAAGAGGCCTGGACAGACCCTCGGCGGATCATCGCGGCAATCTTATACCATTATCTTATATTAAATATCTGCACTAACAATCCGAGCGGTGAACACGAACCGCCATGAGTATGGTCATCGTGACGTTTCATCGAACTACTACAGTAAACCGGTAATGGTCCTGGGGAATTGTAGCTTGACTCATCTTGAGGCCTGTAAAATCCCATCATAGTGAGATAAGCCACCGCAAAGGTTTGTACTGGTTCGTAGGAAATTTTCCGGTGCATACTGCGACATAGCAAGGATACTGTAGTCGATTAGTCAGTTAGCATTTTGCAGTATAAGCCGGCAGACGACGCGGAATTTAGAAAAACGAACAACATATCAAGTTAACTACTGGTCCAGAGTCCAAATCAAAGTTAACTTGCTTATTTGTTACATGAAGCGAGGTTCGAGGTGCGAATACCGAGATTCCCGAAACTTCAATAAACGTTGCTTAAACGAAGACCTGACTTGGCTATAGAGCTGCACAGACCATAATCGAAAGGAGTGGCTCACCGCGGAGGGAGATGCGTCGCACCTCATTTAATGACCCGCATCTGCTGCAGCCGACCGAACTGAAACTAAAATGAGTGTATGAAGTAGGGCCTCTAGTCCATTTCTTAGTAGCGTCTCGGGATTCTCCCTAGTAGTAATAAGTCACAAAGTTGTGGAGTGTGGATTATGCGAAACTCGTGGTCTTTGAGCTTGTGCAATTCAATTTCGAGGTTGATTTCACTAGAATAAGCTACCATTCTCTTCATTGTGGACCGGCTAAAGCTTTCGTCCAGAACGGTCTGAGTCCAGACGGTGGATTGTCTTCCTGGGGCCCTCATCGATTAGTTGATAACCTTCATTATGATTCATTTCTCGGTTTGGCCCGAGAGAACTCTAAGAAGACATACCTTAGAGATTAAATCGACCATAATTTCCGAATTTCCTCGGTCATTAGTGGGGACGCAAAATTGCGACGCGTATCATTTCAGACGGTTTTCCAAGTACATGCACCTCAAAAAAAAGTCCCGAATTTTTGCCTCATCCATTGTCGTCGGCAGACAGTTTTAAAGCCAATGCCACGGTTACGGGAGGGGCTCAGCGTCGCCTGCTTCCCAAGGTACACTATACCATCCATTTTGATGTTCAGAAATTGATAGAAGTCTAGAAGGTCTGAATAGAAGTGCACTTAGCGGTGAGAAGCCCGGTATGTATGTCTAAAATCTGAATTTGAGCGGGATGACCTGGATGGGTCCGGATTTTGCGCCATGATGCACAGATGAGCTGCCCACCACGCGTCCTAAGTTATACTAGACTAGGATCTCGTTCAAAGAGTCCGTGCTCGACAATGCAAAGTTGGTTTTCAAATCGTTTTTATGCAAAGAGTGCTGCGCGAGTGCGGCTGCACTTTGAAATATTGACATCTGAGGAAAATGTTGTCAGAGACGGCGAGGCTGGTGCGGCATGTACTTACGTATTTTGTCATCGGCTCGTTGTTGGCTTCCATACATCATTTCAAACCAGACGTCGTGGTCAACGCGAGGATGAGAACGCTACCAATTCTCAATTTATGCCGCGCCCTAGAAGCAAATTCAGGGCCTATACCCCTTCACTTTTCACTGACTTCGTGAAAGAACATCCCAGGCCATTATCCAAAACCTCGTAGCGAGTCTCCCCAAGCAAACTTGCATTTCGAACACGCGGCTTCTAGTGGCGTTTGAGCTTCCAGGGACCGGTCAATGTGACAGGCAGAAAGGTGATCGGCGGATGGTGTACACGCCTACTTCATGACCGTTTGCAGCCTGAGCTAAGAACTCGGCTGTCGCCTTCGATGCTGCATTTGAAAAAATAGAGAATTCTCATAACGAAGAGATGCGTACGGAGAGCTTGAAGATAGTCATCAGGCACGTTGTATAGAGTAAAGCATACGACGTGACATGGGAAAACGTGCATTGCATGAACAACGCAAGGAGTACACGCCCTTCATTGCGCGCAGGAGTGTTTTGTGCAATTGTCAAACGCCAAGTCCATGCTTGCATCCTTTTATAAGGGTGTCCTCTTGATCCTCAAACAGCATTCCAACCCTTGGAAAGCTTCATCTTCTCCAGCAACAGCTCGTCCAGAATGCCTAACGTCCTCGGTGTCATTGTTCTTGCTCGCAACGGCGACAGACTTGGCTATGTCCAAGATCCAAACACATATTTATCCTCTTCGACGCATCTCACTCCCTTGGGTGCTGTCCAGTCCCACCAGCTCGGTTCCTATCTCAGGTCAACCTATCTCAACCCCTCATCCCCATCTTACATCACCGGACTCAACCCCGACCTTGCAGACCCCCGACAGGTCAAGGTTCGAGCCAAAGCCGGCGGAGAAGGCGATCCAGTCTTCGACTCTACCATCGCGCTCCTTCAAGGCCTCTTCCCACCCACCCCACGCAACACCATCGTTCTCGCTAACGAGACCGTCGTCACCGCACCGCTTGGAGGGTACCAGTATGTTCCCGTCGAGACCGTAGAACCTGGAAACGATAGGTCTCTCGAGCCATGGACTTCCTGCCCCGCGTTCCTCAAGCACGTCGCACAGGTCTACGCCTCCGACGAATTCAAAGCCAAGGAGAAAGAAGTTGCCACTGTAGGATTCTTTAACACGGTCAAGGACTACGTTTTTGGTCGCGAGCGAAGCCTGAAGAACATCGTAAGTCCCACCTGTCTCCTGTATGTCTACGCACGCTAATGCAATCGGTTAGTGGAACATCTACGACTTCATGCAGACCCAACTCACATACAACCAAACGTACGCCTATCGCCTCCCCCCCTCGCTCATTCATACCGCTCGTGCTCTCGCGAACTTCCACCAAGACGCAGTATTCTCCGACGACAGCATCAACGGTATCGGTAACATCGCTGCTCGCACTCTTTTGCATACCATCCTGGCTTCCCTCGAGCGCATCGCCTTCGACGGAGACCCGTTGCAGCTCCTCCTCATCGAGTCATCCTACCATCCCTTCATTTCCTTCTTCCACGCGACCGACATCGTCGACACGTACCCAGAATTGAAGGGTATCCGTAAGTTGTTCTCTTCCCTGAGTCATTGCTCATTAACCAACCAAGCCAACACACAGCGGACCCTGCCTCTAGCTTGATGATTGAACTCATCCGCGGCGCACCCCCCGACACACGCGACTTCCTCCGCTTCAAGTTCACCAACGGCTCCCACCCCGCCCAGACCGTGCACGTCTTCGGTCACAGGGGGGACATCCCCCTCACCGAGTTCATCTACAAGAGTCAGGACTCCATCATCTCGAACAACCGTCAATGGAGGGAAGTCTGTAACGGCAACTCCGCTTCTGCCTCCGTCTTCACAACCGAAAACTTGAACGTCAACGCCCTCTTGGCTCTTGGCGTGTTCATCTTTGCCTTGTTTGGGCTTGGATTGTCGTTCAAGTGGAAGGCGAACAAGAAGAGGGGCGTCAAGCTCGCGGGTGAAGAGGTGAGTCCTTGCAATACGTATGGATATGGAGCTTGCGACAGCGGCGTAGGACCTGTACACTTCACGACCTCTTCGTCGCATACTGACTTGTACTTTCCATAGACGACCCTCCAAGTGGCGGAGAAAAACGTTGACACTGTTAGGTTCGTCTAAATTGATAATGTCCTCGTGAACGGATGCTGTATTTCTTGGACTGAAAACAATCACTTGCATAAATACTAGCTTGGCCTAGTTATATCTTTACGCACCTTTATCATATACGATCGTCATGATCATCGCAAGCGTTCTTTTATCTTCATCATCTTTCAATATTGCCATAGTTGGAGCGCAAGACGACACGCTGTTGCCTGAGCCGCAAATGCAGCGAGAAGTATCGCAGACATTGCCTACGTTGAATTTGAAGCTGACAGCTCGATTGAGAATTCATGGGTTAGGTTCGTGTAAATTGACTGTAACGCCGTTAACGGATGCTGCGTTTCTTGGACTGTAAACAATCACTCGCATAAATACTAGCTTTGGTCTAGTTATACCTTTACGCACCTTTATCATATACAATCGTCGTGATCGTCACAAGTATTCTTTTATCTTCACCATCTTGCAGCGCGGGTATCGCAAACATGGCCGACGTTGCGATTGATCCTGATAGCTCGATTGAGAATTCATGCGAAGTTTCGTTACGGCTTGGTTACGGCTTACTAATGTGGACGAAACAGTGGCCCATGACATGTGATCCCCGATTCTTTCCGAAGAATGAGGAAACCACATAAAGAGTTCAAGTTATAGGGCTCGCTACTGATCATGAGAGTACTGATGCTTGTCGGTCGGTCGGAAAGAAAAAGAAAAGAAGAGGGAGAGGGGGAGGGGAAAGATTCGAAGAAACATATTTTGTAGCTTAGAAAATAATGAATCCCAGGCAGTTTTGAAGTCTCTCCGAGTGTTGACGGATGACGGTGAAAGAAAGACGGGAAAATCTACTTCGGATGCCGGAGGTACAAAAAATAGGCCGACAAGCGGCAGGACCCGCTCTACCTTGTCACTTGCTTGTCACGGCGACCGAGTCGTCGGCCAATCGGAAAGTGCAAGTTATCGCTCCAATAACACGCCCATCCTCGCATACATTCTAGAGTTAAGGATTTGCTCTCTGCCACTTGCTGACCGTATCATCATCGTTCACTTTCTACCGGCCTCTTTTCTCATGTTCGTGTCGAATCACTTCCTGAAGGAAAATGTCAACAAAATCTCTATCACAGCCAAAATCAATAACCGCCGTTCTCGTCTGTTCCCGCTAAGGTTCTGCCGGCTCCCGTCTAGTCCTGCGACAGAACCCCAAATGATTCGTTGGCAATGTACTATAGAGTCACCAGGTCAAGATCCACGGCGAGCGACGCCTCGTCCTGCCTGTCGCTTCAACCTCATCAAGGTCGTTGACGGACATTAGTATCATTCAAGGGAGGAGGATGCCTCATAGCTGTGTAAGATGTCAGGTACAAGGTCCAATATTTTCCAAGAATCAAGGGACTAATTCTGATAACCTGAATATTTTTCAGCTCAATCTCAAGCTGAGGATATTGACATCTAAGCTAAGCCACTGCCTCCGACTTTGTGAACTTATCGTCGAGGGTATTGTGTAATGTAATGCGTATTTTCAACCGTTGTTTTCGTCTCAAACTTATTAGGCAGCCGTGGAAGCAGAAGATATAACAAAAGCCTGATAGAGGTTGTTGGTGGTAAGTGCACATTCGTCTAGATCTCCCATTCCCCTTCATCGATATGCAGGTCTTTCTTCAGATCTCATGTACATTCTTGGGCACTCTTGTGGCCTACGGATTGTATCAGCTCGTCAAAAACTTTTATCTCGAGTATACTTTCCCTCTCAGTGACCTTCCTGGCCTGAAAGTCTGAGCTTTTTTTCAGGGAATTTGAATGATTCTTATCGCCACAGTCAACCGAGATGAAGCCCTGTGGGGCGAAGATGCGAGAGCATTCAAGTTCGTCCTGGCTGACTTATGTATCGGTCTACCGTCACTGACCATAGGACATCAGACCAGAAGATGAGAAAAGATTCCTGATACAGTAAAGTCCATACCTGGTGTATGGGGAAACTTTTGTCATTCATTGGTGGTCCTTGTTCGTGCATTGGGTATCGCTTCTCTCTGGTGGAGTATGTGCTATGCGTTTTAGTCTTTCGCGCTCGCTTCTGACCAACCTGGCATAGGATGAAAGCTATTCTCTTCACTCTCATAAGGGCATTCGAATTCAAATTAGCCGTCCCGGGAGCGGAAATCGCGAAAAGGACCGTTATCGTGCAACGCCGTTGCTCAGGAGTAATCCTGATGCCGGAAAGTTGGAACCAAATGCCCATTATACTCAAACCATACCAGAAGGTGTGAAGAATGGTGCATGGACTTTCGGCTCCCTCAGGCTGTGTCAATAATGTATAGTTTATACAACAATGAACATTGAATATACCGATGTTTCTGTTCGGAGCCGGCGCGAGGGGATAACTTTGGCGGGGATCGCGTCTTTTTGTAAATAGCATCATCCCCACTTCGTTTTGAGCCACGATTTTCAACTACATGGTTAATCTCAATATATTCAATTTATTTACACAAGGATTATGAAGGACAAGAAAGAAACGCCCTCAAGAATTTTTTTCGAGCGCGTGGGGCCCACCTGCCCAGTATGGGCATGGCAGATAATTGCCGAACCCAGCGGAACCGACTGTAAACCATTCGTGGCGTCTCTGCCTGTGACCCACTACCCAGTCTTCTTTTAACATCTCATGCAACCGCATCTTCTTGGTCCTGATTCTTGTTTTCCCTCGTAATACTCACCTCGACTCACTTCTCTTCTTGGATGAAAGCCGGTCCATATCACGCCCTGTGCGCGCTAAGGTTGTACCGAAGGGTTATCTCGTCTGGTTACCAAAGGGTGAGGGTAGCACATGTGCGTATGTCTGCTCCATTCTCTCTCCGGGTATATGTACTTATTGATCAGATCCATAGATGCCATTGTCTTTCACTTTCCCTGCTCCGTTGCACATTTGAGGATCCGAAATCTTATCGAGATGATTGACTCCCTTGAAGTGGTACTAGAGTTCGCAACGGGCTCATGCAACTAGGCGATGCATTTTTCTCCTCACAATATCTGCCAGTGACTCGTTTTCGTTCTCTAATCCGATTAAAAAGAAGCTTCGGAATGTCGATCTCTTGTACGTTTACGCTTGCTTTCGTATCTATAACTTCATTTACTAATTTTCGCTCCCTAAACTAGTAGTGCGATACGAACCACAACTCAGCGTCACCATCGTCACACCGCTCCTGCATCACGTTCTTCCCAATCAAAATTTCAATTCTGTCCAGCTCACAGCGATGTAATAGACGGCGCGCGCAACGCGTATGGCCTCTCAGATCCATCGTTGTCGATACCGGACATTAATATTCCTCCACGGTCAATAGGCCCTCCAGATCTCCGAAAGTAAAGATGTATGATGATTATACGATGGAACTATTCTACGGCGATTACAGCGGTATCACGACCGATACGACGGTGCAATCCTACAGAGCGAAACCCAATGTTCAAAGATGTATAGCAATTAACTCCCCACGTCAATCCTGATACCAAAGGCGCATATTTTGGCGCCGCCCTGCGACATTTGGTGTCTGGAGTGGTGTCTGAGGACGGCGCCGGAGCTGGCGACGTAGCAGAGCCTTACCGAGATGCACGTATGTTGCTCCTTCTTTCAACACACCTGACCTCAGAGTTTTGATGAGCAAACTCGTGAAGACACCACGCCACACCTTTGTACCGTCCTCCTTTCTTCGGAGACATGCTTGCGCACGCTCGTTCTCTTTGCACGCTGCTACCATAACATGGGAATCCATGTCCGGGACCCAGTCCTTTGAGAAGAGGGTCTGACGACCAAGGAGGTCCGTAAGGCCTTCTTCAGCAGCACGGAGCATGTCCTCAAGCGAGGTATATTTCGGCGGGGGAGCAGCCCGCTCTCTCGAATATGTTCGGGTTATGCTTCCAGCATGACAGCAGTCTAGAAGGACGGTGATGCGATGCCCTTTGGCACGGGAGAGTTCAGAGAGGATGGTGTTGAGCTCCCAGTCGCTAATATCAGGAATAGGATCGTCACTGCTGTCAAGGGTATCGCGGTCTATGGGACAAAATGCCTCAACAAATTTTGGAGGGGATTTACAGTCATGCTCCGTATCGTAATCAGAGTCATTTTCCTCCCCACCGTAATCAGAGTCATTGTCGTGGTCGTCTTCTGACACTGGATAGCGGTAGCCATGTCCAGCGGCGAAGATGATGATGGGATCACCGTGCTTGATCTCATCGTTGTTGATGAGACTGCGAAGGAGGGACAGAATATTTCTGCGGGAGGGGATGAAAGATGCTTCGGCTGATGCGTTACTATTGTTCCTCGGTCCAAGAAGAAGTTGGATTCTCCCCTTAGGCACGGCGAGGTCTTTGACGAGGTAGTCCGCCATTGCTAAGGCATCCTCCACACAACCGTCCAATGGGTAGGTCGAATACCCGTCGATCCCAATGAGAGCAGCCCAAATTCGACTAGAGTCAGGGCGTGGCTGTAACTACAAATTTCTTCATCAACGATTTGGGTCAATGAAAATAGGTGTATACCCACATCCGGCATTTCAATGACGTCAATATCGTGCTCGTTTACTCGAGCTCTTGGGGGGGGGGGGGAGTGATTTGTCGTGGTGTTGTTAGTCTAGACTCTAGTTACGTGGGTGAGTATATGTTCACTTGGGGACCGTGTAGCACTGCAGAACGTTGTCTTTAAGTACTTACGGGAAGGGACCCACTGTCTTTAATTAACGATCGTACACCTACGCGTCGTTCGTATTTCCGGACCGGTTGAATTTCATGTTTCTATCCCTTGTTGATATTTCGCAGAAGTAAGAGATAGAAGTTGTTTGTATATAGCTGGAGGACTCTCAAACCACATACCTAGGAGTTTGAGTAAGAATCCATGCCGTTATTAAGCCATCATCGAAATACTGGCAACATAGGGGTCAATAATCCTCAATATCCTTGCAGGTGTAATAACTCATTGAGCTTCTACTTTCGGGTAAAACCACGTGGTTTACAGTCTCTTAGGACAGTAATTAACAGTTTATATGTTCTATATCCCAGCTACATTGTGAGAGTGACGAGAAATGAGCAACTTTCTGTGATTTTGTCTTGATTTGGACACATCAGGTGACATCCCCGATTGGCAAGAAATGCCGAGCTGTCGACAATCAAGCGCGCGCGCAGTGCTTACGTCCGTCGACGGAGCAGTACTGCATGTGCATGTAGGGAGGAAACCCAAGGTCGACCATGACGCTGCCAAAATTCCAACAATGTGAAACCGGCAGGGCATGATGCGTGACGGTTTGTACAATAAGAAACTGTATTAACCAGTGATGGGGGCAAAATAGGAAACCCAACCGGGGCTCCGTGATGCGTGACGGTTTCCTCCCTACATGTACGTACAGTATGCATGGAACCTGGACTCCATCCCTCGACGATACACGTGGCCTTGAGAGACATTTGAACTGACTAAAAATGGTTTTTTTTTCCAGCCTTAAGAATGTGTAAGTAGCGTGTTGAACTGTCGCTACTTTGAACTGTTTCGTGTGTCAAAATTCGTTGCACCACTAGGGCCCGTCGCAAGCGCCAACGGTGGCCTTGCTTGATGAGGGAGCCTTGGGTTTGAAGTCGTAGTTGAAGCATCGCGTATTCTAATACTTAGACTCATTCCACTTTATATAAAGCGCAAAAAGCTCGCTCGGCGGCTGCGTTGCAGCCGCCAGCTTGCATTTTGCATGAATGGTACTCAAGTCGAACTATTGAAGCCTACTTGTCAGTGATACGGTAGGTAGGTAGTTAGTATTGACAGTGTCCACACAATGAATATCGGTTCCAGACATTATTTACACAGTAGTGGCAATCTGTTCAAGTAGAATCTACATCGTATATACCCACCATCACCACCGTGGTGGTGCATAGAGGCATCACAAAACATCCCAACTTGAAGGTTATCCAGGCCTATGTGAGCGGATTGGGTAGACTTGAAAAACATGAGAAGGCAAGGGCGGCCTACAGAATTTGGGTCTGTCCTTTCTGCATTGAAGCCTGAGGCTCAGCGTGAACATACTGAGGTGCGCAAGGGCGAGGGCAAGGGGGTTGCGGCCCGGCAAGCCGGCACATCGGGTTGGTCGGTCGGTCGGTCCAAAAGGTCCTTAAAAATTTTTTGCCCCCTCTTGTAAAATAGCATCCAGAGACCCTAGACACTGCTGGAGGTGTTTATTTCAGCTAATATATGATATTCATGACTTAACATGGCTAAAAAAGCGCCGGAAAAGCGGTCAAAATGATGTCGAAGGCTCAAAACGCCAAGGGCATGCTGCCGGATATCGGCAGGATTACTGAGAATGGAGTACCGGCTGTAAAAATATTTGGTCAAGTTCGACGGATCCAAAATTGGAAGGGTCTGTCATGTACAGTAGGACAGTGTTGTTACTAGCAGACAAAAATCATATACTATCAACGTTTAGATTGAGGATGAGAGAACTAAGTATGCGGAAAGCTCGCACTGGCGGATGACTCCGACACGGAGTGATTACACAATGTTTCCTTTGTGGGTATGTTTTTCCCACGGAGGTCGGTCGGTCGGTCCATCGAGGCCTTAAAAATTTTTTCGACCCGATATGATTTTTTCGGTTTTTGCGACCCCCTTGGGCGAGGGATAACATTGGTGTTTGGTAGTATTAGCTTCCGAAGTTACAGCTTTCGGGGAGAGTGACTAGCTAGTATTTGGTAGTATTATTTTCCAAAGTTACAGTTTTCGGGTACCTCGGCCATACTTCAAAAGGAAGGCTCTCACCATGGATAGACCTTCTTTTCAAGCAAGGTAATACCGATGCATTTCAATGAGACATACTCTTGAGAACCATCAGCAGCCTTGCCCATACGGTATATGGTACGGATACAGACGGTGCACAACCAACTCTGTAAACTCGTGCATCAGAGGGAGGTAGGTGGTATTACACGGCACGGTCCACCGGGCATAGATAATGCAGGATTAGTACACTAAGGGCGGATGATGCCCAAATGATGTCAAACGATTGTCAACGCTGCCACCGGCATCACCGAAGGGTGGACCAGCGCCATCCTACCTGTGCTGCTCATTGACCGACACAGCAGCTCAGGCAGTGTTCTTCTGAATTTGGGTTGATTTGTCCAGTTGCATTCACAGGAGTGCCTATCTTTTCGAGTCTTGAGTTGGTAATGTCATAGTCACTGTGTCTAGTGAGCGGGAGGGCAGAGTGAGCGCAGCATCGGTGCCGGGATAGGAAAGTGGAAAGTGTTGCGATTGGCCGACTACGTTACATAAGCAACCCAGCTAGGTAAACATACACTAACTCGCCGGCTCTTCGTAAGATAAGAAGGCCGGGATGTACGTTGACATGCTGAGTAATCCGAGTTGAACAGACTTGAACGGCGGGCTGTGGAGCGGATCTAAGTAGCCAGAGGCACACGAACGAGCCCTAACACTCTAGTGTAACAACCATGTACTTAATTATCTACTGATACCTCCAACCAGACCATAGGCCGAGCTCGCAGTCAACTTTATGTTGCTGGTTAGAGCCTAAGATTCAGCCAGAGGCCTCAAGGGCTGCCACAGTGTGCAGCCCTTCAATGGGGTCGATATATTGATAACCAATTTTCATCGCGCGATGATGATATCCAGCTCGTTCAGGGTACTGTAGGCAATATCCAGTAGAACTATTAAAGTTACGCTGACTCGGTGTCAGCCGTATGACAGAAAAATAAAAATCGCGGGGAGAGGGCAGGAACAATGCTGATACGAAGGGTCATTGGGCAGAATGGCATGGCAGTTCATCCACATCACAATGGAAGCAGATATCGGCCCATAGCGCACGCAAAGATCATGAAGGCAAAAAACTCTCCACATGGTAATCAGGCGATGGATCAACCTGCGCCTTTTTCCCTTCAAAAATCACTGCAAGGCAGCGCAACGACCGTCAGACAAATTTTAGTAGATGCATAAAAGACGGAGTCCAAGTTGAGGAAGGGGGCCGAGAAACTGCAGCAAAGGCTAGTGCCAACGATGATGGTCGATGGTAGATCCTCGCCCACCGTAGAGGCTCTCGTAAACAAGTAGGTTAATGTTCCGCAATCTTGAGGAACGCAGTGATCAGAATCGGTGCAGAGCACAAGCGATTGAAATATCACGAAGAATGGAACCTTCGAGGGGCAATCAGGGTAGGAAATCAGCCTGTGGTCGATTTTTTAATATTTTCACTGCTGAGCAGCGCAGTCGCAGTCGCAGTCATGGCGATGATGGTGTTGTAGTGGAAGAGGCGTCCTGACCCGTCTGTGAGTAAACGGATTTTGTGTCGAGAATTTGATTTTTTATGTTCTGGAAGTTCCGTTCGCTGCCCGAATATGAGCATCCTCTCCTTGGTTTCTTCCGTCCTCTTGTTACTCATTGAAAGAAATTGCGCTTCTGACGATAGCATTTACCATCAATTCAAGAGCCCGATAGCACTGAAAAACACTCCACATACCATTCAGGCTCCTGCAAAACTATGTTTCAGCTTCCAACATCGAATACTCCCTCTTTTCCAGGCATATTTCGCTCCAGCTAGTAGTGTTTTGTGCAACTCGACTCTCGAGTTTGGGGGCCATCACATACGTATACATATGTGTGGCAGGATCGAGTCCTACGGTCCTTAGCAAGGTACAATCCAAGGCTCAGTGCAAGACAAATTAATTTGGATATTTATTATCAATAAATACACACTGTTACAATTCGGCCTTGACTTGCACGTTGTCCACTTGCCACCACCCGCACGGGCCGAGCCTCCACCCCAGTGCATCACGGAAATTGGTAGAGGCTGCGCTAGGGTCTGTCCTAGGTTGCGGACCCTACCGCAGCGTACTAAAGGCATGATCAGAGTTAGAAAAGGAGGATGAATATGAAGGAATACCCACGAGCATCAGCCTCCAGATTAGTAGTCAATTACTGACAGCGATTACTGTGTCTGTTTGTCGGAGACCCATTGCAATTCCTCCTCATCGAGTCATCCTACCATCCCTTCATTTCCTTCTTCCATGCGACCGACATCGTCGACACGTACCCAGAACTGAAGGCTATCCATAAGTTGTTCTCTTCCCTGAGTTATTGCTCATTAACCAACCTGATCCACAGCGGACCCCGCCTCTAGCTTGATGATCGAACTCATCCGCGGCGCGCCCCCCGACACACGCGACTTCCTCCGCTTCAAGTTCACCAAAGGCTCCCACCCCGCCCAGACCGTGCACGTCTTCGGCCACAGGGGAGACATCCCCCTCACCGAGTTCATCTACAAGAGTCAGGATTCCATCATCTCGAATAACCGTCAATGGAGGGAGGTCTGTAACGGCAATTCCGCTTCTGCTGCTTCCGTCTTTTCGATCGAAAACTTGAACGTCAACGCCCTCTTGGCTCTCGGCGTGTTCATCTTTGCCTTGTTTGCGCTTGGATTGTCGTTCAAGTGGAGGGCGAAAAAGAAAAGGGGCGTCAAGCTTGCGGGTGAAGAGGTGAGTACTTGCAATCCGTATGGATATGGTGCTTGCAACAGTGGCGTAGGACCTGTACACTTCACGACCTCTTCGTCGCATACTGACTTGTACTTTCCATAGACAACCCTCCAGGTGGCGGAGAAAAACCTTGACACTGTTAGGTTCGTCTAAACTGACCATGTCATCGTAAACGGATGCTGTATTTCTTGGACTGAAAACAATTACTTGCATAAATACTAGCTTTTGGCCTAGTTATACCTTTACGCACATTTATCATATACGATCGTCGTGATCATCGCAAGCATTCTTTTATCTTTATCTTCCAGTACTGCTGCATAGTGGGAGGAAGTTGAGTACGAGTTTGTCGTCGATGGGGAAAGTTTGTTGCCAGAGGAGGTAGTCCCGTAGGGGTTGAGCCGCGTTCTCTATGAAGAATGGCCATGGCGTTTGGTAGTCTCTCGTCTTCTTGCCGTTCTAGTCGGTCTTCGAAATGGAGATCTTGTAGTTACCCTTCTCAACCTGGAGGTTGTCAATAAACGCCTTAACGTCCTGCTTCAGCATCGTGTAGGTCTGGTAGAATTTTGGGCCCGCTCCATAGGGGATGACTGCAAGGAATGCGCTGCTCTCCTGTCGTAGTACCGTCTTCTGGCCTAGGCTCAGGTCTTCGACCAGCTTTCGGAAAGATATGTGCATCCTAGGATAGGCGGCGTCGGTGAATAAGGCCTCGAGGACACCCGTTATGCGCAAGGTTCCTGCAGTTTTGTGCCACTCCGGCTTTTGCGGCATTAATCGGTCCTCGCGGGGTGGGTGGCAGGTGTTCGTTGGACTCGACGTCGGCTCGTGCTGGATTGCCTGTATATCCGGCATGGGTTGGGATGTTACCAGGGGTTTTCAGCCATTGTGCGTTGCATCTAGCCTGGCAAGCCGCTTTATAGATACTCGCGGAACTCGTACCTGTGTATAAAGCCTGGTACCCAGGGCGGGGGGTATATTGGTAGGGTCCGAAAGTTTTTGTGGGCCCCAAGGGCCTTTGTATTTGGTCATAAATTGAAGCTATATGCATTTCAAGATATCTAGAGTACATACAAAAGTGGCGATCCCTAGAGAGGACGAGAAAACGCACTGATTTTAATGGTAAAATGGCAGGGCGACGAGATTTCCTCCCTACAAAATTTCAAGCGGAGTCTCAAAATGGTCAACTTTTGGACCCAAATGCCCCCGCCCTGGGTTCCAGGCTACGTGGTGTTTGCTGGTCACGTTTTATTTTAGGCAACTGCCAGAGCGATTTGCTGGTTTGAACTACCAACGTTGCGGAGGACGTTCTCCTCGATTTCCATTACTCGCTAGTGTATCTCGTCGTAGGTGGCTATCACGCTTGGGAGGGTTTCGCCTCGGCCTTCTAGAGTGCCTCGGGACGGGTTGGCCACGACAGTGTGTCTTCCACCATCGTCTAGCTCGACTAACTGCGAGCTCTTTCTCCTCATACATAGTTGGAGACGTCTGTTAGCTTCCCTGTTTGCAGGTGCTAGTCCCTTGAACCACGTAGAGGCTAGACGCCGGACTGCCACTGGTGGGGTCACTGGTCCTTGTTCAAGGCTCCATGAAGGTTCTTCCAGATGCTCTTCAAGACTTCTTCACCCCAAGGACGACGCGTTCTCAACGTGTCTTCTCTCCTTGGGAGGGGCCCGTTATAACGACATCCAACCCAGGGTTTGATCTTGACGCTGTTGTACGGTGTCGTGTAGAGGAGGAGGACGCACTCGACGCCTACGATCCCTTTGGCCAATCACCCCTCTCGTCGCCCCCGAGCACCCCATGTATCAGCCGTGTACCATCTCCCAATGCCGACCCTCTCACAGAGCCACCGCCATCGACCCCGGCAACCTTGCATCCGACGGATGCAAGTACATCTCAGACCCACAGCAAGAGTCGCAACAATCGCAAACGCAAACGACGCGAGACGAAAGCCGAGCACAACTCTAGCCTCCATCAGGACGTTCCGCCCCGTTTGAGGAGCAAACACACGCATGCTACCGAACCTCTAGTCACCGCGTTCGACATCGACGATGCACCCCATGCCTCCTCGGGATATATAGGTTTAGTGGAGGAATCGTGGAAGCGGGAGCATACATTGGATGAACTAACGGGGCCCAAGTTTAACTTCCGGCACTATGGGTGGCAAGGCCGGTAAGTCCCTGTCTATTTCTTGACCGTATTCATCCTGATCGACCGATGATTAGCGTGGCCACCCCTATAGTTGATCAGCAGGGACGCGTCATCGCAGTCCTGGCAGGGCATCCGGACGATCCCGACTGGGATTCTGTGCACAACGAAGCGGCGGAGGCTCTTGAAACACTTCGACCCAAGTGCAAACTCGCCCAGGAGCAGCGCAAACATCGAAGGGGCAGGTTCGGTGCTCTTAGCTATGGAATATCGTATGGCGGTGGCCAAACTGTAAGTCAGTAACCCCTGGGTGGTGAACTTGGCCCTGACAATTACCTCAGCATCCGCAGAACCTACATCATAACGACGCCAATACATCTGTTCCGCTCACCCTGGTCAACTGCATCGCGTTCATGCGCCTTGCTGCATTCGGGAGCTGTAAGTCTAAACCCACTTGAGAGTCACCAGCATCCAGCCTCATAATGACCTCAGCTGCGTTCGCCACTTGGGCTCCAAGGACGTTTGCCTATTACGCAACACACCTTCATGCTCTCCTCCTGCACGACGCTAGTCTCATTCGTAATTGGCTCAGCAGTATCTTCGCCGCCGCGACCTTTAACTTCGGACCACGTACCTGCTGCTTTCGCCACACAGACTCAGGCAACCTGCCATTTGGATGGTGCGTCATCACAGCCCTTGGAAATTTCAATCCTCAAAGGGGTGGCCATCTCGTTTTGTGGGATTTGAAGTTGGTTATCGATTTCCCCCCCAGTTCCAGCATCCTAATTCCCTCTGCCATCCTCAGTCACTCCAACACCAAGATCGGCAAGGGAGAACGACGATATTCCTTCACTCAGTACAGTGCTGGCGGGCTTTTCCGATGGGTTGACTATGGCTTTAGGTCGAGCGAGGAGTATCGGGCATCGTTGCAAGGGGAGGAGCTCATCCGTGCGGAGGAGGAATGCGCTGCGCGTTGGTCGATGGGTTTGGATATGTTCTCCACCCTTGATGAACTTAGAACTTCTACATGATTGTGTTGGAGGATATCCGTTCGTATACCCGTAGTATGTTTCCTTTCAATCGTCACTCATTCTTATTTATATATATTTACCTACCCCTTTCCCTTCGTCATATATTTCAACCGTAGTTACCCGAACACCTCAGACTGAGGTGTGTATACCATACAACGCTCGTTATTATATACGTATTCACATTCGTTCATAGCTCGTGCTTATATCCTTATTACATTAAGTTGCTACAACATCCTGTATACGCCGTTAACACGCTACTTTGATACACCCTATGTAATGCAGCCAAATGCACCTCAGGCTGTAAATGTTACTGCCAATAAAGTAGTACAATATGTGTTACCCTCGTAGCATTTTCCATCAGAATCTTGTCTGCATAGTTTTCTTGAAGATCTGTTTCGTCAACGCGAGATCATTGCAAAGGAGATAAACAAAAAAGGCGTACGAAAGATAGGTCAACCAAAGAACGAGAACAATATGCCATTCTGCGAGGTGCCAAACGAGGGTCGAGGTGGTGGTGGTGGTGGTGGTGTTACCGGTGCCAGGTCCCAAGGAACGGCCGGGTCCACAGCCCTGACATGGCGAACCATGTGCTGTGGCTGCGAAGGCTCATACCGTTGTAATCACACTGTTGAGTGTGTCTCGCAGAGTAGACACTCTTTGCAGGGTACTAAAGAGGGTAGGCAAACGAGGGGAATGAGAAAGGGTGAAATTTCAGGAATCAAATTGGCATCAAAGTAATTATGGACGATACAGCGGTGTACAGTTAACAACACAAAACACGTCAAAAACATACTTGGCAAGAGAGGTCAGGACTGTAGTATCATCACTGTCAAGAAGAATGTGGAGAATCTGCAGTCCGAATGAAGCCAATTTTCGGGGTGGAGTCGCCAGCACGAAAACGTCACGAAAGAAATGGGAACGTAAATCCCGGTTCCGTCGCAGTACAACAAAACGTGTGCCTCATCCTGGACTTCTGAACCACAAAGACTGCAGAAGCGCTGACAGCGGGGAACAGGAAGACGCCTTCGTTCCGCCCATCGGAGGACCTCAACGGTGAGTGTATGAGAAGATGTCAACAGGCGCAAAAGTGCTTTTCTATGGGTGGCAGGAATAACATTGAGCTGTGATAATACTCTCGATATCACCTGGAGAGCCAAATCAATGAATACGAGCTGATTCGGATTTCGTAAGACATGAAGGAGGTCACCGATCCACGAAGCCTTCTTTGACCTGACGAGTGAGAGAGTCGGTCAAGGTCGGGGAAGAACGATGCAGTGCTGAGGGCTGACGAGCCTCCTCTGGATGTTGAGGCCGAAGATGAAGGCTTGAAGGTGTTTGTCCAGACTGGCAAGTGTCGACGGCATGTATGGGCAAAAATCTATGGCAACACAGCATCCAGTAAGAAGCTGGTACTTTCAGAGCATCCTAGAAAGCTCACCTAGCTCCCACTGTCTCATGCTGTGATATTTGCTGCCCTGATCTACTAAACTACGCGCGTCCCACCCAAGGCACTGAAAGAGATCAAGCTGAAGAAGGGAGTCCCCTTGCCTGTCAGACTGCGGGAATGGCGGATGTCAATCAAGAAACGCGATTTTGCAGAATCGTTGTTTGGAGCAAGCGGGTTTAACCATTGTGTTGCTGTCCTCCGTTGGTCCCAAGATCTGACACGAATTCTGGAAGAGGAGTGGTCAGTATGGACAGGAGCTCTTCGCATTCTTCACCACTCTCGACGGACGTCCCTCCACTGGTTCCCATACCTCGTAAATCCAGAACCCAGCAGTTGAGCTTGTTGGCCGATGTCAAAGCGCGTCCGGGAAGAAGAGAATGAGAGGCGAAGACCAGGCAAGCAACCTCGGCCCTCGGGTGGAGCCAGAGATGGTGTCGTCGATTAAGGATGGCTCGCAGGTGCCAGCAGCGCGACGTCGAACAGATTTGGTTCCATCGAACAACTGGCTAGCGAGTCTAAAATCTGAGTTTTATCGGGTTTAGAGTACAAACGGCAAAACGGCAACCAAATGACGCTTGCCGTTTCGAGACAAAGTTCCCTTTTTTGGGCAACCATCATCCCCCTTCAAATTCAAACCAACGCAATGGATACTCCATGTCCCACGAACATTCGAGATTTTTTGTCATTCCTTCCTGCCCGACCTTCACTGCATCCAGATGCGAGATATTCGACTTCAACTGAGGCTTATTATGCCGGAGACGTCGCCCCTCCACAGGAATGTCCTATCTGCTGCCGACCGTACCCTGAACTGCTCCCAAAGCTGAAGAATTTCCTCCATGAATTGGTCGATAGCCTCGGTATTGGTGGCGTCTCTTGTCAGTCAATGCAGCAGGACCTGGAACGTATGAGTCTCAAGTCTTTCCTGACCGAGACCGATGTCAGCTTGTATGGCGCTAACGCCATTGCAGCGATACAGCCTATTGTTCGGGCCATCACCGAGGCTTCTGGGATCCCGGGTCGCATCAATGTGCTCTATGAGCCTGCCCGGGGTGGCATCGTTGATTCCCAGCGAGGCGACTTCAACATTACTGTGGAGCGAAAGTGGCTCGAGGACGGACATGTTCGGCGGCAGCGCATCCTAGTTTGTTCTGACGAGGATAAAGCATATTCGGTATTGCTCTCAAAGGCGGAGGCGCTCAGTCGGCCATTCAGACTTGATGCCACCAAGGAGCAAACTGGTGCCAAGGCCATGGCAGTGAAAGTTGGTGTCCATCGAGTATCAAATCAAAATTGTTATCTCACACAATGTAGCTGGCGCTGCAGATGACTACTGTAGGAGCAGACTATGGATTCTTCTTCGGTGGATTCATCGCGATTGCTGCGCAGCTCGGTGAGTCCCTTGAGTCTTCATCGACATCGCCTGGTCTTTTAGCCGTTCGTAGTACGCTCCGTAGATCCCTCTCATCCAGGAACCATTCTACTCCTTTCGCCGGTTTTCAAACTTCAAAACGAGACTCTCCCAGACCCCTATCCAAGTAAACCGCTCACCCCGTTTCAGGCTAACATACCAACCGAGCCGTTCTTTGCGATAATCGTCGCCATGCTATGCGTCAATATGCTTCCAGAGTACAGCATAGAGGGTCCACCTCGTGATCTCTCCCTGCCTTTGACAATACCTGATGCAGGCGAGGAGGACGATGCTAGAGGTGTCGGTGACGATGAAGAAAACATCATTGTCAGCGGGGAAACTGGTATACCTACCTTTGATCTGCAAGTCGCTACTAATGCTGTATGTGTTTTTTTCATTCAAGGACATTGGAAGATACTGATACGTGTTGCTACTAGATGATATTGCACCATCCTTGGTTGAGTTGTAGTGACATACACCGTATTTCCGTCACTGGCCTTCAGAATATCCCAGCAGCAAACAACTCCATTGCCTTGACGAAATACATATCGCTATCCCCGTTGCAGCCACGATGCTTACTTCGTGCTCCTCACATTCCTTCAACGAACATTGACGTGGTGACTCTCATAGAAAGGATTTCGGCTAGTCGATGGAGCATCGTATGGAGGTGCCGTGTCCAAGGTGGCGACGACAAGTCGCGCATCATGAAGCTTGTGGCGCGAGTTCACTCTGCCATGATTTTGCGTGAGCTCTACATGTACGAAGTAGCGCTCAAGGACTCCTGCTACCTCATCCCTGCGTGTTACGGAGTGTTCCAAAGACCTGCCGGTGGCTGGTTTGGTTTCTTACTCGAAGATGTCGGGGACAGCCTTGAGGAAGTCTATGGCATGGATTGGAGTGACGTAAAGAGGGGCATGAGTGCGACGGAATGGTGAGTCATCTCATCCACGTATTATGGCCTCAATCTGTTAACCGAAAAAATTTCAGGCAAAAATTTATCGATTCGGTGATGGAGCTACACTCTTTAGGTGTTATACATGGTGATCTTGAACCACGGAACGTGGCGCGGACCGCGGACGGTTTCAAGTTCTTTGATTTCGGACGGTCGAAATTGCACCGTTGTCAGCGGGATGAGTGTGGTGAATTGCAAGATTTGTTGGAGATATAGATTTTGGTGTGAGTGCCCCGAGGAATGTGCACACCCACCTCCGTAGATATTCGATGTGCCAGGAAGCTTTGTATCAGGTACTTGGTGATAAATCATTGGATCATATTTCTGCAAAGAAATATGCGCGTAACACTGTACAAACGACCCTCCAGGTGGCGGAGAAAAACCTTGGCACTGTTAGGTCCGTCTAAACTGACGGTGTCGTCAATAACAGATGCATTTCTTGGACTGTAAACAATCATTTGCATAGATACTAGTTTTGGTCTAGTTCTATCTTTACGCATCTTTATCATATGATTGTCACAAGCGTTCTTTCATCTTCATCTTTCAGCCAAAGTGGGAGCGCAAAGAGGTTTTGCAGCCATGGCCAACATTGCAATTGATGCTGACAGCTCGATTGAGAATTCATGGTTCAGATTCTCTCTATATTGATGCTCGTATCTTCCTTATTCACTATTTGAAATCGGTGCTCTTCGAAACGGTCTCCCACTGGGCCTGAAGCTTCAAGTAACCATCCAGCTGCTGTTGCACGCCTCCAAAGCAGTCTGAACCGAGCAACAGCGACTTGGGAAACTCTTTTCCTTGGGCGACGCCCTCTCCACGTACGACGTCCAGCATGACTTGTACACCCTTCTTCGGATCTCCTGGCTGATTACCGTTGTACGCTAACAATAAATTCATAAGAATACTAATAGACCGCATGCCAAGAAACAGGTCTTACCCTGAAACGCCGTCTCGACTTTGTTCGTGAGTTCTTTGTAATCATCAATCCTGGAGACGTGCGGCTTCCGATGGTCTGCGGTGAGGAAGGACGTGCGGAAGTATCCAAGGTCGATGCAGATACTCCTCAGGCCCAAGGGTGCAACTTCGACGTGGAGAGTTTCTGAAATTCCACGGAGTGCCCATTTCGTCGCGCCGTAGAGGCCAGCGTTCGGTACGGATCTGCATCATTGAATTATGGGCAACATTCAAAGGCGAGGGGGGAAACAGGCACACCTCCAGCCGCCAATAGAGCCAACCCAAACGATGGTACCGGTTCGTCGGGCCCGCATGTATGGCAGGAATGCACGGGCCACGTTTAGGGCGCCAAAGACGTTCGTGCTATGAAACATGATGAGCCAAGGGCTGCATTGAAATGCACGATGCTCACTTGAACTGCTCGAAGGTCTCTTCGGGTCTATATCGTTCACATCAGTAAGGAAGAAGTAAGAAAAAAGAACTGGTACATACGTGCTTTCCTCCAGTGCACCAGCCAAGATGTATCCGGCATTGTTCACCAGCACATCAACCCTACCATAGATTCCTACAGCCTTTTCCGCGATCTTCTTCAAGTCATCAAGCGGCGCCGTGACGTCCAGCTCAAGTGTCTCTGCTCCATTATCTTTAAGATCGGCTATCTGATGAACAGACCGAGCTCGAGCCGTCGCGATGACCTTTTCTCCTCGCGCAAGCGCTGCAAGAGCGAGATCTCGTCCGATGCCGGTCCTACACCGACATTAGAGTCAGTATCAAAAAGTTGTTTTAATAGCGGAAACGTACGATGTTCCAGTGATGAGCCAGACAAGTTGAGAAGCAGACATGTTCTTGTGGCACGTTGTTCCTTCACAGTTGCCTTTATATCGTGATCGTGATCTATGCGCCGAACTTAGTCATATTCCATCCGAGTCGGTGCTGTTATTGGATCAGGGTAGAAGATGTGTGTTTCGAGAAAGTGCCACAGCGATGGATACGATGATAATCAATCAGAGAAAACACTAAAGTTTTCGTCTGATTGAGTTAAGTCAGATGAGTATCACGGGTACAATGCGACTTCACGGACCTCTGTTTCCCCATAGGCACCTCCATTGCAATACACAGGCCGCATCTACAGCGCTATCAGAGGCCGTCAGGCTCAACGTCGCATCCCCAGGCCAGTCACCATTTCCAACAAGGCGCTAGGAAATACCAGCCAAATTTGAAGAGCAAATAGTATGAACAAGTTGTATCCTTTTTCGTGTATCTTGAATTGCTAGGCAACCAGCAACGTTGAGCTCGTCGGTATCGTCGTGGTCGTTGAAGACAAGTGCGCTTTCTTCCCACAGCTGGGAAATTCCGATCAGGGTGGCAGTCCTTTCACTGTTTCAGTTCAAGCTTTGTTAATTATTCTATCCGAAACCCGTCTATTTATCACTTGAACTCTTAGTACTACGCTCCAAAAAAGTCTACCTCGATAAAAATTGCGTAAGGTACGATTCTAGGTTCGAAACGTTGTCAATCACGACCGCCGTACCAACAAAGGTATCTGGGCGAACGACGACCACGGCCCCCTTTCCATGGTCAACCCCGTAAATCGAATGAGCATCAGCTCCGAATATACCAGGCGGGAGCTGGTCATCGAACACCACCTGGGCATTCTTCGCCAAGAATGGGTACTCCCGAATGCGAGCCTCCGCTTGGGAAGGCGTCGACCGGACAACAACGACGATCTTGAACAAGTCAACATCGGCGTATTTTTGATAGAAGGAAGCGGATGAGGCGAGGTAGGAATCGAGCGTCTGGAGCCGAGCTTTGATTTCTCCCGCTAGGTTGCTTGCGAAGATGACGAGGTTGAACTGGTCTATGCGACCAAAAGCATCGTACAGTCTCCCGGATACAGCCCTGGATAGGGAGACTCGTGGATCAGGTGTCCTATCAGCCTGTTAGCCCGATATTTTTACATGAAAGGATGATCACCCACCTGTATCCGCAACGAATACCAGTGATCGCGCTTTCCACAGGTTTATTGAGCGCGTTGGTCCTGTAACGAATGTCAAGCCCAATAAGGAACGCTGTGTTCTCCGCAGCGAATTGCTTGAAGAAAGCAACGTGTTCGTCTTCTCCGGGAGAAGGCACGACTTTTGTCTCTTCGATATTCATCGGCGACTCTAAGCCGTCCAGACTCTCGAAGGTGCAATTGCCCACAAAGCGGAGGTACCTAGCGGATGTCCTCACAGCTCTAAGGGCATTTTCTCGTCGTTCCACATCGTATGAGTTGAGTAAGGCTGGTTTGGCGATGCCTTTGCAAAGGGCGCCGAGTTTCCAAGCAAGGTTCTGGGCATCCAGAGCCCCGGTATTCAATCCGAAGGCACCCTTTGCACTGTGTACATGGCTAAAATACGTTTACATGTTAAACAGCAGAACATTGTGGTCACGAAGATAACTGACCATGAATCTCCTGCAAGGAATATCCTGTCTTTGTACGTGAAGGAGCTCGCGACGCGCTCATTGACTGTCAGAGACGGAACGAGTTAGACTTGTCAACGCATGGTTATGAATTGCTTACTTGTAAGGATGGTGAACTGAAAAGCTAGGTTGAGAAAACATATAAAGGAAATCGAGCCATTTACTTACCCAGTCCACAGGGCTAGCGTACTTGAGGTAATAGGGAGCGAATATTTTGTTGAGTTGCTCGAGAACTTCATTCGGTCCCCACTTGATATACGTTAGAACAAAGCAAGCAGGACATCAAACGAGTATCTACCTTCGAAGCATCAAATGGCTGGCCTGGTTCTGGCTTTAGCTGAGCATATAGTCGAACCATGTCACGTTCGCGAGGGATGATGAGGCAGCCGCCATGCTCGGAGTTCAGAACCGTTCTAGGGTACATCATAAGAAAGAATCCTTTTGGACCCAAAAGTCAAGCCTTACCCGAATATCCAGCGATGAGGAACTGTAGACTTGGTATCAGGTATCAAGGATGTCACATAAATGATAAACACCCACAGTTGGTATCAAAGACAGCGTCAACAATTCCCCAGTGAAGATCAGTCTTGATTCCGTCGAATTTGACGGGCAGGGATTTACGAATCATACTGTGTGCGCCGTCAGTTCCGACCAAGTACCTGGCAGTAACAAGTTCTTGAGCTCCAGTCGCATGGTTGGTCACGTTGATAGATATGGGATGCGTAACGGAAGCATCGGCGTCTTCGTCGAACTTGTACGATGTTGCAGTGCAAGGCCGCTCAACGAGCATATCATGACGAATAAGATCTCTGACAAACTTGCGTTAGCAAATTGTAGTTACTGCATAGAAAAAGTTGTGCCAACCTTATGAGTGCATGTTCGATTTCGGTCTGAGTAGCGGTGTGGAGACCTGTAGTGAATGAATGAGAACATGAAACAATAAAAATGATAGAGTTTCAGGCATACCGTGATAACGGCAAGAATAAGAGGGTGACTGGTGACTCTCCGCGAAGATCTCTTTCTTTCCATCTTTGTAGACCACCGTGTGTCCCATGAGTGGTCCGAGAGGAGTGACTTCGTCAACAATACCCATCTGTTGGAAAAGTTCCAACGTCCGAGGCTGCAAGGCATCAGCCCTACCGACAGGCAAAGGATGGGCCGACTTGTCCAGGATACGCGTGGTTATTCCTTGACGTGCCAGGAGTCCGGCAGTTATCAGTCCAACCGGACCAGCTAAAGGGAATATCAGTGAGCAAACATACGGGGACTATAGTGAAGAACGTGAACGTACCACCAACTACAAGTACATCAACCTGGGAGGGAGGTTTGAAGTCGGGTACGGCGGGATTTTCGCAGTTGGTTCCATTCAAGAGGTCGGGGTAGGTGGGGATGTCATTCACTCCGAGGTCGTTTGGAAGCGAACCATTCGCGCTACGAACAAAACATTGCTTAGTTTCGAACCGAACGAAGGTAGGAGGTGCACATACTGCGACGAGACGAGAGGCTGGGTGTAACCTTGAGGTTGATCAGGGAGAACGGCCATTCTGAGTAAGATGTGCGGGAAGATGATGATGGAAGTTGAATCGCGCAGGTTTTATAAAGGATCAAGTTGTACTCGTCCTTTGAGCGGTCGATATATCCACCAAGTCCGTAGCACAGATATGGCACTCCATTTAGGATAAGGGCCAGTGAAACTGTATTTGCACCAATGGAGATCCCGAAGGTTCTCGTTCCTTCCAGGAATATTCCGCGATGTTTCAGGAGAAGAAGAATGAACCATCTAATTATTGCCAAGATGTAGGAAAGGCCTAGTGTTGATATCGACAACAGAATGACACCTGTGAAAAGATAGAGTGCATGTGGATCGGCACTGCGAGATGGTTATCCTTTCGTAAGGACAATGACTGTTTGAGACATGGGAGTAACAGACATAAAAATTTCCATACGGCTATGTCTGTCCGACGAGCAAGGGGACCCGAGTGAAGTTGATAGTCGAGAGAACTGATAAAAATCGTTGAGTGATCAACGATCACCATCTATCAGAACGTCCAAAAACGGGCAAGTTGATCACCGGCTGACATAAGCCCCGATTGCCGACCCCGACCCATGCTGGATGTCGCTAGTGACCGTCGTTCGTCCCTACCCGTCGCTACCGCCCAAAGGCAGGGTCAACTCTGGTCAACTGCGTGGACGTCTGAAACGTCAAATCATTGTACGAAACCCAAGTATAGTCAGCATCGTACCTCAAGTCCGGCCGGCGGCATCTCCAGGGCAACTTTTTCTTTTGATCGGAGCTGATTTTCGTGCCAGCTCAGTTCAGCTCATCTCACTTTATGTCCCTGAGTTCATGGTTTGTCCAGTTCGTTTTCCTCTCACGCCGGCTCGCAACTCACTTCAAAGGATTATCGGTATTCTCCCGCGCATCCCCCCCTTGCAAGTTCTACATTTTGGCACTGCCGTGAAGGGTCGTTAAGTGGATCTAGTCCCATTTTCAATAGCAGGGATGACACGGCCATTTGTTGATTACCTTTCACTCGGATACACAAGGGGTTACGGGGCGCGTGCAAAGCCACCAAGTTTTGGATGGACAAGGTTATCGCTATCACAAGTCTGCCGAGAGATAAGCAAATTTATGTTATAGCAGCAAAACGCGAACTACACTACGTCTCTGCCATTTATTACCCCCCCTTCTCTCGTACCTTTCCTTTCACCCAATGGCTTCCCAAGATACCTTTAGCCGTACGTCCACCAGCGTTGAGGTACGCGTCTTTCTACTTCAAGCTACTGAAGTGGCCTTCTGACGTCGTGTCTCCTTAGCTGTCATGCCCAGACGATATAACAGGGCTTGAACGTATAGTTCTTGCAGCGCAAGGAGACCTCCAGCGAACCTTAAGGTAAATCATCTTCAGGTTTTTCTAATGGCTAGACGTTGAACTCATTCAACTACCACAGTTCATTTTTCGGGAGACCCATATCCATAGAGTGCATCTATGCGCACACCTCCCCTCGTGAACAGCCAGCTTCTCCCGAGCACCCTATCACTCAGAATCGTCAAGTCCACCTCATATGCTCGGGACGCACAGTTTGTGTCGCGACATCTTCCGTCACCATCACTTCCCCCGAATGCGAAGGTCTATTCCTTGACCAAAAATTCGCTATTGGGCAGTTATTCCGGCACCTTCGCTGTCCCCCAAAGTTCACGTTGATTGACGCGGAGACAAATGTCGTCGGTGCTCGGCGAGAGTTGCGCAGAAACTACAGGCTCGAGATTGAAGGGATCGTCTGCGACATCTTGGAAGAATTTCCGGATAGGGACATGTTCGTTCGCGGACAGGCGTGGCTGGACGAACCTGTCCCGGAAATCCCTGCTCAACCATCTCCTCTATCAGGTACCAGCTCTTCCTTGTTCCAATTCACTCCATTTTTCCCCGTCTCGAATCCCACTTTGGTGTCCATTCTCGAGAAACAGGCCGCGGACCCGATTGTTGGTCAACAAGTCTTCGCCCTTTATCCAGATCCGTTTGACCAAACGTCACCTTCGCCAAACCACTATGCCGAGATCACGTATCGTCAGTTTAATGATCTTGTAGACGCTGAAGCAGCACTGTGGTCTGAGCGCTTCGTGCCTGTAGTCAAGACGAGCAAGAGCCATCCAGTCATTGCTGTCCTAGGAGATAGTGGCTTTAATCTTGCTGTCACAGTCCTCGCACTTTCCAAGTTGCATGCCACTGTATTTCTCTTGGCTCCTGCCGTGAGTTTTCTCCCTCTTTCGGTAAACTCACTTTACTCACTCGAATGTTTACAGAATTCTCTCGCTGCTGTGAAACACCTCTTAGGCTCCTGCGATGTTTCCGTCCTTTTGTACGGTCAAAACCACACCAAGTCGGCCATGGAGGCAGCAGCCGACTGCGGTGTCGCGGCTCTTCCATTAATGGCTTCCCCTCCATTTGGTTCTTCAGGATCCTCCCAATATCGTCCCTTCCTACCTACCCCTCCAGATATCCCAATTATTGTCCATAGCTCCGGTTCGACAGCTTATCCTAAGCCAGGTAAACATTTTTATCGTCCTTCTTCATTACCTTTGGACTTAATACCCCTTACATTTCAGTCCGCTGGTCAAATACAAGCTTTTTGGCAAATGGTCAAATCATGGTCACCAGCGGTGAATGGTCTGCCTTTGCGCGTCCGAACAATCGTTTCTTGTGCTTGGGTCCACTGTGAGTGGTCTTAGAATCTCGTTTCCCTACCATGGCTTCGAATACTGACTACGACGTAGATTCCATACAATGGGATTGACGTTAGGTCTGGCAAGCACCATTTGTTCGGGATCCACCATCGTATTTCCTCTGGTCAAGCAATGGCCTCCTACCCCAGGTGATGTCATCCGTTCCCTTCGCGCCGGGAATATCACAACGTGCATCCTCGTTCCGATTCTTTTGGATCAACTAGTCAGCACTTTAGAGGACGATCCAAACGGCCAAGATACCTTCGATCTGTTGGCCAAACTTCGAGTTTTAATTGGTATGTTGGGCTTATTTTGCTTCTCTATTATGACGAATTGACATCCATCCACAGTCGGTGGCGCCCACTGCCCAGATAGTTTGGCGGACCGCCTCGTATCGCGTGGTGTAAACCTCAAGTACGTTTATGGCTCCAGCGAAACGGGTCATCTGATGGTTGGATCTCACGAACGTCTCACGGCTGATAACCGGACATCATGGAAACTTCTTCAACCATTTCCTCACACTTCGCCGTTGTTAAAACCCGTGGAATCTTCGGACGATCGCAAGCTGTACCAGGTTCATATGGCTGCGGACGATGTCCGTTTGGCTGTGGGAGCACTTAATCCTGGAGAAACGACCTGGAATACGGGCGATATAGTTCAAGAGGTCTCTCCCGGGAATTTCCAGATTCTTTACAGAGATGATGATATTTTGGTCCATGATAGCGGTAAGTGCTTGTTACCGGGATCTTACGAGAGACTGATGATAACCGCGTTCATAGGCGAAAAGACAAATCCCATCCCAATGGAACTTCGTTGCAGAGAGAATAAGCTCATCAGTCGTGTCGCGATTGTTGGTCACCGCCGCCCTGCTTGCGCCGCCATCATCCAACTCAATGAAAGCGAGGCACGACAGTATACGGAAGAAGAATGCCACGAAATCTGCCGGGGAGTAATCAAGTCAGCGAACCTCGAAGCGCCTTCGCATTCGAGGATAATGGAAGATATGTTCCTGGTTCTTCCCCTGGGCTATAAACAGATACCTGTTACTCCGAAGGGTACGTATATCAGCCTTGGTGATCCTAATTGTATCTTATCGTACGCGGCAGGTAACTGTATCCGGGCCAAAGTCCTGGAGGTACGTTTCTCCGTTAGTGATAGATGTATAAGAATCTTATTTGCATTACCATCTTCAGATATTCTCCGAAGAGATCGAAAAGCTTTATCACGATCTTGATGGCGATAGCACAACTTCTACATCAACTCTCGTTGCTTCCCACTCCGAGCTACGGGATCAGGTCTCCAAAATATTTGCAGAATTAACTGATCACAAAGATCAACCTCTCGATTTGGACAAGAGTCTATTCGATTTGGGCCTTGATTCCGTCACTGCGCTAGCTCTGCGTAACAAACTTGCGAAGACATTTGGCGTCAAGCTCCCACAACAATTCGTCTATCAAAACTTTTCACTTGCGCGATTGTCCCTTGCGTTATACGCTCTTGTCGCACCAACCCCAGAACGGCTCCCCTCTCCTACAGCTCACTTGGTCGATAAGAACCAAGTGTTGCACGACCTGCTTGAACGTCAGCTCCTTGCACTCGGCCTCTCTTCGAACTTCATCCTTGCGAGCAGATCTCCAGCTACATCCTACCCGACTGATGGACAGGTAGTCGCCGTAGTAGGAGCTGCTGGTTCACTTGGAATATGGCAAGTGAAAAAGCTGTTGGAGCGTGCGGACGTTACCAAGGTCGTGTGTATGGTCAGGGGATCAGACGTTGCCGCTGTCTACAAGAAGCTCAAGATCGGTTTCTCCAAAGCTGGGCTCCTGGAGCTAGCGGACGAGACCGATCTGTGGCTTGACAACCAAGTCGCGCATCCCGGTGTCCCTTCTGTCCAGCTAAACCAGCGCGTGGTGGCAGTCCCATTCGACCTATCAAATCCTAGATTTGATAGAAACGAGTATCTTGCTTTGGCGAGGGGACTAACGACAATCATCCACACCGCATGGAAGATGGATTTCAATCAGGTTGTTCAAGGCTTTGAAGATTGTTTGATTGGTTAGTTTCTATCTTTCGTTTTATAAGCGCTTAACTTATCTATATTTTAGGTACTACTCAGCTCCTTCTTCTCGCAGGATTCATGCGTCCGAAGGAGTTCTACTTTATTTCCAGCATAGGCGCTGTGTTGGAATCGAAGCAGAAGCCGGTGCCGGAGGTTATCTTACCGTGGGGAAAAGACTCCCATATTCCCGCCTCCCCGCATGGATACAGCGAGTCGAAATTTGTGTGCGAGTACCTCGTCGAGAATGCCGCTTCTTTGTTGGAAATTCCTTGCTCCGTCGCGCGGGTCGGACAAATCACGGGCGATACAGTGTCTGGTGTATGGAAGACTCAGGAAATGAACCCATCCATCATTGCGGGTAGCGCACGCATCGGAAAATTCCCTATCGTTCCAGATGTCGTTGATTGGGTCCCGGTCGATGTTGTCGCATCGACTACCGTCGAACTTGCTCTACAACCCCAGAAATCCGGTGCAGTCCGCGTCCATCACGTCGTCCATCCCTTCCCGTCGAGCTATAACGATATGGCCCATCATCTTCAGGCATGCGGAATTTCGGTGGTCCCTGTGTCTCCTCAAGAATGGTGGACTGCCATCTGTGCCGACGAGGATAATCCTTGCCTGAAGATGGAGGCGTATATCCAGGATATCTTCGTCAATGCCCACGACCGCAATGACTCGGATATAAGGGGCATTCCAACGTTAGACCTTCCTCAGACATTGGCCGCCTCAAAATCACTTCGACAGTGCCCGACCCTGGATAGCTCGCTCTGGCAAAGATATATATCATATTGGCGGGAGACCGAGTTTTTGGCTTAATAGTTTGATGGTAGAGAGTTATATATTTCTGTGGGACTTCATTGTACAACTTGAACATCAGCGTGATGTCAACTACTACGTCTTTTTTTCATCGATTTTATGTAGGTTCAGTCACAATCTTTAGAAGGCCAGAAGGCACTGTACAGGACAACGGGAATGAGATGCACGTTCGATATCGAAATTAAACTTCAATGATGGTCGATATAAATAGTTTGCTTCTTTTGTGCATTTAAAAAGAGAAGATCTGTGATTTTATTATATGTTGCAGTGCCGAGCTTAGAATACCATCCCGGCCTTTGTAAGACTCCGAGTCTCGTTGGCGCAGCGGAACTCGCGGAAACGAGCAAAGTTCGCCGCAAATGATGCCATACATCCGTTGCGTCTGTGCTATTTATGTGTGAGAACAACACTTATCTCATGCACCTTAGCTGTAATATATATGTACGTGATACCCGAAGAGACCTTAGACGCTCAAGCGCTCAAGTGTTTTAAATAATAACCAGTGTATTTGCCCATACTGAAGATGCGTTATGCATACGACAAATTTAGAGTATTACTGCAAGTGATATATACCATACCGAGTCCTGAACGTTGAATAAGATAGATTAAATTCCATTGCCTCGTTAGATCTCCCAAGCCGTCCTAATTATGTCGCTTGCCCTTTCTGCGATGATGTAGATAGCAGCTTCGGGATGCGCGGAAGGAACGTAAGGCTAAAATCAAACGATTCAGATCAAAGGAGGACGCGAACAGAGAGGTACTCACGAAGATAGACGCATCAACTATCCTAACACCAGTTACATTCTTTACCAGCAAGTCCGGTGAAACAACACCGGAAGTATCATTAGAGGCACTTATAGTTGCGGTGGAAACCGGATGCCAAACCTGCACATCGTCGTCAATGTCCCATCGTAATTATAGACAAAGTTGGACTGACCGTAGTGGTAAAGTTGCGGATGTATGCGTCGATGTCCTCGTCTGTACTGGCCCCTGCAGTTCCATATGGTCCAGAAATGTATCCGTCAAAAGCAGGAGCAGAGATGAATCGGCGCGCGCTCTTGTACGCCTCACGAAGCATAAGCAGATCGATAGGCTCCTTGAGCATTGCCGGATCAATGAGTGGAGCGTCCCATGGACTGCTGGTGTTCAGCTTCAGATAACCACCTAGATTTAGAACGAAGATAAGACACGATGATTGCAATCAGTTTAGATAGAAGCGTACGAGATGCAGGAGTGATCAGGTTGCTGATGACGGTCATGAAATTTCCGGTATCAGGAAGCGACTGAATTGGTCCCACAAATCCATTCTATACGAGCAAATCAGAAATACTCAGTAGCGAAAGAAAGATATATACATACAGTGAAAACAAGCTCATAGTGTCCAACCGTCGGGCCCGGAGAAGGATCTGTGGCATTTTCCCAAATGCTGGAATTATCCGGTATGCGCAGCCAGCCGATATGATTGCAGATGGTGTTCACAAGGGGACCTGCATGAGAGTCAATGATACGGCATACAAAAAGATGTATCAGATTATTTACCTTGACCAGTCTCTTGGTACTGTTGCAATTGCTGTGCAGCGATAGACGCATTTCGGGAGGCACTCTCCCAAGTATTGTCAGAGTTCACATAGAACTGATTAGGGAGAAGGGCATGATCCTGGAGGTTGCGACCAACGTCCGGAACTTGAGCAATGGTTTCTATTCCAACCGCTTCGAGTTCGGCCTGATCTCCAACTCCCGAAAGCAGCAGAATCTGAGGTGTACCAATAGAACCTGCGCTAAGGACGATCTCATTCTTAGCCGTCAGATTGAATACAGGCTCTATTAGACCGTCAGTGTGAATATAAGACTACGCTTTTTTGATACATACCATCGGGACCTTGCGAGAATTCCACTCCTTTGAGCTCTGGAACTCCTCCTTGAGTACCGGTTTGAATCAATTTCGTTACCTATACCAGAGTTAGAAGAATATTACAACACAAGCCATGACAACTAACCTGATACTCAATAAGGACGTCCAAATTGGCTCTGTTAAGAATCGGCGTCAGGTATGATGTCGCCGAACTACTTCTCTCAGGTATTTCCCCGCCTAGAGAGCCAAACACCCAACCTGTTCCATCTGTAAGATAAGAAAACGGGTGCCGACTGCGGAAGCCTCACCGATTCCGGTTTCATTCCCCTTGTTCATGTCCTGGTTAAACGGATAACCGGCAATCTGCGTTGTGGCGTTCAGGATGAGGTCATCTATGGGAGTAGGGTATCCGGGAAGACTTGTTAGAAGTGGACCATCAAAGCCGTGCGCCTCAGGGATGAATTGCCCAGTGGTATTATGTCCATCTGCCGGTGGTGTCAATCGCTCGAGCTGTCATATAAGATTTTAGGTTCAATTAATAGTGATGGATAGGTGAAATATCGTACCTTTCGCATGTAAGGTTCCAGAGCGTCCCAAGACCATCCTTGGTCTCCCGATACATTTGCTATCCGGTCGAAGTCATCAATTCCACCTCTATTGAACACCAGGTAGTCTAACATTGGTTAGTATATGATATATTTGGACAACAATTGATTACTTACTAACGGTGCTACTACCGCCAAGAACTTTCCCTCGTGGGTAAGGGAAGGTTCGATTATTGAGTGCCTCTTGGGGCATGACAGTATAATTCCAGTCCCAAGGGCCTTTGTTGGGTGTCAAAGTTGGACTATAATAGGGCACTTCTGCCGCTAGTCCGGCATCCCTGTAAATTGCGTGAGATAGCCAACAAAGATGTATTCGACAGACGACTAACGAGATGCCTGCTTCAATGAGAAGCACCCGGCTGTTGGGGGACTCTGTGAGCCTATTGGCTACAACGCATCCGGCTGCGCGCGAGCGTTAGAACCCGGTTGTGGTGATTTAATAACGGATGCTGACCTGTACCCGCACCGACGATAATGAAATCGTATTCAGCTGACAGGGTTTCGTTTGCGTTCCGTAAGAGTCGTCCGGTGACGTTATTAAGAAGCACTGATAGGGTCAGGAGGGAGGAAAAGAAGCACTTCTGCATGGCTAACAAGGAAGCTTGGAAGTGGCGACGTCTATAATCGTGTTTTCCATCCCGTACTTATGTTCTCTTCGTCCCGTCAGGTTTGATTGCAAGCGCTGATACGAGCATGGGGAAATCGACATCTGGACCAGCGCCATACAAATTTCAGAGGCTAGGCTGCTACAATGCCCTGTTGCAGAGTTGACACTGCACTGACTGGACCTGGAAGTCGGTGAGAAAATCACATTCTAGCCTGATACAGTGATCGAATACGATGGAATCGTTGGCTGTTCAGTATGGGCGGAGCATGATCAGCAAGATGGATGACTTGAAGCCGACGGTAACTAGCAACTCCACAAGGAAATCAATGCCTGGAATGTGACGAAACAAAATGATCCTTACCATGACGAGAGCAATACGAATATAGCTCCTTAATTTTGTCGGAGTGCACGTGCTGATACATGTCAGGTTGCAGGTCGTTTCTCGGAGGACATCCAATTAAGATTGTTGAACATGAGGATGCGGCGGATTCAACAAAATGATGTGATTGACGGTAGCGTCGGGAGCGGTGCAACGTAAGTGAAACGGAATTCCACGCCAAGCAGAAACGCAGAACAACATATTGAACGCGCCCATGACCATGTGTATCTTCATGATAACACACATGTTTTCATGAACAGCCCTAACGGCGAACAGCTTTAGCTGCAGCAGGATTGAAGTCCCGGCGGCCTTGGAGTCGGAAATGATACGGCAAAATTGTTTGATGGCCGCTGTACAGCCACATTACATATATTACCCCATTTGCCGATCTATCTGACCGCGTCTAGGGGCTCCGTTTGGTGGCATTACGGTATCCTGGTTTTGTTTAGTATTGATTAAGTTGAACCAGCTTTCGTAACTTTCGTATCCAGCTCATTTAGCGCCCAACCTATCACACGGTTAATTGCAGATTGACTTAAAATTCAAAAAATCAGTACTCCCCTGGCGTGGCGGCTAACCGTCGGGCACGGAAATGCGTGGGAGACCGACTCTTCGCTGATGTTCCTGAAGTACATTCTGCTGCATTCTTGGAAGTCAGAGATTGCCGATCTATTCCATCAGCTGACTTGTATCGTCTGTACTGGTAGGAATCGTGCTCAGAAAGCCTAGAAACATACGAGGATAACCTCTTGTTCATCTATCGAACACTCTTGATCTTTTCAGGTGACAGTAACTGTAAAGCCGGATATTTAGTAATAATCTTTACGATTCCCGATGCACCGACGATGGCTTTGTTTCTGAACGCAGCGAGCTCGGCTCTACATGCACTTACTACATGTCGAATTCCAGACGATTCACCGGGTTTGACCTCAGCATACCGGAGAAAAAGGTGAAACACGAGGTTCCGTTACTCAAACTATAGATAGAAAGTGCAGCAGCGCGCGCCGCTCTTTCCCACCCTTGGCGGAAGATAACACTTAGCCAATCCGAGCGCAAAACAATAGAGAGCAAGCCAAAGAAATTTGCTATTTATTATTGGATGGTTTCAGCAAGGTCCTCCGACGAGTTAGATAAGTGGCTTCTGTCGAACAATCCCGACGCATACGGCGAGTGTCCATGTGCAAGCCACTGCAAGTATGAGATGAAGCTGATGCGCTGAAGCGGAAATCTCCCGTGATGCATCAAGTATCAGGCTCTGCCTGAAGCGCCACTGCACATTGTCATTGAAAGGTTAAGGTTACCGCAGTCCAAACTCAAGAGTCGCCTCACTTCGTTTATTTTTCCATCAAAACAATGAGTTACCATTATCCTCATAAAGAAGTTTGACTTGATGCTCACCCGAAGACAACTGGTTCGTCATGAATGAGTTTCTCCAAGTGAAATGACAAAAAGCGACGGAGGTCAATTGGAAATCAATACTTAGAATTCAAACTGATGGTGTCTGCAAGCTATATCAGGGCGGCTATCTCGAAGCTCAAAGCTGATTGGTCAATCATTATACAAACGACCTATAGTGAGAATATGGTCACGACTGGGGTTGCAGGTCGACACAAGAAAGCCAAGGCTTTCAGACGACAGCCTGTCGAACCTGCTAAGGAGCAGAGTAGTAACCGTCCCACTGGACCAATTCGACCGAAGTTCGACAGTTCGACAGCCTTAGCCAAGCGTGCTGATTAGCTGCTTGGTAAGCACCGACAAGATCGAAGCTGACATGTGATGTTCTCCTTCAGGAAGGTATGACGCATGGCTTGATGCCAAAAGCTGATTCGACTCGGAATTTTTTTTCGACTGAATTACTCGTCTGTACCTCCCCAACCTTACCTATCGAACCCGCTTAATTGTTAAAGGCCAGAACTGCGGGTCCGAAGCGTGCCTCACCTTATAACCACTCCGGCTCCCTTCAATTTCGCCAGGACGCTCAATGTGACGCTGAGGAGAATCAGATGGTTACGAATTAGACAACGGGACAATATGTCTTTCCTTTTTGGTCAAAGTTGGCGCTTCTGTACCGACAATGACCCTCCGCGTTCTTGCCACCCCCGGGGCCCGACGGTTGTCATCTGGTTGACAAGTGTCAACATACTATGGTACACTGTTCGGCGTTAAAATATTGTGACAAGTTCGACCCCCGTTGAGGATAGCCTGCCGCTCAATTTCTCCAAGATGGAAGCGCCCGTCACTTACGGGTTTAGCTATATCGTTCCGCTAGCGAACGCACAGTGACGGTTGAGCGACTGATGATGGTCTAAAATGGTCGATACAAACCACAGTCTTATCTTTGCACCCCTGCATCTGAAAATTTCGAGGGTGCAACCCAAAGCTTCGGTTTCCTTATACGTATTTCTGTGCAGGAATCATATTCAATTGTACCAGATTACTTTCGGGGCAGCGGTGAAAAATACAAGTGATAGTGATCACGGGCATTCAATTGCACCAGCAGAGAAACAGTGTCGTCTGTTCGGGAATATGAAGGTCTTCTTTATCAGGGACATCATCCAATAATAGTTCAGCCACTGACAGCACTTACTCAATCAGAAACCTTGTCGTTGCCACATGGGATGGCGGTTTACCCGAATCCCTCTCAGCCTTGCATCATGAAATCCTGTGTGTGCCCTCTAGATCCTTTACTCCAAGGTTAATCATGATCACACTCTTCTTTTCCAATGAAGTTCGGGGACAGGGCGACGTCACGAATGACATAGGCCTTGTCCAGAGTTTAATACTAGACTGTACAAAGTCTTAAGTACTTGGCAATGCCGCCCTGGGGAAGTGTTCTCTCAGTTCAGCGGAGGTTTCCAAAAACGAAACCCACGCACCAGTTTGGATCTTGACCCTAGGATTTCGACTATCCTTTAATGTCCTTGAATTAGAACCTCAGGAAATAAATCAGAAAATTCGCTCAAGTGGGATAGAATGCCCGAAATACTGGCAGCTTTGACAGTGGTCATGTACACAATTGTATTCATGAAAGCCCTTTACATCACATTTCTAAGGGAAGACGACGACATTCCTGAACCTCGCCGTATTCTTCATCACGCCCTCGTACGCCTCACTAAACTCCTCCAACTTGTGCTCCGTCACGATAGGCTTGACGTTCGTGATCGTCGAAAAGGTAACGCACTTCTCCATATCCGGTGCAGCCCCGCACGACCAACCTCGAATCGTGGCACGATTCATATTGAGCACCAAGTTCCACACCTTGATTTCGGTATCCGTTGCGGCAGAGACGAGGGTAACTGTGCCGTTAACAGCAATGGCAGGGATGATGGCGTTGATTTGTTCGGCGTATGGAGCCGTACAGATGATCACTTTGGCGCCGCCGAGAGCTTGGATTTTCTCAACAACATTCGTGCTGCTGGAGTCGATGTACTCGTGAGCACCAATAGATAGAGCAAGGTCACGCTTGGAGGATCCCGATGAGACAGCGTAGACCTAGTAGTGCGTGTTAGTAGTGTAAAATCACGCTAACGGAATCTAAGCACCTTTAGTCCCATTTTAGCCGCATACTTTGATTTGATTTAATGAGATTTGTATGGAGAGACATAAGAATCACACCTACTTGTACAGCAAGATGTCCCAGTCCACCAATTCCTTGAACAATGCAAATGTCGCCGTGGCACCATTTAGTGGTTCGGATAGCGTCGAATACTGTCGCTCCGGCGCAGAAGAGAGGCGCCAGTTCAGCGTATGAGAAATTCTGAAGGGTTTCCTCGAGAAGGGTGATTACGGCTGACCATTCTCATCAATCAAAGAAAAAATGGAACGAAAGTAGAGACGAACATGTTTCCGGGGCATACACGTACTCGGCGTGTCCACCATCATGGCTGAATCCGGTGTAGGCAGCATGCTTACACGTCCAGAACTCGCCCTGGCGGCAGTTGTCGCAGCGATTACAGAACCCGCCGTTCCAGCCAACGCCTACCAAGCCATTGAGCTTGAATCGCCCGGATTCACCATCCTTGGCCTTGATATCTGACCCGATTCCTGCGATCCGTCCGACAACTTCATGTCCTGGGACCCTGGGGTATTGAAGGCCAGGCCATGAGCCGTCTTTGACAAAATGATCAGAGTTACAGATGCCAGAGGCGTGTACACGAATCAGAATTTCGTTGGGACCGGGTTCGCGGATAGAACGAGTTACGACTTCCCAAGGAGAGCCAGGTGTAGGACATTGAACTAGAAACTTGTTAGCGATATGAAGGATGGCATACAGAACGACATACCTGCTTTGTAGGTCTGGGGGACGTTAGCCATTGTACGAGTATCGATTCAAGTCGTGAAAATCGATAGCAAAATAGTTCTCTGGATAACCCAAAGTAGGTGCTGCCTACATAATCCAAGATCAAAAGAGATTTATATCAGCTCGGCATCGGTCTAAAAGATCCACATCCAGTCAATACAAGGTGGAAGCTGTTACTTTCTGAAATTAGACGGCCATCATTTCGCAAGATGACAAAGCCCTCTACCCAGGGTATCCGATCAATAATGGACCACATGACCTTGAAACATCTCCAAACGGAATCTGTGTCTCACGCTGTGATGCTGAACATACCCACCTACCACCGAAAAACCATTGTTCGCCGAACATGCCGGAGGTAGCGAATGGGTATGTTGCAACGCCTCACCATGCCTTGGCACTCACCCCGGGATTCGTGCGTGATTAAACGTTAATCGGTGCTTCTCATTCTTCCTTCTCCTACGACAATGTCGAGCACCACAATTATCTCTCCAACAGACTCCCCGATACCGCAAATACCGCCGTCCATTGCAAACCGTGTTTTTGTTACTGAGAAAAGCACATTAGAGGCACCTCCCCCACAAGTCGCTCGTTGGCGAGCATGGTCACTTTTGCTCGTTTTTTCCATGGCCCAGATGCTTGATATCTTCAATGTCACGGCGCCTACGATTGCTTTGCCAGAACTTGCCTCAGATTTGGGCATTTCTTACTCTGAGCGCCAGTGGGCTATCAACGCGTACTCATTGACTTTTGGCGCATTTCTCTTGACCGTTCGTACTTAGAGTTTTCTTACCATTATTAAAAATCTTAACTTTAAAATCAGGGAGGGCGCTTTTCAGCTATGTGGGGATCTAAGAGCATGTTTGTTCTTGGGTTCACTATAGTCGGCGTCTGCGGTATCATTGACGGTTTTTCTACCAATGGACCAATGTTATTTGTTTTTCGGGCCTTCCAAGGGATCGGTCAGTGCCCTCAATGTCTTCTCATCTTCCTATCTAATGCTGTTCATCTAGGAGCTGCGCTGACAATCCCTTCGGCTCTTGCGATGATAACAACCTTGTTTCCGAGTCGTGGTGAGCAGGACCGTGCTCTGGGAGTGTAAGCTCTATTTTTTCTACTCTAGAATACCTTTAGATAACAATATCCTCTTCTTTAGCTTTGCCGGGTTTGGTGCGATGGGAAGTATAGTCGGTCTTGTTCTGGGAGGTGTCATCTCCCAGCTTCTCGACTGGCGCTGGGTATTCTGGATCTCGGCTTGCATTATCCTGCCTCTTTCGTTCATAGCATTCCTGCTCGCTCCTCCCTCGCCTCACTCTGACGATGCTCCCAAACTCAAGAACATGGATTGGCTCGGCCTGGCTTCTATTACCTGTATGTCTTTCTGTCGCCACTTCCAGGTAATCTATCTCACGTCCACCTTCAAGTGGCCCTGATTCTGTTCATCTATGCTGTGACTGAAGGCAACAACCGTGGATGGACCTCAGCAGAGGTTCTCGCACCTCTTATCATAGCTATTGTTTTACTCCCAACGTTTGGCTTCATAGAAACTAAGGTAGTGGAACCGCTCATCCCACCAGTGATCTGGACTCTCCCTGGATTCGTCCCATTGTTTGTAATCACTTTCAGGTACAAATTCCATGACTATGACTGGATGATCAACTGAATAGTCTCTCTCAGTGAATACCTCACGATGAATGTGATAATATTCCAAGAATCGCTTCTATTCCAGCAAGTTTGGCATACGTCGGCGCTAAGCGCTGCCCTTCGAACGTGTGTGCTTCTAGTTCTTTCCTTTTTTAGTACTCTATATCTTCCTCCATAGCATTCCTTTCGGTATCACGGGCTTCTTTACTACAGTTAGTATGGGTTTCGTTACGCCATTCGTCGCACCACGGTGGATTCTTGCCGTAGGACAAGTCTTTATGATTGGCGGAGCTCTTCTTGTCGCGTTTGCGCCTACCCCTGACAAGTACTGGTCAATGGTAGTCCCCTCACTTATCCTTACGGCGCTAGGTGTCGCTAGCGGTTTCGTTGCAGCCAAGTACGTACATGCATCCCTAGCACTCCCCGTCACAATTTTACTAACACGACCTATTTTACCAGCATCGGTATGATACGTACCCCACTTGCTAAGCCCTCTGTGAGGATCCACGAAAGTACAGCGCTCATAGGCGCTATCTTTAACGCCGACTTGCAAATTGGATCTACGATTGGCCTAGCTATTACCACGGCGATTACTACTCAAGTCAACGGGAGCAACGTGGAGGACTTTGCTGGTTACAAGGCCAGTTATTGGTTCCTAGTCGCACTATGTGCCCTCGAGGCGCTTTTGGCGGCTGTCGCACTCCGCAGCTGGAGTGGGACTGGGATGGCTGAAGAGGTGGAGTCAGGAGAGCAGAAGTCATCTTACTTGTCCGAAGAGGCGGCAAATGGAGTTGTTGAGCGGTTGTAGATGCGTATGACTGACCGGATGAACTTCAATGATACATTCATTTGTAGCCACTATAGGAGATAGACTTTCACACAATGTGTATTTACCCCGTTTACTGGAGCACTCACTGGTGATGAACATGATATGTCAACTTTGAGTGATGAGAAGAAAGCACTTCGTATCCGAGTCGGATTTTCAGCATACCACCTTTGGGACTTGATAGTTACGGAATGACAGTTCATAAACGTGCACGTTCACAAAGAGTGTATCAGAATACAAATATTCCAAACGGGTATGTATACGTCCCGAGTCGACCAAGACTTTATTTTAAGTTGTGATTGATGGCTTTTGTTGATGCACTGATTATTTCAAGTCGTCCGATCATATGGGCTGCGCGCTAGTTCGGCTCACTTCGGAAGCAATTCACCTGAGCCGGCTCGATGGCTGGTTCGAGCATTGAACACGTCTGCCCTTCACGTTCGCCAAGATACGTAGGGACGATATCGATGTCTCTCGTTTTCCTTATCAACAGTTGATGTGGGTATGAACCCACTTGAAGTAAAATGGAACTATGGGCGAGACGCATAGCGACCCTTGAAGTACCCTCGGATTGAATGGAGGGAGTCCCACGGTGAAAAACGCGTCATGTCCTTGCTCTCCGCATCCAGTGGGGATAGTGATACACGCGTTACTGTCGTGCCTTGTACCTCGTGCTCCTTTGGAGCCGCTGATGAAGATTTTACTACCAAGTCTTTCTCATGCGGTAGTAGATCAATATCTGGTTTATCACACTAGTGTCTTGGGTATGCCAGTTGGCCGCCATTGGCGGCGATCTCTTCGGCAACATGGAACATGTATGAGCCCACAAGCCATAGCTATGGCTACTAGTTAACATGCCAAATTCACTTGTTGCCGTGTCGGTCGTAAGTTGGCAGGAGCGTCAAAGTAATCTTAGAAGCACGCGTTTTCTCCTCGCCCGTGTCTGATCCTCCTTTTAGAGATCTTTATCTCAGTTTCAGGTGTCAATTCCTGTGAGTCAATGGATATCTCGTTGTCCGAAAAGGTAAGTTGTTGAAAACTATTGAATATAAAGAAATGAAGGAGTCTTTGGTACCCACCAAGTTCAAAGTCCTTCACTTGCATCGATCCCTGATTTCACCCTCAATTACTACTCACAACTTCATCAAACATGAACGGTCGTACATACAGCGCTCCTTCCCCGGTCACGCCACCGACACCGATGCCAGATTTTGAGGACACAGAGAACGTCGACCTGTACATACAAGACAGGCACGTTATTGGAGTAAGTTCACCATCTAACGCCGTTCATTCAGCCACTCACCGCGAAAATAAAGTACGATCCTCTAGTCCAACCAGCATTGTTGAGACATGAGATAGTGGCCTCGGCCTCATCTCGAAAGACGATAGCTTCGGCACGACATGCTGCAGCGCAGTGAGTATTATTCTTTGGCCAATACGAACGAGCGCTGACTTTATTTTAGAATCATCGGCGGGCACTCAGATCGTCTTCTGGTAGTCGTGGGTCCCTGCTCGATTCATTGCCCAGAACAGGCCATCGAGTACGCGCGCCTCCTCAAGGAAAACATTCCCAATTGGTCGAACCTTCTCATCGTCATGAGAGCATATTTGTACGTCCTTCCCGTTCCTACGAGTTCATATACGAAGTATACTGACTAATATTTACAGTGAGGTGAGGACAAAGCTCTTCGGGGCAAACTTGAGTTTAAATTTTCCATTTAACAGAAACCTCGTACCACTGTGGGATGGAAAGGGCTCATCAACGACCCCAACTTGGACGGTTCTTTCAGGATCAACAAAGGCCTACGCATCGCGCGCCAGCTCTTGTGTGATATTACAGATATGGGCGTACCGGTTGCGACTGAGCTACTGGACACCATCTCGCCGCAGTACATTGGAGACAGTAAGTTACTCTGTACGTCACAAATATAGGTCGCTTACATGTGCTCGACAGTGTTGACGTGGGGCGCCATCGGAGGTCGGGGAATATCTTTGACTGTCGCCGTTCCTTTCGTTGATATATTGCCTTTAGCTCGGACAACAGAGAGCCAGCTTCATCGCGAATTAGCAAGCGGCGTTTCCTTCCCAATTGGATTCAAGAACGGTACTGATGGAGGGTAAGTCCATGAGCAGTTTTGGTTAACGGCAGACTGATTTCCTGAATTATTGAAGTGTTACTGTCGCTGTGGACGCCATGAAGTCGGCATCTAATCCTCATGGTGAGAAACACTATGAGTGAAACGCGAAAAAGGAACTCACCAAGCATTTAGCTTTCATGGGTGTAACTGAACAAGGACTTGCGTCTATCGTTAAAACCGTAAGAACATGTCTTCCAACCATAGGAATGTCCAGCTTATCAATTTCAGTGCGGAAACCGGGATGTACATGTTATTTTGAGAGGCGGCAGTAAAGGTACGCACTAAGAAAACTTCATTGAGTCATGTGTTAACTCCGCAAAAGGTCCAAATTACTCCAGCGAGCACATACAGGCTGCCGTGAAGCAAATTGGCGCTAGCCGAAAGTGGCCTAGCATCATGATCGACTGCTCTCGTAAGTTCATCTAACGTTATAATCTTGTCGTCTCGCTAGACTCTTCCGTGACAGACGGAAACTCGCAGAAAAATCATAACAATCAACCGCTGGTCGTCAAAGACATCTGCGAGCAGCTGCGCTCTGGAAGCCGACACATTACTGGAGTTATGATTGAGTCGCATATCAACGAAGGTCGACAGGACATACCGGAGGGAGGTCCTGGAGAGCTCAAGTACGGCGTCAGCATTACTGATGCTTGCATCAACTGGGAATCAACGGTGGTGATGCTGAATCAATTGAACGAGGTCGGTTCCTAGAGATATCATCAAACTGTGTATCTACTGACACCATGTTCCAGGCCGTTCAGCAGAGGCGGAATGCCATCATTGAAGCTGGACTGGTCAAGTCTTTCCAGTGATAGTTTTATTATATTTCAGAGAATTGGAGAGGCCGTTGAACATTTCTCCGTTTGCTGTCGATTCAGCATGTATGATCACCGTATAGACAAAATTGTTTCGCACCTTCCACTACATTACGTAGGATTTAACATAGACTGGAAGTATATCCCCATACAAGGAACTTGCCCAAACTGCTCTGATGAACATCAGTGAAAAGCTTAAGATTGAGATGAAGACACTTCTGGTAAAGCTAGCTCTGCTGTCGAACCTCGACGCTGTGCAGAACATGTCAGAACCTATTAGAGCGTGTTCAATTGCACAGGGTCCAAGTCGTAAGCTCCTATGCTGGAATTTGAAAGGTTACCGTCGCGATTTACTTCGTTCTGGGACAGTCCTTCTATGTGGCAAGCTGTATGTCGACAGTTTGCTTCATATAGAGCATGATAACGAGACTAGTTGCGATTGCCAAACTGGCATGGAGCATGTCCGATGAAAAACCCCGTGGGAAAATCCTGCTCAATTGATGACGGTGTGCAGTATTTTTGTATTCGTCCTCGTCTTTCATATCCTGACCATCACCAGCACCCCCTGGATTGCTGTTCCTTGCATTTCCTTTGTGTTGGGTATCACGTCGCGTGGCTACCTTGTTAACCGTTCTATTGTCGATGAAGGACAAATATCTTCTCCGATCCTATACGCAACCTGAGCTAGGCTGCTCGCTACTCGACAGGAAAAGGAAAGTTTGTGCGACGGAGGAATACGAGGAGATGATACCGAACAGAGTGGTGGACGGCAAGCGTGATCGGGACTGATCAGCTGTCTTCGGAACTGAAGGGCGTTTACGAGGCGAGCGACCGAATATGCATGGTGAGTAGATACAACGGTAGCGCAATCTGTTTCTCTGTTCTGTGCTTTGGGAATTATAGGCTGAAATGATATGCAATGAAACTAGCAGACATAATATCCGTTGGTGAACATGTTGGCAGTGTAGTGGAAGGTATATGGTTGTTACTCTAGCCACGGATTGTAAGCTGGCGCTCGTGGATGAGTGTTGTCGGGTTTCTGCAACGAAAAACTTCAATATAATTTAACTTTAAAGCAGAGAGGTTCTACAATGCATTGACAACGATTAGCCATGAGCCGCTTCTTGAAAGCCATGCACGAATAGGAAGTGGATCCAAGTAGTCTGTATTGACGATAACATCCCGGATCGGGAATAGCTCGTGTTAAAAACTTGAATTGTCCAAAATGTAACATGGTGAAAGATAAACGAAAAGAGGATATAGATAGCAAGTCCAGAAGTACTAAGATAGATGATAGATCATGCGACAGAAACAAAGAAGAAAAGTCCAAGTAATTCAACCAATAGCTATTGTCCGTTTATTCATCATGCATCAGTCTCGAGCGTTGTAACAAGTCTGTTTTATTTGGCTGTTGAACAGGCGATTCCCTCCCCTGATCGTCAACTTCTTCACTCCGGGCAAGTCGTACGGTGGGATGACATCGATCCTCGAAATCTTCTCCAGACGATCTTGTAGGTACCACTCGCTATGCGTGTACATCAACTCCAGCTCGGTGACTTGTTCCGGAAGCTGGAGCCGTGCGAGCGAAGCGTCGTTATACCACCAGTTGTGGTAGTTCATCGATATCCGGCTGGCTTTGGGGAATAATTGCTGAAGAACTGGCATGAGGTCGTGCATTTCCTCGGATACTGGGTGCGTTACAGGATTAGTGCCATGGGGATCGACTTCGAGGAGGAAAGTGATGGACCTACAGAATGATGACGGCGAAAAGGACGAGTCGGTCAACTGGAAGGCTACGGTGTCTCGTTGTAGCATTCGGCCGATGACGTGGTTAAGATGGGAGGGTGAAAAAACGTGTACGTCGGTGCAGAACACGCGAGTGAATTCCCATGCGAACGATTTGCTGACGAGAACAGATGAGGTCGCCATTCGGAGTCGTTCGAAGGGTGTGAGAGGAAGTGCCCATGCTTCCTCGATGATTTGGGCAAGTACTTCTGTGGGAAGTACGTTCATTGTGCAGTAGTAGTTTGGTAGAGATGTTCGTTGATTTGTGTGGTTGAAGGCGACGTTGTCCCCTGCAATTTATACCTGATGATGCTCCACATTTTGGTTCACTTTGACCTTCTTCTCGAGGCGGTGAAGAGAGAAAATTTTGTCTCAGCGATCGACCACTGTACAGGCCCCCTACCAGATAATTTGAAGCCTCTGTAAAGACCAAGAGAACTAGACAGCGCCAATGAGGCTCACTTTGAGGTTTTATCCACAAACGAATCTATTAGTCTCGACGTTCCGTAATATCAATGGATAAAATCATTTTACCAACAGTACTATACCATGCCATGCTCGGCCCCTTTTTAATGAGCTCCACTGCAGACTCGGAGTGGCAAAATACCGGTGTCTTAGAGAAACGCAAAGAGAAGAATGGATGAAGAGACATAAATCCAGAAGCCTGACTCGGACTAGTGGCTCCCGGAACACTGGAAAGTGGGATGGAGGTGAAGGTCGAACTTGTGGCTGTGTATTTCTCGGCCGAGCAACGTCGGCCCGAAGATCCGACTTGCATATTTTCTCTGTAAATGCTCAGTATGGCGCTACAACAATTGTCTGCAGCATTCCACTAAATGGCATCAGATACCTTGGTCTAGCAGAGTTCGTTCAGTCCGTTGGTGCACCGTGCATCTGTCATCACGTTCACTAAAAATCTCGAAAATCCTACAAGCGACTCGGTCACCGGAAAACCATGAGGTGCAACACAACAAAACCTAGTTAAATGTTGACAGCGAAGACCATACTCGTTCGCATAGTCCAGTTCTAGGATATAAGAATCCCCATTGTCCATGGCAAAAGCTCACATGTCAGCGAGGCTCTTTGATGTCAAGAAAGACTATCAAAGTCTGGATGCACCTTTGAGAAGGCAGTTGCTTGTCAACGTGATACAGTCCGTGATATCGATTGCCGACGAAGTAAGACTGCAACTTCTTCATCATCTTTTGAGACCTGAACATAACTTTTGGCAGTCTTTTCCTTGGGTAAATAATAAACATCAGCCATCCCTGGGGACCTTCGATTCTAAAACGCGTTCTCCGTTCATTGTCCAGCCGAAACCGAGTTTAGGTAGTTGAAGGCGCCAAAGTGCCATTGCTATAATCTTATACGTGGCGTGAAGGGACACAGGATCAGAGAACGTGGGTAGCACCCTTGATGCCGTATAAGAGTTGTGCACAACAATCACTTCCTACGAGGTCGGGGAGGGGGAACAATCATAATCCGCTTCTTGGAATCTACCATCGCCTTCGCACGGTCCAGCGCAGACATCCCATCCTGTCGATAGCAGATCAGCCTCACAGCATGAAATGCACGAGAAATGATCCTTACAGAGGGTGGTGGTGAGGGCGGTGGCTGCGACTTCTCCTCCTTTATCTTTGCTTGCCGCTTCGGATGGGGGATCTTTACGAGCGGATGTTATTGATGGACAGATCGACGTTTAAGTCGAAGTCACTCACGTAACGCTGTTCTTCATGGGACCAGGCCTTCTCTGGGAGGGGAATACGTCGGGTGAGGCTGTGCCAAGCCTTGTCGAGGACCGGGCGCTGGTAGAGAAACGAGCCTTTAGTTGTTGTGTCTTTGGATATAGTCATGGAGAGACTTACGAGAGAGGAAGGTTCGTCTGTGTTGGAAATCGGAGGTCGCCTTGGGATGTGAGACTGCTGGGCCTTGACAAATGAGTGACAAGTATCGACACCGAAAAAGGATGCTCACAGAATTCTCCTGTTCGAACGACCAATGTGACGGCGAAGAGGTAGGACGAGGCGACACTCACAGGAATACCATTATCTCTTCGTGCTGGACGCGACCCGTGATTCGCATGGAAACCATCCCATCTTGAGGCGTACCGATGATTCTTCTGCGGCTGATCCTACACTTTGTTAGAGTGGTGCCAGAAATGATAGCATCGAGATGCTCACATCCTGAATATCCAGCTCCTCCTCATCTTCGATGGGTGCGAATAAGATGTCCTTCTCGGCATCTTCAACCACGTCGTCCAAGAATGAGATCCAAGAAGAGTTGTCCTTCTTCTTGAGGGAAGGGGCAATGGTCGCCTGAAAATGTGTCATAAATTAAGGTTCAAGTTGTTGAAGAATGAGTACCAACATTGCCGTCCCGAACTGTCTCGAGGGGTATTTCTGGTATTTGGTTTGTCCAGGGTGAGGGAGAGCCGTTCTGTTCGAGAACCCTAGCCCGACTATTCTTGTCTTTATCGTTGAAGGAGTCAACAGCTGCTGACACAAAACTACTCGATGCGTCGTGTTGTCGAGACTCGTCGAGGAGATGATCCTGAAGCGATATAAATAGAAGGGACAACAGACGGCTGTAATGGGCTCACAGGCAAAGAATAGCTAGGGTTTGACGACAGAGACACGTTTGAAGTAAGGGATTCTTCATTCAGAGGCGTTTCTAAGACCGCTGTCTTTTCCTAGATCATCATGAGCAACAGCAAAAGGACATACGTAAAAGGACACTCACAGCCGAAAAGTCGTCGAATTGAAGCTCATTCTCAGCGACCCTACGTCTCTTCTCTTCATTTTCTCGCATCTTGGCACGCATCTCAGCCAGAGTCGGGTTCCCAGGACGAGCGCTAGTAAAGCGCGCATCTTGTCGTCCAGAATACACGCATTTATCCTTCGCTGCCCATTGTTGTTCCAACTGCCTGATGCCGCTCGAAATCTGCAACAGCGATTTGCGTAATCCTTTGACGAGATCTTCGAATGGCATTCGATATATCTCGAGCTGCGGCGATATGACATAACTCCATCCTGAGAGATTATCGTTTGAGCGACTACCAGTTGATCACAACAAGGCAACTCACCATCTACAATCAGCTTATCGCAATCCCCCCTCGTCTGTCTATCATTCAGCACCAGCCCATCATCACTCCCGACATCCAAACCCCTCGAAAAAATGAGTGCGATGGCCGTTTTGACTTTGCGCGCAATTTCGACTCTGAGATACTTTTTCTTGTGCACGGTTTTCTTCGGCATAAGCAAGTGCACGGGAAGCGAGATATCTGTGTGTTCTGTAGGAGGATCCTTCAGCCTAGCGACGCGACTCTTCCATAGCTCCACCGGTCTCTCGAACGTCACAGCATTTTCTGGCTTGGTGAGAATGCCAAAGGGGATTGCTTTGATGGACAAGAAAGGCTGGGATACGAGTGGGAGGATCTTGAGGTTGACTCTGAGGGCTGGGTGTTTTGGATCTAGCCGTACTGCGTAACAGTCGGAGTGGGGGAATGCACCGGTCAGAGCACCAGGTTTGCATCCACGGAACTATGACCCTACAAGTCAAGCAAAAGGAAAATTGAAGAGGATTCCTTTTTGCTTACGACGACGGACGGTTTTCCATTGAGTTTGGGTAATTTGCTAAGCTGGCAACATTTGAACATAAAGATGGCATAAAGCAAAAGAGAGCCTATTCATAGTCAATACTATGATAGAATCAGATAATACGAGTTTACCTTGATTATGGAGAACACCAACACAGCTCTTTCATTCGAGACGGTGAGAGTGGAAGGACAGACGCGTGCTTCGCCAGTCATGCCGATACGCGACCGTAAAGCTTAGATAAGCGGCATCCCTCTGCCGTGGATGCCGTCCGGCAGCCCTCCAACGAGTCCAACTGGCAGGCTCTTTCTTGCTCGACGACCCAACCAGTCCCTTGTTCTCGTCCCTCTCTGGAATGGCTCTTGCTGTAGTATTGCTGTTCTCAGTATCAATAGCGGCCAGCTTTGTCTGTGAATTTCTTGCGGCAGGACAATCTGGCTGAGCGTATCATGGAATTGACCCAGGACGCTAGTGCGCCAATTCATCCTTGGGATGGGATCGCGCCCTGAATGGATGGATACTGTCGAAAACATATGGAAACGTTTCTGAACGTCTCTTCCGGCAAGACGACACGTTCAGCCGACCGTCAATGTCTACTCACGAACCTGGAAGCTATTCTCAACTGTTTTCATGTCCAAGCTTTGCCTCTATGCCGCTTCCTCACCACATGGGACCGTCGTTCGAGCTTTGGATTATCGGAGGATGCCTTCCTGAGTGTGTCGTCGATGCATTCAGCAGACTAGAACACGGCTATGTCTTGTGTAATGCTTATGTGGGTTTTCTTTTCGCGAGGGAGATGCTCACGCTAAGTAAGCGTTGATCAGGGTCCAACGAAAGTTGCCATTAATGCGTCATCACGTCTTCACTACCGTAATGTCATGCTGGGCTGCCTGATTCGACCACCTCCAACTCAGACTTGTGCCACTTGGGTTTCAGGGAGAGCCAGGCTTATGAGGTTCTCAGCTGGCGAAAGGGTATGTCCATACTTTTCATCTGTTTGCTTGTATTCATTTGTAAGTTCTAGATGCTTGCACGTTCAAGGAGCGATCAGTCCGTGTGTGCAGAAGTTGATGGGTGTATCACACACGTGATAGCGCGCGCGGGGCAATCAGGATCGTGGTCTGGAATAGAATGCCTCGGTCGCATACTAGGAATGGACCAGGTAAAGCTTGGTGGTAGGCATGTGGAATTGGGAGAGGTTTGTACTAATTCGTCATAGCGTTCTATGGTGGTCAAGACTAATGGTCCATTCTTTCTTTTGTAGATTGAAACTATGTTATTTCCCCTGCGCAGTAGTCGAAGAACAGCGATTCGACAAATCGAGGATGATGTGTGGTAGGAGACACGGATAATCCTACCAACGAAGGCTTCGATATGCATTGCATATGGAGTAGCGATTTGATTACTTTGCGTCTGGCCACTCGTGCTTCCTCGTCAAGTGGGATGTTTCGAACACTTTGGTCACGGAGCCGAATCCCGCAACGCCACTGAACGCCTTAGCAGTTCCCTGCGCAGCTTTGATGATTCTATGTGTCGAACTGTAAACCTGAAAGCCGGGCTTGACACGGAGAACTAGTTTCCGTCCTAGAATCCCCGGCTGCATAGCGTGTAAAGTCTCGAATTTCTCCGTATAATCACGGCTGAACGTCAGAAACCCAGAGCTTTGTCATGAGAGATGGAGGTCTGAGGATGAGCAAGTGAAGCTGTTGTATTTCTCCCGAAGGATCACGGCTGCCACCGGTATGCAACCACAACTCATAATTGAATCTTCGACAAACGCACGTCACCGGGAACAGCTCTTCCGTTTCTTATGTCGAGGTATTAACAACCGCAGCAGTGGTGCAAATGGGTAAACAAAGCTCTAAACGGAAGGGTGCAATTTCTCTCCTGATCTTATCCTTCTGACAATCATGGTTTTCGCGCTGCACAGCTGTGGTGACTTGAAGGGAAAGGCTTACCACCGTCGGACATGTCAGACATCGTACGCGTTGTGCAAAGCTGGCCAAACAAACAGCGCGTCTTTCTTCACTACAATCATCTAACAACGCCTAGATTTGTTTTTTTGGGTACTCTGGAAATACTGCATACAAGGTATTCTGATTCAAAGGTTTTGATGGGCAGTCGCGAACCCGTGCTCATGTCAAGGTCAAAACGCTGACAATTCGGATGTCAACTGCCGCTTCTCGACGCGTCGGACTTGTCTCGGATTTTTCATAGCATTGACTTTGGTCGACGACAGGCAAACAGAGCGCTGTTTTACTTGGCTCGCAGCTACTGCGCATGAAGAACCGCATTTTATGACAGTAACCCATCTTCTTCATCTTTCCAGACGCTCATGGAATTCGTTTTTTGCCGAACTCAAAATGCTACATAAAGAGACTGTATTCACCTCCATTCCTCATCGCTTGAACCATGTTTCTCGTAGTACCCGTTCTATGTTATGCTCTCTTGGCTGCTGCTGCAGACCCCGAGGTTCAACTGGGCAACACGACGCTCATTGGAAGAGATGTTACAGGATTAGAGCAAGAATTCTTTGGAGGTGAGTCCGAACTGACATTCCGCGCAACGATGGTGAAGGCTAAAATAAAAGATAGGTATTCCATACGCTGAACCTCCAGTTGGAGCCTTGCGTCTGCAACATTCTGTATTGAAAAACACTATTGATGCCGATGAATTCAATGCTCAGAATTTTGGACTAGCTTGTTTTCAACGCGTAGGGTTGTTTTGCTCGGTATCTGCCATTCTGTTTTAATTGCAGGAACAACAGAACGTCGCAACCGATGAGATCTCGGAGGATTGTTTAACTATTAACATATTTCGGCCGAAGGGGGCGTCCTCTGAAGATCCTTTGCCTGTTATGTTCTGGTAGGATTATGTTTTTCATTTATCTCGCCCTTGTGCTAATGAGACGCCGAAGGACCTATGGTGGCGGTTTCTCCGGAGGCGCTTCGTCGTCTTATAATGGAAGCTATATTGTTGCTCAGAGTGTTGCCAGAGTAAAGTCCAGCATTTCATCTATGTCTCCACGGCTAATTGTCTCTAGGGTACTCCCATTATCTATGTGAACTTTAATTATCGGCTAGGACCACTGGGCTTCCCTCAAGGACAGGAGGCCGACGACAGAGGACAACTCAACCTGGGAGTCAGAGATCAGTTAACTGCTCTGCAATGGGTCCAAGAGAATATTGGCGTGTTCGGGGGCGATAAAACCAAGGTGCGCAAATTCATTATACGTCGATCTTCTTTGATAACGAGTCCGAGTAGGTTACGATTTTCGGAGAAAGTGCTGGAGCAATGTTGACGAACCTGCTGCTTCTGAACGCATCGATTTCTGACCTCGCCAGGGCTGCGGTAAGCATGCAATCGTTTGCGAGAAGTTATCATTCTAACTCGTTGGCTAGATCATGGAGTCTGGTTCTGCGTCTTCGCCTGTAATTTATAATGCATCTACACGAGAATCTACCTGGCAGTATTTCGTAGGAGGGACGCCCGGTTGTGAATCCGTCGCTGGCACGGATAACACTTTTGACTGCCTGCAGGCGGTGAATTCGTCTGCTATCTATCAAGGGTTTTTGGAGGCGTACGAGTTGGCCATAGAGGATATGGCATTTTATCCCGCGCTGGACGGTCCTTCGGGTACTATTCTTCCAGATCTTCCTACCAATCTCTGGGCGAAGGGACAGTTTGCTACGATTCCGTTCATATCGGGCACGAACCTAGATGAAGGTATGATATGAACACGCTGCATGGTGCTCGAACTCAACGTTGGTGTTTATTAGGGACTGGCGGCTTACCAACGAATACCACTTTCATCGATGAGGCTATCAAGGATTACATTCAGACTACCTACTCTGCGTTCCCACCTTACCTCTCTGATGAGATCCTGGACCAGCTTCTCGAGTTGTACCCGGACGACCCGTCCTTGGGCTCTCCATATAACACCGGAAATCAGACTTTTGGGTTGCCTTCAGGCTGGAAGAGAGTGGCATCCATAAGTTAGTATCGTCCCTCTTTCACAATAAAATACGCTCAATTGATTATTTCAGCTGGGGATTTGACCTTTGACGCTCAACGTCGGACGTGGACTCAGACCGCTGCCCAGGCTGGCGTGAAAGCATACGGGTACCAGTTCACGCAGAATTCATCGTTGTTCGAGGCCTCTGAAGGAGGTAGGTGTCATTCATTCTGAATTTATCTGGATGATGCTGACATATTTGTCAGTTCCTCACACAGCTGAAGTAGACTTTGTCTATGGACGACTGGATTCCTCCAGCACGTCTGCTTCATTGCTGCTGTTGAGTGAAATGATGATCGATTATTGGGTTTCGTTCGTCACGAGTTTGGATCCCAACGATGGTTTAGGGACGTCTCGTGAGTGAATCTTGTGTTGTTGATTGAATATTTGTTAAACAATCTTCTAGGTCCCTTCTGGCCACAGTACACGCCGGAGAACGAGGTACGTTAAAACACTCATCGAAGCAAGTCTTCTCTCGCTGATGGTGGTCCTAGGTGCTGTTACAACTGAACATTGACAATATGACCGTCATTCCGGATGACTATCGGAAGGAAGCGATTGAGTTCCTTAAGGATAACGCCGACGCTTTTCACCGGTAAAGCAGGCATGATCAGCAGCTTCCTCCTGCTTGTCCAGTTTCAATATGAATGATTTGGTTTTAGATATCATATATCATCTACTGAACAGTGATTGAAGCAAGACGAGTAATTCGACCGTTGGTCTTGTAACTCCAGACCCGCTATTAAAATTTTTTTCGCGCGGTTAACACATCTTGTAATAGGCTGCTGCACCAAATTACAGAAAAGCGATGTACGCCATACTCCGGAACGGACACAATGGCCGAATGACTTCTTTTCGCTGCCTCACGCAAATAATGGGGATGAATTTCCATTATGAATATACATGTTGCGCTAGTGCGAGGTAAGGGTTGCGGAGAGAATCGTCTATCCAAATCTGAAACGATTGTACCAAGCATATATAACTGCATATACTATAGGCGTGTTTGTATACTTGTCACTCGGCATTAAAGGAGTATGGGGCTTCGTGATGAAAGATAGGCGGAGGTCTCGGAGAAGCAAAAATGAAGACGAACAGGTGGAGCCGTTTTAAATCTGCTGATACACAGTCCAGCCAGGGAACGTTCAGCCACGATATCGTTGATTCTTTAAGGCGGAAAGGAATGTCTCAAAAACGCCGGGATTTTGGCAGGACAAAGACGTTAAGCAATCTTGTTGGATCCATCGGCGACTGTATGTTTCTTTCGAGTTCATTTAGGATTTCTTGTCAGCGTCAATGCAACGTCGATGTCATTTCATATTGTGGTCCTTGGTATCGTTCTCCTCAATCTCCCTCCCTTTGGTCTATTATCCTGTCCTTCGTGATATTCCGCAATGCGACCGATCTCCTCGACTAGCCCTTTCCTATCTAAAACAAGGTCCAGTCAACTGGCAATGTCCAGACCATGCAGCTTGTACAAGGCTTCCTGGCGCGTCGATATCGAGTCGTCCAGCACCGACGAATAAGAAACTTCTCGTCCTTGGTACAAAAACCGAAATCACTTTTTCTTTGGAGGTACTGACACGCACCACAAATACCCGCAAATCACCGTCCGGCGTCGACAGTGCGGTATCAAGTTCCCAGACCAACAGAAACCATGCAGGAAAATCAAAGAAAGGTAGAGAAAGGTAGAGAGGACTTGGAAGAAAAAAAGAATGGTATGCGAGGCGACGGATACGCCAAGACATGGCATGCAACGCGTAATGCACGGCAAGTGTACATGCAAGCCTCGGGAGTGCGTCCTGACGGAGGGTGACCTAAAGATAGACTAGTCCGAGCTTCTGCATATACTACTCAATCAATTCGTCAAGCCGTCGAAATTAAATTTCAGTTGCGGTAATTCTGCAAACGGTAGATAACCTCTAGCAAACAGGGGACTGTTACACGAAGAGTGTTTCGTGCTGTAGCATATTATTAAGATTTTTGTGGGTGTGTCATTGCTCTTCCAGTATCGTCGTGAACAAATTCCGAAGACCGCGAAATTCAAGTCTGTTTTGACATTATTCGAGCTATGCATCAAATAAAATGTTACAGTAGGTTTCCAAGGAATTTCTTCCCTGGTCTTCTCTTTCCGACGGCAATGGGTGAAGCGGTGTATGAAAGCCGAGCAAAAAAGGACCACTGTCGCGGCCATCTTCATCTAAGCGCACCGCAAATGGAATATTTTCGGGGACCATGCCCGCCATTTCTCCAATTTCGGGCCCATAGTTTGCGGTGAAGTTTCTTGAGTCATGTGATTATTTCAGTTGAAAAATTTCCGTTTGCGATGTGCAAGTCAATCGAGTTTGACGTCACTAAGCAAGGAGTGCGTCTCTCTCTTTACCGCTATCACCCCGCAGTATTCGAGGCCTTTTTTTCGATAATATTATGGCTAAAGGTGACACGCAACGATGTAGGCTTACTAAGACTTGAGCTCCGCATCGCGAACCCGTACCTTGCGTACCACTCGAGTGATGCCGAGGCCTGGCTGACACGGATGAACAAAGGTTTTCCATTTGGCTCGTTGCATGGCATGCCGTTGAACGCCGATATTTCGCATATTTTGACTCTTCTTCGTCCAGTCAGCATTGTTTGATCGCACTCTTCGCGAGGCTTAAATGCTACATAAGGAGACCGTAGTATGATCCCCATTCCACATCGCCTGTGCCATGCTCATCATGGTATTCCTTCTGTATTGTGCTCTCTTGGCCACTGCTGCAGCTCCCGAGGACCAACTGGGAAAAACTAGGCTCATTGGAAGGGATGTTGCAGGTTCACAGCAAGAATTCTTTGGAGGTGAGCAAACCTAGAGTCACACAACGATGTGCGAGACTGAAACGCAAACCAGGTATTCCATTCGCTGAGCCCCCAGTTGGAGCGTTGCGTTTGCAGCGTCCTATACCGAAAACCAATATCGACGCCGATGAATCTGATGCCCAGGATTTTGGACTACCCTGTCTAGTACAGCGTGTGGGTATCCTCAGTTCATATTTGCGAATCCGTTTTAATGGCATAAATACCAGGGCCTTGATTTGGGAGCATTATCAGAGGATTGTTTGACCATCAACATATTTCGGCCGAAGGGAACGTCTTCTAAAGACCTCTTGCCTGTGATGTTCTGGTAAGATTATGTTTTTCATTCTTGTGGTCCTTGCACTGATGTCGGCGAAGGACCTACGGTGGCGGTTTCTATGTAGGCGCTGCCTCGTTCTACAATGGAAGCAATATTGTTGCCCAGAGTGTCGCCAGAGTAGATATCCACCTTCTATCCACAATCTTCTTGGCTAACTAGTACCTCCAGGGCACTCCCATTATCTATGTGAACCATAACTACCGGTTAGGTCCACTCGGCTTCCCTCAAGGGCAGGAGGCCGACAATAGAGGACAGCTCAACCTTGGAGTCAGAGATCAGCTAGCCGCCTTGGAATGGGTTCAAAAGAATATTGGTTTGTTCGGTGGTGACCAAACCAAAGTGTGCAGATTTATCATATGCCGATTCTCTTTGATAACGAGTCTGATTAGGTGACGATTTTCGGAGAAAGTGCTGGAACAATATTGACGAACCTCCTGTTTCTACACCCTTCGATTTCTAACTTGGCCCGGGCTGCAGTAAGCACGCAGTTGTTTCACGCAAATATTCATTCTGATCCATTGGATAGATCTTTGAGTCTGGTTCTGCATCTTCACCCGCAATTTATAATGCGTCTACACGAGAATCTGTATGGCAGAGTTTTGTAGCCGGGACACCAGGCTGCGAATCCGTCGCTGGTACAGGAAACACTTTTGACTGCCTGCGGGCGGCGAATTCATCTGCTATATATGAAGGATTTGTTGAGGCTTATGAGTTGGCCAACGAAATGTATCCTTTTACTCCCGTACTGGACGGTCCTTCAGGTCTTCTTCCCGATTTTCCTTCACGTCTCTGGGCAAGGGGCGAGTTCGCTATGCTTCCCTTCATATCAGGTACCAACCTCGATGAACGTATGAGATTACTGCTTTACAAGGTCCCGAATTTAACGTTGATGTTGTTAGGGACACGCTTCTTGTCGACGAATCGGAGCTACACCGATGAGGACATTAAGGATTACATGGCAACCACTCACTCATCTTTCCCACCTTACATCTCTGGTGCTATCCTGGAACGACTTCTCGAATTGTATCCCGATGACCCTTCTGTTGGGTCACCTTATAATACTGGAGAGGAAACTTTTGGGTTGGCTTCAGGCTTTAAGCGAGTGGCATCAATAAGTCGGCACTGTCTTTCGCTTTCAATGCATTGCACTCACTTATCTTTTTTAGCCGGGGACTTGATCTTTGATGCTCAATGTCGGACATGGACACAGGCTGCTGCCCAAGCCGGCGTGAAAGCTTACGGATATCAATTCACACAGAATACATCGTTGTACCCGCCTGAATGGGGAGGTGGGTATTTCCATTTCCTGAGTCCATCCGACTGATACTAAGGTGTCTGTCTGTTAGTTCCTCATGCATCTGAGTTAGACTTCGTCTACGGATGACTGAATTCCTCGAGCGAGACCTCTTCATCGATGTTGTTGAGTGAAATGATGATTGATTATTGGGTTTCATTTGCTGCGAGCTTGGATCCCAATGACGGCTTAGGGATGTCTCGTGAGTGTTTTCTATGCTGTTGGTCTAATGTTTTCTGAACAACTATTAGGTCCCTTCTGGCCACAATACATGCCGGGGAATGCGGTATGTCAAAACCATTTGTCCAAGTGTGTCTCTGTCGCTGATCGTGGCCCCAGGTGCTCTTACAATTGAGTGGCGACAATGTGACTGTCATTCCGGATGACTATCGGAAGGAACAGATCGAGTACCTTAGAGATAACGCTGACGCTTTTCACCGGTAAAGCATGGGTGATCAGTAGCTTTCTCTTGTCCAATTTCAATATGCATAACATGTGTTTGGATGTCGTCTACTGAAGATATGCATAAGAGTCGTTGAAGGAATATGAGTACTTTGGCTCTCTTTTTGTAACCCTACAAGTCGTTGAATTTCCGCTGTAGCCGAGGAAAGCCTGTCGCCGAAAGCTTCTAGCCAAGCCTGACACGGAGAACGGGAGGCTCGGGGTTTAGGTCCTGGAAGCATAGCCGCAAGACGTGTAAGGCCTTTGTATAGACCGCTGGACGTTGAAGGAACACTGGACTTTGTGATGAGAAGGCCAGACAGCGCACAGTCACGACATCCTTGTGTGTCTGATTCGATGAAAATAGATCTTCCTTCGTGTTGAGGTATTCCGGTAGTTCATTGGGTAGGCATACCCATGGGTTCGCTTTATTTCCTGTTTCTCTCTTTCGTGCCCCGTCAAGGGTTGCCGAGGATGCCGACGGCTGATGCCAAGTCGTCAACCAAACAAACAAAACGAGTGTTTTCCTTACCGCTGCCATCTGTACAATGCTAGACGCTTGTTTTATTTGACCAAGGTGGGGCAAGAATGCTCGCTAAAGGTTCCTTCGAGAAATCCTACGCTGCTTGGATGATACCCAGAACTCCCTGATAATTTGATAGGCCGCTTCATCTGACGCGTGACGCGTCGGACTCGGACTCGGATTTCCATCTGTCAACCTTATTTGTCGGTAACAATGCGACGAACAAGACCTTGTTCCATACTGCCTAAATCCAGATATTTTGTCACAATAATACCTCTTTCATGGGCTCCATACTTCCCTAAAATAAAAGTGCTACATAAGAGGTCTGTGTTCTCCCCGTTCTACATCGCTTGTGTCATGCTTTTCGCGATATCGTTGTTGTACTGTGCTCTATTCTCAGTTTCGCCCCCTGAGGTTCAACTTGGCAAAACGAGGCTCATTGGAAGAGATATCACAGGGCTACAGCAAGAATTCTTTGGAGGTGAGCCAACATACTCGCAGCGATGGCAACGCTAAATAATGGTCAGGTATTCCGTTTGCCGAGCCTCCGGTTGGAGCCTTGCGTTTGCAGCATCCTGTATTGAAAACGGATATTGACGCCGATGAATTCGACGCCGAGAATTTCGGACTACCCTGTCCACAACGCGTAGATTTTTTTCGCTGATATCTACGATTCCGTTTTAATGACGGTAATCACAGGGCTATGCAACCGATGCGATGTCAGAGGATTGCTTAACTATCAACATATTTCGGCCCAAGCGGACGTCTTCACAAGAGCTCTTGCCCGTGATGTTCTGGTAGAATTATGTTTTTCTCCCATGTAGTCGTTGTGCTGATGACACTGAAGGACATATGGCGGTGCTTTCTCTTACGGTGCTTCGTCGTCTTTCAATGGAAGCAATATTGTCGCCCAAAGCGTTGCTAGAGTAAATTTCCACGCTCTGTTTAGGCCTTCATTGCTGATTGGTTCCAGGGCACCCCCATTATCTATGTGAACCACAATTACAGGCTAGGGCCACTAGGCTTCCCTCAAGGACAGGAGGCTGACAACAGAGGACAGCTCAACCTCGGAGTAAGAGACCAGCTGGCCGCCCTAGAATGGGTCCAGGAGAATATCGGTTTATTTGGTGGCGACAAAAACAAGGTGCGCAAATTCGTTATACGTCGATTCTGTTGGATGATGGGTCCACTTAGGTGACGGTTTTCGGAGAAAGTGCTGGAGCCATATTGACGAATCTCCTGTTTCTCCACCCGTCGATCTCCAACTTGGCCAGGGCTGCGGTAAGTATGCAATCGTCTCATGGAAATTATCATTCTGAGTTACTGGTTAGATATTTGAATCTGGTGCTTCGTCTTCACCCGTAACTTATAGTGCATCTGCACGAGAATCTGCTTGGCAGAACTTCGTAGCAAGGACACCCGGCTGCGAGTCTGTCTCCGGCACGCAGAGCACTTTTGACTGCCTGCAGGCGGCGAACTCGTCGGCTATATCTCAAGGAGTTGTGCAGTCCTCTACAGTGGTCGCTAAAGACTTCGCTTTTTATCCTGTACTAGACGGTCCTTCAGGTCTTCTTCCCGATTTGCCGTCACGTCTCTGGGCAAAGGGCCAGTTTGCCACGCTCCCCTTCATATCAGGCACGAATCTAGATGAAGGTATGATATAACCTCTTTATACGGTCTGAACTGAATGTTGGAGGTTGTTAGGAACAGGCCTCCTGCCGACAAATCTCAGTTACACTGACGAAGACATCAAGGATTATATGTTAGCCGCTTACTCACCTTTCCCACCTGCTATCCCTGACACTATCCTGGACCGACTTCTCGAACTGTATCCTGATGATCCATCCTTGGGATCTCCATATGGCACCGGAAAAGAGACTTTTGGTTTACCGTCAGGCTTTAAGAGACTAGCTGCCATGAGTTGAGATCACGTTCCCTATATTTCTCGGTATATTAGTTTGAAACTCATCGTCACTTTCAGGCGGCGACTTGACCTTTGACGCTCAACGTCGGACATGGACACAGACTGCTGTACGATCAGGCGTGAAAGCATACGGGTACCAATTCACGCAGCGTTCATCGTCGTATAAGCCCGAATTGGGAGGTTAATCTTTCTTCCTGAATCCATCCGACTGATACTAAGGTTTCTGTTGGTTCCTCATGCATCTGAAATAGACTTCGTCTATGGACGACTCGATTCCTCCACTGAGCCCGCTTCGTCGATCTTGTTGAGTGAAATGATGGTCGATTATTGGGTTTCTTTTGCTACGAGCTTGGATCCCAACGATGGTTTAGGAACGTGTCGTGAGTGATTCTCGTGCTGTTCGCAGAATGCTTGTTAACTGTTTTCTAGGTCCTTTCTGGCCACAGTACACGGCAGAGAATGAAGTATGTTAAAATTACTTGTCATCCTGGTTTTTCGCTGATTGTGGTTCCAGGTGCTCTTACAACTGAATGGCGATAATATGACAGCTATTCCGGACGAATATCGGGGGGAATAGATTGAGTTCCTTAGGGATAATGCTGACGCTTTTCATCAGTAAAGCAAGTGTGTCTAGTAGCTTCCTCGTTTCAGCAAGCATAGCTTTTCGTTCTGAGAACTTGGGTACTGAAGATATTTATAAGAATCATTCAGGGAACATAAGGCTTTAGACATTTGGTTTTCCACAAACAGCTCAGTTAAGCTTCTCCGTGCCATATAAGCATCCCGTAGCATCCCCACATGCATGTGGTTTTCCGGGCCTTGTCATCTCGTTGCAGATCATTCTGAAATGCATTCAGGTGAGAGATATTCATGTTTCGTCCTTACATAAAGAGCTTACGATGATCTATGAAGAAACGCAACACATACCACTAGCTGACCTCGGAAGGACATGCGCGTGAATAGAACAGCAGGTGACAGTCTTTCACTTCATCCCGTCTTTTCAATCTCATCATTCCAATACCAAACTCGAATAAAGCACCTACGGTAACCTACTACGACCAGCCCAGCCTGTCTCACGTCTGCCAGCTCATCCTAAAGCTCTTCACTGAATCGGACTGTGAGTGCATATCTGCTCGAATATCCTTCCAAAGTTTCGCGGCCGTGTCCAAGCGCTTATACCGATGGTCAGACTCAACCAACGTCGGAGACTTCATCCGTGATGCAACCGTTCAGTAAAGTTCCAGATATGCCTCACTGGCGACGACGAGTGCGATCTCCATGGGCGTCCCGATGTTTGCGGACCGCAAGGTCTTCCTTCGCTACAAGCTGGCTTTCATCAATGCCCAACTGGAGTCTATGCCTGAAATTACGAGGACGTGCGACAAGGAGGTAGTATGGCGATGGGATGCTCGCTGCATATCGGGTATCGTTGCACGCCTACGTTCTGAAATTATGGATCGTGATGGAGCCTATAACGTTTGTGATCTGGCTGTCGGCAGCGATTTCTGGCTACTTGTGGTGAGTGTTAAAACATTTTCCAAAGGAAGAATGTACTAATGTTTGGTAGGGGTTTGTGCCAAGGACGGGAAGTTTCGTATTCGCCAGTGTTGGATAACTCCATGTCGACGGGCCGGAGGTCTTGGACAAGGCGCGCGATCTGGATATAGATGTGACCGTTTTTCCTCGAGCCCATTCGCCGCCGAGATTCACGTACGTTACCGTCGCCGACATCGCGGACCTGTCCTTGTCTATCACACGGGCAGATATCTTCCTCGATACCCATCTCACGCATCCCAGCTCACCTGATCAAGCATCGCTATCTCATGATATTTGCGATGCCACGAAACGTACTCCATCTCGCTTGAGTCTCGAGGCCGAAACCGGGCAACAACTTAGCCTTTTAGACACACCACCAAGCACTGGATTTGGATGAAGAGGTCTTGTTGATGGGAAAGAAACACCTGAAGAACAGGCTTTGGTGTACCTTCGGATGGCTATATATACAGACAGTAGCATCTACCGCAGCACTGTTCTCTCAGGAACGGATTACGGCAATCGCTACAAATCAAAGTGACCTAAGCTCGGGCGGAAGAACATTCTCATGGTGCGTATATAAAAGACAATCTTCCTCATTGTTTTCTTCTATGCAGCAAATGGCTCTCCAAGAATACGTTGATCTCGCACGACAAGTCGATAAACCCTTAGTGTTGCGCACTCTCGGTATAGCTACTGTGTTCCTACTTGCGCTACAACTTCGGAAGGCCTTAATCTCTAGCAAGAAGGTAGGTTGCTACACCGACTTCGTCTCGATAAATGCTGATATCGGTCTCAGCTGAAATCAATTCCTACCGCGGGGTCATCTGGTATCATCGGGTCATGGATAGACGCTTTCAGATTCATCTCTCACGCAAAGGAAATCGTCGAAGAAGGTCAGAGAATGGTGTGTATCGGCTCTCTCTTGATCTGTGAATGGACTTATTGTGAACAGTATGGATCAGTATTCAAAGTACCCTTGCTCGATAGATGGACGGTTGTGGTAAGTGGAGCGGAGAAGATTGATGACCTTCGAAAGGCTTCAATGGATCAACTGGCTTCCATAACCACGAGCAAAGACGTGAGTGCTCAGTCTCGTTCGCAAGTTATGGGGAGAGGCTTATGACAACTAGTTGGATTATACTTTTGGTCGCTTCACCAGGCTCGACCCTTACCATCTGGACGTCGTACGAGGCGCCTTGACTCGTAACATTGGTGTTTGCTTTGCGGACGTCCAGGACGAAATCAAAGCGGCTTTCAAAGACAATATACCGATGACTGAAGGTACTAAGGCTTATAATGATTTCGGCTACTCAGGTTGACGGCATAGTAGACTGGGTTGAGATACCTGCATACGAAACTATTTTGCAAATTGTATGCAGAGCCAGCAACCGGATGTTTGTCGGGCTTCCTCTCTGTGAGTGATCCTTCTGTCTCGACGCTCGATGTCTCATTGATGCAAACTCGTTTTTGAGGTCGTAACCGCGAATATATCAAGCTCAATATTAACTATACCATTGAAATCTTCGCCTTTGCTCGTATCATTAACCTACTCCCCATGATCCTGAAGATGTAAGCTATTCCAACTCAGTACTGTTCAGACTGGCACCGTAACTTCATATGATCAGGATCTTAAGCCCTATCTTCACTCCTCGTCGGCGCGGTATAGCCAAAGCCGAAATATTCCTTGGCAAAACCGTTCGAGAACGATTGCATCAGGAGAATGTCCATGGGAAAGATTGGCCGGGAAAACCAGTAAGTTTGATAAACATTACTTTACTCCAATTTTGCCTCACACCTCGGCAGAATGACCTCATCTCGTGGTTGTTAGACATAACTTATGGTGATGAAAAAAGGCGCACAGTGAAGAATATATGTGCTAGGGTGCTCTCTCTGAATATGGCAGCTATCCATACAACGTCTATGGTATGTCGAATTACGTATCCGAAGGCTACAGCTGATTGCGTGCGTATAGACGTTCACTACTGCCCTGTACACATTAGCTGCGCACCCTGAATATGCCGAAACTCTTCGAAACGAGGTGGAATCGATCATCAACGAAGAAGGATGTACGAAAGCTGCAATGGGAAAGATGAATCAACTCGACAGCTTTTTGAAGGAAGCTCAGAGAGTATATGGAACCATGGGCGTTTGTGAGTCGTTAACTTACTTGTTACACTGATTCATTCTGACCATTGAATACAGTCGGAATGCCTCGTACGACTCGGAAGGACTTTGTATTTTCAGATGGGACAGTAGTTCCTGCTGGAGTTCGAATTGTTGTGGCCGCTTTGGCTACACATACAAGCGAGGTATATACAAGTTTCGTCGTCATGCAGACCTTCTCATCAGTTTTCCCGCGTAGGAGAACTACGAAGACCCATTAGAATTCAAGCCGTGGAGGTTCTCTGAAAAGAGGAAACAAGAAGGTGAAGGTATCCGCCACCATATGGCCACACCGAGTCTGGATTTCGTTTTCTTTGGCCATGGACGGCCAGCATGGTGCGTATGGTCGAGTTCTCTGGTAGTTATCAGATTGACGTTCGTTCACAGTCCGGGCCGCTTCTTCGCTGTGAATGAGTTGAAAGCTCTCATGACCCAGGTTCTCCTTAACTTCGACGTGAAGATAGACAAGTTTCCCACAACGACGTGGTTCGCTACTAATCAGATGCTGAATCAGAGCAGCAAGGTGTTGTTCAGGAAACGCGTGTGTACCCGGTGAAGGTAGTAGTTCTCGATGCGGTTGAGTGGAGAAAGACAAGAAGCAGTGACTATATTTCTCAATAGCAGTATGGATCTCGGGCCTGTACGTAGGCGTGTATGTAACTGTACTTATCTAGTGTGATTCTCTTACCAATCTTTTATTATAACGATATGTTCATCGAACAATTTTCTCTTTGAAGCATGAAGCACACCCGCCATAATTTCGGCTCCCCAAAGCAGGAACAATTGGGAACACTGGAAGACAGACCCGATGTCTGATGCAAGGCAGATCAATTACCTGCTAAACCTTGGAGGGTCGGCCTGACACTCCAGCTCACGTTGAACTTGAAAGAGAAGAAAAGAGCATGCTTGGATCATTGTCCTCAGCTCTCTATCCATCATGTTGGCTTTGCCTGCCAATTTTGACGCTGCAAATGCTATGCGAAGCGAAGCGGCTGGGAAAGTTAATTACAGGTTGCCACGATGGTGACACCTTTGTACCTTGTTTTATGGAGGCGTGCGATGAAAGAGTGCCTGGCTGAGCGTTGCGGACGAAGCTGCTTCATAACCTGGTACTCTTATTTAAATAATCGAGCCGCCGACCCGTAACGTTCCTAGGAGATTTCGTTTTCACTGACATGCAGGAGCTCTGATGCATATAAGAATACAACCGATACGTGCGTAGGTTGTTTACCGCATGAAACAGGTGAGAAAGATCAGTACTTACTTATACAACGGCAAGCAGCCGCCCTTATCGTTACTCCAAAGATCTCGGGCTAGCGCTTATGAGGAAATCAAATGCGGTATCGATATCGAACGAAATTCGGTATATAGTCAATTAACCATGAGAATAAGCGTCGGTCAAGTGGTCAAGAAACAAGTATGCATTGCAGAAAACAAGATAAAGCACAGAAGTACATCGAAAGCAGACAGCAAGCAAGACAGTAGGTAGTATTACATGAAATGGTTGGGTGAAAAGACATTATTAGACATTCAAAGACACAGCACTGGCAGGGTGCTGAAAGCTCGCCAACGCCGCTCGAAACTGGCTGACCTCAGCCTCTGCCCATTGGCGAGCAGCCCGTTCCTGTTGAAGGGCTTGCTCAGTCCGTGAGGCAACCTGCTCAGCCTGTCGGCGACCAGCGCGCTCCTCTTCAAGGGCCATGACTGGAGCAAGAACCTCCTGGCAAACGTATCAAAAAGGTGTATCTGTCGAAAGAATAATCAAACTGACCTGTTGCAACGCAGCCCACGTCTGGTCCTCAACAACCCTCACTGCTTCCCACTGCGACCTTATCGTCTCCGGCGTCCTCCCCTCATTCACACCATCCCCTCTCCCCACAACCAAGTTCCGGCCCAAGTACGAATGGGTGCCCTGGCGCCGGGCCTCGCTCGTCCGCTCAACACGCGCCCTAGTCTCCAGCTCGAGAAACCCTCCAAATAGTGTAGGCAAACCAGTAGCACTGGGCAAAGACCAGGTGGTACAAGGGGGTATTATTCGAGGTGGTCTTGATGAGGAGAAGAAAGTGCTCGAGGGTGACGCGTCGTTGTGCGGGGCGGAGGTCCATTGTCATGAGTATGTCGAAGGGGCACTGGCCCTGTTCATCGAAAGCTTCGCTGGTGTTGCGCAAGATGATGACTCTGTCGAGGGCGGCAGAAGGTTGCCATTTGCTGATTCGTTTGAGTTTGGCGCCGGCGCGGTGGATACGATTCGTGGTTTCCCATTGGCCAGAGGGGTCAGCTGTGGTAGTTGAGGAAGACGACGTCGAAAGCCTTTCCTCAGCGTCAGCTGTACGATTCAGGCTAGCGGCGTCCACCGAAGAGTCGCTATTCAGCCTGTCCACCATGAGGTACCCTCTTCGCTCAGCTCCCGACGATTCCTTCACCGTCACCACCAGGTATTCGTGCTCCAGAGGACTACCAGGTCGCTGAGATTTACGGTATTCGACCCGCTCGACATGAATATTCCCTACTCCCTGCAACAAGAAATCATAACGCTGCACGAGAGAATTGAGCAAGGAAGTAGCGTCCGTCGAGCGCTGCTGAAGTTCCGAAGCGAAGATAATCATAGTGTCGCGGTCAGGTTCTGACGGCATGATGAAGGACAAGATGGGAGAGAATAGCTGGGTGAGCCACTGGAAGGGTACCATCCTCTTTTATATAGCATCCCAGGCCATTGTCCAAAACCTTAGCGAGTCCCCAAGTAAAATTGGATTTCGAGAATGAGGCTTCTAGTAGCGTTTGAGCTTCCAGGGTGCGGTCAATTGTGACAAGCAGAAAGGTGATCGGCGAATGGCGTGCACGCCTACGTCATGACCGTTTGCAGCTAAGAACTTGGCTATCGCTGCATTTGAAGAAAAAGAGAATTCTCATAACGAAGAGATGCGTGCACGAGCCATCAGCGAGCGTGAAGATAGTCATCAGGCACGTTGTACACAGTAAAGCATACAACGTGACATGGGAAAACGGACATTGCATTAACAACGCAAGGAGTACACGCCATGGATTGCGCGCAGGAAGTCTTTTGTGCGATCGTCAAACGCCAAGTCCATCATTGCACTCTCATAAGGGTGGCCTCTTGACCCTCCCAACAGCATTCCAGCACTTGGAAAGCCTCATCTTCCCCAGCAACAGCTCGTGTCCAGAATGCCTAACATCCTCGGAGTCATTGTTCTTGCCCGCAACGGCGACAGACTTGGCTATTTCCAAGACCCAGCCACATATTTATCCTCCTCGACGCACCTCACTCCCTTGGGTGCTGTCCAGTCCCACCAGCTCGGTTCCTATCTCAGGTCAACCTATCTCAACCCCTAGCGAAGATAATCATATTGTTGTGGTCAGGTTCAGACGGCATGATGACAAGATAGTAGAGAATAGCTAGGTGAGCCACTAGAAGAGTATCATCTCTTTTCGTCGTCTTTAAGGGAATGGGAGAGAATGAAGGTCGTGGTCGACATTTGAGTTTGGTGCAATTCCCATGATGGCCTGGTGGTGGAAGGGGATGAGAGCGATAGACGGTCGCGGGAGGCTGAAGGTCGTCGTGATTGACTTGGCCAAGTGGGCCGCTGCGAGCACGGCAGGTACGAGTCCGAACATGAGGCTGAAGTTCAGCCAGCCTCATAACAAGCACGGAGCACAACTGCGAGAACAGTGTATGATCAGGTCTTGCCTCAACACTGGGTGGACGACAGCATCACCGACGTGAGTGTTAACAGTGGGCGGGCGTATGGTGACGACAGGATCGGGAGGGAGAACAAACATCGGATTCATGATCCCCCATTCAAAGAATGGGAGATGCACGAATTTGAGGTTAGTAGGCAAGCAGGGGGAAGGTAGGGCCCGATGTTAGGCGGGGAGCGGTAGGCAACAGCGGGCCTCATAGTGGTCATACAGCCAGAATTTTGGGCGCGTTCCTCCAAGGCGCGCAGTGGTTGTCCTCGTCGTCAGCCGTCGGCATCCCGACTTTCCTCCTGCTATCCCGCTCGATCCCTCCCGCCCTTTCCCGCCCCCACACACCCTCGACTGTCCCCCACAGCCCAGCCCTACTCTCCTGCATGGCCCTGCACCGTTTTAGAGCCCTGCTGGTCCGTAGTCCATGGCACCCTTCCGGCTTACACCCCCTCTCCTGCTTGCAGATGACATCCGATTTGCGATCCCTCGGCTCGTTTTACTTGTCGATGTGGGGGTAGCTGGGTGGGTCGGAATGGGGGGCCCTCATTCATATACAGTATGTTACTTCCACGGTTGGTCCACGACTCAAAAAATAATTTTGACCTGATGTGCCGGCATCTGGTGCCGCCTCGAAGTTGTGGCTGTGTAGTTCCAGGCCGGTTACTTACATCGGCCCGAAGTCCCAACTCCTGTACTTGAGAGTCACCTAAGCGCTCAGCGCTCAGCGCCGGTGTATGCATTTCTATTCTGTTGTTTCTCAGCCCTATTTTTTTTTTTTGACTTGCACTAGCTGTCATGATTCGTTCAATTTAGCGCAAAATAGAGTCATCATCGCCTTCAAGCCCTTACATATCACATTTGCTCAGCGAGTCTCTCTTACAATCCTGCTCGAAATTCTCGGTTCCGGAATCTTTTTGTCAGCTATCAGGAATGTTGGTCCCCGTCCTGTGCTATGGTCTCTCTTGGCTGCTGCTGTCGCTCCTGAGGTGCAACTAGGAAACACCAGGCTCATTGGAAGAGTCTTTGGAAGTCAGTCAACAACGCATAACGAGGCTCAAAGGTAAATCGTACTAGGTATTCCATTCGCCGAGCCTCCAATTAGAGCGTTACTTTGCAACGTCCTGTATTGAAGACGGCTATCGACGCACAGAATTTTAGGCTTCCCTGTTTACAGGGTGCAAGTTGTTCCTGACGCGTCTGACAATCCATCCTTGGGGTCCCCATATGGCATCGGAAAAGAAACCTTTGGGTTACCGTCAGGCTTTAAGAGGGCGTTTGTGATGGGTTAGTAGTCGTGTTCTTCGTTCCCGATGTCAGATGCTCAACCATCTATCTCAGGCGGGGACGTGACCTTTGACGCTCAACGTCGTTTATGGACACAGACTGTTGTATTCACACAGAATTCTTGACTGTACTCGTCCGAATGGAGAGGTGCTTTTTTTCCTTCCTCAATCCATTTGAATTGTACTGAGACGTTTGCCAGTTCCCCGTGGATCAGAGATACTCTTTCATCCACGGAGCACTGAGTTCCCCCACTGAACTTGAGTCTTCGATCTTGCTGAGTGAAATGATGATCGGCTACTGGATTTCTTTTGCTACGAACTTGGATCCCAATGACTCGGATGGCTTAGGAGGGTCTCGTGAGTGATTGTCATGCTGATGGTTGAACGTTTGCTAAGCAATTGTCAGGTCCTTTCTGACCAAAGTACACGTCAGAGAATTAGGTATGTCGAAAATTCGTCCAAGCTGGGTTTTCTTTCACCGATCATGGCTCTAGGTGCTCTTATAACTGCACGGCGACAATACAACCGCCATTCCGGACAACTATAGGAAGGAACACTCATTTCATCAGAGATAACGCTGCGGTTTTAATTCGGTAACGCAAGCGTCTCTGTGCGATCTCAGTCCCAATGCGTGACTTCTCGTGTTTGTTTCCGAGTTGAACAAGAGAATGACGCGCCATCGCATGGACACTTCTGAAGTCCTTTTCCCTTCATGAGCATACTGAAGACAAGCATAAGAGGTCACTGAAGAGACACAAGACTTCTTATGACCCACCAACGCTGCTATTAACTCCGCTAGGCCTCTTCATGTAGTCAAATCGTCCCACAATATGCCGAGCTCCGGATCAGCTGTCGCTATGTCACCCAAACCAATGGGGGAGCACATGTCTCGCTTGACTAACTTGGTCTTCTCGATGTGAATCACCTTGACATTTCCCACCAAGGGTTGGGATACACCCTAGATTCGCGGCTTGGAGTGATGCTGCCAGGCTTGGATGAAAAGGTGTTCATAATATCCTTGTTGATGGAGAAAAGAACTGCGTACGTACCGTCTCAGCCGCCCCAGCCGCCTTAACATACCTGTACTTATTTCAGATTAGGATCATTACAGCTGGACATCTGCAATCAGCATTACTCTCCGGGCCAAGACAAAGAATACACGTGTGCCTGCGGGAAGCAGGTAGTCGATGCCGCCGGTACACCATCCCTTCGTGTCCATTCTACGTAAAAATCCCTATAACTATAGTGGAACCACTTTTGTAATAATCCCTATAACTATAGGCCTGTCAAATTCATGTATCCGCTAGAAAGCGAAGTTATACGTAGCCATGAATTTTCACATGCAATCCATTTCTTGGTCTCTCCCCACCACGTGCCCAACCAATTCCCGCCCGCTCTTGCACTTCCTATTTACGGGTATCAGTAATAAAATATTTAGTATTCACAATTAAAGCATTGTAAAACAAATAAATAAATAAAAAATACTATATAATGCAAAAATAAATTAACATATAGGCGGCATGGGCTAGGGATGAGCTAGGGAGCGATTTAGGGATCGATGGCACTAATGAACGTCATGGCGGGCTCGTGAGAGAAAATGGAGACCACCAATGGATCCCCCATGTCTTGGAGGACATTTGACGCCCAAACGGACATCAGTGTCGCTGCCGTCGTTGGACGTCGGTGGCCCGATCTCCATCCTGCCCTCCCACTCTCCCCCTTCCTCCCCAGTATGCTGCCCAGTCTCCCTCTACATCCCTAGCCTAAGATCCACCCTAACCCTCGTCGTGCTCGAAGTCTCCTGGCTTTTCCGTCGTCGTTGTCATTGTGGTTGTCACTGTTACAGGTGCCGTCCCGCTGCGTGATGAGGTCCGATATGGAAACCCTAGTGATATCCTGTGTCGTCATCGTGCCGCGCTTGCGTGTCCAATGACGATCGAGGTCGATGCGCGTGTGGGGGGCATGGGATGGGTTGCGGCAGAATGTAGGTCGTATCGGGGCAATGGCAGGGATGCATGGGTCACGTCGTCAACGTACAATGTTGCGGTCATATCTGGCAGTGCTGCCTCGGGTGAGGGCTTACGTGTGTGGTGGGGATGAAATGGTCACTACCCAGGGATCTTGGGGCTGCCGGATACGCCAAAAAGACCTAAATTTGACATGTCAGTATAAAAAACAATTCAAACGTACCATATACCCATGACAATGGGCAAAACAGACGAGCGAGAGGGCAGGAAAGGAAGTGGATGTGATGGAGAGGAACAGAAAACGGTGCTGCACAGCCACTCGATCACGGTACGGTTGTGCGGTCCGGAGTGATCGACCGAACGGAATGCATCATCGGGATGCTTCCACTGCTCGATGTACACTCTCCGATGCCCCAAAGCGTATCGGAATCTTGTATTATAGATATAAGGATTGTGTATATATAATTTTTAATGCAACAGGATACCCTCATCTCATGATAATCCTCAATTTACGTTGGTTGCCCCACATTTTAGGGCACTTGTAAGCAAATACCAGTTCTATATATTTGTGCACCATCTCAATAGGTATGTTTTTCGTTGAAAATGCAAGGTTATGTCTAGTATAAGTCAAAATAATGGTCCGATCCACCCCGATCTGCTTATAGTCTCACCATTATACCGTTTCATGCATAAGAAGTGAAAACAGAATCAGACGAAAGTTCACAAGCTCGTTTTGCGTACTACGAGTGTTCATAATATATTCACTTCAGGGCAGATCCATATATGCATTTGTATCATTGATAATTCACACAGGAAGTCTTTTTCTCATTTGTTATATCATTATTTAGATGCACATTGTGCTGCATACTTTTGTAAAAGTTGAATTCAACAATTGTCTCACCATTACTCGCATTTATTGGTCGAATAAACATGAATTAAAGGCTAATTTATTGGCATAAAATGTAAAATCATGAAATATAGATATGACTATCATATGTTCGAGGTACAGAAAGCCCTAGGAGTATGGGATTGCAAGGGTATTCTGTCCTATGCCCCTAATTGGGGTGCATCCGGCAAATTCCGACCATGGTGAGAGGGGCATTTTCCTGTTTGCGTATCAGTTGAATGACAGTATTTAGACTCTGTTAAGCATTTATATATCACATAAATGTATTTTAATTAAACCGAGCCTAAATAATCCATGTGCAATGCAGAATTTTACCCAGCTTTCAAAGCCGACAGCTGCTACCGCATTGGGAATGATATTTTCCCACAGTTTTATACATCCAAGTACGCACGGGCGCATCCAGCCAAAATAGGCTGCACGTGGGTCAGGAGGCAATAGTAAATCATTAAATATTATTTTTCTGGGCTGCGATTTTTTTTTCGGGCCCAAGCAACGAACGCCGATCCAGTGCCCGTGGACCCTAACTCGGCAGCCATACGGCAACAGTTTCTGGTCCTAGCTAGGGCTGGCGAGACTGCTACAAGGGATACGTATAATTAGGAATCAAAAAGTGATGGCATCCCTACAAGATACGTATAATTTGACATTACTATAGTTATAGGGATTTTTACAAAAGTCGCTCCACTATAGTTATAGGGAATTTTTGTAGCGAATGGACACTATAGCCTCCGGTACACGGGCACGAGGGCCCGGGTCAATAATAATCTCAAACTGGTACCGAACGCACCAGGTTTTTCTCAAATGCTACAGTCAATCGGTATGTCGTGTCATCACGATGCCCTTTTATTTTTTCGAAATTAGTTCACAAACCCTTCGGGAGCAGAGACTCTCCACAAAGGACAGCGAAGCGAAGCAGCCCGCTGCCACACAGTGTTCTCTTCTGAATCAGACCGGATTTGCGGCGACTGTTGCAAATCAGAATGACTAATCGCGGACGGAGGAACATTTTCATGGTGCGTATATAAATGTCGGTCTTCCAAATTGTTTTTACCCTTGTGCAACAAATGGCTCTCGAGGAATATGTTGATCTCGCGCGACCAGTGGATAAACCCCTAGTTTTACGCACTCTTGGTATAGCTACTGTGTTTCTGCTTGCGCTACAACTTCGAAAGGCCTTAATCTCCAGAAAAAAGGTAAGCTGTAACATCAATTTTGTCCTGGCAAATGCTAATTCGTCTCAGCTGAAATCGATTCCTACCGCCGGGTCATCTGGTATTATCGGGTCATGGATAGACGCTTTCAGATTCATCTCTCACGCAAAGGAAATCGTCGAAGAGGGTCAGAGAATGGTGTGTATCGGCTCTCTCTACGGATCTGTGAATAGACTCACTGGGAACAGTATGGAACAGTATTCAAAGTACCCTTGCTGGATAGATGGACGGTTGTGGTCAGTGGAGCGGAGAAGATTAATGACCTTCGAAAGGCTTCAGTGGATCAACTGTCTTCCATAACCATGAGCGAAGACGTGAGTTCTCGGTCTTGGTCGTGAGTTATAGGGCGAAGCTTACGACGACCAGATGGACTATGCCTTTGGTCGCTTCACCAGGCTTGACCCTTACCATCTGGATGTCGTACGAGGCGCCTTGACTCGCAACATTGGTGCTTGCTTTGCAGACGTTCAGGACGAAATCAAAGCGGCTTTCAAAGACAATATACCCATGACTGAAGGTACTAAAGTTAATGATAATTTTGGCTACTCAGGCTGACGGCACCGTAGACTGGGTTGAGATACCTGCATACGAAACTATTTTGCAAATTGTATGCAGAGCGAGCAACCGGATGTTCGTCGGGCTTCCTCTCTGTGAGTGATCTTACTGTCTCGATGGTCGGTGTTTGATGATAAAATACATTCGTGAGGCCGTAACCGCGAATATATCAAGCTCAATATCAACTACACCATTGAAATCTTCGCCTTTGATCGTATCCTTCACCTTCTCCCCACGATCCTGAAAATGTGAGTCATTCAAGCTCTTTAGACTGGCATCGTAACTTCGTATGATTAGAATCGTAAGCTCTATCTACACACCTCGCAAGAATGCTGTAGCCAAAGCAGAAAAATTCCTCGGCAAAACCATTCGGGAACGACTGCAACAGCAGAATCTCCATGGAAAGGATTGGCCGGGAAAACCAGTAAGGACTTTTTATTAACATAATTTTATTCCCTTTTTTCCTCACACATCGGCAGAATGACCTCGTCTCGTGGCTGCTTGACATAACTTATGGTGACGGGAAAAAGCGCACAGTAAATGATCTATGTACTAGGGTGCTCGCTCTGAATACCGCAGCTATCCATACGACGTCGATGGTATGTTCAATCACCCATCCGAGAGTTGCAGCTAATTGTGCGCTTATAGACGTTCACTACCGCCCTATACGCATTAGCTGCGCACCCTGAGTATGCTGAAACCCTTCGAAATGAAGTTGAATCGATCATCAACGAAGAAGGATGTACGAAAGCTGCAATGGGAAAGATGAATCAACTCGATAGTTTCGTGAAGGAAGCTCAGAGAGTATACGGAACCATGGGCGTCTGTGAGTCGTTAACCTATTTGTCACCCTAATTTCTTCTGACCTTGAATACAGTCGGAATGCATCGGACGACTCGGAAAGACTTCGCATTTTCTGATGGAACAGTAGTTCCTGCTGGGACTCAAATTGTTGTGGCCTCTTTGTCCACGCATACAGATGAAGTACGCGCGAGTCTAGCCATTATGACAGCCCTTCTCACTGGTTTTCCCACGTAGGAAAACTATGAAGACCCATTAGAATTCAAGCCGTGGAGGTTCTCTGAAAAGAGGAAACAAGAGGGTGAAAATATTCGCCACCATATGGCCACGCCGAGCCTGGATTTCGTTTTCTTTGGCCATGGACGGCCAGCATGGTGCGTATGGCTGAGCTCTCCAGTGGTAAGTTCCTCAGGTTAACGTTTGTTTTTACTTCTCAAACAGTCCGGGCCGTTTCTTCGCTGTCAATGAGTTAAAGGCTCTTATGTCCCACGTTCTCCTTAACTTTGACGTAAAGATAGACAAATTCCCCACACCCGCGTGGTTTTACGACAATCAGATGCCAAATCAGAGCAGCAAGGTGTTGTTCAGAAAGCGTGTGCGTACCCCGTGAAGTAGCGGTTCTGGACACTGTCGTATAATACTACCTACCTAAGTACGACACGATTGAGTGTCGAAGGACAAGAAGTAGTGCTCGTATTCCTTGATAGCAGTATGGGTCCTTGATGAATCCTGTACGTAGGCGTCTATGTAACTCTGTTTATCTGGTTGGTATTGTGATTCTCTTATCAATGTTTACCATAACGATGTGTTTGAATACATGAAGTATACACCAGTTATGCCTTGGGCTCCCCAAGACAAGGAGAAATGGGAACACGAAGAAAGACTCGACAACTGATGCAAGGTGGTGGACCAACTTATCCCAAGTTCGATTTGAACCCAAAAGAGAAGAAAAGAAACATGCTCGTGATGTTGTCTCTCAGCTCCGTATCTACCACATCATGTCCGTCTGTCAACTTTGACCCTCATGCCACTCGGTAAAGTGACTGGGAAAATTACAGAGGTTACGACATGATGACACCTTTGGACGTCATTTAATGAAGGCTTATGATGAAAGAGTCCATGAGTGAACAATTTGGACGAAGCTAGCGCTAATCAAGCCGCCGGCCCGAAATGTTCCAAGGAAATTCGTCTTCATTGACATGCGGTAACTGTGATGTATATAAGAATACAGCCGATACCTGCGTAGACTCTGTATCGCGTGAAACAAGCAAGAAGGAACAGTACTCGCTCATATAACGGCAAAAATCCGCCCTTGCGGATACAAGTCCGTATGCTAGTCAAAGCGCGTACCTGAACAAATGTCCGGTAAAAAAAAAAGAATGCGTACCCGGAGCGGTCATAAAGCAAGGGATGGTGATCGCAAATAATGGCAGTGCAACGGAAAAAGAAAAGGTGACGAACGTGGAATCGTGTCCTAGCGAGATGAACCATTCGGTCCAGGGACGTGTTAGAAGAGTTTGGAAGAGAAGATCTTCCCGCTCTGGTCTCCCTCATGGGCGCTGTGTATTATGTCTCCTTCCGATTGGCCTGACATACGTTTGGCTCCGCCGTCAGGGCTTGCGAGGTAGGGGTGGAGGAGAAATCCACCTACGCAGCCGTAGTAAAACGTAGCCGTAGCGCCTACGCGACCGTCCCACGCAGACCCTCCCTTTGGACGCAAGAACGGACAATCATACGGCAATTGAACGTACAAGCGTGGAGCCTCAATTAAAGGTGACGAGTCGTAATATGAAATCGTCCCCCAGAATGGAGCTAGACCGCTCGTTTCGGCATCCTCTGCCATCTTATACAACATAAACCAGTGTGTACCACAAAAGGAGCAGTACTCGCTCACACAACGGCAAACAGCCACACTTGTGAATACATGTCTGCATGCGCGCACGTCAGCGTACCTCATCAAATGACCAGTAAAAGGAAATGTATACCATAAAGCAAGGATAACCGCGTAACCAAAAAAAAAAAGGCGGCGAGCATGGAACCGCAAGGACGCATCAGGGAGGACGGGGCCTCTTTTGAGGAGAGCCTTCCCATTCAGTACACCCCCTTCCATTCTTCCGTTCGGTCCCGCCGGCGTGGGTACTGGGAGGAGGAGGGATTGTGAAACATAACCTTTCCTTGCAGGGATGCCCTGTCTCTCTCTCTTTCGTCCAAGAGGCGCGGAAAAACGGCACGGCAATTGAGCGAGCCTGAATTAAATGTGCAGCATGTTCTCGTCTCCCAGAATGGTGCTAGACCGTCCGTTTCGGCATCCTCTGTCCTTGCAATTATGCCAGGCACATCCGCTTAAGTATTGGAGTGTGCGTTACTATTGAACGGATTCGGTGCCGACTGCTCCACCTCCGCCTGGTATGTAGGGAGAGAATGTCGGGGGTCTAAGACCGCAGGCTTCAAGTTCGTCTGGATGGCGAGTTAGTTAGTGAGCTGGGAACGTAGGAGAAATTCGCTGACTTCACGCGACCCTCGTTTACGTGTTGCATCGATCGTGGCCATGGGTTTTCGCCCCTCAATTGTGACGCTCTTTGAGTGGATGTCCCTTTCCTAGTACCTACACAGCATGGGTATGTATCATTTCAGTGTGCACGAGGCAGGTAACGGGCATCGACTGTGAACAAGCAGAATGGCTTCGTATGCCGGGATGGTTGAATGCAAACTTCGATTTACGGAGGTGTGGGGTACGTTCCTGGAATGGACGAAGAGGCTGTTACTCCGAGTGCATTCCCATCTGGGCTGCTGTGAAGGGAAAACGAAGGCAGGGGATTGATGATGCGATAACTGGGAAAAATTCTACGAAAAAAGGATGGAGGCGGTAATATGAATATCTCCAGTCTGTGTTGTTATCATCGAAGACTCATGCTTGATATGACTCGAAGGCATTCCCATCTGGGTTGCTGTGAAGGGAAAGGGGAAGGCGCTTAGCGTCGGGGGGAAGGTCCGATAGACACCAGTGAACGAGAAGAGTTATACGAGAAAAGGCAGACAATGCAGCGTTTTGCAGGAAGTGCAAATGGGAATATCTCTGGTTTGTGTGTCCCAGTTCCCTCGGTGCCTTACGCATGCTGGCTTGATAATGATGTGACTCGAAGACCTAGACTGATTTGATTGAGAAACGAAGAACCGGGGATTTGGAAGTCCCAGGTTGTAATGCAAAAGCGTTCCCAGGCGAGCGAACATTGTGTGTTGTTATGGGTGTTTGTATAACATGCCGTGATAGAGTTAGCCTCAAGGTAGGTTTCCAGCTCGTAAGTGAAGACCGCGGTGATCGCACGTGTAGCGCAGACAATACTCAGCTTCAAGTTCGTTCAGATGGAAGGTGCTGTTACAACTGGCCGACCATGCGGATCAGCTGATTGGCGCTGTAACACGAGTCAGGAGAGAGTTCTGCTTAATGATGAGTCGTATGACAACATTGTCATAGCTTTGACTCAAGTTCTTTTCCCAGGAGAGAGAGTCGCAAGGGGTCGGTTGGTTGGTTAGCAACAAGGACAAGAAGCGCCAAAGTGGACTCGGATGATAGTATCCCCAGGAATAAACGACTTGCTATCCATGGAACAAGGAGCAGAAAATACGGTTTTCAGCCACGAGAGCCTAAAGAGGGTTGCGGGATCTTTTACGTACTACGTCCCTTGATCAGTTTAATCATCAACGCCCACGTAGCGGTCACGGCGGTTCCTACCTGGAAACTTGACATACAATTTTACGCGCGAAGGTGCCTTTTGATTCAGATAATGTCAGTACGTAGTAGAATAAATTGCGGCTGCGAGAGTTAACGTACGCTGGAGTCAAAGCGATACAAGGCTGACCAAAGCGGGGCTTCAATAGGAGATAGCAACGCGTGAAAGTTGACTTTGTTCATGTTCCCAATTTGGCGATCCACTTGTTGCGCCCCCGAAAAGGAAAGCAATGATCACGATCATTGTTCTATTCTAGAATTATCTGGTATTTGGTATGTGGGGGGCGTATATAACGGTTGGCAAGCGCACTTACCTTCGTTACAGCTCCCCCCTCAACTACTCATCATCCTAGCCTCTTAAAACCTCTTTTAAAATTATGTTCCAAGTCGCGTCGTACTCGACTCCATTCAACATGCTTCCCCAGCAGTCTCGTCCGAGCCACCGTGACGTCGGAGCTCACCACTGCAGTTCCATTCAGCTCCCTGCGACTTTGGCTCGCCCACACTACTCAGAAGTCTCTGCGAGCGCTATCGAGGCAGTGTCTCCCGAGCTCGCTGATGTTCCTCCCGAGTACATCCGAAGGAACCTTCGCTCCGAAGCACCACAGTACGTCTTTCATATCGTTCTCAGCTCTTTTCTTTGTCGCTGACAGTAAGACAGAATGCTAGCAGGAATATCTGCTTTGGCGCCCTCCCATCTTCCCACCATTCTCCCGAAAAGCCATCTTCCGGGCATGTTATCCGTCCCTGTCCGTTCCTCGTCACCATCATCGCGCGTATTCCCTACCCATGTGCTGGCCGTCTCTTCTACCAAGACCCCCACGGAGCAGTGCATGGTATTCCCGGTACACGCTCTCGTCCTCGCGTCCCACTGCGCACATCTCCCCGCGATCCCGCCTGCTCAACTGCAAGGTGGTAGTCAGACGCTAGTCAAGCTCCCCGTTCTTCCCTTTGCCCTTCCCTCGCCGCCGGCATTCGGCATCATCCACAACTTCATGTACACCCACCGCCTCGAGCCTGTCTTCAGGTCGCTCCTACCTGTCCCAGCGGGATTCTTCCAATCCATCACTCACGAGACGGTCCTCACTACTCTCAATTCCAAGGAGACATGTATGCAGCTGTCCGCCTACCTTTGTTCTCAGGAACAAGGAGACCTGCAGAAGCTCACGACACATGCTGTGCATGTCAAGGAGCTCTGGCAGGATATGGTCGCTCTGGGTATTTACAGCCCGGATTTATGGGACGCTGTTGACCTCGCTTGGAGAATTATCATTGGCGCGCTTTCCATCGCCGCTAGGAACGCGAATTAACTTCGCTCCACGTTATGTCCTCTTGTTTTCCCCATGCGCACTGTATCCTGAATATTGTTTACATACCCTTGCATTACTACACAATCACCTCATATTCCTTGTATAGTTACTGTATTATCTTTTGTAGGACTTTAACACCAATGTAGCCTTATACAGTTTCCCGAACATACATACTACTTACATGCTTCTTACCAACATAGCCTTACATTTTTTTTGCCCTTTTCACGCGTCCAAAAGATATATTTCAAAAACCAAAACAAGCAGCCTCCTCATGGTATAACAAATTGATGGCTGTTCACAGCGTTCAGCTGATATGTACATGACGTCCCAATTGCACTGAAAAACGAGGCCGGAAATGGACAAAAGTCACATAGAGGAACCTGCCACGATAAGTCAGCCTTCTTGAAACGATCTTCTTGGTATGTTATGGAGTGTACTTGCCCGGGAATGATGGTTCTACGCTTGTGGGTATCTACGGGTACAGATCATAATCAGTTCCGGGCCGCGGTAAGCGTGGTCGAGGACAGACGTGTGATCTTTGGTCCTTGAAGGCTGATACGGAGATGTGAGTACAGGTCCGGTAAAAGATACGTTTACTAGGGCACTCACTGGAAAGGCATTGCAATATGGTGGTGGTTAGTCTCTGAGGGACCGATAAGCACATACGACAGCTTGAAGGCTCATTACATCATCCCTTGGCATAAAGTGCGCAGCCTTTCTTTCATGCGAGCAACTCCGATTCGAGTACGTATTTTCCATCGCTCCATTTTACAGAACCGAAACCTTGCACAGGTCAGGGACTCTGTATCTATGTAAAGACGGACAGGGGCTGAGGCTTGTCTAGACATCCCAATTCTTTTTGAAGAATGATAGTGCATTTCTTTCTCAACGTGAAAAGCAACACGAGGTCCGGAAGAACGTAATTCCAACAGACTGCAACGCCCCAAAGTAATTGCAGCCTTTTATGAGTATTGAGATGCGTAATCACCTCGAGTTTTGTTGTTTTTCAGGATAGTGAAGTCGAGAAGAACAAAAGGGGTGTCCAAAACAAAGCAGACACGCGGCTCGGGTACCATTCACACCAAATAGACGTCCCCACAGAAGATACCAGAGCATTCGTTCAAGATTTCCGTTTCCTAACTGGCGATAATCGGAACATGGCAAACTGTAGACTCGCTAGCCAGTCGACGTTCGCAAGCTTACACCTCGTAATGCAAATTCCGTATACGGTTGTTTGGTTGTTTGGTGAAGTTTGACATGTTTTGACGTGAAGAGGTGAGCTTGCGAACGGACTGGGCAATACCGAGACGTTTTAGAGGGTCACACATTCTGTGACTTGGGACTTAGAAAAATTCACTGATTTTTGTCTTGCAGCTTATTTTCAGCAGCCATTGCACTTCCCCCGTCTCCAATTTGCTCCAGTAGGATTAGTATGCATAGTCTGCCTGTGCACAAATTATTTTAAATTCTATACAATCATGATTATGGAACCCTCTGCTTGCTCTCTACTTTGCCCTTCAATGGCTCTGTCCGAATGACAAGAACATGATGACCAAATGATGACATCATGGGAGCAGACAGTTGAATAATATTTTCCACGCAAGGCGACAAAAATAAACTGTGTAGATGGTTCAGTGGTAAACAAAGTATAAAATGCGCATGTATACAATGCATTACGAGGGAAGGGAGTGGACAACTATTAAAACTGGCGGTGAAGATGTGAAATTTTTATAAGTCCCAAGTCACAGAAAGCGTGACCCTCTAAAACGTTGCGGATTTGCCCAGCCGCTTTCGCCCAAAAGTGATAGCGCAGCCACGTGGGTGAAGCGCCGGCTGGTAAACGAGCCTAGGCAAACTGGGCCATCGCGGGAATTGAACCTCTCAGGACCCCCGATAATCCCTACAAAGTCCCGATCCCGGATTTTCGACCAGTTTAGACGTTCGTGTACGATACATTTTACTTCGGACCTTGCGCAAGGTATGTATGTGTCTGGCTACTGTGGATAGTCTAGGAAGAAGGAGAATTTGGCCTTCAACTATGCCGAGTTGAACATCATGCCGAAGACCAAGAGCTTGATTATGGATGGTACATTTCTAGATGAAAACCATTAAAAATGGGAGAAAAAAGGTTCCCGGCACTTCGGCATCCTGAGGGAATGCTGCAGGAAAAAGTTCGGGTATGGTGCCGGATATGCCGGAAAATGGCGCGGACTGGGATATCCATGTCGAACGATTCGTATACCGTAAATCTTGCCCACCAGTAGCATGAGCACCAGGGATCCTCTGGAGCCGGGTCCTCTTCCTCGACTCCTACCGTTGCACCCCTTAGAGCTTTCTAACTTCATCGCACCGGCGTCAAACTCAAGCGAATTAGCAAGCTGCAAATGGAATCCTCCCGGCCCCCCCGTCGTTCTGCACAAACTTTGAGCGTACAAGGTCGGTGCGCTACGGTGTCCTCATGACGATGTACCTCGCCTAGCACCAAGACGCGTCACCCTCGAACATTTTCATCACCTCGTCAAGACCACCTCAAGTGCTACTGCTTTGCCTACAGGTTCTCGAGCTGGAGGCTAGGATGTTGAGTGGACGGGTCAGGAGGGCACGCATTCGTACTTGAGGCAGAATTTGACTGTGAGGAATAAGGTGAAGACGCCGGAGACCATCAAGTCGCAGTGGGAGAGAGAGAGAGGGTTGTTGCAGACCAGGAGTAAGGAAGCGTTGCGACAGGCGAGTTTGGCTGTAATCTTTCAGATGAATAGGCATTTTGATACGTTTGTCAGGCGCTTTTTTCTCCAGAACTGGCACGTATACAAGCAGAGCAGGCCTGTTTATAGGCAGTGCAAGTACTGCAGCAGGAACGAGCAGCTCGCCTTCAGGCAGAAGCCCAGGTCACTCGGTTTCGAGCGACGTTGGCGACACTTCAGCTTCAGCACCCTGCGAGAAGTGCGTAGAGTCTTTCACCCGCCATTCTTCGACCATTCTATGCAATACTACCTATCGGTTAGCTTTCAGTGCTTGCTATCTGCTTTCGATGGGCTTTTATGCTATACCATGAAAAAGACATGCGTTTCTCGGATAACTTGGACGTGACCGACGTTGCTTCTAGAAAGCTGACGATATACATGGTTACTTGGATTATACACCACCTTTCGTTCGATATCGGTATTGTATTCCTTGGGAAGCGCCAACTGAAGCCTTTCGAGTAATGATAAATAATGATAAAATTTCCTTATCACGTCCTTAATGTTCCTTCCAGTCAGCTTCGACTGCAACAGCGCCCTTGATGTCATCCCTGCAGAAGATCCAGCGGGTCTGGTGCCCCACTAAAGCGACGAATCGTCCAGGAAAACGAAAGAGTAGCGTACCGTACCAAGGATACGCTGCAAAGCGCCTAGTTCCTCCGCCGTGCCCATGTCACTATCTTGCCTTCGAAGCTTCTCACCAGAAGTTGAGCAAGTTGAAGTTAACAATGAAACCAAGTGCTGAATATCGCTTTGGGTTACCAGTATTGGATTTGCTTCCACCTCAGAACCAAGCGTAATTGCATGGATGTCTCGTCGGCGGGCGTTCTCTTTGAAGGACTGTTCTCCCACGTCCCCACCTCACTAGCTAACCTACGTTTCAGACAAAACTTGCAAGCCTTTATCTCTCCCTCCCGGCAGATGGAATGTCTCCCGGACTTGGACCGACCAGTCTTGAAGCCTGCACCGAACCCATTCAGCAGTATACGCACACGTCAGTACTTAAGCGGATGTAATTGAAAAGACAGGATGCCGAACCGAGCGGTCTAGCGCCATTTTTGGAGACGAGAACATTTAATTCCGGCTCGCTCAATTGCCATACCGTTTTCCTGTGCAAGGAAAGAAATTGACTGTCTGGATAACCGATTACGCAGTTATCCTTTGCTTTATGGTACGCATTCGTTATTGCTTGTCATTTGATGAAGTGCGCTGGCATGCACGCATGCAGACTTGTATCCACAAGGGCGGTTGTTTGCCACTGTGTGAGGGAGTGCTGCTCCTTCTCACTTAGCTCACGTAGTCAACAGTCTACGCCCGTATCGATCGTATTCTTATATGAAGCTCCTGCATGTCAATGAAAACGAATTTCTCTTGGAACGTTAAGGGTCGGTGGCTCGATTAAGAACACCAAGCTATGACACGAGATACATGGTTGCCTACGTACAGGATCCATCAAGGATCCGTACAGCTATTAAGACGATGCCACTAGGCGCTTCTTGTTCTTCTACACTGAACTGTGGCGGGGACTGCTACTTTCACAGAGTACGCACACGCTTCCTGAACAACACCTTGCTGCTTTAATTTGGGATCTGATGATCAGAGAACCACGTCGGTGTGGGGAACTTGTCTATCTTCACGTCAAAGTTTAGGAGAACGTAAGACATGAGTGCTTTCAACTCATTGATAGCGAAGAAGCGGCCCGGACTGTGAACAGATCTCAACGTCATAACCACCACAGAGTTCCATACGCACCATGCTGGTCGTCCATGGCCAAAGAAAACGAAATCCAGACTCGGCGTGGCCATATGGTGGCGAATATTTTCACCTTGTTTTCTCATTTCAGAGAACCTCCATGGCTTGAACTCTAGCGGGTCCTTGTAGTTCTCCTACATAGAAAAAGTGACGAGAGGAACCGCCAGGATAGAGAAACCGTACGTACCTCGTCTGTATGCGTGGACAAAATGGCAACAACGATTTGAACTCCGGCGGGAACCACTGTTCCGTCCGAAAACATGAAGTCCTTACGAGTCGTCCGATGCATTCCAACTATTCAAGGTCAGAAGGGATCAGTGTAATGAATGGTTAACGACTTACACACGCTCATAGTACCATATACTCTCTGAGCTTCCTTCACAAAGCTGTCGAGTTGATTCATCTTTCCCATTGCAGCTTTCGTATATCCTTCTTCGTTGATGATGGATTCAACCTCATTTCGAAGAGTTTCGGCATATTCGGGGTGCGCAGCCAATGCGCAGAGGGCAGTAGTGAAAGTCTATAAAAGCACAATCAACTGTAGCTCTTGGATGCATAATTCGACATACCATAGACGTCGTATGGATAGCTCCAATATTCAGAGTGAGCACCCTATTACATATATCCTGTACTGTGCGTTTTTTCCCGTCACCATGAGTTACGTCAAGCAGCCACCAGACGAGGTCATTCTGTCGCTATGTGAAGCAAAGATTAAAGTCCTATCAATCAGACTGCCTTACTGGTTTTCCTGGCCAATTTTTCCATGGAGATTCTGCTGTTCCAGTCGTTCTCGAATAGTTTTGCCGAGGAATTTTTCCGCCTTGGCTACAGCATTCTTGCGAGGTGTGTAGATAGAGCTCACAACTCTAATCATACGAAGTTACGATGCCAGTCTAAAGAGCTTGAATGACTCACGTTTTCAGGATCGTGGGGAGAAGGTGAAGGAAACGATCAAAGGTGAAGATTTCAATGGTGTAGTTGGTATTTAGCTTGATATATTCGCGGTTACGGCCTCAAGAATGTATTCATCGTCAAACACCGAGCATCGAGACAGAAAGATCACTCACAGAGAGGAAGCCCTACAAACATCCGGTTGCTGGCTCTGCATACAATTTGCAAAATAGTTTCGTATGTGGGTATCTCAACCCAGTCTGCATCAACATCAGCCTGAGTAGCCGAAAACATCGTTAGTCTTAGTACCTTCAGTTATCGGTATATAGTCTTTGAAAGCTGCTTTAATTTCGTCCTGAACGTCCGCAAAGCAAGCACCAATGTTGCATGTCAAAGGGCCTCGTACGATGTCTACATGGAAAGGGTCAAGCCTGATGAAGCTTCCGAAAGCATAGTCCATCTAAGTTTCGTAAGTGTCGCCCTATGACTCGCAAACGAAACTGAGCACTCACGTCTTCGCTCATGCCTATGGAAGACAGTTGTTCCACTGAAGCTTTTCGAAGGTCATTAATCTTATCTGCTCCGCTGACCACAATCGTCCATCTGTCGAGCAAGGGTACTTTGAATATCGATCCACACTATTCACAATGAGTCTATTTACAGATCTAGAGAAAGAGCGCCGATACACACCATTCTCTGACCTTCTTCGACGATTTCCTTTGCGTGAGAGATGAATCTGAAAGCGTCTATCCATGACCCGATAATACCAGATGACCCAGCTGTAGGAATCGATTTCAGCTGAGACGATATTAGTATTTACCAAGACGAAGTTGATATGACAACCTTATTTCTAGAGACTAAAGCCTTCCGAAGTTGGAGTGCAAGTAGGAACACAGTAGCTATACCGAGAATGCGCGACACTAAGGGTTTATCAACTTGTCGCACGAGATCGACGTATTCTTCGAGAGCCATTTGTTGCATAGGGGAAAACAATTTGGAAGATTGACATTTATATACGCACCATGAAAATGCTCTTCCGCCCGGGCTTAGGTCACTTTGATTTGTAGCGGTAGCCGCAATTCGTTCTTGAGAGAACAATGTGGCGATAGATTGCTTGGATTCCCTGTCATTTGTGGGGAGTCTATGCTACTTGAAAGATTTGTTTCTTCGTTGAACGAATTCGGGGAAGATGTGAGAGGATCGTGATGGCACAACATACCGAATACTGTAGCGTTTGTGAAAACCTAAGGATTTTGGTATGAGATCAACGTGACCCTTGCGTCTGTGTACCGGGCGCATCAACTACCTGCCTGTGGCTATAACCGTGAAGCCTGCTGGGATAAATAAGTATGCAGTTCTTTACGTGCTTCTTTCCCATCAACAAGAGAGACGACCACCTTTCCAATGCTTGGCGCAAATCGAGGATCCGTATATCCCAGCTCTTGGTGGATATACCAAGGTGGTTGACATCGAGAAAGCCAAGTTGTCGCCCATCTTCGGTCTCGGGATCCAAACGAGACAGGATATACCTCATCGCAAATACCATGCCATAGCGAAGCACGTACGTGATCATGGATATGGGTATCGAGGAAGATACCCATCCGTGTGATAGCTGAGGCGCGGAATATCATTCCCCTTCCTTTCAACGCGCGGCGTAATGGCATATTACGGGACGGTTTGGCTTAACTGAATGATTGGCAACGTTGATAGAGTTATAAGAGTTACTGTGCCCAGTCCCTTCGGTGACTCACGCTTGACTTCAGTAGACACTCGCGAAGGGGCCCCAAGGAATGTTCATGCCACAAACGTCATGAGATCCCCTTTCTCAATCACTTGGAACCAAGACGAGAGGTCATACGTAACGGAACTGTACAGAGAAACAGGTCGCATAGAGAGGTGCTTACTTTACCGGCTAAAGACAGCGGCGTTATCTATAATAAAGTCAATCTGTTCCTTCCTATAGTCATCCGGAATGACGGTCGTATTGTCACCATGCAGTTGTAAGAGCACCTGAGATACGATTAGTGAAAGAATACCCCCTTGAACAAATTTTCAACATACCTGGTTCTCCGAAGTGTATTGTGGCCAGAAAGGACCTGACAATTGCTCAGCAAACGTTCAACCATCAGCATGACAATCGCTTACGAGACATCCCTAAGCCATCATTGGGATCCAAGCTCGTAGCAAAAGAAATCCAGTAGTCGATCATCATCTCACTCAACAAGATCGAAGACTCTGGTTCAGTAGAGGAATTCAGCGTTCCGTAGACGAAGGGTATCTCTGATCCATGGGGAACTGGCAAACATCTCAGTATATGTCAAGCGGATCGAGGAAGGAAAAAATCGCATCTCCCCATTCGGACGAGTACAGCGAGGAATTCTGTGTGAATTGGTACCCGTATGCTGTCACACCTGCTTGCACAGCAGTCTGTGTCCATAACCGGCGCTGAGCGTCAAAGGTCACGTCCCCGCCTGAGATAGATGGTTGAGTAAATGATATTTAAGAACGAAAAACGCTAACCCATCGCAGCCGTTCTCTTAAAGCCTGAGGGTAAGCCAAAGGTTTCAATTCCAGTGCCATATGGGGATCCCAAGGATGGATCGTCAGGGTACAGTTCGAGAAGTTAGTCCAGGATAGTATCGGGGATGGTAGGTGGGTAAGGTGAGTAAGTGGATACCATATAGTCCTTGATGTCCTCGTCGGTGTAGTTGCGATCGGTCGGCAAGAAGCGCGTCCCTAAACGAGTGCCAATATTGAGACCGGCACTTGTAATAATAATAATAAAGTATTCATATCATACCCTCGTCTAGGTTTGTGCCTGAAATAAAGGGAAGCGTGGCAAACTGGCCCTCTTCCCAGAGACGTGAAGGCAGATCGGGAAGAAGACCTGATGGGCCGTCCAGTGCAGGATCAAAAGGAAATCCTTCAATGGTCAACGAATAAGCCTCAATCCATCCTTCATATATAGCAGACGAATTCGCTGCCTGCAAGCAGTCAAAGGTGTTATTCGTGTCAGCGACAGACTCGCAGCCTGGTGTCCCAGCTACAAAATTGTGCCAGGAAGATTCTCTTGTAGATGCATTGTAAGTTACGGGCGAAGACACAGCACCGGACTCAAAGATCTAACCAAAGAATCAGAATGAAAACTTGTGTGAAACAACCTTCATAGTTACCGCAGCCCAGGCCAAGTCAGAAATCGACGCGTTTAGAAACAGAAGACTCGTCAACATCGCTCCGGCACTTTCTCCAAAGATAGTCACCTGCTCAGATTTGTTATTAAAGACAATCGATACAGGATATTTTTACTCACTTTGGTTTTGTCACTACCGAACAAACCAATATTCTCTTGAATCCATTCCAGGGCGGCCAACTGATCTCTGACTCCGAGGTTCAGTTGTCCTCTATCGTCAGCCTCCTGCCCTTGAGGAAAGCCTAATGGACCCAGTCGATAACTGTGGTTCACATAAATAATGGGAGTCCCCTAGAAACCATTAGCCAAGAAGACGTAGGTAGAACATAGATATCCACTCTGACAACGCTCTGGGCAACAATATTGCTTCCATTGAAGGATGACGAAGCGCCTGCAAAGAAACCGCCTCCATAGGTCCTTCGGTATTATTAGCACAAGAACCATATGGGCGAAACACATAATTTCACCAGAACAACACAGGCAAAGGATCTTCAGAAGACGCCCCCTTCGGTCGAAATATATTTATAGTCAAGCAGTCCTCCGATATCGCATCGGTAGCATACCCCTGTTATTGCTGCCATTAAAATACAGTCGCATATATCAAGTCAAAAAACCCACACGCTGTAAGCAGGGTAGTCCGAAATTCTGGGCATCGAATTCATCGGCGTCAATGTCCGTTTTCAATACAGGACGCTGCAAGCGCAACGCTCCGACCGGAGGTTCGGCGAATGGAATACCTGGCCTACGCTTCAGTCTTGTGCATCGCTACACAGTATGTTGGCTCACCTCCAAAGAAGTCTTGCTGTAGCCCTGCAACATCTCTTCCAATGAGTCTGGTGTTTCCCAATTGCACCTCAGGAGTGTCAGCAGCAGCCAAGAGAGCGTAGTACAGGACGAATGTCACAATAAGCATGGCTCATGCGATGGAAAATGGGGGAGAATACCGTCTCTTTATGTAGAATTTTGGGTTCAGGGAAGGTTACAACTCATGACCATCGGTTGGAAGAAGAACAAACATTATGGTCATAAACTGCGAATATCGGGATTCACGCGCATGTGCAACGAGCCAGATGGAAAAAAGTTTTATTCGTCCCATGACTTGTCGGAAAATCTGACGCGTGAAGTAGCGGCGATTGGCCTACCGCCGTATCGTCAATAAGGCCTTGGCATTACTCGAGATTTCGTTCACAGTAGGAATTTTGAACATCGAGCCAACATCCTTGCACAGCGCCTTTAGCCAGAGTACTATTGGGAAAAGCGTCGTCCACTGGGGCATGGGCAAGGAAAAGAGACGCGTTGCTTGTTTGGTCAACTTTGTCCACTTGGACATGATAACTAAGTAAGGCCGGCAAGCGGCAAGACCCGCTACCTTGTCACAGACAGACGGAAACGGCCGACAAGTCAAGATAGTAGTGAATTTCGTAGTTCAATAGTATATACAGATTCAATATATATAATTTTTTTTTACTGCTAGTAGAACGAGGGATGCCAGTCGCCTACTGAATGACACTGCACAACGTCAGCGGAGGGTACACGTTGAGTAGGAAGAGACTCACATAACAGCCAAGAACGTGTTCATGTTGGGATCGAAGTGAACCTTGTAACTGGGCCGGATGCCGCGTACAACGCGATCTAGTACGCGTTTGAGCCTTTTCTCTCGGCGGTCGGGAGAGAAGCAAGTGCTTTCGGGGTGGAGAGGATCGTAGTGGAGGGCACCCAAGTGGTTGTTGTACGAATCGTACACACGTACGGTAACGTTTGGGTGATTGGGAGAGGGTGTTTTTCTGTTCAATTTACGCGTTAGTATCATAATACAGCGAGTAGAAGCAGAAACTCACGCGATAGTGCAAGTCATCATCTGAAACCCTTCGCCCTCCAATGCCTGCCGCTCGCGACTCAGAGCATCGATCAAACCATTCAGCCCTCCGCGCATGAAAGGGAACTCGGCACTCCACTGATTGTAGACATAAGCCATGAACGACATTTGAGCTAGAGGAGATGTAAATGTAAGTTATTGAAGGTGAGGGCGGGTACTGTACCAAGGTGATGATTGTAAAGAAGGCTTGATCAGGTATGCTTAGTCGTCGCTGAGCTGTTCTGAGAGACCCGAAGACTCGGTGCAAGTAATATGAGGCAACCAAGCAGCTCGCTGCAGAACGTAGAATGAAGGAAAGTACGCACAACTGTTAGCTGCATGTAAACACGATCAAGAGGTCATTACCTGAATATTACACACGAGGATTCTCTGAAGTACCGTAATGAGGGACGTCAGTTTCTGAAGGAGGGGGACGATCGGAAATATACGCACCTCTAAGGGAACAGCGTGTTAGCAGTTGAGGTCAGATATCGGGACCTTCGAATGGCCCATGATAAAACCAAGGGAGCGCTGTCTTGCCGGAGGAAAGCAGAAGGCAGGGTCAACGTCGTTAGCATGAACATGATCGACGTGGATAATACAACGTGCTCACTTAACCGTAAGACGCAAACGTTGTGTATCGGTTTTCCTGCTAAATACACAACGGGAGCACTCGCAGAGGCGGGTTGCGACTGATACAAGCAATGGTCTCCGAGGTATTTCAAAATGCACGTGGATAGAACAGTGAAAGCGACAAAAGTATTTTTAAAGTGCAAGACTATCAATATATACACAACCTAACAAATATATAAGCATTCAACAGTGCGGATGATAAGAAGAGGTACTCACGCATACACTATATACAGGACACAATCAGACCGGGCTTCAACAAGGATTCCCAACCAGGTGTTACGGGGGAATGAACCTTCAAGGGATCGGAACGGTGTAAGGTTAGCTTGGAAATTGTTGCACACCCAAGAGCTCGACGTCGGGACTTCAACATATGGCATATATACACGATATCCGCATCCTTCCGAAGATCCCAGCATAAGAACGTGATATCAACCAACCGCGGAAGAAACTTTGGATTGGATCGTAGCTCGCCAAAAAGGTGAGTGCAGAAGAATGGGAGAGTGAGATGAAGCGACTCGACGTTAGGAAGATGGCGTAGTAGTCCAATTGACGCGTTATCATGGAAATCAAAATTATGCACAGAGTCGGTATAGGAAATTTTGAACGTCGTAATACCGTAATTCGGTAACGATATGCGAGGCCAAGCAGGGTCGAGTATATTGCCTTCGTATGACAGCGACAACGTATGCAAGTTATCAAGACGGAGGAGGGACCACACCAATGGTAGTCCATTGGAGGACTCGCCATCTCGAAGAGTAAGACTTGCAACCGTGGGTAGCTCAATGATACGTTCGAACTGCTCGACGTCTGCATCACACGTGATGTCTAGTCTGCACAGGTTGTTCATGAGGGGCAGAAGGTCCAATGCGGTGGATGCTTGGTCGTACAGCTGAAAACGGAATTCATCCAAGCACTGTAAAATAGAGGGGGATACTGTCAAGGCATGGAGGGGGACGTCAAATACGGACAATGACCGGAGGTTTGGTGCGAACGATAACGACGAGAGTATAACATTGGTGTTCGAATGCCAAAGAAGGGCACGAACACGTTAAAAGTTGATGAAGAACAAGGTGGCATTACAGACAATTCGCGAATGGTCTTCTTCATCTGCTGACGCGGAACTAACACACGGATGGATTCCAGTGAAGCGCTAAATGACTCCCTCCGAACGGAAGCGATGAAGTAATGTATCACCTTTTAAATTGAACAGCTAAGTCGACGCGAACAGTAAAATCACATACCTTAAACGATACTAGACACAGAGAACCACCCACTGTATCCTCTGTGAGGGAACCCATGACGACTGACCGCCCAGTATACGACCTGATATCAATAGGGTCAAGAGCATATCATCTGATCATCGCAATGTACTCCTGGCGATGCTCTGCAGGCACGACGTAATTCCTAGTAGCGGCATCCATGTCAGAAGTCGACTGAAAATAATCAGACATGATAAAAATTAAAAACTAAATTAGGACTCACTTTCGGCTTGAACATCCGTGAGGTCGTTCTCAGCTCCGCAGCCCCCGATTCACGAATAATTATCATATCATTGGGAACACCAGAAGTCTTAAGACGCTGCGCATGCTGAAGCACCGAAATCCTGACATCCCAGTCCTCTTGAAAAGGCGTACCTCGAAAACGAGTGAAATGTAGTACCCATTTAAGCTTGGCCAACGGCTTAGGATTAGCCACGTGATAATCACCGACGCCCGACAACTTGTTGAGCCGAGCAGCGCTACTCGCAACCGCAACAAAAGTGAAAACGCCTGGAGTGGGCGAATTCAGCCTACGTCCACCACTATCCCGAGGGTCCTGCAAACATAGATAGTCAACGTTGTCGATACGTTGCCATACCAGGATATCCTTCAGTCAGTTACATCCGACGTAAGCATCGGTACGAAGAAGAGCATCTCGTCGAAAGCCCAAACCGAAGGTATCGGTCATGATGGAAAGACAAGAAAGAGAGCACATGCAAAGAATAGATAAGTGAGCCAATCCAGTAGACAGACAGGGGGAGGGGGGAAAACACGGAGGTCATTGACCTAGTCCAAATATTGTTGCAAACCGCGTAAATTATATAGCGTAACCTATGAATGAGGGTAGTAAAAATCGGTTAGAAAATCAAGACAACCAAGGGGCACGTCGGAAATGAGTGTATCAACCCAAGATAAACAGTGTCCAAGAAACAAATGCTCCGCAATAGAACTCCTATACCCCTCAGGCCCGTCTCCATCGGTCATCTTGATGCAATGAGCTTTCGCAATGTCCACCAGTTCAGCCAAGGGCATCCTCTCAAACTCGGCATTCACTATACGGAGCAAGTAAGACGGCTCGTCAGCGAAGGACACATAACGCAGGCGGTCGAGTCGGTGCTGAGCCCCTACAACAGTCGATCGTCTCTTGTTGCGATCGACGTGAGGAGCAAATACACGTGAATAACAGGACAATGCAGAAGGGCTAACCCGCTCTATGACGCCCGAAGAGACGACGGACGCAACACAGAATACATGAGGAAAAACCCGTGAGCTCCTGCAGACCTGCATATAGTCATGACAAAGCGAGCCTCTTCCTCCTGCGCAGAGTCCTGCCAGTATACGCTCCATGATCCGCTCATGATACAGTTCATGACCCCCACACGTGGTGTTAACGACCAACCCATGGCCAAACAGATTGCGGACAACAACGTCGTTGGACGCAAGCGGAATGAACTGAGCTGATGCGGGGTTACAAAGGCTATGGTATATATCCATTAACCTATGCAAACGCGTTCGATGCCCAGAGGCATCTAGAAAAGACGGCTTGAGGTAATAAAAGAAAATGATTAAAACGAACATACAAGGATGGTCGGTGGCATAGGACGCCAGCTGAGAAAACCAATCAAAACCAAGAACAATATCCGTTGACAGATCTTCCTCGATTATGAATGAAAGTGAACACTGATGAACAAACAGTTCCGTATTGACTGTGACAGAAATTGGCATATGACCAGGAAAATGCACAACTGGAGAACGCTGAGAGATGGGCGACTGAAGACATATCGAATAGATGTATCGCTCCTGTTCGATGATGCAGGTGGGGTTCGCCATAAACGGGAGTACAGGCACCGCACCACGGGAAAAGTACATGCCAAATAAGAAAACAATTTCCACGCCACAAAAAAAATAGGGGGCACAGGAGCTGGCTGGCACACTGCTTTTTACCGCCAAACGGAAGCACAATAGGGACATACCCATAACCCACTACCAAGGTAGCGGGAATTACGAATCCGCCGACTTAGTAGTCGTCATTGGCGGCAGCGGAGGTTGCTTACTGGGCAGTTTTAAAACTGTTTACAAATCATGGCTTTTCCTCGCTGCATTAGATACCCTTGGTTGTCAGAAAATCATGAAAGAAATTGCGTCCTGGACTTCTGCTCTGGCCTCGGCACCCAATGCGAGTCGTCGGCGGTAACATACGGGAATCCCGACGGCGGACGGGCTCAAGAAATACATCATATGGTTAATTGAACGTCCAAACCATACACCATTCGGCAAGGGCACAACACGGTTCTCTCGCACTCGAGCCTGAACGCAGATCAGAGCGATTAACAACGAGACGACAGGGCCAGAAAACCATTTAGATGTTACGGGACGCTCTTTGACCACACAGAAAAGCTTAACTGAACTGTTTGCGGAGAACCAAATGTCTAAAGCCTTATGCCCCTTGAATGATTCTTATAAATATCTTCAGTACCCAAGTTCCCAGAACGAAAAGCTATGCGTGTTGATACGAGGAAGTAATAGACATGCTTGCTTTACCGGTGGAAAGCATCAGCGTTATCTCGAAGGAACTCGATCTGCTCCTTCCGATAATCATCCGGAATGACGGTTATATTGTCGCCATTCAGTTGTAAGAGCACCTGGAGCCACGAATCAGTGAGAGGAAATCCTGCTTCGATCGACGTACCTCATTATCCGCTGTGTATTGCGGCCAGAAAGGACCTGGAAGATGATGAACAAACATTCGATAGCAGCACAAAAAGTCACTCACGAGACGTCCCTAAACCATCATTAGGATCCAAGCTCGTAGCGAAGGAAACCCAATAATCGATCATCATTTCACTCAACAGCATTGATGAAGCAGGCTCGCTCGAAGAATTTAATTTTCCGTAGACGAAGTCTATCTCGGATGTATGTGGAACTGGAAAAACATATTAGTATCAGCCAAATGGATTCAGGAAGAGGAGAAAACACACCTCCCAATTCGGCCGAGTACGACGATGAATTCTGCGTGAATTGGTATCCGTATGCTTTCACGCCGGCTGCGGCAGCAGTCTGTGTCCATGTCCGACGTTGAGCGTCAAAGGTCAAGTCCCCAGCTGAAATAGATGATTGAGCATATTGTATTGTGAAAGAGAGACGATGCTAACTCATTGATGCCACCCTCTTCCAGCCTGAAGGCAACCCAAAAGTCTCATTTCCGGTGCCATACGGCGCACCCAAGGATGGGTCGTCAGGGTACAGCTCGAGAAGCTGGTCCAAGATATCATCAGAGAGGTAAGGTGGGAACGCAGAGTAGGTGGTCTGTATGAAATCCTTGATGGCGTCATCGGTGAAATTGATACTCGTCGACAGGCCGAGAGTCCCTGATAAGCACCAACGTTGAGTTCGAACCCCCCTGTAAACGATTCATATCATACCTTCATCTAGGTTTGTGCCAGATATGAACGGAATCGTAGCAAACTGTCCCTTCGCCCAGAGACGTGTAGGGAGATCGGGAAGAATAGTACCCGAAGGACCGTCCAGTGCCGGATAGAAAGCCATTTCTTCTATGGCCAACTCATATGCCTCCAAAAATCCTTGATATATAGCAGACGAATTCGCCGCCTGCAAGCAGTCAAAAGTATTATTCGTGCCAACGACGGATTCACAGCCCGGTGTCCCTCCTACGAAATACTGCCAGGTAGATTCTCGCGTAGATGCGTTATATATTACAGGCGAAGACGCGGAACCGGACTCCATGATCTAGCCAACGAGTTAGAATGACAACTTCTGTTAAACGATTGCATGCTTACTGCAGCCCTGGCAAAATCAGAAATGGACGCATTTAGAAGTAACAGATTCGTCAACATTGCTCCAGCACTTTCTCCGAAAATTGTGACCTGTTCGGGCTCGTCAAGGAGGATCGACGTACAACGAATTTGTGCACCTTGGTTTTGTCACCACCGAACACGCCAATATTCTCTTGAACCCATTGCAGGGCAGTTAGCTGATCTCTGACTCCGAGATTGAGTTGTCCTCTGTCGTCGGCCTCCTGTCCTTGAGGGAAGCCCAGTGGTCCTAGCCGATAATTGAAGTTCAGGTAGATAATGGGGGTACCCTAGAGGCAATTAATCAAAGAAACATAGATGGATCGCGGAACTTTACTCTGGCAACACTCTGGGCAACGATATAGCTTCCGTTGTAGGACGACGAAGCACCTCCAGAGAAACCGCCGCCATAGGTCCTTCGGCGTCTCATTAGCACAAGGATGATATGAATGAAAAATATAATCCTACCAGAACATAACAGGCAAGGGATCTTCAGAAGATGCTCCCTTCGGCCGAAATATGTTAATAGTCAAACAATCCTCCGAGATCTCATCGGTTGCGACGTTCTGTTGTTTCCGCAATTAAAACAGAATTACAGATACCAAGTGAAACAACCTTACACTTTGAAAACAGGCTAGTCCAAAATTCTGGGCATCGAATTCATCGGCGTCGATAGTAGTTTTCAATACAGGATGTTGTAACCGCAAGGCTCCAACTGGAGGTTCGGCATATGGAATACCTATCCTTTGTTTTAGCCTTGAACATTGCACGGAATATCAATTCGGACTCACCTCCAAAGAATTCTTGCTCTAGCCCTGCAACATCCCTTCCAATGAGCGTCGTGTTGCCCAATTGGACCTCGGTGTCTGCAGCAGCAGCCAAGAGAGCGTAGCATAGAACGGGTACCACAAGAAGCATGGTTCAAGCGACGAGGAATGGGGGTGAATAAACAGTCTCTTTATGTAGCATTTCGAGTTCGGCGAAAAGTGGAATCCGTGAATGGAAAAACGAAGAAGATGGGCTATCATCATAAAATGCGGGATCTTCGTGCGCAGTTGCTGCGAGGCAAATGAAAATGCTCTGTTTACCTGTCGTCGACCAAGGTTAATGCTATGGAAAATCCGAGACAAATCCGACGCGTCGAGAAGCGGAAATTGACATCCGAATTGTCAACGTTCTGACTTTGACATGAGCACGGGTTCGCGACTCCCGATCAAAGGAAGTCGTCAAAACCTTTGAAACAGAATACCTTGCACCTTCAGCCAGGGAGCTTCCAGAGTATCGAAAAAAAAAAAAATACTAAGCGTTGTCGGATGATTGTAGTGAAGAGAGACGCGTTGTTTGTTTGGTCAGCTTTGCGGAACGCCTACGATATCTGACATGACTGACGGTGGTGAGTCTTTCCCTCCAAGTCATCACAGCTGTGCAGCGCGAAAACCATAATTATCGGAAGGATAAAATCAGGAAAGAATTTGTACCTTTCTGCTTAGAGCTCTATTTTCCCAATGCATCACTGTTGCGGTTGTTAATACCTCGACATAAATAACGGAAGAGCTGTTCCCGAGTGACGTGCGTTTATCGAAAATTCAATCATAGCTCGAGGTTGCATACTAGGGGCGGCCGTGATCCTTCGGGAGAGATACAATAGCTTCACTTGCTCATCCTCGGACCTCCATCTATCTCTCATGACAAAGCTCTGAGTCTCTTTGATGTTCAGTCATGAGTATACGGAGAAATTCGAGACTTTACACGCTATGTAGCCGGGGATTCTAGGACGGAAACTAGTTCTCCGTGTCAAGCCCGGCTTTCAGGTTTACAGTTCGATACACAGAATCATCAGAGCTGCGCAGTAAGCTGCTAAGGCATACAGTGGCGTTGCGGGATTCGGCTCCGTGACCTGAGTGTTCGAAACATCCCAGTCACTTGACGAGGAAGGAAAAGTGGCCAGACGCAAAGTAATCAAATCGCTGATCCATATGCAATGCGTATCGAAGCCTTCATTGGCTGGATTATCCGCGTTCCCTACGACGCATCACCCTCGATCTGTCGAATCGCGGTTCTTCGCCTACTGCGCAGGGGAAATAAATATGGTTTCAATCTACAAAGAAAAAGAATGGACCATTAGTCTCAACTACCATAGAACGCTATGACGAATTAGTACAGACCTCCCCCGATTCCACATGCTTATCACTAAGCTTTACTTAGTCCGTTCTCATGTGACCAAGGCATTCTATGCCAGATCACTCTTTCTTCGTCGATACCACGCGCGCGCGCTACCACGTCAAATCCTGTCAGTTTCTACACGCGTGGGTTGTTCGCTCCTGCATGTTCAAGCATCTAGAACTCACAGATAAATACAAGCAAACGGATGGAAAACATGGACCTACTCTTTCGCCAGCTGAGGACTTCCTAGGCCCAGCTGTCCCGGAAACCCAAGCGGCACAGGTGGAATGTAAAACCATCATGGAGGTGATCGAATCAGGCGGTCCAACGTGTTATTACGGTAGTGAAGACGTGATGACGCGTTAATAGCAGTTTTCGTTGGACTCCGAGCGACGCTTACTTAGCGTGCGCCGTGAGTATCTCCTTCGCGAAGAGAAAACTCATGTAAGCATCACACAGGGCATAACAACGTTATAGTATGCTGAATGCATCGACTATATGCTCGGAAAGGCGTTTACTGATGATCCAAAGCTTGAAAGCGGACGGTCCTATGCGATGAGGACGCAGCATAGGGTAAAGCCTGGATATGAGAGCAGTTGAGCTCAGCTTCTGGGTTCGTGGGTAGATATTAACAGTCGGCTGCGCGTGTCGTCTTGCCGGGAGAGAAGTTCAGAAATGACTCCCTAAGAGACTAGAGGGAATGAGCATGGAACGATGATAGAGAGTAGAAAAGCCGCTTACCGGGTCTAGGGTGGCAGAAGCAAATTGGAACCAGCAAGCTCCTAGAGGAAGAGCGCGGACTGCCAGGGGGGGAATTGAACATGCCGCCATCAAATGGATAATATGGACTCTTTCGAATTTTCCTGTAGGCCCAGAGGAGAAAAGAACTATCAAAAGATGAATGATGTTTTCTGGTATTTTAGATTTATGACGCACCATACATGATAGGCAAGGCGCCTCTGGGATGGCAGACACTACATCAACCGTCTTCAACAGTATCCAGCTATTCAGGGTGCAATTCCATCCCAAGAACGATTGGTTCACCAGCGTCCCGCGCCAATTCCATGAATGATGATGCGTTCAGCCGGGTAGCCCTGCCACAGGCGATTTGCAGGTAAAGTTGGTCGTTTTTCATACTGGGAACGGAAATACTACAGCAAGCGCTATTCTGGAGAATTTTTTTCGGAGAACGATGAGATGAGCATTGAGGACAACTTCGAAGGATGTCATCGAGTCAAATTGATGGCCGTCAGTCGGCACGTCTGCCGCTGACCGCCGCTGATCTAAGCTTTGCAGTCGCGTATCGGCGGGGCCTGGCACGCGTCTTGTCTTCCTTCCACTGTCACCAGATAACCCGCTCTCATTCTGGACGAATCAAATACCAGAAACGTTCCTAGAGACAATTCGGGACGACAGCGTCGGTACTCATTCTCCAACGCATTGCCAAGGCCCTAGGAGATAACGTCGAAGTAACAGCTTAGATCTTACCTTACGACGCACTCTCAGGCATCAGCTACCCCTTCCCTCAAGAAAATGGACAACTCTTCCTGAATCTCATTCCTGGACGACGTGGTTGAAGACGTCGAGAAGGACATTTTATTCGCACCTGTTGAAGACGAGGAGCTGGATATTCAGGATGTGTGTACCTCGATGCTGTCGTTTCTGGCCTCACTCTGACGAAGTGTAAGATCACCCGCAGAAAAATCATCGGTATGCTTCGAGATGGGATGGTTTCCATGCGAATCACGGGTCGCGTCCAGCACGAAGAGATACCTCTTCGCCGTCACTGAGATTGGTCGTTCGAACAGGAGAATTCTGTGAGCATCCTTTCTCGATGTCGATAGTTGTTACTCATTTGTCAAGGTCAAACGCTATCAGCGACCTCCGATTTCCAAGGCAGAGGAACCTTCTCCTCTGTTCAGTCTCTCCTCGTGACTACCCAAAGATACAACAACTGAAGACTCGTTTCTACCGGCGACCGGTCCTCGACAAGGCTTGGCATAGCCTCTCCCGACGTATTCCTCTCCCGGAGAAGGCCTGGTCCCGTGAAGAACAGCGTTACGTGAGTGACTTCGGCTTAAACATCGACTCGTCCATCGATAACCTCTGCCCGTGAAGATCTCCCGTCCGAAATAGCAAGCAAAGGTAGAAGAGAAGAAGACGCAGCCGGAGCCAACAGCAACACCACCCTCTGTAAGCCGAAACTCCCTGTAGGGTCGCCGTGATACTGATCTTCTAGCGACAGGATGGAATGTCTGCGCTGGACCGTGCAAAGGTGATCGTAGATTCAAAGAACTGCTAGCGTCATCAGTGCGAGGACCACACGAATGAAAAAAAAATCTTACCAGAATATCACGGGCAAGGGATCTTCGGAAGACGCCTCCTTTGGCCGAAGCAGTCCTCCGACATCTCATCGCTATTCCTCGCCATTAAGATAGATTCGCGCATATCGAGCGAAAAATTCTACACGCTGTAAAATAGGCATCGAATTCGTCGGCGTCAATATCGGTTTTTAATACAGGGTTCGGCGAATGGAATACCTTGCTTGCATTGAGCACACATAATGGCATGTTGGCTCACCGTACTCCAAAGAAGTCTTGTTTCAAGTCCGTAACATCCCTTCAAACAAGCCCAGGTCGACCTCGGGAGTTTCAGTAACAGCGAAGGGAGCGTAGCATAACACCAACACCACGATGAGGAACTTTGGGAAAGAGGGTAGCATTTTGAGTTTGGGGAAGAAGACGAAGATGTCAGACCATCGTCATAACGCACAGGTTATTCGCGCGTATAAGCTGCTGCGTGTCAAGTGGGAAAAGGTTTCGTTGATATCCAGAAACCAGAATAGAAGAACGGATCGTTGGAAGGGTGCAATGGGACTGACGCAACGTTTTCGCATCTTGTTGAAGATGTCTCAGAGTAGTCGTTGTTGCCTTTTTCGTTATTAGGTGATGACGAAGAGAGGCGACTCGGATCTGCTCTACCATCATGCAGCGTGAATCTGCCCACACCGACATGTGTATCTTCATCCAGGAGCCTGAACAAGGTGCAACGAGCGCCACGTTCCTTCTCGCGACCCTCAAGTTTCATTACGACTTCCTCCTGCGGGGCCTCGGAAATATCCATGTCGAACACGTCGAATACCGTAAATCGAATTCACTTTGGGACACGGAGCATGAGTACCTGGTGGTGATGGTAAAGGAATCGTCGGGAGCTGGGCGGACAGGGTATCTTTTGGTGGACAGGCTGGATGACGACCCTACAGCGGGCGCACTCGCCTCTTTTTTCCCAGCAAAGAGATCCAGAAGATGGAATCCACCCGATGCCCGCGAAAGAGTCGTCATCTTGTTCAACACTGACGAAGCTGTGAATGTACAGGGTCAATGTGCCTGTGATGTTCTTATGACAATGGACCTTCGCCAGGCGTCACGACATGTCACCTTCGAGGACTTTCTGCTCCTCGCCAAGACCGCCTCGAGGAAAGCCCCGTCGCATTCTCAGTGCTTTTGGCTTGCCTACACCATTTGGACGGTCCTCGAGCTGGAGACAGGAGCGCACATCGAACGGACAAGGCATGCCATACGCCGGGGCAAACATTCTTGGCTGTGGCTGTGGGCGAACCTTTTTTCTTCTGAGAGAAGCGCCGATGGGGTGGACGATTCGAGGACGCCAGAGACGATAAAGTCGGAGTGGGAAGAAGCAAAAGTTGTTGCGAGCCAGGAGTGGGATGCGTCACTACAGGTGAGCTTGACCCCTATTCTTTCGAAAAGAATAGACCTTTTTCATGCATCTTTTAGGCGCTTCGTGCTCCAGAATTGGCCGAACAGGAAGCACTTCGACAAGAACAAGCCGCTTTCCAGCAAGACCTAGCAATCCTTGAACAAGAACGGGCTGGTCGCCTACGGGCAGAGGCTCAGGTCAATGAACTTCGAGCGACGCTGTCAAGAAGACTTGAGCTTGCTGGTAATGTGTCCAACAATGCGTAAAGTCTTTTTATTTCTCCTTCATTCGCTGTTCTATGTACTACCGCCTACCATCTCACTTTCAAATTCAATAGACGTTATCTTCTTTCTACGTTACTGTACTTGCCGTCTTTCTATCGACCATTTGGATCCCCCGACTCGCTCTTTCCCGTTACTGCCATGCAACTCCTGCAATCCTGCGACGACATCCATGTTAATAACTTGATTGTACAAGTTCGATCTCGGCATCACATTTCTTCAGTGGAAGCGCCAGCTCAGGAGCTTCCCACAAACCTTGATGCTCCTTCCTTCCGGCATCTGCGGACATCAACTTTAACGTGCCCTTGATCCCATTCCTGCGCGGATCATCTCATCTCCCGCCGACCAGACCCTACTTTCATCTCTCTTCTGTACGATACCTTCCAGACCCATTTGCGGTCCTGAGACGCCGTTCGGTACGGCGTGCCGAATTTCTGAAAACTCGCGTTAAAAACATCTTTGAATCTGACTCGTATGCCTCGCACCACTACCATAGATACCTCGTGTCCCGCCAGCCTTCAAGAGTTTTTAACCTTCCTTCCCCCCGATCTTGGCTGCACCCAGGTGCGAAATATCCAACCCTCGGCTCCAACTGACTCAGAAACTTATACTGTCCAAGATGTAGCCCTTCCAGAGGATCGCCATCTCCTGCCGACACATTGCGCGCATCTTCCGGCGATTCCACCTTGGCCGATCACTAATTTGAAGGCTGACGTGATGACCACACCTTCAAGTCTTGGAGGGAATAGCCGGATGTTAGCAGCTTGGAAGTGTCGTAACCTCTATTTCACTCCCGAGCGTTTTGCAAGTCACAAGTGGGCTTCGAGCGATGCATTCTCTCTGCTCAGGTGCCTTTCCTCATGAAGGGTAGAAGACTGCAGAAGGTATAGTTGAACTAAGGAAAGCCTGAGACCTATAGTCAAATGAAAAAAAACGTGTTTTATGTGTGTATGACAAGCGTACAGTTTCAGTCCAGCACTGGCAAACGGTTTCAAAAGCACAATACAAAAGGGTTCACTAAAGGAGGAAAGGACAGCGAAGTACAGCGAAGATGCATCGAAAGCAGATAGCAAAAATTAAAAGCAGGACTAGGTGTTATCACATAAAACAGTTAAAGATGGCGGGTGAAGGAAAAATAAAAGACTCTACACATTAATGGGCACGTTAACGCCAGTAGAGTACTGAAGTTTCGTCAACGTTGCTTGAAGCTCGTTGACTTTGGCCTCTGCCTGCATGCGAGCAGCCCGCTCCTGTTGAAGGGTTGCTCGATCTTGTTGGCGAGCAGCTCGCTCTTGCTGAAGCGCTTCCTCCGCCTTTATCCGGGCCAGTTCTGGAGCACGAAGTGCCTAACAAATCCATCAGGAAGGTCTGTCCATCTGAACAACGGCAATCAAGCTTACCTGTCGCAACGCATCCCATTCCTGGTCTGCGTCGACCTTTTCCGCTTCCCACTGCAACTTTATCATCTCTGGTGTCCTCGACTCGTTCACTCCATTGCCTCTCCCTACCGCGAGTTTCTTGCCCAAGGAAGAATGCGTGCCCTGGCGTTCAGCATGCCTCGTCTGCGCTACAGGAGCTCCTGTCTCCAGTTCGAGAACTTTCCAAATAGTGTAGGCAAACCAATAGCACTGGGAAAAGATGAGGTGGTACAGCGGGGTGTTCCTCGAAGTGGTCTGGACGAGAAGAAGAAAATGCTCGAGGGTGACGCGTCTTGGCGCCTGGCGGAGGTCCATCGTCATAAGAACATCATAAGCGCATTGCCCTTGCACATTCAGAGCTTCGCCGATGTTACGCAAGATGACGAGTCTATCGAGGGCATCTGGAGGATCCCATTTGGTGACTCTCTTGAGTTTGGCGCCGGCGCGATGAATATGGTTCGAAGTCTCCCACTGATTAGAGGGTGCGGCTGCAGGAGGCGGCGGGGTCGTCAAGGAAGAAGTAATACTCCCCCATGCGCTAGCCGTATCCGAACCAGTAGGGTTGTTAAGTGACCTGTCCACCAAGAAATACCCCCTTCGCCCATCTCCTGAGGATTCTTTCACGGTCGCTATCAGGTACTCATGTTCCAAACGCGAGCGACATTTACGGTATTCAACCCCTTCAAGGTGAATCTTTCTGATACCTTGCCCGAGGAAAGCCGCATGGTTCTTGAGAACATTGAGAAGAAGCGTAGCGCTTGTTGCTCCCTGTGTATGCTCCTGTAAGAAGATACATAGGTCGTAATTGGCAGATTCGGACAGCATGATGAGGGCAGAGAACAGTCGGGTGTCACTGAAAGAGTATCATCTCTCTCCATCGTCGTCTTTAAGGACAAGAAGAAAATCAGGAATCAGGGTCCATGTTGTCCCTGGGTCCGGTCTCGTTGCCAAGTGATCGGGGTCTCTAGTACAAGTTTACCGAATGAACTGCCCTTTGGGCACAAGTCCAATTAAAGAGCCAGACCCAGCGTGTGAGTGCTGGGAGGGTGGCTTCGGGGTTTGTTGTAATATCACTTCTTATCCTTTGTTACCAGGCTGGCTTCTCCAGGTCTAGTAACGTCAGACTGCAAAGAGACAGCAGGAAAAGATAAACGGAAGGCAAACGATATGAATAAGCGTTCAACTCACGTAGCCTTTTGTATTTGTATTTCAACACCGTTCGCATCGATATCTACTATACGAAAGTAGACTGCCGGGCACTGAGGCGGTAGTGTTACCAGCGCCAGGTCCCAATAAGGATGATTAGCCAGTGACATAAGAAGGACCTTACCTGCGCTTGTTGATTCGCCAGCATCACGTGACTATCAATTCAGTTCTGAAGATCTTGATAACTAGGGCTGAGGGAAAAAGGGTAGGTTATTTACCAAAATGGTTTTTTACAGTAAATTACATAGTATTTTACCATGTATTTTACCAGGGGGTCCTGAGGGGGGTTTCAGCTAGGTAAAATACAGAGATCACATGCAAGTATTTTCACCCACAAAGCAGCTGCAGTAGGCTGTAGGTCTATGTAGACTCAAGGATAATTATTCAAAGACTTTTCATAGGTCACTGAAGCACCAAGGGAGACGATGACATGGCGTCTTGAATTCTTAGGAGACTCCGACCGCATTTGGAAAAACGAAGAAATCATAGGAAAACTGGAATATATTATATATTATATAATCACGTGACAAGGTATTTTACATAGTAAAATACCACCTAAAAAACCCCCTCCAAGGCTCACATAGGTAAAATACCGACCGCCAACCCCCTGGAGGTTTTTCCCTCAACCCTATGTTGAGATAAGCGGTAATTCTCCAGCCGCTCACCCGGATATAGCAGGGAACCCTCGCAAACAGGCGAGGGTTGTCTTTGTTCGACTACCTATTTATCTACTCGCTGTGTACACTAATAGAAGCAACAGGATGTAATAAACTAGTTCTTGCCTGACTAACCCTGACAGCCGATGATCCCGACATCAACTGCACTGTGATGCACGACACTTGAAACTCCAACACACCCCCGCAAGTTCGCGCATCAATACCAAAAACAGAAAGAAAAGAAAAGAAAAAACATACACCCCCGGAAGGTGAATACCGTGGTGGGAAAGAATAGCCTAGAAAGCAACATCAGAATCGCTCTCGATAGCCAACCTGGCAAAGTCCGCTGCCGCAGTCTTTTTCTTTCTGGACCTCCACCACTTTGCCCTCTCCTCGCAATCGGCCTTCAAGTGCCCAGGCTTATCGCAGAAGAAGCAAATGAGGTCAACTCGACTGTTGCCCTTTGCCTTGCCGCTACGAAAGGCGACGGCTGCAATGTCCTCGCTATCCTCTTTGTCCATCTCGGAGCGTCCTGGGGCAAGTGATGCTTGGCGCATCTCCTCGTTGAGCAAGCGAACGATCACATTTGAGAGTGTGAGCTGGTCGGGTGGGGTCGCGTCAAAGTTGATAATGACGTTCTCGTAGGAAGGGGGAAGTCCCATGGTGAGTGCAAGGATTAGATCCTGGTCGCTAACATCGATGCCGGCCAGTTCTATCGCCTTCGCCATCCGCCTGATTTGCCCAACCCAAGACTCCATACCCTGCCCCTCAAGCATCTTCGCAGTCAAGAACTTCCTTCGCAGGGACAAGCTTGTCGCAAAGCCCTGTGCACGATGCACGGTCTGCAAGTTCCCCCAGATCTCCCGTGGGTCCTTCGAGTCCATGTGCGCCAGCTGCCCGACATCCACCCTCAAAATCATCTCGGCCCTAGCCTCCGCCATCTTCTGCTTATCCTGTGCCTTCAACTTCGTCGTGATCTCCACCAAGATCTCTGACTCCGACTTCCCATCTCCATCAACCTCAATCTCAACAATGTCGGTCCAGAGCTTCCGACGCGTGAGCTCGGCCTCCATCATCACTCGCCATTCCGCAAAGTTTCCGACCGATAACTTGGGAAAACGCGCACCAAACAACTCGTCCGACATTTTGCTCTATAGGCGATCTCGACGCGGCAAACAACGAATGTGGAGAGCAAAAAACGAACAACTGGACCGTCTTGTGGACCAGAAAAGCGAACAGCCGGACTGTCTCGTGGACCAGCAAAGCGAACAACCAGACCGTCTCGTGGTCTAGCAAGTGACAAAGGTGATCTCGACACCAGTGTCGGGGTGGCGGTGTAGCGATAGTCTCGAGAGTCAGCACAGAGAACGAGAGCGACAAGGACTGTGGGTTATGCTGCCTGTTTGTGTTGAGATAAGCAGTAATTCTCCAGCCGCTCACCTGGATATAGCAGGGAACCCTCGCAAACAGGCGAGGGTTGTCTTTGTTCGACTACCTATTTATCTACTCGCTGTGTACACTAATAGAAGCAACAGGATGTAATAAACTAGTTCTTGCCTGACTAACCCTGACAGCCGATGATCCCGACATCAACTGCACTGTGATGCACGACACTTGAAACTCCAACACCCTATTGATAACCGCCAAAGCAAGGTATCAAAATCGTGAACGGACAACCGCTAGTAGTGGTAGTAGTAGTAGTAATCGTCGCACTGGCAAGTGGTCCCTAAAAAGGAAACAGCCAGTGAAATCCGTGCCGTTGGCCTTGTCAATGTACTTCATAATAGCGTAGACCACGTATGACCCTGCCGCTGTGACTGACAATATGTAGTAAGCCATTTTTAGATCCATGGAGACCTTGACAGGCAAGGTAAACTCCGATAATACCTGAGCGCAACTCGGTATTCGGGGTCCTTTCCTGTCCTCGGCCAGCGATCAATCACTGGCTAATCAGCACGATCACCTTATCCAGGGTGTGCGTACTTTGAATTTCAGACGTCCTCGCACCTGGTCTGTTCTCTGAACACAGCCACTTGCTCCGGACCCACCGGCTTAACCCGTTCCCGTGCAATTCTGTCATCCACTTTGGGACGTTTGAAAAGCAACTTGGGGACGTTTATGGGATGAGGTTCGGGACATTGGAGGGAAATGGTGGGGACGTTTGGGGGTAGGGTTCGGGACATTGAAGGATTAGTTCAGGACGTTTGAAAAGGCAACTTGGGGACGTTCATAGGATGAAGTTCGGGACGTTTGAAATGGGGGCATCGGGACGTTTATGAGTGGGATTTGAGACATTTGAAAAGCAACTTGGGGATGTTTATGGGATGAGGTTCGGGACATTGGAGGATTAGTTCAGGACATTTGGGGAGGCGGGGTTTGGGACATTTGGGGGATAGGGTTCAGGACATTTAGGGGGTGGGATTTGGGACATTCATAGGATGAGGTTCGGGACATTGGAGGGAACTGGTCAGGATGTTTGGGGGGTGGGGGTTCTGGATGTTGGAGGGAAATGCTTGGGACGTTTGAGGATGGGGACGTTTCTATAGAAGAAGAGCTGAGGACATATTCAATGTAGAAATTGGAAATTTGAGGTTGAAAATTGAAGGCATTTGAGAGTGGGAGTTTGGGGCATCTATTTTGGAATAACAGTTTCATGGAGAAAAGATGCAAAGATGTTTACCATCCTTTTTATATGGGCTTACATGAAGAATTGGAAGTTGAGGCCATTTCTTATACTTACCTTTGAACCATATGTCACATTTGTTCAATGTCTGGTAGGCTCACTGAAGCTTTGAAGCACATATTTCTAGGGTCCTAGTACCTCACACCCAGAAGTCTGGACCTGGCAGTCACTGAGTAGCATGTCAGAACTTGAAATGTTGTGTATGAACCAATTCTAGAACTGATAATTCATCGCAAGTCATCTCCCCCCCTCCAACTTTGTCCAGTGAAGTCCATCCTCAAAAGTTCCTGACCTTGTACCTTCCAATGTCTGGAACCCTGTCCACAAACGTCCTGAAGCCAACCCCCCCAAACGTCCTGAATCTGGCCCCTTTTCAAATGTCCTGAACTAATCCTCCAAAGTCCCAAACCCCACCTCCGAATGTCCCCACCATTTCTCTCCAATGTCCTGAACCTCATCCCATGAATGTCCTGATGTCCCCTTTTCAAATGTCCCAAACCCTACCCCCCAAACGTCCCGATGCCCCCATTTCAAACGTCCCGAACCTCGCCCCCCCCCAAATGTCCTGAACTTCATCCAATGAACATCCCCAAGTTGCCTTTTCAAATGTCCCGAACTAATCCTTCAACGTCCTGATGCCCCCATTTCAAACGTCCCGAACTAATCCTCCAACGTCCCGTTGCCTTTATTCTGACAAATGTCGGCACGGTGCGGCAGCTGGCTAGGATGATCCGACCTCATTGCTAAAATAGGCTCCGGGTCATGTGATGCTCCTGATGTCCACAATCCTCGTATGCTCTCACCTTATGGCTAATCAGCACAATCACCTTAACAAACCGCTGGGACTTACCAAACCCACCGAATTCCGGAGATTATTCGTCGACAAACTGATCAAGGATGGAAAACGGACGAAACAACAGTATTAGAGAGTTATGGTAAGTAAGGTCAATAACGAAGATGCTTGCGTAGCGGTAGGACCAAATTCATGATACGGCGAAGAAAGAATTCAATATCGGCCTTAGCTATCGCGAGCAGAGTGAGAAAAAGAAGCACTAACAAGTAAGCGGGCTTGGCGTAAATGTTGAGAAGAACGAAACTCGCAGAAAAAATGTAACAGATGGCCAGGCTGCAGTGCTCGCCATCAACATGTGCTTTGTTATCATGTTCTCAGTATTCTGGTCCGTGCGTAGGCAAGGTCGCGGTGGTGAGGGGAAGGTCATGGCTACAGTTATTTACCGGTCAATGAAACAGCAAAACTGGATATTTACTGTAGGTTCCAATTGGTTGGGAATTTTGACTAGGTTTGAATGTAAGAATGTGTAATACTATACAACAATAAGATACAGTAAAAAAAAGATGCTCAAAGGTGCGAGTACAAGTCCGTTTTCACAGCATTATCGTGGCGTGGGTATTCTAGGCTATTTTGAGTCATTGAAACAGTCCGGCCCATATACCCAAACCTCATTAGTCAGCTACTCGGAATCGCTCGAGTGCTATAGAAAAGTGAGATCTCCTTTCCAGTCTCTCTCTGATATACAGCCTCAAAATCTTTGCAGATTTTTCTTGCACCTTTCCGAGGAGCACCAGGTAGTTTGACAAGCTCATTCTTGTATGCAATCATTTGCAATGACTGCCTTTTCCATTAGCTGGTCATGGCATTTGTGAGCAATCTGACACTTTTTCGAGTTTGATTTGGCATGTCCAGGCATAGTAAAAAATTGAACAAGAGGAGAAATAAAGTTCGGAGGCAGCAGGGCAATAATGGACGCATTGGACTGTCAGACTGTCCATCAAAGGTGATGGCTTGGCAGAACCGCACTTTTATTTATGCCCTAGACTCCTCAGATAATGGCCGCTTGGTCTCAAACCTGTCACACAGGTTCTTCAGAAGGTCATTAACATTATTGAGGCCTTTGTGGGTGATTACATTCAGATGGAGGACACACATTTCCAGGTCAGATTTTGAGTTCATGAGAAAATAGATATTTTTAGAACAGAAGCCTCAATTTCTCGGGAATATTATTCATGTCACATATGAAGAATCACTGCAGAACATGAAGATACAATACACATCAGCAATGTAATACAAGTTGATGATGAAGGATGAAGGGAGGGAGAGCAAGAGGCTAAGTGTTTCATTGAACCATGGTGTTGCAATGACCGGTAAATAACTGTATTTAAATAATGCCAGCGACTCTAGACAAAATTGGAAAAAATCGTGCGAAAAACCTTCATTCATCTCCATCAATGATCTTCTTGCTTGCCAAGAGGTGACAAAGGAGAGAAATAATATCCTTCCACTGCCAGTGGCTCACCCGGTTATTCTCCGCCATCTTTTACTTGATAATGCGGCCTGAATCTGCTATCGACGACATGTGTATCTTCACGCAGGAGCTTCAGCGGGGGGCAACGAGCTCCACACTTCTTCTCAGTGCCCTGAAGAATCGTAACGACTTCCTTCTGCTCGGCCTCGGAAATATTCATGTCGAACGGGTAGAATACCGTAAATCTCAGCTACCTGGTAGTTCTTTGGAGCATGAGTACCTGGTGGTGACGGTGAAGGAATCGTTGGGAGCTGAGCGGAGAGGGTACCTCTTGGTGGACCGGCTAAATGATGACAGTCAAGCCGGCTCGGATCCAGCCGATGTGCAAGACATCGACTTGACATCAGCTCCCACTTCCTCCTCGACGAGTCTCACCGCTGCACCCCCTAATCAGTGGGAAATCACGAACCGTATTCACCGCGCTGGCGCCGAGATCAAGAGATTCAGCAAATGGGACCCTCCTGATGCCCTCGACAGAATCGTCATCCTACGCAACATCACCGAAGCTCTGGACGTACAGGGACAATGCACCTACAACGTCCTCATGACAATGGACCTCCATCTAACCCAACGACGCGTCACCCTCGAGCACTTCCTTCTCCTTGTCAGGACCACTTCGAGGAATGTCCCCCCAGATTCCCAGTGCTATTGGTTTGCCTACACTGTTTGGACAGTTCTCGAACTGGAGACAGGAGCGCCCGTAGAGCGGACGAGGCATGCTGAACGCCAGGGCACACATTCTTCCTTGGGCAAGAAACTCGCGGTAGGGAGAGGCAATGGAGTGAACGAGTCGAGGACACCAGAGATGATACAGTTGCAGTGGGAAGCGGAAAAGGTTGACGCAGACCAGGAATGGGATGCGTTGCAACAGGTGAGCTTGATTGCCGTTCTTCAGATGGATAGACCTTTCTGATGCATCTGCTAGGCGCTTCGTGCTCCAGAATTGGCACGGATAAAGGCAGAGGAAGCACTTCAACAAGAGCGAGCTGCTCGCCAACAAGATTTAGCAATCCTTCAACAGGAGCGGGCTGCTCGCATACAGGCAGAGGCTAAAGTCAACGAGCTCCGAGCAACGTTGACGAAACTTCAGCACTCTACTGGTAACGTGCCCGCTCATGCGTAGAGTCTTTCATTTCTCCTTCACTCGTCATTTTCGACCGTTCTATATAATACTACCTCGGATATCGGTCAGTTGATGCAGCAGGCGTTGGAAGCTATGAGTAATGACCTGTAAGGTGTTTAGGTACAGACTCGAAACTATGAAACTAGTTTGAGTGGCCACCTTTGCTAATACAGCTTAGGCAGAATGGCGAAGGGGCGACATTGGTGGTCCGGGGTGTGAATCACGGTCGATTTAACGCTGACCTCTTTAAGTCTGACTCGCATGCCACTCAACCCATAGATACTCCATGTGTCCATGCCCCGCAATCATTCAAGAGTTTTACCATTCCTTCGCCCTCGACCTCAGCTGCACCCAGATGCAAAAAATCCGACATCGATGCCACCTGAGATTTGTACTGCCCAAGATGTAGCCCATCGGCCTATCTCCTGCCGACCAGACTCTATCCTCCTCCCAAGGCTGATCGAATTCCTCGTCGGACTGGTCAATAGCCTCGATATCGCTGGCGTGTCTTGTCGGGATGCCTCGGAAAGTATGGAAATGATGTCTTTCCGAGGCGAAGAGGACGTGAGCGAGTATGCCTATGAGGTCTTTTCAGCTATACATTCTATTGTTCGGGCTATTGCTGGTCCCATCGGTGCGGTCCGTCAGCATGTCGAGGAAACTACGACCTTGCAATTACCGACGAACGGGGTGCCCATCCAAGTCTGTTCTGCCAACGATAAGGCTTATTATATATGGCTGTATGCGGAGTAAGCCATTCAGTCTTGACGCGACAAGGAAGCAAACTGGCGCCAAGGCTCTGGCTGTGAAAGTTTGTGTTTTATCGAAGTAATCATTTTCTTCGTCGCTATCTCACTCCGAAGCCTATGCCGCTTGCGCTGCAAATGGCGACCGCAAAAAGCAGAGTATGGGTTTTGCTTTGCGGGATACATCGTTAATTTGGCACAACTGAGTGGGTTTTTCTAAATTTCCCGGTCTTTCAGTTGATTTACCTGCCATTTCTAATCCTCTCTCCCGATCCTGCTCCTTTCGCTCGTTTTCAAACTCCAAAACACAAGTCTTCCGTATCCAAACCCATTGACGCAGTTCCAGGCTAAGATACCTACCGAGCTATTTCTTGCGATAGTCGTCTCTATGCTATGCACTAATTTACTTCCCGGGCATAGTGCTGAGAATCCGCCTGGTACGAGCACGAGGGCGGAAGTGAGAGTGAAGAGGAATTCATTGATACTGTGTTCGGGGATGAAGTCGGGATTCAGGGTTTGAGTTTACAAGTTGCGACCATAGCATCCGTGGTTGCTGTTGTCTAACGGTATCCGCCGCATTTCTATCGCTCTCTTGGATGGTCAAAGTATTCCACCATCAGTAGTCAAGACTCTAGCAGACTTTACTACGACAATCATTCATGCATCTCTGCCGCTGTGCTCTTCACACCCCATTAGCAGGTGCCCACACTGTAAGGAAGTCAGTTGTCGTAGACTACACAGGGAGTCCCACTCACAACTCTTCCGTAAAGGCCATAACGGATGCGGCCAGGAAAATTTGCACAGGACTGGATTCTGATCAAGACCCAAAAAGATAACGCTATAGGGTATAGATGATAATAGATGTGCGCTACCAACACAACACAACACAAAAAAGAAATACGCATAAAAAATATATCTACTTTACTTCTTCTCCCCAACAAATGTTACGGGACGCTTTTACCGCAAGGTGAAGCTTAAATAACCGAACTGTTCGCAAGACCATTGAAAGTCCAAGGCCTCGCGCTCCTTCAATGGCTCTTATACATGTTTTCAGTAGACAAATTTCAAAAACGGAAGGCTATGCGTGCTGATACGAGGAAGTAATAGACATGCTTCCTTTACCGGTGGAAAGCATCAGCGTTATCTCGAAGGAACTCGATCTGCTCCTTCCGATAATCATCCGGAATGACCGTCATATTGTCGCCATTCAGTTGTAAGAGCACCTGTGGAGCCACGAATCAGTGAGAGAAAACCCCGATTCGATGAGTGTTTCGACGTACCTCATTCTCCGGCGTGTACTGCGGCCAGGAAGGACCTGGAAGATAGTGATGAACAAACTTTCGACAGCAGCACAAAAAGTCACTCACGAGACGTCCCTAAACCATCATTGGGATCCAAGCTCGTAGCGAAGGAAACCCAATAATCTATCATCATTTCACTCAACAGCATTGACGAAGCAGGCTCGCTCGAAGAATTGAGTTTTCCGTAGACGAAGTCTATCTCGGATGCATGTGGAACTGGAAAAACATATTAGTATCAGCCAAATGGATTCAGGAAGAGGAAAAAACACACCTCCCAATTCGGCCGAGTACGACGACGAATTCTGCGTGAATTGGTATCCGTATGCTTTCACGCCCGCTTCGGCAGCAGTCTGTGTCCATGTCCGACGTTGAGCGTCAAAGGTCAAGTCCCCAGCTGAAATAATCGATTGAGTGTATCTTATTGGGAAAGAGGGACGATGCTAACTCATGGATGCCACTCTCTTCCAGCCTGGAGACAACCCAAAAGTTTCATTTCCGGTGCCATACGGCGCACCCAAGGATGGATCATCAGGGTACAGCTCGAGAAGCTGGTCCAAGATCTCATCAGAGAGGTAAGGTGGGAACGCAGAGTAGGTGGTCTGTATGAAATCCTTGATGGCGTCATCGGTGAAATTGATACTTGTCGACAGGCCGAGAGTCCCTGATAAGCACCAACGTTGAGTTCGAACCTCCCTGTAAACGGATCATAGCATACCTTCATCTAGATTCGTGCCCGATATGAACGGAATCGTAGCAAACTGTCCCTTCGCCCAGAGGCGTGTGGGGAGATCGGGAAGAGTAGTACCCGAGGGACCGTCCAGCACAGGATAAAAAGCTATATCTTCTATGGCCAGCTCATACGCCTCCAAAAATCCTTGATATATAGCAGACGAATTCGCTGCCTGCAAGCAGTCAAAAGTATTATTCGTGTCAGCGACAGATTCGCAGCCGGGTGTCCCTCCTACGAAATACTGCCAGTTGGATTCTCTGTAGACGCGTTATAAATCACAGGCGAAGATGCAGAACCGGACTCCATGATCTAGCCAATGAGTCAGAATGGTAACTTCTGTCAAGCGATTGTGCTCTTACCGCAGCCCTGGCGAAGTCAGAAATCGACGCATTTAGAAGCAGAAGATTCGTCAGCATTGCTCCAGCACTTTCTCCAAAGATCGTAACCTACTCGGACTCATTATCCAACAGAATCGACGTATAACGAGTTTGTGCACCTTGGTTTTGTCACCACCGAACACGCCAATATTCTCTTGAACCCATTGCAGGGCAGTTAGTTGATCTCTGATTCCGAGGTTGAGTTGTCCTCTGTCGTCGGCCTCCTGTCCTTGAGGGAAGCCCAATGGCCCCAGCCGATAATTGAAGTTCACATAGATGATGGGAGTGCCCTAGAGGCAATTAGCCGAGGAGACCGTTGATGGAACGCGGAACTTTACTCTGGCAACACTCTGGGCAACAATATTGCTTCCATTGAAGGATGACGAAGCACCTCCGTAGAAAGCGCCTCCGTAGGTCCTTCAGCGTCATCAACACAAGGACCACAGAAATGAAAACATGATCCTACCAGAACATAACGGGCAAGGGATCCTCAGAAGACGCTCCCTTCGGCCGAACTATGTTAATAGTCAAACAATCCTCCGAGATCTCATCGATTGAAACGTTCTGTTACTCCTGCAGTTAAAACAGAATCGCAGATACCAAGCGAAACAACCCTACGCGTTGAAAACAGGCTAGTCCAAAATTTTGAGCATCGAATTCATCGGTGTCGATAGTGGTTTTCAATACAGGATGCTGCAAACGCAAGGCTCCAACTGGAGATTCAGCATAGGGAATACCTATCTTTTGTTTTAGCCGGGACCATCATTGCACGGAATATCAGTTCGGACTCACCTCCAAAGAATTCTTGCTCCAGCCCTGCAACATCCCTCCCAATGAGCGTCGTGTTGCCCAGTTGGACCTCGGGATCTGCAGCAGCAGCCAAGAGAGCGTAGCATAGAACGGGTACCACAAGAAGCATGGTTCAAGCGATGAGGAATGGAGGTGAATACAGTCTCTTTATGTAGCATTTAGAGTTCGGCGACAAATGGAATCCATGAACGTCTGGAAAGACGAAGAAGATGGGCTATCATCATAAAATGCAGGTTCTTCATGCGCAGCTGCTGCGGGCCAAGTGAAAATCGCTGTTTGCCTGCCTTCGACCAGATTTAATGCTATGGAAAATCCGAGACAAATTCGACGCGTCGAGAAGCGGCAGTTGACATCCGAATTGTCAGCGTTTTGACCTCGACATGAGCATGGGCTCGCGACTGCCGATCAAAGGACGTCGTCAAAACCTTTGAAACAGAATACCCTGTATGCAGTATTTCCAGGGTATCGAAAAAAAGAATCTAGGTGTTGCCGAATGATTGTAGGTGAAGAAAGACGCGTTGTTTGTTTGGTCAGCTTTGCACAATGCGTACGGCGGCAGTGGTGAGCCTTTCCCTCCAAGTTACACCAAGTTATCACAGCTGTGTGCGAAAGCCATGATAATCGGAAGGACAAAATCAGGAAAGAAATTGTACCCTTCTGTTTAGAGTTCTATTTACCCAATGCATCACTGCTGCAGTTGTTAATCACAGCAGAGGCTGGGTCATTTTAGATCGTAAAAAACGAAACCTTAAAAGGTTTTGTTCTAGCGAAGCCTTTGTCAGTCCCAAAAAGGCCGTCTGTAAAAACGGTATGAAAAATCTTTTCCCCTATAGAACAAAGGAATTGACATAATGTTTCGCTTTATAGTACTCAAAACGAGGGCGTAAAAACTGAAGCTGAAATCGAAACCTTTCAGAATCCCATTTTACGCCATCAAAAACGCACCAGCCACTGTAGTGAATACCTCGAGACGTGCATTTGTCGAAGGTTCAATGAGTCGTGGTTGCATACTAGTGGCGACCGTGATCCTTCGGGAGAAATAGAACTTTACACGCTATGTAGCCACAGATTCCAGGACAGAAACTAGTTCTCCTTGTCAAACCCGGCTTTCAGGCTTACAGTTCGATACATAGAGCTGCGCAGTGAATGTTCGGCGGCATTGCGGGATTCGGCTCCGTGACTTGAGTATGACGAGGAAGCAGAAGTGGCCAGACGCAAAGAAATCAAATCGCCAATACATATATCGAAGCCTTCTTTGGCAGGATTATCCGCGTTCCCTACCACGCATCACCCGAATCGCGGTTCGACTAATATTATGTACTGCGCAGGGGAAATGAACATGATTTCAATCTACCAAAAAAAACACAAGAATGGACCATTAGTCTTGACCAGAACACTATGACAACCTAGTACAGACCTCCCCCGATTCTACCTCCCAATCACTAAGCTTTACCTGGGCCGTTCCCATGCGACCAAGGCATTCTACTCCAGATCACTGTCTTTCTTCGTTGATTACAGCTCGCGCACGCATTCACCTGTCTGATATTACACTCGTCCACTCCCACCAATTTCTATACGCACAGGCTGTTCGCTCCTGCGTGTTCAAGTATCTAGAACTCACAGATGAATAGATAGAAGATGTGGACATATTCTTTCGTCAGCTGATAACTTCCTACCCTGGAAACCCAAGTTCGGTGGGATGTGAAACCATCATGAAGGTGGTCGATATGGTAGGCGACCCAAGGTGTCAGCTAGATTCATTACGGACACGATGACACGCTCATGTCGGACCCTGAGCAACGCTTATTTAGCGTGAGCATCTCCCTCGCAAAATCCAGAAGCGGCAGTTGACATCCGAATTGTCAGATACAGTGATCCAACATAGATATCCGGAACCCAGAACCGAAGAACCGATCGCTAGAAGGGGACACAACTTTTTGGAGTCTTGTTGAAGATGTCTCAGAGTGTTTGTTGTTGTGCTTCTTACTCGCGCATCCCAAGCGGAAGAGAAGAAAACAAGAGTCCGCTTCTGTGCAAAGACAAGAGATCAGTAAGGGTTTTCACGGAAATAGTTACAACACTAGTCTATTTATAACACCAGTTTTCAGAAATCCGGTACACCGTTCTCCAGACCGTAGATGAGTCCACCGACGAAATGAGAGTATAGGGTCTGGTCGGGAGTAGATGAGATTATTCTCCGCAGGGAAGTAGATGCCGGAAGGGAGGTTTGTGGGAAGATTGAAGAAATGGGATACCGAAGTCGAACGAAATTTCGGTGTACAGTCAAGTTATAAGCATGGATGTCGTCGCAGGATTGCAGGACGGCAACAACGGGAAAGCGAGTCAGGTAATCTGAGAAAAAAAGCAAGGACAGCAACGCAGAAAGAAGACAACGACCATTGAATTTGGAAGGAGACGGTAGGTAGTAGTACATAGAACAGCGAATGAAGGAGAAATAAAAAGACTTTACACATTGGTGGACACGTTACCAGCAAGCTCATTGAGTCTTCTTAACAACGTCGCTCGAAGCACATTGACCTGAGCCTCTGCCTGTAGGCGACCAGCCCGTTCTCGTTCAAGGACTGCTAGGTCTTGCTGGAAAGCGGCTTGTCCTTGTTGAAGCGCTTCCTCTGCCTCTTCGCGTGCGGCCAATTCTGGAGCAAGAAGTGCCTAAAAAAATTGCATGAAAAGGGTCTATTCTTTTCAAGAATAGGGGTCAAGCTCACCTGTAGTGATGCATCCAACTCCTGGCTCGCAACAGCTCTTGCTTCTTCCCACTCCGACTTTATCATCTCTGGCGTCCTCGAATCGTCCGTCCCATCGGCGCTTCTCCCAGAAGACAAAAGGTTCGTCCACAGCCACAGCCAAGAATGTTTGCCCTGGCGTATGGCATGCCTTGTCCGTTCGACGTGCGCTCCTGTCTCCAGCTCGAGGACCGTTCAAACGGTGTAGGCAAGCCAAAAGCACTGAGAATGCGACGGGGCTTTCCTCGAGGCGATCTTGACGAGGAGCAGGAAGTCCTCGAATGTGACATGTCGTGGCGCCTGGCGAAGGTCCATTGTCATAAGAACATCATAGGCGCATTGACCCTGTACATTCACAGCTTCGTCAGTGTTGAACAAGATGACGACTCTTTCGCGGGCATCGGGTGGATCCCATCTTCTGGTTCTCTTTGCTGGCGAAAAAGAGACGAGTGCACCCGCTGTAGGGTCGTCATCCAGCCTGTCCACCAAAAGATACCCTGTCCGCCCAGCTCCCGACGATTCCTTTACCGTCACCACCAGGTACTCATGCCCCGTGTCCCAAAGTGAGTTCGATTTACGGTATTCGACGTATTCGACATGGATATTTCCGAGGCCCCACAGGAGGAAGCCGTAATGATACTTGAGGGTCATGAGAAGGAACGTGGCGCTCGTTGCATCCTGTTCAGGCTCCTGGATGAAGATACACATGTCGGTGCTGGCCGATTTGCGCTGCATGATGGTAGAGCAGATAGCCCATAGTCTTTACGAAAAAGGCAATAGCTGATACTCTGAGACATCTTCAGCAAGACTCCAAAACGCTGGTTCCGTTCCAACGACCTGTTCTTCTGTTCTGGGTTCTGGATATTTATGTTGGACCACCGTATCTGACAATTCGGATGTCAACTGTCTCCTTCTGGATTTTTCTCAACCCGTTGACGCAGTTCCAGGTACGATTTCTCTGACGCTTCGTGCTCAATACGATGGCGTCAAGACATGATTTTTTCCAGCATCAAACTATGAAGTGGAGACATTTTAACACACGGTAAATGGGGTAGAATCACCAGTTACAGAGCACAAGAGCACTTACAAGCCAATGTAGCCCTTGATTGTCTGAACAATGGACTCAAGAGAATCATAAGAAGCGTCCGACGTAATGTCTGGGTTCCAACACTGAGGGTGCGAGGACCTCAGAGAGTTTGTTTGTGCTGGTACACTCTTTTCAGGCTGAGCATCTTTGCTAGTCGAGCCTTTCAAGGCGTAGCACGCCCTCCACCTCTTCCCAATCGCAGAAATAGCATACAGTCGCTCCAATTGCTGATTAATCGGCCCAACCTCGTCGAGGCGCTGAATGACTTGGACGATCGCAGCCTCCCGTCCCGAACCCGAATCCACGTGAAAGTCTGACGGGGGCTTGATCTCAACAAGCAACAAGGGGTGGTGGTGAAACTCGACAACAAAGGTAATCGCAAAGTCGACCGTTTTTCTGGTGCCTGGAATGACCCACTGTGGACTGACGTCGAAGCCCTCGGTCGGAGAGAACCAGTAATTCAAAATCTTGTCATACAAAGGGTAAAACTTGTTTTCGATGGTGTCGTCGTCGTACAGTTCAGCGGCTTTGGTTAAGATATATTGCGGGTAGCCACCGCCGCGGAGACGAAGCGCTACGTAAAGTGTCAGTGGTATGAAGCGAGGGTATCATGAATGCAGTAATAACATTACCTAGATGAACAGTCGACTCCTTCTGGATATTGTAATCAGAGAGTGCGTGATCATCCTTCAGCTGTTTCCCAGAGAAAATGAGCCCTGCCATCGTTCATCAGTGCTATAAATCCATCTACGAAATGACAATGAGCATACGCTGTTGGTCCGGGGGAAGGCTGTGAAATATGGTGAGCAACGAAGACCAGGCGATGGTTGAACTCACTTTTCCTTATTCTGGATCTTGGCTTTGATGTTGTCAATAGTGTCAGAGGCATCGGCCTCAAGAGTAATCGTCTTCCCAGTCAAATTCTTCACAAAAATCTGCATTGTGGTGGATGGGAGTATGATATAGCTGATATAGCGAGAGTTGTCACAGTGTCACGATCCCCCTGGCCTCCTCGCCGTTCTAGCTCACGTGTGTCCGACGCGTCGACGCGCAAGAATTTGAATTAACTGCCACGGAAAGTGGCGCACACCGCTGAAAGTTTCAAATTTCAAGTTCGTTGATTTTGGACGGTCAGAGATGCATCATTGCGAGGTGGGATAAGTGTGAGGAGCTGCGAGATCTGTTGGACGTGTAGTATGTTTCTAGAGATGAGATCATAGATAGAGATACATACTCACATGGCCTGGATGCTTTCCCATAAATCTCCTTGACGGTATTCCTGTAATGAAGTCAGTTATCACAGAATACGCAGGGGGTCTCACTCGCAACACTTCTGCACAGAGGACATAACGGATGCGGCCAGGAAAATTTGCACAGGACTGGATTCTGATTAAGACCCAAAAAGATAATGCTATAGGGTATAGATGATGCACCACCACAACACAACACAACACAAAAAAGAAATACGCATAAAAAAATCATCTACTTTACTTCTTCTCCCCATCAAAAAACGCAACGAGCTGCCCAATCGGGACCTTCCCAACTGGCTTGGGGGTAGCAATCTTGCTCGCATTCATACTCTGCTGCCTCAACACATACGGATCCACAAACTTGCCTGGTGCAGGGGGCGTCGGCACGGGGCTACGCTCAGTCGACCGCGACCGCAATTTCGGCTTTAATGGCGATATGGACGCCTGCGGGGCTTGTAGTGAGGAGAACCCATACGTCGACTGTGCCCGAATGCGTCGATCCGCATTCGGGGGTGACGCAGGCGCAGAATTAGAACCGGTGTTGCTTCCAAGTATCCTCGAAGCGCTGGACTTGCCGATGGTCTCTTCTTGGAACTCTTCCTCATCGCTGACAGCCTTGGGGGAGCTTGAGAAGTAAGCTCTGCCAATGGAGGATGAGGCGGATGAGGATGGGCCGTCGGACCGTTCCTGTTCCTCTGGAGGGGACGTGATGGGTTCGCCTAGTGCGACGGTGTATCGTTTTCGGGGAGCTGGGGTTGGGCTGTAACTGGGTCTGCGTGATCCAGGGGGAGGTGGTAGGTTCTTTGGTGCTGGGCTTGAAGAACGAGAGGCAGGTTGAGCCGACGATAAAGCAGATGAATAAGGCGAAGGCGAGGGGGAGGGTGAGTGACTAGCGGTAGCCGCTGTGCTAATGCCTAAACCCACCCCGACTGGAGGAAGACCAGAAATGGAAAGAGGTCGGGTACGGGAAGCTGAAGGGGGTGAATGAGGAGGCGAGAAGGAAGTGACAGTGTTTGGAGGAGGGGAGGCATAGTCGCCTGTTGGGTAAGGGAGACGGCTGACGGAGCTCTTGGATGATCCCAAGGGCGGACTGGTCTGAAGAACTGTTCCAGACGGGTATCGACCGTGATTTGGGGTATTCATAGCAGGTGTTGGATAGGAATTTCCTTGAACGACCCTAGATGATGTAGTTTGTGGTGCAATGGATATTTCTGCCGATTGGCGTGAGGGTACGGAAGAGAGATTGGCGGGCGCAGTTGCCAATTTCGCCATCTCCCTTCCAAGTTCCCCTACGCGACTCTGAATTTCAGTCATTTCATCACGGAGCTCTTGCATTTCTTTATCACAATTGGGAGCCGGAACCGGGGGCTCATGGACAGAAGCTTCGTCTTTTTCCTTCTCCTTATCAACCAGCCATCGCTCGACGTCGCTCATACGTTCCTCCAAAGCTCGAACGTGACCAACAGTCCATTTCTCCAGTTTCTCAAATCGCTTTGCGATGGTGAGAAGGGTAACATGTACATCAAGTGTACCTTCAGCATCGAACTGCGCGTAAAGAGGAGGCGCTTCTCGAGACGGTGATGATCCAGAGTCAGTATGTCGCATAGGCGACGGTGTTAGATTAGGAGGCATAATAGTAGCGCTTGGACGAGAAGGCGTCGGAGAAACATTGGGCGAGACAGGTATAGGTCGTCGGGGTGGTGTAGTGGGAGCATTGAGGTTCAGGTACGCAGGATCGGAATACTTGGTCTGCGTGTTAGCCGGCCAGCCTTTCTCTTTCTCCTTCTCCTTTCCCTTACTGTTCCTCTTCTGCTCCTTATCCCGTGCTTTGGTGTCCTGTATCACCTGCTGCGCAGGCGTGAGTTCCTTGGTCGGTGTAAGCCGATTCTTCGCCGCTGTCCACCAGCCCATACTCTCTTTTTGGGACGCGGATGGAGATGGAGGATTGGAGGCCGGCATTGTCTGTGAACGAGACGGAGGAGGAGGAAGAGACCGCGTCGATTCTAACATAGCCAAAACGCGGTCTTCCACCATTTTGCGACCAGCAGCTTCCTCTGTTAAAATTCGCTCGGCCTCCCTGCGGCCACGTTCGCGCTCTCTTTCAGCTTCTGCCTCAATTTCGGCGTCCGTGGGCATGCTACCGGGAGACCGGGGCGCGATACCACTAACAAGATTTCCTACTCGATTCGCCCAGTTGGCTGCAAATTGAGACACGGAGGACGTCGGAGAGGGCGAGCGCATCCATTGCCCATCTTCATCGTCGTCATCTTCATCTCCGTCTTCGGATTCGGCATCGATGCCTGTGAACGTGTTCGGGATGAACTGGTTGCGAAGAGGCGATGGTGGTCGTCCTGACGACGATTGACTGGGAGATTTTTCAGGCTAGATAGATGACATTATATACAGAATAAAAGCAGTGAATACAGGACAAACCAGAGTCAAGGACATCGAAGACGGACTGGTCATTCTTCTCTGCCGCTTCTGGTCGGTTATACTCGGAGGCTGAAGGTTACTCGAGGACATCGAATGAGTCGACGAGTGCGAAGGTGAATTGGCCATCCCCGTCGATGTCTTGCTCTTGAGGAAGGGGGGTCGATGGCCTTGTCGTCGTCCGCGACGTTGAGGACGGAACGATGAATGGCCTTGAGATTTGCGGTGCTTGATTCGCCGGCGATCACGTGCGTAATCTTTCCCACGCAATCTTTCAACAAAATTTTTAATTCTGGATCCTAGGGTAAAAAGCAACCTTCCACGGGAAAGCGCGGAGTACATACAATGAATTTTAATTTACTGAGAAGCCTCTGAATATTGTAACTTGTGCGTTCTCTGTCAAGAAAAAAGCGCCGTACACCGGAGGTCGACGGTAAACAAGACCAAAGGATCCCTGTATATCTTCCACTCTAAAAGAGTACGTTACTTTCTATTGATTTGCAGCTAAGAATGGGTTTCGTCTACGTTATCGGTATGTTTTCCGTCTTATTCTCTAATTCCCTAATAAAAATTTGATTATCTCCGTCAGAACATATGGAAGACGATGACGAGATAACTCGCGTCATCCCGCCCTGGGCAACATTGGAGTATGCGGTCTGTCCTCGTCACTAGATGAACTGCTGGACGTGTACCTACCAAATTACTCAGCACATGCGAATGCTAGCAGGACCCAGTTCCCAAGTGCATTTTACACATTTATCAAAATCATCCGCCGACGCGCTTTCTGCTTCGTTCATGGACAACAGCGGCACCTTAGCTAAAGCGTCGTGTTTCCAATCCGGAGTGATGGACAGGATCAAGGATGTACTACCAATCGAAAAAGTGTGCCTCTTGGATCCCAAAGCAGAGAAGCAGCTATCGCCGGAAGACGGAGATGGACGGTTTGAGTGGTTTTTGTTCGGGGTATGTTGCCCCATCCTTTCAAACTATTAGCACTAACGGAGGAAAGACCATCTAGGGAATTCTCGGTAAGGATCTCCACTGAAATACAGCGTACACCATTTTTTTGAAGAGCATTTGGTACAGGTGATGATCCTCCACGGGATAGAACTGCTGAGCTACGAGACTTGGGGTTTCCCACACGACGACTGGGTCCCATTCAAATGACGACGGACACTGCCTTAGGTGTCACAAAACTAGTCGTGGAAGATAAAAGTACGCGTTTGATTCTTAAAATACCAGCTCGTTTATTGATCCATTCTTTACAGTTCCCATCGATAAGATACCTTACATCGTGAGTCCAGATACAATAGCTTCTGGTCGCAGGCTAGTATATATATATGAACCAAGGAGCAGGCTCCTCGCGGTCTCTTCTATCCTTAAATCGGTGCGGAGATCGATGACGGGCCAAAGTCGTGACCCTCCAGTCCCTCACTCGAGACTTCCGGTCGTTTCGCCCCCATTCGTCCTTCATCTATAGATGCTTGTACTCATATTCATGGTAACAATCCTTAACAGGACTACCCAACAATCACATTCAACGCTAAAGAAAGCGTCGAAATGCCTTTCAGTCCGTCCTTCCCCACGCACCTGCTATTTCACTCACTCACTAACCCGCCCACACAGGATACATTGCCGAAGGCTCAGAGCCAAAATTACCATCAGGAATGCGGCAACTGTTACATGAAGACCTCAACAAGAGCTTCGACTTCTGACAACGACGTGATAGATTGAAAAAAAAAAAAGAGATCTACAGGCATACCTACAACTACATAAAAAGCAACAGATATATGTGATAGATGTCCTCATGCTTGTGTAATTAATACCGAGACAGATGAATGAAAGGAGAAAATGAACGATGCGAGTAACAATACAACCAATTACAGATATAGATATATACGATGGGCCCAGAAAGAAAAAGAGAGCAAAAACAAGACAGTTTCTCATGAAGGCGGAGCAGGAGGCTTATCTTCTGGTTTAGGCTTCGCGTCCCATGGTGCTGGTATCCTGGCTACATCCACGAGGTTGGCATCAGCCTTGACATCGTTCAATCGTTCGCGCTCAGTCATGTTCATCCGCGCACGACATCGCACCAGACGCAACTTGGTCCTCTTGATCCCTATAATCCAATAATCCATCAACGAGACTAGCGGACATTCAGAAAACACCTACAAGTAGCAATAGTCTCCCGATCCTCGTCCATGAATGGATTCTCCGTCTGCAATAGATCATCTTCCAGAGCGTACAGACACCACAATGATTCTTCATACAACTTCTCGCACTCGTCCGGGCTGGTAGCCTGGTCGAGAAGTTCTTTCCGCGCTGCAGTGCGACTCTGTCATATCAATCAATAAATGGATTTCATCTCCGAACACAAATATGGACTCACTAAAACGAGCGCACGGTCATAGACTAGTTGGTCTAGCCACGTCTTAGGTCCGTCGTACTGGGCCGGCAACCACGTTTTGACCAATATCGCTCGATCATTACACTTCAAATAATGATTCTTGAACCACGACAATGCTATCAATAACACTCATCAGCCATGCAGAATTCACATGAAGAGCATATGAAAGACGCACCATCATCAAACCCTTCACTGACGACAAAATCCCCGTCAGGACGCCGCATCTTCATATGCTCTTGATGGTTTCGCAGCTTGTTGATGCCCTTCTGCGAAAACGACATGAGGAGCATATACACCGCAACACACGTCACAGCGTTGTATTCAGCTTCCATCTCGCCATTTTTCCGTCTCCGAGCCTGTCGATCAGCCTCTCCATCCCGCTTGGCAAACCTGTTCGGATCGGCAAGAGGTTCTGGCGGTACCCAGTTAGATGGGAAAGTAACAGAGAGATTGGACTCACTCTGCGGAATGGCCTTGACATATTCGTACATTTCGTCGGCCCAATGAGTTAGCACGTCAGTTTTCTGTGCCAAATCTTCTAATTCAGCGAGGAGTTGTTCCTCGAGAGGATCACGTTCTCCATCGCCATCCAAGGCTATTATTTGTGGTCTTCGAGGAGAAGAAGGCGCACTGTAATCACGCGATGGGGATGAACGATGGCCGAACAGCTTCTTTGAGGCTAAACTGAGTGCCCTATTTAATGCATTCGTAGCAGCTCTCGATGCTATGCTTGACGGAGAATGTGATAGTGGCGGAGCATTGGGATGTGGAGGGGGCGGAAAGGTGATATCCACTGCCGGGTCTTCGACTGAGGGTGAAGGTGGTACGCGCCTATCATTCAACGGTTTGCGGGGAACGGAGCTCAGCTCTGATGACAGAATGTAAGTAATCCAGTATGCCTGGGTTGTGACACGAAAACATTTACCGTCTATTGCACGGTTGAACTCCAGAGCGCGACTGTCTCCGACCAAAACATACTCGCGACGGAGAATCCCATCTTCTTCTGTCTCTCCAGGGATGACAGAAGCTTCTACGGGTATAGGAGGCTTTCTCTCCACGGTGACAGGAGCTTGACTTGACTGCCGCCTAGATATGGGAGGTGGTGGCGCGTGTTCCCGAGTCGGCGTCGGACTATATAATAGAAGTTAGTGAGGATAAAATTACTGCGGGGGAAGGTCACGAACTATATAGGTGTCTCCGCCTGTGGCGCATCACCCAATGTTGACGTTCTCCGAAAGTTGAATTTACTTGGAGGAATCATCGCTGTAGGATCCAGCACCTCCGGCGGGATGATTCTATGATGAGGGGGAGTTGGCGGGCGTCCCGTCCAAGGCTTGCCATCATCGTATGTGGGCTCCGGCTCGGGAGAAGACTCTCGTGGTTTAGGGAATTTTGATTTCGCCATAGCTTGACTGCCAAAGAAGTCGTCGAAATTCGCGCGTTCGACCGGCTTCTGCTTAAGCAAGGCACGGATGAGCTTCTTAATGTCATTTGGTACAGGAAGGTCGGTGCTGCCGCCGCCTCCGCTCTTTCCTGCTGTTGACTGAGGGTCTTCGTCGGGAAACTTGATGCCTTTGGAATGCTCAATCTTCTTTAGAAGTTCGATGTGGTTTTGAGCACGAAAGGGAGGCTTTCCGACTGCCATCTCGTAGAGAACCGCACCGACAGACCAGAGATCGGCTTTGGCATCGTACTTATTGTAACCGAGTATCTCAGGTGCCATGTATAATCTATCAAGGCGTCATATGATACCACTCTCTGACAATTAAGCACGACATACGGTGAACCACACAGCGTTTCCGCCATCATAGCGCTGGGTAGAGAACGAGCAAACCCAAAGTCGGCTACCTTAAGGATTGGCACGCCTAGAGGATGACCTTTAGCGAGTTCTTCGGGACTGGCGGGCTTCAGAAGTAAATTCTACGATGCATGAGCGTAGTCCTGTACAATACGGAAGTATGCCACTAACCTGAGGCTTTATGTCCCTATGGATCAGATTATGATGTCGCAGGAATTTGAGAGCCCGAGCAAGTTGTCGCAAGAAACTTCGTAAGACGACTTCATCTAGACCGCCTGTCCTAGGGTGAGGATAGTATTGCGGTGCTGCGCCAGGCGAGGGAATGTACTCGAGAGTCTCGACGCGCCCCCGTTTCTTGATGTAACCGGTGAGGTCCCCGCCCGAGCAGTATTCCATAATGAGGTAGATATGATGCTCTGAGCGCTGCACGATGTTAAATACGCCTCAGAGAACGATATATTAGTATCGCCTACCACAATATCAGTGAGCCTCGTTATATGTCGGTGAGAGAGCGACTTGAGGATCTGGATTTCGCTCTGGAGGTTGTCGAAGAGCTTGGCAGATAGATTGTCTCTCTTGACAGTCTTGATTGCGACCTGGACATGAGTTTCCTGTATTACATTCGCACACAAGGTCAGGGTCGCCAACAGCGAGAGAGTAGCGACGATACACACCTCGTGATATCCTTTGTACACCGTAGCGAAGCTTCCTTTGCCAATCTCTGATACAATCACGTACGGACGGACTTCATCGTCCTCTTCCCTTCTCGTTACAGGAATGGCGGTAGTTACCCTGCCCGTCGACGGAGGATTTGATATCGGAGCTGGAGTCATTAGTGGCAATTCCGAGGGGACGTTATCAACTTCGCGCCGGGGTCAATCCTGCTGTGCGTAAGGTTGTTAAGGTTTGTTTATGAGGACAGTTGGTTTCCTCAATGTCATCGACATCGACGGAAAGAGACAAGGATAGCGAACCACGTGCTAATGACGACGCCGGACGACGAGCACCCTTTCTTGGAATTCTCACCCGCAAAGGTCGCTGTACTGTGCACTGGTGCGGTAGTTAGTGTAAAAGCGATGCCCATGAGGTGCATATATGCGTGAAATGAAGCTCATCGTTCGGCACCGGGTATGTAGCCGTAATTTGAGATTGCCCCTTGCAATCGACCACGATGACGAGCACGACCACCCCTCTTGAGCCATTGTTCTCCTTCGTCGCCGAGTCCTTGCTGGCGCTTGAAAGGGCCTTTTACAAATTACCAGGCTCTGGTGTCATCGAGCGGTATGTCAGAAGCTCCCACCAAAACGATCCCGGTCGCACGCTGTTGGAACTCGTCCTTGTCGCGTTAGTCATACGGACCCTTCTCCAATCTCGAACACGGGCAGACAGAACTGGAAAAAGCTTCATCGAGTTTTCTGAAAAGGTGCGTAGTATATATGCGATGGATCCAACCGTTGAGAATGACAGGGTCCTACCAGGAAGTTGACGAACTCGTTGACGAATGGGTTCCAGAGCCTCTTTCACGCCCTTTGACCTCCCAGGAAGATCTCGAGCTCTCTTCTGTGCCAATCATTGTCGGTCAGAATGGTCCCAAGCCCAAACTTGCGTCGACGGGCAAGGTCGCCTTCAACTTGTCTAGCCTCAACTTTACCGGTCTGGCTGGCAACGAGGTAATCAAGGAAAAGGCTGTAGAAGCGCTCAGGAAATATGGTGTTGGGAGCTGTGGTCCTTGTGGATTCTATGGCACTACTGGTACGCCCGCCGTCAGACACTGCGTTTGACACGGGCGATTGACTGTGTTTTAGACGCCCATCTGGATTTAGAGCGGGATATTGCAGATTTTCTGGGTACAGAGGCTGCTATTCTGTATTCTCAGGGTTTTTCTACCATCACATCAGTCATTCCGGCATTCTGCAAACGCGGGGACATTATCGTCGCCGACCGTGGTGTCAGTTTCCCTATCCAGAAGGCATTGCAGATTTCTCGCTCCACCATCCGCTGGTACGACCATAATGATTTGAAGAGTCTTGAGGAGGTACTTCAGAGTATCGAGAAGGACCGAAAGAAGAGACGGGCACCCCTCACCAGACGGTTCATTGTTACGGAAGGAATCTTTGAGAAGGATGGTGTCATGGTGGACCTTCCCAAGCTGGTGCGTCTTCACTTCCTGTACCTTCGGCTTCGCTCACAGTTTTCCAGATCGAACTCAAACTGAAATATAAGTATCGTCTAATCCTCGAAGAATCATACTCGTTTGGTGTCGTGGGACGGACCGGACGTGGTCTAACGGAGCTATACAATGTCCCCGTATGTCGCATCGCCAGACACCAACACGCAATTCTAACAACACACGACAGGCTTCAAAAGTAGATATGCTCGTCGGTTCTGTCGCCATCGGGCTGTGTGCAGCTGGCGGTTTCTGCGCCGGAACACATTTCGTCACTGAACATCAGGTACGCAAGCATATTCATCATTGTCCATATTCCTCCCTAACACGGTTATCTCAGCGAATCAACGGTACAGGCTTTGTCTTTTCCGCCTCTATGCCTCCGCTCCTTGCTGTCAGCGGTTCCGAGGGCATCAACATCCTCCGCTCCTCCCCGTCCATCTTCGAGTCTCTCCAGGAAAACGTCCGGGCAGCACGTGCAATCCTCGATCGCATCGATTGCATCACTATACCCTCTCACCCCGCCTCGCCCATGATCCACATCCAGATTCGTTCGTCCTCTGCACAGACCCTGCTCCCGTCTGCTGCTGCACACCAGTCTCCTAAACCATCGAACCCGTCGTCCATCCTACCCAGGGACGCGAGCAGATGGGATTGGGATATCGAGACGGAAGAGGTTTTACTCCATGAGGTCGTCGAGGAGGCTCTAGCACAAGGTGTCATGATTGCCAAGGCACAGAGATTGCGAGGTCAAGAGATGGTGGAGGCCAGGCCAAGTATTCGATTGGCAATGACGAGTGCGTTGACGAAGAAAGAGACAGAAAAAGCTGTCGGCATTGTGAAAGCCTCTTTGGTGAAGATTCTTGGAAAGAGACGATTCTAGATCATTCACAACAGCTGCCATCCGGATTTTTATACCAGATATCTTAATGTCGACTTTAAACTCGCTACTGCTGCAATACTATCTCACATATACTATCTTTGGGACCAAAGAGAAAGTAAATTAAGCATAAAAATATCTAAAACTCTACCTAGCATGCCAAAGGTTATTCACCATCAGAGAAAACTGCCGACGTTTACCCCCCCTAGTCCGCTGCGGGAACTTTTCCTCTTCCTTACTCGCCCGAATATCGCTAACAACCCTGTCAAGCATCCTACGCCAATTAGCCCTCGTCTGCTTCCTCCTAGCCTCAACATCCGCCGCCTGCTCGGCAGCTTGGCCAACCAGAATCTTCCATTTTCGAAAGTCTACTAGATCAAGTCTCACACGAGTATCATCGGGCACGTCGCTATAGAGCGCGTCCAGAGTCCGAATGAAAGACAGAAACGCGCTAAGCATTTCATCGTCGTTTCGTACGTGAAACATCCGGCTTTTAGGTTTTTGCTTAATGTTCAACAACACCCCCTCAGAGATGCAACGTACAACTTCATCGCGTCGTAAATTGCGTGTCCACGTCTCGATGGCGCGGATGAGCCGAAGGGCGTGCCACCGAATCGGTATCACTGGACTAGGGTTATCAGAGGCACAAAACAGAAACAGCTGAAGCAAAGGGTCGAGACGAGAAAGCAATATATGATGGGGAAGAAGCACTGATGGTTTGAAAAGTGACTACGCCGAAGAAATACAAAGAATCTTGACGCCTGGATAACAAATGACTACTGATTCTTTTTTTTTTTGCTTGATGAGAACTCACCTTCAGGGAAAAGATCCCATTTTATTACATCGCGGGCTGGCGCCGCAGGATCCCGAACACTGATAGTTCGAAATAACAATTCCAACGCGTGAAGACGCGCCTCATTGTCAAGATTCTGATGATGTTTGGCCAGATAATTAAACAACGCCGCATCCATAGAGACCCACGGATGGGAACCTCTGGAACACATTCGAGCGAGCGAAAATTGTTCCACCCTAGATCCGAAATGCAATGAAACAGCTGCCTGACCATGGTCAAATTCTGAGAAAACTTTTCATCCAACCAACTGACGCCACGGGCGGCGAAGCGGTCAAAGGAATTCTGGAAGTTACTCGTCTCTATGGAGAGCCAATCACCTCGAACGTGCTGCTTCTTGAAACCACGGAGAAGAAAGAGGGTTGCTTGTAAAAAGGCCCATGATTGGGGTGATCGATAAGCACAAGGTAAACGGCCGCCGTTGCGCAAATGGACAAGACAAGGAAGAACGGTTGTGGCCACAACCACGAGGAAGCCAAGAACGATGAACGAGGTTACGATCGCTGCAACCACATTGTCCAAACTCCATAACAAATCCATAATTCCCGTCAGAAAAAGGACAAGGGCGACTTGAAGAAGGAGAGGCAACGTGGCTAGGAGATATCACGCACTCTCCAGGCTTCGAAGCTCTCATATCGCAACTGTCGCATGGCAAGGGTCTCTCGGTACGGTAACGAGGGATCCTTCTGATATTCTCCCAGCCATTGTTTGCACAATATCCCGATGACCACTGTCATAAGGCTCAGTGTGAGACTGAGAAACCAGAAAACATTGATCCGCCTCGAAGCATGGGAAGGCGAAAAGTCGTCGACGCCATCCACCTGAACTGTTGTGCTGGGATCGGAAAGCTGCCGGGATATCTGCAAGAGTAGCTGGGCAGATATGTCGGAAGAGTTTGGCTGAAGCCATTGGTAAGACTCTACTGTGAACGCCGTCACCGCGGCAGAAAAAAGACCGGCCTACAACGACGTTGTCAGCGCTTAGGGTGGCCATGACAGCAGTGAAGACGACGAACGAAGACCAAGAGTGTGTCGATATGCTCCTTCCATCCTCTGCATAACTCATTGTCGTATTTTTCGACCTGGTTGACACCTGCCTCCCAAGGATCTCCCGTTCTTGATATAGGTTGCTGGGCTTGTTCGTCGAGAAACTGTGTTACTTTGAGCCCTGAGAAACACTGCAGCAAGATAATCGCGTACCTCTGTCAACCTCCGTGCTCTTCCACCCATAAAAGACGCGGTAGATGGTTCTTGTGATTCCGGCATCAGTGAAATATCGAGGCAATCTTCGTTCGAAACTTTACCGGTGCCTGAGTCGCTCGCTGTCGATGCGCCTTGGGCGAGGCTAAGGCCAGCCATCGCTAGGGACTTCACCGGTGAAGTATCCGTATTCATCATTGTCGAGACGAGCAGCAAAGAGCGCGCGCTTGATAGAGGACAGTTTCATGATGGCGGCCAAAAGGTACCTTGTTGCCGGGCGCTGATCTTTGTCGTCAATTATCATGATCTAATGCTAGTTCCTCTGCTTGATAACGATCTTCAGATTTGCATCTACCAAACTGGATAGCAGCAGTGGACACTGGTTTAATATCTTATTCTGAAGGAACTAGATTTATTTTTTTTTGGTCTTGACCAAAGCTTTCTTTTCTTTGCGGCTGTGGTCAGTTTTCAAAGTATGATTGCCGGCGGTTTCTCGCATCCAGCATCATCTTGGCCCCCACGAATTTCCTGTGAACGAGTCGTCGACTATTGGACACTGCATTCAACCCAGAAAGACTCAAGGCTCAGTACGGTGATGCAGTTATAGCATTTTGTTGAATTTACCTGGCTTCTCATGGCACGTCTTCAAAGTCAAGCTCAACACAAGCAATCATGTACAGTTTCTGGGTCTGCTTTTGTTTTGCATAAATGTCCAGACAGGAAAAGCCGACCATATACAACTACCGAAAAGGCACGTCTATCAAAGTCAAGAGGAATCGCGTAGGCAGTACTGAACAGTTGCATATCTGAGTCGACGGAATGCGTAGAAATATGTGGGCACGAAAGTAAACTGCAGAAGACGATAAATGTACATGATACAAAGTTAACCAAGAAGTGACGATCGGTATCAGGTATCTTCACAAATGGATATCCGAACAGATGGTATAGGATGTGAGGACAATAAGATTAACGATGGTGGCTGGCCCTTCACCACACTATCATTTCTGATTCATGCTCATCAGGTTCCCCTTTCATAATTTCACCCTTCATACTTCGAACCGACAAAGACTGGAGAAAGGCATCATTAATAAACAATAACATCCGAAATCATTGTTGAGAGGGGGCTCACATGAGTTCTTTTCTCCGGTGGTTGAAGTTTTTGAAGATCAAGCTCAACACACACGTTATACACTGTGTTTTTGTTGTACGCGTCGTCTCCTTCGACTCCAAACAAAAAGTGCCGTCCATTAACGGTAATGAACGTTTGCAAGTCGAGGTCCAGAGCCCATAACTTCCGGTGCAGATTGAGACACTGGACACGCTCTTTTGGAGGAATGAAGTACTGCCAAACCTCCGGGACAAGATAATCTTTGTGGTCGGGAGACTTGATCCAGCCCACGATCACCGTGAAAGGATGTGACAGACTAGCTGCTAGAGCCTCCCTGGGAGGTAAACCCGCAGCACGGGGCAACGGAATCGATGATCTCTGTGGCGGTTTGACCGCATATGAATTATACCATTGAAGTTCAGCCGGGAATTTGCCATTTGTTTTAGATACGCTTTGAAATGTTCGATTTTCAGTATGGAAAAACACCATATTGTGCTCCGACATTGTAATTTCCTGAAATAATAGATTGAGGATTGAATACGGGAACAGAATCGGAAAACATACGCACCACATCAGTTTGAATACGACCAGGAGTCAGGAGGATCTTCATGCCATCATAGACGGGAAGAGCCTTGCCTCCAAAACCGAGATTCGGGACATCAGCGGTGTATGGTTCGTCTTCTACAATCCAAGTCCAACGACAATTAACGCATTCTGCCACAGAATACGAACGAAGGACGGTACAATTTTGGACATTCCGACTTGGACGCCCGCCAAAAATGTAGAGCCGGTTGTCAATCCCCGCCATCGTCGCGTCGATGCGGCCTTTAACACGTCCTACCACATTGACATACGCCCACATCTTCGTCCTAACATCAATCGCGATAAGTTCTGAAGAAAGGTCTTTTTCTTTTGCAACGTCGTATCCGCCAAACAGGAAGACATATTCGCATCCGTTCATTCTTAGAAATGTAGATGCGGCGCGGCACAGACAAGGTAGTGGTTTGGGTTTTTGGAACGGGACGCCCATAGATAGCTGAAGAATGCTGATTAGATACACGAAACACGAAAGATTTGATGCAAACACGTACCGACCACGTTTGCCACGACATGTCACTCACATTACCGACATGGAAATCGCAAGTCCAGTCTCTACTATCCTGCCGCTGGCCTCCGTACATGTATATCCTTCCATTCGCGTCGTCGACAGCGATTGTACTGTTGTCGCTAAAATAAGGCATATCACCCGACATCGGCACTTTTTGCAAGCCATATGCGAAGATAGGTCCTGCTACAGGCGTATCTCGATTTGGATCCGGCTGGGCCATACTGGCGCTCCCAATTTCATCATCAATCTGAACATCAAAGGGGATAGGGTTACTTCTGCCGCCAACCCTACCACCTCGTTTCCCCTTTCCTCTGCCTCTTCCCCTTCCCCTCCCATTTGCTGAAGTTCCAAAATTACCTGATTCGTTGTCATCCGAAGTCAAGGAAGGTGCACCCGGTGCGCTCTGTAGACCTCGCGACCTAAGAGATGCTCTTTCATGCCGCTCAGACACAGATGAAGAAGGTATGGCTGGCATACCTGCAGGTAGTAAGTTACTGACCCACGACAAGTGAAGTTCAACGGAAGTTCGTGACCAGCACGTGGCGCGGTTTGATCAGTCTTGTTTTTTTTCTGAGTCTTACTTTGAAGCAGGCTTTCCAGGTTACCTTTACATTCCGAAAATACACCGAATTGTGACCGAGTTCTCAGTTCTGAAAGAACGATAGGAAAATCGGACCCGGCGGTTGGTACTCTGAATCAGTTCCTGCCGCGGCTTTGCTGGGAATGCAGACATATGCGCGACTCTATCTAGAAAACAGCTAGACCCACGATATTCTGACTCTGGACTGCCTTTCAGCCTTCTTGAAAGTCTGTGGTCTGCTGACTAAACGAAAAGGTTTTGCACTACATAACAGGCACCGCTCTACACACCAAACCTCCCCGGGGACCTGTGATTTCTTATCGCTCCAGATCAGCTAGTAGTGTCCATATTACCGAACCGCTTTCCTGGTTGTGTTGATATCCAGAACATTGCTTGGAACACTAGCAGACACAGACGTGCTGGTGATGCGATATGCTCGTGTTAGGCCTCGGCGCTGTTCTTGATTCTTGTGCTTGACGGTCTCGTTGACGACGTGGGAGTTGCATCAGTGCGATGGTCGATAGTAGTCTCGTTGCATTGTGCCCTTCCATCGCGTAGTATTGGTCACGACCTATAAGGCATCTTCTATGAGATCCTTGCGTGATGAACTGCGCTCTAAGCACTGATGTTCTGGAATGAATACTTGAATCCCGTAGCAGCTGACTCCTATCACTCACCTTGGCAATGTCAGCACGTCTACCTGACTTTGAGGCTGGGTCCAGACCTAGGGTTATTAGACGGGACTGGGAACTAGACATTATTCCTAGACGTTCATATTGTTCTCAGCCCTACATACAAAGGAATACCGTCCCGGGTGATCGCGGAATTGCCAAGTCGGACTTCGGTTTTATGGTACCAATCTCCGCGAGCCTGTATGACCAAGGCAGGCCTGAATCTCTTGATCAACCCATTCATTTTATGCCTGCCACCCCTATGGCTGAAGGTGTGTGCTTCTCGTGTTTCGGTACGCAGAGTGGCGTGTGATACTGATAATGTTTTTATCCAGTGGCGCTCAGAGTGAGATTCCTCAATATGGTGAGGACTAAACATTCACGGATAGACTAAACCCATACAGTGGCCTCGTGAAATTGACTATAATTGTAACAGCGCTCTTGATTGATGAACCGGATCTAGAGAACGCAAGAACGATGTGAATATGCTACGTCTTTAAGCGCTTCATGTGAATCGATGACTGATGAATGGAAGACGTTGGCAACATCCTGGAAATTGACCCATGGCGAAAACCGGAATCACAGATGGGTCCTGTTCGTTAACTTTTGTCACTGATGGACGCTGTTAATTACAAACAATGAAACTCATGTGGTGAACACGTTCCCTGAAAATCCCGCGTCACTAACTACATCATATCTCTAGTGCGATCATTTCGTTGGTGGCTGCCTGGCTGTTAGGGTCAGGCAAGCGAGATCCCCGTGAACGAGTCGCATGTCATCGATGACCAGCCGGGGACCGGTCACGAAGGACTCGTCAAGAAGCCCAAACCTGATAGTTATCTTTCTCCATTGTGTATGTGAGGGTCCTCTAACTAACAAATGACCACTAGGAACACGAGGAATTTTTATTCAGATTCAGAGATAAGAGAGAAGTTAGAACTGGTCTCTGGAGCACCGTGCCGAGCGAAGGATTCCCTTCCCACTCTGATACCCGACGATCTCAGGTCGACCTTCATGCTGCCTGTTCTTCTGTTCTTCTATTTGCAAGGAACGTCTCTTGAAGCAGCTTTGCTGCCAAGGGTCGGTGCCTCTTCGGACCCGCCAATCTCACGGGGGATTTACCCTTCACATTCGATGGTGGATGGAGATACTGCCAGTGGGTTGAAATGCCCTCACGGAATCCAAAATATTCAGAGCCGCGAGCATTATCACCCTGGCTGCTTACTAGAACTTATCCTTTGCGCTCGCTACTCGTGTTATTTCTCTTCAAGAGCGTTACCCTGATGATACCAAAATACTACCATTATGAATGTATGCCGTATTATCTATTATACTGCTTCAACAATGATACCGTCTAATCTAAGAACTCATCTAATGTTTGGCCGCCTTGTTGAGGTCAGCTACGGACTGGGTAATGTAGTCCGGGACAATGGGGGATGGATTTGGTCCTGTGATATCATCTTCCGCCGCGATTCCTAACCTTCGTGAGGCTCCAAACCCGCGTGCAGAGGAGACATGACCTACCTGTGAGAACCAACAGCGTAGAAATTCCACCGTTCTTGCCGAACAAGATGTCCGTATTAAGTCTGTCACCCACCATAATGGTGCGCTTGGGATCATAGTTCACTCTGTCAGAAAAAAAGAGAAAGGTTAAACACGAATTGCGGCGAAGAAGACAAGAAGAGTACACATACTTTGCCTTGATGCAATCCAACATGGTACTTGCCGGCTTGCCAATGCTCACAGGGTCTTTTCCTAGCGCGAAGCGCAGGGGCGCACTGACAGCCCCAGCCCCAGGTAGCAACCCATCCGCACTAGGATACGTGCTATCCTCATTCGTAACAAGAAACTGGCATCCGGGGTTCCGCGTAAGATATTGGAAGGCCTTAGACAACTTGGTATAATTAATCGTCGTATCAAGGCCGCACAACACGGCAGCAACGCTCTCATCAAGAACAAAGTTGGCTAGAGAGAACGGCTCTAGAGTGCGATCCGCGGGATCCTGGGAGGGAGTTAGAAGTGAGTATGAAAGTAAATATGAAGTGAACGGGGTGCACATACAGTTCCGCCCAGGTAGGAGACACCCTCATCGCGAAGTTCCTCTTCTAGGCCAGCCATGCCAATTACATACACTTTCTTGTCTTTCGGTAGCTTGATTACAGAAGACAGATACACAGCTGCTGCGTACGCAGATCCATAGATCTCGTCCTAAGCAAAGTAAGTGTAGAGTTAATCCCCACTATTTTGCATACCAATAATTCCGTTTAACTTACGACATGTGCCTCGACGCCTAGCTGGTCGAATTTGCCCTTGTAACTCTTCCTCGATTTCGTCGCGTTGTTCGTGACAAACAAAACGGTCTTGTCTGTTATTGAAAGAGAGAACGGAAAAAAGATACATTATTCGTACTTTTTCGGAAAGACTGGTGTCTACGTACTTCGATTCCGAAGGAGGCGCAGGACATCGACAGCCCCATCGATGAGACGGTCACCATGCCAAAGTACTCCATCGCAATCGAACATCCATGTGTTGTACTTGTCAATCAGTGATGCATAATCTTCAGCAGAAGAAAGGCGAGTGCTCATGACAGGTAATAATGGTTGATGGAGAACAAGTCCAGGCGCCGTCACGCGTTACTAACTCAGATCCGACGCATCCGACGAGTTATTATTCTCCTCCATGAACGACGGACAGTATCGAGTATTTTCTGACAGGTGGTACATTTATTTCATTGATACAGGTTAAATGTACTATCTTACAGAATGTCCAGCAAAGCATTAATCGCATTGCCATATATTACATCAAGCATATTGAACAAATCCAATCAATACACACAGATATCAAGAGTATATACTCCTCTCAGCGAAAGGGATTCGTTTGCGACGGGTTCGCACTCGTCACGTCTCTCTCGGCTTCTCTTCTACTAGGACCATCGTCAAAATCGGCGAAGGGATTGTCTTCCTTCTCGGCGGCAAATGCTCCTTTACCATCACCTCCGATGTATCCAGGAGGCTTGCTGTCATCCATGTGGGGCGGAGGCCCTGGAGGCGGAGCGTATGCAGGGGCAGTCTGGTATGGCTGTTGAGGGAAAGGACCTCCGGCATATGGCATGTTGTAGCCGTAACCCAAGTTCGGTACAGAAGCATTGTATGGCGGGTTGTAATGCGAAGGGAAGGAGCCTGCGCGCACTTGGTTGGACGGAGCACGTAAGGCATTAACAACACTAGTAGGGTCTAAAGCTTGGCGGAGATAAGCAAACGCTAGGGCGGTGAACATGCCCGCGAGGACTGGTTACACCATGAGCGACGCATGAAGTAGGTCAATGATTGATACGCACTGAGAGTGATGATAAGAGAGACAATATCAGCCCAGGAGTCGTGGTCCCATGCATCATTGCACCCTGGAACAGTCTAAGCACTGGCAAAAAAACAGAAGACATATACTCGACATACATTCCCGCGCCTCACTTGCGTTAAGGGTATCATGGGATACTGGACCCCAGAATCCAAATGGGTAATACAGGACATCCTGGCCGGTAGAAAAATTGGCACATTCGTTGATTATATCATTCTATCACGTATTAGCTATTGTGCCAAATGAAGATGGAGTTAAATATACCTTGAGAGAGAAGTGAATTATAGCTTGGACCAGTCCAGCAGCAAAAACAATAAGTGTCGCTAAGACAGAGAGGTAGGCGTATATTCTGATGAGCGGGAGCCGTTGCTACGAACACTAGATTAATGCTGAGACACAAGGAGCAGCAGGAACGTGGCGCACGGTATAGGCCGCAAACATCCCAAAAAGCTAAACACCGTGTCAGTATCCTTCTTACACAATTATTATAAACAAAACACACCTCACATACGAGTATTCCCATATGAAGAACTCCTATTACAATGCCAAACGTAACCAGTTTCCCAAAATTTTCTGAAGAACATTGAGACGTATGAAACGGAGAAATTACCAAGACTCACGGTCTTTTGCTACTGAGATGCTTCTAAAGTTTCCGATCTATATACAATTCATTCAACGAAGCCTCATAAACGAGCAGAAGTGATACGAACAGCACTAGTAAAGGAGTTTGGTCAGTAATAAGCATTGGCAGCAACGGAAGAATGGACGCACGAGAACAATGCCCACAGGGCACCGAGGAAAGCACCTGCTCAATGTTCATCAACAACCCTATCAAATCCATTATGCAATTGAGATCCACGCACATAACATCACGACAGGCCGAAGATTCCGTTGATACACCCGTGTAACAAACGCATAGGATGGCGGGGCTCCTATGCATCCATGCTAAGGTCAGATGGACGTAACCATATGGCCGAAGTTGTTCACTTGCCTGCATGTCCGGATCAGCTAGGCGCCCATTCAACACAAAGAAGACATACCTTGAGGTGGGGGTGGCCTAGAATTCATCATGAATGGCAATAAAAGAAAAGAGTAAGAAAAATTGCAGGTATGAAAGGGGAAGATGGCTGTAGAAAAGCAGGAGGCGGTAATGGCGGTGCTTTCCCGCTAAGCCACGTTGTCTCTGTTTGGCTTCAGCCGGGATCCCCGCATCACGTGAATCTTCCTTTTTAGCCATAGGCTGAACAAAAGCGGGCTTCTATTTTTATTCCACATACCTTGTTGTCTGAGTCATTGGTCGCATAGGGAAAGTGAGCTGTGTCCCACTTAACAATCAGTGCTGCGGTAGTTATCGACAAGGTCTCCTGTAGTCGTTTGCGTAGTAATGGCCACCATGTACCAGTGCGCAGCATTGAGCAATGGTATTGATGACTTCTTTCGTCGTTCGTATCACTGATCGTAACGTTCACAGCACCAGCGCCTGCTGGCAACGGTTTATTTACGCCCGCAGCATAGGGTGGAGGGAATTCTTCTCCTACTCTCCCCCACTTTTTTGGACATGGTCCGTCCGCCCCCCTTGCGACTTTATGGTTGGTACTTCTTTTCTGAGTTGGAAGGAAATAATAGGTCCGGTACCATGCGCTGACAGATGATAATCTCAATCCTGGCCCCATTTATGACTCATTCTACTCTGGGAGACCACACATGCGCTCCGGACTGTCCGGCCGTTTCTTTTCACGAATCTGTGAGACTGATTTGAGGTGGCTGGTCATTGCTGGTATGTTCAACAAGGTCTCTCTCTTGATAGTTCAGCCGATTCTAATCATAGGCTGCGCCAGTGACCGTTATCAACTTTTTTAGGCTCTCTTATTCGTATGTTTGTCGTCTTCAGTTGACCACCGCGTGACTGACATTGCTTCATAGAATGGTATGTGCCTGCCTAGACTTAAATACGCTCTCCTGAACTCGGCATCTCAGTTGAACGCTTTTCACGATGCTGATGTTGATAGCAGCCGTTAAGTGACATGGAGGTCTGGTGTCATTATTTACCTGACACTTCGGCAATCTTAGATCAGGTCATGAAGCTGGGTACAGTATCGATCACGCTGGGCGTGGTATTCTTCGCAACCTGCCTGATAGAAATTTTTGGCACCGTGTCCGCTGTCACGGTGAGAACTTTGAATCTTGGCAACTGTGCCCACGTCAACTTTGAGCGCGGTATATTAGCGGCAGCTTACACTTATACGAATATATGTGGACCTAACATTTCTTTCTGCCGTTTCGTTGGCGGCCGCCGGCGTTATCAACGCTATCGCATATTTCGCCTTTGCGGTAAGCCATGTTTCTGGCCTTGACCCTGTTTGCTGAGAAGTACTAGGACGATATCATCGAGGAATGCAAATCGCTAGCTTCCAGTGGCGACCTTGGCCTAAAATCGCTTTTTGTACGTCATCCATTTGCGTCGCTTCACTTGAACGACCTCATCTTTCTATTGAGCAGCGAGGTAGCCCATGGCAAACGCGCCCGATCTTCTACAGTGAGGAGGCGCGAACGCGTGCGTATCATCTCGCGATGCTCCATTGTATCTCACCTTCACTTATGCTTCAGAATGCGGAAACGCTTGGTCAAACCACGCATCCAGCGAAATTCTTTCTATTCTTTTTTTCTACTTGATTCCTTCAACTTTCTCTTACCTTCTCGCCTACACATACCACCGACAAATGCACGCCCAGAAAATCCATCGTCGAAGGACAATCCGAATGGAGCAGTTTGTCAACAACAGCGTCAGCCTAAGTCCAGTATACGACAGCTACTCCGACCAAGGATCAGAAAGACCTAAGGCAGGTAACAGACGAGCGGCGCCGCTCACATCGCCCGTGAAAGGTAGTCGATGGAGTGACTCCTCGACTGTAACTGTGTCCTTGTCTCCGGGTCCACCCAGCTATAGTGGTGCTGGTAAACATTTCGGACATTACGATGTTCAACTCACTGGCTATACCGAGTGAAGGTGCACTCCACCACATCCTTGTCCGAAATCTTACTTCCCTAAGTGTCTAGTACTGTAGCTCTAGCGTCCTCGTATAGTTTCATGATTGCCAAATAATCTATCGTGCTGTATAATCTAGCCTCGATTATCGATATCATGAGACCACACATGTGGAAATGGAGTTTGAGAATGCATGATACCTGGCGAGTGACCAGGCGGCGATATAGCTGTAGACACAATTTGGATATCGATTTTACCGGGCATACCGGGACCAGGTCTTAACAGGCAATGCAAAGAAGAATGATTTCGGACGGTTCTTGCTCATCGGTGGTAAGCCAAACGTCTCGGACGCCCCACGAACGCCAGCAGGATAGATAATTAGGTCTACTCCACTTACAAAAATATACCGACACTCTTCTCCTTGGATTCCGCGCTCTTTGATTCGCTTTCTATTGAACGGCGGCAGAAGCATGGATCACTAGGAGCACAATTCTGCCCGGTATGTGCGACAATGCATCATCATTTACTTGGAATTAGCAATTGAGGCCCTATGATGACTCGATCAAGTTTAGTGCCATCAAGGGAAATACCGACTTGCATCTTCATCTTGAATGGTGCCAATGAGAGGAACGCAAACATCAATAGCAGGATACTTATCTAGGAACGCGGCGATGCGCCAGACCGGCGGCTGAAAAGCCAGCCTTGTTTGAATTCACAAATATCACAGCCACGGGACCGGGTTGCAAGTTGATGGAATTGCAAAGTCATCATCAGGCCAGAGCCCCTCAAACCCGCAGAGGACCCGGCGAAACAAGTGAACAGTCATCGTCCATCCGTCCATCCGTCCACTCTCTTGTTAACAAAACGCTTAGCAACACAAGGCACGTCCATAGGGCTCGCACTCACTTACACGGACGCATACCCTGCATTGTAAATCACCGTGGTGGAAGATGTGGCTACAATCACCGAACTGATCGAATCTGCGCCACAACCCCAGGAAAACATACATCAATGCCCACGAATACTGTGGAATTTGCATAACCAAGTTGCCTTGTATTGTTCGAAACGGTGCAGTCCCATATATGACAATCTTGGCACCACACGCCCTAGAAGCATCGTTTCGCTGCGTTCCCATCGCCAATTTTGAAGTATGCCCAGTCTTAGGGCTTGCCCGATTTTCTGTGACTGTACCTGATAGCAACAACTTTTGCCGTCAAGCACGGTGCCTTTATCGGGTATTCCGGAAATAGATCGACAAGGCCGTGCTAGTAGGAAGACTCGCCACGTCTAAGCCCTATTCACTACTCAACAGAATTGTGGTGGAAGCCACATCCTGAAACCCATGAATGCATACTCTTGGACAGACACCCCGTGTCACCAGACTTGGGCGAACCCCGAGACCGCAGCATGCAGTCCCACAAGACGGCTCCTTGTGTTTCGTCTATAACATCCTTGATATCTGGGCGGTTAACTCCGGACTAGCAGGGATTTTCGTTGGCGCCGAAGAAGACCGACTAGACGAGCATCAAGCATCAGGTACGACCCTTTCGCGACTTGATAAATTCCTAGAAGGAAATAGACAAGCATTGCGGATTTTTATTGCATCCTTGAAAGCTGGAGTGATGGGCCAGAGGGAAACACTGATGCCTAGCCACATTCTGGGAGGAATCTTCGGAGGAACGTTACCTGAATTAAGTCTCGGTGAAACATTGCAACTAGAAGTGGGTGCCGGACCCACCTGTGGGAATACTCCGCAAAAGATTGAAGATGAACAGAGCGCTAGCCGCTCTGTTAACATTATTATAAACAAAGATTGAGATCGAGTATTTATCCCACGACGGCGTAGGAAGGGTCGTTACAAAGGGTCTCCATAGATCAAATAGACGTCGAAAACAATTGTCGCCGGACGTTCGAGGCGACTTTTTGAATGGCCGCGATACCGAAAGAAGCTCGAAGAGCGTACCGGCATACACAATGAATGCTATTGGTAGCCCCCGGCGATTGAGTTATTTTTCGAAGACCTATTCTTTGGAAGAAGTCGCGGCACCGCAGTTTCGTCGGATTTGAGGAGCAGTGCACTTAATAGGGGGAAGCCTGATCCAGGTCTTGGTCAGTAAGTAAGGTTTGTTGATTTGAGCGATACTCGCAGAACTATCTGATTCGGTGTTCGATCGTCGGCGTTTCCAGTTATTCCAGCGGCAAACGAACGGGGACCCTCGGGAAAGTAGTGACAGCTTGGAAAGACTCCCGTACCGCAATCAGCGAATACCAAGTAAGTGCATACCAGCGGGAGTAATGGAAAACGAGGAATTTGAATCACATTAATGAGCAATGGAGTGTCAGTCCCTTCTGATGGAATCCTGAAGCCTTTTTGACAATAAGAGGTCCATTTTTGTAGTCAACGGGCGGTGTATAGATAACGCACCGAACGAGTCCATCTCCACGTAGCACTGGATGGAGCACCACAAATGAGTGACATAAGCAAACTGACCAAATATTTATTATCTTATCTTATCTCTGATCACGTAATCTTTATCTCACATTTTAGATCTCTTACTCTCACCACGATGACCAAAAGGAAAACCAAGACAGCCAAAACGGCTCCCGACGGCGCAAGCAACGTTCCAAACAGCGGTGGCGTACCAAGGAACGAAGTCGGATTTTTCCCTTTCGCCCGGTACACTTCTGTCGTCGGTGTCCATACGACTTTACTTCTCTTCACCGCATTTTTTCTGCCGCGGACAAGGATACTCTCGGACTTGGCCCAACGGAGTGTCGATTTTAGCCAGTTGACGTCGCGTGACAGACCTCAGCACCCTTTTCTGGAGGCATTGACCGCCAGCCCAGCTATTACTGTCGCGTGTATGTGTGCTGGCAGCGTCGTGTTGCAGGGCTGGTGGGGAGGCTGGATCAGAGATTGGTGGTTCGACTACACCTCAAGGGGATTTGAGGATAGTACTCGTGTACAAAAGGCGGATTTTAACAGCCGGAAGCTGTCCGTAAGCGCCCTGTTACAGTATTCATCTGATGAACATAATCCCATTTTATTTTACCAGGCACTTAGAAATGCGTGGGCACTGACCCTCGCAAGCTCCGCCTTATTCCACGCCATACTCGTGCTTTTCGGGGTACCGCTCTTGAGGTTATTCGATTTCATTCTGGCTTTCGCATCACAATATAACTTTTGCATCAAGCCACTGGTTACAGACCTATCTTCTAGCGCTTTTCTTGTCTATTCTCGTCATCTTTACGCCCGCATATACCTACGGACCACCCACGCTGTCTTCTGATACAGAGTCCCTGGTTGTCAGGATGACTTGGGTCAGGGTTTTCGCCGAGTTTTCGTGAGTCTTGTCACGCTACTCCCGACAATGATGTTCTGACGGTCGGGATAGCGTAAGGACGCCTGTAGAGCGAGCCATCGTCTATCCAGCTGTAGGCACTTTGGTCGGCTGTTGGGTCGGCGCAGTCCCCATCGCGCTCGATTGGGATCGGCCATGGCAGGCGCGTTGTCTTTCTTGATCAATTGTATCGCTAAATCTGAATATCCATGATCAGGCATGGCCTTTAACACCTACTTTTGGCGCCTTGGCAGGATACATCTTGGCATCTATGAGCGCTCTTACAGCTAGCGCAGTTACATCTCTAGCGATGGAAAGTATTCGAAATGAGCGACAGAAAGCTGTTTAATTCAATTATATGAACATCACAGTATTTTCGTGAGTACATTCAACAAGTACAGCTCTGGTGATGCGAACTAGGAAGGCCTTACTTGTCGGATAAGGCTGTCCTGCGTTGAATTCTTATGCAGCTGCGGCCAACCCGTTGTTCTGAACTAGAACACTCATCTGTTACTATTAACGGGGAGAATGAACCCGGCTATAGTTGGCCCGCAGTTCTGCCTTCTTCTCGATAACGCCTTGACTGGCTCACAGCGTCTGTACTTGCGTTTCATCCAGTGGAGGCTTCTATATTTTTATGATTCATAGAATGATATCTCCATACTAATTGTCATTTGGTCCACGCAGGATGGAGTCAAGTTAAAAATGATAGTGCCTCAGTATCCTACTTGGTCAGCTGGTGCATGGTCTTTTTTTATCGGCCGACCCACAGCACCGCTACAATCGTCTCTCGGTATTCTCCGAGTGCACGAGCTTCCCTGGCACTCGGTAAGTCAGTTTCGGCGATGTTGAACCTGAAGGCCAACACACCCAGAGAAAACATGATACGGCGCCAATTGAGACCAGCGGCCATCATTCCACCGTTGGTCTGCTGTTCTTCTCTGAGCGTCATAAAGGCGCGTTCCCATCTAGACGATCTTATCTTGACGTTCGGTACGATCCGACAAGATAGACAACATGAACCATAACGGCGATCTGGAGTTCATGCCCATGGATATGAGTTGCCACTCTTTATATCGTTCGATTGTTCTTTGTGGCTTTTCATCCAGCCGTTACATCGCTTTGCGCTCCACGTTCTGACTTTGATTATCACCTCGGCGGGAGAATGCAGTGTTCAATTGATTCAGATATTGCAAAATTCCCAATGACAGTGCCGGGCGGCCCACCCACATGCTCCCATTCTCGGCGTTTCTACTTCGATCCTCGCAACGTGAGTCATAGCTATGTCCTGTCTACTTTCCCTGTACCTGACTCCGTTGCAAGAGTAAATAAATTCAGACACCACCGTTTGATTTTGGGGTTCTCATGCTACCTTCAATTGATTGACGGTATTAATTCGTGGGCTCATATTCACTACTCTAAAGCATGTCACTGACATCTCACAGATAGCAATATCAAAAGTCATCAACGCCCCCAACAGGTTTTTGCCGGCCGTTCGGTTTGGAAGTGGGATCTCTATCTTCTTTGGTCTTATCCTCCTTCGTCGCGTCCTTCGTCTTATCGGCGCTCTCGGACTTGTTCTCGCTGGTGTGAAGAGATTTCTCAGGAGATTCGGTGGAGCTGTTCAATGGCTGAGGGTCATCGTCCTTCGATGAAGTATCGCTAAGTTTATCTTCTGGGATTCGCAATGTATGCTGCTTCGAAAGCTCCTTCTGAATCATTTTATCAATCTCCTGCATCTTTACCTTTAATCTTCCCAGAATGACCTGCATTGTCTGAACCAAAACGCCTCTGTCATTTTCGGGGAGAAACGAGATGAACTCCGCTTTCTTTCCTAGGAAAGCTGAGCGTTTAGGTGTCTCTTCGGCATGGGCATACGCAGGTGACGTTTTGGGCACGGACTGGATGAGTGGGAAAGGAGACCCACTCAGCTGTTCCACACTGTCTTTTGAAATTACAACAGCATCCAGACAACCCAGAGGGCCTAGCTCTTTCAACTGAATGCGTATTTCAGTGAAAGAGGATAGGAAAGGAATTATTCGCTTACCGTTCGAAAGTCTGTGCCAACCAGTCTTGTGGTTTGTTTGTGGAGTTTGAAATACACGGCAGTGGCCTGAATATGTTCAATTCCGGGATGCGTTTTGATATCCTGATATTTGGCCTTCCGTTTCCTTTCATACCAATCTAATAGCTGACGGGGTTATTGCATCAGCCATGAGACATGTATCGATGAACTTCTCGACTTACAGGACCGACTGCAATTGAAACCAGGTTCGATCCAGACTCGGCGCAGGCTGCCGCGTGGGCTAATGTTCCAACAAGATCTAAATTGGTGAGAATCTGGCACTTGCGCTCGAGATAATTCGAAGCAAGGATCCCTTCTTCCGTTGCAGGGATCTGGGTTCTGGTGAGAATCCACACAACCTGCAAATAACGATATGACGCTTACAGTGACGACGATAGAGTCCCTCTTTATTCCGCTCTCCTCAAACATATCAATCACCCGGATGGCACTCCTTAAGATCCTGCTGGCGTTGCCATGTAAGCGTGGGTCGACAAAGGTGATATGTGGACCAGGGGTTCTATCTATCATTGGTTTTCCGAGTTCAACGACCTATGAGTAATCATCAAAAACCGCGATAACCGCAAAGGCCAGGCAAAGAAACTGACCAGACGCTCTAAAATAGCCGCATTCATGCTGGGTGCCTTCATCTTGCCCTTGTCACTTTGGTTGGCAACTGATGAGTCTTCCGTCGATTCTATCGACGGCTTGATTAACTTACCGGTCATCCAGCGACATTTTGACTGCCACCCAGAGGTGGTAATAAATATAAGGCGAATCTAGCGCGTCGAGAAGGCGCGCCGGACTTAGCATACTTCCGTCGAGGTCGTGATATGACAGGCCTGTCGATCAGTATAAGTCCAAAGATTTCCTGTAAAGTGTATACATACTTTCGAAGTCAACAGTTTCCATCATGACAGCTGTGTTTGCCTTTCTGAGGTCGGTTCGCAATGTAGGAGCTGAATTAATTCTGCGCTCCCCAGGGGCTGTCTTCTTGACCCTTTTAGACGCGTAATTATTCGCGATTCTCGTGGGGATAGTTGATGAAGATACATCCTGGGCGCTGGAAGTTGATGGTTCCGGGGACGCGGGTCTTGATGGGACGGCGGGCTGATCAGGCCTATTAGCGGTCTCGTGTAGTTGGTTCATGGCGTCTGTACTGGAGAATAGGCGGCGCGAGTGGCATAGGTGAATACTTATAGCGCTTGGTCAATAGGCCACCGAGTGACTATGTTATCGGACAAAGGTGATCGTGCCACTCATGACACTTTGTGGTATTGTCTTCTGAGACCGGTCATCTTGTTCACCTTCAGAATTTAGCTTATCATCGATATCATCGCCCTGCCTTTGGTCCGACGCGGACGAGACGAAGCAACCTAGAAAATAGGATCACACAAGGATAAAACCTGAGCGAGGTTCACAAGGAGTAAAGTCAAGGATACAAACGGGTCACTCCGAGCGCACGAAAATTCGCCAAATTCGCAAGTATGAGTCCGACCATCGCCGAAACACATTCTGCTACAGACGGGAGTGGAACGCTGCAAAAGATTTTTTTTCTACCGTTGATGCGGCGGTCTCCGTATATTTCATCGCGTCTTGTCCGATAACAAAGGAAAAAGCTGGCTTCTTGTGTGGCTGTGTCGGGGACGTTTCCCTGCTCGCGAGTATATCTCAATTTCAAAAATTCTCCGGTCCTAGGATGCGAGGTTGGCAGCTCGGAGAATAAAAAATCCTCCTCGCTTCAGTAGACGCGTGTCTTTGACTCCTGTACACAGGACGGAAGACCGAGCGTTGTGGACATCGAAACAGAGTCGTAGAGTTGTTTGCCTTTAATATGCTTCCTATTCAACTACAGTACTCGGATTCAGGCTCGTTTTGATATGATCAGGAACATATCCTGACTTGCAATTTCCTTTGCCTGGACCGTTGTATTTCAGTGTATTTCAGTATTTGACACACATCCCTGACTTCCGAATCATATCCTCCTATCTCTGACGTCTTTGCTACTTTATGCCAGTGCGCCAATCTGAGAAATCTTCAGAAGAACCTTTCGTGTCATGACAAGAACACGCGACAATTTAAAGCTTGTGACTCTTTTGGAATCCATCGCGGTAACGCTGTAGCAGGTTTATTACTGACGCGTGGTCGGGGAAACGAAAATAGAAGGGTGACAGTGTAAATTGAAAATGCTGCGTACTTTGGGGGTCGTGTTGGGGTTATGGGGCAAACATATTGAGGGGAAATATTCCCGAACCGTCCGAAGTCCCGCAAAATGTCATGCTGCTCGTATTTGAGAGACTGCACACTCACCAAGGAGTCAACGCTGATTTTTGTACTATTTCCAAAAGCTAAACGACTCGGTTCTCGTAATGGATCACCACACCGATCGCAGAATGATCTGCCTCTTACGAGATTTTCTCTCGAACCTTTCCTTCCATCTTCGATTATCGATATCAGGTGTCATAATGTTGCCGATATCTTGCGATCGGAATCTTCGCTGTTGCTGAACTGTGATGTTGATGAAATCAAAGTCAAGAGAGGGAGAGTAAAAAAGGTATATTCAAGGAGGAGAATATAGGTATGTAGGTATTTCCAAGGAATCCACGGCAACGACAGCGGGGGTATGCATGCTCTACAACAACACAAGTAAAATACGAGTAAATATACAGAATGTTAAAACACAGTTCAGCAGGACGATCAACGATGGATGGGAGCCCGTTCAGAGGAATATGAATGCCAATTGTCCATCCCGTGGTCTGGCTGAGAATAGAATGATGGAAGGGGGTTCGAATAATGGTTCGTCGTGTGCGAAGTATGGTGGGCCTGCGCGAAGACGTCAATCCACACAATAAAAGCGAAGCCAGAAGTCGCGAACTTACCGTGTAATTTTCATCCTCCACCTTAACGGCCCCATAGTGCCCGCCCCCGTTTGAGTGATTTGAAAGACCTTGATGAGAAGAAAGCGGCGGACGAGGATTTACTGGAGAGTTCGACGGGTGCATTTGTGCAGGCTGTGGGGGTAAGACAAAAGAATGTCATTATACGGTCCAACGCCCCCCTCGGTGATGTTGGGCTACAGCAAAGCCGGGGAGTGGTAAAAGGGAATAACACTCGCCGAAAAAGGGGGACTGGATGTTGCGCTCGAGCCTGAGGGGGTATTAGGCATCTGGAACGTAGGGGTATTGATATTGTAGAGTGAGTTGGACCCCGAGTTGTGCGAGGACACGTTCCCGTATTGGGACCCGTGTGGGATCGTCAGCGGAGGCGGTGGTCGGAGGTCGTTCATATGTGCGGGCGCGTCCTGGCGGGCAGTGAGCGGGAGGGCGGGATATCGAAAAAACGCGAGACATACCATATAGACTTGGTCGTCCATGTCAGCTTTTCTTCGCTTGAAGTCTCGATCCATGTTTCGCGAGTCATGGGAGATCGTCCGCCGCGTGACCTCAAGAGACAGAGGGCGGCCAGCGGAGGTATCGGAAATCATGCGACGAAGTTCCTCGTTTTCTTTGTGCAGTCGGCCGTTTTCTTGTTCCAGCTCGCGAATTTTGATGAGCGGCGGCGGCAGGGCTGCGACTTGGTCGGGGGATACTCCGAGCGCAGTCTGGAGCTTAGTCACGGTCTGCTCCAACTAGACATTGAGGAGGTGATGAGGGTGCGTCGGGTAGCAAGACATACGGACAGACCTGTTCAATGTAAGCCTTTCGCTTAGCTCGATGGCGAGCTTGAGCCTTCGCATTACGGCTTCGCTCAGGGCGTTCTGTGTGTGCCGTATGACCGGAGAGAGAGGACATCAGGGATTAACGTAAGAGTGGAGAGGGGATAGCGTTCGGAAAGTCGAGGTCAGATGTAAAGTGGAATCGAGTACCTTTATATCAATGAAAAAGAGGCTACCGCCCACCCTTCAACCTGCTTTAGAGGATTCCATTTTCGATTGATTTGGAACTGTATGTCGAAATTTCACTGGCACGGCTTATTCGCTTTCTTCGATCAGCCGAGGGCCCAAATCCAGTATGACCCTGAGCCGTTCCCTGGGTAAAGAAGATATCCACTCAAACGGAGTCAAATCTCCTCGAAATTTCGAAAAGATTGGAGTTTCAGGACTTCGATCTGCTGCCTTTGGTGAATAAACTCGGACTCGTCTCCCTGATTTCATATGAGCTAATTCGGTGGATTGATCTCTCCTGGAGACCTGGTCCATTTTGTAGATTTGCCATGCACCCGTGGAGGGCTGACATATTCCGGCAGCCCGGCAGTTGCAAGTTCTTTTTCCTTCTGGCTGATTCGGACACGAGCGTCGTCGTGCCTGGGTCGCACCGTGCTTGATCGGGGATCAATTCAAATGCTTCCGTTTGTCCAATTTTGTTTTGGTTTATGTCCAATCCGGCTGTCCCCGGATAATTTAATCCCCGACTCCGCTTGAGCTCCGCGAATCCGTATCTGTAATCTGGGATCTTAGATCCCTGTAGTCTGGCTGCTGACGAGGGCTATGTGCGTCATTCGTCCCAATGGTTTTGTGGCGTGGTCGCTCTCTGCGAGGATGCTGCTTCGCCCCTGCCTATCGTCGACGCGTCACCAGCGCGTCCTCGGATCCATGGACAAGTATCTCCTTTCCCCGCACGTCAAACTCTTTTTCTGCAAATAAAACATATAAAGTAATCAACATTCATGCATCCAAGTTCCGTAGCAGTAAAAATGGACGACGTCGCATTGTTCCGGCTCTTTGATCGACATGCGAAGGGCTTCACTGCGACTTTCTGAGATGGCGATGCTCCTTTCACTTTGTACTACCACTATCTTTCATGCCGGAGATCCAGAGCATTTCATTTCCAGCCCAAAGCCATGTTTTTGTCTCACCCCCCCGCCTCGGCGATGTCGCTGACCAATGTCCGAACTGCACGGTAACAAAGTCAGCGTTTCCCCTCCCGACTGTACTACAAACTTTGACTCTGAATTTCTGGACATGTCACCGGTCTTCTCCGACTCCATCTATCTGCAATGCGGCGGATATATGGGTCCTGTTAGCCATCAGCGACTCACGAGCCTGAGATATATTTATCAGTATATTCGAAGCCCCGCACGTCAGAAGACCGTCGTGACCGTGCAATAATGTCAGTACCGACAAAGACTTGAATGTATCCTGTTTTTTTTTTTTTGCACGCGACGGCTTGTATGAACGCCGATATAGTGTCGATTTAAGCGAGCCACAGCGTACTCCAGCCTTTACCGAATATGTAGGATCGACCGCACAAAACAAAGCGGCGTGTTGCTATTCTCCAAATGGAACTGGATGGATACAAAGTGGGGGGGAGGTTCAACTCAGCACCAATCGTTTTCTCTTCAATCCATCAATGAAGCGTTCCATCAGAGCGCAGTACTGGGAACCCGCCTTGGTCAGATCAGCACTAATATGCAGTAGGTATAAGAACGGGCCACGATTGCGGGAGAACACTATCATAGGCACGGCAGATGATGGTTGACATTCATTCAGGAGGACAGGCGGCAGGCTAAGCGTGTAGAAAACTACAATGATAGGCCTGAGGTACAAATAGCACAAGCCACTGCATATACTTCCTCCTTCTAGGAAGAGCTTGCATTGAATGTGGTAGGTGTCTGAGTCGTAACTATAATTGTCCCTCTGCTGACTGACATCCTCACTCGTTCTGAAAGCCGCAATGCCTAGCAGGCTTGATATGCCAAGCGTTCTCGTATGCTATTAATATCCTTTCCCTCCAATGTATTCGGAAAAAACGCACCACAAAGTGCACAGGACGGCCATCACCGAGAAAAATAGGCCATGCCGGAGCTTGGAAACTAAGGGCACCAGAAGTAACCCGCGCGCCAATCTCAGGGGTACGCTTTAAGCCAAAGTAAATTGAACCTGAAGCCTAGCTCCCAGAGTGGATGTATGGAAAGGGCGAGTTTTTTGCGGTGGCGGCGGGGGGGCATGACCTTCGAAACGAGGATGCAATTGTTGTCGAATAAATTCATCCTCCCATGAAACACCGAATGAGCGTCATCATATTTATTTGTTCTGAAATCAGAGTGGTGATCGGACAAGTTCTGGGGCAATCACTGATATGGTAGGCGCATGGCTAGATCGATTACGGTTGGCAATGAAGGCCATTCAGTGCTTTAATGCATCCAGCTATTATGAATTCGTTGGTGTTGAGTAGAACCGACGGTCGAGTCCAGCCAGGGTCCTAGACTGTAAACGATCGTGCAGAACGTCATCGTTGCAGGGTGGGGCGAAAATCTTCTCTGGCGAGAGCACTGAAAGGTAGCTGGCAGTCCACTTGCGAAAGGGGGAAAGTATTTACCGGACAACGACCCATGGCCACATATATCTGGAGGGTCTGCGCTTCCGACGATTAACGAGAAGTCGTGTCGGTCAAACCATAAAATGATTCACTGCAAGAACATCTCTATTTTCGAAAGAGGCGTCAGTTCTAATAAACGGATTTATCATGACGGCTCCCCGTTCGTCGCGTCCCCCCCACGCTCTCTGTCCGATCGCAAAAAAAAACCTGTTCATGGGTAAACAGCGAGGAGATTCACAAATAACTCGGTCGCTCCCTCCTCCATTAAGTGCGGGGCCACGGGTGCTCTCGGTCATGGAAAGTGGCGTCAACGATCTAGAGTTTGGCAGGAGGGACCCTAAATTCGGATGCAGCAAAACAGACCCTTGGTGCAGTTCGACGGTCACCGTGCGGGGGGAGACTAAACAAGACAGAAGGAATAAGGCCAAGCCCGCAGTAATGATTCGGGAAAAAACCTGTGGTGGGTCCGGAGTTTGCTACACACTCCGGTCAATACAAGGACAGGTTCCAATTATGCGGCAAGGATAAACGCTAGCTACACGTCTCAGTCTTGGGCGATAGGCGTGTCTACCATTCAACATGACACAAGGCGGCCGTTTCGTCGAGGGGTTATTGGGCTTCTGAATGTGTTCCTCAGCATATCTCCCGTCCTTCCGAAAGGAACCGTGGCCTCCATCATACACACGAGGTTCCTTCCCACTCCAGCTGCTTCTACCCGAAAGAAAGACATAAAATTAACTTAAGACGAAACAGTAAGTACACAGAATACAGAAGAGAGCCACAATAATTACTCGTCCTCATCAGAGACAATTAAACGACCTTTCCTCCTCACAGGCAGCGACGACGGGCTCTCGGGCTCAGGCTCCGGTCGCTTAGGGATAGTCTGATGATCTCTCTTCTCCTGTAGTGCCGAAGATGGCGGCGTGATATCCGAGGTCCTGGGTTTGTAGATGGGTTTTGGCTTCGGTAGTGGAGGTGGAGGCTGAGGTCTCTCATCAACGCCTGTTGAATGCCCCCCTTCCTCCACCTCACTGTCAGTATCCAGGTCCGACTTCACTTCATCAGACAACACGACCACAGCCATATCGTCTGTCTCTCCTTTCCGTCTTTTTTTGTCACCCTTATCCCCCGCTTTCTTTCGACGTTTCTTCGTGCCATGCGATTTCATCGTGGTACTTCTCCCCTCTCCCAACGCAACGGATTTACCCGCAGCTTTCTCCCGTCGAGCTTTCTCCTGAGCCAAGAACGCTTCCATATCGCCGTACTCCTCGTCACTGTCCTCAATGAACTGTGCCGATTTGTACTGCTCTTCCTCCTTTTTCCTCTCTGCCTTCTTTCGCCGCTGAGGCTCCTCATCGTCACTTGCTTCCTCATCTTCCTGGTCAGATTCTTGCACACGGGTCCTCCGCCTCCTCCGGCGCGTCTTCGCCAGAAGCTGGCTAGCCTTTTTGTCGTTCAAATCAATCGGAGAGTCCAAGAATTGATTGATGACCGTCAGAGTTCGTCGCAGCTCAACGGGACTTATGGCCGCCGGAATATACCACTCTAGTTCGTCCGCATCTACATCGTGGGGAGCGCTGTATATCAGGGGTATCCAACAAAAATAAATCTGTCATACCTTCGTTCTCAATGTAAAACTTGCACAATCGGAAGAGAAGCTTGAGTTGAGGATTCTTCGTGACTGCGTTCGCATGTTCATCCTTAGTACATGGTATCCCTAGGGATGAGATTCACTGTCAAAAACCGTTGACAGGAAGCATGAATTATCGATACTCACGATAGTCTTGCATTTTGGCAAGCGCCTCTGATGATGGAGTGTCGAGGTTTACGGCAGGCCCTTGATCCTCATAGTCCGCATCGTTTTCTTGGGCATCAGTCTCCTCAATGATTTTTTCGCGTTGGGCAATAACTGTCGTGAGAATCTGGGAATGCCGGGAATGTTAACCCCATGTAGGCGAAGGATACGAGCGCGCACACCTCTTTCGTCCAGTCCACTAATTCTTCTTGGCCGGCATCAACTAGCACAGCCACAACGATGCCAACCTCTTCACTCCACGAGTGTCCTTTCTTAACATGCACATCGGCTGGGATCTTTGCATCCTCATCTTGCGTGCGCTCTTTGGTAGTCGAACTCTCTGGCTCATAACTCGAAAACACCTTCCAATGACCGCGGTTCTTGGGAAAGAAAGCCTATTCACGGGTGCTATTAGGTGCATGCTCTGTCAAATCTCTGTAATGAAATCCACGCGTACCTCGATTGCCAAAAAAGGGTAACCCTCGAGGGCCTTGAAGAAACGTCGCAGAATGAAGTTTATGAGATTAATTAAATCTCTATAGGGCTGCTCTCGCGGAAAGGACCGTTGATCGGCTAGAATTGTTTTGAAGAGATCCAGTGTCGATACCTGCGCAGGAAAATGGTCCAGGACTCTCGGGGATGAATGTCAAAGAAAGTGAGTCCAAACCTTGAAGAATAGGCCTTCTGCCTTGGCCCTAACGGCTTGGCGGTGTAGAAGGTTGACGACCCGCTTCATATGCTCTGACGAGCTAAAGTCTTTGTATCGCGCTAGATACGTCAGAAGCGTATGGTTAATATCTGTTTGGGCGAATTTCTGAAGGGGTGAGTTAACTATTAGATCGAGGGGGTCTAATCGTCATCTCACCATCTCAAATGCTTCGAAGGTGAACATAGTTTCATGGATTACTTTCTCCTCTTCGACTTCTTCGACCTCGGCATCTGGGACTTCCCCTAAGGTGTGACATTAATCGGAGAGTTAATTATGAAAGCAAAAGCAACAGACCTTTGCTCTTACCCTTCGTTTTCTTCTTACGAACATACATTTCCCCGGACTTTTTCTTCCCCCAGCGTTCAAGCATTCTCAGGAGCGAATATCCAAGATACACACTTGAATCGAGATACGCCAAGGACTGGGTGCCCTCCTTGTACGTTCTAAGACTCTCAAACGCAATGTCCAACACTTCTCCGTTGTAGATCAACTGCTGCTGCAGTATATCGGCTGCCTCGTTCAATACTGGGTCCGTGATATCGGACGACGCCATATTATCGATCAACAGCAGCAACTGCGTAAGGCATTCGATTCCGGCTTGCAACTCCGTCCACAGTTTCGGCTAGAGTGGGAAATCGAATCAACGCAAGAACCTAGCGACAAGAACGAGACGAGACCGAACGGACTTTTTCCTCGTTGGCCTCTCTCATCCGTTTCAACACCCAGACGATCCAGGTTCGTTCCGTAACCTCCGCAACAAGATCGAAACCCCATCCCCCCTTGTCCTTCTCTTTCGCTCGCATGGCCAAGAAGAACTCGAGGAACCATTTCGTAACGTAGAGTAAACGAAGATTGTCCTTGTCCGTGATCTTGGCCCGTTCAGACCGAATATCCTTGATCAACGCAGACAAGAACGCTAACAACGCGAACAAGGAAATTTTTGAGTGCATTATGTGAAAATCGGGAATTGCACCCACAGTTAAAACAGCCGTCCAAGAGATTAACGGCGAATTGCCGCAGTGTTGTCTTTGCTTCTGACGACAGATTGTCCGCTCGACTGAGTTCGTCGACGACCTTGTCTCGCTTCTTGGTTGGCTTTTTTTTCATGTCCCAGATAGTACCCGTGGATTCTTTGATGGCCTGTTGGCGATGGAGGACGAAGGGCTGGGTCTTTGTGGACTCGACGTCAGCTTCGTTACCCGCGTCCTCCGCCGGCTTGGGTTTCTTGTTGGGGTTTAGGGAAACTGCTATAGTTGTTCCGAAACGTGAATGGCGTGATGATGCCTTGCGAGCGATCTCTTTCTTTCTGCGGTCTTCAGTGGCTAGGAGCCGGCGGAGGTTTTCTTGGGGTTGCTAGAAGGGCGTTAACGAGGATCATATCGACGTCGGTGAGAAGCAAGACAAACCTTCGCGGGATCCAGAGTGAGGGATGTGGGCTTGGTACCTCGAAGTAGGAGATAGATGATCTCGAGGACAAGAGTGTTCCAGGTATTGAAGAGAGGGTCGTTGCCTGTATTGGAAGCGATGGTGAAGAGGAGCTCGAATGTGTGCGTTTCCGACATGACACGGACAAGCTTAGTCTGTAGAGCGGAGAACTCGGCCTGGTCCGAGCTGAGGTGCATGTTAATGGGGAGGTCCTTGATGAAGGCTAGGTTCCGGAAGAGATAGAGTACGACATGCACGATTTGTCCATCACGTGGCGTACGCTCCTTGTGGTGCTTGGCGAGCGGTGGAAGCAAGATGCCAAAGAGCGCCTGTATCACGCCGGGCTTGAGGAGCGCCGCTTTGTAGTGTAAATGGCTCTGAAGGAGTTGGGTATAGTCGGTGCCCTTATCGAGCTCGTCGTCCAACTCCTTGAGCTCTTCAGCCATATCGATGGGCCAGGTCATCGCCGTTAGGAGGTCAGCGCAGGCTATTGCTCGCTTGTCCTCGACTAAGCCTTTGCCTGCCGTTTCGAGGAGTATCGGGATGATGTCGTTCATCAGGACGCGCGATTCCCAGAAAAGGCGGGCAACAGTGCGTTCATCATCAGTGTCGTCCTTCCGCCAGAGCCTCTTGAGGTCCTTAAGACACCCATAGGCCTCGTCACCGAGCCTGTACACATCGCCTTCATACCCACCGAGCGCATCAACGACTCGTTTGACGACTGGCCCGAGGATATCGCGCCTCGTGAGTGGCTCCTCGTCTTCGACATCCTGTTCGAGAGCGCTTCTGTCATCGTCGTCATCCATTTACGCGTCGCGGTTGTCCAGGGCCGTGGTGGTGCAGTTGACGCGTCCGTGGCACATGTTTGCGCATGTTGTTCTGTTCCCCCGGCAAATTTCCCTCTTCGAATTTTGCCGCACCTCCTTCTGACTTTTCACTCTTCCCCTCTGCCAGCCATCCTTCCACATCCTTGGCGCTGTTTTCTCACCCAATGACTCGCTATCAATGGAAGACAAGCGTGCCCAAACGTATGTCAAGTTGCTGCGCGCGGTGAAAGGGTACTAATCCGTATGTGACAGCCTCCAGGCACTGTCCGCTTGCATTGCCAGCCAAAAAGAATTACTTGCCCGCACTCATTCTGGTATCGAACGACTGCACGAACTACAGAAAAAGGCATGTTCAAACCCCACGACTGTCGTGGATAAGCTAGCGGAGGAGGTGGGCCGTACTCCCGTGCTATCATCTGGATTCGGTTCTGATCTTGGGAAAGCTGAGTGACAGGACGTTCAAACTAAGTGACCTAGCGGAGGATCAAGCCGGAGCACCGCTACATATTGATTGGTCGATGTACGATCACCATGGTTCGTGTTTTTTAGGTTTAATGTCGTATAAATGTTTACGCCTGATCATCAGACCCTGCGCCTTTCCAAAACATGGCTTGCACGGCTCGCATGACCTATGATCAACGGAACATACCCCATACCAAGCAGCATTCTGAACTATCTGATCTACAGAAGTATGTGAAAGAGGCTCGACAGACCATTCTGGACCCCATATTCCAACAGCTCGACCTTTCGTGGAACCCAGATGTCATTGAGACGGCCAAAGTACACGCGAGCCACGCCGAGATCAAGAGAGACTTGGAGAGAGACAAAATACGCGAACTGAAGCAGCATAAGATCACGACTTCCTCAGGGTTGACGGTGTCTTCATCGCGTGTCCCCATTGGCCCCGGTGTTTTCATTCGCCGTGATGTCGAAGACGAAAGCATGGATGTGGATATTTCACTCGATGATACCACGCCTTTACTTACAAAACCGACGATAATCATACCACCATTATCGGTGCTCAACCGCAAGGCGTCTCGGGTGCGCCGTCCCACTGCAGAAAAACAAATCGATGGCGGCGGCGGTGGCGGCGATCTGGACTGCGACAATCTCGCTTCTGAACCCTTGCCGAAGTCCCGGCGGAAGCCGCCTAGCGCCAAGAATGATCTCGCACCAGACCCGCCTGCGAAATCCTCGTTGGGGAAACGAACCCGAGGTCCAGGTAAACCGAAGCCCGAGACATACAACCAGGCGTGGTCAGTGTCGGAGCAGCACCTCCTAGAGCGGCTACTGGACGAAATTCCAGAAGGGGAGAAAAATCGGTACTGGCTGTGTATTTTTGGGTTCTTGTTGTCGTCGATACTGATTGATACTTCTTTTGGTACAGGTGGAAGAAGATATCGCAGGCGATGGACAACAAACGGACGCCGCGTCAGGTAGCCAGTCGAGTGCAAAAATACTTTGAAAAATTAAAACGGTTTGGCGTTGGCTGACGCCATATCATCATATCATACAACAATTATATACTATCGCTACTACCCCTAATCTACTACTACGACCATCTATACTCAACAATAAAGCTGTTCATTTGTCCATATACTTACTAGCACCTCTGTGCACTCACGATGGAGGACGTGTGACAACGTGAATTGTCCGAACTTTTGGCGGTAATACCCACTTACACGTATTCATCGTCAGTTTGACCACGTCTACCACCACCTCACCACGCACTCAAGTGATAGCATAAATGGCAGGGAAATTCGACGCGCAGAATGCACAGAATCTCATTGAGGTATGCTGAAAACATATGCATATAATTATTGATTAATCAATGGGGGGCGGTAGATCGAAAAACAGTAAGCACAGACAGGCAAGCACACTAGGAAGTCTCTGAAGATTCACTGGTAACAGGTTCGCTGTCAAAGCCGTCGAGCAGGCCCAGGTAAGCTTGGGCTCTTTCCTTCCCTGCGCTTGGCCGGATCGAATGCCACGTTCTCTCCGCAGGTATACTGGAACCTCCTCGAAAAAATCTCACCACGCCAGCTCCGTCTCACCAAGTACGCGTTGTCACAACCGTTGTCATTCCCCCCCCCTTGACGTCTCCTTCGGAAAAATAGACTCGACGATGAGATATTCGAACACACCCTGAAGGCCTTCCCTGAGATGACTTCGGAGCCGTACGACAAGCTGATCAAGCTCGACGAAGACTGGATGAAGAGCAAAGAAGGCAAGGAACGCTGGCGGGCCTTCATCCAAACGTGAGCAGCTGCTTCTCGCTGTCCGTGTCACTGTCAATAATAACGTTTTGTCGCAGATATGAAAAGAAGGTCAAGGATTACAATTTTGGCTCACTCATTCGGACGGACGCTCGGGAAGAGTATGGCGAGAAGAACACAATTTTCGGTGAGAGGAGCCAACAGATCTGTATGCATTGTATCCATTTCTTATTGTCCCTATGTATCTCCAGTAACCCGCATACAAGTAAGCCCCCGTTCAATCCTCTATAGCACCCTTCTGATCGAACACCCCAGTTCTACGCCATCGAAGTAGGTTTCCTTGTCTTTTTCGTGCTCTAAATCTATTTTTTTACATGGTTACATCAACTTTGTCTAGATTTCCAGGAACAGGCTTGGATTGAACGACGCCGCTCACGAAGTAGCCAAAGTCTCGGCTGAGAAAGAGAGGAGAGCCGAGGAGGAAAAGAAGAAGAACACCAAGTCATCATAAGCATTAACACTGAGTGCGTGCTCGTTGCTTCGTCTTGCTACCGTTCGATGTGCAATGCTCACACGGATCTAATGGTAGGTATATGGATAGTTGAAATGTGTACATCACAAATATTATCTATCTACCCTGTTCCACCCAAAAGACCGTGTATTGTCAACTCCGGCTATCATCGCCTGTCGACGATCCCCCAAGAAGGCCTCGTTAATGGCAACTTCAATAACAGCCCTAGCTGCCAGCAAAGAAAAACGTAACCTTCGACATCCTGAATCTCCCTAACGGGGGAACGGGTGCAGTTTCCTCCAGTCTGCACCCGTACCGTCCTTCACATTCACGGGATCTTCGAATAGCATGTCTTCCGAGTCTAGACGGGCATTTTGTGGATCATCCGATGTGTAAGGATCTTTGAGGCAAAAGCTATGGAATGGAATACCCCGTGCGTGTATCACACGAGCTCCGAAGGGATCTCTTGTGGAAGTTGTTGTATACTTAGGACCAATACCTCTTTTCTGCAGGAAACAATACACGCGGGGCCGATTGTCTGCCTGAGCGAGGGGAAGTGTTTCAAGCAAGGTACAAATTTGTCCAAGTCGGACCAGGACCAGGTGTGCGAGTTTTCTTTGACAGGCTGGAAAGAGGGCATTTCCAAAAGCGAACGTCCCAAGAAGGTTGGATACATCCCGCGTCCCGGGGATAGAGACTAGAGAACGGATTCGATTCGGTGCTTGTTAGCGCCTTGTACGTCTCTGTGTTCAGGGGACGCTGGACTCGCTTTGGTCCGAAGAAGTTAACTTACTGCCTGGGTACTGTTTTTGTGGAGTCTCGCAGACATTGGTTGTCGACTGGTTTTCAAAAAGACATTGCTCGCGGTTTCTTTGCAGGCCCGTTTCTCGGCCAGAGGACTAGGAGTCCATTCAGCTTCTTCATGAGGATCCAATGCTTGTCGCAGTGGCGTATGGCAACGCGAGGAGAGGAGGGTCCGTCTCGGATCTCCTCATAACACATCAGAGAAGGATATCTCGATGGGCACGATGACAACCGCCTTACCTCGATAAAATTTTCATTTCCAAATCGTCTCACTAGCGGCACAGCGTCGGGATTGCCTCGTATGCCGCCATCACGTGATCAGCGTCGGTCTCCCCGCCCTGAGCTCAGAACGAACAGCGAACATTCATCTGTTGCCAAAACAGATCGACATGGCTGGCGCATTGGTAACAGGACGAGGATCCCTTCTCCGATGGTATCGTAAAATCCTGTATGACATTGAGTTTCTAGGGCGTATTGATTTTGGTCCTTCGTGTACCTTTCAATCGGAATATCCTTTACAGGGTCAATTCTTGTTCGGACACTGGAGAGGGTCATTGTATTCGTGTAAATAGACTCGTCAGCTGGCAGGAGTAAAGTATCCATCAATTGTCCAACTTACTACGACTTACAGAGCCGACGGAGAAGGTTATCCTTCTCCTGACAGACGCCTAATTGCAGGTGCATCTTTCCATTTGGGAGTTCCTTTCGACTTGTCGGCTACAAGGATTTTCCAGGACAGACAGTGAGAAGTTCGTTACAAGGGGATTGGCTTGTGAGCCTAGCGACGAACAAGAAACTGTACCTGGCGCTTGCCAGGGGACCTTAAGAGACATTCGCGAGAAAAACAGATCACGCGAAGCTTGCATAGGCCCGGAGTGTTCATCGGGCCTTGATCAGACAAGTTTTGCTTGACAGTTACAATTACCAGGATAGCACATATGGCGAGAAGGAGTTGCTGTGAGAACGACCAGTCAAGTCTTGGCAATCATTGAACCCCACGACGGCAGCTTGCTGAACGGGACAAGTAGACCGCATATTGACCTCTCGGTCTGTATTTGCCGTGACGATGTTACATGCAATCATAGAGGTAACAGTAGGGCATAACGGAGGCAGAAGAGAAAAGAAAGGTCGTATATTCGGACCGTTTACTTCTTTTGCTGCGACTTGATCACCCTCTTGACAATCTTAGCCTCCTCAACCAAGAATGCCCGGAGAATCCTAAGGAAAGAAGGATGAGAACAAGCAATTGGTTTCAGCATTAATACAACGCACCGTGACTTGACACATTCTCCACATCTCGAACCACCGTATGCCCGGCGCACAGTCTTTTGGCGCTTGGAGATCGTAGCATACTGGCGAGGCCTCAGAGCCGGAACCTAGAAAGAATGATTGAATGATTATTTTGCAATTCCATATCGACGAGGAAACGTACACCAGGGAGAGCGATACCACAGTCACCGCACTTGGGCGCTGTTGCAGGCTTTTTGAGGTGGTGGTAAACGAGCTTTCCACCGGGGGTCTTCACAACGCGTCGGCGGTTCGAGGTGGTGTTGTAGGGTTGTCTTTTGCGGAGAGTGACGCGTTGGGCCATTGCAGAAACTGGAAGATAGTACTCGTCAGAACTGATACTACAACAGCCCGAGAAAAATTTGTCTTTTCCCGGTAGCAGAACTAAAGCATTGCACTCACTTTGACCAGGTTATGTCTATAGTAAGGGTATTAGAGTCAATAAATTCGTTAATGAAGCAGCAAAAAATCTCACCTTGTTCTTGAGGACGTCGATGCCGGTGACGGACTGAATTGGGCAGATGGGTGGCTGAACGAAACTGCACAGTTTTACGGCAATTCCCGGGCACGTGACTGAACCCAGTCTGATGCCAATCAAAGACAAACTTCGTCCTCTCCTTTTGGAGTTCATCGTTTGATCTTGAAGCTTCCCCGGCAACTCTTCGGTTTTGGCATTTCTAGAGCTTTCACGGTTGCTCTGGCTTATCGTCCGCTTCCAATCAAAACACTGGTCTAGACCTCATTGCCCGGCCCGGGGTTCCCTTGCTTAAACATAGGTATTACTTCGCTATGAGCAGGATCCACCGGCCTCTCGTTTGTTCTAGCATGGAAACTGTGATATGTCAAATTCCGAGCATATGCCTGAAACCCTCTACCAACGGTTCATAGTCGGCTATCTTTGTACTTGGCCTAGTCAGACGACGCGGTTGAAACAACAAACTTCCAATGTATTCAAGCAACGAGCTGTATCTTGTCTATGCCATGCGCTAGTTTTGTGGGATAAGCATCCGGTACTGCTCGCGAACAATCCCATCGCCTTTGAAAAGCGTTAAACTATAAAAGTGAATCATCATGGTAGGGGACACTCGACACACTTTTCAATCTTAAGGGTCGACAGTCTGTCATGATTCTATCAGTTTTTCTTCTGGCAGCGGCGACTGTTACCGGCGTATCTGCCTATGGTTATGTTCCTCTTCTCAAGATTGGCAATGATTATATTCCTGGTTGGGACATCACTAAAGGTATGCGTATACAGATCTTTCTTGCCGCACTCACAAACGCCTCCCAGACCCCTATACAACGCCACAGGTCTGGCTTTCCCTATGATATTTCTTTATCCTCCTAAGTAAATAATACCGACCAGCCTTTGCGCGTCGTTCGCGGGACGAAACTAGTAAGCGCTAGAGCCTTGTGCACCTTTCAATAGATATCAATTTGTTAATCATCCAGGACTCTGGCTACATCGCTGACGTTACTTCGAATGACATTACTTGTTCTATCGGAAACTCTGCTTTACCTCCCGTAAGTCGCAATGCACCATCATTCGCTGCCTGCTGAATTTGAGCCCTCTATAGGGTCATATATCCGCTAATATTACCGGAGGCCAGGTCCTGAGAGTAATGTAGAACACCTGGCCGCTTGGACACTATGGTCCTGTGCTCAACTACATGGCCAAATGCGACACAGATAATTGTTCGACATTCAAGGGCGATACAGGGTCTCCGTGGTTCAAGGTAAACCCATTGTATCAATACAACAGAAGCCCGTCTCAACACCTCTTGCAGATCCAACAAAGCGTCTTTGAGAACGGAGAATGGGCTTCGGATACGCTAGCCAAGAATAACTACACATATGACGTGACTATTCCTAAGAATATCAAATCCGGCAGCTACTTGTTAAGGCATGAGAACCTCGCTTTGCATGAGGGTGCTAGTCTAGGAGGGGCTCAGTTCTATCCAGGTAAGCAGTACACTATATCCGCCCAGATCGTACAATCTGACAATATATTCCCTTATTCGCAGATTGTATACAGCTTACAGGTATATATTTCCACCTCATCTATACAAATAGTTTCTGTTCTCATATGGTCGACAGTAAGCGGTGGCGGATCTTTGGCGCCCTCCGGATTGAGCTTCCCGGGGACCTACACGGTAAAAACATAGTCACCCCAAAACTCGAGAATTGCAGTGCTAATTCATACTTATCAGGCGACGGACCCTGGCATCCTTTTTAACGTGTACCTAGGCGACGCTTCGAACGAGGCCTATGTCCCACCTGGTGGAGATGTTTACCCTGGGTTGAACTGAACGTTCGGGCAGGGTTTGTGAGATCTTCACACAAATTTGTACTATGCTATGCAGCCACATTCATTCCGAACCCTCTCGGGGGTATTCACAGTGACGCCGCTCTATGATGGAAACAAGGGACGTGGATAATGAAAAATTAAGCAAAGCAACTGGGACGAAAACAAAATTAGTCTCGCGGTCGGCCGCAAGCGAATGGAAAGCAGATATAGAAGGGTCCATGAACGCATTCAGAGGTGTTCATAAAATCGGTGTATCTACGATTGTGATACGGCGTAACAGCCTAGTAATATATTGTAAGTAGCCGGTACAGCAACTTGATCCAAGTAGCAGCCTGGTTAGTTGACATTGGACCCTCTAGCCTCAGGTCATTAAGCGGTGCATGTCTATAGTACGCATATGACTGTCTGCAGCAATCATCAGGTGCGGGGTCACAGGAGATTTCTGAAATGAATTCAAAATGGGGCGCTGAAAGATGGGCGTCAAGTTATATCGAACACCCGTCGACAGCCGCTAGAACGAGCGCGCCAAATGTCCTGCATCATGATTCATCATATGCAATCACAGGTCTAGACTCTAGAACCGGTATCATACAATACATCAGTCAACAAACGCCTCTGCATTCCAGATTACCCTTCGACTTACTTTCCTTTCCGAAATTCTGCATCAGATGTACTGTATTGAGCGGTGAGCGATGATTGACTAACCCGAAGTAGGAGGGTTGGAGGTGAATTGAAATCCCTTAAACAAAAGATTTGCTGTGTGTCGAAACACAGCGCCACCATCACCTTGAGAACGGGGCAATCTGTCAGGGTTCGGTGAGGTGCCCGAGCTGAATCAAGTGTGCCCCTGGTGTCTTATACGTGTTCACATGTTAGTAGGTCCTCTTTCATTGTTGTTTTACCAATTCCGACGGGAAACACGTCGAGAACTTGACCACGCGTCGAGTCAATAGATGTAAAATCAGGAAAGAAGAAGAGGGATCGCATTTGAAATCTGGAGACTTAAGCAGGGAAGTTATGCCGACGCAGTCCATCAGGCGTCGTCGGTGACGGGATCGAGGCCGAGGTCAGCGTCATTTAGAGTTTCCGTTTTCTATGAAAGTATTGCCATCATTGTCATCATTTAGCGGTACGAAGTTGCCGGCGCCAGAGTTCAACAGATGGTCGAGAGGGTAAACAAACGTGCCTTCTGCTCTGTTTGGCCCTTTTCATTACCGGGTTGATGATGAACAATGTACAGTGGCGTATGGACTAGCCCAGTTAAAAGAACAACCTAGGGAAGATTTTGCGCGGGAAAGAGGTTTCTCATTGGGTGTGCGCCAATAATCCGGCGGGGCGACGAAGAAGCCACCTTCTGAAGGGACCTTAAACAAGCCACAGGAACCACCTGCAAGGCGAACTTACCGATTGGTGAAGCAGACAACCGCGTCTTCGGGTCACTTTCCGTAGTGAGTGTGGGTCGACCAACTGTTAAGGATTTCAATAAGCTGCTGCGTATGTCGCGTCGCCTATAATTTCACAATACAAGTCAGCCCTTGTTTTTTTCATGGTTCAGTTTGTCTTGTGGCAAGCTATCATCCTTGCGCGTGTTAGGATACATCGATTGAAGAATCCGGAGTAAGATGGTTTCTACCCATTCTACGATCGACAGTTGGCAGTCAGAGATTTCAAGCTGAGATGCCGATTGGGACCTACAGTGATTCGGATCCGATGTTGGTGTTGATGAGAGCATCGGGGGCGTTGGCCTCACCATCTCCGACGAACGTAGCCCAAGCAGCTGGACACCGAGTCGGAGGAATTAGCAGATTTGGGTCGTTATCTTAGCGATGCTCGTGGTATTTTACCGAATCTCTGGATATAGGGTAGATCGATGAGTAGGCGGTAGTAGGGCGGTAAGGACTAACAGACGGGAACATCATGGGAACGCGTTAAGAACGTGGTAACAACCTGTTTTTGGTCACGTATGTCGAAGATGACTTGGGATGGTGCGGGTTGCACTAAATGTCCGTCGCTCTGAGTCATGTGTAGACAAGAGGACATTGCCCTCGTCACGAGGTTATCCTAAAGTCCGCCAATTATACCATCTCTTTTGAGAAATGAGAATCCCTACGAAGGATGTTGCAGAGAAGAGCCACGGTCCGTGATCTAAGGTCATCTGCATAACAGAAATACTTGTCATGAGAGCGATGTGGGGCCCGAGTTGTGGTCATATTCGATATCTGAAAAGTCGACTGCGGCAGTAGTGACAGGAGAGATCTGTGGTTGACGGGGACCTTTGAATATATTCGAATGCCAAATCGAGAACCCGTATTGGAAAGCCTGGTAAATCGTCCCAGTTTCTTGATCCACTCCAACGAGACTGGTAACATGAGTTCAAGCAGAATAGTATTCCAGCAAGAAAGGTACCCCAAAGTCGTTCCAGATACAGTAGCAATTAAACACGCAGCAGTCAGAACAAAGGTTGGTCGGAACCGTGCGGAGACAGCGGCCAGCAACAAGAAACTTCTCACAGTCCGGGCCGATGACGCGTTTCTGGCCGCCAAGTCGCCGCATAGTACTCCTGCAGCTGAAGAGAATTCATTTCCGCTCAAATTGATATCTGTTACTCTGGAAACACTTTCAGAGCTTTCTATCGAACTCCCGAGTGTGAAGGGAGTGCAGTTCATGCCGCATCTAAAGTACTGCATGTTGACCTTAAGCTCACGCTTCATAATGCGCTGAAAGAAAGACTCCGTAGCCTAGTAAGTAGTATAACTGCACGCTTGAACTCCTCGCCCAGCGTCTCGAAATGTTCCCTCTGGTGGCGAACAGACATCAGATTTTGATGCTTCCTGGCGTGCTTCACGAAGTTGTGAAATGCCATTAAGCGCCCTGGACGGCTAATTTTAGAAGGTAAAAAATTTGGACGGCGTGAGGATAAATGAATATCAGGCGCGGGAGAACCCCAATCCTGTAGGCACCTGGACCATTCTCAGAGTAAATTTTAAGGGTAAGAAAAGAAAGGATTATATGTTCATGTTATTATGCACGTCATTGTGCTAACTACTTCGAAAGATCATCATACAAGGCACTGGTTACTCCTCGAGGTTAGCAGTCGAGGGCAGTTTCCGGACTGGGAAATTGTACGGAGACACAAGATGGCGGTATATTTAAACCCTTTAAAGTGTGGCGAGCATATAATGATCATCTTCTGTCAATAAATAAGAATCAGATAGATACCAGATAGAGAAAGGCCAACAGTGACTGCACGGTACCATCAGTGGATGGTAGACCTGATGAGTTGGATGCCGTTCTAAAATCGCAAACCAACGCTGGCCTTCTTTGCGCCATGTGTATGCGTCTCCGATAGAGGAGGCCGCCCGTATCAAGAGCCTCCATCAAAGATCAACCTAGGGGTGTGAGGGTGTTAGACAATAGCCACAAGACCGAGCAAATGAATCTTCCTTGTATTCTGTCGAATTCATTGGCGGCTAGGACCGGATGAGATTCCTGCATGTAACGCATAATCGGAGACATACTACATGGTGTGAACGATCAAACTTACCTGGATCCTGAGAATAATCTTGAAGGTGCCTTCCTGTAAGCGATACTGTTCAATCCATCTTCGATACATATTTTTTTTCCAAACCATGCCTTGGAGTGCTGAAAGACTCAACTCAACGGTATGCTTAGTTGGCGAGCACCATAGGAAACAATACCTCACGCGGGTAAGGTTATTGTTGCAGGAATGAAGGGCTAACTCCGAGTGGAGTAATATCGCTTCGCAAACTACACCTGGCGGTGGCACCATGGAAATGAGCGTGTTCTTGTTCTTCTCGAACGTGTCATTAGCGTGGTTTTGGAGCACGAGAAGGACCCTAGTGCCTACGGGCAGATATGTAGATATTTCATTTCGGATGAACTTGAAGGATGGAAGGGTCTCTATTCAGCATACTTTCCAGAGGGTGGGTAATAGCCAAAAGCTACACGAAGTCCAAGAAGCGGCCAGAGGTCACTTCCTGACCAATAACGTTAACTATTCGTCGGTTTGACAAATGGCCAAGCCCCGGAAAGTTTGGTACCTGGGCTTCAGTCTACCCGAATCTTGATGTAAATACATGATAGTGACTTGAGGGAGGGGGTCATCCAGATGCTGCTTATTTCTCATGTACTTGTGGAGACAAGTCACAAGAGGCCGCTCTTTCGACAAGGCGAAAAGGCCGATTCCGTTCGAAGCTCCACTGCATCGATAACAACAATTACCAGTTTCTGATGTAATCAGGGCTTAGCCTGCCTGCTAGAAGAGGACACGACTGCCGTCGTCTTAGTCTAAGTCATGAGTAGGGCCTGATGACCATGCCCAAACAACACGCGATCATTTGCTTAGTTTAGTCACGTCACGGTCCGTCACGTGACAAACGTGACCTTACGCGTTCCAATGCCGGGCCGGTTCGAACTTGCTAACAACTTTTCCAAATGACATTCCAAGCCTGCATCCTACTTTCCTGGTCTGCCTGTCTATCCATCTCTGACTTATCCTTCTTGTGCATTTGATGACTAACACTTCACTGGCGGTTTCTCGAGGCTTTTCTTACCTGCTGTTCTTATCCTCTCTTATCTTCACTTGGCTTTTCTGTAAACTGACTTCAGAGAGATTCCGGCGCTTTATCAAAAGTCTCTGGGACTTATCTCTTATCGTTTGTTTACACGAGATATGGAAAGAAGCATTCTTCGCACTATACCTGGACGTGTCTTATCTACAAGGCTGTTAGTAACCGAGAAGCATAGGCATCCAAGCCTTCGTTCCGATAGAGGCAGCCCTCAGCGATAAAACGTGTGGGAATGCATACGTGCGCTTGATCTGGTCCGTGCTCTTGTTGCGTAAAGAGAATATTCTTGATGGTCACCGCTGGAGTCGGCTGCTCGCAATGGGCGATGCGAAAGCGGCCATCATCGAGTCTATCTTAAGTACTTACCGGCCGTGATGCTAAGAGTCTATCTGTCCCTCAACAAAAAATAGTCTTGTGATTGACACCTATCACCGATACTCACGGAAATCCCATGTCGTCTTCCATTGATCCACAGAAATATCTTTGGACTGTCAGCAGGCCGACGTTCACTAAATAACTGCTGTGAGAAATGCCTGAGGTGCAGCAGAAGACATTGGGAGACGATAAGCGCTACTCTCAAGTGAATTTGAAGGGCCAATCGATATCTCTGCCTTCTGCCTTCTGCCTTCTGCCTTATCCCCCAATTAGAAGCCAGCATGTAAGTGTGTTGCTGCCTAGTTTTGATACGTTAACTAACGATAAGACCATTGTCATTGTTAGCGTGCTTCGAACTATTCTCTGAATCCATTAGGAATTAACGGGTCCCCGAGCATGCTACGAGTGGCGAGACTTTCACCTTGCATCCCGTGAAGCCAAGGGACGAAATATTGCAGTCTTTACCTCGTAAGTCTCTCGAAGTCGTGAGATTTCTACGTCTTGTACGAATGATAACTTTATACAAACAGTGTATTGTCCTCACACTACAATATAGCAATCGTCTCACTGCGAACGACCTTCGTAATAGAGATCAAATGCCTGCCGATTGTGACGGTCTTCCTTCTGAAGTTGGTTGAAGCCCACGACGGAGCTCCTGCATCATGCCATGGAGACATATCTACCCGGATTCTTTAGGCAGGAGCATATATATACTCGATGTGACCTCTTCGAAGTCCCAGATTTCTTCACATGGCCAGCGCACTCCTGAACAAGATCTACGCGTTACTTTACGGCAGTTCGTCCTTGCCAGAACCTCCGCAGTATGTATTCCCTCCCGCTACCACAGCAGACTGTACGTTTGCTTTTTGCTAGGCGCTTATGACTATCTACTGATCATTGCATTGTCTCAGTGGAATATGCAGATCTCGCCATAATCGACCTTTCCAAAGCGTCGACTGAAGCCGGCCGAGCTGAACTGACTGCTCAAGTACGCGAGGCAATGAATACGCAAGGTCGGTGGTGAAAGGCATTTCCCTATGTCGCTTCTTCCAACATTTTACAGGATTTTTCTATGCGATTAATCATGGATACACCCCGGAGCAGGTACAACTATCCATATCTGCGTGAAATGTGGCCAAAATTAAATTGTTATAGACTGCTCGAATTTTCAGCATAGCGAACATGGCCTTCGACAACGTCGACGAGAAGGAAAAGGAACTCTATGCTGGAAAGTCCCCCGATGTCTATTTCGGATACAAGCCTAAGCAGACTTGGGTCCGTCGGTTTTAATTTTCCCAGGCAACAGTACTAACTTTTGTTACAAAGGTCATTCGCAACGATGTACGCGATCAAATTGAACAATACAATAGTTTGTCGTCTTCCACCCCTTGATTATCAACGTACCGCTGATATATAGCACTACGATAGTCAACAAGTCGAATAAGCAAGAGCACCCGGCGGCGCTTCGCCCGTATTCGAAATACCTCGATGACTTTGCTCGACACAACCATTTCAACGTCGTCTATCCCATCTTGAAGTATGTCATCATCATTATCTGGAGTACGTTGCTGAATATTGTGCCTGTAGACTCCTTGCTCGAGGATTAGAGCTTCCGGAGGATACCTTGATCAAACAACATCAATTCGATGCGGAAGGAGAGTCCTCAAGTGCGCGCTTTTTTTTCTCACACATGCACGTACTGATCGTACATACGTCCCTAGTGAGATTTATGAAGTAGTACGTTTGCTACGGACCCATTCGTGTGTTCATTTTCTCATGTCATGTCAAGCTTTCCCCGTAGCAAGGAAGAGGAAGAGAAAACGGAGCGTGTGTGGCTAAAGGGCCATCATGGTGCGCTTACCTCGTGTTATGTGGTGCGAAAGGGTCACTAAATTCCTTAGATATCGGCTGCGTAACCGTGCTCTGGTCTCAACCCATCGGCGGCTTGCAAATCTTATCTCCTGACGGCAAATGGAGGTGGGTCAGACACATGGACAACGCTTTGGTCTGTATTATTCTCGCTTGTTTTACACCAGCCGAAGCTGATTAGAGAATGTCAATCAGGTCATTAACGCGGGCGACGGTCTTGATTTCCTGTGCGGAGGATATTATCCACCGACTCGCCACCGTGTCATCCAGCCACCTGCCGATCAGAGGAATTGTGCTCGTCTTGGAGTATTCTACTTCTGCTTTGCCGATGAAGATGTTCAGCTCGCCCCGCACACTGAGAGCCCTGTCTTGCGGAGGGTTGGTATCAAGTCCCAATTGAAGCCTGGAATGGTCGCACCGACTATGAGGGAATGGAGATCAAGCCGCGTGAAGTCTTATGGACAGGTACAGTTGACGGAGGGAGCTGAGAAAGGTGTCGAAGAAGAGGTCGTATTGGGTGTGGTTGTGAAGCATTACAATTAGCCTCTTGCCGACAAAGAACGACTCCATGTATTAAATTCCTTGTTCGATCACGTTGAATACTACTTACAGATATGTACACCAAATGTTGAAATTTTTTACCAAGAAGGTAGTTGATGAAACCAGTAGCGGAAAACGAGTCGGATGCAGTGGGCAGACGTGAAGGCTATCTTCCGACAATTCATGGTGTCTAGTCGACCACCCATTGACCCCAAAGAATCAGCCAATTATGAATAAAGGAGCACTACGGCCGATGGTATATTCCTATAGAAATAATTCGTAACTTTGGGATAACGTAGGAAGGATTCACCCATGGATGCTCAGGAAACTTCAGCTCTACGGGCCTAGCCTGATCGAGTCCTCCAGAGTGGCGAGAACCTGAGTATGTCCATCCGAACATTAAAGAAAGGAATGGGTGCTCACACCTTTCCGGCTATTACATCCTTTGTTCAAGCTAACTGCTAGAAAGAATACGGTTTATCAGAGCAGATGCAATGCTATTCGAGTTATCCAGGCTTCCACTTATCGGAGTCTCTAGTCATGAACATTATGTGAAAGGGAAACGTCTCACACAAACAGCTCAAGGAAGCAAGAACTCCAAAGCAAATGATGAGGGACCAAGCAGACTTTGACATAATGACTCGGAAGGTCGATCGTCCGGCGTAGTCGCATAAGGGCCGGTCAATCTCGCATACGTCAACATTCTGCATACTGGTGTTTACTCGTGTACTTGTCTTAGCCTCTCAGTGGTTCTTTATCAATACAGGGCGCCAAACAGCTCATAGATGAAGAACTGGCTGCCAGCGCTTCTGCCCTCCGAGTCGAACGGACGGGTAGGGACGGGTGTTTTTCGTCTTGGCTTCGGGAACCGCTGGTATCACATGCAGCTACTGTTCTCCAGTATTCAATACCTAGGCCTTCTGCTTCCTGAGGATCGTATGCTTCATTTCCCAGCTCCTTCTTTATCGGGGCTTTTCTGGCTAAGTACCGCTGTTCACACACCTTCAGGCGCTATTCTTATTCAACCCAGGCGAAAACGAGTGTCATCACCCATATGCCGAATTTCATGCTAAATACTTAAGCAAGTGCAGAAAATAATGCTGGATGTGTTGGGCTATCTATGTATTCCCTTTCCGTCTTCGTCAAATGGACTGTTGATAATGCGGGCATTATGAGTTCTTCTGTACCTTCGAGTTTTCCCTTGGGGTTGTCCGACGGGAAGCCGTTATTCGATTCTCCATTGAGGCTCAATATGACGGACGTTACCCGAGGAGATATCCCTGCGTCGCCGCCAAAGCTTACCGTGGAAATAGCAAGTGACTACCTTCTCAAGTGGGTATACTCAGGCCTGTCCTCTGTGTGCTAAGCTTGATCAAAGCGCTTATATATGCAGAAAAGTGAATCTCATACGACCTAAACTTTCGGCATGACCAATACTCAATGGCCTTTATCACAGCCTCCTCTATACGCATTTTCGAACGTTACACGCGAGGAATGTGCGTGTTCATCAGCTGGTCCTAGTTCAAGTTACTGCAGCTTATCACTCATTAGTGGAATATGCGGAGCTTGCAATCATCGATATTTCGAAGGCGTCTACCGAAACTGGTCGAGCAGAGCTTGCCTCCCAAGTGTACCAGGCTATGAACCAGCAAGGTTTGAATGGCGCGAGTGCATCATTCAGTTCCTTTACACAACTTACAGGGTTTTTCTACGTCGTGAACCATGGCTACACCTCAGAGCAGGTGCGAGTGTCACATTTATTGGATGACATCCTATAATTTGATCTGGGAAGACTTCCAGAATCTTCAGCATTGCGAAGATGGCCTTTGACGATGTTGACAAATCAGAGAAGGAATTATACGTCGGGAAGTCTACCGAGGTCTATCAGGGATATAAACCGAAGCAGACCTGGGTCTTTCCGTCATCATCAGCGTCGAAAATGCATGCCAATTCTTCTCTGATAGCTCATCAACAATAACATCCGTGACCAAATCGAGCATTACAATAGTTTGCTGACCTTTGCCCTTGACTTCGACGTTAGACTGACATTAGCGATGTCAGTCAATAAATTAAACAATCAAGAACATCCAAAGATACTTCGCCCTTTCTCGGAATATCTGGATGATTTCTCCCGGCACAGGCCTCACAGCCATTACAATGTTGTCCATCCTATTTTGAGGTACATGATTTTCACAATTCTGGACTGCCTCTACAATATACTTAGGTTTACAGGCTACTGACTCGGGGATTGGAGCTTCCGGAACATACCTTAGTCCGTCAGCACCAATTCGACGCTGAAGGAGAATCTGCAGGTTTGGGTTATCATTTTCAATGCAACCTTAATGCTGAAGGTTTATACGATCCTATTAGTTCGATTTATGAAGTAGTACGTCAAGTGCGCATATAACTCAACGCCATTTTTTCACGGAATCTCAAGTTTCCCTCGCACAGAAGAGGAAGAAGCAAAAACAAGGCATGTGTGGTTGAAGGGACATCATGGTATTTTTTTCTGTGATGAAACGTGAAACGAATCGACCTGACGCTCTAGATATCGGATGTTTAACCGTCCTCTGGTCTCAACTTGTCGGCGGCTTGCAAATTTTATCCCCCAATGGCAAATGGAGGTGGGTTAAGCATATAGACAACGCGCTGGTGAGATTCACACTTATCCTGGAATTCATTCCAAGCTGATCAAAGAACACCAGGTTATAAACGCGGGAGATGGACTGGACTTTTTGTGTGGGGGTTATTATCCTCCCACTCGCCATCGAGTCATCCGACCACCCGCCGATCAAGCAAAATGTACTCGCCTTGGAGTATTCTACTTCTATTTTGCGGATGATGACGTCCAACTCGTTCCGCACGCAGAAAGTCCCGTCTTACAAAGGGTAGGTATTAAACAGTTTCTGAAACCTGGTGACGTTGCTCCGACTATGAAGGAATGGAGAAAGAATCGAGTCAGATCGTACGGACATACAAAGCTGACAGAAGGAGCTGAGAAGGGCACAGAGGAGGAGATCGTATGCGGTGTCGTCGTAAAGCATTATACTTAGACATATCTCGACTCGAGCAGCCAACTACATGCAATCCAGTTCTCAAGCACTAATCGTAAACAGAATTTAAACAGAATGCAAAGGTTCCTTGTTGATTACCTGACGAAATATCTCCAGGGATGCCGCAGGCTGAAAAGCGGGCTAAGTAAAGTGTTATCAGAAAATGCGTCGCGAAAACAAGAAGAAATTTTTCATACAACTTCATGGCCTGCTTCATAAACTCGTCTATAAGTCACAACATAAGATGATTATGTAGGAAAATACGAATAATTAGACACTTACGCAAAGGAGAAATTCCCAACGTTCTGGACTGCAGCAACTGCAGTTCCGTCAATAGTCATATTCGTAAACGGTGTGTTCGCTAGGGCTTCCTTTCCAGACCAGTCCATAGCGAGGACAGACGCGTGTCCTCCCAGCCAGTTGCAGCTGGAAAGAAATCAATTTATCTTCCAAAACAAGAGAACAAATGACCATACTTGATATCAGCATCACCCGCCCAAATCAGCATGTTGAGCCCCGAGTCTGCCAATGCGGCCAACTGAGGTAGAAGTGTCCGTGCGTCCTATCGATTGTTCAGATTTACCGGGCGGCGCGTTTTGATTGATATAAACTCACATCTCCTGTTCGAACGAACAGCTCGAAAGGAGCGTCGGCACATTCAGAATAGTCGCTTGTGGCGCCGATCCTTTCTTTGATCGTCGTGTTACTCAAGAAGTCAATGTAAAAGCTGGGAGGGAAGAGAGCAGAAGAGTTCTGCCTGAGGTCGTCAGAGTCACGATCACCGACTGCGGGAACAAAGATGTTTTCAACCTAATCGTTTGTTATGAACCAACGGAAGGGCAAAATGAGACGACGTGGCATACACAGAAATTGTCAGCGGTGCGACAGATCCTGTTGGAGCTGCTCGAATCTCCCGCTGCGTAGCATGCTTGCTCTTGTTCCAAGCATCCGCCTGCCTTAAAGTACGCGGTGTTCATCTCTTGGAGCACTCGATCGCTTTGCAGCTGCCCATATCCGGGAGCATCCGTAGCAAAATCTATGTAGGCCTTGTTTTGAATCAGTGGGTCATACCAACCGCTATGAAGAGGTCTTAGAAATATCCTGGGATTAAGTACAAGAAGCTTACTTGTTGATCATCAAGGCGCTAACGACGATCTCGACCCCTTCAATTGCCCCTTGCTGAATCAAAGCGTTTTGTTGATCGAAGTAGGTAACGAAAGCTGGCCCATAATGACCACCGTAGCTTTCAGTGGCGAAGATAAATCTGGAGAGAGTAAAACAGACCCAAAGTAGAACCTTCATAAATCAACTCACTCTCTACTTTCGAATTTCGAAAACTGTCCACTCTCGAATAGAATCTGGAATGCCGTCCAAACAAACGGGGCCGCCGACAGTGTACTGTTAACGGTGTCGGTCCCAAAAGAGAAACCCGTCCCGATGGGTTGATCGATGTAAATCACTACAGCGCGTGTAAGAGGAGTCTGAATATATAATGTGAGAGCGTATTCACTATTGCTAAGGTTGTTCCAACTTTCGGATGCATTTAGTGTATAAATAGCGAAAATCGAGGGAAATAAAACCTGTATGGGTTAAGGACAGTGGTTGCACCATCAGGGTTCACAAGGCAGGGCCCATGTTCTGAAATGTAACACGTGAAAATACTTACACAGATGATGGCGGTCATATAGTACTATACCTTGGAAAAGGCCAATCATCGACGAGCATCCTGGGCCGCCGTTCAGCCTGTTGTTGGTGAATTTAAATGACTGCTCCAAGTAATCATGCTTCATTGACTGACCATAAGGTAAATGGTGCTGTTTCCGGCGACTCTCGGGCCTCAAAAAACCAGAACCACTGTTTTGGATTTCAGCAGATAATCTCGGGGGGAAAAAGAGAGGTCAGACCATTGACATGTTCGTTCCAACGTCGATGTATCCGGAAACCTGATGGACCCCAGCGGTTGTTTCGCAGACGCCTGAATCTTCCACATAACGGAGTTGAACGTCCCCAAGAATGTTAGAATTGAAGCGCTTGTGGATGGTAAAATCTGTTCCCACCGAGGCGGGAGTCGCGTTAACTTTGATACATAAGAGCAGAAAGAGCAATGACATGAGAGGGAAGAACAGTGCAGACATGGCAAATGAGCGCACGAGAAACCCTGTATGCCGCTTCACACCATGCATAGGCAATAAGTAGGTGTGCCATGGGCAACCAGGCCGATAGACCGCATGGTGCAGTATAAAATCAGGCTATTAATAGACACGCGAAGCCAAGATTACCACGTTCCGAGTTCTATGAAAATGCCCATTAAACTTCATGAGGCAGGACGGGTCTGGTTTCTATCGTTGAAGCGATGGTTTGTCTTTTATCGAGGACTTTGGCTGCGGAAAAGTATGCGCATTCATAGGAAGGAGATAGAGTCGGCCTCTTCGTGGCCGGTGCCTTGGATGCTTTGGTCTGCTTTGTCCCTGGAAGAACTTGGGAAAAACGCGATAAGGAATCACAAGAATTCGAATTACTGGACCTAGACAATTTTAAGACACATATAACTCTTGCTAGTCAAATATCTCAACCGACCTTAGCTCAGTTGGAAGAGCGTCAGACTGTAACGGATAATTAACATCTGAATGTCGCCTGTTCGAACCAGGCAGGTCGGACTCTTTTTAATCGACAAGCTTCATTTAGTTTTGGACGTGAGGAACGTTTTTAAACAAACAGCGGAGGCCTAGGAGCAATGGAGGAAGTAAGGACGGAAGGGATGCATTGGCCGATCGTCTGATCGTAAACATTGACAAGCGATCGATCGGCGTAAGACTGAGTAGCTCTGGGATATTTTAACTATGACACTACTCATTTGTAGATAGTATGTTATGTAAGTACGAGGCATGGAATCAATATCAGCAGAGATAATAGAACAGCACCCGGTATGCATCATAAGAAATAGGCGGCACTTGAAGTAAGAAGAGCGAACCACCATCCGCGATATAAAACCGGCCATCCTTCTTCATCCCAGATTCGGGTTACACAATCTATCACTCCAGTATAAGGGTCCTCGACTTGTTCATCTCTCAGCCTAACAACCGTCTCCCCTACCGCCGAATTTTCTTCAACTTCTCTTGTAGCATCACTTCCTTGTACCGCCAAACGTGTGGCGATCATGTTCAGAGGTGTAATCATGATCGTGAAAACGATCTCCAGGATGTAATACAAAGCCAGGGGCAGGTTGCTAATGGGATATGCCAAATTATTCGACCAGGTGAGCATGAGGGCTTTTATGGGCCCAAATACAGCGCTGGCGACTGTAATAATCGCCGTTACTGAAAGGAGGCCAGAAGGAAATAACGTCGGAAGAAGCAATGCATTCCAAGACCCTATAGGGTCGAGAAAACTCAAGTTATACGGTGTCACCATGGAACTATTACATGCAGGTATAGAGATTAGCACAACGTTTTTCAGTAAGCGAAAATCATACCGATAAACGATGACTCTGTACGGAACACCCAGGATGATAGACAATAATGTGACCACTACAGTCTTGACAATGCCGAGTGGAAGAATCTGAGGAACACCTCTTCGAACATTAGGTTCATAGCTTGTGAACAATGCCATTCCAAAGCGGACGCAAAGAAAGCTGAACAATAGAGGAACTGAAATTTCGTGGTTAATAACGTACTCGAGAGCATAAAATTATGTCTACCATATCCCTTGAAGAACCCTCTCCAACCCTAATATACGTCTGGTCAAAAGGTACAGGAAAAGGAAGTCGTGTCTTCGTACCTCAATTCTATATATCCGCCTCGCCGTACCCAAGTATGTGTACGTGAAGCCTACATGATAATTAGACCAAAAATTGAAAAACTGAAACAGTTTCTGCACACGTTGGTGCAGCATTCTCTTCGTCAAGGGCGATTCGACTCTTGGGAGTATAATTCGCTCTGAATCGCACAAGAATGCCTGTCAATGGTACGGTAACAGCCAGCGAAATAGCCAAAGCAGGTAAAGGTAGAGGTACAACGAAGACAGCCGCCATTGTGATGCTCTGGCTTGTATCAGTTGTGGTGGTTTTAAGCGAAAAAGAGACGCCGACGGGAAGAGATCAGCAACCCTTAAAACAAGCATAGCCTTTCATTGTATTAGATTGTATTGCGGGAATTCGGTGATAATAATCGCAGTCGAAGCAGGCCAAGGATCACTCAAACACTGACTACATCTGTCTTCAAATTCACCGATGAAATTTTATTTACCGGTTGTAGATGAACATGTAACCAACATATTCTATAACAGAATTGTCAACGACGATGACGAAAGGTCGCGCCTTCAGAGATGATAAAATCGATCTTATCTTTGTTGTAATCATCGGGAATGACGGTTAGGTTATTGCCATTTAGTTGAATTAACACCTGTGTGGACTGTTATAGCACAGCTCGATTACGTGGCATGGAAACGAGCGCTACCTGTCGTTCGGGTGTGTACTGGGGCCAGATGGGACCTAAGAGATTATATTGAGGATCGATAAAGTTGGATTAGGCGAACACTACGTACGTGATGAGCCACGACCATCGTTGGGGTCCAGACTCGTTGCAAAAGACACCCAATAGTCAATCATCGCCACGCTCAGCGCATTCGCTGAAGCCGGTTCATTGGGAGACCCTAAGGCGCCGTACACAAATGGTAGTTCACTGCCATGATAGACTTTGTAGGAAATTAGAAGTCAACCTAGCAATGCAATAGAGTACAAAACCCACCTCCAAGGTCAGGCACAATAATAGAAGGAGGCTGCGTAAACCGGTATCCAAAAGCTTTAACACCAGATTCTGAGGTGGTTTGAATCCAATGTCGTCTTTGGGAGTCAAAATTTAAATCGCCCGCTTCGAGATACGTTAAGCAGGTGGAGAGCAGGTAACAGAACGAACCAACTCAACGCGGCACATTTCTTAAAGAGAGGCGATAGGCCAAACGTCTCATTACCGGTGTTATATGGAGAACCAGCAGAGGGATCGTCAGGGTACAATGCCAGTATTTCATCCAGAACGCTGTCAGGAACTGCCGGGGGAGAGAAGTTTGCGTTCAATATTTGTCGGAGAAGGCCATTGGTATAGTTCAGCTCGGTGGGACAGAACATAGTCCCTGGACAACGTTCAGCTTTACACGGAAGAACGATTGGTCAGGAAACAGTACCTTCGTCCAGGTTAGTGCCAGCGATAAAAGGCAAGCGGGCGAACTGGCCTCGGGGAAATAATTCAGAAGGCAAACCTGGGAAAACACCTGAAGCACCATCAAGTGTTGGATCATAAGGAATCGCTTCATTTGCTTCTGCAAAGGCCCGCAGCAGCCCTTCAAGGATATCTGAAGAGCTGACGGATTGTAAGCAGTTTACTGTCGACGATGTCCCGACAAAGGAGCTGCAGCTTGGTATACTCTGGACGAAAACGGTCCAGGAGTCTTCCCGACGTTGGGCATTAAATGTGATGGACGAAGTTGCCGACCCAGACTCGAATATCTGAAGCTGGTAAATGAATGGATCGGATCTTGGTTGGCCATACGCACTGCCGCTCTTGCAAACTTGGATATGGATGGGTGTAGAAAGAGTATGGACGTCATGATAGACCCTGCACTCTCTCCAAAGACCGTTACCTATAGTGCGCTTTGACATGATGTATGACGGCGGTAATGTTACGACATACCTTGTGCTTATCACCGCCAAATGCACCAATATTGCTCTGCACCCATTCCAGTGCTGCCAGCTGGTCCTTAATGGCGAGATTCAGTATACCCCGAGACGCAGCTTCTGCCCCTTGAGGAAAACCAAGAGGTCCAAGACGGTAGTTGAAATTGACATAGATAATAGGTGTTCCCTAGATCCACAGTACTTCAATGACACGTACGAACCGGTATTTCATTGACAGCCCTTACTCTGACAACGCTTTGAGCAACGATAGCGCTACCATTGAAAAGGGATGCCGAACCGGACTCAAAACCGCCGCCGTACGTCCTGCGGACAAACGTCGTCAATAGAGCCTTGCGGGTGTGGAGTACGATTACCAAAATAACACGGGTAAGGACGAGTTTTCCGTAACGCCGCTCGGACGAAAAACATTAATGGTTAAGCAGTCTTCCGAAATAAGGTCGCTGGACATTCCCTATGGAACGGGTAAGCTACGTGTACATAAGACGGCAAGACGTTTACCGGTTGGAGACACGACAATCCAAAATTGCTTGCATTGAACGATCCCGGGTCAAGCTGTGGTTTGAAAACTGGTGGTCGCAAACGCAGTGGTCCAAGGGGCGGTTCCGCGTACGGTATGCCTAGCCATTCCTTGAGTGAGGGTTCATCATCTCATAGTAGGCGACGCACCCCCGAAAAAGTCCTGCTTTAGTCCTGCAACGTCCCTTCCTACCAATGTAGTCCTATGGAGCTGAACTTGCGGAGAGCATGACACCAAGACAGCACAAGACGAAAGCACGTAGGATACCAAAATTCGCATGGTGAAACAAAACTTGAAGTTGCTGGGTTCGCTGTTGACTTCGCGACGGACCAGAAGGATAGCAGGGAAAACTGGATCGTCAGCTGGAGAAGTCCGTATTTATACTTGACTCGAATTGATGGAGATCAGATGACGGAAGCACTGCAATGATTTATGTTTACTCTGAAAACTGAATAACGCTTAGGTGTGGGGAAACGGAGGAAGTCGAGGCACGCACTAAAATGAAAACCTTGACTAATTAACTGCATATCACTGAACCATGTGCAAAGAATGTGCTTGGAATCTCTTCTCCTTACACGCGTGCTGCGGCAGTTTCAGCCATATTTCGGCTCATAGAGAAGCCTACGAGGCAATGATTCTTGGCCAACTGACGCTGAATATCGCGGATTGACTGCCCACATGCGATTCTTCTTCTATCATTCAACCTCACCCAGCAACACGGATAGGTAGGTATATATATTGCCACCGAAAGAAAGACACGTCAATACGGGTATATACTTTACCGGTTGAACGCATCGGTGTTATCCTTGAAGTTGGAGTTCGATCTGTCCCTTTGTAATAGTCATCCAGAATGATCGATGCGCAGTAGCCACGCAGCTACAAGAACACCTGAGGCGATGATCATTCAAAACGACACGCTTCGGGAGGATCATTGTATCGTACCTCATTCTCAGGTGTGTACAACAGTCAAAATGGATCTGAAAGATAATCAACATGTGTTTGACGGACAATATGCAATCCACTCACGAGGTTTCTCCAAGTCATCCTTGGGATCCCAAGTCGTGGCAAATGAGACCCAAAAGTCGACCGTTCTGTCATTTCGCCAACCGGACCGATGAAGCAGACTTTCAAGTATCCACCAGTGACCACGGGAAACTAGAAGCATCGTGGAATCAATGGCCTGATGTTGAGCACCATGCGACCTACATCAGGCTCCATAGTTGGGCGGATGGAATGAAAGTTTCCGGTGGAGTAGATGCCCATACGATTTCACGCTTACTTGTGAAGACAGATGCGACGTCGAATGTCAAAAGGCGAGTCGCACTTGGAAGAGATAAGTGTATGATATTGGGAACTAGAAATCATGCCAACCCGCCGCAGATGACCAGACTCTTAAAGTCCGGCGAGAACCCAAAGCTTTCTTCGGTGGACTGGTGCTATAAGCACGGATTTCTTGCGAGGATAAAGTTCGAGAAGTCGGCCCAAGATAATAGATAACAGCTGGGATAGAAGGCGCAAAAGGGGGTAGGTGGCAGGTGCATCCTCTTCGATATTTTCATAGGAGAAGCTACGCTTTGTAGAGCATTCCTAATGAGCACTAACATTGAGCTTAACATGGGAAATAGGTTTCACGAGCCATACCTTCATCCTGATTCATGCATCATGCGCGAAATGAACGTGGCCTCGAAAATTTCTTGAAAATTTCCGCCCTTTCCCAGAATCACGAAGGCAAATTAAGAAGAACTTTTGAAGAGTGGGCCGAAACTGATGTTCTGCTGTATCCATTCGAGAGTAGGAAGTGGCAATTGACCGCATTTTCGATAAGCTCTTTCGGCTTGCCCCCATCCGTACTGGTTGACAAAGCACCACTAACGTAAAGAATCCTGATCCAGCACCTCTTCCCAGCTAGTTTATCGAAGAAAATAAGAGACCAGTATTTCAATCCGTTGCGGAGGTGATGGTGGTAAAAGAAGGGTGTTTGTTTGGTCCTCTTTGACACGGATCGAGTTCACTTGCTGGTACTGAAACGTCACCTAATGAAGACCTTACTCGGGGAAGATAAGTAAACGCTGGATGTTGTCGGTCGGTCAGATCCTGGCATGACTTGAAACAGATCATCAAAGATCACACAAATAGTGAATTGAGTCTTCAAAAATTTCAATGCCTCATCTAGGTATCTGTTTTATATCGATATTCGTAGTTGTACATTGCGCCAATCACTATCAATGACGATGGCGGAAGACGGCACCTTGAGAAATGATGAAATCAATCTTCTCTTTGTGATAATCGTCGGGTATGGCGGTCAGGTTATCGCCGTTTAATTGCAGCAGCATCTGTGAGAATAGTTTCAGCACAGTTCGCCTATTTGATGGGGATAGAGTAATTACCTGTTGATTCGGTGTATATTGAGGCCACAGGGGACCTAAGGGATGACAGTGAGGATTGATAAAGTTGTGGTAGGCGGGGACTACGCACGCTCTGAACCAAGACCGTCGTTAGGGTCCAAACACGTTGCAAAAGACACCCAGTAGTCAATCATCGCTACGCTCAGCGCATTTGCTGAAGGCGGTTGATCGAGAGCCTCCACACTGCCGTAGACGAATGGGATTTCGGTGGTATGGGCAACTATATAGGAAAGTAGATGTCAGCTTTAGCATTGCAATAGTGAATGGAACTGACCTCCGAGATACGGCGGGACAACGGAAAGAGGCTCTGTAAAGCGATAACCAAACGCTTTGACGCCGGCATTTGTAGTGGTTTGAATCCAGTTGCGTCTTTGGAATTCAAACGTTAAATCGCCAGCTAGTCCGAGATACGTCAAACAAGGAAAAAACGATTAGATGAAAAAACAAACTCAAAGCGGCGCATTTCTTATAGAGAGGCGCTAGACCAAATGTCTCCTCGCCCGTATTGTAAGGAGAACCGGCAGCGGGATCATCAGGATACAATGCCAACAATTCGTCTATAATTTGCGGAGGGACCGCTGGCGGAGAGAAATTTGCGTTCAAGATCTCTGCGAGCAACTCGTTGGTGTAGTTCAACTGCGGGGGGCAGAACGCAGTTCCTGGTCAATTGGTCAGCTTTGCATAGAAAGATGACTACAAAGATCATACCTTCGTCCAAGTTTGTACCGGCGATAAAAGGTAATCGGGCGAACTGGCCACGGGGAAGCAACTCAGAAGGCAAACCTGGGTAAAGACCATGGGGACCATCGAGTGTAGGATCGAATGGGAATTGTTCGTCTGCTTCTGCAAAGGCCTGCAACAGCCCGTCATAAACATCTGAAGAGTTCACATGCTGCAAGCAGTCCACTGTAAATGACGTTCCAACGAAGGAGCTGCAGACCGGTACGCCCTCAACGAAATTGGTCCAGGAGTCTTCTCGGCATTGAGCGTTGAATGTGAGGGACGTGGAAGCCGACCCGGACTGGAATATCTACAAAGAGAATGAGAACGAGATCCATATTTGTTCTAATAACAACGTACCGCTGCTCTAGCAAACTTGGAAATGAACGGATGTAAAAAGAGTATGGATGTCATGATAGAACCTGCGCTGTCTCCGAAGATCGTCACCTACCATGACCCTGTCAATTCGGGGATGTATATGGGTAACAACTAGGCTTACCTTGTCCTTGTCTCCTCCGAACGCGCCAATGTTTAACTGAACCCACTCCAGTGCCGCAAGTTCGTCCTTGATAGCGAGATTCAGTATGCCTCGGGACGCAGCTTCCTTCCCTTGGGGGAAGCCGAGGGGCCCAAGACGATAGTTGAAACTAACATAAATGACAGATGTTTCCTAAATTCATGGTGCATCAACGATATGCATAGATGTATAAATAGCTACCCTTACTCTTAGAACGCTCTGAGCAACGATAGCACTACCGTTGAACGCAGATGAAGAACCTGTTTGGAAGCCGCCACCATACGCCCTACAAATAAACACTGTTCAATGAAAAGACACTGCAAGGGAGAATGCGATTACCAGAAGAGCACGGGTAAAGACGATTCTTCAGTCACGCCACTCGGACGAAAAACATTTATCGTTAAGCAGTCTTCTGAAATAAGGTCCCTAGACATTCCCTATAGATCGATTAGCTACGGGCACGTGAGACGGTAAGGCGCTTACCGGTTGGAGACAGGACAATCCAAAATCGCTTGCATTAAAGGTTTCCTCATGAAGATATGGTTTCAACACTGGTGGTTGCAAACGCAATGGCCCAAGGGGTGGCTCCGCGTACGGTATACCTATTCCTCCGTTAGACAAAAAATCATCAATTTGTGGAGTAACGCACCTCCGAAAAAGTCTTGTTTTAGTCCTGTAACGTCCCTTCCTACCACAGTTGTCTTGTGTAATTTGACTTGAGTAGAAGAAACCAAGACAGTACAAATGGAAAGAAGGTAAAAGGCTAAGCCTCGCATGGTGAACAAAGAGTTTGAAGTTACTGAGTTGGTCGTCGACTTCCTACGAGACTAGGGAGAAAGCGACTGAGAATAGTGTCAGCTGGAGAAGCAGGTACTTATAGCTCTCCAGGAGATAATAATCAGATGTTGAAAGGCATTGCAGTGTTTTGTTTCTACCCTGATCTGCGGGCTTCTTAGGTTTGAGGAGAGGAGGGAGCCAATGGACGTACTAAAATTAGAGCATTGGCGAGTGAGACTAAGATATCCGCCAAGAATGTCCTCCTTCTTCTGAGACGCATACCCAAATGTTTCGCTTGTAGAGGAGGCGTACCGCGTCAGAATCTTAAAGTCTCAATTCCACTTCAGAGGCTGTCCGGTTGTAGATATGCAGAGACCTTTTCACGGTACGTTTTCTAGCCTCGGTTTTGGTTCCTGTGAAACGAAATAATACACTGAATCTGTTATTCCGTAGAGGTTTTTCGTACCGTTACAGTCGTTTCACTTTTAGGACCGACAAAGGGCATTGAAATTATCTTGAAACAAAACCTTTTAGGGTCTCATCCACACTGACCCCTACTCTGGCATACTTTGACACTGTGATGTTTGTTGTAAAGAAATAAATCGAATTCTGGCCTCAGGTTTGGGAGCTAAGCCCCTTTTTTCAAACGGTAAAGTGTATGTCTAGGTATCGACATGTCGCGTCTTCTTATGTTCGACCTTAGGATCATACCTCGTTGTTAGGCATGTATTGCGACCGATCCTGAAAAGAATCGGCAAGCGTTTAACGACCGACATACGAGCTACATGTACTCACGAGACATCCCTATCGTTGGCGCCGAAACTTATGGACACTGTAATGAGACCCGAAAAAGATCATTTCGCCCAACCAGACCGATGGAGTAGACTCTTGCTGTTTCTACCTGTATGCATTATCATGTTCAATACGACGTTAAGCTTGGCCCGAAGAAAGAGTTATACCTTTTGCCTCATGCGCATACGTCAAATGAACCTGGCATCTGGAATTACCTCCCTTTCCCAAACTTGTGAAGACAGGTCAAGAAGGGGACCTAAAGCACCGAAAGAGCCGACATTCCGGTATCCATTCTAGAGGACAGCCAAGAAGCGGCGATTCACCTACCGAATTACTATCACGGAGCTCCCCAGCCTTGCCGCTCTCCTTAGAACGGTGTACATGACAAGAAATTCTCCAAGTTAACCAGCACGTACGTGGCACCTTTCTATCGGACATAGCACTGAGGAAAATATGCGTCCATTATTACAGACGATAGTGGTCCACTGGCAGGAAGAATGTTTATTTGGTCCACTTTGGCCACTCTGTTGACCCTCCGGCCCGTGCACCGATTGACGTCATTTCAGCGCTTGTTCCTAAGTATCACTCCTTAACTTCACTCTCAGAGAATCGAGATACAAAAGTGTCCACGTGACTTACCACCAGAAATTTTTCGTTTCGGGGCTCGTGTGTAAGACGTAAGTCAAGTAGAGACCTTAGTCTTCGCCTGCATTTCCAGATGGTATATGAACACATGTGCTATGAAGAGCAATTGTCATCAACGACGATGTCGAAAAACAGCGCCTTCAGAAATGATAAAATCAATCTTCTCTTTATTGTAGTCGTCATGAATGACGGTTATATTGTCGCCGTATAGTTGCAGTAGCACCTAAGATATTGTCAGCACAGTTCAATGTCATGGATATAAAAATTACCTGTTGACTCGGTGTGTACTGGGGCCACAAGGGACCTAAGGGATGTCAGTGAAGACAGATAAAGCTGCACTAGAGGACGGTTACGCACGTTCTGAACCAAGACCATCATTAGGCTCCAGACTCGTTGCAAAAGATATCCAGTAGCCCATCATCATTACGCTCAACGTATTTGCTGAAGCCATTTCATTGAGGGATCCCAAGGTGCCGTACACAAATGGGATTTCGCTGCCATGATACACTTTATAGAAACGTCAAGCAATGCAGGACTGCAATATTGAATGTGACGCACCTCCTAGATAGGCCGGAGTAGCAGAAAGAGGCTGCGTAAAACGATATCCAAACGCTTTGACGCCGGCCTCTGAAGCAGTTTGGATCCAGTGGCGTCTTTGGGATTCAAACATTAAATCGCCCGCTATGAGATACCTTAAGCAGGTGACGGGCGAATAAGTGAACAAACAAACTCAGAGCTGCGCATTTCTTATAGAGGGGCGACAGGCCAAACGTCTCATTGCCCGTATTATACGGAGAACCAGCAGCAGGATCATCAGGATACAACGCCAAAAAGTCATTCAGAACGTTGGAAGGAACCGCCGTAGGTGAGAAGTTCGCGTTCAAGTTTTCGCGAAGGAGGTCATTAGTATAGTTCAATTCCATGGGACAGAACAAAGTTCCTGGACAGATGGTCAGCGTTGTAGAAGAACGAATCATTAGAAAAGTCGTACCTTCGTCCAGGTTGGTACCGGCAATAAAAGGCAATCGGGCGAACTGGCCCCGGGGAAATAATTCAGATGGTAAACCCGGGAGAAGACCAGAGACACCATCGAGAGTCGGATCAAATGGAAGCTGTTCGTGTGTGTCTGCCATAGCTTGCAACAATCCTTCAAGTATATCTGAAAAGTTGGCGGACTGTAAGCAGTCTACTGTAAACGACGTCCCAACAAAGGAGCTGCAACTTGGTACGCCTTCGACAAAATTCGTCCATGAGTCCTCTCGATGCTGAGCATTAAACGTAAGAGTCGAGGAAGCAGACCCAGACTCAAATATCTGCGGCTGGTATGTGAATGAATTCGAAAGTCCTGATCAACTATGCATACCCCTGCTCTTGCAAACTTGGATACGGATGGGTGCAGAAACAGTACGGATGTCAGGACGGATCCTGCACTTTCTCCAAAGACTGTCACCTATTACACGTCAATCCAATGATATAAATTGCTAACAGCTAGGCCTGCCTTATCCTTGTCCCCTCCGAACGCGCCGATATTTATCTGCACCCATTCCAGTGCTGCCAGTTGGTCCTTGATTGCGAGATTCAGTATGCCTCGAGATGCAGCTTCTACTCCCTGGGGAAAACCGAGAGGTCCAAGACGGTAATTGAAATTGACATATATAATAGGTGTTCCCTAGATTATGACGCGTCAGTGAGGAATAAAGCTACGATTCATGACAGCCCTTACTCTTTCTACGCTTTGGGCGACAAGAGCACTGCCATTGAAAGAGGATGCAGAACCAGTTTGGTAGCCGCCACCGTGCGTCCTACATGCGAACATTGTCAACGGAAAGCCCTACGAGGAGGAAATGTATTTACCAGAATAGCACGGGTAAAGAGGAACTTTCGGTGGCGCTGCTCGGACGAAAGATATTTATCGTCAAGCAGTCTTCTGACATGAGGTCCGTAGACATTCCCTATATGCCACTTAGCTATGGACAAACAGGACAACGACGCTTACCGGTTGGAGACAGGCCAATCCAAAATTGCTTGCATTGAAAACTCCCGCGTCAAGATGTGGTTTGAATACTGGCGACCGCAAACGTAATGGTCCAAGGGGCGCTTCCGCGTAAGGTATGCCTAACCATTCCTTTTCCTTGAGTAAGGGTCCTTCAACTCATAGACAAGAACGCACCTCCGAAAAAGTCTAGTTGTAGTCCTGTAATATCCCTGCCTACCACCGTCGTCCTATGGAGCTGAACCTGCGGAGAGGACGAAACCAAGGCAATACAAAGCAAAGGACGCAATACACCGACGGCCGCATAGCGAAAAGAGGGCTTGAAGCAGAAAATTCCCGTGCTCGATGATATTTTGCTAAAATAACATTCCCAACCGAGAAGGGTCGTCTACTTTTGAGAAGTTCGGAGTCGTAAGCGAAGGTAATGATAATTCAAATGACAGGGCATCGCAACAACTTCCGTAGCCCCGTATGTTGTGAACTGACTCCATTTAGCCCTGGAGCATAGGGAAAATAAAGAAGCTAAGGCACGCACTCAAGTTATCTATCGTACATCCTGAGTTACCCTGCACCAGAAATGCTCGATATTTTCTCTTTAGACGCGTGCAGTGGCGGAGGTTCATAACCTTTTGACGTCGACTAGCAATAATAGGATATAGTCGCGCTGGTGACGGTAGTAAGCTTTGAAGTGCAGATTGAGTCGTTGGTGTATGTGGGTGATGGTTTCGGCAGAAGGCTTGTCCGCTTAGTCACATCATTGGTGGAGCTGATCAGATTCTCGCAGCAGACAACAAAATGCTAGCATGAGTGCCAAACCTTTTTTTGAGGAGTTTCTGTTGGAAAATGCGAGATAATTCTGGCAATCCGGCATTCCGGCATGCTGAGTAAGAGATTGGTAAGAGAATGATTGTATAGAAATTACTAGAATAGGTGTAGTTTAGTATAAATATGTGAAGTAAATGGGCAAACTCCTCACGAGTTTGTAACCCAGAGACTAGAGGTCTTACAAGCATTGTACTAGGATACAGTCCAAAATACAACAGTTTCACCTCTAACGTTTGAGCCACCCCTGAGAAATGCTTTACCCACTTCGTTGCTTCGTGCCGATTCGCATTATTTTTCTAATATGGACAAATCCGCTAATAAAACCCCTTGAGAATCTTAATCCGGGGGCAATTGTAGTTTTGCGCAGTGTCAGAAATACTCTGTCACCCGCAGTGTTGGTTCTCTTTTTCATTCACGTTTATTACTTGCTTCTAACCCTGCGGAACGTCTACCGACACGCCCTTCGCCATACTCTCCTTGATCTTCTCCAACAGAACGATCGTCTTCAAAGCCTCCAAACTACTACAGTTGGGCTCCGCCTTTCCCTTACATACATCCACGAAATGTCGCAGCTGAAGGGTGAACGGTGGGATATCCTCGATTGCAGGCGCAGGATCGGCGGTGAAGGGATCCGTCCAGCAGCCTTTGTCGTCGTCCCTGGCGTAGCGGTGTACTTTGAGCTCGGGGACAGACATCGTTCCTTTGGTGCCGAAGAACGTGTATACGTGTTGGCCCTATAATATGCTCTTTGTGAGTAGCAAAATAAGCAGAGAAAATAAGACGAACAGTATATGGCATTGTAGGGTTTTCTCCGGCTATGGGTGTATTTATTAGGGACTTGCCTGACTAAAGAACGGAAGCACTTACTCGCTCCCTCCCAATTATGCGGCGAAGCCACTGCATCTGAAAAGATGAAAGTGCCAATCGTGCCGCTTTCGAACGTCAGGATGACTGCTCCGGTCTCTTCGGCGCTATTCTTCCTTGTTACAGGCCCCTTCTCGCAGTACACCTTCACGACATCGCCGAACAAGTAGCGCAATAAATCCATATCGTGAACAAGGTTAATGAGGATGACGCCCCCGCTCTTGCTCTCTCCTCGCCAGCTCGTTGGTGGCGCGAAGTATTCGGGGGGCTTGAGGGCCGTCCACTCTCCTTGAATGGCAAGGACTGAGAAGGGTAGCAGTGAAGAAGAGTTTGGTTTTATGAAAAGAGTGTTACCTTTTCCGAGCTTCCCATCAACCAACTGTTGCTTCGCTGCAACGATATAGGGATTGAACCGGCGATGGTGCCCAACCAGAACTTTGAATCCTGTGGCATTTGCTGCTGCGACTAATTCTCTGCCAGAGGGTATATCTGTAGACATAGGCTAACATTTGTTTTCGTCAAGGACCGCTCGTAACGCAGAAAAGAAGCAGAGCCACCTTTTCAACAAGGGCGTGAACGCCTGCTTTGACGAGCTGAATTTCCAAAGGAACATGGGTGTGATTGGGAGTAGCAAGGATAGCACCTTTGACTTTGACTGTACCCGCCGCCTTTGCCGCTAGCATATCATCGACAGAATTGAAATGGGGAACATTATGCTTCTTAGCCAGCTCTACACCAGCCGGCATAGGGTCGACGATACAGGATAACTTGACGAGTGGCTCATCGATACAATGTTGCGTGTGCCTAACTCCAATGAGCTGCCGCCGTCAATAACATTCGACGCGCCATGAGATGGAACGACACGTACCCCGCTAGCACCAACGACACATATAGATGTCTGATCGGCCATCGTCGAAAAGTGAGGAGTGCGGGGCCCCACACGGCCTTTTAAAGAACCTCAGTCAAGAGCGGAGGAGAGTAAAGGCGCTGTCGGAAAAACTATCAAAGTTTCAAATTATGGCATGCTTGAACGCTTGCGCTCCCTTGAATGTGGTCAGCTGATACTGGGGAGCCAAGTGAACGTCATTTTAGAGAAATGTATGCCTGATGGCATATTAGACACAGAGAAAATTCGTTCGTACGAGATGGAAAATTTTAGACCTCGGATTTACGGCCCGGACCTTCCTTGTAAAACATCTGAGCAAGCCCACACGATGGAGATGCATTCCTCCCCCCCGTCCTACACGATGAAGCGTTATTAAGTTCGCAGGGAAATAATTGACAGCTTTTCATCCGAAAACGCTCGGACACACGGAGGGGAGGGAGTTTTAGTTTCGGAAGGATGTCCAAAATGCGTAACGTGTTTTCCCTACCTCTGCTTTTCATTCTCTCACATCGAAACATCGAATTGAAACCTTGGCTTGAAAATTGCCTGCTCCTGCCTTACTGTCTCGACGAAGAGGACCAGAACGCAAAAAGATGGCTTGATAACGATGTCGGTGTAATACAAGCTTCATCCGGGGTACCCATGATCAGTCGCTACCGATCCCGAGAGCGTATAGCTCAGGAGCGCCCAAGTCATCCATGTTCTGATCGTACGGAGGCCACCAAACCGCCAACAGGCTCTTATCCTGAACATCCTTTGCCCAATCCTTGTACTTGAGCCGCCCGGGACTCAAAGCAAACCTGGCCAGGAGCTCCTCGGGGAAAGGCTTCCACTGACCATACTTCCACTCGTCGACTGCTTTCTTAGCTTTCTGGAGAATCCTGTCACGCAGTGGTAATTGGTAAATAGCCTCAGCGTCGAAGTAAAGAAGTAACCTACATCTCATTATGAGATTCAAATCCGCCATGACAGTCCATAGCCCTCTGTTGGACGTCTTCATAATTCAGAGTTTGTCCGGAATATAGGATAGGACCAATGGAGCAATCAGCCTTTGGATGATCCATATCAAGACCATCCGGTTGAAGTCTTCTATCCAAACCGTCGAGTTCATGTAGACGGAGCTGAAAACGGACGATCAGGCGACAGTCGTTTCGTGGTGTTGTTACTCACAAGAAATAAGTTCATAGCTTCCAGCTCGGTGAGCCCTCGAGTGGCCGGTCTGTAAGCGAAATTTGCCGGTAGCGTGTCCTTCGTCGAGCCCAACTCCGGCGGTGTGTATTTCTCCGGTTTTGTCTCATAATCAGGTACACTTTGTTGTAGACACACTATTAGCCGTGTTCGATATTCCTTTACTTCGCTGCTAGTCGTGTCTAACCGGCTTCGCATGCCCGCCCTTGTGGGAACTGTCATAGTTGCACCGTTTCCCTGGAAGTCTTCGTCCAGGCTAGTGTTCACGTAAGTAGCGCATCAGCCTGAACAATCATTGTCGCTTACTAGTGTAACTCATGGAGGACCGTGTCTGGTAACCGGCCATGCTTCTTCATGGCTAAGGCTTGTACCTTGGGAAGGGCAAACACCTTGCTCCTGTGGCACGTTTTCGGGTTATATACTTCTTCATACTGGAGGGTAGCTATATCCTTGTCGTTGAGCTTATATTGTTTCTCGGCTGATCTCAGTCAGGCAACAAGAACGATATGGAGAGCATAAAACTGACCATCACCCTTTCGCACCTTTAACTCTCTCTGGAAAAAATATATGTTAGAGAGTATTGGCAGAAGGGGCAGACACTCACATACATACTGTTCGGAAACTTAAAAGTTTCATCCTTTTCCCATGGCACTAACGACGCCTTGTACTCGGCTACTCTCTGCTTCTCCGCATCTTTTGCCTCTCTGTCTGCTTGATTCGATTTTCTCTGTCTCTGGGGCTTGACAGACACAGAAGGAGAAGGAGGTGAGCCAGCTTTGGGGCTTGTTTCAGACGACGATTTCGTTCGCTTGGCGTTTATCGGCGCATTCTCCGGTTTTTCCTTGCTATCGGCTTTTCTCTTGCGTGAAGACACCATTGCTAGGCGTGGAACTGTTAATAAACGTCAATAGCTGATGAGAACGCAGAATTTGAGGACTCACATTTTACGATACCAGGAGGAGTGCTCAATTCGACAAATATATAGAGCCATATCCGTGGCTGTGAGATGGTGTCATGTGGGCCTGCGTTCGTAGGCTGGAACTCGTGAGACCGCCACTGTTGAAAAAAATTGAAACGGTGAGAAGAATCACCAGAGAGACAAAGACGTGGAAACCCGAAAAAAGGGTCGTAGTTTGGTCGTAGTCGACGTTCAGGGCTACGCGTATTTTGACAGCTGTGGGATTTTATTCGGCTCGAAATCCGTGGCCTTTTTTTGGAAGGAGAAGCTATTCAGGTATTCAAATATTCAGCGCTCAAGCGCTCAGCGTTTAAGTTATATTGCTGTGGAAGTACAAAAAGCAGAGGTAGTCTATAGTACATTGTCGGTGTTGAAAAACTCTTCGGCGAACCGCAACCAGCACAGCCTGTACTCGACGAATCCTGACAATTTTCTTCAAACCACCCGTTCCCCATGGCCCCATGACGGAAAGTGAACCCCCATACGCATAATTCCCGGAAAGGAATCTGCAGACAAATACGACCCTGCTTGGAGATCGGGCTCAGGCATTTGAACACATGGAGAACTAGGATTTGCTGGGCGAAGCCAACAAGGCCACTCTTCCAGTTCTTCAGCTTGACTTTTTTGTGGTAGTGTTTCTGGGTGCATGGTTGGGAACTGTACTTGCGGAGCATTCTCAGCGGGCACACCTCCGGGTAAAACAGAAGAGATGGCGCTGGAGCGCAATATGTTAAGTTGTTGTTTTAGGTATTGATCCATAGATGAAGAGAGCAAAGATGAATGCATTTGCTTTAAAATGCTGTCAATGTGAAGAATCATAGTCAAGCTTTCGAATATCACTCACCCGCCATGTGTCGGCCAATTCAATATCGCGCACAGACTCAAGCAGGCATTCGTAGCTCAAGGAACACATGACATCTATCCAGTCTTTGCCTCTTTCCTTTAAGAAACGCGCGAGAATATCAGCCAGAGCGCGAATGTCTTGCTGTTCGTCGGAAGATGATAATTGGAGGTGATGGGACCAATGCCTGCAAGCGTACTCGAGGGCTGAGCTAGGACGTTGATTAGGGCGCCTGGTGCTCAACGAGATGTGTGGACCATATCCTTGGGAAGAGATATTTGGTATCATGAATCGTAACAGTGTCATCGTGATATTCAAATGGTACTGCTTCGCGCCCACGTAAAACTGTGGGAAGTGGAGTAATGGGTGATCTTGACATTGCCTCCTTTCACATCCATCAACATCACAAATACCCTTCCAGGGGTCGTGGGAAGTGATGAACTTGGTAAATGAAGGGTGAAAGACTGTTACGGGTTCGTTATTGCTGGTAGGTATGAGGAGAACTGAGTGAAAGCCAGTCAGCAAGCCTCGCACATGAGACACATCATGCTCAAGGAGGATGGAAAGATCATGCAGAGAAAGCGTGGGTTCTTTCTGCAGTACAAGCATGCCCAGAATAGCTCGACACTCTTCGATTTTCTCGTCATTGAGAAAACGAAGGGCAGAGGCCAGAATGCGCCCGTAGAATCGCACCATCCCAACCAATAGACCGGAACCTGAATTATTTTCCAGCAACTTATTCAGTTGCTGTTCTGGGGACCCAGGGGATTCTACATGGCGACATATTTCTGCTGCATAAACGAAAAGGTGGTCCGATTGCTTCGCGATCTGGGATACGTGCTCGTCGGACGGCCATTGTGGCGGGTTCGACGTGCCGAGTTTGGCTAGACATTCACGAACGAAGAACTGTATGTCGGTTTCACAGTGAAAGGTATGGAGGTCTATGACGGAAACGTTTCGAAGCGGGGAGTGAACACGGGTGACATCGTTTGGCCGAGAAGTAACCAGGACTTTCAGCCCGGGCAGGTCTGACAAGGATCCAAGGATTTGCTTCCAGAGCGGAAGCCAGCCATCCTTGTCCAAATTGTCACATTCGTCAAGCCCATCCACAACAATCAGGATGGGCGACGAGTCCAACCCCGAATCTTGTAACGGCTTGACGATCAGCTTCTCCCATTGCTCCGGTGGCGGCATCCTTACAAATCCCAGCTTCGAGTTCCGTACGACCTTCAGCACCTGACGGCAGTATGCTCCGTTGGCTGCAGCGAGATGAAAGGCGATAGACGGAATAATGCGACGGATATCTCTTCGGTCTGCATTGCGCCTAGAGCAGAAAAACGATCCCCAAAGAACATTACTAGTATTCGACACGATACGAGCCATGCTTTTTGCTAGGGACGTCTTGCCCGTACCTGCCATGCCGTTAATCCAGAAGATCTGGGGCTGAGAAATATTGTCCAACCAGGAAGAGAACTTGTACAAGATCTCTGAGCGCGTGCCTTCGGTGCACTCGCTGCCTCCGGAAGCCGCGTTCCATGAAGCGTCATGTACACATTCGAGCGCACCAAATAGACCTATACGAGCTGTAAGCACCAGTTACATGAGGTAAACATAGATCCTCACTATTATTCACGAGGAACTGCAAAGGAAGAAATATTAATTCTGTGCTTTGATATCCAGTATATTTTTCGGCTTACCGAGGTGTCTATCGCTGCGTGTAATGCAGCCTCTGTCTAAGGGACAAAGATGAGAAAAGCCCCCAGGAGGAGGGCTATGGCATATGACTTACCGTGACCATATCCAAAGCGTCTTTCACGCGTTTCAGATATCGGGCAATCAAAGCACGATCATCCGATGCTGTGAATGCGCGTCTCAATGTTCCCTTCTCGAGAATCTTCTGGAGTTCAGGATGGAATTCTTCAGTCCGGCTGCCAAAGATTAGTATCAAAGGGGGAAATTACATGTTAGTTGAACTTACCTGACAACTACGGCAACTCTGTCGCGAAGGTCTTCAGGTAGGTCGATGTATTGCTGAAGCAAGCGGGAAAATCTGTCATTGATGTCGGGTATCAAGATATAAAGTTCTTGGGAATCATGTTTATTGACCATGCCCGTCTTTGTGTATCCAATTAACAGTAAGAAAAGAAAGAACGTCGGGATGCCGCACCTCAAGCATAGACATAGTATCACAACAGATACCAAGAAAAGCTTTGACGCCCGGCACGGGACAATCCTCAAATACTGTATGAAGGACTTCGAATGTCGCTTTCAGGCCCTTGAAGATTTCCCTGAGCAATGATTGTGCATCCATGGTGTTTGAACTATCTGAATGCGGCGGAAAGCATTGATGAAAGAGCGTTCGGAGTCCCATGGTACGTTGAGTCAGGGGATCCACTTCTCCTGTATTTATATGAGCGTAGTGAGAAAAAAAGTGTTGCAGCGGAGGACGAGACTTCCTTGGATCGCGGCCACGACACAAAGTCTTTCAGCTGGTCGTTGGAAAGAAAACGGCGTAATGACATTTTCTATGAAAGCGCTCAGGAGTTGTTTCGGAGTGTGAGAAAGTCTTCAAAGTATCAGGATATTGTGGGGAGGAAACCGGCGGCTTTGTCGACATGTTTTTAACGCGTGTCCTTCATTTGGAGGTCGCCTGACTGATGTCGGACGAAACGCTTCCCTACCATATCGCAAACGTTCAGGCCAGCAAAAAAAGGAAAGCGTGGCGTGTTATGTCGCCGAATTTGCTTCACGAGGACAGGATGACGATGCGAAATACGCTTGTAGGAGCAAGACACGCGGGATCATGGTGCAGCCACGTTGGTTTGTTCACCTAACGAGGCATAATACTTCCGTAGGTAGCACGTATTACTATCGGAGCAGATGGATGACAGATTTCCTTTTCACGTCCTGGACTATCTGTCTGTGGGACGGCGATCTAGTTTAGAGTTAATAAGCGCCGAAGGCCTGATGGTGGAACTACGGTGCATACCTACTATACAAAGAGGGCGCCTATCTGCACCTGGCCAAGAGCTGGAAAACATGAGACGTACTAGCCTAGGTAGGTACCCGGCTGGTGCCTTTGCCCTGCGACGTAAAGGACCTGTAGACCTCACTAATCACGGAGATGCTGATAGACTGACGAGAAGCACACCTGCTACCAGATTCCTCAGATAGTTCGTGATACCCACGCAAAGGTGACATTCGGCGGTAGCGCTTACTGCAATACAGAAGCAGGGGCGTTTCGTCCAAACTAATGTTCTCGCAACGCCGGAGACAGCAAACAGTCAGGATTCCATGGTCATGATGTTCGCGACGGTTGGTTGAATCTGGTCACTGAGTACCATTGTTCTGTGTCCATTGCCGTAAATACATCACGGATTTCGTTCGATTAATCTGCCATGGCTCCCGCTCAATTCTTATCACGGTTGGCTCGTAGAGTGAGGAGTCGCAGACACGATTTCTGTCCGCTCGACAGGTCAAATTTGTCCAAGTAGGATGATGGCAAGAGGAATGTTTGCTGTCACTCGTCATCGTAAAAACAACTGATGCCGAGAACGGCCGCGGCCCTCGTGGGAAAGTTATATAAGTTCGGACCGATAGGCCGAGCAAGATTCGGAGAGCGCCAGTTTGCACCGCGCAGTGAGCATCAACTTTCAAACAGGCCTACTGCTCTATTAAGACAACTTTGGCTTATTTTCTGGGGTGCACTCAGTGCACTGTATCCCGTAGCTTGCGATCTGTTGGAAAACGGGGTATCGGTTCGTTCCCAGTGTCACATGCACGGTAGCAAGCCAATAGTATTGCGCTTGGCTGAGCTCTGCAAACGCATGAGGATCTACGCTAAAGTACCTACTTTTATACTAAATGTACTTTTACTAGAACTTTCCATGCTTTTCCTACGACTTCTACCTTAATAAGCAGACTCTGGCATGATGCCGGATTGCCAAATCCCAACACGATCCTATCCAAATGATCCCCCCGTAGTAATAGAATCAGGGATTGAGTACCACTCGCGCCCCGAGCAGACCTAGTACTTATTCTCGGCTGGAAAATCTTGATTTCATGGCCCTCTCTGTTTGAGTACATGGAAAAAATGTTGCTGGATATATAGAGGTTATATTCCTTGCTTGGCGTCAGTTTCCTCTTAGACGCCCAAGAATCGATCGAGGTAGTATTCGCGAAAAGAATTGCATGGACGTTTTATTTCACCTTCAACCGTATGAAAAAAATCACAATTGTATCATCTTCCTGTACCTTATCATTCTATTCTCAATTGTTTTGTAATCCTTCACCTTGTATCGTTGTTTTCTGGGATTTCTCTCATTTAGTTTCCAGTTCAATAAATGCATAAATAGTCGTGTCCATAAACGAGAAGATAGCAGTACCAAAACACATTATACATAGGATGTCATAGAAGTACTTTTGATAAACACAAACCCTTCATTATCCCGTTAGTATCTGTTCGTCCGAAGAGCTCCAAAATCATCCATAACAAAATCCTCTTTCTCTTTCTCCTTCTTGGTCCGTTTCACAAACACTTGCTTGAACAACATCCACGGCCACAGAAGGCGCATCCAAAATGTGGCACCAGAGTCAAAGAGATATTTGCTCTGAAAGGCCATGACGACCCATACTGTTACAAACGTCAGGGAAGCAGCTACTTCAAAGTAGTGTGGTAGAGTCCCGTCGGTGCCGGGGTTGATTTCTCGGACATTCATTCCAAAAATGCCCTAGATAGGGATGGTCAATAATATTCGGGCAAGCGTGATCTAGAACACATACGGCAACGAAAGAAGAGGGAAGGAATATCATAGTGAGGTAGGCTATTTGTTTCATCTTCAATAGAATCAGTTATCCGAACTAACCGACCAAAGGATGAGACATACCGCCGCGCTGTCCCTTACAGCTGCCTCAGTTAACTCCTTCATACGTTTACTGTCGTTGATATTGACGCTGCTGAACACCTGGTAGTAACAACTCTGATCAGCCAGGGCAATTGCGCTAACAGACCCACCACTTACTAAATTCATGACATTTTTAAGCCGCTTATCCTGCATGCGCCGGCTCATCTCCAGTCGGCCGATTTCCGAAAGCAGATTTCGACATTCCTTCTCCAGCAACGTCCGACTAAATTGCTTGTCTCCTTCGGGTAGATTGTCCATAGCCGGATTGGGGGTATCGCGTATGAAGGCAACGGCTTTTCTCATATCTTCCAATAAAGAAGAATAATGTAGATGATGCGCTCGTATAATGTGCAGTTCCCGTGTGAGAAAGATGTTTGAAGGTTCCAACACACTGGTTTCCTGGTGTGAGGTGAGAACCGTCGTCGAACACTAATGTGGAGGGGACGTACTAGCCAACAAATGTGTGCATATAACGCCTCAAGTGCCTCATCCCAGGCGTACATGGCGTGCCAAATGAATGTCAGTAATACAAAAGTAGGATCCGGAGATCGTTGGAATATATTTTGCCAGTACACACTTTGACCTAAGAAGTTGTGAGCAGAGGAACGACGATTTCGATGTCCGAGGGTCACCTGCAAAGCGTATACGTTCGTGAAGGTACGGGGCAGACGTTGCCTCGCGATCAGAATTATGGTATGATATGAGGGTATTGCCTTCAACGTTTCGAATAAGATGGACTGCGAGGAGATCGAGCACTAAGGAGCAGCCATCGCCTGGGAAAGATGAATGAACTAGGGAACGACGCGTTGCTAATCTGAGTGCTTACCGGACCGCAGGACCAAAGGGGCTTGGGTATTAATTACTTGTTCGCCTGCTCAGAAGTGTCGTTCAGGGGATGAATCGAATCACTGGAAGCAATACTCACGGGCAAGAGTGTCTTCGCTAGTTGTTGATGCCTTGGAAAAAGTTGAAGAATGGTCGCTTACGACGACCGCATCCATGGTTTTGAGGAATGTTAACGTGATAGTGATATCTACCCATAACTGCTGGGTAAATACAAACGGCACAGACTGGAACTGAACTTACGGTCTCCCCTTCCTGGCTGAACATCTTCCTGGAAACGCGATGGTATCCATGATAGTGATGATGAGAAGAAGAACGGTTCTATATTGTATCTAAAAATACGCGCCGGTCAGTCAAGTAATTGAATGGACGGGAACTGAACGCACTTTGCGCCAAGCATTTGCAACACTGGCCCTGACATGTCTTCAACAAACAGCGCCCGGACACGCGTGTTCGCCGGCCTCTGAGCGGACTTTAGATGAAGTATGCGCTCGAGACTAGGACACGTACGTGTTGGCGAATGAGAACTCCCCAGAAACTATCCTTCGTTTCTTCTGTAGCCTCGTGCTTCCCTGAGTCCATGAAATAGCCGCGGTCGTCAACGTCAACGTGATGAATCGTGCATGGAATGTCCCGGTCGTAGTCTTTAATGGCATAAAGTATTCGGCTACGTCTGACTTGAGAAGGAGTCCAGTTCGGGAAACGAGACTGAGGATAGTTTTTCCAGCAACCGTTGCAGTCGACGTGGTCGCACAGCTCTGGAATAGGGGGGGCCTCTGATCCGAGCTGTTCTCCATCGACTTCTGCGAACAAATCTTAAGTTACTCAATCGTTGTAACATCGAGTTCTCGGCGAAGATAACGTACCATCGTTAAGATTTATCCAAGGCCTTCAGCAGGGTCAGCTTGCGACTTGAGCATAAAGAATGGACGTTTCCTACCAAGGAGCAGAGGGTCCTGAGTGCCGGTGAGAAGGCGGGGGCCTTCTCGGCACAAAACCATGGTTGGCGGGTTGTATACGTCGGCGAAGAGACGACATTGGTAGTAGAAAAGTGGAGCTATAGCCTCTGCCAATGAGCTACGCTGCCTAGAACGTCAAGGTTAATGACGGTTACAATTCAGGTCGCTGCAAGCCCACCTGTCATCTTTTCGTGGAGATGGTGAGTGATAAGCGCCCTGGCGGCGACTAAGGGCCGGCATATGTAACGACAATGGCCTGACTTTGAAATGATGGATTGATCTTTACCTCCGTCTTCGTCGTCGTAGGCGCTTAATGATGGCGTCAACGTTGTAGAGGGTCCTAGTGCCAAGATTGAGCAAAGTAGGTCAGGATTAGCCGATGTGAATCTCATTGACTGACCCATAATGCATCAGAAATTCTCCGTCGTCGTTTTGGTCCCGGTTATCGTATTTATCAGTCCGTCAGCTTCGAGAAACGTGCGCATTACCTCAAAGATTGCATCCTTGACCTTGACGATCACCATGCAGGTTTTTCTTTTACCCGAGCTGCTGTTGAGAACGGAGTTATAACCCCGAGTGTGGAGCCAGGTATGTGCTAGTGCCCTTCTCAAGGCGATACAAACTTCAACAACTCTTACCCAGACCATCGCATAGCCAGCAGTCGAAGCTTTCTTGACGGTAAACTCGTTTGACGTCGACGCTAAACGTTGAAAGAATTGATGGTTCTTAGTGGGGATCATCGGCTACATCGATCATGATTACTCGATTCTCAATCGTCACATTGATAATTTTCATCCTCTCCATAACATTTGTGATATACCCCGTCTCGTTCACTCTTCGTATACCTTATCTTGGTCGGAAAAAAATCCCCATAAATCTTGCGACTGCGCCTATACTTGCTATCGCAATCCTATGGGCCTCTCAATGTCTAGGTGCAACACAGGTGTGTATGTACCCTCCGTAGAATGCGCATTACAATGCTGATATTTCTCAGATTCGTGACGGAATCGTTGGAACTGGTCAGGAACTGTCTTCTCTCATTTTTGGATTATGCTTGATACAATCTCCAGATGGCGTTAAACCGTACAACATCCTTATTCTGTTCTTCACCCTTGCTTACATGGCCATTACGCTCGACATATCAGGACTCCTTCAAGCAGCTGCCTTTTGGGTCAGTAACCAAGGAGGGTCCAGCGGCTGGAAACTCTTTTTTTACTTCTACGTAATGCTCACGCTTACGAGCGGTATCGTCGGCAACGACCCCGTCATCCTCTCCGGCACCGTCTTCTTGGTATATTACACGAAAGTTACCGGACTGGAGCCTATGCCATGGCTCATCTCTGAATTCGCTGCAGCAAATACGGCAAGCATGATCCTATTTGTCGGTAACCCAACCAACGTCGTCATATGCGAGGGCTTCAATATCATCAACGCAGCCTTCACAGCCTATACCATACTGCCGTTCTTGGGCTGCAGTGTCTTCTGCTTCATCGCCTTGGCGTTCCAGTTCAGGGACTCCAGGCACATTCCACGAAAATTGTCTCATGTCGGCCACCTTAATGTTCGCGGGGTTTTGCGTGACCCCTTTGGGGCCCTCGCGGGGAGTTTGATCTTAGGATCATGCCTTATTGTCATCATTATCGTCAGTTTCTTCCATATCGACGTATGGAAAATCAGTCTCCCATTCGCATGCGCCAAACTTATATTCGACTTTGTATGGGATCATATACGGTTTGTTAGAAAGCACAGGGGTTCTGGAGACAAATCAGGATCATCAGATGAACCTCCGGTGGAGGGCGCTGACGCTGACCCGATGTTGTCGGAACTTAGGCGCGCTATGTCAATGTCCAGCGAACCTGGAAATAGCGAACGTGATTCTACATCCGCTTCTGGAGATCCCACTTTGGTAAATAGCACAAACTTGGATCATAGCCGCAGGGAAGATACCATTCCATCGTCCGCGTCATGTCTCAAGACCCAAAATACCCTTGACCCGAAGCTCGAGGAGTCCCAGCCGCAGCTATTCGCCAGTCAACGACTCCATTTCCACGCCACTCATCGAAGACTCGCGACACACTTCCCTACTTTCTTCACAGCCCTACCGCGTTTACCTTTTGGACTCGTCCCTTTCGCCTTTTCCCAATTCATCCTTATTGAGGCCCTGCAGCATCAGGGCTGGATAGAAGTCTTCGCAAATTGGCTCGTTCGCGCCTCTCATCGTTCCGTCCATTCCTCCATCTGGCTGGTTGGTGTCCTTGGGGTTGTGTTATGCAATTGTGCAGGGACAAACATTGGGGCAACCATCCTTCTAACGAAGGTCGTTCGTGCGGCGAACTTCCCTCCAGACAGTACTCGTGCTGCGGGCATCGCCTTAGCAGTTGCCAGCAATATTGGCGCAGTCAGCTTCACGTTTTCTGCGAGCCTGGCTGGTTTGTTGTGGACGACAATATTAAGCCAAAAGGATATTCACATCAAGCAAAGAGAATTCGCCTTTTGGAATTTGCTCCCTATTTTAGTCATGACGGCAGTAGGATTGGGAATTGTCTCTGCCGAGATGGCCGTTTTGTATTAAATATTTTCTTGTTTGTACACGAGGGCTATTCATATCTAGTGCTTGCTTTAGCTATGTAAGTTCATTACTGGTTAGTGTTCATTCATATCACTTAGCGCCTCATGATAGCCCCGGTAGTCGGCGGTGTAGAAAAGTAACTTTATAGACTTCGCTTCCACGGATTCTTGGGGCGTGCCGCGTCCGAATGGTGTGGCAAACGAACATATTGTGGCGTTGATTCGTCGGATGATCGGACCGGATACTACTGAAATTACTCTGTGGTATGTCCTCTACGCGTCCTAAAGATAATGGCCGCTAAATAAACATTGCATCGTTTACAGGAATGATTAGGTGTGCAATAAATAATCGTCATCATTGTTTTGTTGTCCTGAGTCCTGTCAGAATCCGGGTAAGGCACCTCTGACGTTCCTCCATACATGCCCTGCCCACCATGCCTTCGAAGCTATTATCAAGTCAGCTTCTTCTGATGACATCCTTGAGCTTCGTGCTTCATGTCCGTATCGACCGAGCCCAAGATCTATCTGCTTCTGCATATATGTCGCATACGGATCGTCCAGCGAGTCGACCTGTATTGCTTCTTTCCCATACATCGCCGCGATTTCACGAAGCGTCGCCGATTGTCCCTCCAATCGGAAGACCTGATTCGCTAGTTGCGGGATGGAATACGACGTTAGCACATGCCCGATGAAGCCTGTATAAAAGTGTATCGGCGCCTCACGGAAAGAAAGGCGAAAGTCCACACACCTGCAATGTCAATAATTGACGTGAAGGACGCCTGAACGTTTCCCGAACCAATAATTGAAACCTTTCCAGGCGCGGAAGAAGAAGCGACAAGCCAGGGAATTCCCTCAGCACACATTCCAACCTGTGGTTGTTTCATCGACATCAGCGGATATCGATAACGCCATAAAGACAAGTACCAATACTCTTGTGGTTGGAAGGCCGATTCTAGTCATATGTTCTGCACGATGAATGGAAAGAAAACTGTGTTCAGCCACGGTCACAGCGGCGTGGGGAGAGAACTCACGAGCATAACCTTCTCGGACCACAGATGTGCTCTGAGTATACCCTGGGAGCGGAAAGCCAAAGTCGTTAGGAATAAAAAGCTTCACGCCGGCCTGCTTCGCAGCATCCCCGATCCCGGGTTGAAGGTCAAGAGCGCCACCATGAAGACAGCTGACAACTATTTCCACGCCATAGGTGGTGAATGCTGAAATTAGACTGCGCTTGTCCCTATAGTCCAAGCGAACGATGATGGAGCCTCTGGGTATCTCCTCCAGAGTCGAGGAAGAGTCTTCTCGTGAAGATGCGAATACAATGACATACGCTCCGCGTACAAGAAGTTGCTACATTTTTGGTGTGAAGTCGTCAATAAATCATCGGAGCATGTATAGGTGAAACATAGCAGCACACCTCAGTGATACGTTTCGAGAGATTGCCGGTGCCGATAACTGCAGCTGGCATGATAAAAGGCATCGCAGACGAATTCGATGACAGTTCTGCAGGATTTTCTGCCGGTCCATTTTATCGTAACTCACTAAATATGATCTCATTTTAACAGATCGCTATAGTAGCCGGCCCCAAATCAAATTCTAATGAAAGATCTACTCGGCGTTGTACGTATGTGAGGAGCTACCTATAAATTTGTAATGCGCCAATGGCCCATGAGTCCAGCTTCAATGAATTGATAGCGAAAATATTCCACGAGACGGAAACAGTCATCATGACTGCTGAGCATGAATCATAAATTTGTTATCAGCGGCCTTGTCAAAGATATCAGGGGAATGTCCGCTTCCTCCGTTGGGCACATGCGAGCACTTTGACGGGAAAACTTAAATCAGACACCGGTAGATTGCAACGGCAACCGCGTGAATCCGAGAAATATACTTGTTAATGTTTGCAACCACAAAAAATTGGCGTGTAGAAGGCCCAGTTCACATCGATTTCTGGGCAACGTAAATAAAAATAGGGGAATTTGAGATAATTAGCCGCAAATTCACCGGTAAAGACCGGAACGGGATACTAAAATTCCCCGAAAGACCGGAAGGGGCTGAAAAGGGTCCTAGTGTGGTCGCAGCCACGTAACCCTCTTTTTTATGTTTCCCGTCAACCCCGTCATTTAGCGCAGTTGATACATTTGCGGTCTTACCAAGGTCCTTGGCGCACGCACAAAGCATGTAGCTGGAGATTACCGCCCACACACTTTGCGATGCCACGGCCGGCATCTTGTATCAGAAAAGGGAATCACAGCAAGCTATTTCGGATTTTATGAATCCTGACGGCATGCATATTGACAGGCAGTAGTCGGTTCTTTCTTTCACACCAATCCCTGAAAGCCCTGCTTCTCATGGAGGCAGGGCAACGTTTCCCGCATCACTCGATCCCCGTTACTGAATCAAACTGATCAGCATTGAAGCCGGCGTCTTCAGGACCAGCGGCTACCGGGATCTCAGTAGATCCGGTATTCAGTTGTCCTTACAAAGTCGCCGGATGCTTTATATCCTGGCGCTGGGTTTGTTCGCTAGTCTATTTTGGAGGCTATTTACCACAGCATAATCGCACGAGTACGAGTACGTGTCATTAGTCAGGGACACTGATTCCTAGCCTGCACCAGGACATGAAGAAGAGCAAGAGATTTGCTGGGCGATGGTAATCTGAGCAGAAAAGCGTGCCAGCTTCCGTCCTGGAGATGCTTCAGAAATATCTCCGATGTTTTCATTGACGACGTGAAGTCTCAGCGCTCGGATGGCCGCCCAAGGACAATCATACGGGTCAATTTCAGGTACGTAGAGCATCACGACGGTTACGAACACTGGGTTTGATATTGGGAGATGTCAGACTCCTCCATCTCAATCTCTCCGCATGTTCATGTACATTCACAACGTCATATTGATGCAGCCTCCGGTCCAGAACACTACTCAATGGGACCTCGTTCTCGGTGGTTATACATCTCGACTACGGAGCCTGGGGTTTAATTTGTCGGCCATTGAGAGTGCTGGTTGACGTAAAGTATTCTATAACCCACACCTCCACGATACAAGCGACATTTCCAGGCCTTCGAAACATCTCCGACGGCTTCTTCGAGTCAACCCGATTGTCGTTCGGTGTGTAATAAGCGGTACCGCTGTTCCCTTGTTTAGAAATCAATAGCCGCGGCATTGTTCTGTATGACGGCAGGCAGCTCGAACGTGGGGATCGTCAGCTCGGTTACTCTGATTCTATGGACCTTTCTCAGAGTATCGCGGGTATCAAGATTATGCCTGCCTGACAAACCATTCGCTTAGCTCTTTGCGTTGAATACGCGGCTGTACAATTTTTATGGGTCATAACTGGAGTCTTTATGCATAGAAATAAGTCCCAAACTTTCCCCAACACGTGTGTTCTTTGTTTCCAATGCTTTGGCCACTGCGCATAGAATTACTCGAGATTGAGTTATGTGGCAGGTTGAGTACCGGTCATGAATGTCCATAGCCAATCGTAGGCTATGGGACAATGAATTTGATGGTAGAAATGTTACATCGAAAATACATAGTTACGACCTAGATGCAGAAATTTCAAACCTCCAGGGCGTACAAATATCCTGCATTGGCAGCGTCCGGAAAGTGAGGAGTGCAGTGAGTTTCCCATATTTATTGCGACAGGGTCGAAGGAAGAGGAGGGAGGCTCATTAAATCATTAATCAGTGTAACAACAAACCCGTTCTCCTGAGGACACCACTAAAAAATTCATCGTCATGTCAATGTTTCGTTGAGACAGACTGCTTTGATAGGGTGACATTATGTGGCCAGTATTGCAACCAAGCAGGCCCAACTAGCTGGCAAGAAGCTCAAAGCTATCGCCGTGATGCAATTGAACACTAAGGTTCAAGAGAAAATTATTGCTAAGAGCACAAAGGGACAACCGGGAGATATGCCACAACGAAAGTGTCAGAAACCAGGAATGGCACCTCGCCGAACAAGACGCAATAATCCCATTATGAGGTGGCTCTTTTCGTTAATATATGACAGATGGTGCCTTTCTTCATTGCCATCTTCATTTCCTGACTGGGAAAACCGTTTTGGGCGTGAGATCCTTAGCTAGTAGATCCTAGAACTGAAAACACTTCAAGTTCGTTGCGATAGGTATCTGCGCAGAGTTGAGATCGTGCATAAAGAGCAGTTCAGAACCTATCAAATATATGGGGTGTAGTTGGACGGGAAAGAAGGATCTCATTCATCGGATGCTTTGTTAAATTGGCGGCATTAGACAGAGAAGAAATACCGCCAAATGAAGGACGACTATCTGAGGTAGGGGTGTCAGAAAAAAAGCACATGAAGGTCAGATGACGACAAACCAACCATGCTGCGTTTCTTCGCGGAGGCAATCTCCGGCCTCTACAGTGATATCAAGAGAAGACATACCAACAGCGACACATAGACTCAAGAGGCCGTTAGAAAGCCCCTGGAGATGATCTAGATGGCGGAGCCATCCTTGAACAATGATTTCGGATCGTTCCATACGGTGCTTGCGAGAAAGAACGAGCTTCAAGGCTCCTTCTTTCGCTGGAATTCCGGGAGTACCCGTGGGTTATCCTAGGCTAGATTCTGGAGAAGGGTAGTGCATCAATTAGCGTCGGTTAGTGTCACACACGTCCCTGGCACCCTGTTTCCTCGTCTTCGTCTTCGGCCCCGGGCTTCAAGTACGCGCAAGGGTACGAAAAATAGTACCTCTATGAGTACGCCGGTTGCAAAAGGCTGTAATGGCCATATGCATTACAACTCCGGAGAGACATTCTCTGATCAATAGGGACGTAAAGTTCGAGTTCGTGCGGTGCTATGATGGCGTTGGATAATCAATGGGTAGGCCAAGAAGGAAAAGAATCCACATGCAAGGGTACGACTAGAAGAGCTACGGATTTAAGGCGCCATTTTCCGAACTCGACCAACTGAAGCGTTGCATTGAATACTGCAACACGGTGCCCGAAAACGACGCAGCTAAACCCAGCAGAGGTGGTACAAATCAAGCACTTAGAGCAGAACTGAAGCACGGCAAGAGAAGAGATAATTTGAGTGAGAGCCCGTCGGCTTCCCACAGCATGAAAATAAACGACTCGCGGCGTTTTCCTTGGGTCTGCCAGGTGAAACAGCATGAAGTTGTCGGTATAGTAACCCTTTTTAGCAAAAAGACCCGAAACTTCGCCGTTTCGCTCAGAATCAGGGATAATCTTCGCCGGTAGCCGCAGCAATGGGTCCAGCCTTGCTGCAATGCGGAATTCAACTTCACCTTGTGGCATGAACCGGTGTAGTCGAACTTGAGTTCAAGGTGGCACTGCCACATCGGAGAATCGGACCGATCAGAGTCGGAGTCTTGGCCGGTCTCCAATCCCTACCAGTTCATACGACCACCACGACTAGTAGGTATACGCCGGACTTGGAAATCCCAAGCTCTTCCGTTAAGGTAAGGGACAAAAACCTCCTAGCTCTATCCCCGAAACTCTAGCCAGAACAGCGTTCTATTAATCTCCAGGTCTTTTTGATTCCTAAGATCTTGATTCTTGCGGTCATCTGTCCCCGGTAACTTTCGTGAAGATATTCACAGAGATCAGTGCTTTCAGTCAAATCCTCGCATAAAGCATACCCCCGACTCGGGAAGATGATCTCAGTCTTCCCTCAAGGCAGCCTGTCTGGACTCCACGTCAGCGGGTTTCCGCCTCAAGGTTTCTGTGTACTGGAGTCTTGCCGTCTTCTCAGTGGGTGTAGGACGGAGCACTTTATTTATTTTTCGTCTCGACTACTTCTGACCCTACTGATTCCTTCCAATGTCCTAACCGCAATTGAAGTAAAGTGTTGGACTATCCTGAATATTGCCCTCTCACTAATCCCGCTTATCAGAACATCACTGTGGACATCTTCATCATTTCTGTAACCGAGTATGCCGCAAACCCCTGCTCCGAGAATAAATTTGGTCTACATAGATGACTCATCTACAGAAACATTAGATACTAGTGTAAGTATGCTGGGCCTTAGCTCCCAACACTACTTGGGATCTCATGATAAAAATCCCTCGTGAGACCGCATCATCTTCTCCCTACCGGTATCCCCTAATCGAAAGCCTTGACGATGAGCTCTCCGCCGACGAATTTGGCATGCAACAAGGAGGGCATCTCAGACGCCGAGGCCGAGGTGAGTTGCTTTGGCCGGTTTCTTCATAGTGATGTTTCATTCGCTAAATCTACATCCATCAGGCTCCTGAATCACCAGCGCTATAATCATCAGGCCCTTCTAGACATCGAGATGGCGACAATGGTTCCCATAACCGCATCTTCTGTACGCTTTTTTGGGCCTGTGGTCTAAAATTTTTGGCATAATCGCCGTCTACTTACATTTTTAAGGGCCTTTTTAGGACCTCGAAATATTCATATAGGTGTCGTTTCAATGTGTATTCGCCTCATGCGACATAATACACTAAGATTAGGCGGATCCAACTGCTTCTCGATTTCTCGAGGACATTTGTATTACGCCACGGTCGAAGTCGCTTTTCGAGCCAACCTATATGACCCCCGGGTTCTGCTTTCAGGCCGTTCCAACCGTCCATCCAGAGCCCACAATCGAGGAAGGTGTAAGTTTGCGAATCTGAGACCCAACCTCCTTTACGGATATCTGAACAGATTGTTTAAAATTGTACTAGCTTCGCACGGGCACTTGTTCAATATGATAGCAATATCAATTGTTACGCAACCGGTGTTTTTTATCGCCTCATAATGTTCACCTGGACAGTGTTCGGTTCGTGTGCAGAAACTGCAAGCAAGCTGCGAGGAAATGTGGTAAACAATTCTCTGTGCAGGCATTATCACATGCCAGCGCTCCTTCCTAAGTGCCGTGTTTCGTCATACCGCCTGATCGCGTTGAACCGGCTATCCGGGACACATAGCCGGCTGACTATATATACCGGTTGTAGACCGGACGCGCGACTCACTTCATTCCCACCACCTTCGTGTCCGTTTTTTCAATAAAATGCCCTACGATTTAGCGCAAGCTGTAGGCTTCTCGCTGCCCGACCGAGAGGTGTGGTATTTGCTCGGCATATACCATTTTTGCCAATCAATCGTATTAGGTTGCATGGAACAAGCGAGACCTGCTCACGTATGCGGTCGGCGTAGGGGCGAAGAGCGATGATTTCGCTTATATATACGGTGCGATACGTTTCACTTCATAGCGCCCTCGTGAGCTGATGTCAATCTTGCAGAGCTGGGTACGCCGACCAACTTCGTAGCGGCTAACAAAAACTTAGATAACTGATGCTAGACCCGAAATTCTCTGCCCTGCCGACGTATCCTGTTGTCTTGGCTTTGAAGGGCGCAGAGCAAGATGTTAATTTGTTTGCCTCAAGGGCAAAAGGCGGTGTCCAAGTTCCGGGTATACCACCAATGGATCCAAATAAGATGGTCGGTTTTCCTCTCTCGAATCTCGTAAGCCAATTCTGAAGAACTCTCAAGCTCCACGGGAGCCAGTCCGTAGAAGTTTTAAAAAAGCTTCCTTTGGTGAGTGGGCCGGGCTGGAAATGGACGTCGAGATACACCGGTATTTCTGAAAACAGTAAGTTTTCACATTACGCATGGTAAATGGATACTAAATCTTGTAGAAACTGGTATCGTCATGACTATGGAAAATACGCTCATCGATCCAAATGGTGTACCGTACGCGAGACTCTACGTTCGTCCTTCTCGTATTTCACGAACCGAACAGAGATTCTCACTCTACAACAGAGCTCTACGTTCAATCTCGGAGCCAAAGCAAACGGAACGAGCTTTACTAAGGTTATTGCCAGTGCCCCTGTAGCTAAGGCCGCCCCAAAAAATCGCGAACCTGATTGGATAATCAAAGATCAGACATCGCCAGAGCAGGCCATCTTGTTTCGGCTCAGTGGGGACTATAACCCACTACATATCGGTGAGACGCATTCAATGATACTACGTTATCCTTTACTCACATATCTGGTGTAGATCCCTCAATCGGACACGCAGCAGGGTTCGGAGGAGTGATCCTGCACGGATTGTCGACATATGGATTTGTTGCGCGGGGGCTCATCAAGGCAATAGCCAACAACGACCCTGATGCGTTAAAGCTATTTGGGGTGAGATTCACGTCGCCAGTGAAGCCGGGTGACGCGTTGGAGACTCACGCTTGGGAGGTTGGACCTGGGCCCAACGGGACGACGGAGATTTCTTTTATAACAAAGAATGCTACCACTGGAAAGGTAGTTACTGCTGCATTTCTACTTTCACTATGTGTTGACATATGGTTCATCAGCTCTCCCTTGGTTCTGGTATTGCATACATCAAGAAATCGGAGAAGAGTAAGTTGTAGGATAGGAGCGTCAAGATTGTATGACATGCATCCCCCGGATTCCCACCTTTGTACATTACTGTGTCCACATTTATTTGCATATCATATACTTCTCAAATTGCATCATAACCTTCCTATTCAAAACGGGTGCCTGAAAGGATTACTCGACAAAATACTCGTACACGTTTCTCAAATATTATCCATCAAGCTCAAGATCCACCAGTATCGTAGCTGTTGAAAATTGTTACAGAGTCTTTGGGTGTTACTTCTGAGTTCTCTTCGCAGTGACATACTGTTTGTTCCCTCTTCCTGCTAACATGATACCGCTCCGAGTGGCTTCACTGTGTGGTCACGCTTTGCTGGCTTCGCAGCACTCTCCCGCGGTCCCACATTGCGTCGGCTTCAATATAGCAACCCTTCAGCCATCGGTTTGTTTCCCCCTCCCTCGGCGTGAACCCAGGTTTATCCTGAAATTCAGTCCTAGCATGAAGCACCCTGCGATTATCAAAGAGAACGGCGTCTCCCTCTTGAAGGGTGTATTCATAAGTATTTTTAGTGTCATTGAGCAATTGCGTGAATTCCTTCAGGGCGGAGTAAAACGCCGGTGGGGTAGACAGCAGCAGAGGTGCTTGGAACGGAGGAGAATAGTTCAGCTGTGTGATGGTCTTGCCGTCCCCGGATAGCTCGATGGTAGGATGCTCAAAGCGAAGGTGATGTCCGTCGTTAATATAGTGGAATGGGACAAGGGTCGAGGTGAGCACGTCGAAATGAAATGGATTTTGTTCTTTCAGCTTCTCTGCCGTAAAGAGAGCATCGGCAAAGTAGGACGCGCCTCCCTCGACTTGATTTCGCAGGCAATGGAGAATCTGGTATTGAGGTGGATTTTGGAAATATCTATTGGAGGATTTAGCTGAGACACAATGTAGATGGAGGATACACACAGGAGATCCATATGGAGGCCTAGATCAAGGTCTGTATATGCAATATTGCGACTATTCACAACATTGACAACGTCCCACAATGGACCATAGAACGTCTCTCGTATCTCGCTAAACCTTTGCGCTAGATGACGTAGCTCACATGTCGCATTGCTTGTTTCCTCGTTTGGAACTCCACGCTAGATAGACACAGTTTGTCAATACGTCTGGAAAAAACTCGGAACAGTTGCCACTTACAATGAATATAAGCCCGTAACGGCAGATGTGATCGATTGCAGCCAACAAGCCTGACGGTGTTTTGATAGATTCGTAAGATATGTAGAGATCGGAGGTCTGAGTGATGGATGCGTTGTTCCATGCCTGTTTGAGCACATCTCTATGGAACCGAGAGAGATTCTGGGGGGATGTATGTCGGGCGAGGAATTCCCATGTGTATTTCGATTCATGGTTATCAGACCAGCGAATTCGAAGCCCATCGGCAAGGGACTCAATGTGATCTGGCCGTATATCGAGAGGAATGTCAGAACTACGATGAAGCTTTTGCTGATTAGCCGGATGCACGCATGCGGACGATTGGCATGAATCACGGAGCCACAGATATGGAAAGGCTGTGCCTAGTGAGGGGATGTGGAGATCTGCTTTATTTATAAGAACTTGGACAGATGACTGAAATCGGACATGCTGCATCCGCGAAAGAAGCTGGCGATGGAGGGCTCCCAAGGTAGGACGGGTGCGCAGCATGTTTCAAGCAAGAAATGCAGATATCTGACGGTCTTTATATCAGTTCGTAGCCTCCTGAAATCCGATACGACGTTGGTACCTTGGTTATAAATTGTTCGGTAGATATAGCAACGATTGGAAACCTTTGCCGAAGAAGAAAGAACCTTTGTTATTGAGAGCTCGAATTTGTAGCAGTTTACGAATGGTGGGAATGGATAAGTCGTGGACTTGTAGGCTGTCGAGAACGTCGTGAGAGGCCGTAGCAAACCTGAATCATGGCAAAGATGATCATCGCGGCCGGAACGATTGGCCCGGAGTCCCGCTTTCTGACACAGCCACACTTACACAACTTTTCCCAGTCCTCCTTACTGCCATGGCGTCAGACGAAGCCAAGTGTTCACTACTTTACTAGGCTAGAATATCTGGAAAGAACGTTTATTCTGTCTAACTTGGGGCCGAGTTTACAGTGTGTTCCTCTCTGATATATTTGGTTGAGGCAAAGCACTGAAAGCACTCTTTTGGCGTAACATTTAGTGTTATGTTTCGGGCCGAGCTCTGTAAAGCTGGAAAATGTACAAGAACCTTGAAAGTTCTGGGTCTTTTGGTGCTTAAATCGGAAGAAAGCCCTTCGATCTTTGAGCACGCAAAGTTCGGCTAGGAGAGCCTTATACTTATCCAATCATATTTTCGCTACAACACGATTACAGAATTGTTGCGCCAGGATTCTCTCGCGGCGCCTACTTGGCAGATCACACATGTTTGCAGTCCCAAAAAAATGTGGATGGACCAAGGTCGAGGCTCTGTGGACAAGCAGGTCCATGCTCATGATAACTAGGATTTCTCTGACAGCGATAGAACCTCTATGTTCAAAAATGCACTGTTAAAATGGCTCTCTGGCTCATTAGCAATACATCTGGACCCTCTGGTGCAGAGGAGCACGAAGATCATAACGGCCCTCATTTTGATGGCTGCAAAAGGAAGCGATTCTTTTCCCTAGAGGGTGAATATCCCTGTAAGTTCTTCTTCTATGCCGCAGTGATAGTCATCGTCGACAAAACAAGCGCGCGATCCGGTGGAGAGCGTCGAATGTTTTCCATGAATGATGGTGGCTGATTATCGGGGTATCACAGGCACCATTTTTACGTCTTACTCTGGTTTATACCCCAATACATGAGGCGAGGATGCCCTTGTTCCTTTCTGGACATTCGTTTCAATGTCAGCGGGATAGGACCGCACATACATCGGCGTACGGAGCGATATTTCCATATTATTGTTTTCTTCAAGAGTCTAGCTCAAATTTAGAAGCCCGGAAGACCGTAACGAGCTCTCCGCAAAGAAATTTTCATCCGGTCTCCTCTCTCTTTAAAGACTTCGCCTTCTCGAGTCCATAGCACTCGCTTTCGGATCGTAGAAGATATCACCTCATCCACTAGGAAACACAATCTCATTGGGCACGCCCCACAAATTATGTCTGGTGAGTCGTAATACCCGGTGCTCGATGACCACTCATGTGAGAATAAAGTACTCTTGCCTGTCCTCCCTCCGTTACCCCAAGAGCTCATTGACTCCATGATTGATGAGGCGCAATACGACTTTTTGACACTACTCTCTTTGATGAACGCCTCTCCATGTTGTACTAGGGCCCGTATCTATCTCTACCGCACCATCGATCTCAGTCAACGCCGCAAGGCGACGCGATTCTTCCATCTCTGTATCATGAGGGATGAGATCAAGTCCTACGTTCAATCAGTCTACATCGAGACCTGGAGTACCCCCGATTATATCGAGTTCCGCCACATACTGGAAGGACTCACAAAGGTGCAGGATCTGACTATCTCTGGGGAGTATGAATGTATTCCTCCGGAGCTGCGCGGTGTGTTCGCGTCGTACAATCTTTCCACCTTGACTCTTGAAGAAATGGTGTTTGATTATGCCGACCTGCAAGCCTTTGTCAGGTCATATCCGAATTTACGGCGGCTTATGGTCTTTGATGTCAACGTGGAGGAAAATGTAGCGCCAAACGCAGGTGCAATCGGGCAGCTCTCTTTGGAATCCCTGTCTGTGTCGCAGACAGATTTCCTCACCGAAGCTTCGAAGAGCACAGGTCATGGAGTTCCATTCATCTTAGCCGATATTCGGCGCTTGTTCCTGATGCATACGATGAAGAACCTTAACGAGCTTCAACGGGTGCTTCACGCCGTGCATCAGCCTCTGGAGGAATTGTATATGTATGAACCGCTGGTTCTAAGTAAGTAGAGGCCCTACCCACTTTGAGTTTGCCTGATGTTCCTGCAGCAGGCGGCGGAGATGTTCCGACCCTGGACCTTACAAAGATCTCCACCCTCACGCTCGAGATAGCGGTTGCCGGCGAAGGACCTGGAGCAATACAGTGGACCATCCTTCATTTTGCTTCTCGACCCTCTGATACAGTCAGTACTACAGAGATCAGTTTCGTTCTGACGTTCCCAGGAGGATGGCAAGATGGAAGAAGGTATGCATTTATGTTCTGCTCCTAATTCGGCTGAGTGATGCATTCGTAGCTATGATCCTATACTAGCCAACTTTCGAAGAATTCAATTTCAGGGTGCATGGGATGCGTTAGCGGTGCTTCTCGCCGGACATCTGAAGTCGAAAGTCGAAAAAGTTAGGATAATCATGAGCAACCAGCACGACATGAAGAGGAGCGATTTCCTTGCAATGGCTCGGGCGCTGAGCGAGGCGTGGTTGCAGTCCGCTCGTCGACGCTTGGCAAACGTCGGAAGGAAGTTGACCGTTAAAGTGGGCGCCGTCTTCAGAGAAGTTGAGATGCAGCCTGTTGTTCCTAGGCGCGACGGAACGTATGCTTGGGAGGTAACGAAATGTCTCATATATCAGTCACCCCAACAACAAAGCTCATTATTCTTCCCAGGAGCTGACTATCTCAGGCTAAGGCTCGATATCTACGCCAAGCAATGCTGTTGAGTTGTAAAAAGGGCTCGATCTGCTGGAAACGAGGATCAAATTGTAGCTAACACGTATTTAAGGATAGCCACCGGGTTGTAATTAGCGGCCATCATTCAGTTATCTCCACGTCGGGTTTCGACTGCCATGCTGAGCCCCATCTCGAAGGTTAAATTTTTTTGAATGCCCGACAACAAACTCGATGGTTCCCATGTATACACGGGTTTCTTTGTGTTCCAGAAAGTCGCAACCACTGCAGGTCAAGTGAAAACAGAGCGGTGAACGTTTATCAAGACCGAGGCTTGAATACGCGCCCCTGCAAGCTGAAGGGGGTGCGGTCAAAATGATAAGGAAACCAGTCGACAGTTTTGCAGAAGTGTAACCATGGTATTGAGTAGGACAGGAAGTATATTTCAGAGCAATTACAAAGCATCGAGTGGGGCGGAAAACAGATAATTACAGATACAACATTCTTGCCATGCTCAGAAGATCCTCTGAACAGGTTTGTACATCCACATCTTGGTATATTCTAGGAAGATCGGTTAGCATCGATGCAGAATCTACGAATGATTCTGGCGTACATATCGTCACATTGGGTTCACCCATTTTTCATTTGCTGCGTATCAAGCTCTATGCAAACTGTATATCTCGTGTCCGCATCCGTTTCGTCGTTGTCATGGCCGAATATGTACAGCCTTCGCCCAACCGCGATAAAGGACTGTAGGTCCAACTCCAACTCCCATAGTTTCTGTTTCACATCAAGACATTCAACCTCTTGCACGGGCGGAAGCTGGTAGCGGTATAGCTCAGGAACGAGATGGTTGTTAGATGAATACGGGGATGAAATCCAGCCGCAGATGATAGCATACGGATCAGCAGGAGGAGGGCCAGGTACGAATTCAATAGGCTTCCGGCCGCGGGAAGGAGGGGCGGGGTTCAAAACTGGTTGAGAAGCTTCGATCGTATAGGCAAAGTACCAATGGAGACCCACGGGAAAGACGCCTTCCGTTTGGGATGCAGACTGAAAGGTACCGTGCTTGCAGTGAAAGAGGACCATATTTCCCGAGTTCATGTCAATGCACTAGGACTATACGTGAATGAGTAGATACTAGTAGAGAAGATATGGAACGTACATCGTCCGAGAGCTTCCTACCTGGGGTTAATAGGATCTGCTTCCCGCCGTACACTGCGAGGGCTCTCCCGCCAAAGCCGAGATCGGAGATGTGTGGAGGATATGGCATGTCCTTGTATATCCACTTCCAACGAGAATCGATGCATTCTGCTACGGAGAACGAACGAAAGTTAGGGCTACCATACTCAAAACTCTGCCGTCCGCCAAAGATATACAATCTGTTCTCTATGCCGACCATGGCTGCATCCATGCGAGGGGCTACTATACCCTCAACAGGAACAATTGACCAAACCTTCGTACTGACATTGATGGCGACAAGCTGAGAGTTGATTTCTGTGCCATCATAACCCCCAAACAAGAAAACATATCTCCAGCCGTGGATGTTCAGAAACGTTGCCGAAGCATTTTGAAGAGGAGGAAGAGGACCAGAAGGTGCAAATTCACGACTCAGAGAATTCTACGTGATCCTTAGCCGGCACATATAAATATGTATTGAAGAAGGAAACGTACAGTCCAGTCCTGCCAATTCATGGTCCTTACATCGCAAACATTGAAGTCGCAGCAAAGATCATCAGTGCCAGGGCGTTTACCGCCGAACATGTATATCTTGCCACCTTGGTCATCGACCGCAACGCAACCATGGTCGTTAAAGTAAGGGAGCGACCCTTTCATAGGGATCCGCTGCAAGCCGGTCGCGAGAATATTTTTGCTGCTGTTTGGAATAGTATCCTTTACTGCGACGCTGTTCTTGGGGCGTCCAAGCTTTTTAGGGAGTGGGGGACGCGCCAGATGCTCGGTACTCTTGAATGCTACGCGTTCTTGTCGTTCCAGGGTCGAATGGGATGGTAAAGGTGGCATCTGCGACGCTTGAAGCTTGAGGTCATGAAAAATCAGAACAAAAACGTACTGCAACTTCCTAGCGCGATGTTGATGATTGCAAGGAAACAAGCATTCTTCCGAAGTCATATCAAGTCATCAAGGAACCGCGGATTGTTCGGTAACGAAGAGTTTCCTTCACCGCTGCCGAACGCATTTTTGCTGTTTTTTGGAACAAATTAGCACGGGGGCCGATTCTAGAGCTGCATTGACAGAACAAGCGCGACAGACGCTACCTGTATCCTGTACCAAGCGTCGTCGTCGTCACAGCAAGAAATCAAAGGAAAGATGAGGACGGAGGAAATGGGAGGTCGCGGGGTCACGTTTATTCTTCCGAGTCTTCCACGATGATCACGATACCACCTTCAAACTCTAATCTCTTCGATGACTCCCACTCCCAATGAGCCCGAACGTCGGCCAGTGAGGAATGCTAGACCGAGTTACCGAGAACCTGAGAGCAGTTCGACAGAAACCGATACCAAAGTCCATGACAGGAAGATCGTCAAGAAAAAGGGAAAGGCACGCGAGGTGAAAAGAAAGAGTAGTAATGGCGACCAGGTACGTTCACGGTAGTCCTTTTGTAGGCGTGGCGGCGTCTGACCATCGCTACCAGGCAGAACTGGCTCGATATGAGGCCGGTCCTGAAGGATACAAGAAGATAAGGAACACTGGATCGCTACCCCATTTCAATGACTGGTGCACAATTGTTGTGGACGATATCGGCAAAAAAATCTACATGTATGGTGGGAGCCGTCCTAACGACAGATCATGCATCCCCACAAACGATTTTCATGTCCTGGATATCGACACTATGCAGTGGAAGAAGCTCGCGGTACGGAATCCTCATATTACTATTTAATACTTTGCTGAATCTATAACACAGCCAAAATTCTGGTCTAATGCTCATCAACCATTCGAACCGGTAGGAAAATCGAAGCCCTTGCCGTCGTTGTTCAAACCAGCATGCACTTTTCTTCATTTTCAAGAAACAACTTATATCTTCATGTTTGGCGGCTTCGATGTCGACGAGGAGGCCGTGTCTTCTCGCCTCATAGCTATTGATCTTGATGATTCGCAATGGTGGTACGTCGAAGTTGAGGGAGGCGACGTCTGTGGACGGATGAATGCGTCTATGATTGGTATAAATAACAAGCTCTTCATCTTCGGTGGGAGAGCATCATATGACAAGGAATCTCTCGGCATGGCATCTTACTCTATCGCTGAATACACAAACCATCGATGGAATTGGATGTCTGGAAGGCGGGACCGAGCTTACGATGCCCATGTTCCTCCGTTAGGATTCGGTGGACGAGCTCTCTCCGTACACGGAGGGAGGAAAATCCTACTAACTCCCGGCCGCCTGGCGAACAAAACAGTGGGTTGATTGACTCTATCCGTTATCCTGCGTTCTCTGACATGAGCACTTTAGCCCGTCAACATGCAGGAATCGAACTCAATTTTCTTCCACACCACCAACTTCACGTTTCGAGCAGCGGCAGATACAGTCGGCACCTTCCCCGGAAACTTGCGTTGGTATTGGTCATACTCTAGTGAAGGTTCTCAGCCTTTCGTTCAACCCTTACCAACGACCTCGCCATTACCGCGGAAACGAAAGCGATTATCCTCTCCGCCGCGCGAAGTTGTAGTCTCTCCGCCGCATGTCATTATTGCTGGGTGGGTGGATTATGGAAAGGAAGATCATATTATGCCCGAGCTGTGGCAGTACTTTCTTCCGCCTGAAGAGAAAATCCAGTGCTTCAACATCCGCTCAACGATCTGGTCCATGGACCTGAACCTACACTCCTTTGCTGTAGTCGGTAACCGGATGATTCTTCTTGGTTTTGAGGCAGAGAGCGAAGGCGATAAGGTTCCGGATGATGCAACGTATAACATATGCGTTGAGGTAGATATGGGCGTCATCTCTAAGAATGCGGTTTGTCATTTCCTTGCTGTATGTGATGCATCGCGGCTCACTTGTGATTTATTGTATCCAGACGGAAGTCAAGATTGAGGAAGAGTGAAAAAAAGTCATGGAGGACATATTTCCCGCCGTCAGGGATGGTCTTCATGACGCTAGATTCGATTCGATGAATAAGTGTATAAAGGATGCAGGAAACCGCATGGCCGCCCTGCGACCTCCTCGATAGCAAGTGTACTATATACAAGATTTTCGTTCCCTTTCCAATGGTTTAGTGAGGGAAGGAAAGAACCATCGTGTTATTGAAGTCCTCACATTTCCCCGTCGAAGATGATAACAATCATTTTCTTTCTACCGTACGAACTCGACCCACGTCTTTTTTGCGCTCCGTTCCGACTGGCGAGAGTCTGACGAAAGGGCTTGAATCACACAGAAGGGGCCTCGGAGTATTATCTCGGCGCCGTGATACAAGGTCAGAGAACAATACAATTGATTGAAGGAACAAGATCAGAAACAATCACAAAACCTAGATCAACAAATATGATGGAATAAGATAATAATACAATTGTGATAGTTGAAATTGAAAAGCGGCTGGAGGAATAGTAAAATGTCCATGCAATTCTTTATGTCCATGATGCTACGTATCCTGATCGATGTTTATGCAAAGGCAAAATCGAACGGCCCCATCCACGTCGGGCAATCGTCGCTTCCCATCTCTTCGAAGGAGGAGAATTGCAGCGAATCTGAGCCGGGGGACGAAACCGAAGGGCCAAAGAGATCTGCGCAAATGTCCGCCAGGTCCGAATCGGCGGCGGCAGAGTAGTTGCCAGCGAAGGTGCTCGCAAAAATTTCCTCCGTGAATGCGCCGCTTGCTTCTGCAGAGGGCTGGGATGGCTGGAAAGGATCGAGGAGGGTGAAGGGTGACGATAGTGCTTCTGTAGTTGTTGGGAATAATCCTTCAAGGGGGAACTCGGCCCTGTCTGCGGGGTAAACCTCTCTGGCTTGCGGGAGGGCTGACATGTCCATGTTCCAGTCCAACTTCCAGAAGTCGTTGTCGACGTTTGACGAGGGAGGCGTAACCGGAGGCGGAGAAGGGGTAGGGGATGGGGACGGAGTGGTAGGAGCGACGTCGGTGGCCATGTCAACGGGGTAAACATCTCTGGCCTGCGGGAGTACCGGCATGTCCATGGTCCAGTCCAACTGGCAGGAATCGTCACCGACTTCAGATGAATTTGAGGGGGTGACAGGAGGGGGCGAAGGCGAAGGAGTGGGGGTAGGGGAAGGGGTGGTAATGGTGGTGGCGACTGTCATGACATGGGTGGCACTTAAGGTCGACATCCGTTTGATGTACAAGGGACGAGTCCGCTTCTCTTTCACCTCCTTAATAATGCCCTCCGGCGTACGACGCTTCTTGGGTTCGTACCCATGCCTCCTCTTGCGGTGGCGGCACAGTGAACCCTTGTCACCAAACATGAATTCACAGTCGGGACAGGCGTATGGCCTTAGGCCAAGGCTAAAGAGGAGAGAAAGTCAGTCTAATGTAGCCAGGCAGTAAACTGTAAAGGTGGACTTACTGCACACTGTTGACGTGGGTCTTCAAAGCAGTGGCCTGGTCGCAGCTGTAGTCACAGTGTGGACATTTATGAGCACCCCTGCAAATTGTATCGTTAGTTGTCAGCGTTCTCGGGTAGTAAGAGAATACCCACTTTGCGTAGTGAGCTCGGAGATGGCGATTGAGATCATTTTTTCGCACGAACGGTGTATTGCAGTCCTCAAAGTCGCAAACGAACAAGTCCGGCTGCTGGAAAAGACCAACGAGGGATTACATCAGCGACGAGACAATTAGGTGAGCCATATGAGGAAAACGCACAATAGCAGACTTCTTGGATGAGGAACGCATGATATGATAGGGAGGAAGGCAGGGGAGGACGCAGAGGACGGGGATTCTGAGAGGAACCTGAGAGAAGACCCGGGGGGATGAATAAATCCATGGCGGGAGCCCCTCCTTATAACGGATTTCGCGAGTGCATGAATTAGTTGGCGGGATTTACCTTATATAGAGACAGTTGCCCGACGAAGAAATTGGCAACGGGTATGAGGCCAGCAACTGTCCGTTATAGCTATAGGTCATAGTCAATCGTCAAGAATAACCTAATTAGTAGCTTTTGATGCGGTGCTGGGGGATACCGAGTGGCTCGAGTGGCAATAACAATTATAGGGTCGCCATAGGCAACCAGTTTATAGTCATAAGCGGTAGTGGGAGTGTTCGTTGAAGTCGAGAGCTACCTTGCCCTCGTATTATTCGCAGCAGATTCAGAGGTCATCGTTACATCCTGTTCAGTACTACAATCCGATATGGATGTGTGTAGATGTATCTACAACTGTAATTAGTATAATCTTTTGTTGGGGGTGACGATATGGTCCGGGGAGACCTACACGTTACGGTGGTTGATCTGCCATTGGGCGTGTGCATATGGCACTTCTGGATTATATAAAATACATATAATGAGAATTTAGCACTGACAATGCCGGAATACTTACTGCAAGCAGTGAAGTTGGGTAGTAGTCACATTCCGGGATTGGTATCCGGAAAACATTGAAGGGGGTTTATTTCGAGTATTAAAATGCGCTGAAACACTGTATATCAGACAGAATGTTAGTAAATGCGAGGTAAAAGCGCGTACTAAAGCAGCAGATGATGACTTTGTAACTTCAAGCTAGGAATCCAAGGTCATTGTCGAGCACTCGGCGACCATCGGCCCGGGAACCAACATCACTTTCCCACGAAGGTCACGAGTAACCCTTTCTGTCTTTGTCCACCATCTTGAGAATTTATTATTTCTTTCCAGTTTTCCTACCACTAAGCACCACAGAGCCTGATGAATACCAATTACCACTATATGCGATTCTTGGTATCTCCAAAGACAGCCGATGCACTCTCCTTGCGTCAGGCTATACAGAACGCTCTGGTGCAAACTTTTGGCATTGTTGGGGGGTCGATATACCTAGACATCCTATGGGTGGCCGAGGACGGAAATGAGATGGTCTTGCGAACGACGAAAGAGTGAGTAAAAATCTCCTCTATATTTCATTATCGCTAACGTCCGTCCAACAGAGACTCGACGAAGATTGTTGCTGCTGTCACCTCAGCCTCGACGCCCAGAATATCACTACAAAAGGAATCGTCGTTCCTGCCTGCGCTCGGTAGCACGTCGGTGACGCTAGACGAAGAAGACCTATGAATTACTGAACAGTGCAATGATTTGATTTGTTCACCCTGACAGGATACGTGCAGTGGTGCAATGTCTAGTTCATCTTTTACCTGTCCTCCTTCATGTCCACCACTGCGTCAATCCCCTCGAATAGTTAAATGGGTTTCACTATCGAAACAATGACGCTAGCCTTTATCTCTTGTCCGACATTCATTCCTGTCCCATTTCTCCATCCGATGGCAGATGTGGTCGCACCAGGGGCCCAATTTTATTGACTCTTGAAACCTGAAAGGTGTGGTTGTAGATATAAAACGCAGTGGAGTATACTTGGGTCAGGTGGGCAAATTTTTACTTCGCCGTGTCACATTGTCCTCATACTTTGTCCTTCCTTCTAGTCTCGTGGATACACTGGTCCAAATGAAACCATTTTGATTGATGGTACCGCCATAGATATATCCCAAAATACTGGTTCTGTTTCTATATTCTATGGTTACCTTCTCTTAAACATGGTCCAACTAAATGAATATCACTGTCATCAAGAAGTAAACCAAACATGTATTCAGGAGGGGATCTTGCGCAAGACCGACGCGACTGATAACTAACAACGAAAAGGTTCGCGAGCGGAGGATTTTGACTGGGATATGACAGTATCAAGAGAGCTCTATTAAAGAGGTCAGAAGGAAGTGCCGTGATAAGATTCGAAGGTGATCACAGCACCATCTCTGACTGTGCAGAATTGACGAAGTTGAACAGATTATTCCAGAATCGCTTTTTTAAGATCAATTTTCGTACCGGTATACTGCAGTTCGAGTCTGTTAGTCTGCAATGAACTTTGGAGCTGGAACTTCTCGCTGAAAAGGGGTCCAATACGGCATGATATACCGATGTCGAAGTTCGGAACTGATCATTTATCTAAGGATGTCACAAAAATTCGAGTATGGTGCGAAGTCGCATTCGTTGACGGTCATCCGCACAAAACAGACCTCATTTGTGCCGTCTAGTGCTCTTTGTGTTTAAAGAGGCTTCATCTTGTATGGGGCCCGTATTGTGTTCGATTGATGAGACATACTTTTCCTCTTTACCGCTTCCAGAGGAAGGTCGAAGTGAATCATGATGAACTGACCCAAAATGTGGAGTACCATCAGGTATAAATCGCAGGAGATAATGTCGGCGCCAATTACACAAACTATCGAACCAACTCAGCTGAACCAAACATCTCTACTACTGTTATTTCACAATGATGAACGTACTCCCCACTGAAGTACTTGCCCAGATCATCGAGGAAGCATGGGCACTTCCTCTTACCCCCTTCGGACGACTCCGAATGGCGACATCATCCCAACTCGTCAGTAAATCGTTCGCATGGGAATTCACACGCGTGTTCTGCACCGACGTACACGTTTTCTCACCCTCCCATCTCAACCATGTCATCTGTCGTATGCTACAACGAGACACCGTAGCCTTCCGGTCCATTGACTCTTCCTCATTCATGCCGTCAGAATTCTGTGTGTCCATCACCTTCGTCCTCGAAGTCGATCCCTATGGCACCAATCCCGTAACGCACCCAGCGTCCAAAGATATCCATGATCTCATGTCGGTGCTTCATCAATTCTTCCCCAAAGCCAGCCGGATATCGATGGACTACCACAATTGGTGGTATAACGACGCGTCGCTCGCACGGCTCCAGCTTCCGGAACAAACTACCGAGTTGGAGCTTGTGTATACGCATAGCACGCGGTACACACAAGAGCGTCTGGAGAAGAATGTAAAGTTGGACGTCGTTCCACCGTACGACTTGCCTGGAGTGAAGAAGTTGACGATCAGGGGAGGGAATCGCCTGTTCGACAAGCAAATAGCACAGGCGTGTTACAACGTTCGTCCCTGCTGATGAACATAATGAAATACTTATACTTTTTCTTCTTTGTTTTTGTTGCATCATTCGCTATGTATCTTCTCGGACTCTCTCTCTATAAACTTTCTTCGATTATCTCGCACGTTAAGTTTTCGGACTTTTTAAGTTCTAACTATGCGCTGTATCCAACCAGAAATGCTGTCGCCAATGCAGATTATTCGGATCGAATTGTGAGCCAAATGCATTACAGTATGAATGTTTATAAATTCTGGCGACGCGCTCACCTACCTCTTCACACCGGCTTACGACTTGTCTACTTCCTTCACCTGGGATAGATGCCACTACCAGTGCTCTTTGTCTCCATTTCCAGAGTGCGAGCCTTCAAGGTCAAGGGCCATACACTCAGACTGTCCACAACGAAACAGATTATACTGACAACACTTTCATCAACGAATATTATGTGTACTAGTTTCATTATATAGCGTTTCAAATACATGATCTAACATAAATCCCCGGAGCCCAGAACAGAAAAACCGTGCGCGCTACCACTGTATCCACTCGCCATACATATTCGGTCGCTCGCCTCGTATGTAAGATTCAAACGTCCTTTTGAGCACAGCTGACCAGTCCAGATCGCGCTTGTCGTCCACTACCCTATCCGGTATCCTCTCCTCGTCAGTAGCGTTCCGGGCAATCTGTTCACCAGCTGCGAAGCGCGGGCCAAGGTCCGGGAAATTCCGTGATAAATCAAACGGCTTCCACCTAGGCGAGATGAGGACACAGGAGAGCAAAAGGACGAGGAAGACATACCAGAAATTGTGGAAATGATACGAGTACGCGCCTTTAAAGAATCCATTAAAGCCTAACGCTTGTGGTGCAGCGCTGTTTTGTGTTGGGGTATCGAAGAAGTCTGCGAATCTAAGAAGCAGGCTCATATTAATGAAAAGAAGGAGAAACGATGTTTTTACGAACTCACTCTGTGAAATATGGCTGTGGAGGGCGATCTCGTTGATAGTACTCCGTATTTAACCATGCCGAATCAAAGAGGGCATCCGGTAATCGCAATAATAATCCTTCCAGGTAGGCATCAGCCGTATACCTAGATATACTCATGGGATGGAAGTCTAGCCCATTTTTCATCGCCGTCCGGAAGAGGAACGTGCCTAGCGCTGATCCTTTGGTCATCCTAAGCACCGCCGTGTTGTACTTCTCCAATCTGGACCACCGGTACGCGAACGCTCCTGTCCAACCCCAGAGCTCCTCCCAATCGCGAAGGAATATTGTATCCGCATCGAGATAAATTCCTCCAAACCGGTGACACAGCACAAACCGCGCCATATCCGATAGGATGACAGACAATCGGTCATAGGAGCTCGACGACTTGGACCCAGCGCGGTTGACCATGTCTTCTTCCTCCGTAGCTGCGGTGGATGTCACGTTCGACGACGACGCCTCAACAGGAACGCTTATAACATAACCGCCAGAGTTAAACAGTGCATCCTTGAGAATACGCCATTCATCTTTCAGCTCTGGTACACCATCCAGCTGCTCTGTCGTATTCCATAGCTTGAATTTAATGACATCTTTGAAACGAGGGTGAAGGAAAGGTGAGGCCCACGGGTTGAGCTTTAGTCCTTCGAACATGTCCCGTACGGCGTTGGGGTTGGGCACGGATGCGGCGGGACCAGGGTTAATCCACAACCAGAACTGAGGGCGACAGACACTCTCGTCAAATTGGTTGTCACGAAGATGGATGTCAGTATTCTGGGTAAACAAGAACGAGAGGAGTGCGAGATATGGCTTGTCAGTAAACGGGCCTGTCCAGAACATATGAAAGAGTCGGGGATTTTCAGGGTCGCATTTAGCAGAGGAGGTCCGGTGGGTGAGCGGTTCGGATAGGGCGACCTGTGATTCCCATTCGGCGTCCGGCTTCTTTTGAAGACCAGCATTAGGGTCTTCCTTCGGTGATGTGGCTGGAGGTGGTCGGAATATTGGGTGAGGGGTAGTGGCGTCTTCGTCATCGTATGTCAGGTTCTCGGTGTCAGCGTCCTGTTCGATATATATGTATTTCCAGTCATCCATCTCCCCTCGTCTAACTCGCTCCCCATTATCTAGCCCAGCGCCGAGACGTAGCACTTCTAGACAATCGCGTACATACTGAACGAGCGGTCGTTAGACAGCGTTGGTACACCGGGAATGTCTCCGCACCTTTCCTGTAGAAAAGTCGCAGTGTTTCATGAGAATATCCAGATCCGCGACGCTCCCTGGAACGGGACGTGGCGGGTAGGCGACGTCCGGAAGCGAACTCTGTATGTCAAGGTATATTCGTTTTGGGCCGACACCGATAGTATCGGTGTCCGCCCTAGTCGTGACCACCGTTGACGGCGGCCTATATCGTGAAGGACGTATCGTTCGTTGCTGAGCAGGCAGCGCAGGATTTGGTGGTGATGACTTGAATCCTATTTGCTTCGGTACTGCAAGAGCATAAGTCAAAAGACAAAAACTCTACTAACGGGCCACGTACTGCTCCGCCGTGAAGGGTAATGACCACTAGCAATCTCCCAGCTCCATATCCGCTTCAAGTCGTCCCTCTGGAAGACCAGCGTCGGCGGGTCCAACTGCGGCCGGTACGGCTCAACCCAAGGGTCCGTCCTCCCAAATGTCTTCTTCAACGACATCACGGTCACGACCATCGCTGCACACGCGACGCACATAAGCAGAAATCCCCGCCTGCGGCTCAGCCGCGAGGCACCGAATTGTTGCAGACGAGCATAGTCAGGGACATAAATACGCAGACGACGGCCTGGAATGCCTGGTATCGGAAGGAGAACTTTCCTCGTCCACGAGCCTTGGAAGCGATGTCCTTTTTGTGAATATGTAGGCAGACCGGCGCTGGGCATAACACAAAAAGAGACGTTGAGAAGCTCTGTAGGTCGTCGACGACGTGGACGGAATCAGAAAATGGTAAAGTTATCCTTCCCCATATGGACGTGTATGGATGCTGACACATCATCGACATCCGCCTCGTGTCTATATATGGGAATGGCGCCGCCTCCGCAGTGAGAGAGCAAGTAGGTAAGGTAACGAAACTACAAACGACCTTACGTGACCGCAGTTTAAATAGATAATCTGTCGCGCATCAATCATATAGGTCCTGGAAATGCGCACTAGAGCACTGCGTCGCCATGGGGAAACCCTTGGTATATCTTCAAACTGGGATACAAAATCTTCTATTCTTCTATGCTTGTTTTCGCTGCAACCCTTTAGGCAGCTCTTTCACAAATGGAAGGAAATCACGGCTTTGCATATAAGGTCTCAAGACCTCGGGAATGACAAGCCCCTTTTGAGAAGGATTAGAGAATGAAAAAGCAAGATGAGTCCATGGCTCACCTCGGGAGTCTGATAATTCTCGACGAGACAGCAAAGAGCTCGTTCCGTTGCGCAAAGTGTACCATTCAACATGTGCACGTACACCTTACGCGTCTGTTCCTTCGTCTTGAGCCCACAACGAACTTCTAATCGCCGGCTCTCTGCAACAAAAAATGGGCAATCAGTCAAGATCTCCAAGAATGGGAGGTGGCCACATACGGTAATCAGTACAATTTGAGCACGAAACGAGCTCCTTATACGCTCTCTGGAATGGGAACCACGCTTCCAAATCATACTTCTGCGCAGCCGCAAGATTCAACGCGCCCGAAACAATGGCTACGACCCTGTACCTCAATCCCAAGCTCTGGTAAAACTCCTCGCTGTTCGCGATCATATGGTCGAACATTTCCCAGCTCTTTGTCGGGTCAGTGATGACAAACTGTTCTACTTTCTCGAATTGGTGCACGCGGAAGATGCCCCACATATCGCGGCCAGCTGATCCTGCCTCTTTTCGGAAACATGTCGAGTAGCCTGCGTACTTGATGGGAAGCTGCGTGTCGGGGCTCTCGAACCATTCCTCTGAGTGATAGGCCGAGATTGGCTGTTCTGAGGTCGCAATAAGGTATTTCTCGTCGTCTGAAGCAATAACCTATGTATTTATGATAAGATATTGACTCTTCTCAACAGTTCGCCGTGTCATACCTTGTACAGCTCCTCGTCGAACTGATCCAACTGAGCAGTCTTGGCCATTTGTTCTTTGTTCATCATGAAGGGGGGCTGAATTTTCTTGTACTGCTTCTTTCGAAGGAAGTCAAGGCCGTATGATATGAGTGCCTGGTTCAAGTCGATGCCGTCGTTTGTTAGGAAGTAGCCACGGTGACCGGCAATCTTTGCACCTAGGAATGAAATGGTAGGACGTGTCCGAAATTAAAGAACATTACATACCGCGATCGAGGTCCATAGCATCTAGTCGAAGTAAAACTTCGTGATGGGGCATAATATCGGTCCTTACAGGCGGCTCGTCGCTTTCATCGGCGCGATGCCATGTTCGTAGTATGGCATTGTTATCCTAAGAATAAGAATCAGTAAGCATCGGAGTGCTTAGATAGAGTACCCACTTCCGTCTGGCTGACAGGAACATTCTTTCCGACAATGTTTCCAACCGTACTCGCTTTTTGTCGCATCTTGATCTCGAACTCCTTCGTCTCTGCCTTTTTGGCAGCGACCTGTCCGTCTAGTTCTTTTTTCCGAGCAACAAGTTCATCTGCCGGTTCTTTTGCCTGAATAAGAACATGAGGTACCGTCAAGACTTTATCCCGCAAGACTAGCCTTTTTCTTTGCCGAGATTTCTTTCTGTACTGCATTCACTTGCTTGCTGAGACCATTCGCCTCAAAGTCCACTGCAATATGGGGTCAGCTACACTGTCTTTGCGAACCGAAAACAACGCACTCTTCACCCAGTCCGTGTACATCTGAATTACCTCGTCTACCAACTCTACCGACTCCCCTCTTTTCCGCTGCGACTCCCGGATCTCCTCCGCATTTCCTCCCTTGTTATCGATAAAATTGAGCAAGTCGAGCGTCATGGCGTAGTATCCTTGTCCGTTTAGATAAAGTGAAAATTGGCAAGGTCACTGCAATAGGTCAAAAATTAATGATTTCTTTTTCCGTGACTCGATCGACAAGCCATCGATATGCCGCTTAGATAAGCGAGATAAGATTAGAGATTAGATTACAAGAGGCACGTGTGCCACAAACAATGTCAAATTCAAATTGCAAACTCATTTTTGGACTCAGTCGCGACCATATCTTGCTCCTCCCGTCACCCTTCACCCCTTCACCTATTATTATGTTTGGTCTCATACGGAGAATATCACAGTCTGTGATTCCCCGACCAGATAGGCCTTGGGACGATGATGGTGAGTTTTTTTCAGCTGCCCTCATCAGTGGCGCGTATTGACCCGCGACGCGTCCACAGCTACGTCGAATGCTCCAAAAACTGGCAGAAAGCGACGTTTCAGCACCACAGAGAGAGACGTCAAAGACGATCCTGTTAATAACAAGAAGATCAGGGGCGATTCGCCCGTCACTACAGCCGAGACGCCTCTTGTCGACAAAGAGGTCAAGGCGGTGACAAAAGGTGTGAAGGGGGTTGAACTGGAGGATAAGGAGGCAGCGCCAGAGAGCATCCCTTTGCCTGAAGAAGAGCCTGGCGAGCTTGATGAGGGAGCGGGCACGGATTCTATCGCGTCCACCCCGCCTGCGGAGGAGCCAGATGCGGCGGTGGAAGATCCGTTAGTCGCAGCGGATGGCGTCCCTGCTGACGGTGACAAGGTTGCCGAGAAGGTCGCGGAGATCGCAAACCACACTGCGGAGAACACGCAGGCAGACGCTGCCAGTGACGACGTGAAGGTAGAATCAGTGGTGGAAAAGAAGGCGGATGACGCAGTCAATGCGGATTCTTCAAGAGACATTCCAGAACCGCCAAGGCAAGCCGATGCTTAATCACCCCAGTCGATAACGCATGGTTTCCGTCAATGTCACTCCCTCGATTAACATTATTCTTCCCATCTCTCTGCGTACATATTCCCACTGTATCTTCTACCTGTATATCTGTGTCATATCTCTTTCCATATCTTGCTTGCTTGCTTTCCATATCTTGTTTTCTGCCTTATGCATTTTTTTTGCTAAACATGTGTAATTCATGCAGAGCCTAACGTGTATCACGATGACATCGGCAGTAGGAATTCGCGACACGGAAGGGGGGAGAAAGTCGAGGGAGCAAGCCGTATATAACTCGCCGAAGGAGCTGGTGAGCACCGTTTTGATCTTTCTAACATGAGGTCTCCATGCCCGATGCTAATGGTGTTTCAATCACAGCTTGAACCATACCATAACGCACTGCCTGAACACTATCAGTACGCTAGCTTTGCAATTGCATCACGGTCCATCGTGAGCCGCCTTGTACGGCTTAGCGCCAGACTCCTTCGTCGGCAGCATGTGCGAGGATGTTCGAGTCTCTGCAGTAATATCGTACCCGTGACTCCGGTCCGCTGTTTACCTTGGACCTACAACAGCCTCGTGTTCACCATCATGTCCACCCTTACTCCTTCAGTCTGGCTCCCGATCACTAACGCGGTTTAACAATGACCCAGTTCTGCAGCAATGAACTCGAGAGTGAATCTTGCTGGCCCCATCGTTCAGGACTGTGGTTATACCAGCAAGGTCAATGGAGTTTAATCTGGAGCTTGAAGTAATCGACTCGGGAAAGCAACTTAACATCACCTTATCGGCCCCCTAATTATGTCTTTCATGTGTTACGGACTTGCTTCTGAGGGGTCACCTTGCAGCAACCTGAAGTTGCTTGCAGTTTGTGTCCGGTTATTGCGCTGGTTTGGCCACGGGATTATTTAAACGCTTCTAACGCATCCGCGCAGCATATAATCTTCCACACGTCCCCTTCGCTCGCGCTACTCACGAAGGTGGGCCATGTCGTTCCTCTTCTCTCGCGTTTGGTCGTCCTCCTCGAAAGACGACCATGACGACGATCATACAGGAGCCCCGAGCTCGAGCGCATACCATGCTCCCAATCATTTGTATTGGAGTAACAGTAGTACGCTGCACCTAAATACCGCCATGGTCAGCGCGCCGATACAGAAACCATCTCCGGTATCCCTCACCGGTTTTGATGACCACTGGCAGCAGCGAAAAAACCAACCCTCTACTGTTGCTTGGTTGAGCACAACAGATGATAATGGCGAACAGATAGTCACCAGTCTCCCTATCGTACCGCCTCCTGCAGTACAGAAATCTCGGCTAGGAGGTACACATATTCATCCTATTAGTCGGACTGTATCGTCACCAGCTACGTCTCCGTCTTATTCGTCTCCGTCTTATTCGTCTCCGTCTCCGTCTCCGTCCACTTCCTCCCCCTCTCCTTCGTCCGGTACCAAATTGGTTCCACCGAGATTGCAGATGAACCGAGCCTCAACTCGCAGTACTCAGTCTCTCCGTCTCGACTCCACCACACACGACAGATATGGCAAGAAGCAATTGTCGCCTATCGCTGAGCAAGACTATTTCTCTCCCGAGTCGCTACGGAGGAGCATCCCCCTGCCCTCCATCTCCGCCGAACTAACACCGGTAAGCCCAACTACAAATCATAGTCACAACACAAGTGGTTCGGACATTACTCGTGAGTACGTTTCGCTGGCTTTTAATTTCCCGGTACTGATGCAATACACAAGGCCCTTCGCCTGTATACTCCAGTCCATTCATCCTGCGTCCTCTAAACAGGACCGGATCTCAGTCATCTTCTCGTACCCATATCTCGACAACGCAGTCTGAGACGCCGCCAAGCATTCCTCCCTTAGACTTGCGTCCACCATTCCCAGGTCCTCATCCCAGTCATGACGGAGATGGACCAGCGCTACGACCGAGGAAGTCATTGAATTTCATACACATGCCAACGATTGGCAGCGAGGAGGAAGGACCATCAGGGAGCGAGTATGGTGGTGAAAGTGATATTGCTTCCCTCCACGCGGACAGTTTTGTCACAGCCAGCGATTCATTACACGAGCGCAGTTCATCTAGTTATGATGCAGGACCCGTTCCTTTTGCGGACCGGGACTCCAAACCTGATGAGTTCCCAAGTCTCACGACGGTTGACAGTGCCGACCCGCCTCGATCTCCCCCATCCGCTTCGGAATCCTTCATCGCCCGCCGCTGGGACCGTTTCGCCTCCTTATACGCCGGCCCAATCACATTCGAAACCAAACCTAGCCGTCTGTCCCTCTCACCTGCTTGTTGGGCGTTCTGGCTAGGTTTCCTCTGCCCCTTCCTCTGGCTCGTGGGCGGGTGGCATTTTACCAACTTTGGTGAGCAGCCCCCCAGGTTAACATTTTGCGACTTTTACTTCAACATTGGGTATTGGAAGGTCGTGTACTTTTGCCATGGAAGAAGACGGGAGAAGAAGGGCAAGGAGTGCGTGCTGCCGCGGTGGGTGGAGGAGAAGAGCGAGCAGTCGAACGAGGTAGCGAGAATGAATGATGCGAGGCGTTCGAGAAGGGGGTTCTTGTTTGGCTATCCGTTCGTTCCGCGACCTACGGTGCCGAGTGGACGACGGCAGGGTTCGTTTCGGTGTTGTTGGGATATGGGGGTGAAGACGTTTTCGAAGCCTAATTGGTTCCTTGATCACTTCTATGGCATCAGATTGAGTGAGGTCAAGGGGAGGAAAGAGACTGGACGGAGGATGATTGATCCATGGATTCAGCGGTGCAGGTACGCTTTTTGCTACCTGGTTGTTTTATTCTTCGCTGGACTGCTTGCTGGCGCTATTTATCTCCTCGTCATAAACACAAAGGGACTTCGGTAGTATTTGATGTAACAAGAATATGCATTCCGTATGGTGCATACGCAAATTATATGTAGGCAGAAATACATGTTAAAGCCAAGTTGTCACAATAAAAATCACCGCTATCGTCTCTAGTGAGGTATCTACTGGGAGGCTGTCGGTAGAGGTTTGCTTCATAACAAATCAAACCGGTTTGGGTGTACTATTAATCATCATGATGGCGTCCGAGACGAATAGAGGAGCTAAGTGATACCGAGTAGAGGTCTCTTCTAGCAGTACGATACACAAAAAGGAGGACAATAGACAGTAGGCTGAAAAACGGAAATGAGAAAGCTCAACCTCTACAGTTTGAGGCCTCAAGTTCAAGACTAATTCAGGTAGTAGGTGCATGTACACGCAATGCTGTTTCAAGGCGTCGACATTCATAGCTGCGGTCCAACTATTTCATATATACCAATATCGAGGTCAAGCTCTAAGTTGTACAGTGGAATTGTTTCGGCGACGAATGACGACCACAGCTTTCGATCTTCTTCGGTTAAGGGGCCGAGAGCATAAAGTGACTTGGAATGTTCCCACCAATAAGGCCACCACCCTGATTGTTCCCAGTCTAGTATAGCGCTGATTTCGCCGTTGTGAATGAGGATGTTACGGGGCACAAGATCGGAGTGCGTGAAAATGGATTGCGAGGAAGGAGAATGGGAGAGTGCTGCGTTTAACAGGTCCGAATGAATACGAGATGCAATAGATTCGTTGAGTTTCTTAGCAGTTGATAGTAGATGGTCGTAAAAAGACTGCAAGCTAGGGAAAGGTCCGTATGCCTGGGAGGTATCGAGTTTATAGTCCCAGCAGTGATGATTTCCTACAGGACCGACATATCCATCAGGTAATCCATCTAAGAAGGGTTTTTATTAGTTAAACGAAACAACAGCTTTAGATTAGTCTTGCCTGGCCGAATTTCCCTCAGTTGATTGATATAGTTGCGCATCTGTCCTTGTATCTTGTCCCTCTCTTTCGAACTAAGATCTGGCCAGGCTTGGTCCCAAGTGCGACCCGGCATGTACTCCATGACGACCCAGCACATTTGTCGACCGTCCTGCTGAACGTTATGATCGACCCAAACGTGACGCAAGTGAGGAATTGGGAGCGAGGTCAAGCGAGAAACCAAGGCCATGGTCTTTGCTTCAACAATGGATGTTCGCTTGAGAAGGGACTTTGGTCCTATTTGAACGACCCTCGATCCGTAACGCGTGCCTTTGTATCGTGGTTGGTCGTAGAGAATACGACCTACAAAAATGCGTAACTTGACATAGTATGTGGATAGCCATGTTCGATGGCACTGAGTAATGTCCATGGTAGATTAAGGACAAGCCTCAGTGTAGCTGTACAACAATTAATAAACTTCGAAGCTGACGCTGAGCGCTGATACCGCGTTCCTTTCGATTTCGATTTATATCTGTCGAAATCTCAGTCTTTACTTTGACAACCCCCGAGGTTGGAAAGCAGGAGGCGCCTCTGCACCAAATTGAAGAAAGGATGTATGCCTCCTCTTCTCAATCTTTCTCGATATAATTTTGACGGAAATCGATATAATTTTGACGGAAATGAAGAAAGGGGAAAGTCGGGGGAAAGAGCGGGCAGGTAAAAGCGGTGATGGCGGCGAGTGCCAAAAGAGGACTTCCACGCCATAAATTGTCCGGTAACTATGATAAATTTGCCGGCTCCTTCCCTTACTTCAAACGGCCATGACCAGGATCTGTACTCCTCGCTTATTGGACCCTGTCCATGATTGCCAGTCAAATCTGGCTCGAAAGATCGCCTTTACTTAGAGCTTACGACGCAGCGAACGGAGACGTGGACAAGAAACCGGAAGAACGCATCCGTCGCCAAGATATCCATACGAAGAGGCAGCATGTTTTGGCGACACCCAGCATGTCAGCATGCTTCTTGTTGCTTTAGTTCGCAAGTGCTCGGAACCGAGGGTCGGTCCGCCGACGTCGTTCTAGGACATGCTTGGCCGCCGTCGACATAGGCGTTAGAATGGGTAGGAATTTCTGTGAAGAGACCCAAGATCAGAGGTTGTTCTACTGTATGTTCCATACGATATTGTATTTCTCCGAATTTCCCTCAATCATCTTGTCCACACAGAAGTAGGAGCAGCATCTGCTCGCTATCATGCCTGGTGACCTACCGTGACTTTTTGTCGGACCGGCCATCATCTTGAAGGCGTCCCGTGGATCAGTGCACCGCGCCGTGGTAGCACACGTATAAGAAAGACATAACTGGCAATTGTCCTTGACCATGCTCTTCCAAACAGTTTGTATCCTCTTCTTCTTCGCGGCCGTGTCTATACAGGCCCTGCAATATGTCGAGCCCTTCACTGCTACCCTGTTCAGCCCCCCATCCAACTACATAGTTCCGCGCACACTCTATGCACGAACTCTTCGTCTTGCGAATGATGATAATGTAATCCTGGCCACATGGGAAAATTATTCGCCAGAACCTCCTCTGGTTTATTTCCCTATATACCGCTCCTCAGACCTTGGGCGGACGTGGACGCATATATCCAACATCACAGATGATGTGAATGGCTGGGGGCTGCGTTACCAGCCGTTTCTGTATGAAATGACGGAGGATATTGGGACATTTCAGGCAGGAGAGTCTCTAATCCTCGATACATTGTAATTGACATCTTTGACAGGCTGGCACCATTCTCTGTGCTGGTAACTCGATCCCAACAAACCTTAGCAACACTCAAATTGACCTCTATGCGAGCACCGACAAAGGATATACTTGGCAGTTCGTTGTGCGTTCTCTGACCTCTCTATCTTCGGCCTGTTTTGGCTCAATCATTTCGCAGAGCCACATCGCTGCCGGTGGCGAAGCACTGCCTAACAATGGCCTTACGCCTGTTTGGGAGCCCTTCATTCTCACGTACAACCACCAAATCGTTGTATATTATTCTGATCAAAGGGATCCTGAACATGGACAGAAGCTCGTGTATGTGTCGCTTCTCATTTTCACTAAGTTAAGTGAACTTGATGGATCATCAGACACCAGGTGTCCTCTGACTTGATAAATTGGGGAGAAGTCGTAGATGATACCGCATACGACACGTACGACTGGCGCCCTGGCATGCCGACGATCGCTGAACTCCCGAACGGCCAGTTCATCTTCACTTACGAGTTTTACGGGGCCACTGAGGCCAACTTCGCTGTGTATTACCGTCTTTCGGACTCTCCCCTTACGTTCGACTCTGCCCAGGGATACGTGGTGAGGGCAGCCACGGGACAGCTACCGACGAGTAGTCCATATGTCAACTGGACACCGTATGGGGGAGCTAATGGAACGATCGTTGTTTCCGCCAACAGCCATAGCGGTGTGTTTTTGAACACGGATCTCGCGGCGCCAGGAAGCACTTGGACATATGTGGCTACTGCATCCTCCAGGTCATATACCAGAGAGGTGAAGGTGATGCCGAGCAATAACCAGATCATGCTTACCGGAGGCGGGGTTCTGAACGGGGGCTCGAATACTGTTACCACGACAGTTATCAACCTTTGATAGTGGGTTTACGTGTGCTTATCGCTCGATCAGTTGCTTTGAATGAATCTCTTGGCTTACGATCGCCTGGACAACCTAGTACCGCCCTTTCGCAATCACCTGATGCGAAGGATGCTGTACAGAAGGTAGAAACGGTTAAATAGCCATCTTAATCACCCTTTTCTCCCGTCGCTGTGATTGATTCACTTGACCTGAGTGCTGGCATTCTATCTTTCGACGCTGGACCGTCTGTTCAGAAACTGTTTACGACATTGCCTGGCGTATGATGGTTTCTTCTGTTCTTCTCACTCTTTATTTCCTGCATGTTGTGAAGGCACAGGAAAACTGCGGAAAATACGTACGAGCTGCCACTACTGCTGCCACTAACTTGTAGTCAAAACACTTCTCCAACAACGTCGATTATGGGGACCAGCAACCTTGGATAAGCGCTGTGGATGTATTCTATCTCGGTCAATGTGCGCCTGATGTCCCTTTTCACTTTTCTTTTTCAACGCTCAACTCTCTTCAGTGGATAAAATGACAGGGAAAGAACAGTATGGCAATGTTATCGACACCGTGTTTAGCAATAGCGGCGTGCAGGATCATTTGCTCAATGGTCAGTCATATGATGACGTCCAGTGGGTATCCATCGCGTATCTGCAGGCCGGAAAGCGAGATGAAGCGAAGAAGTTCTACGATATTGCGAGTACAGCTGTGGACGACACTTATTGCAAGGGTGGATGTATGTATGGTTCTATATACTCTGTTTCGAAGGGCTGATGAATCAATAGTGTTCTGGAGCGGAAAGAGGGATTATAAGAATGCTATTGTGAGTGCCTGTGCACATGTCCAAGGGCCGATTTCACTGACGTCTCTTGTAGACGAATGAGCTATATATGGCCTCTTCTGGTTACCTGTATGAGGTCTTACAGGACAAGAAGTACCTAACCAATCTTAAACAAAGTAAGTACATCGCCTCTCAAAATCTGCCCTCTGAGATTGATGTATCTGAAGCGTATGAATGGTTGAACTCGACGAAGATGAGGGGCGCAAATGGACGTGAGTGTGATCTGGTCCTCTGAGAACGCAGTTCTAAATACAATTTTTTCGAAAGTCTTCAATGATGGTTTAAGTAATGATGGTAAATGTGAGAATACTGGTGATACACAATGGCAAGTTTTTCTTCAGGTGCCTGACGGCTTCTCATTAACCGAACGCATCACTACTAGGACATATAATCAAGGCGTCATCCTAGTTGGGCTAGGTTATCTTTACAAATGTATGTATTCTTAGATTTCATCTCATCTCATCGTCCTTAGAATATCCTCGTCTTCTATCTAGACACACAAGATGAAAAGTTCCTCCGAGACGCTTTCACCATCATGGACGCCATCATCAAAGATCTCACCGTTGACGAAGGACTACGAGAACCCTGCGAAACGCTCACCCAAGACTCGTGTAATGCAGATCAGGCCTCGTTCAAGGGTATTACCATGTATTACATGTACGCGCCTTTTTCATTACCTTCTCGGTATATATACCTACTGCGACTTTGCCAGGGCATGGTTCCTGAAATTGACAGGCAAAGACTCCGGATCCAAGTACACAAAATTCGTTAAGCTCCAAGCTGACAAGGTTCTGGAAAATGCAGTTGGGCCAGAGGGATGGTATAGCAATCTGTGGTATGGGAAGGGCCAAGGCGGGGCTCAGGTCACCGCTTCGAGCCAAGCTGCAGCTTTGGGTGCATTCCTGGCGGCTGGTCAGCAGAGGTGTTCCTGATCAAAACGCTACTGATCGGACGTATCTTCCGTAATCCCATTAAAGCCTATCCAATCAGAGTTGGGTCGAACACGATTGGACCGCCGATACTTTGGTGCCATTGTGATTGGGAACGTAAGTATTCAAGTCTTTGCCTGAAGCCCTTGAATATATCCCAAAATAAAACGCCTATCTTACATATCATAGTACCAGTACATACTTGCGCATGACACCACTTCTTGTGTGTTCGCATCTACTACAATGACGGAGCCCTGGTTCATGTGGGTGCGTCGGAATTGGCCGACGGCAATGTTATGCCCGTTGCTTCTGTAGAACCTGCACCAGGGATCGGTATTCGCACTGACGCGGATCTCGCATCGGCTATAGCCTCAGCGAAGCTGGGAGGCGGTAAACCAGGGGGGTGAGGATCTTGAGGCGGGGGCGTGGACGGTGGAACATCAGCGTAGTTAAGCATCGTTTCCGTCTCAGGGGAATTGTGCGGTTCTGCCGTGCTGTCGACATGCCCGGATGATGCTGAGGAGGGGGCGTAGGGTGGGGGCACCGTTCCGGGGAAATATCGAGGCATGAACGGCGCCGGACCTATCATGAGTGGGGATGTCGCAGCGATCTCTGCACGCTCTCGGCGCTCGCGTCGAGCTGAAAGCTTACGTCTGGCGTAGATACTGAAGAAAATGCAGAGAGCGAGTGTCGCAAGAACGCCTACACTGCCTCCGATGGCGCCTTCGAATGTGGCAACATGGTTTTTTGGGGGTCTTGTGGTAATGTGTTAAACGGTCCAATTCAAAAGGTAAGAAAAGATGCGTACTCCACTCCACTTGTCTGGGAACCAGAAACTTGGTACACGACGTCGTTCTTGGTGTATATCATGTAGTCGATTAAAAAAACGGAATTGACACCAAGGGACGCCGACAAGACATGAGGAGATGGCGTCAGATTTTCTTTTGAGAAAACGTTGAAGTGGGGAATAGGCTCTGCCGTAGTGTTTGAGGTCTCATGGACGTACGTGCCGACCAGTTCATTATCGAGAGTGAATGTAAGATTCATCGTTGTCGGTGAGATTGGCGAGGAGCCTACGGGCTGAATACAATAGATGTATATGGCAGAACCTGCGATAGGCGTGGGTTTAAGCATGTCAGGGCATAAGTCTAGTCCGAGCTGACCGTTAAATGTGAACTGCGCAGTTACGGGCGTATCGTCGAAGTCCCGAGTGTCGGAATCGAGGATAGAGACATTTCCACCTCTCTGGGGTGGATTTTTATTCGAGCGACCAGTATTCCCATCCTTTCCATTCTGACTGCCAGAATCATTGTCTTCATCCTGACCCTCCATGTCGTCCGGATCTTCTGAATATAAAAGATGGGCCGCTCCGTGATATGTGTTCTCAAACACGTCGACTTGTCCAACGTCCACTTTGAGACACGAAGAGCAGACTGTATCCCTTGTGTACCATGCCTCCGGGGGAGAGTAGGTTATCAAAAAGTCCGTATCGTCAACGGTCACATTGACGTTCCCTCCACTTGCGCGCTGACTTGCGAAGGAAACGACGAAAAAAAAGCCCAGGTATAATGAGCAAAGATATTGCGATCTGTGATGCACTAATCATGATATTTGAGCCCAGTGAAAGCAGTGAGGACTCACCTCATCGTGACCGCTGAGCTCCGTCGCGACAGAGGGGAAGGTGTGAGTAGCCGGAAAGCCTAGTAACAATTGAACCAAGAGCCATAATACCCATATTCCCTAGATTGGTATAACCACCGCAACAGCCTCGGAACGCACGACAGCGTAACCGGTCGACTCGGAATAGTCGAAAATTGAAGATTTTCGCACACGTCAACGACCGGTCCGTCCTCTCCCGTGACTGATATTGATCGCCGGCATTTCTAGGAGATTTGTCATTGCCTCTTTGTCAGCAGGTCCCGATAACGCCCGATTCAGATGCACCGCCACCCGAGAGTTCGAGTCGGGCGTCTCCTTCTCTTTCAGGCCTCCTTTTACAACCAATCGCAAGGCAATTTTTATTATGCGAAATCATTAATCTGTGAGTGACTCGATTAAATTCACCGCTTCTGGGGCAAACTGTTTCATATATATATATCCTTAATATGGCTCTGACTCGTCGTTGCTTGTTGATCTTATTATTCCCATCTTCAGATGATCACACCTTCGATGAATAAGAAATAAAGAGGACCTCACCAGTCGCTGGCACCAGTGACGTGTCCCTTATTCGATCATTGAAACGCGTCTCGATCGTATAAAGCGTCTACAATATCTTTCAAACTTATTACTTCACTTCCCACACACATACATGGCTGAGCATCACAACCAACACCATGGCCATGGCCACGACTTCGCTAAGGCCAACAAAGACCATTTCGACAAGGACTCCCACACATATGACGAACTACATAAGGTAAAGGAGGTGACAGAAAAGTATGGCGCAGTTTCTCCCAGTGTTCTCCTGTCACTGCTCATCTTTGGTGCCTCAGGGAAGCCAAATATATTCTCTCAGAAGGATGGTCCTTCAATCCAGAATCGACGACTGTTTTGAATTTCGCGTGCGGTACAGGTACTACCATATTTTCATCTGGTTTTCTTACCACTATGCCTATATGACTTCTTGATACTAGGTTTGTTGGAGAGAGACCTCGTTGCCTACTGCAAGTCTATTCAAGGCGTCGACATCAGCCAAGGCATGGTCGACCAATACAACAAGAGAGCCGAAACCCTTGGAGTCACTTCCAAGATGAACGCAGTCGTTTGCGAGCTCAAGGGTGTAGCAGAGGAGCTGGAAGGGCGCAAATTTGATGTCGTCCTAGTTCGTCTCATTTCTTAAGCGTCATGATTCTCATTTCGTACTAACATGTACCCGCAGTGCACCATGGCTTATCATCACTTTGAATCCATCGATGAGATCACCCGCATCCTCGCCTACTTCCTCAAACCTGGAGGCGCCCTCTTAGTCACCGACCGAGTGAGCTCGGATGCGGAGTTGAAAATTGAGGACGTTCCGGAGAATTACGAAGCTATCGTTCCACACAAGGCGGGTTTCTCGGAAGAGGAGATGAGGAAACTGTTTGAAGGCGCTGGACTGGGATCGTTCTCGATGAATGTTATTCCTGGCGTTACCATGGACGATATTCTCCCGGGCTTGATAAACCAGAAGTTGTTCTTGGCTAAAGGTGTTAAACCGCTTTAGGTAGGAAATCAGGTAGCTTGGGGACCCACTGCGGTCTACTGCGGTTTGTACATTTGTATAATTATGGGTCCTGAGTACAAGTATAGTGGGAAAGCATCGTATTTTCCGCAGTCTTTGGGATGACGATGTTAAAACCCGGATGATCTCCGAATCCCGTGAGTATTTTACAGGAACAGCATTTTGAGTATACAGATACGAGTTCCGCGAGTACCTAATAAAGCGGCTTGCCAGGGTATATTCGCAGGCATGATCTGGCCCGCTTGGTACACCCTTAACGTTACAAATACAAACCACTCTACTGGCGGACGGCATCTCGGCCTCGTGATCCTGTTCGAACCTTACCGAGCCTCAACGGATGACTAATCAATCACAGACCCGGAAACCCTCAGGTCATCCCTTACCTGCCCCCTGATTGTGCATCAGGGATCCTTATAAGATGTATGATGAGCGCCCAATCCTGCGTGATGATATGCAGTACCGGACATAGCACTAGGTGAGTACTCATCAAAGTGTGGGTAACGTTTGCTAAAGAGATGGTCGTAGCCTGTGTGTATGCTAATAGAATGATCAGAAACCGCTACAATATTGTGCTTGAGAACTACCGTGGTTTCGAGTGGGCAAGGAGAATGTGACTGAACTGTCCCCTTGCCTACGCATCCATCGCCGTTTTCATCTCCCCCTTCTGATTTTCGCAAAGCGCTTATTGCCGCGTAACAGGGTGCAGCTGTTTTGGTAACTATATCAATGCGAAATTTCCAAGGAGGTCAATCATAACCATCGACGACATGATCGACCTCTTGATCACCTTTTGTCCCCCAAAAATTGATGCGGGCTTGATTCTGTGTTTAACTTTATCTCCAGTCATCCAGGATGATGAATAATGCTCAGTAACCTCCCCAGTGATACCCCAGTGATGAGTCAGCCGCGTTTCAATTTCGATCATTGAAACGCGGGGACGATTCTTATAAAATCGCCTACAGTCTCTTCCAGAGCCACTTCGCCTTCGAGAAGCAGAGACATGACTGACTTCGTCACAGCCAACGTAGACCACTTCAACAAGGCGTCTAATACCTATGACACATTTCCTCTGCTACAAGAGTTGACGAAAAAGTATGTAATCGTCTCCTCTTGAACAACGGCATCCAGTGATTGATTCCCGCGTTTCAGGCAAGCCGCATTCATTCTCTCAGATGGATGGTCTTTCAATGCGGACTCTACGACCGTATTGAATTTCGCGTGTGGCACGGGTGCACTTTGTCTCCCAATTGGGTTCTTAGTATTATTCTTATATGGTATCTGATATGTAGGTCAAATTGAAGGGGAACTAGTTGCCCACTGCAAATATATTCAAGGCGTTGACATTAGCCCAGGCATGGTCGACAAATACAACAAGACGGCCGAAGCTCTTGGGGTGTCTTCAAAGATGAGCGCAATTGCCTGCGAGCTCAAGGGTGTACCTGAGGAGCTGGAGGGGCGCAAATTTGATGTCGCCCTAGTTCGTCACATCTTTCGAGCGTCGTCATTCTCATTTCGTACTAACGTATTTCAATTCCAGTGCACTATGTCGTATCACCACTTTGAATCCACCGAAGAGATCACCCGCATCCTCACCTATTTCCTCAAACCCGGAGGGGCACTCTTAGTCACTGGCCGATTGATCCCAGACGCTGTATCGCAAGTTGAACTTATTCCAGAACAATACAAAGCCATCGTTCCGCAAAAGGCGGGCTTCTCAGAGGATGATATGAGAAAGCTGTTTGAAGGTGCCGGGCTTGGATCGTTCTCATTCAATGCCATTCCTGGTGCCACCATGGACGGCTTCTTCCCGGGAACGCCCCACCCGAAGTTGTTCTTGGCTAAAGGCGTCAAGTCACTTTGAGTTGAGTATTACGTAGCTCGAGGTCTCATGTTTGGTGCGTCATGAGAAGAGTACTGAATGATGTATTTTCAACTCAACAGCAATCGGTTATGCAGAAGCTCGATCCCTGTCCATGATGGTCTCTCTTTCTATGCGGTAGTTGACATTCTGTGAACGCATACTCCCCATTCAACACGGTAGTGCCTGGGCTGAAGCTCAGAGCGTAGAAGGCTGAGAAAGTGAAATGATCCGGTGTGGGCCTTGAGCACGATTGTGATCGGATCTGAATACAGCATAATTAATTCTGTGCTTCGTGTCTGATGGTTCACTAGGCGTCAGTACCAGTAACGTGGATTTGGGGACGATATGTTGAAAGTGAGTGACCTCCGCACGGCGTTCCATTGATATTGGCCTATATATACTTTGAAGGCACATTGACAGTGCGTGAGATACTCTGACTGTACCGTAGCGGATGCAAGTTGCTGAGAATGAGTCCGGAGTCTCCGGTGTCGGACACTATAGAGATAAAATCCGAGGAGATGAGTGCGACAGACAAGCGACAGATGTCAAGCAGGCATATGAAGACTCAAACCGACTCGGGGGAATGAGCAGTCGCAGTAATAGTGGCATGAGAATGTCGTAGTGATGCCGTCAGAGTGAGCGTACGGTCATCAATCATTTTAATTCCATATTCGCGGATGTGAATGACCAAAGGGAAAAAACCGCTAAAATAAATCGTGCATTTCATGTAATCAGTAAGTAATTTGTTGTAGTCATGTACAAATTAGAATAAAGTATATTCATAGTTTACCGGACACATGGGATAGCTAAAACTACGCGTCATGAATCCATTTCGGCCTCCTTCCACGTGATCCTGTTCGAACCTTACCAAGGTGTGACTAATCAATCACGCCATTCACGTGTACATCAAAATCTGAGCCAAAGGCGTAGAAAACCATCCGTATGCAATATGCTCGCTCATTTTTTTGCCGATCCCTCACCATGTCCCTTCCTTACTTGACTGAGCGCCAGCTGGCTATATCAGCTGTACGACGAGCCTGTGTATTGACCAGTTCCGTCTTCAACAAATTGGTGAAAAATGAAACCTTGACCAAGGACGACAAGTCGCCAGTAACGGGTGTGTAGCTTTTCTTGTTGCTGTGCTGGTGCTTGCTTAGAAGATGACTATAGTTGGAGACTACGCAGCACAGGGAGTGATTAGCACCATGATCCATAATGCGTTCCCGGACGACCTTATTATAGGCGAGGAGGATGCGACCGACCTCCGTTTGGACTCTGGCGCTGAACTTAGGCGGCGAATTGTCGAGCTCGCGAACGAAGCTATCGTTGGACCTCTAGGTGTTGGTGACGTGAAGGAATGGGGCATTGGACCAGGCCAAGCGCTGACGCCGGATGCACTGATGGATGCTATCGATAGAGGAAACTTCCAAGGCGGGCGGACAGGACGTGCGTATCCCCCGATTCCACCTGATATCTTATCTTATCACAAATTACAGGAATGTGGACCATTGATCCTATTGATGGAACCAAAGGTTTCCTTCGAGGGGAACAGTACGCTGTTTGTCTCTCTCTAATCGTCGACGCCCGGGTCCAAGTCGGTGTCATAGGATGCCCCAACCTCCCATTCGACGCCGACACCAAAGGCTGCATATTTGTCGCCGTCAGAGGACAAGGCGCTGAGCAGCTTAACATTGAAGGATCCAATCCCAAGCCCATCTCAATGCCCTCCCTGGCTCCCTCTGAGCTCAATTTCCTCGAGTCCGTCGAGGCTGCGCATGCCTCTCACTCCACCAACGACAAGATTTCTTCGATTTTGGGCATCACGCGGCCGCCGATTCGAATGGACAGTCAGGCGAAGTATGGATGCCTGGCCCGAGGTGACGGCGGGGCTTACATGCGTATGCCCACCGGCGTTGGTTACAAAGAAAAGATATGGGTATGTTTTGTTCTTAGTCAGTGTGGGATAGCCTTTCTGATTCTGGTGTAGGATCATGCTCCCGGAGCTCTCCTCGTGGAAGAGGCAGGCGGTGTCGTAACAAATTCGCTAGGCCAGCCGCTTGACTTCGGATTGGGACGTACTTTAGGAGAAAATTTTGGTGTCATTGCTGCTAGTAAGGCTTGTCACTCGAAAGTGTTGGAGGCGGTTCAGAAAGCGATCGCACCGGAAGAGAAGTCATAAGTTTGTAAAGAAATCATGTACGATCATAGAACTCGATTATGCAGTAGCATTGTTGTACAGTAGATATTTTCTGCATGAGATTGTAGATTGTAAAATTACCTGGTTCAGAGGATGTTTGAACTCTACGAGATCGACGATATTTCGAAGCCTTAAGCATCATAAGTGTTTTAGGGTAGAACACTATCCAAAAGATTATATTCACAATCACCACGTACAGTTAACACTAGCCCACAGCTCAAGAAGATACCTCTACCGCCTAATAACACAAGCAGGATAACAATGTTAAAAGTTACACAAAATAATACAAATGAGTATGAGGGGAATAAGTAATGCAAGTTATATGTAATGTATGCAATCCAGGGCAGAGTAAACACGATAGCAATAGTTAGCATAAAGAAATCAATCTGCAAGCTCGTAGTACGATCTAAACATGGACTCTGTCCGCAGCGCCGTCTCACCTACAACACGGTGTACATGGAGAATCAACCGAGGGTACCTTCGCGTGAAATACGACAGATAGCCATCTGGCATAGAACCCAAGTGTCGTTTCACAGTCTCCGGCAAATCCTGATAATGATGTTTCTACAAAGATTCTCATCAGTATTAAGGTTGTCTCCGTGTAATAACAGAGCACACCTTGTTCCTAAGCGCACGTAACAAGTCCTGCACAGACTTGCCATCGTACTTCCTAAATTTTCCCAGGTTTTCAATAAATATTTTGTCCAACCGCGACTGCCAGTCGTTCCCAACAACGCTGAATGCGTCTTTTTCTAGCGCTACAAGATCCGGATCCTTGGGATCCCGACACATGACTTCGAATCGGTCTGATGCATCTTGCAAAAAGTTTAACCGACGACCTGGATCCCAGAAGAACGGATGCACGAGACACGTAGTCGTATCCGGTCTGGCACCATATGAGCTATCACATCAAAAATAGACGATAAAGACCTTACCGCTTGTGCGAGTCCGGGTTGAGCATCTGCTCAATCAGATGAACAGCCTCTGAGCCCTCTTCCCCAAACCTTTCCAAACCCTCCAAATTCTTCTCGTTTTTAAGAATATTTATCTCCCTCTCGAACCGGTCCCCATATGGATGGCCGCCGTTCGTTAGCGTATAATAGAATAAGCACCCCAGAGCGAAGATGTCCACCGATTTTGTTAGCCTCGTCGGTGAGGATCCCGACGGCGCACCAGTCGCTGTCCCGGTACTTCCCCTCGAGCTACTACCTCTTGATGAGATTGAGCTATCATCCCCGATCTCATCCAGTTTTACCTCCCCACGCAAAATCTCCGGCGCTCTCCATCCGACGGTCCCTGCAGCCATCGCCCCGTGCGCTGTGGGTAAGAAACTCGTCTGATCCATATCCAGCTTTTTACACAGCCCAAAGTCTGATATCAGCATCTTCCCATGACTGGATATCAGAATATTATGGGGCTTGATGTCGCGGTGTACAAGTTTGAGAGCATGAAGATGTCGAAGTCCGCTTGTTATTTGCCTAAGAGCTTTCTTGGGATCGAAGGCTTGAACGATGGGCCTAAGCTGATCACGATCTGGGTATTCGATGATGTCCGCGAGTGAACAAGGACAGAGTTCAAGGGCGATATACAGGAAGTTGGCATGAGCTTCTTGGTAGTAGTACCTGATAACATGGGGATGATCATCGCTCTCTTGCAGAATGCTGACTTCCCGAGACGCGAGGGTCACAAAGTCTTGCAGGAGACGTTTTACTGCCACTGCGCGCCCTTGCAGTGATCCTTGAAACACAACTGTTCCGTGAGAGCCGAATCCTAGTTATGCTGTAAGTACAAGGCAAGAGAATGAAAGTAACTTCGGCGTCACCTAGTACGGTGTCCGAAACAACCAACGAAGGTGTCGGTTCAACAGGCTTGGATTCTACCACAAGTGTCTGAGGGGTCGGCGGTATTTCAACGACAACATCCGGCTTCTTCCCCTCTTCAGCTTCAGCATGTGCCCCAGGGTTGGGTCGCTTTTTCTTGCCTCGCCCTCCCCGTCTTCCCTTGCGCTTATTGGGAACGGGTGTGGCATCACCTTCGCCCTCAAGCTCTTTGTCACTATCATCTCCTCCAGTATCTCCAGAGTCTGACCGTATTGGTGGTGGTGGCGGCGAGCTTGGTGGTGACGGAATCACCTCAGTAGTATCCATCGCGGGCTTCGGGACCGTTTCCGTTACGGCTACAAGCTCCGGTACCGTAACCTCTTTGATGGAAGCCTCCAAGACTGCTGGCATGCTGGACAGCCCTCGCTGTGGGTCACCCTTGATCTTCGATGCTAATCCGAACCAGACGGAGAACATCCCAAGTAGCACAATAACAAATATCGTTTCTCGTAGTCTGCTAGTCGAAGGTGCTGGGCTTGATGGAGGGGCATTCTTCTTATACTCCGACGGTTTATCGTGGCGGCTCGTCTCGTTGTCCTCTTCGCCTGCGGTCAACTGCGGGTACGCAGACACAGGCGAGCCATCCAAGAGTCTCTTCAAGCGACTTTCCGCGCCTTCACCATCGCCACCCTCTAATTTCCGCACACCGATCAAACATCGGCGGTCGAAAACGGTGTCTGGATTCCCCAAGTCGCAGCCATCCTTGTTCAGCAATCGCTCTCGCTCTCGCTCCTTTTCCATCTGCTTCCTCATCCGAGTTATCTCATCAACTTCGCTTGACATCGGTGCAGAATCGATATATTTTCCTGAACCTTCTGGCATGGAAGTTCCTCGGATTCCACCGAAGGCCACAAGCGGATAGCTCAAGGGGCTCATGGCAAACAAACTTCCTGTTTCTTCGACCATACCGACGTAGGCATTGGGATGGTTCGGGAGATGTTCGCGAGCAGTGTCCAAGGAAAGGGACGGAAGAACGTCTTGAAGACCTGGACGGGGCTGAAGAAGGAGGAAGGTATGAGCGCCACGGGAGTAACGTTGAGGCTTGCGTAGTACATCGAATACCGCGACACTGTCATGAAGCAATCAATAGGCACCAGATTACGAAATTATTACAACTGACATGGGGTTGGTAAATCGCCGTCCCCATAGTAGAGAAGATGAACGAATGCCTGTGTCTTCGCCTCTGCCCTTGAAAGACATGACCTCACCGTTAGGGAATCCTTGAATGTACGCATCGTCCTTGGGCCGTTTGTACGATGCTTGCAGCAAAGTGTCCTGGTTATTCGGGCCATACGTGGAAAATGACAGATTTTGGACGGGTGGCGGAGTCGACCCAGAGTTCTTGAGAGGTCGAGAATAGATGGATATGTGGTAATCTGTATGACAGTCAGCGCCAAAGCAATGATGAACAGTACTGATACAATGCACCTGTGCGCCCAATGAACACCTCCGTAGGCGGCGGGGGTTTTGGCTTGCTTCCCTCAAGCTCATCTAGATCCAATTCATCATCATCTTGAAAGCCCTCGAATGGATCCCAAGGACACTCTGAGTTAAGCGTTGCCTTGATTCTTCCTGTCTCCAATTCAACGAGCAGTAGTGATGTTTCCTTCTTGCCTACGAACACTCTGCGGTCGTCAGAATCAGCAAAACTGAAGGGTGACATCTCCACGAGTTCAGACATCGAAAACGGAAACCGTTGAAGGGGGCTCGAAGGTGTAGCCATAACATAGATGTCTCCTGACTGGGGCTCGATAATGTAAGTCTCCTGGTCGGTATTATCGTCGACAAGGTCAGGATCATGATCATGGTGAATGGTTCGAACCAGTGGGGCAAGCGCTGTCGGCGCTGCTGCAGTCGTCGAGGAAGGGAAGGAAGACATTGACCACAACGTCTGACCCGATGTCCTGTTGAGCGCATGAAACTTTCCGTCCACTGACGCCAGCAGGACTATATCCAATAGCTCTGCATCCTGTACCGTCGCCTCTTCTGCCAGCGGCGGTACAACTTTGTACGTATTCGGTCGGGCAAGGTCCTGTGCTCCAGTGCTAGGCAAAGTTCGAGAAGAGATAACATCTGCAAGACCGGCACCCACAAAGGATGCAATGAAGATACAGAGGTAGAATGTAGGCACCATTGCCGTTCATTCCGAGGCAGGAGCGCCTCCTTGAGCTCGACAAAAGGTCGTGGTGGAAGGTGATCAAGACGGTGTGCTGTGCACTTGCTGTGCGAAATTCGGTTTCCAAAAGGAGACTGGTACCAGAAAACGGACATTCATCATGCAAATTCTATTAATCCTTTCCACAATTACAGGTACTGAGAAAAATGGTGACAATATCTAGTGAAGAACCGGTCTGCTAGCAGACAACTGGCTCGATGGTCGGAATCCTTCTCTCAGAGTCCTGGCGGTATCTCAATTTATTAATTTCCAACCCCGGCATCAGATTGTGATGGGCTTCAGACAACGAGACCAATACAAGTGTCGAAGGAAAAGGGAGCTCGGCGAGACTGGATTAATCCATAGAGACGATCAGGAGACGCGATGTAGAACCGACAGTGTTTCTGTGGGAATAAAACACATCAGATACGGTTGTACAGAGAGACCCGGTAAGCTCTCTTGTGAGAAAAAAAAGAGTAATGTATGAGACCGCATCCACAGAAACAGCCCGAACGTCGGTCACCTCCACACAGATCCTGGGAGGGCCAGAGCCGTACAAAAACCTTTTCCGAAATTTTCTTGGCCGCTTTAGCGGCTAAAAAAGAGCCAAGGAATCGTTACGAGTCGCCCAAGACATTGAGGGCATGTACATAAAGCTCAGGCAGGCATGAAGTAGCCAACCAAATCCATGGATTCGAGGGGGGCGTTGATTGGCTCCCGCGAGTCGCCAGCTACAGGCAGGCCGGATGAAAGAGAGGAGTGCGAGGTCCAGAACCCGAAGTCAAGAAAGACCCAGTCGTTTGTACCGGAGAGAATTCTATTGGCGGGGACGTCAAGTTATTCTCCGACAATTATCCAAGTCTCAGAAAATAGCGTAGAGGTGCCTAGTTAATCACTTCATTCAAAGCCCCGATGCAGCACCAATACCGTAAGATGACCGGCCGCGTGCCTCACAGTAAGCGGTGAACGGATCGTCGTATTCCATGATTTTCTAGCATGAGATACCCCATCAAGCACCCTTGAGCATGACATAGATATTTGTCGTGACCACTGAGCCGCATGCTTTGCAAATCCGTATCCGACCAGATAGGATCATATAGTATCGGACATGCGCAGCTGTGGCAATTCAGGAAAGACAGCCAACAGGCAGAGTGAAAGTAGAGGAGCCTACATTTATTGAAGACACGAAGTTAATGGATCCGATGATGTAAGGAAAGTATTTTTCGGAGCGTAGTCCCAAGCAAGTAGCAGCCGTGTGCACTGTAAAGACTATCAAGGGAGGGATGATGGAGGCAGATGGAGGTGAAAGAGAGAAGAGAGAACGGCAAGCGTAGCGATGACAAACAACGGGTCCACTCCCGAAAATACCACAGAGTTCTTCACTTGGACTAATTTAGTATTTACCAGCTTTCTTTTTTAACCATTGTGGACAATTAAATCTTTGACAAGAGCCTATAAACGATGAACGTCTTTACGATATCGAAGCGCTTCTTCACCAATCAGGTGAAAACGTTTATAATACATTTCACATATTCTAAGTACTTGTCTATAATTAAGGGAAAGCCTTTGCAACAGTGCTGTAGAAGGTCTTGCCCTGGATAGTAGCAACCTCAAGCTCAAGAGCAGAGGGTTGGCGGGAACCGTCACCACCTGCAAGGGTTCCTGCACCCCAGGGCGAACCTGCATGACACGTGAGCCTTGAGATAAAAATACTTTGCCAAGAAACGTACCACCGTGAACCTCCGAGATGTTTGTTAATTGACCAAACACGCTGGCATATCCGAGAGGGACGTAGATAATACCATGGTGAGCCAAAGTCGAGAGAGAAGCGATGGCGGTGGCTTCCTGTCCTCCTCCCAGACCAGCAGTAGAGACGAACAGACCGGCATACTTGCCAGCGAGCGCACCTTTGGCCCAAAGACCGCCGGTGGCGTCCCAGAACGCCTAGACGCGTCGTTAACGCGAATTCCGAATAGTATAAAGCACTGTACGCACCTTCCACTGGCCAGGGAAGTTTCCGAAACGTGTAGGAATACCAAAGATGAAGGCATCATACGAAGCGAGGATCTCGGGGGTAATTATAGGGTAATCAGGCTTCGCTGGTGCATGCAACAAGCCAAGGATCTCGGAAGAGAGTGTTTCAGGAACTCTATTGAAGGAGGTCAGTACATTATAAACGGAACGGGCGAAGATGTGCGACGGACTGGTAGATGGTGGCGGCCCCTCCGGCGGTCTTGACACCCTCTTTAACAGCCTCGGCCACTAGATAACATCGCAGTCAGGAGGCCGCGGCAACGACTAGAGAAGGGAACATACGCTTGGCGATATGGCCGTACATGGTGTAGATAACGATAGCAACTTTAGGAGCCATTGCGGGAGGAGATGATTTAGTGGTAGATGTGGAAGGAGGTGAAGGTTGGGATGAAGGTGAGGCTGCTTTCGGCTCAGCCTTTATAGCGTCGTCGAAATTGTCCTTTTGACGTTTGCCCGGAAAGCACATAGATTGTATCACGTAGTGATCATCCAGAATTGGTCGTTATATACTTCAAATGTCACCAAATTAATCATCCGCGTCCGTTGGCTCGTGGGTCTTCGTGGGCAAAACTTGATAAATATAGGTAGATCGTTAGGAAGGAGATCGCGTCTGAAAGTACCCTAAAGTCAGACATTGCGACATTTACCATTTGAGACCATGTCCGCTGCTGACAAAGCTGACAAAGCTTGTGTAAAAGTGCTGACGAGTGGTGGGTCCTTGCATATCGAGCATTTTTTTCTCAAGGTGATCGATTGATTAGGCCGCCCAGAAAGCCATCCGATGGTGATGGGTGACAGGAGCCCGTCATGACTGCCGTTCGATCCCGGTTATTTTAATAAAATGCATCGCTGGTACTATAGAGTCTCATCAGATCCTTCTGGTAGATAGAACAAATGTTGAAGCATACATATGCCCGGATTTCTTGGTATCTTCTCAAGCCTCAGTTTTTATCTCTTCGCTGAGTTCGCGCGGACTCGGGTGTTCCTTGACAGGCCGAGGAACTGTGGCGCGATAATCTAGCCCCCTGAGAATAATACGATCAATCAGCCCCAGCGACTCCGCAAACACACCGGGAATCGAAAAATTTAGGATCATCTTATTTTAGTTCCGAAACTTAATTACGTAACCCGACGCCGTCGGGAATACTTTATATAGATAACACGCCCAGGGCGGCGTCACGTGATTAAGTTCCGGAACCAAAATCATCTCGTCCTGAATTTCGGAATTTCCCGTGTGAAAAGTGGTTACCAATTGTTTCGTCAGATTAATTGTAAATCAGAATTACAACTGGCGAGATTTTGTAATCCATGGAGCAGCTCTATCAAGGCCTGTTGGCCGGTGTTGACCAGTGTTGATCGCTATCGGAAGTGCCCTGAAGTGCTACAACATATTACCCACGTCTCAAAATAATACGCGCAACGATAACAAATGTTATCAAGGTACAGGTGTTGATCGGAACCGTTGCAGCTAAGGGCTAACTAAGATCGTACAATAAGTACACACGGTTATCGTTACCAGGACACATATACATACCTTGTTCATATGAAGGTGTGACCAATTCGACGGTTGCGGGGCCTCGATTGCGGATCTCAAATAATCAGCAGCCTTTACCCCTTCACCTGCAGGTGGGTACAGAGACAGTCGCATTGAAACAGGTCGGCTACGGATTTCATTGGTTTCATACATTGATTTCCTCCAAAGGGGAGTAATAGGTCCCTATATATGTCTGAGAGGTTAGAAGTGTCTATTGTTGACACCGCTGACGGACACGAGCCGATATACTGATGAAGATTCAGATACTGCCCCAATTTTGAATCCTCGGAGGCAGCTTTCGACGACATTTTTCGTAGGTCACAGCGCGAATGGCGTGCAACCGTTCTGGGATCGCGTCAACACCCAGTATGCCATATCTCGTCATCCGGACTTTGCACGCCCATTAAAAAATACTGATGTCCAGACGGTAAAAGAAAAGTGACTCCTGAGTGGCGTAGATGAAAACAGTACTTGATGAAGCAACGGTAAGAGAAAGCCGGAGAGGGAAGAAAAGGTTATAAATGGCAAGGCAAAGACTTGGACTAAAGATCAACCTTGACCGTGGCATGGAACGATCAGATATAAGGTGAATCATGGCTAGAATCGGTAGCCATGAATCAGGACGTAATTCTTCTAGAGGCAGACGGCACGAGAAGCTCTGCGTAGTGGTCCCCATCAACCCTGAGTCGATGAGTATTTCTGCACAACCCATATGCCTGCATTAAATTAGTGGAGACTCAGATGGTCTTGGCATAATCAATCAACACGGAGGGAGGCGTGAAGGCATCCGACCTCAACAGTAGAAGTTGATGAAAACTACAGGTTCGTTCGATTCGTCGACCGCCCAGCCCTTGCGACTTATCACTGTCGAACATAGCAGCTGAAACCCTTGGCAGATGACGGGAAAACGAATCGATATTGTACGCAGTTCACTACTAGCAAACTGGGAGCAGTGCTGATCTATAGATACAAGGTCCGAAGAGGTTCAGCTTAAGAAAGGTGATAGTAGATGCTTACCGGTCAGCTTCCATGTACATCGGTGCCGTCCATACCGAAGTTCCTTTTCTTAGCCTGGTACATTATAACCTTTGTGAGATGCAGACTCCATAAGGAGGCAAGTACCAGTGTACCAACTAGATCGGACCCCAATCAAGGGAATCATGACCGCTATCCAGTGGTAAGATGTCATGGATCCAGTTGTGCATATGAAAAGGGCGATACAAGGAGCTGACCAAATTGAAGTGAATTGAGACGCCGAGATGTTTGGCCTATGATTCGCCAAATGGAATTATCGGAGAATCTCCCGTGTACGTGCGAGGTACAAGGTGTGACAGCGAAAAACGCGAGAGAAAATACCCCAATCCTGACCAGTAGGTTGTTCCCGGAGTAGTGGGAGATATGGGATGGGAAGAAACTGCCAATAGCGTTCGAATATGAGAGGCACTTAACGGCTAACCGCAGTTCGAATTCATTGATCGCTGACTGCGCTCTAGAAGAAAGATGTGTTGGTCATTAAGGAAAACGGAGAAAGATATACTCACGCCTGAATAGTCTCTGTTTACCGTCTGCGATTCTCCTTGACGTCCTATCATGTGGTGAGTATGAGTGCGAAGTTCGGGGTGGCGAAGAAGCAGATTTTTGGAATCTGAGTACTTCACGCAAAGCCCACCCGCTGGCGTGACTACACTCAGAGCAGAGCTTGCGAGTGCACCAGAGCGCGGTTACACGTGGAGCGAGCCGGCATTACCGTTTGTTCTGCCTCTAAAAAGGACTGGCTTGATCATGTCCGCTTTCCTTGAAGCGATGCATACATATTACTCGAACGTTAAGGACTCCGGAGCTGTACATTCCGACATTTCCAATCTGAAGGAACGCAAAGGCGCAACGGTAGCAGTGTCATTAGGAATTTGAATATCTGGGACAAGTTAGGAGAATGATCTTCCCTCTTTGAAGAAAAAGTCTCTCACCTTCTCATGACCCAGGTGCGCCGTTAGGCATATTAGCGGTAATAAAGAGTAAAGGATATATAGAACGACTAAGAATTTGCCAAGGATATGGTGATGGAAGTACCGATGCGATTGGTCATACTTTCCCACGATTACGGCCCGTCCATTTTACTACTAGGGTCTGTCTCCCTCGTGGTCGCCCTACTCTTGTATTCTCAGCAGAGGCTTTCATTCGATCCACCATTATGCGAAGTTTCTATTTTCAGTGCATATTCTCCTCTGTTGGCCCCCAGATGATTATGCTGGCCCTTCAGACGCTTGACATGTACTTCTGCAGTGATCCAAAGTCAGGTCGCTGTCACCAGTACGATGGGACACTTTTTCAGATTGCAGAAACGGCTTTTACCTCTCTGCAAGCACTTGCATTCCTCTCTGCCAGCTTTGTGCATGCGACCCCTGCAGTGAAGCGAGATAGCTGCACTTCTGTGCCCTCGGTACTATTGTTGTCAGAGCCAGCAGAGTGTCGTCAGGAGAAAACAGCACGGTGCAAGCCGCTGTAGACTTGCTCGCCGATGATGGAACCGACCAAGTATCACTTATGCAGGCATCTACACTGAGCAAGTTTATATCGATCGCGACGGACAGACGATGAAATCTCATCTTGCCCCGCTGAGCGGGGTGAATGGAATTTCGGTCAATTACTATCGTATCCCGAGATACTTGTTACCTGTGGGGCTCTCGTACTTTAGGGAGTCCGTGCCAGCACACCATATAAATTCTGGTAAGCGTTGAAATATAAAATCTGATAGGATAGAATTATTGACCGTCCGCTAAAGCAAGTATTGGTGCGGTCGCCAAACGGCCGGCCCTGAGTAAGGACACGACCACGTGGATGTGACTGCGTGACTAACCTCCTCACCGCATGAGCGGCCATCGAGCATACCACCGTCGTCCAACGTAGAACGTGTCCTCGACAGGCTCCATCTCTCTCCTTCACTTCGTATCATTTCTTTCTATCCAACATGCCATCTACCCGTAACTCTTCACTTGAAACACCCTCCGTAGCATCCAGTGTATCCTCTTGTCGAATGCAGAGTGAGCAAAAGAGTTGCGGCCAAGCGTATTGAAGATTAGGGCTCATCTATGGAGGACCACTGGGTTGGTCCTGTACCCCTAGATCAATTCCTCGCGCCATTAGCACCCATTGAAGCTACGCCTTCGTCGGATAGCGATTTCAGGACTATATTTTCGATTCCCCACGAATATGCAAACAAAGATGACATGAGATGACGACTGGCGAGTATGCCATACCGCTGACTTGATATGTGAAAAACTGACGTTCTGGATAGCTCGAGCACTTAACGTCCTACATCGCAACAATTACGAATAAACCGCGTTGCCACGAAGATGATCCTGAATCGCCACTACCTACGTCTACTCATAGTGTGGAATGCACTAATTGTGGCCTTTATACTGCCGACGACTCAGAACGCCTTCTCCTCGATTGGTTGTTTATCGATGAAGATCCATTCAAAGACCCTCCTCTCCTCGGGAACTCGATGTCCTATACTAACGATCAAAAGGCATCATGGATTATTATGTCCATCGATGCCATCTCTTCGCGATGCCACATCATCGAATGCGCGGCCAATATCGGTGCCCTCCAACATAGGCTGCATCTCTTTTCCGTACTTGTGACCACAAATACCGCACTTGCTTTCCGTTGGGATCGCAGTTCTACCTTGGTTTCGCGCTCCTTCCTCCATCATTCTGAATGCCATATGTTCGAATTCCTATCACTGTTTGTTAGGCTGCCGCGAGAAGCGATGGGTATTGATACTACTATTTCTATAGCCTCAAAGGCGGAGGAAGATCTCGCGCGCGCAGCTCTTCACGAGCATCTAGATGACACCGTCACGCGTCCGCTTCTCAAAATAAAAGTCCCTGATACAGAGGATGTTCCAGCAAAGTTCCGCATTTCGGCAGGATGGGAATTAGACGGGGATCCACTGCAATGACATGTCCGACGGCTGAAGATGGGGGACGGGACGGGAGGCGGCCCAAAGGGAGGGTGCTAGACGTGACGGAGGGCAGACAGTGCAGACGGCGGAGGAAGGCGATGTTGGCGCACGTAGTCTTAGGAGGTCTCCTTTGGATGGATTGATTGTTGATACCGCTTTCCTTGCTAGTCGTTGTACTGGTATACTGGCAATTTCCAAGCAATTTTGGTTCGTTTACAACTTATTTTCACCTACTTCGATTAGATTCGGCGATTCACCGGCATTTGTTATCACCGATTTCACCGGAGACGCTCAGCATCACGGTGGGCGCCTATCCGGTCTTCTTTCCCTCCCACCAATGCCTTCCATCCATTCAGCACAGGATGGAAACGACGAAATCCCGAAAACACCACCCAATAAACCTCAAGGCAACTCAGAGTCACCGGATGATGCTGCTAGTGATTCTCAGCCTCTAGCCTTGGATGAGAATTCGCCAGCTTATTCCTTGCCGCGATGGCGCAAGTTACTTCGCACTGTGTTTGGCATGCAGCAACGTGTATCCCAGGCTGGAGGTGTGATCTGTCATTGTACTTTCCATATATCTCATTGAGAGTAAAGGGAATGACACGTTCGACTATGAGCAAAAATTTCCCGGAGACAAACAGTACGAGGAGCTGGGTCCAATTGCCAGGGTGTGGAGAACATACCTCGAAGAATGTGCAAGATTTGATGCTGAGATAGCGGAAGGATGGAGGGATGGATTGGATGTTTTGCTTGTGTTCGTGAGTACAAATTCCCAGTAAATCTAATTTCCCTTCATTAATAGATGAGTAGGCTGGTCTTTTCTCTGCCGTGGTCACTACGTTTGTCGCACAGACGTCCCAGAGCCTTCAAGTCGACTATGGACAAGTCACGGCGTCCCTGCTATTCGAGCTCATCGATGTCCAGCGCGCAGCAGCTAATGGTTCCAGCGTGAACAACGTCCCTCGTTCAGGCCTCACCCCATTCTCAAACTTTCGTCCTACGATTTCCGATTCGTTAGTCAACGGACTGTGGTTCTCCAGTCTCTCATTCAGTCTGGCTACCGCACTCTTCGCTGTCCTGACGAAACAATGGATCCATCAGTACATAGCAGTTCCATCGGGCACGCCTCGAGATAGATGCCGTGTACGTCAATTCCGATACATGGGACTACAGCAATGGGGCGTGGGTTTTATTATTGGACTATTACCGGTTCTGATGAGTGCATCACTTTGCGTCTTTTTAATGGGTTTAGTTGTCTTTCTAGTCCCGCAGCAAGTATTGATTGCATCTGTCGTTGGAGCTATCACATTCATATCCTTTGCTGCATACTTCGTCACCAACTTCTTGCCCATCATATACCCCTCGTGCCCATACAAGACGCCCTTGTCACAGTACACTTTCCCTCTATATTCCTACATTGTCCATAACAGCATCTTCACTTCAGTCATCTCTCCGATTTCCAGACACTGGTCTGGATCTTCACCAGTTTCCGAAAATCCTCCAATTCGTACACTTCAAGAAGCAGAGCGTGAGGCTGTCAAGCTGAGTGCCGATGAAACAGACGCGCGAGCCTTGTCCTGGTTGTTCTCCGTGTCATCCAACCCTAGTGTTCAAAGAATTGTTGCGGAATCAACCGGTGCTTTACCGATCCGATCTGTGGCCACTGTACAACGTTATGCAGAAGGGCTTCCGAGTGTCTGTACTGATACACTCCGAGAACTTCTGGAGGATGCCAGACGAAGCGATGCTCTGGTTGACACAAACAAGCTCGACCGCTGTATCCGTGCACAGCTTCGCTTTCAGTATGAAAGTGTCTATGTCAAAATAGGGGAGGACCAATTCGTGCAGGATCTTCGTGCAGAGGTTTTGGCTATTAATCCCTTTCGGGACATCCAAAAAGTCCGAGACCTCATTGTAGCTAATCTACGAACCTCTCCGGATAGCCAGAGTCTACGTCTGCAACCCATTGTGTGGGGTCGTCTTCTTGACGAGGTCTTGGACTTCGACCTGTTAAACCGGGAAGTGTATGAACTTCTATTCCATGCACTTCCGACAACCTACTGGCATGCCGATTGTGAAGCTCCCCAGTTCTATCCATATCGTGGATTATCGTTATCGATATCGATGATGCACACAGGTGACCATCCGGATACTCTCTTCGCAGCCATCTCCAAATCCCTATTTGTGTCCATTGGCTATATTTTGCTCAAAGGCTGTGCCGATTTTAAGGTCGAGGATAGTGTATCCTGTCATGATCCCGCATCTCAGCTCCCTGAAGTCAATGATCCCCGAGTTCACTTTCTCTTGAGCATGGCAGGTTCCCCTTCCATACACAGGATGGGCACATCTGATTCCTCCCTGGGAACATTTTTCAGCGCCATCCTGCGGAGGATTGTGGTTTACATGGGTGTCGAAAAATATAGAATCCATCATCCTGAGTTCAATGTGTCCCCCATTCCCTTTGACAACAATCGCTCTGCCGTCCTAAGGCTACTACGCACATTGGTTTTATCGAATGAGTACGGCGTTGGCAGCGATTCAATGTTCAATGAAGACCGGCGTATCACCTTGATCGCCTTCTTTCGAGTTCTCAGCTGCATATCCCCTTGCCCTCCTGAAGATAGCTTTCCTGCCAAGTTGACTGCCAAATTCGCGACCATTGCTTTCCAGGATGATGCGTGGTTATCGGAATCTTCAGGGTTCAGTACTCACAGCGTCACAGAAGCAGCTGAACTCATCATTTTTCTCTTTGAGCATTCATCCACCATGAATGCGGCGTTTGCTCATTTTGTTGACAACCAGCTCTTCGACTCGTTCACTAAGAACTCTAGCACCCTCTCTGTCCTCACCACTAACTGGGGCCTATCAGAGATCATAGGTGCCTTTGTCGCCGGGCTGTCGTCCGGGAAATTGGATCCTCTGATACACCAGCGATCTTTGGAATACCTCCATAAACCAGGGTCGCTTTACACAGCTTGCGCTGTTCTACTTACTGAGGGTAATATCACTGCACTTCGTCAACTCGCACCCCTAATACGTCGTAACAACCCTGTTCGGCCTCGATATTTGCAGAGGCTTCAAGAGATAGATTTTCTTCGACCTACACATCTTTGGCTCAATGACGAGTACATCGCATTTCTCAAGGCTCGCATCAAAGACAATCTTGTAGAATTTGGAACGGACTCGTATGCGTTTGGCACGACTCCCGACGTGCGATTGGTTCGAGGAGAGCCTGAGGATGAACCAACGAAAAGTGGTTGGTCGAAAGTCGAGTCGCTGCGTCATATATGGCGTTGTGCCAGACAGTGGCACCGAACTAGAGAAGCTCTTCTCGAGGAAGTAGCAATGTCTAGCAACGGTGACCGAGTTTGATGGCATTCGAGAACACATCAATTTGTTGTGGTGAACAATGATCATTCTGATAGTTCCTATACTTTACTGGACAGAGGACTCGGGTGATAACGATAATGACTTTGTCGTCGAGGCTCGGAGCAATCGCCGTGCGATCAGTTACTAAGCCCCTCGAAGCTGCTGTCAATCGAAGTCGCGCCGCGAAAGTCTTCGAGCAAACGGGACCTCGAAGATCCACTTCCAGCTCAGAGCAATAAGCGGAGAAAACCAAGCAAATAGCTTTCAATACTCTGTGCGGGCTCCATATGGTGCGGCATTTACCGGTGTTGGAAGATTCGTACAGTACTAGTTAGAATACATAATAGCACACCAAATTCTTAGTGACTTCGATACTTTTCTTCCACGATCCCTTTCCGCAAGAAGAATCGGTCTTCCTCGCTGATACATGTTAAACCCGATTCTCCTGCTCTTAACCCAGTAGAGTCGAACAAAGATGTACCGAATTGTTCCAGATAACCCTCCCGCTAAACCTACCCTATTAATGCTGGCGTATTCAGATTCGTTCCAAGAGATCATAGAAAATTTATTAGTGAATTACGGCGAATGGTAGTACGGCTACAGCGGGTCAATCTAGACATACTATAAGGGTGGGGAGATGGTCATCAGATGGCGTTAGCAGGATATTAAGTAATGTACGCTGAAAGCAAGAGGAAAGCATTAAGAAAACTAGTATAATATGGGATGATGTAACGGAAAAAGATGGTGGTGAAAAAGGATGTCTGCGGTGGGCTTCAGTAGTGCCAAAAACAGTCTCGTGATATTATGAATCGTATTCGTTCATTCGTTCAATAGCCGGTTTCTTAATTTTCTTGCCTCGGCCGTGACGTTAAAGGCCAAACGCACAACCTCAATAACCCGGTTGTTCATGACTCCAAGCCCAAGAACGTTTTTCCAAAGGCCCATATTAAACTGGAACCTCCGTTCAAACTCCTCTTCGTTTAGAGAGACCATGGCTTGTGCCATTGCCGCCGCGTTGGGGAATTCATCCACCACGGAGACTAGTAGCAGGCGATAAGCGAGATCGTTGATGTTCGTTTCGAGTCCGAGTGCGAAGAGAAGGAGAAGAGACATCGACGGTGGATGAGGGACCGTCGTAAGCGGAAGCACGAGAGGTATGGAAACGTAGAGTCCCTGTGACGCTGAGTGAGGAACGGGTCGGGTCGAACCCGGTGGCGGCGGAAGGATCAGGTCGACCCTGAAGCCTTGATTATACAGGTCAGCGTCGACGGGCGCAATTAACGGTCGGGTAATAGAAATTTTGTTGTGGGAGGGGGGGAATAGGGCTAAGACGTGTGTAGGCATGCGGGAATCATGTAAGACAGGAAATTCTAGCGTCTCTGACATGTCGGCGGGGGAGAAATATCCCGGTATGATCTTTTGTACGTTGAAATGGAGACATAAGACACTGAAAAACGTTGTCAGTAACACAGCGGTCGCTTTAATGACCAGACATACTGAAGAGGATCTTCCCCGCTTGCAAGGAGGGATTGTGACATCATTCAAGTTCGTGGGGCAATTAATGTAGTGTGGCGTGAAGTTACAATGATGGTCGCGTGAAGGATGGTGGTCGAGGATGAGCTTTAGTTCGTCCTTTAGTCGGAGATGGTATATTGAACAATGAATGGTAGGCTATTAACAGAGTCATATATCAGTTGGATGCAGAAACGAACAACAACGGAACCAAAAAGCGGCAACATTAATGAAGATAGGAAAACTTGCAGGAAGCACGGAGAATTGAACAGAACGTACAAGTCGTCACAAGTGGTATGTACACCGTTATGGAACGGACTTTCAACGAAGTCACAACCGCGTGATAGACATGCAACTACCCAACGTCAGCGGGAAGAGGTGGGAAGGAAAGAAAAAAATAGACGTAAAATTTAAAGTTATTTAAATAAATGCAATTTCAATTGGACGCGACCTGTCACTTTGCCATCAATCAACGTTTCAACCCCCGAACCAAGCAATGTTTATTCCTGGTTTTTCCTGGCTGCTCTTTCTCCTTCCTCGATAGCCCTTGGTTTGGATAAATCCGAGCTCTGCTGTATTACCGCAGCCTCCCCATCGGAACCTTCGATACTTGAAAACCAATTCAATTCGCAGTGACCGGGCCGACACGTGGCAAGTTGCGCAACCGGCTCTTATCTTGACTTGCGCGTACGGGGGAGCTTTGGCTGATAGTGAATCTACGGACATTCATATTCATCCCTTTCCTGACGGTGGAGATATGATTGCACGCACAGGGCTGGAGATTAGCCGGAACGCAGAGGATTATAACCATCGACGGCACCATAGAACGCTTGACTGTGTCGCTGCTAATCGTTTTTTCTTGGGCCCCTTCTCCCCCCAAAATGATATCGTAACAGCAGTTAAATTCGAATATTGGTAGTGGATCCTAATGCCACCTTGCCTTGTGTGGCAAGCAAATGTCACAATAACGCAGACACGGAGGTGGCACAAATGTTTGACTGTCCATTGTGGTGCTCAGATATTATTTTTACAGAACTCACAAACTATAGTATCTCGTTGTCTCGGCTACCAAGACGACAGGACAAAGCATCGCGTTCTTTCCATGAACTCTGCTAAACCAAATTAGGATCTAGCATAGTGGCTTGTGCTATGTCCATTGTCTTTGTTCAGGACGAAGCCCTTTGTCCATTATTAAGCAGCTGGTTCAAGCCTTATAAAACCTAGCGTCTCTGCAGTTCTTCCCTTCAATTTATCTTCACCGAAGCTATAGCCTCAAGCTCCTTGAAGTCGCCTTAAAGCTTAACTTCATTACGTTGAAAATGGACCCTTGTACGTCTCTAAGTTATCCACTTCTAGGTCTATGTTCATTATTTTCGCAGCTTACACGCAGAACACCATTGTATCCTACGACGCACCTGTGTCCGACGCGCAGCCCGTCCCATTCTTCAATTCGCTGGACCCGTACGCGGTATATCCACCGTGGTACAATGCAGTACCCCCGCCTACTTATATGCCCACTAGCGCGTACCCCAACGTAGCGCCGTCCTCCCTTTCACTGCCTCAAGCTCCACCTGGAAAACAGTACTATATACCTCAGTTTTATTATCACTCCCCGATGCCGCGTCCTTCCCCGACGTCGTTCGAACGCAATGGGACCACGTACTATATCCACAACGACCACACGACCGATGGTGCGTTCGAACTGAACGGTACCACCTTTTTCCCTCAGTCAGTTCGTGCCATGGAAGAGGCCCGAACTCGCGCCTGCAACACACCAGCCGAACGTCGACCTTTTCCAGGTTCGCGTGTCATCAATGGAACCACATATTTCCCGCGAGTAGCATCGGACCAGATCCTTTCCCCAGTTTCGTCTTCCGCCTCCTCTCTGCCTTCCTCGCAGACTTCGACCACGAACAACTCTCCTGCGACGGAGGCCACCGATTCGATCAACCAAGTTGATGATCTGCCTCCTCTAGTCTTCCTAACTCTCAACTAGTGGTGGGCCTTTATAACCCGTCAAGAACCATCGCTCAAGGCTGTCGTGCCTTACCTTGAACCACCCATTGTCTTATACTGTGTCGATGGAAAACTGTCCATCTCGGGTTGATTCCATAATGGAAGTCTATCCTTCACCTTCATAGATAGATATAGTATCTGCTACCGATCGGGAACCTACCAGCCTTTTTCCTCTTTTTTTTTTTTTGGCTCGCATCTTACTAGCATCAATCACTCAATAAACTGGTCTTTCTGTGCTTTTGATAATTCAGAATCAGTCCATTATTATGGCCGATGATTTAGTCCATTACAGGTATAGTAGCCTTAGCAACTCTGAGCTCCAGCAGCAACAAACGCGCCAAGTGCAGCACCCTGTGAGGGTGCCGTCCAAACCGCCCCGTCAGCGTTGGCACCATACCAGAGGTTGCTGTACCAGCCCGCCGTCCCAACTGCGTTCTGCAACACTTTATCGGCCTGGAGCTTGATGAAATCCGAGTACTTGGTGCCGTTATCGCGACCAGTGATGCTGAGGAACCATGCCATGTACTCGACCAAAATCCCCTTGAAAGAGACCTGGTCATTGTTGCAAGTGGTTGAGGTGGTGCTGTCGCAGGAATCACGTAGGGCACCGTTGTCGACAAGATCAGCGAGGATCGCGTCCATGATGGACCAGGCTGTGCTTATGGCACTTTCGTCGTGGGTATCTAGATCAGAGGTTAGTCTAGAACGAAGAGGCTCTCAACAGAGAATACACATACATTTATATAAGAAACCTAAACCGACAAGAACGACGCCTTGGTTATAGGTCCATTGGGTCTGGCCATTATTGGCACAAAGACCGTCTTTCGAGAGGCCATCATTGTATAGTCCGTTACTGCCTCGCATGGCGGAAGCATTGAACCATTCCCATGCTGCGTACATGTGGCTTTTAGCACTTTCAGGGTTGAGAGGAAAAGCAGCACACGTACTGTTCTTGAGACTCGTCAAATATTGGGTATCTTGAGTTACATCATAGAGGTAACCGGAAGTGGCCAAATAAAGCTCGTTTGTCTGTAGCATTTCGTTAGATGTGTCCTACGTGATAGGTGTCCCGGGTTACTTACGATCGCATTTTTGTAATCCCTTGCCGAGCTCCAAAACACTTTCGATATGTATCAGTTAAATCATCGGATATCCCAAGAAATAACGTACATCCACCGCCACAGTAGGAACTATCAACCGCCGTACTGGCAATATCATAATATTTCTTCGCCATGTCTACGTTCCCGGCCGAAAGGTACGCGATCGAGACCCATTGAACATCGTCGTATGAACCTCCATTTTGAAGTTCGTTCTCGTAATTAGTAAAGACGGTATTGATGACACCGGAATAAGTGGACGCTCCGGTCAACCCATCGACTAAATGATATGCACTTGATATTTGATTAAACAAGAAGGAAAGTAAAAACCCACGTCGCTGAAGATGCCAGGCGTCTACTGCACTGATCCAGACGGGTTGGGAAGGATATGTTCCCCCCGAAAAGTACCCAGACTGTAGATTTGCAGCAGCCGTTGTGGCGGCGTCAACATATTTCTGGCATAGGCCATGGACCAAAGCAGGTCCCGAGAGAAGGAGTGTCGTGGAAAGAATGGCTTTCATCGAGGATGCAGGTGGGAAAGGAAGGGTGTGGAAAAATGAAACCGTTTCGTGAGCGTCTTTATAGTCACGAGATGAATTTACGAGCCGAGTTGATATGCGTGGGTATCTGGTAGAATTGAAGTGTTTCGCGTTCGATGTGCATGTGGTTGATCTTGAAATGGTGGTTGGAGACGCGTACGCGTGGTGCACACTCCCATCAGTGATTCGTATTCGGGAGTATCAAAACTGCACAGCCTGTCCCGTAAGAGAGGGTGGACTAGAGCTCATCTATGACAAACCTGAAGATACGAAATTTGTAGCATGTTTGGTCGTCAAGCAATGGTGTAATCTGGATAAGAGAGCTATGTTAGCTCTAGGGGATTACTCAGAGGACTGATTTTCTTGAGAGAAAGAGAGAAAAATGCTCAGCAGCCCGCGGGGTAACAGCCTAAGTTTGAAACATCATCAGGCGAACCGACGTATCAGAAAAAGAAGACGCCCGACCTAAAGCGCTAGCGTCACCCAAGTTCGATGATCAAGATGAGGTGCCTACGGGTTTCCAATCAGCATGACGTAGAGTACTAGTAGCGATGGTTTCCTATACAGACGACGCGCTGGAGCTTCAATTGTAGGATATCGTCTTCGCCCAGAACGTTTCACATTATCTGATATCAATCGCAACTTGAAGGCTGCCTAATAATGTTCATCAGGCCAGTACGGTTACAAGGAGTGATGAAAATGTGAAGAAATCATGCTTCTTTTTGCACGTTGGTGCTTTGAACGTGTATGTACATTGCGTACTCCCGTCCCTTGAACCGTGTTCTTAAGGCGACGAAGTGGTGTTTGACACTGAGAGCTTCTCGATTCCTATCAGTTGCACGTCACAATGACTGGTAGCCCCAGGCAAGCAGCAGGACCTTCGCGTCGGAACTTCAACAATGACATCGTATAGGCACTGAGATCCGAGAGTCTTCAGTACTGGATTAGAAGCAAGTAGAAGTCAATATATATGCAGGTAAATGTCGGATACAATGCCTAGGCCGAAGAAAGTCAAGCGTATTTACCAAATACTATGAAGAAATCCATCATCCAACGGAGTAAGTAATGTGAAGAGGGACGAAACCTAGAACGATTATTCAGAACGAGACTGTTAGGGGAGGGATCATACTCTCACCTGTGAACTGTTCCCTTACTGAAGCTAACTATTTCCTAGCTTGGCTTCCAATATCTTCAGCTGAGCTTCGAGAGCAGTATTTTGATGCTGCAGAGCCTCCTTTTCTTGTTCAGCCTCTTTGCGCCCTGTTAAAACACCCTGCATAAAAGCGGCTCTGTTTTCCTTTTGTCTTTGATCCTAGTGCCGCGAAGACAAGATAAGATGATGAACTGCCTGCCAACACAACGTGTGGGCTAACCTGTCGCCGTTTCTTAATCTCTGCTTCCAATTTCGTCCACGCTCCTTCAAACTTCGCAAACATCTCCCGAGCAAGTCCTCGTGCTGGCACTGCCAGACTCCCATTAGCAGCCTTTTCCCAGCCATCGGACCAAACTTGTTGAAGATGTAATATGACAACATCCCAGATGCTTTCTGCGTACCAATAGCATTGCGAAGTGATCAGATTGTATTTGGGCTTGGTTTCGGCCACAGTAGATGCTGCGACAAGGAGTTGCACAAAAGGGAAAGGATGTGTGGCAAAGTCGATGTACCGTCGAACTTCATATCGATCTGAGTTAGTGGTGAATGAACCTTTGTCCCGGGACAGTTTTACACCATCGCGCGCCTTGCCAGAGAAGGACGGCGACGAAGAGAAGTAGGTTTTCCTGGGGGGATTGCGCTCAGCATCGCGATCGATAAGAGCATAAGCTTTACGAGGCGCGGCAGCATCAGGGTCAACTTCCTGGAGTTCAACAAGGATGGCCTCGTGAAGCCAGTTGTTGGTGTACTTGATGTGCTCCAGGCGGATAACATTGACTCTGTCGGTCTCACGTGCTGCCACCAACGCAGAGATACAGGCTGACAGAGTCATCGCGCGTATTTCGCCTTCATATTCTTCTTTGAAGAAAACGGAGCTAGGAGTGTCGGTGTTCGACATAGTGATCGTGGGGGTATGGGGAGAGCGATACAGAACTAGACTTGAGAGAAGGTGGTTAAGGACAAGCACGAGGACCTTGAGGCGCCTATTTGGTCCGGCATGAAAGTTTATCACTGACGGCCTCTTCGTGACTATGATAGGGTGTCGTTCACTCGGGACTTATGCCTTGCAGATTAGACTTGGAACATTCAATGCACGATCAACATACAGTAGACTCATAGACAGACCTTGAATACAATGACCCTGAGTTGTTTCAGAAGTTGCATTTCGGGCCCAAATGTAGAACGGGTGCGAAGCTTCAGTTTGTAAAGCTAGTTGTGTAATGTCCGTCTTGCGCGTGTTAGAGAGCTTCGGCAACTGAATGAATGTGAAAGATCTAGGCCAGACAGAGAAGGAACTTCGAGAGATGCGTTGGCTACGATCCAAGTGTATTCTAATTGCACGCTCGATTCCGGCCTTCGTATGATATCGATTAATAATCGACAGGCGCCCACGCCGTCCTGTGACTAGCGGATCTGCGCCCTATCACATTCTCATGTCAATATTGAAAAATTCCGAGATACAGTGACTTACTCAGTGAAAGAGGCTAGTCTCATTCAGTTCTTCTGATGAGAACTGACCAGTAAGAGACTAGGCCTTCGGATTCGCCACAACACTGAACAGGTGAGTGCTCTTGAAAATTTGACACGTTCTTGGGAAAGCAACCAATCAGAGGTCACTGTACATCACGCAACCTCGACCCTGCAAAGGAACTGTGTAGGAAGCGGATATCAATGCATTTGAGCGTCACTTCCAACGCGAAAACCAGCAAACGTACCACCAGGGCCCAAGTAGAGTGATTAAACACGATGCTGCTCACCAAGGATAGTATTCTCCACCATGACCGCGACCACTGGGTACACACAGTCCTTCAGACTTCAGCACAGCTCGAGAGAACGGCTCATCTGATGTCGAAATTCTATAAAAGATGCTGCTTGGGGGGCCAGGACTTCGAGTTGTTCCTCACGGTGTTCTGGATGACCTCTCCCTGCGTAACGAGCGTTGATGTTGAAATCTGTTGGAAAGTAGTAAGCTCCAATCAATAAATTTCGGAAAGGTCTTACAGGACCCAGCACCGCCCTCAACACTGCAACATAAACTCACTCTACAAGCAGACCACCGAATGTGTGCGTTCAAAGGTTCCGTACCAAGGTTTCTAGTATGTCGGCGTTACGTCTTGATGCATGACCCACACAGGAAAGTATAAAAAATTCGATGTTAGACGACGAGAGTCCGTCCGGCGCGTGATGTATTTGTGAGGAGTTGGCGGTAGACCTGTAACCGGTCGTCTTCTATATATGGGAGCAAGCTCACGATATCTTATAAATATATCGTGAGCTTGCTCCCATATATAGAAGACGACCGGTTACAGGTCTAAGTTGGCGGTTGGTCGGAGAAATTCAAATTCCCGTTGATCACATCATCACTGTCAGGGAAAAAAATGATATCGATATCCTCGAGTACTTACGAAGATAAATTTGGCTCGGTTACATGTCTGACAGGAAAATAATGTCTGTCTAGGAGTGCATAATGAGTAGGGCATGCTACTTCTAATTTACATTTGGCAGTTTAAAACCCCAACACAGAGATTTGAAAATAGGAAGACGTGAATGCCAATCTGACTGCCACCGGCCACTAATGACTCACAAAAGAGCAACGTAAAAGATAATAGCAGCAACTTGTTTCGATCAAGTGACCTCGGGGTTATGGGCCCCGCGCGCTACCACTGCGCCATGCTGCTGTCGAGAATTGACTACATAGAGAGTCTTAGAGACACTGTGTCGTATCGCTAATTGTAGCCCGAAATGGAAAACAGTCTTTGTTTGTTCCTATTGAAGTCAGGCGCCGAAGCCAATGATGAAGAGAAGCTTTTCCCAACGCTGAACACGACGACGACGACAATCACTAAGGCCAGCAAGACTGACGCGTTGTAGCACACTTATTGCGTCGCTCGTTGTGGTCGACAATCTTTCACGACGAGGACGCCCTCTCAAAATGTCTGGCAAAGCGCCACCGAAGGGCCCAAGAGCACTGCGAGGAGGTCCGCCTCCGCCGCCTTCAAGCATCGCGGGTCCGAGCTCCACTGCTTCGGGACCTTCTCTAGCGGCCCACCCAACGAAGAAGATACCTACAGGACCGCGGAGCCTTGTAAATGGTAATGCAGCTCACGCGGGTCGCATATCGAAGCCACCCTACAGGAATGGGACGCCAGAGGCAAGAGGGACGGGTATTAATGGTGGAATAAATGGAGTGGGAACGAAGAGCGCGCATTCTTCGACATCATCGACGAATGCTGATACATGGATCCCCAATGGCGCTGTGAATGGTGTAAAGACAGTGAATAGTCCGCCGGTACCAGGTATTTTGGGTTCTAATCGGGCTGCAATCTCTTTCTCAATGCCGCGGAGGCCATCTGGTAGTGGTCCCCCACCGCCCAATCATCCGCCACCACCGCCACCCCAGCCGACGAAATCACCACCCCCGCCGCCTCCACCCAGTTCAACTCCGCCTCCTCCGCCTCCACCGGCAACTCCCCCGCCACCCCCGCCGAGTATAGATCCACCTCCGCCGCCCCCGCCGAACGAGTCAGCACCTCCGCCGCCTCCTCCCGAAGTTCCCCCGCCTCCTTCGGCAGTGCCACCTCCTCCTACATCAACTCCCCCTCCGAAAACCATCCCATCCTCAGAAAATATTGCATCATCATCCTCACATGTACCTCCGCCTCCCTCCTCAGTTAGGCGGCCCCCTTCTCCCCCAACGGCCCGGCCCGTCTCACCCGTTCCACCATCTCCATCTCCGCCACACGTTCCTCATTTTACGCCAATAACGCTTCCTCAACGCGTAGCAAGTCCGTCACCCCAACCCCCTTCCGACATCTTATCCCCCTCTTCGCCACGTGAAGTTACCCCTCCTCCCCCCCTACCTTCACCTCCACCTCCACCTCCCACGCGACGACGTCCTGCTCCTCCGGTATTATATTCCTTGCCTCCTTTACCCAGCTGGCCACCTCATAAGTCAGAATATCCGTCAGTACGTTCATACAAGGTCCTACACGATCCATCCATACACAAGCTACCCTTTCCCTCCAATGTTAATGATTTAGTGGGATATTCAAGTGATGGCCCTCCAGCCGCGCCGGGAGCCAGTTCAAGTACTGCATTAACACCTCCATATTTTCAGCATCTCGTCTCGTGTATGCCGGAGTATGTATCAGCCTCCGTGTTTCAGGACCGCGTCAAAGGGAAAGGAAAGGGCAAGGAGATTGTGTATCGGTACGAGGGTGAGGTATTGAACCGCGGGGAGTGGATCCCTGTACCAGGACATGGAGATCTCTGGATACGAGAGCCAGAAATTCCCGAGAAGCCTCCAGATCCGCGTCTTAACTCTAATGTTAAGCGACGGCCGCCGCGTGAAGAGCTAGGATACGTTACGTATGAGGTACGGATTTTCAACTATTGGTATAGTTATCACTAACTGGTTCTGTAGTATGAACAAGGGATATCAACGACTCCTCCGCCTCCCACTGCTCTATTACTAACAAACTTATCACCTCTAACTTCAAATACTCAGCTACGGACACATCTTGGTGGGTATGGACCAATTAAAGTCTTCGAACCCAAGATCGACAAGGAGAATGGGATGGCGTTGGGTGTAGTTTGGGTTGACTTCCGTACGCACGAGGACGCCAAACGGTGTTTCGATGGTATTTGCGGGCCTGGTTTAGACATTCGGGGCATTGGAGGTAGCCTAAAGACACTTCTTGGTGCCAGTGCGGAAGATGTCAAAGTCATATTCGATGGACAAGGCAAGAGAGTCGCAACAGTCATCAAAGAATTGGAGGATAGAAAGCGAAAGCGGAAAGAAGCAACTCGGAAGACTGCAGCGACCAAAGACACAACTCCTTTACCCGCAGTCCCGACGCCGAAGCAGAATGGAACACCACGACCAAATTCATCGACGCCTTCTGGTAACAACAAACCGGTTTACCACCCTCTACCATCTAATCCTCGACTTTCGCATGCTCTCCCTCCGAATCCTACAAAACAACACGGACCGGCAGTGGGCTCCAGTTCCCTCGCGTTGCACAATCCACTTAAAGCGTCTCCTATGAGGCCGGCTATGGCAAGCGGAACGTCAGGACCAGCGATTCCTCAGCTTCAGAAGGCCAGGGAGGCGGCAGCGGCGGAGATGAAACACGAGAAAGAGAAGACAACAGAGAAAGAGGAAGGCATGGGCAAGAGACGGATGATGGACTCGTTCAAAGCGAAGCCACGAGAGCGATTAAGAAGGGAAGAGAGGGACTTGGAGGGACTTGGCTCTGATGGACATCGAAACGGCCAGGATAGGTATGACGATCGATACCGGGGACGTCGACAGCGTTCACCCTCGCCTAATCCACTACAGTACCTGCACAAGGGGTACACGGAGGACGAAGTAGAGAAAGCGCTGTTGACAAATGGGAAGGAGTACATTATCGTGGAGTTTGAAGACGGTAAACGCACTGGTGGTGGTGTTTCGGAGGGAGAGGTCAGGGACTTTTTCGAAGACTTCTCGACCGAGAAGGTCATGTCGGCGCCCAAACATGGACTGGTATTTGTGACATTCATGGATCCTGAGGCAGCAAGGCGGGCTTTAATTTCCTTCGCCGGAACCAGTCTACGGTTAGCGTATAGGAACGTGAAGCTGCGTCCTGGTGAGAAGGGAGTGTTCCATGGTGTGTTACCTGACTCTCTTTTTATGCATCCGCCTTGACGTTTCTTAGGTTTTGATGGGCGACGTCGGACGGTGTGGGAGGATGCAGAGATGGTGGACGAGGCCGCACGCCTGCTTGTTGCGGAGCTTAAGCAGATACTGACGAAGGACGTCAAGGACCGGGTGGTTGGAAATGAGGTCAAACGGTTGATGCGGGCAGGGGTTAAAGAGAAGGAGGATGATGGAGAGAAAGAGAAAGGAGCGAAGACTCTTGATTTGAAGGGACTGAGTTTTCGGAAGCGCCGACGGGAAGGCGAGGAGGGAGGGAGAGAGAGCAAGCGTGCTAAGGTCGTTGACGAGTGGGTGGATGTCCGCCTCGATGACGATGCCGAACCCATGAAGGCCAAGCGGCTGAGAGACACCGATGAGGCCGAAGAGGAAGAGGAGGAGCGACCGAAGAAGAAGGGTAAAACCGAGAAGAAAGTGCAGAAGAAGACCAAGGGCAAGAAGGGCAGAGTTGTCGTCGAGGACGAGGAGGAAGACGTCGTTGTTGTCGTCAACGGTCGCAAGGCACCAAATTTCCGGTCAGTATCGACGCTCTCGCCCTCAACATCAAGGTCGTCTTCGCCTTGTTCTGTACCGCCAACGCCAGCGCTCGTGGTAGAGTCCGAATCCGAATCTGAAGAAGAGGTGGTGGAAGAGGAAGAAGAGGACTTGGGCGTCTTTCAGGATGATGAAGACCGTTTCTTTGCCAAGATTGCGTTATCCCATCCTGAGAAAGACTTTGAGAGTCTGGACGACAATCTTAAAGCGGAGCTGGGTATTCCGTCACCGCCTGTCACAACACCTCGGCTACGGATACATGCCACAGGGTCTGCACGGACGGAGGGATACTATGAAATCAGTCACGCGCAGAAGGCTGAGTATGTATCGCAGTATCAAGCTCGTTCATCTGCTGCATCATCCAAGGTCGTCGTTGATCCTGCACCAAACGACAGCCCTTCAAAAGCCGGTGTCACATCCTCGCGAGAGAATCGAGCGAATGCCCGTCGACGCGCCCAAGGTCTCGAGGAGATGAATCAGCTCAATCGTGCTGTGGCGCTGTCCAAATCTACTGCACATATGAACTCGAAGGACAATCCTGCTCAGGAGATGCTGCTCAAGTTCAACCAGCTGCAGTCGAGGAAGAAGCACCTGCGGTTCGCGCGGAGTCCGATCCATGATTGGGGGTTGTATGCGATGGAGAGGATCAGCCGTGGGGAGATGGTCATCGAGTATGTGGGTGAGATTGTCCGGGCGCAGGTGGCGGAGAAGCGGGAGAAGGCATACGAACGGCAGGGTATTGGAAGCAGCTATTTGTTTAGGATCGACGAAGACCTGGTGGTGGACGCCACAAAGAAGGGGAATCTAGGGTGAGTGTGACCACTTTTATTGTCTGGATTTACTGACTGATTGACGTGCGCTTCCTAGTCGGCTGATTAACCATTCTTGTGATCCCAATTGCACTGCCAAGATCATCACTATCAGTGGGGAGAAGAAGATTGTGATATATGCGAAGCAGGATATTGAACTCGGGGATGAGATAACCTATGGTGCGCAACTTCATTTATTGATCATTTCATTGCAAGCTTATACCTTAACAGATTATCACTTTCCCTTCGAGCAAGACAAGATTCCCTGTCTTTGCGGGTCCGCAAAGTGTCGTGGCTTTCTCAACTGATCCGTCATCCGGGGTTCTTCTGGTCTATGGAACTCTTTGCTTTGTCGTCGATGTTGTCGTATTTTACTGTTTGCTTTTATTGGTTTTTTATATCGTTCATCTGTGTGTGTTTGTCCGCCTGCATATGTATATAATTATACCTCACATCATTGTCATTTATACTGCAATGCACTTTGGCTCGCTGGTTCCTTGCCTTGATTGAGAATTGGGAATGGTCGACAGTGTTTTCGCTTACAGTCGTCAAGAACCGTCCTCTTTCCTTTCCGTGGTAATCAATGCAGTCGTATTCCCTGACAAAGCTGAACCTTTTGAAAAAGTACACTTAAACCTGAGAGTTGTCATGTAGTGCACAAACATTGGTTGAATTCGGATATGCAAATTTCAGATAGGCGCCTAAGACGTAATGTGGCGCGATATACATGAAGAAAGAGCAAAGCAAACAGCATTATAGTACCAAAGAAGTGATATAACAGATAATGGACAGTCCAAGCATTTCATTAAGTAGCTATCGTCCAGTGATTCATAAGCCAGGATGAGCATTGTAACAAGCCTGCGCTATTTGGCTGGTGAACAGGCGATTCCCTCCCCATATTGTCAACTTCTTCACTCCGGGTAAGGCGTAGGGTGGAATGACGTCCAACTTTGCGTTCTTCTCCAGACGCTCTTGTAGGTACCGTTTGCTATGCGTATACGCAATTTCCAGCTCAGTAACTTGTTCTGGTAGCTGGAGTCGTGCGAGCGAAGAGTCGTTATACCACCAGTTGTGATAGTTCATCGATACCCGCTTGACGTTGGGAAAGACTTGGGGAAGCACCAGCATGAGATCGTGCATTTCGTCGGATACTGGGTGCGTTACGGCATTGAAGCCATCGGGATCGACTTCGAGGACGAAAGCGATAGACCGACAGAATGATGTCGGTGAAAAGGACGAGTCGATCGACCGGAACGATGCGGTGTCTCGTTGAAGCATGCGGCAGATGACATGGTTGAGATGAGAGGGTGAGAAGACGTGTACGTCGGTGCAGAATACACGTGTGAATTCCCAAGCGAACGATTTGCTGACGAGTTGAGATGATGTCGTCATTCGGAGTCGTTCGATGGGGGTAAGAGGAAGTGCCCATGCTTCCTCGATGATCTGGGCGAGTACTTCGGCGGGGAGTAGGTTCATTGTGCAATAGTAATAGAAGCGATGTTGGTTCAGCGTAGTTGTTCGATAATTTGTGTGGCTGAAGGCGACTCCTGCAATTTATACTTGAGGGTACTCCACATTTGACCTTTCTCTGGAGGCGGTGAAGAGCAAATGTCTGTCTCAGCGATCGACCACAGTACAAGCCCCCTACCTGAAGATTTGATACCTCTGTAAAAACCAAAGAGCACTAGACAGTGTAAATGATTGGTCCACTTTGCGGAAGTCCGTCGACAAATGTGACCGCGCAGCGTACTCGAACTTCTGCAACATCCTTAGATAAATGATTAGTTCGCCAACAGTATATCATGCCATAGTAGGCCCCTTTTCAGCAGAAGTTCCAGTTCCAAAGTTCATCGCAAACTGGAAGGATACTAGATACACAGCTTGATGTCTTAGCAGAGCAGTTCTGCAACAAATTGGCCCCGACGAAGATGAGAAGAAAGTAAAGAGACCCGTCGTTTCACATTGAATCTAGAAGACTGACTCGGACTGACGGCTCCCGGAACACTGAAAAGGGGGATGGAGGTGAAGGTTGGAGTTGGAGTTGTGGCTGTGGACTTTTCGGCCGAGCCAACGCCGCCCTTCCAACTTATCCTCTCAAAGGAACTTTTTTCACTTGTACAAATGTACAATATCTTAGCAGGATCATGTTTTATTTAGGTGCCTTATTAAGGTCCGAGCTTTTTCCTCCACAGACCGATTTTTGAGCTTTTCGCCAGCTGTTGCCGACACAGCCCCCATGAGAAAGTCTAGCCACAAATACTTCTGACTTCAGGCTCAAAGATTTGAAGGCCATCATAGTAGTACCGTCTTTGCTTCCTGATCATAACGCGACCTCACGTGGTCTTTTTAGTTGCGCAAGCCCCCTAGCGTCGGTAGAAAGGTGCCCCGCGAAGAGGGTCGTCTCGACATTATACGACATACCAGTTGAAACACTCTGCGAGTGAACCTGTAAATAACAGTCATTACGATCCTGAGGAACTTAAATGCCCCTTGAGTGCCTGTTTAAAGGCTCAGGCCGCTTGTTCTAGTATATCAACGCCATATAATATCACGCAGCCAAGCGACGTCACCATCATTTCGATCTGTGCTCCTTTCAGAAATGATTGAGTGGAGCCTGAAGCGGCCCAAGCCTTCAGCTCTGTGCAGCTGAGCCTTATCGTTGAGTGGAAATCAAGTTGCTTGCTAACGCCATGGGCCGGCAAGGAAGACGTACAATACCTCCGAGATCTTTTCGCAGATACGATGGCGTGATTCACCGTTTATTGTGTCATGGTACTAGTCGCGCAGCAAGTTCACACCCAATTCTTACTGGATTATCAATCACTGGACCACCCTGTTTTGACCCTGTTGCTAATTTTGACACTGCATAGAATATACAAGCTGGGTGACCTTACATACTCATTTAACACTTGGTAGATATTAGAATCAGAAACCTGGAAGAGTCCCGTTCTTTTCCCCCTTTAAAAAACAGAAAAGCACTTCAAGGCACTACAAAATTCTCGAACCTGACAGACGATGAGAGTGACTAGAACGTGATCGACGGTGGGTCAAATGCTGTGCGACCAGGTCTGACGTCATGGGGTGGCATGAGAAAAAGGCACAGCCAGACGCTCGCTCTTCTTGATTACTTACACTCATGTTGTCCCCTCTACCTAGCCTTTTCATCCTTGCCGGACTGGCATATAGTGCCAATGCCCAGTTTATGAACGATAACAACAATCATACAACAACACAGAGAATAATAGCGGGAGTCGTCGTAGGTGTGTGCACTTTTATCCTGCCATCGGACCATCCATCTTACAAGATTTTTTTAAGCTGTTCTTGCATTAATAGCTTGCATCTTGTGTTCCATCGGACTCTCTAGACGTCGGCGGCGTCGCCTTCTTGTGGTACCCCAGGGGCAGTATTCTCCTCAGGCTGCCGGAGGATATAAGCCGCCATTCTTTGGTAGCGGCTGGGGATGGAGTCAACAATACCCACCAAATCAGAACCAGAGCCCGTACATACCTCCTCAAGGGCCTCCGCATCAATCGACTCCGTACTACGGAGGTTATGGTTCCGGTGCAGAGCAGCGGCAAGAATACCCTCCTAATCCCCCTCCGTATAAACGGGACGATACCAACTACCAACCGGTGCGCACAAAAATATCTGATGTCCCAATGCTTCTAATATTGACCGTCTCTAGCCCGCCGGACCACCTCCGGGACATCCAGAAAGTAGTGCGCAAGCCCAGTACAGCCCGGTTAGTTATTATAAACGTTGTGATAATCCATTGGCTTAATTCCCTAAAATTCCAGCCCCCCGGACCACCGCCGCAAGCTCACTTGGCCCATAATGTTGTTTAACTTTCCTTAATTATGACATTTCGCAGGCTGATTTCCTTGCAGGGCCAAGGTTCCGTCGGAGGTTTCAAACCTTGATTAACGGGCATTTTCCCATCTTACATTCCATTCTCTTAATCTTCTAGTCGCACATCTGTATTCACATATACTGTACCATCTCGCGTTGCGAACTTCGTGCTTCATGTTGTAGTTATACACAGCTGGGTTTCTAGTTTATAAACAGGATTCAAATTACCACCGACGCGCGCGCGCATGCGAGTGAGTGTTGAGGGTATTGTTTGTTCCTATCTTGCGATGATGCAGAATCCAAGTCTTTTCGTGCAACTCGTATCCGGACGGCAGTCAGTGTAGGAGGTTCGGTTGGTGACAAACTTGGCGTCTCGTGATTGTAGAACGAAGCTTGAGCTGTGATAGGATGCTTGAATTCGCAGCTTGGCATGCAAGAGGGCCATCTGGGACACGGAGTATACTTCTTAACTATCGTTACAGCATCAGTCAGCGAATCACAACGGGAAAGCCAAGCGTAACTGACATGGCTGCGTATCCGCAGGGTGGGAGAACGTGCAAGTTTTGAGGGTACATCCTTTGCCTTGAACATACGACCAGCAATGTCGAGCCGAGTTAGAGGCACGAGGGTTGAGTTCTTTGTACTTGAGCACACTTGCGTCGTGTATGCTGCATCACGGAGCCCCGGTCAGAAGAGATGGCATCAAAGATATGAGAAGACTCACAAGCGACAATCTTCACCCATTGGACACCGCCGTTTTTGCTTGAAGTGCTTGCAAATGGCCGTGTACCAGTTTACAGGCTCGACGGGCACGATAGGCTGAGGGAATTGCACCCAGTTTGCCAGTTGGGCTGGGACTATTGGGAATGGAGGGTGGAAGAGTTGACAGAAGCCTCCTTGCGGGCAATATCCGTTGAGATAGTTCCGGCAGACTGAGCCTAGTCAATCAAGTGAGCAACATAGAAGTTGAGAGTGAAGAAAGAACACACTTGTATCCATAGCGTGGGAAAAACCTTAGGTTACTAGTATATCAAGTGAGGGGGATATGTTGGAGAAGGCGGCCCCTTTATATCGACCGAAGCTGGAGCTTGAGGCTCGGAAACCCATCGATAACAATGAGTGGTGGCTTCGGACAAAGACAAGTTGTGTTGAAGAATTTATAGCCGTGACAATGGTCTTGCAAATACCGAGTCAGCATCGTGAACAAAGACGCGAGACGTCAGGACCATTGTTCAATGGCCTGGTATGGGTATGGTGGTACAGCGCAGAACTCCTTGATAAACATCCTGAAGAGAGAAACATATATGCCCAAAGATTTATCACGGTCTTGCTCTGGTTGACCTTGAGAATGAGTGGCAGTGACGCCGCATGGGTTCGGGCCCAGTTCGTTAATGAAACTCAGTGATGTAGATTTCGAGCCCAATTACGGGAGGCAACGATCTGTTGTGAGATTCAGGGATACAATTATTGAGTAGGCATTCTAGATGGTGGCAACGGTTCGCCTCTAACGTTCATCCTGTCGCCGAGTAGGGATACCGAAAACGATAGATCATAGCATCAGTAGTCTGAAACCGGCCACTTACCCAGGCGAAGTATGGTGATACATCGTTCCATTCTCTCGACCGCCGTTAGGACCCTAACCTTTCCAGGTACCCGAAGGAGTAAGGGTAGTAGGTTGTGCCGCCAATGTTTAAGAGGACGGCGGTACACAGTGGTGTCTCGGAGATTGGATGGATGTTGGGGACGGGGTGGTCCTGGAGGAAAGTGAATCCGATTGTTGGGGGAAACGAGGGTAGCGAATCATTATCAGGCCCAGAATATTTGAATTCACAGAACGGCGGATAGGGAAACATGCGCCATATAAAGCAAAGCGTGTGTATCTTGTCTGATACATCAGTCGACGGTCGTCGCATGCGCTACAGAGGATTTAACTTACATGGCTTGATATCTCTGGTAAAGAAGTAGGCGCATGGACGGGCTCTTCTGTGGCCCCTGAATGTATGACCAACGATGAACATCGCTTGATTTATTTCGAAATCATGGAATGTGAGCGGCGAAAAAGGAAAACACAGGTTACAGGTGCAAGAGGACGCATATGATTTTACGTACAAATCACACTGATTGCCCATGGGGCAGTACCCGTTCTGCCGGTAGAAGGACCTGCAGAGCATGGTTCTTCCATGCGAGAGATCGTTTTTTGGACATCTGTCGCAGAACGGGAAACACCAACTGAGAGGAAGAATCAGTTGGGTGAAACACAGCTAGTCGAGCGATTTTGGGAGTAGAAGAGTTAGATGAAGGACCCACCTGAGAAAAAATATTAGAAGATCGCGGAAGATGTGCCGGGAACAATGCAACGGCCCTATCTGACGGTCTCAGAAGATGCACAAGCCGGCAGCTGAGAAATCTTGACAAGCTCCATCTACAATCTCCTCTCAGAAGGCTAAACGATCAAACCAGAGGAATGCTAGCATAAGGATAAAAGGATTACGGACCATCAGTACACCAAAACTTATGATAGTATTTTAAAACCCAGAGGCTAAATTGGAAAGTCGGGACAATGGAAAGATGGTCAGTCAACCAGAGATCACAGGGTGTACATAAGTCGTTCTGACAAAGAGACCCAAGATAAGGAAGGGCAAGGACACTTGAATAAAGTGCCTTCTTTCTTCACAGTCTGGGGTTGACGAAAGCATGCAACTTGAAAGGTGCCGTACATGCTCTAGATGAGGTAAATTTAGGAACACCAAGAGATTCTTAGAAAAGTATGAGGACTCGAGCCTCTAGTACGCCGGGAACGTGATGGTATGGCGCGATTAGAACTTGTTTGAACTCCAGAACTAGTAGTGAGTCACAGGTTCACAGCAAGCAGAAAACGAAGAAAACTCCGACCAAACCTGGGCCATGGCATTGATGACCCTGCATCTGAAAGCAAAAAAGTCAAGGAGTATACCTCTGGCCCTGATTGTCCTTTTTAAGTATGAATATTGCCCATGAGATTCGAAGAACGGCGCCGTACGGACGTCACGGTCATGTTGGACCACGCGGCTCAGTGTCATGTGATATGCCGCCGCCCCGACTGAAGTTCGGCCCGACGCATGTCCGGTACCAATCCGGTGCTTCCTTGGAGCGCAAGCGAGTCGGAAAACTTCATCGTCCATGTCGGATGGACTATTTCATTTCTGGTTTATTAGAAATTTTTGGACAGCGGACTCGGACTTTCGGAACGTCCTCACCGACTACCGTGGCACCGACTCGGGAATTTTTAGCAATTCAACGCATAGAACGCCGCACCAGGCAAAGCAAGGCATACGTGATAGGCTTTCGATGATGGTGTAATGCTAGGGGCGAATACCATTTATGGTCAACGTGGGTTCTATCGGCCCTCGTCAGTGCTTGCTGGACTTAGCGAACGGTAATAAATGGATTTATGGTGCCTTAAGCCACTGCATGGAATGGCGCTGGCATTTCAGATCCCTACGATACGATACGTGCCTGAGGCTTGTCAGAAATTTTTAGTTTCCTATTCGTTGTCAAGTACGGACTCCCAGAGCTATGTCCTCCATTTGATTCGGCGGACAATTCGGTCCTGGTAGATGACCGGTGGTATCCACTGGCAGTGTCTCCTTTAAATATCTCTTCCTCGCTGCCTAAGAAACTGATTGGATTGGTATGGGTGATTTCATATAACTTATAACGTGGATGTCGTTCTCATCTTTGATGATCAAGCGACTTGGCATTCTGTTGCGCGCTTAGGGACGCACCGATAGCATCCCCGAGTCGGTAATACAAAAACGGCCGTGCGTCATAACTAGCCAATCATCATTACCCAAGCTTTATAGTAAAAGTTCCGCCGGTTTGTCTACTAATGTTGCATATACTATACAGTAAAGAAAGACAGCAAATATGATAGCGGGATCGCAATAAAGAATAAATAATCATCACTGGTGGTTGTAGTCATGAGTGGTAATAGTATGCAAGGGTATCGTTCATGGTAATGTCATATTCTGTGGTTGGACCTGCATTGCCGCGCTGTTCAGCATGTCGAACCTCGTCATCATACCCGCGCTGACGTTCATTCTCTTCCGTGGGGGCATAGCGGAAATATCCTGTTCACAACGAGAGTCAGAACAACGACCAGACCACACGAAATCACGCGCAAGTACTTCGCAGTTGTATTGGCCGTCTACTGGAAGCCATTGAGACCAAACCTGACGGCCGACACAAAGGAAATAAACCCACCTTGTTGCAGTGGTGTACTGTCCCACGTCCGTGAATGTTTACGGACCATCCGGTTCGAGGGATCCTAGGAGTTGCATAGGCAATGATCAGGTGAAGATATAGTCAAAACAAAGAGATGTGCTTACCTCGAGCTGAGTCATAGGCTCAGTTCCATAGACTGCTTGTGCATCAGCGGGTTCCGTCCAGTCTAATTTTGCACTAGCACGAGAGACTGCCTGTGAATTCGAACATATTTAGTTAGTCCGAATGATGATCGATAGATAACATACCTCTGCATGGTACCTCTGACTTTCGTCGAGGGATAAAGAGGAGTGTCTCGATTGTTGGTCGACTGGTTGATCATCATCAGATAGAGAACAGGCAAAATCCGAAATCCTAACTCACCTGCACCTTGATTCATTGACAGAAGAGCAGCCACTAAACATATAGATACAGAGTTAATGATGATGGAAAAGCACATAAGAGGTCTTTCTCACTGATATCATCTCTGCGCTTTTCTGCAGCAGCAACGGACTGACGTGCTTGACGTTCAGCATCAAGACACGCAGTGTACCGAAGAAATGCATCTTGAGTTTCCTTTTGGGTCCTAGACAGAGCAGCGCGGGACAAGAGGAGCGCTTGTTCTATTCATTTAATCAGATCTTGGATTCAGGGGGGGGAAACATACATACTCGATGTACTCGCTTCCTGCGCCAATGTTTCAGGATTGCGAAGGGACGGCGAATGAGAATTTCGTGATGAAACCATAAAGTTGCTCGACCCGTCCGAGACATCTATAACAAGGTAAGGGTCGCGGAATTGGTAATGGCGGGGAGGTAAATGTCGCTCACCGATGCCTGCTGTTCGCATTTTGTGGTCCCCGTAGCTGTGGTCGGAAGCATCGGGAGACCCTGAATCCACAGAGTGATCGTCGCGGATCGTGTACCCATTCTCTCCCATAGAATTACGCAGACGAGGGTTGTGAGGTATACCCGAGGCCTGGCGTTCAATGAACTTACGCAGGAACGTTAGCTCGATGTCATCGGCCATAACGTACGGGGGTCCCTGAATGTCGCCCTTCTGCATCAAGAGTTCCAGGTGTGACATTGTTTTGTCTTTCAGCTGCTGGAGCCATTCGTGCAGCTCCATATGGTCCTGGTCAGCGCGTGCGTCGTAGTCCTGCCGTCTCCTGGCCTTCCGCCAATAAGTCTTGGTCAACTTGAGAGCACGATTAACCTCTCCGTCCAGAATCCGATACCAGTCGCTGGCCTGACGGTTAAGACGCACCGCCAGTACTCCGGGTTGCACCCGTAGCTGCAAGTTGCACCGGCCTTCACGGTCTGGAGGCCCAAGGACGCCTTTTTGTCCTTGATTCCCCCTCGTCGCGCCACGGGAGACATTTCCAAGCTCAGGCCAGGGCAAATCGTCAGCGGAAGCCATAATTAGAACTTCGAGTGTGGGATGAATTGAGGGAGAAATGTAGGGAAGAGGCTATCGAGGCAATCACAATGCTGCGATGCAGTTGGACCGGGCGCAAGATATCGAGTTGCAGAAGACCAACTTCACCAACTTATAAGGTCGGGATCAGTTTAGGTGGTGATGTATTGATGGCTGGTTTTACAGCACTGCCAAAAAATTGATGCGACTCATTCAATCAGTCGGACAATTCGTCACTAAACCTTGGATACGACGGGTCAAAAGGCTCGGAGGAAAATCTAAAAAAGGACGCAGTTGATGGAATCCGGTCTTTTCACACGCATGATGATGGACGCCCTTATCCGTCCATGTCGTTGATGAACAGTTGAGAATGATCCATACCACGTTACAATTTCCATTGCAACAGAGGGGCACTTTAGTGACACGGGGTAAAAAGCAAGTGGAAAGTACTGATGTCGAGCTCTCGGATCAAACGCAAGGGGAAGGAAGCGCCCGCAGAATAGCTTCGCTTCCGCATTCCAATGGCTTTCGCCCCACCTAACCACGTCTGTTTAACTTCTCACAAAAATCAAATCATAAGGGTGGACCTTAAACTAGATCCTACAAAATGATCTTCTTCGGCTTAAACGTCACGTAGCAAAAGTTACGCCTTGTGCTAGTGGTGCCTCATTCGAGAAATTGACTGGTTAATAAATAGAGTTAGTGAATGTAAAACTGCGCAAAAAAAAAGCGTTCCGTACTAGTACACGCGCTCCAGCGCACATACTGTTTCCAGGCATCGCCACCGGACTCACGACCCCTGTCAGGTTAGAGTAGGTTTGCGGGGGGGTTTGATCCCAAGCTGATACGAAATTACTTACCATCCGGTACTCTGAAAAGGAAAGCAGACGCACGTTAACTGTATGTAAACTCAATATCCGGCCGCCTTACCTTGTTGCCCCCGAAAGCGGCCGAGATTTCAGCTCCGGAGTTCCCGACATTTATCTGTAAGAAATAGACTATCATAACAAGGTCCCCGACAGACGGGGACAGTCGACGTACATTTACAATACCCGCATCTGATCCATTTGGACCAATCCATTGCCCCGCATTCCGGAGATCACGGGTCCAGAGACTACTGGAAAGGCCCTGGACACTCGGAGAAAAATGAGATTAAATTGAACAATAAAATGAAAAAGGGTGACAGAACTTGAGGCACTGCATTATTCCACTCAATAGCTTGATCAAGATGATCGAAAATCGCAACGTTAAGAATGGGGGCGAAGGTTTCGGTACACCAAATTTTGTCCCTGGTATCCACTGATTTAGGTATTGCGATAGCAGGCTGTACAAAGTTGCCCTTGTCGAGAGGGGCTTCGCTGTATCGGATGCCGCCAGTGAGAATTTCAGCATCGATGGAGCGAAGGTATTCAATAGTATTCTCATAGACGCTGACTGCGTTGGACGTATGCAGAGGGCCAAGAAGAGTCGTGTCAACCAAAGGGTCCGCGGGCTTGACGGATCCATAAGCCTTCAAAAGCCGCTGTAAAAACTCGTCTGCGATATTACGCTGAAGATAAAGTCTTCGAGTAGACGTGCAACGTTGTCCTGCCGTACCGACAACGCCAAAGAAGACCGACGGCACCGCCATATTTAAATCCGCATCGTCCATAACGATCGAGGCTTGATGAACAGACAGGGCACCACCATTAACAACGCGCTTCATCATAACTGATACACGTACCGTTGTTACCACCTAGTTCTAGTATGGTTTTTCCAAATCTTGCACTCACATTCTGGCCTACAGAGCGGCCGACACGTTCACTGCCAGTGAAAGACACTGACCCACGACGTGAGTCGATATGCTTACTCAGTAGTATTAGACGTACCAAGATCCACCCCGGAGTTTGCCACAATTCCTTCGCCGATATCCTTACCTCCAGTTACCAAGCCTGCAACGGCGCCGCTGATCCCGTTGCGCTCCAAAACCTTGCTTATAATTGTGGTTACGGCAATGGCGCACAATGGCGTAGTATGAGAGGGTTTCCAAATGGTAGCGTTTCCAGCAGCCAAAGAAAGGGACAGATTCCTAACCAATCGATATGGTCGGAAAACGGCTAGCTGCTATATATGACGGAACCAATCACGTACCAACCATAGACAGCCACAGGGAAATTGAATGCTGTCAAGATTCCAATAACACCCAACGGATTTGGTACTGAAACACGAGAACATTAGACCTAGCCATAAAGAGGAGTATCAAGAAGTCAAACCTTCTAAGATAGAATGGCCTACACGCTCTGATGCAACCACACGACCGCTCATCATCCTGGAAAGACCCACTGCATAATCGCACTGTATTGATCATTCATTAGTAGGAACACAGGAGGAGACAAAAATAAGCGTGTACAATGTCAATGAATTCCTGTACCTCCCCTACACCCTCGGTTTTGATCTTTCCCATCTCCAAGGACACTAGTGCCCCGAGCTCTACCCGCTGAAAGTACATTGTGCCGTCGGCCCACTTGGAAGAACTTCTACTGTTTCATGACCGGCGCACCTTTGCAGCAAGGGCTTCTCGGATTTGACGAATTATCTCTCCTCGACGCGGGGCAGGCACATCTGAAACGACAAAATCAGACTTCAGTACGCGTGCTATAAACATAATTGAACTTGCTTCGGAACGACTTGTATGCATCGCGAGCCTTGGCGAGGGTCTCACGAAGGTCTTCTGGTGATGCCTGAGGGGCTGTCTGGCAGGTGGAACCCATCATCGCGGCATGATACTCACGGATTTAACGCGTGCTAGCACCTCGCCCGTCGTCGGACATACCGACGTGAGGATCTCTCCGGAGCCCTTCCATTCCCCGTCGTAGACGCCTGGCACCTCTGTGCTCGTCGTCGAGATGTCGAGTGAAGACAGGATTCGTGATGCCCTGGTGGACAGCAAGCGGGCCGTGGTGCCTGTTCGAAAGGTCCGTTCCAGGCGAATCTGTTTGTCGTCAAGGCGAGCTCAGCCAGCAGTATAACAACGTACGCCTGGAGTTAGCAGCTTGGATATCATGGCGGCGTCGACGGTGCTGGTGGTAGCTGCTCAAGCTCCGGTACGGTCATGCGCCGACTTGCTTTCCCCAAATGGATACTTGTGGCGCAACGCGACCATGTGAACATTCTTCCACTACAGAAATCCATATAGGCATAACCATGAGCCCATATTCTACCAGAATTTCTTCACTTGTGCTCACTGCCAAAGGCGCATCAGCAGCGCATCAAGTTCCCAAAAATATACTTGATCTTTCACAGTGACCCATATGGGCCGAGGATCATCGATTAATCAATAGAACCTGACTACCTTAATAAATGTTGATTCCACATGTACAAGTCTTCGGTGTTCGCCTGGATAGATAAATATCTTTGTATTGAAGACAGCAGGCTTCACAACAGGTTGATGATCAGATTGTAATGTCTTTGGTCGAAGGTCCAAACATCCGGATATCGGTACATGTATCTCCCTTGATTCAAGGAACAGTTTGACTTCCGCCGACCATGACCGTCTTGGGTAAAAGAAAAGCAGAGCGCCAACGATGAATTGCCCAAAGTACTTGATCCAGCATTGGCGGAACGACCTCCTCCTGAAATCTTTTTTACCTCCCTTTGCGACGGCCCTGTCAATGAAACGTCGTGTCCCTTCCTACTATACGTCTCGGTGTCGGCAGCGACGCAAGATCGTCACCATTCAAACGTGCACCGCAGGCATGACACACGTCCAGCCTGACCGGCATCTGACCGAATCTCGTCCCTTTACTGCACCCAGTCATATACATACCTAAAATTATCCTGTCAGGAAAACGCGGTGCAACCTCGAAACAAAATCCGCCTCAGCCTCATAGATCATCGAAGAAGCGGCCCTTGACCTCGACCTCGTTCCTTCCCTTCTTCCGCTTCACCACCATCAACGGATTTTTCTCCTTTCTCCGTTTTCTTTTTGTCTGTGGAGCTGGCGAATCTGAATCTGAATCATCACCATCATCCTCGGAGCCAGAACGTTTGGCCTCATTATATGCGCAGCTGTCGACTGCTCCCTCCTCATCTTCTTCAGCAGATCCAGCGTCATCACCTTCAGACGCTCCTTCTCTATCTTCCTCTCCTTCATCACTATTTCCATTTTCTCCATTGAAAAAGCCCCGCAAACTTGTGAGCTTCAACGTCTCGTCATGGCCAACACTTCCAACCCACCACCGGGCATCGGGCGATTTTTCATCATCATCATCATCACCTTTATTCGCCACCGTCGTTATCTTCTCTTCGCCCTCAAGATCCAAAAAATCTTGTCCATCACCAATTGCGACCCTCTCAACGGGCCATTCCCCATGGTCCGCCACCACACCCAACAATTTCGTCGGAAATATCTGGACTGCGCGTACAAAGCCATCGGATGACCCTGTTAGGATCGTGCTGGTGGCATCAACGCCAGTGAATGATTCAGGCAAAGCACATAGTGTGTCAACAGAATGCGGGTGCCTGTGAATACGAACTGAGGTTAAAAGGGACAAAAAACCATAAGGTCAGAGAAGTTTCATTACCCCGGAATACGGTCAACACAATCACCCCACCCGCTGCTTCGATTGAAGATAGAGAGAACCCCAATTTGTGTGCCCACAGCAAATTTAGTAGACCTTATGGAGAAATTCAGTTTTGAGTTTACCCACAATAATTCAAACGCTGACATACCCTTTGATTGCGACAATGGACAGGAGTTCATCTTCCTGATCCTCCGACTGCGCTATGGGTTTAGTATTCTTCGACCGGACATCCATAACTGACAGCGTTCCATCACCACTAAGCACAACGTCAGCACGCCACGTACATGTACTTCCCCCCTGTCGCGCACCTCGTAGCCATCAACTGTTTCTTATCGTCCAACCACAGAAAATCAGTAATGTAATCAAAATGATGCGTGTATTTCCGAATGGACTCTTTCTGTCGTGGATCCCAGAGCTGTTGGCTATTAGTGAGATTACACCCGCCGAGATAGGTCGCGATGGGCCCCGACCTTGATAACTCCGTCGTCATCTCCTGTGGACAGTAGCCACGATGTCAGATGTCGGACGCGATTGATGGGGGCCCTTCAGAGATGGAGAGGTCATGGTCTGGAAGAAGTGCGCAAAAGAGGAAAACGCTTGCTCATGGGCTTTGGCTCGCGTCTGGACGTGTTTCCCGGTCGCGGTGTCGATTGTACTAGGCTTCTGTCAGTATCAAAATAGGAACCGGCAGCAATCGAGTAACGAACTGGAGAGCCTTCCCCTTTCCCACGACGTATATGCTGGACCCGTCTCCGTCAATGCTGATTCCGCGACAAGACCGTTGGGAAACCGAGACGGAGAACGATTCCTTGCTTCGCCCTTGATGATCATATGAGATAGCCTTGACATGTCCAGATAGAAGTGCAGTATAGGCGGTGCAATGCGTAGGGTGGAACACAATGTCGAATACTTGTGAACCAACAGAGACGTCAGGCATGGCAAGTTTTGTGTTCGAATTCTAGTATTCGCTTCACCAAACGCATAAAATAGATAAAGAGCGAAAGCATACCTATTTGAGGGGCTTCTAATGTTGCATAACGCGCCCTCTGGAGACGACTACGAAGAACCAAGGTGTACGGCGTGTGTAGACTTGTGGGTGCTTGTGTGAGTTTTTTTCTTGGTTGATGATGTAAGTATCAGCCCGGCTTGACGGCAAGAAAGCACTGCGACATGTAGGCTCCTCCTCATGCTCACATCCCGAAGTCGCAAGGATTTGCGACAGATTCGTAATTTCGCAACGTAAGATCGTCTTACCTTTTCAAAACCTTTCAATGGTCAAACGCTATCTTTGCTAGCACCAAGTTGACTCATAAAAACCCTGGTCAGTCACTCGAACGGAATCGACACGACAACGGTACTGAATGGCGGCAGTGCCGGAGGAGAATATAGATATAGCGGTTAGAGGAAGGGTCACTATCTCTATCCACAACATATATATCCCGGTCAAGATGTTTTTTGAAACTCTTGCTAGAAAACAATCAAGAAGGATATTCTCAATCTTTCAAGCATCTTCAGGCTCCCCAGCCAAGTTGAACTGGCGCAGGATCTGCGGCGTTGCTTGCACTAGAAACGCTAGATACGAAACACGCGGAGTTGAAACAATGACATGCATCATTTGGGTGGTCGCCAAAGATACGCTAAACGTCCACGGCATGCTTCCCAGTAGTCCATGTGGTAAGATCATCCGTCGGTATCCTTTTCACAGCATCCGAATTGAGACCAGGAGTGGGTTTCTGTTTGGCGCCAATTCTAAAGAAGAGAGCCTTTGCATGCGGACGACTCTATATATCCGAGCTTCTCGGGAAGCCTTTTCTTACTAGCACTGGACTGTGTATACACGCCAGATGCATTCGTCTTTCGAAGGCAAGATGACGAATCGAACACTACCGGGTCCGGGGAATGGTGGTTTATTGATCTGAATTTATCCGCGGCCGTCCGTGACCCTGACATCGATGAGAAGACTGGGGGTTATGCGTATGACGCGGATAGAGACCTTATGAACGAAAAGATCAAGATTGTGCTGCGCGCAGCAGTGGCACGGGATTGTAGGCGCTTAGCCGCGGTGTAATTCAAGTCTTCAAAGCCGTTTCTCTAGCACTTGGACTTTGGACAACAGCGTTCGGGAATTCCATCGGGTTCTGCTAGGAAGGCAAGGTAGAAACCATGAATTTGCCGGATGTTTCAGCGAGGTCACTCGGTATCCTAGGCGGCAGAAAAGAATCAATCGAAGAATTCCCTGCAGCCTTTCATCGCTTGACGCCTGAGGATCTTTCCAGACAAGTTCCGCAGTATTAGCATGGTTTTCCGTCTGAAGTCGCAGTTTTCTCTCATACGCATGTAATCATACCGCAGAGATAGGCTAGCTAGCTGACGTGCCTTGAACACACAATAGAGTCCGGACTGCCCAGAATTTGGAAGGATGGAAGGAAGCTTCATGAGTCGACGCTTGCAGAAATTGATCGCAGCAGGCGCCGCAGCAGCGAAGAGTCACCTATCACGAGCGCCACTCTGAGTGTGCCTCGCACGACATACGTGGATGCTCTATAAAATACTTGTTTAAGACGTTATGCCCTGATGGAATTTCCAGCGGTCACCGCAAGGCATGGAAACAGGCAGAAATCCTGAGTTCGTTTTACCTAAAATTGAGGGGGAAGACTACGGTTTTCTTGGCAAAACGAGTGAAATGTAGCGTTGCCTACATGAATGGAATGAAATCCGTTACCAATTATTAATTTGATGATGAGCAAAAACAGTTCGGAGCTGAGAATCAGTCACCTTTTATGGGTCGATAAGATAACCTTCTTATTGACCTTCTTTCGTGAATCTGTATGGAAAGCACACACATTCTTGATCGTCTGTCACGCTCATCTTTCTTTTTCTGGCACATCTAACAACGCTATTCCGACGTTCGCTGTTCTTTCTTGAGCGGTGATGTCTGGTTACCATCCCTATAAACAGGGCGAATCGTCCAAATCGCCAGGACAGCCCAGCAACTACACGCCGGGGGATGAAGCTGTCGCGATATCCCAGGCAAGACCTCACAGCAAGGCTAACAAACGTATAAGGTGCCTCTCCAGTCTCTTTCTGTCCGACGATTGTACGTTAATATAGACAATCTAACAGGGGCGAAATTGCCTGTGCAGGTAGGCTGCTCGTTCATATGGACACGTCGCCAGAAATCAACATCGGTGCGCAGAATGTCGTCGTCTCAAGATTCGATGCGATAGGATGGTTCCGTGTTCGACATGCGTCAAGCGCGGCTGCGCGTCGTTATGCCCGAATGGTAAGCTGCGACCATTGTCTGTCAATGTGCACGACAGTGACGAGCTGGTGCAGGGACGGTACCACCGGGGCAGGGCAGCAGGTGCGTACTGGTACCACTTTCTGGTGTTTTCTAGCTTATGGAAGTGCCGATATAGATTTGTCTTAGCCGCGACCGAACACCTACAAAGCACGCTGAAGAAACTAGAGGACCGTATGCACTCGCTCGAGGATGCTATCGCTATCGCCTACGGCGCCAATTCAGACACCCCTCACCCTCTTCTCGTAAAGTGCAAGGACGAGGAAGTCGAAGGAGAGCCTTCAAACCTGAAGAGTGTGAAAGAGGAGGTAGAAGAAAAAGACGGAGATTCCCCGGCGCTGCTAGATGCTCTTGGAACGCTCTATATCGACCATGATGGCTGGAACCGTTTCTTTGGACCATCTGGAGGTTCAGAGGTCAGCATATATCGGTTTTCTTCTGAAAAGTCCTCTAACCTTCACGTCTTCAGAGCCTACTTAGTGTGAGCGGGCCTTCATTTTTTTCCTCTGATGCTCAACATAGAATGCCTACTATAGAAGCAAAATGCTCAAAACTGTCCTCTTCCCGAACTCGACACGTCCTACTTGTCTCCGGAGATAAATATGTGCTGTCGATCGTTCCCCTTCACCCCACAAACGCTCCCCATAGCCAGCGTACAGTCTTCTATAGAATCGTTCTTACCCCCCATCGAACGCGCGCTGGAACTTTCCGATATCTTTATGGAACATTTGTCGTGGATGTTCCAGGTCGTCTCTGCTCGGCAAATAAAAGAGGTGATCTACATCGTATATAAGCACAAGGATATCGAGTACGGGCCGCATGACTTGGCGTTAATGCTAGTCGTCCTCGGTATTGGGACCCTGGTGGATTTAAAATTACAGCCGTATAATCTGGAAGCTCAACATTACTACAGGCTGGCACAGGCAGCGCTGGCGTTGCAACCTGTGTTGGCAGAGCAATCTATTGTTTCTATCAAGGTATATTCCATCATCTATAATATTAGCAATCAACTTATATTGTGACCAAGGTACTGCATTTAATGAGTATATATAATGGCATGAGCGGCAAAGAGAGCAACCTGGAGCGGTCATATGCGTTGCTCTGTCTTGCATCTCAGGTTGCGTTGAGGGTGGGTCGTTCATTCTCCGCCCATTCATTCATGTATTGTAATTTAATGAACATTCCTTTTGGTATAGATCGGGTGTCGTATGTCTGTCTCTCTGGAATCAAGTTGGTAACTTAGCTCACCCTTGATCAGATATCGATCCTTCTATGTGGGGTTTTGAAGGCAAAGAGGCATACGACCGGCGCGTGTATTTCTGGAACCTCGTCGCCGGCAGCCTTTGGCAGGTATGACATTCCATTTAGGAGTATATGGAGCTGAACAAGTACCGAAATAGTGCTTAGTGACAGGACGTCCGCCCGTCATTTTGTCCGAATTCATAGATTGTAAGATCCCTACCGCCGAGGAGGAGAATACCTTTCAACACGGAGAAGTTCCTTTAGGTTGTAAGTCGCATAATCGTTCTCGGATATGCCCGTATATAATAAAGCTTTTTTGTAGTCGGCATTTGGGGATTTAGGGCAAGTCGCGAATGCCTTGTACATGTCGTAAAGGCCAGTTTGGCCGTAAAACCCCCGTCCTATGAGAGCATACTCGAGCTAGACCAAAAAATCCGGGAATTTGCTTCACCGCGTCCATCCGAGATGCCGGAAGCCTCTACGCCCTTGTCAATGAGAACTTTCGTACGTTCTCATTATAAGGAGCTAAGTAAGTTCCTATATACAACGTATCTGTGATTGTTTCATGTTGACATATACCTTGATGCAGTGCTGCTATTCCTCCATCGAGCCTTTTTCACTCAAGCAATGACCGAATATCCCACCAATCCGTTGTTAAGCCCTCATGCGAAATCGGTAATTACGGCGTATCAGAGTGCTTGTGTCGTTCTGCAGGACACGCGCATACAGTTTATGAAAAAGCCGTTATTATGCACTAGGGTGTGGAGAATATGGACCTTGGCGTTTACAGCAGCGGTAGGCTTTGTTCCTCCTATATGTCCCGTCGCCACCTCACGACGCGTATAGGTGGTAGTTGGAACTGTTGCGATCCGAGGAGCTCATATGAATCTTGAACCTACTGCCTTAGAAGAATTTGAGGCCGCATGTACGATGTTTAGGAGCGCTGCTGACACCAGCCCACGTGCTGCCCGGGCACTGGTTAGTGTAGTCCTCCACTTCAGGGTTATCTTGATCGAACGCCGACATTTTTCCAACAGCCCATCCTGGAGCCAATGCTTCAGAAGGCCCGCGAAACGCGACGCGACTCCGGCGTGCTGCGGTTCGCAGATTCGAGTTCTGAAGATGACATTTCGATATTCGCTGGACGACCGACAGTACTACACCCCACAGAGCCCGATGAATCGTATACGATCACGAATCCTCAGGGTCTCTCAGTCCCACCCAAACGATTCCACTCGGATCCACCGTATCTGCCTTCGCATGCCCAAAGGCCCATCCAGACGACAGTCAACCTACCGCCGCTGATTGCGCCCATATCTGAATCAGGACACTTGCCACCCTCTCTGCAGACACTTCTGCATCACCCGGAACACCAAACGACGTTTGCTGACTTGTCAGCCGGATGGGATGGTTTGTTCCACGAAACGCCTGCTCCTCAGGCTTTGTTGTATAACACCTCAAGCCCACAGACGGATTATCCACCTCTCAATATGAGCGAACCTGCAATGCTCGATGACCGATGGTCGTATTTCATGCACAGCTATGGAATTTTGGACGACCCTCGGTAGTTTAACTACGGAATTTGGGTTTGAATTATTTGGTCTCTTCGACCACTTCGTTTCTTATGTATTGTAGGCCATCTGGGGCCATCGACAAATGTTGTATCGTTTTTCTTTCCCTGACGAATCCTCACCTTTTAGCTGATATTATTGTAGCAAAGTTTGTCATTAATCGATCAGAAGTATGAAATGCAAGTACAATCATTGCTATATCGCGACAGGGTATCGTAAAAGCTTGGTATTGCAAAGGATGAAGTCGTTGATTCGAGTTGACCAGGGTACCTTTGAGGCACGTAGGTACTAGGTAGACGTCAGACCAGGCTGGATATGGTATCGAAGCACAAGTACGAAAAGCTCACCAAAATGCAAAGAGATGTTCTACGTTTCTGCTTCTTTACTAGCACCAAGTGAAGATGCAGGCTCGCAGGCAGCTGGAACAGACATTTGTTGGGCAGGCTGCATTTGCTGGTTGGTCATCTCAGCATCCTTCTTCGCTCGCTGATCGAAGTCGTCTTCGTTGAAGCACTTGTCGCAGCATGATCCGCAGCATCCAGCTTGTCCATTACCGGAGCAGCAGCAGCGATCAGCACCCCAGTTATCTGTAAGGATAGTGAACTTTAAATGATGAGAGGTACCGAAACTTCAATACTGTACTCTGTATGGACCAAGCATTTAAGGCTGAGCTTCCCGCGGTACCGGCACCTGCAAATGTTTAGTTCTTATGTTACTGAAATTATTCGAAGATAGATATACATGTACAGCAACCGCAAAATAATACGGCACAGATATCGCCTGCATTATCGCTCATGGTTGCGAATTCGAGGGGAAAATGAAAGATGGGTAGAAAGTCAAGGGAAGAGTGGGGTTATATAAGACCAACTCTGTTAGCTGGCAGTGGGTAAGATCCGTTGAGTGCGCAGAAGCAGAAGCCTGCGCTTCCTCACTACTTTGGCGTACATCATCTCAATGACCTCAATGACGTCGGTCCTCGTCGCATCTCATTTTAGGCATCCGGTGGCTGTGCTTTCTTCTCTACTTAGTCAGCTCTCTAGTACGACTACTACTATTACTAGTCCCACAGCCAGTGCTAGCCGCGTTTTACTGAAAATCTTGGTCGCTGTTAGGAGTTACGGCTTAGGTACTTACCAGGTAAGTAACCATTGTCGAACACTTAGACACGGCTCGTTCTTAGTTTCAGCAGGATGGTTCTTCCGTTACATATCGGACTTGAGAACCCGAAGTCTCCTTTTTTGCCTGCTTCCTGTAGCTATTCCTTTCACAAAAACCAAACGCCGTCTACAGTTAAACAATTCTCATGAAATGAATATGGCACTGAATGCTATCTAGAAAATTTGCACAACCTACTCTCTACGTCAGATAGTCGGTCTCGTTGCGGCTACTGTGACGGTTAGCAGCCTGATCAACTTATGGCTGACCAGGAGCCGGGAACAAGTCGAGTTGGTTACTCAGGCGTATCCGCACAATTCTCTTCTTGGTTCCTCCACTGCAAGCCCACTACCCGGCTCTCCTTATAGTGGTGGCGCGGCGCGGCGTCTGTGCTTACTCGAACCTCAGTTCTACAGGGTTGCTCCCTGAGGCTAATAAAGTACTTATTACTGCAATAAATTAGTACTGACCCGCGCATGGTATGTAAACTTCCCCATAGCAACTGGGTACTGTCATTATTTGTGGACGGAATACATGTTCTGTCTCCATTCAGAAGAAATATTTAAACAACGCTTGAGTACCAATCAGCTCCAAAGAAGTCAAATTCCTTCCACAAGTGCGCGAACCTTAACTCAAATATCTCACCTTGAGCTAGAGCGCTGAAGACTCGGAAGGTTACGGTTTCTCGTGCTGCCTGGAGCCTTCCGGAAAGAGTTCCGTACGCAGCTAACAGTTCCGCTTCCCTGAAGGCTCAATTCTTGAAGCGGTTTAGTCCGTTGCAAGGGCCGACACCTGCAGGAGATCAAACCAGCTATTCCCGCTAGCCAAATCCGGAACATCCCAAGGCTATCAGACGTTATCAGAGATAATCATTAAAGCAGGTCGTCAGAGCAGAATGTAATACGAAATACAGTGGATGAATAATGCCCAGAAAATACAACGTGCTAATCAGAGAACAGAAAAAAATGCAACGAAGGCTATAGGGATCGTAAGCGACTGAGAATATCCGTATAGTCGGTATCCTCCCACCGCTTCCCGCCCTTCTCTAAATACCACCGCTGGCTATACCGTCGCGGCTGTACAGCTTTGAAAACAGTCCCTTGGAACCACTCATGCTCGTCTAAGTCTTCAGCTGACACGATACCAATGCCCTCATCCTCATCATCCTCCAGAGTGTCCAACTCTTCACTCTCCTCACTCGTACTCACACTATTCGAATCCATCGAACCCGGCGATTTCATCGATCGTGCAAAACACAACTCAGAGTGGGATACGCTGACAATTTCGATATCAAGCTCAGACTGCTTCGACATCGGAGGAAGGAGCTTATTTCCGAGAATAAGCTCATCTGGTATCGTTTCGCCTAGATGGCGCCGGAGTTTTGACAAACGTTTCCGCCGTGCTGTGGTGGGTGTCGGAGCTTGAGGTATGGAGGGTGTGAGGGGTGTTATGCATTGGGAATCTCGGTTGGACGGCTTCAGTGCGTCAGGAGAGGTTAGCACGACCAGCGCAGGCGGTCGATGTATAGGGGATGCGGATGTTAGAAGAAGTGGAGTTTCGGATGTTTCGTTATGTGTTTCGGGCGCGAAAATAGAGCTAGGCGACGAGGGGGTAGGAGGGATGACAGTTATGGAGGGTACAGGAGGACAGGGAGGTAGAGGCCGGGGTGGGAGACGTCGGATCTGGGGAGCGGGCTTTGGTGTGGGTGGTAGTGGTCGTATCGATTTCGTACGCGTGAGGCGCGCGCAGCAAGCATCCTCGTCATCGCATCTCTCGGGAATAGGTGAGAGGGTTGAGCCACCTATGCGGTCCTAGAGCGCCGACAACACGATTCATTATTAGACGCCGGTGAGAAAAGAGAGGGCGAGATTTACCTTGCCTGCCACGCCGATAGCAATAGATAGCCTCGCACAAGGCTTCGCTACTGTACATGGAGATCCAGACGCGTTGCCGACCATGAGCAACAACAATGGAGGAGAACCGCAGGGCGTGGCCCGAAAGACAAGGAAGGGAGGAAACGAAATGCCGTGAAGACTATAGTGACTTATAAGGGTATTCAGTGTGAAATGGTCACGACATGTTGAAGACCTCTTACGCGAGATCCTTTCTCTAGATTCCGATCGTTGCTAAAGTTTCCAAACCCTGCGCACTCCAATTCGAGACAAGCCCAAATATCACAACCTCGGAGGTCCCTCATAGCTTGAAGCTACACTTGCTGCTGCCTAGGCGACTTCAATTTGTTCATTCTCCGTTGGACAGGCTGGCTTGAAGGCGCGAGCAGTGACCCATGTCATAAAATATCATCGAGGTACTTCCGGGGAAAACAAACACGAGGCATCCATCTCCATTCGGTCATGCCGCCCGCGTCACCTAAATATATACGCAGGGAAGTACAAAAACGAGGTCGAACAAGAATCTAGGACTTACAGCATTGCTCTAAGGCCGTTGACAGACTAGTCCTAGCCGATCTTGCAACTCTTGCTTGCGGCCGTGGGGCAGTGCCCGGCTCCTTGGTCCTTGGGCCTTGGCATGTCGAATTGCAGATATCGCAAGCGTAAAATTCAAGACGTCGGAACCCGAAGCGATCATAACGCGAGGACCCGGACTGGAAAAGTTGAAACTCTTCCATCTCTCTGTCGCTGTTACGGGCGTTGATAATGATTGTCTCCAAGGAGAAACGAGTACGCAATGAAGTAGGTCACGGTGTGGAGTGAATTGCAATCAATCCCAATCAACATGAGGCTGAAGGTTGTGATCGTACGATATGCAGCTCTCAAAGAACGCAATGATGCTGAAGAATGAAATTAGTGTTCGTATACAGTATGGACAACGGAAATAGGGAATGTCTCCGCGTCGAAGTCCGACACCAAGTACGAGAATTGTGCGACCCTTTGGATGAGGATTCAGGAAACTATTTGACAAAATTTACACCTCAGACACAGATGCCAACAATGCAACAATGGACCTACATGCACAACTTGTCCCTAGATTCCGTGATCCATGGAAGTTGCACTACACGCATAACCTTCCGAGATATCATCCGCTTCCATGTTTGGGAGGCATAGTGATATGTGATGTATGAAGGTACGCTTCAAAGTTCAATGTACGAGTCGTCGACGATTTCATTAGACCATCAAAGTTTGGAGAAAGTCATAGAGAGAACTCTACACCTCAGAAAAAAGATATGTTAACTTGGATCTTTTAACATATTGCTAACATTGATTACCATGATCCCAACAACACCGCCGATCCTGTACATGTGCTCAAACAGCCGACACTGGAACCTGCCGGGCGCTATTGGGGTAAACAGTCGCCTATGTATGCGAAGTTTGACGAGCCGCTCCGAGGATTTGTGTTAGGCGGCTGAGTGTTAAAGGCCGATGGAACAGGGATACGGGCTAGCATAGCCATCATTGAGCAGGAAAAGATCTACGACAACCGTGATATCGCGAGCCCTTTGTCTTCACCATCAGTTTTTTCTATCACAGCTCCGAGTTTGCCAGATCTGCATGGGAATGTCGGAAGGTTCTATGCAATTGAAACGCGGTTGAGCTGTCCTCGCCATTCATTCACACAGAATATGGATATAGTCAAACACATACTCAGCTTGCCGGCGCGCGAATATTTTCGATAGTGGTCCCGCTGCGGTAATCCCGAGAGCTTCATCATCGCCCAGGATGTCCAGGATGGTTGTGAACGTTTCATGCAGAGATCTGAGTACACTGCGCTCGGGGCCGCCCCGAGTAGGTCAAAAATTCCTGCTACGCTCGTTTTCTCATCGTCTGCCGACATTTTTCAAGCAGCACTGAATGTCAAGATGAAACGATGTGTTTTTTTCTATGTGAAACCGTGACGCACCTCATAGATGCTCGCAGCTGACCAAAGGTACTAATTCAGCATCCTTACGACAGAATGGGCTGATGAAAGGTGGCAATAAATGCAGCAAGGGCAACATTTGACTCGGGTGATGGTGGTGTGTGGCAAGATCTGCGGTCCTGGACCTGATGCAACCATGTGGCCACACTTTGTCCTTCACCATGATGGTCAACAACATCGTCGCGTCCTTTCTCTCGCCGCCAAGGGCACCAACAGGGCTCAAGAAAGCTATCTAGGAACTCAGCACCTGCTCAGTGTCAAGTAAATAGAAACTGCGATGTTTTCCATAGGGCCGAGAGGCGGCAACCGGCCTATGTTTGCCTCAATTTCCGGTCGGCTATTCCGCCTACGACCGTTCCAAGGACTTGGCCTATCTTTTCCTTCAAAGATTCAAGCAATCCTTGGTAGCACGAGGCTAGAAAGCTTGCTTCTCCCGTAAACATTGAAATGCCTGGGTCGATACTGTCACCGTCCTTGTTTCCTTAAGTACCGTCTACTAGCAGTCCCACGGAGGTCAACTGTTCGAGGCGGTTCGGTCACACGGCTATGAGACGGGTTCTGTTTCGTTTGAGGTACTTGAGCCCCATGCATAACTATGTTGCGCTGGAGTCATAGTTCTACTTCGAAATTCGGAGGCTCTCTTTGTTCAGGTTTCTCATTCTGCTCTTCTACTCATACACTCCGACCACGGGAGCGATACCATGCCTCCTACATACAGTGAACCAAACGCATTTGCTGTCGGTCACCTCGGTTTCTCGAAGTGCGTACGTTTATGTAGACTTGCCGATTGCTCCTCGACTGCTAGCCTATAATTGAATGAGGAAGTACGCGATCTTTCTCCTGAACCCAACAGGACGTCTGACGTTTTCATTTAGGTACCATTCCACGAATCTAATTATTTCTATCTCAAGTGAACAGACGCCGATTCATTTTTGTCGAGAAACGAAAATAGGATTCTGATCGCGACACTTGTCAGCCGTCATTTTCTCACGCATCTCTACGTTATTCATGTCGTTTGTCAAACTCACTTACTAAATGTTAGCTGCATTCATAGCTGTGGCACTGGAAAGTCATATTCACGGGATGCGTTTGTCTAGCATTACATCTTTGAAACGCTTCTACGCCAGCGGCACGGAGGTACGAAGCAGAAGCTCGAACTACATCCAGGTTTTGCACACCACCACATGGCTATCCATTGCAAATATACACAGGGCGATTCTTTCAGTAGTAATGTCGAAATCGACCACGCCGGCCTAACTGGACCTCTCACACGAGCCGCGGCATTCAGATAAAGAGCGCGCGAGGCTCGCCTCTCTCTGTTCCTTTCCTCTAGTAAGACATTCTCATTGGGAAACATGTTCTCCCTCAGCATCATCGGCTTTCTTCTGGCATATACTCGTTTCGCAAAGGCCGACCTTTGCGCTGACATCGCAGGAAAGACGTTCGTCCCACCTGCCGCCGCCTTAGCCTGCCTAAGGTCTTTCCCCTTTAACGAGACCTTGCGAGTCAATGTCTTAAACAATGCCGCTCGCGTACTTGACTTCTACACCTTTGAGGAGTATTACTTGAAATCCCCTCCGCCCTTTCAGGAGTCCACGGTTAATATCAGAGAAGCTCTTGCCCGAATGAATGCGACAGCTTACGAGGTAAGCATATATAAAGCTTAGTGGATTCTTTTTCACCGCCTCTTTCAGACCGATTACGATTTTAGCTGGGACCTTTACATGTTCACGACTCGAATGAATGATGGCCACACCCGTAAGCTGGCTGTTTTCCATCATCAGACAGAGTTGCTCACACGAACGTCGCCTCAGGCTGGTTCCCAGATTGTTACAACACGTACCAAAATGTCCTATCGGCACCGGTAATCACGGCTTCCGTGAACGGTCAACAGGGCGTGTACATCGCCCCCGACGCTGTCGAGTTCCTATCCCTGCTAGGCGAAGAGTTCACCTCGTTCTTCGATTCTATTCATTTCAACTGGACACGATTAGCAGGTGCTAAGGTCCTCGCGATCGAAGATAAAGATCCTTATGATTATGTCGATACCATTGCATCGACGGTCTCGGGAAACTTCCTTGATCACGGCGTCCGCGTAAACTCGGTTTTCACAAGTTACAGGATTTCCGGCACCGACTTTTCCCAGCGCCTCGGTGATCTAGCAGGTCCCATCGGTGTAGTCCAAACAGAAGTCAAGTTCAAATTGGTTCCTGTCGGTTCCACTAGTGCGGAGACAGTGACTGTACCGTTTTTGGCAAACTTTTTGGGGGTTCCTTTTACTGATGCACAGTCTTTGTAAGTCGATCTACATTGTGATGCGGAAAGCTGATTTAATTACTTTGTAGCTGGGCCAATAACTGTGCGGCGAACGAGAACACCAATGGTCGTGATAATAAGGGTGTGGCCTCCTTTACAAGTTTGCCCGCAAAGCGCCGTCTCGCCAAGGGTGAGATCATCGACCTTTCGAATTCTAGCGCTGTTGGTTTGCCGCAACAGTTTATGCCCACCCTTCCTCCTGTCAGCGGAAGCACTGGGGTAATCAAGTCATATATCCTACCCGGAAATCATACTGGGGTCGTGCGTGCCACATCACAGCTCCTTTTAATTTTATTCAATCTCTCAAAACAGATGTTCGTCGGTTCGTTCGGCGGCGACTTTGATGCATTCATGTCCGATGTCGTTCAATCCATCAGCGCATTCCAGGAGGCCGGCGTTACCCGCTTACTCCTGGACCTGACCAACAATGGTGGCGGGTTTGTCTGCTTGGGGCAATTCCTCTTCCAATATCTTGCTGGTTCTAGCTTTGGTTATCCGTACGTATCTCGGGTTGTTTCCTCTGGTACGGTTGCTGACGTGGGTTCTGCTTGAATAGCGGCTTTGTATCCACCACTCGCGGTAATATACTCGCACAGAAGGTTCTTGCTTCGGATATTGCGCTGGGAAATGACGACACTATAACCTTTTACACTGCTGATAATTGTATGGTTACTATGTCATCGCCGGATATGCTCTAATGGTCGTTCAACGCTACAGGGGCATTTCTGAACGACACTCAAATGCCAGCCACGTTCAACTATCTGGATCCCGTGGTGAATTTTGTCGTCAATAATGTTTCTGACCCTACCTCTCAGCGTTTCCACGTAAGAGCCATTCGTTTTGCTATGTTTTGGTCTTTTCACTAACCAAAAAATCTTCCAGGATACTTGTGGATTGTCATTCACCCAGCCCATTCCGGAGAATCCTCCCTTTGATCTTGAGTGGGTTTAATTTCCTTGGCTGTCCATCACAGATGCGCTAACCGACACCATTATAGCAACATCGCCATCGGTAAGCCTAAGTTATCTTTGGCTCGCAAGCGCTCTAAGCCGTGAATAGTTGGTAACGGAAATTGCGCCTCTACGTGCGCGATGTTTAGTACGCTCATGAACGAACACTTCCACACCAAGAACGCTGTGTTTGGTGGGAAACCGGGAGAGAATGTGGAGTTCAAAGGTGCGGGGAAAACTTTCCGTGTGTGTACGTCAATTGAACACGAATGCGTATTAGGAATGGCCGGTAACCAGGTGCTGGAATGGGCTGATTTGGATTCGGAGATTAAGACCGCTGACTTGGAGAACGTATGTCTTTTTTATACTGCTTAGCTGGAATGAGTGCTTACTGATGTTGCCCTAGGACCCATTAGCTCCCCCGGATCTGTGAGTCGACCTTTTCTGGGTTTCAACCTTGTTCTCACTGTCATGCGATCGCTCTAGGTTGGTCTCTGGTAACTTCCGGTGAGTTGCACTTTTTCTGAAAGAAAAGATCTCTTTTTAATTTTCATACGCCCGTCATCAGTGTGAACTGGCGAACAGGTGCGATTGGCGCACGGATCTGATCTACTGAAGGCTGATACAGATCTTTATCTAGCATGGAGTTTCTTTGATGAGAATACACCTATTGGTGAGTTCTCCCTTGGATGCTTACGTCCCCTCTTTACGCGTTGTTCTTCTAGCTTATGTATCCGAACTTCCGAGATGTACGTCTAGTCCGAAATACTATGGATGTTCCCGATGCACTAATTTTTACCAGTCCGCTTCCCATACACCTTCGACACGTACAACAACCCCCAGAATCTGTGGATCTTCGCGTATGTGTGGGCTTCCTACGCTCGAAGTGCGGCGTCGCTAATTAATTGATACGATTTACAGGAACAAAGAGCTCTTCCCACCACCTCCTCCTTCGCATCATCATCATCACCATTTCATTTAGAATGTCGAAGATCGCTATTATATTCATCGAGGAGAAATTTCGAAATCATTGTACTGATATTAAGAAGAATAATGAAGGTTACAAATTCATGATCACCAACCGGTTCATCATCAGGAGTATTCAAGACTGTAGGTCTGATGTGCAGCTTTGGTGGTCTCATTATCTGGTATGTTCAGGTATACTCTACTTTCCAGATATCAACTCTGAGTGTTGGCATTATCCGGTACTTCCTAACCTTTCTTGCAAATGGTTCAATGCCGTTTGGATCTTTCGGAGCCAAATCGAGCGGCGCAGCGTAAGCTCTACTCCGAAATGGAATGTGCTCGGACCTGCACATGGCTACATCAGATAAAATAACACCGACGACCAGCTATTGCTTGACAGGATCTATTAGCTGTACTTTCATAGATCGTCGCAGCAGGTACACATGGAATCGTGTTCTTCCAAGGTTCCTCGAAATTGGAAATCGATATGCACATCCGCCCTTGTGGTGTTTTGGGAATGACGATGTACACTGCATCGTGAGACACTACTGCTCCAATTGAGCCACTACACGTCGGATTCAGATCCGTGTCGGACCAATATGCTCTAGCTTCCAAATATTCATTTTCTCTTTGGATTGGTGTGCAGCTCCTGGACATTTATTAGAGGATAATGAAAGACTGCTACATGGACCATTAGACTTACAAGCATGATATCGCGTCAAGTTATCGCTGACACATTTGAAATGACCGCGCCGGCGCTGGTATATGTAACTTCCGCTGGTGGCCGGGTATAATAAGCGTCACCGTTGCATCCATCTGCGCCCGTATTATTCCTGGGAACTCGAACTCCTTGCCTTTGATTTCTCACCACTGCAGGGCTTGTTCCAGCCGAACCGAATTTTTCGTACTTCTTGGCAGAATAGGCCGACAAGCCAAATAAGGCGTGTAGCCCCTGGACCCTGACAGGCTCTGCCTGCTACCGCCATTTTCTTTTCACCAAGGCTTTATGGTTTCTTATCATGACCATTCACGATTTTCTCTTCACTCAGTAATCTCGATATCGTTCAAAATGATATTCTTCACTGTGATATCTTGTCTAGTATCCGTGGTCGGGGGTCTCCCACTTAGCGACGGCAATGGGCAGGCGATAGCGAGGAGAAGGGAAGGAGACGACAGTAATGCAGGCAGCTCTATCGAGATTTGGGTGCGTTGCTCTGTATATCCACTTGGAATTCTTTTCTGACCTTGTGAAGGTGCCCATCGTGGTCGTGGTCGTCCTGCTCACTGCAGGCATATGCCTTTGCTGGTTCCGGAAATCTATCAGAGGACGACTCAGTGGTATTACAGGCCTTACAAGCCTCACGTCAGGTTCAGGCTCGTCGACGACCGCCCTACCGGCAGCTAATGGAGGTGTACGCGAGTTGACCGCAGAGCAGCTTGCTGGTACTACCGAAAGTGCTACCTCTAATCCTCCGTCCGCGACTCGGACTAGACGAGCTAGACGGCCACGTAGAACACCATCCCAGATATCGACGACATCTTTGCCTGCATATAACAAGGAGCCTGGGGATCAGGAGCTGGTCATTTTCCGGTGAGTTCATACACGATCATACAAAGACTTTGTTAATCTTTTTGTAGCGGTCCTGCCGATATGGAAGACGTTCCATTACCTGTCACGGCCACCGTTGAAATGCCTCCGGTAGACGAGGACGGAGAGACGTCAATGCATTCAAGGAATCAGTCTGATGGATATTCTCCCATGCCGGATTCACCAAACGACATGCCTCTTCTCCAAGAAGATTCTCCTTCCACGCCTGATCTTCAGCCTCCAGGCGAAGGCATGCCAATCAGACGGAGCCTGGATTCCGAATCTTCCTTGATGCGTTCAACTTCACGGGATCAGGAACCTGACCCACGCGGCGCAGCACCGGCGTATTTCGAGGTTGCGGTAGTGGACCTAAGCCAGGATGATCACTCTTCCTTGCCTAGACCGTCTTCGTCTGTTGAGGTGACACCACCGTCGCCGGAGGCCCCCGCGACACCGCCCCCAAGGCGCACGTTCCGCTCTATACTTGGTGCCTTAGGGTCGGGAAATGCTCGCTCAGCAGGGGGTGTAGTCAGTCATTCTCGCACAGGATCGAATGGTTCAGGCCCGTACAGCCGCCCGTCAACGTCCATGTCCTATAGAGGTCACCGTCCGTCGCAATCAAGCACAGGCTCTCTTCTATCCATGCACAATCCTCTGGCCAGGAAAAAATCCACCACGACACTCAATTCGCAACATCTGACGTCACCTTCCATGATCTCACTCAACTCTATCTCTTCCCCACTTTCGCACACGCTTGTTCGCACGGAGTTTACCTACCCCAAGTCTGGTCCTACACCAGAGCAGCTGAAACTCATCTCTTCGAGAGAGTCGGTGGCCCGGTTTGGTGTTCCGTACGGCGAAGAGGCAGTGAGATGGGCGAGCACTTCCAGGCTGGCTCTCTCATCACCTACTCCAGAAGATGACGTTCCACCGCCGGAGTTCGACTTTGTACCATCTAGTTCACGACCAAGAGCAGATACTGGAGAGAGCAGTAACTCTCCAGCTGTTCCCTCTCCGCTCTCAAACAACGTAGAGACCTCAAATGAGGAAGCACCGTCAGATACGCCGACGTCTACCTCTCCGTTCTCAGATCCCTCGAGCTCAAGACCTTCAACTGCACAAGAACCTTCTCCCAGTTCACACGCGCCTGCTGAGGAAACCCCAACAACAACAACCTCGTCAACTGCACCAGATCCTTCTCCTGCACATCTTGAAGAACCTTTAAGCCCATCCCTACCTGCCCCAGACAGTTCTAAACCTGTGGAACCCGTGCCTGTCTCACCAGCACACCCCTCGAACTCGTCCGGTCCCAGCTCATTTGTTGCTCCTGCCTCGATGAAGTCAAAACTGTCAACTATCAGCATCGGCTCGCGTCCTCCTATTGCCGCATCCCTACGATCCGCTTCGCGTGCAAGTTCCATCGGGACATTTGCTACAGCTTTGGAATCTATGGGGAATACATCTTCGGATGATGACTACGACGAAGCTGAGGAGGAACCAGGGACACCGAGGATGGCTCCCCAACATATATTGGAAAACACCGACACTACAGTTCAAGCGTAGGTTTGTATATATTCGGGAGCCGGTTCTCAAATGCTCATCTTATCCCCTGTTCACGGATTCCATAACTATCTCAATCTAACGTTCCCATATCCACGATATACTTACCACGTTTCATCTGCGTACCGCAGGAGGCCCATTCACGGTTGTACATTATTTACTAGTAGAAAAATCTATCGGGACTTATTTCTCAAATGATCTTGTATGCGCCTTTTTTTACTTAGAAGAGGGGTCCAGGGATTAATCTGATAAGAAAGGAAATGCCCAGAAAGTTACCAAGTTAAATCTAGTTCGCGCCGCCATCATTAGTAGTAGTCAGAGTCGCACTTCTGGTCCCTCCTTTCTTTCCTTCTTCCACCTTCTCATTCGGAAAGCGTGCTCGTAACGAACCCCGCCATCATGACTATACAAGGATTTTTCCCTTCGCTGATCACTCTGTCAGCCTAGCATACTACAAAGGTGTCTATCTCACGGTCACTTCCCAAAGAGTGTCCTCCGTTTTTTCGAAAGCGTGCCGAGACGCGTAGGATTGTTCGAATAGTACCCACTCTGATCTTTGGATTCGGCAACCACCTGAAAAGTCAGCTTTGTAGGTCTCTGTTGATGCTCATTGCAGAGGCCAGCCAAATGTCCAGACCTTCAAGTAGAGGATAATTGCTTCTCTGACGCAAGGCATTTCATTAATATGTATGATGCCCGGAAAATTCAGTGGGACTTACAGTGGAGGTTATCCATTTCATTGTGCTTGACACACCTTCCTACCGCAGAGGCCAACATCGCTTTTCTTATTGGGTGTAACCTGGGCCAAATCTTCTGCCGTCATTGTGCACAGGTTTCTGCTGCTTCTATTGAATTATTCTAACACCTTCCCACTAACTATCGGACCTCATACCCTCCGCCAAGCTCCGCGGATCCACAATCCAAATGGCTGCATCAGGACTCTCCACCGACTCTTCCTCGACAGCGCTACTATCAGCGGCAGCGGCTGCCTTCCTCCGCACCTCCATCTCCTTCAGAATAGCCCTCACGCTGGTCCTGTTAGCGGTTAACGTCGTCCATCCCAACCGTGCACCCCAGAGCATACTTTGCACCGTATGCGCCGTCAGTCGCGGGTTGGCTTTAGTGATTACGGCCCTTGAACTAGTCCGGGCGGAGGTGTTCTCGAGAGAGAGGATGTCTAGGCAAGTATTTTGGAGGGCTTGGAAGAAGGATGGGACAGGCGTCGTTGGCATGAGCGGTGCTCCGTCCTCTGGGTATAGGCGTACAGGGAGTATGGGAATGAACGCCTTGGCATAACGAGAAGACTGCCAATACAGGTCTTCCGCATCCGTCGTAGCAGGATCGAGAAACAGTGCCTGCGCGCGCCGTTTCTCGTTCGGACCCCCAATTTTGGATACTATACGCAGGCAACGCTCCTTTGCCTCATCCGTTGTCCAAAACTCCACATACTCTTCCGACAGTCGATCGCTAAACTCTTGGATCATGCCTTTGACCATCTCCTGCAACACTTGATTGGTTAAAGCCCGGGAATGTTTGGCGAGGTCACTGGAGGATGACATGGACAGTTCATCTAACCCGTCTTCGATAGCCGAGACGTCCTTTTTCTTTTTCCATTCCCTGACCCGCGGCGGAGGAATGAAACGTGTATTGGCTTCGTCTACAGACTGAGGAAGGCTCGCGTGTGTAAGATCCGACACAAGAGCGATGAGGACGGAGAGATCAAGATTAATGCGTCGCGTCGGTTTCAGAGTCAGAGGTACGGGGGCGGGTGGAGGCGGTTTAATAACTATGGGAACCTCATCATCCTGTCTCTCTCTCAAGGCAACATCTATTCCCATGTCTTGAAGGCATTGTATTGTCTGGGCTATCCGGGGGTCGATGGGGTCGCCGTCCTCGCTCGTCTCGGACGGGTCAAGACGGGTCAGCCGCAAAGTTACTCGGGGAGTAATTCGCTTGGTTCCATCGACAGAGGCTACTTCGTATGTGTTAGCTTTGGCAGCTTCCACTAGTGCGCGACCCATTCGTAATACAGAGTTGTCGAATTCAGTTTGGGCAAGCGTCCGAGACGACCGATGGATCCCATTCGTAATCTCTTCTTCGTCAGATACGTCTTCTTCATCGGACGAGTCAGTCAAGTACGAGTCTATTTCCCGAAATTCAGCTAGGATTCGAGAGTTCTTGATTCTAGGACACTTTTAACATCGATTGATTGGGATGCAAGGGATGGAAAACTGACGTGTTTACCCGAATCCAACAACGTCCGTGGTCCGCTACAACGTCAACTTTAGTTCCAGAAGGCTTTTGACCACCTGCCTTCCTAGACTCCCGCGGTACTGGCGTGGAAGGCGGCAGTGTCGAGGAAAACGACTTGAAAACCGCCACTACTCTGGGAGGTGCACAAAGTACTTCGTTCCAAACCGCTATGAGGTAAGGCGCATTCGTCGACAAGGGCGGTAAATTGGCGGACTTGGGATCCTCAAGGAACTACTGAAGTAACATGGTAAGGTGAGGAACAACACGATCCCTGGACACAAATGATCCCTTACCTTATCCAACACATCTAAATCGATTTTAATGGTGTCCTTGAGCCTTCTGAGGCCTGGGATGTGATCTTGTTGCAGCCATTGTGCGTCATCGGGAGCATCGTTGAGATCCAACGATGAGTCTAGTATTGGAGGCCTCCTGGTTGGCGGCTGAAAATGGGAAATCGAATCATGGATCGTTTGCAATCTGGTGCGGAGGACACGTAGAGTTGGGTGGCTGTTGCCGTTCTCCATGATGATGGTGAGAGAAAAAATAAAGACGGTTATGTGCACTTGTTTGATGGCACACAGCCACAGTCGAGCATCGGTCCCCGACTCTACCATCCCCTAGCGCCGTTCAGCCTGGAAGTTACTTGATGACCTCGCAATCTTGGGCGGCAGCTTGATACTTCATTTCGAGTGCAGCCAATATGGAAGTCGCCGTCATGCTGTCTAGTATCTACGTCACCCTCGACTGATACATTCCAGTGCAAAATAGAATTTAAGGATCCGGTCCGATGCGCCTAGTACTACCTAGGACCTATTGCGGTGCCGGTCTACTCCAATGGTTTCCTACGGTGTCTCTGGAACTTATCCTTTGCAAGTCGCCGACTTGCGCAGGCTATGGTCGGGGATTAAATGTTTTGGCTTAGATGAGGTGAATCAGGCCCTGATCGACGATCGAAAAGGAGTGGCACATCCGTTATAAAGGCATGGCCCCCTACAGTATCCTGCTCCGTTATCCATGTCGTTATCACATCAAACGACACTCCCAGTCGAAATACTTGGCCAAATCATTGCAGAGGCATGGGCATTACCCCTTAACCCCCTTCAGCGACTCCAAATGGCGACATCGCCCCTCCTCGTCAGCAAATCGTTCGCTTGGGAGTTCACTCGAGTATTCTGCACCGACATCCACATCCTCACCCCCTCTCACCTTAACCACATCCTCCGCTTCATCTTGCCACGGCTAACCCTAGCCTTTCGGTCTACTGATTCACCATTCTCACCGTCAGAATTTTGCCGGTCCATCTCCTTTCTTCTCGAAGTTGATCCCTACCGTGGCAACTCGTTACCTCACCCCGCGTGGAATAATATCTGCTACATCATGCCACTGTTATCAGAACACTTTCCCAACGCTCAACGGGTGTTGGTGAACTACCACAATTGGTGGTGTAGTGACCCCGACTTCACGTATCTCTGGCTACCCGAACAAGTAGCAGAGCTGAATGTCGTATTCACCTATAGCCTTCCGTTCTGCAGAGCGCGGCTTAACGAAGATACTGCCCTGGTTGAAGATCCGTCCTTCGCTTTGCCCGGGGTTAAGAAGCTGACGGTTGTGGGCGGAAACCGGTCATTCGTGAGCCAGCTGGTCAGTGCGTGTCATCATGCGAAATCCGTCACGACCGATACGTATAAGAAGCCTATTGTGCCGATTGTTCAGGAGACGGTAGCGTCGAGGCCCAAAAAACAGTTGAAGTCCTATATATAAGCCACAATACCTCGTGTACGTTATGTGCTACTTGATATAATCATCGATCTCACCGGATAATCACAAAATAGAACAAATTTCCAGCTCTAAATTGTAGAGGTATGTTAATCAATCATAAAGCACAGTAAGAATAACTGACGCGGAGTTCCATAGATTCTAGGAATTGTTATACAGTACCGCAAACGGACGATGGTCCAACTGTCTGACTTATACCCTAAAATTATCGCAGTCTCAATGAGCATCACTACAAACTTCAAAGTATCGTAGCAACTCACCAATGGACTAGCCAACTCCATGCTACTATCAATGTCAGAAATATCATCATCAGAACAGAGATTACTTATTCACCTATCCGCTCGTTATTCCTTGTCAAACGATAAATACAACCGGGACAGAAGCGATTCCAAATACACCTGAAGCCTCCCGTCAACAGGTCTACGCAGTGACGGTACATCAGCCAAAAGGTCGTGTGATCGCGTACCAGAACATACGAGCCAACAGTATTTGGAGACTGTTCGCCCATGATTCTCTTCATGAAAGGTACTACTAGTCAACGCCCCGATGTCAGAAATCTGCTGGGCTTAGTCAGGTATGTCGGCCACTCAGTTGGGATGTGAGCAAGTACAGGGCCCGGTTAACGTTGCAATCGGTCTAGGAAGGAATTTGTCAGATCGGTTCCGATGTTAAAGAAGGAAAACCATGTCAACACGAGACATCGTCATCGAAATGTTCTGCGACCTTGTACTATCAGAACTCACTGAATCAAGGTCGGATCCGCAGAAAGTTTAAAAACTTGAACGTCTGGGTGCTTGCTATATTATGTCGACTAAATCGATTCTAACAAGAGTTCAAAGAAAGCTATGCATTATTGAGTGAGGTGAACATAGGGAAAACTATATGAAAAGGTCAGCACAGCGCGATCTGATTTCAACGTAGGTGTGTCAACGACAGTATGAGATATATGGTAAACCGGTATCGGATTAGCTGAGCAGCGCTGTAATAAGTATGGCAGTAGCATAAATGGATTAAGCGAACTAGCTCACAATCAGGGCTCTTCGGGATTTGGGTCAGGCTGGGAGGACACGAGGTCCCACTGACGGAGATCTAAACCTTCAAAGGGCCTGTCCACGATACGGCTAGTTTCGGTTTCCTTGTCTATAATTCGTCGGTAAAAAAACCCAAGCGTATCCTTCATCTAGAGTGGCTTAAGTATCAGCGATGCATCAGATAATTCGGAACTCACGACGACATAAAGACCCAGTCCGACTGTATTGCGAATCCTATAAAACCTTATTAGACGCGCGAGGAGCGCGAAACCGTGTGACGTACCATACAGCGTCCATCTCGGTCCATGCCCAGGTAGTAAATTTGGTCCAATAACGGGCATCATTCAAGACTAGATACCGCATCTCGCCAGTCAGATACTCCAGAGGTAAGGATACACCAACGACTGCGACTGCGGCCTTGATACCCAGACAGAAACGAAAGAAAGGGACATGGCCCGCAAAAGTATACAAAAGGCGTCCCATTCCTTGGGATATGACAGGCAAAAGCAGCATCTCCAAAGTGGTGAAATCCACCTCCCAGTCCAGTTGAATGTATGCCCCCCAACCTTCTCTATCTCTGAGATGGCGAATCCAGTGCCAAAAGTGCCGCGCGCCACTGAAGATAGAACACAAAAGGTCGGGGCGCGTTGGAAGGCCAAGGACGCGACTGCGGAAACAATCATATACGAAGCTAGTCGCGTAAATGAGGCACCCAAATTGTGCACGAGTGGGAGGCCAAGTAATCATGGAAGACGGAGGAGAGTTGGAGGGAAAGGGGAAGAGACCTGGGCCGCTGGAGGATTGAAGAGCATTTGTCATAAGCCGCTCGCGTACGGCAAGTGGTGGCTGTGAGGGCCATGTGAACAAGGCCATGAATAGGAAGTGACGGTATCGAGAGGGCTCTCGGGAAAGTATGTAGATCAGAGGGATTGCGAGGCGGCGCGCTACCGACCAATTAGACATGTTGTCAGTCAACAAGAGATTGAAAAGACTAGGAAGAGGGTCTTAGGAGGCTAGTTCAGTTGGCTACTAAGGCACGTACGTCTTTCCGAATAAACGCTTGAAGATGTAGATACGACCTTTTTTCATAACGTCTGTATGAAGGTTGTTAATATAAGAAGAAGATATAGGACGATTAGACTTACAGCTCCATGCCAACCACGACACCTTGCCAAAGGCCACTACGGCGACTACATGTATGGCAGTATTCAATGTTTCTTGCCCCGACCGAAGCAGCTGCAAAGGAAGTATCATGCTCTCCGTGGTCTCATACACGAACTTGCACTTAGGACACGCAGGTGGTTTCATGGGAAGCCGGTCGATCATGACGAGCAAACAACGTTGGTGTGCTACGACATTACAATCACAAGGATGCACCCATGCGTCATTGGGTCCTGAGGGTGGTGAGTAAGATAAACACTTTTCTCGCTGAACCGTGCGCCTACCCTTTGCTTGACGACAGAGGTAGCATTGGCCGGTCCAGGTTATGTCAGATAGACCACACCATGCAAAAGAAGGCATACAGACTTTGAGCTTGGCTGTTAGGATCACGGCAGAGTTTGCATCCATTCTTATACTATGGTGTTCGAGGTATTGGAAGAAGCCTCTCAGGACTTCTTATATAGCCTCTCGTTCTGCTCTAGACTTCAACCTTGACTTGCTCGGACCGAGTCATGAGCAAGACGCGTAGTGGATCGGCTTCAAATTTCTGCACGCGTTGGCGTATTGACAACGGTGACTGCCTTGACATACTGTGGCGTGAACGACGTTGCCGTCGCGGCTTTATCTGCAGTCGCATTTTCTCCGCAAGATCTCTTTATTTCCGAAGTTCGGTTTGCTTGGATACACACCTGTACAGATCAATAATACTACCAGATAGGTGGTCTAGCCGCTAGCTTCTCCTTGCTCAGAAGATGCGTGACATTGGCTCCAATTTTCTTTCGTTGTTCCATTGTAAGAGGAGGGACATTTGAAGAGTATCCCATTCCTGACAAAGGGCTGATTCAGGACGGATCAAATAGAGAGAACGGATCAACGAACTGAGGCTCGGATATTGCAAGGGTACTGAACTCGCTTTTTCAGGAAGAGCAGACAAATCCAACGGGAATGGCGGGCCAATCCAAGCATTGCGGTGTTCGTGATCCCTAAGAAATATGAGTCATGGCTGTCATGCTATTACGCACGGATGACGAACTCTCGCTATTAGGATCAATCAGAATTTGATTATACAAAATATCAAGGACAGAATCCAAACCTCATCTAAAGTCAAGGGGTGCACAAGAACACTATTAGCGGCCTTGAGCATGACGATCACGTAAATCAGCTATCAAAAGACACCTTAACTGTCCGTGATTCAGCGCAATGAACGAGAATACAGAAGAGAAGCTCTCCCCGGGGACCCAAATTTCGTAGGAACCTTAGACAAGAAGCATGAACTAAATATGCCCCAAGAAATAAAACACGAAATGGCGACTTACCCACCGGATGGGGTCCAATAGGCTCTGTATTGACACGGAACAGTGGCACGGCCACGAAAGCTCCATCACGGCAAAGTCTCAAGACGGCATCACGCAGCTCCAGCGCAGCATGATGCTCACTGGCATTCTTCTGTCGAAAATAAATGTCTGTGGAAGGCCGACCGTATTTTTGAGTGTTTATTAACGTTTATTATTTGGACCCACGAAAATGCCATTCTCTTTGGCTCGGGTATGAGTAAGAGAAAGACATAACTTTAAACAAGCATTTTACCTCACTTCGTTTGCCACTACTATAGAGACATCAGTTTCAGGTTTGGTCGTCATCGTCATCGTCGTGCGGTCCAAGAGATGGTGGTAAGTAGATAAGAGGCGATTTCCTTTTATGTAGTGTGACCCGTGCCTTACATGCTTCTGCACCAAGTGTGCCCTTCACGACAAGTCAATTGGTGAAGATGAACCAGAAAGTGGAAGCCAGCAATTTTTTCTATACTTAAGAAGAAAAACCGTATTCACGCGATTTTCTGCGTGGCTATCGAAATAACAACTCATACCATATCTATGAGAAGTTTTCAAGAAGGGCCTGTAAAGTCGTTCAAGTTAGACGCAATTGCGTTGGTACTTTTGCCGCCACATTAAGTACTTGAAGGGTCCCTGGATTCCGAAGTGGTAGCAAGATTTTAGGACTGAAGACTTAAGGACGAAGGGTTGGAATTCGGACCGACCACCCTGTCTCATGATCGGCCTACACGAGACGAGAGAAAGCGCGTTCATGTCATTCAGGCAAGCTGCAGTACACTCTTTTGTTTCATATTTCATATGGCCAGTCTTGTCGTCTGATGCTCGAGCTATGCCGGGAGCGCACCAACCACATCCAATTTAAGTTACAATGTTCCACGACAGCATGGTAGGTCTGATCCTGTGCGTCGTCTGGACTTGTTTTTGGGGAGCAGCTTCATTTCTCAATTGGCTACCAGTCCACCAGCATCTACTGACCGTAATATTTTACTCGATAGGCAAAAAGCATTGTCTGACCAACTTGAAGACGAGATATGGCCGATGAGAGTCACGAATTCGAAGAGATGGATACTAATGGTGACGTCGCAAATTGTTGTCACGACAATGTTCATTGCGGTGATGGGAGTAACGAAAAAGGCCTCCCATGAAATTGGCATGGAAATTCAAGTATCCTGGACGGGTCAAAGGAATCCCACGGCGTCTGAAAGAACTACCCCCTCGTAACCTTGACAGACAAACGTTCCAAAGATTCATGCTTAAGTCAAGAACACGCGCATGCGTTCCCAGCGTATCCGTATACTAGCGAAGATATTTTTAACAGTTGGCAGTGACAATCATCTCGACTATGTTCGGCCTATCATTGTATTACCAGCGTGTGAATCGGCCTAAGTGATTAGAACCTTGACTGATATTGATGTTGTTGGATTGTTCGTCATCGTTAATGCATTAACTAGCGCCGCCGATGGTACAACTTTAACCAGTCATTACGCAGAAGTTGTCGAGCACCGCACATGAAACGGGGATGCCAAGGAGTTGCTGTCCTTGAATGTCAGCAGCGATGTAGTAGAGATACTGCGCTTTCTGCACAATGGGAACGCTTCTTAAAGTCAAAGAAGAAACAGATTTATATCACTTCCTGATGTAAATACGAAAAGCGTCCGAAGCCACAGAAGGTGTACATTGCTCATCTATTACAACAACAGATATGCACGCCGAAAAGATCTAGAAAAAGGTCGATATAGTGATTCTGTTGAGATGAATAACACTGAGATGCTCCAGTGACCAGATCGATAAAATTCTAGGTTGAATGTTCGCGAAGCATTCAAGAGTACTTATTTAATGAAGGTCGGCGAACTAGACGGCCTCTCGTATACAGATCCCACCATTTATCTGTGCGTGTTCGATAAGATGACCTCAGAGTCACCCCTCTCAACACAGCCAGCCTCAAAGTCGCATATTGGTGAGTGGGATGAACTAGTCAATCCGCACAGCGTCACTCATCCTCTCGGCGTACACCATAGTCGTCCGTTCATCAGGACAAGAAGAATCCATGACTCGCAAAATGACCGACAAATGTCTCGAAGGTGCTGCAGAAGAAACAGGAGGAAAAGCAACAGACGCAGCATTGCAGAACGACTACATTCAAAAAGCACAGGAAGAGGCAAGGGTCTGTCGCCTTTTTACAGGTCGATTGGGACACATAATCTAAGAATTGCAGGGACTATGGGCAAGATACGGGTGCTGCATGTCGGCAACCGGTTAAAAGAGATATAGACCCAGTGTATGTTGTCAGATCAAGAGTATGATATGGCGTCGGCAAGGACGGTATCGTAGTGTCACGAGTTACCAGTAAGAAGACCGAGATGGAGCTCGATTCGTTCACCAACCGAGGAACTTGAGAAGTAAACCGAGCAGCACCAGATTAACCCTCAGGAGTAATGATATCCAGCTATGGTTCAGCAAGCAACGTTGTTCGAAGGTCGGTCCTTCGGGCAGAGTCTTTATATATTTCCCAGACAATAGACACGATAAGGACTTACCGTCGCCCCAAACCAAATCGTTAAACCGTCGAATGTCGTGCGCCCGGTATTGGACATTGCCACAACATTGTTAAGGTTATAGATATTCACCCCGCTCAAGTCTTGCATCGCATCAGCGCCTGGAAACTGGTTCAGAGCTGTCCATGCAGACATGGCCACTTATGCTGGGGAATATCTCGGTACCTATCTTATGAAAGGCAAGCAAAGGGTCAAAACCTTGTTAGGGTCCCCAAGATTTTCGTTCATGCTCTCCTGGAATATGTACAATGTGAATTTCGTCAGCACAGTATGAATTCTGTCCGTAATTGCGCGCTGAGCAACGCTGGAACTTTTTTGAAGCTGCCGGCATCACTGATGCCCGTAAGAATGCGTCTATATTGAGACCCTATGCATGGTGGTCACAGAGAACAGATATTTAATCAAGATAGAGAAGCGGACTTTATGTTTAGCCGTTCCGCAGCAAAGAGGCCATCGCATTAAGTTATTGAGCACATCCTGCCTACCATCAAAGGATGGTCGTGACGGATGGTGAGAAGAAGGCGTATTATCCTTTCCGGATTTGACTAGAAGGGATTACTCAGTTGCAGACACTCACCTCATGAAGTGACTAAAGGTTGCTTACAATTCCGGATAAAACCGTCCATCGAAAAACCAGCAAGCTCCGCAAGCGTATCGTAAGCGCCGGTAAGCGCCTATGCGCCTTAAGGAACAAATAGGATCGCAGAAGCAACTGCTGACTATCCAGTGTCGGAAGGGGCGTTAAGAATTAGATACTCTAGGACGCGTGCCCGGATGACTTTGTCCGTATCAAAGCCTTGTTCGGAGCAAAGGCAATAATTATAGGTTCAATGCCAAAAACAGAACTAGGTTCCGCAGCGTCACGATACGGATTCGGAGGTAGTGGTACTACTGCCATTCAGAGTGGATGAGGAAGGGCGCGGCATCATAGCCACTCCCGCCCGTTTGTTGAAGACATAGCGAGATAGTTTCTGTTATGCGATCTGGAATACCTCAGACACTTCTGACAATGCTAGATTGTGGGTGAGACGACGAAACGAATGTGACTGTACAGTGTAGATCACTAAAAAAGTATCAATAAATACCCATAGACAGCCTTTAGCAATATACCTTCAGAGGGTTTTCACGTGCAGTCAAGCTGAAAGCGATACACCGCAACCTATGGTACCAAGTTTGTTGGGTTCTGGTGCTACAGCGCGAACGAGCTGAGCATTGGCAGGCGCCTGACAGCTTGCTGAAGAATCAGCGAGCACTGGAGTTGACTTCCGGCTCGTTTCATTTACGGTTTCAGGTGCGAGAGGTTGTTTTCCCCCCTTGTTATAGATGTGAATGTTGGCCAGAACAATGATATATGGCGTTCTGGTGTGCATCATGCGTGGCTGCCAAACATGTTACCTTTGATTCTGATCGTCTAAGCGATGGAAGGGTGAGCGTTGATGTCCTGATTTGAGCTCTAAAGTTGGGGGCCGAATATCGGACATACCACCTCTCTTTGGTATTTCTGGGTAAAAATTTGTGATTGGTAATGCGGCAATCGGCTAAAATTTCGGCTGAGCACGTGAATTTTACCAATTTGGCATATAGGAGCTCTTTGTACCAAAACTGCTATGGTAACGTTTGATCAAGCGGCCCACCCAGAACTCCTCTGCCACTCCCTCTTTTCTTCCCATTCCTCCTTCAACAACAAGCAGGCCGGTCCTTTTCGCCTTTCTTTTTTTCTTATCTGCGCAGGAAGTAGCAGTTTCAACCTTTTACGATGGCCTATCGCTCGTCTGGCCTTGATTTCTCCGACCGCCCCTCCACGCTGGACCAGCACCCGGATTTGCCCAACCCTTATAGCAACGGGCACGAGCCTTCTCACCTTCAGCGCAATAAGACTGAGCGCAGGAGGCTTCAGGGTCTTCAGAGGTCCCTAACAAATACCTCTATCCCCAAACTGGCTTTCGAGCCGAAGGGCTGGAAACAAAAGTGGGATGTTTGGATGATCAATGACGGCGGCAGACAGCTCTTCTTCGGCGTGTTTATCTTCCTTCATCTCCTCGTTGGGGTTTTTGGATTCTTCAATTATCAGCTCAGGGATAATTCGGTCAACGCTCGTGCTACGTTTGGTATAACCTTTCGTGAGTGTCGAGTGCAGGTGCCTCGAGACTGATCACTGACACTTGCCCTCAGCCATCGCTCGTACTGCTGCTCTGATCCTTCACGTTGACGTGATCTTCATTCTTTTGCCCGTCTGCCGCAACTTTGTCTCACTCCTTCGTCGCACACCTCTGAACGATATTATTCCGTTCGATAAGAACATCTTATTACACAAAGCCACTGCCTGGTCGATAGTCATTTGGACTACCGTCCATATTCTTGCACATATCGTCAACCTCACCGAGTTGGTCAATGCCATTCCCAATGTTTCTACGGGTGAAAGGGTCAAGCAATGGATTCTTGCGAACTTTGTCATTGGTCCTCTTATTACCGGTTGGATCATGACCATTGTACTGGCGATCATGGTGTGGTATGCCATGGAGAAGCGTCGCCGTGCTAACTTCGAGCGGTTCTGGTACACTCATCACCTGTTCATTGTCTTCTTCGTCAACTGGCAATTGCACGGCATGTTCTGCATGATCAAACCTGATAGGCCCCCGTACTGTTCCTACAATAATATTGGCGTATTTTGGGTATGCGAAGCACTTCTATCAACCCCTGTATATCTCTCTGACTCTCACTATAGCGTTACTGGCTTGTCGGCGGTGTCATCTGGATCTGGGAGCGCATTCTTCGTGAAATTCGTTCACGTCACGTCACATACATCTCAAAAGTTATCCAGCACCCCTCGAATGTAGTGGAACTCCAGATCAAGAAGGAGAAGACTACCACCAGGGCCGGACAATATATATTCTTGTCGTGCCCCGAGGTATCGTACTTCCAATGGCACCCTTTCACTCTCACCAGCGCGCCTGAGGAGGATTATATCTCCATTCATATTCGCGTAGTTGGTGACTTTACGAAGGCTTTGGCCCAGGCTGTTGGATGTGACTTTGAAACCAAGGAGAAGGGTGCACCTGCTGGAGGAGTTGTCATCGGTACCAACGTCAATCCGCCCATCAATCGCACCCTCCCTCGTGTCATGGTTGATGGACCTTTTGGTAGCGCCTCGGAAGATTTCCTTAACTACGAAACTATCCTACTCGTCGGTGCTGGTATCGGTGTTACTCCTTTCGCGTCGTACGTTTTCTTCTATACCCTCGTGTCCTTCTTAACTAATCACCAATCAGGATTCTTAAGTCCATCTGGTATAGGATGAACAATTTTGGGCACTCAAAACCCACGCGATTGTCAAAGGTATACTTTACATGGGTTATCCGTGACTACGGCACCGCAGAATGGTTCCACTCCCTTCTTCACGCGATCGAGGAACAGGACACCCAGAATCGAATTGAGATCAACATCTACCTCACCGCTAAGATCAAGGAGGATGATATGAACAATATCATCGTCCAAGATGTTGGTGCTGAGAAGGACGCGATTACATCCCTTCGTGCGCCCACGCACTTTGGTCGTCCGAATTGGGATCGAGTGTTCAGTTCCATTGTTCAGAAACATCCTCAAACCGACGTTGGTGTGGTATGTATTCTGATGACCTTGGAATTATTTGGTGTTTTCTTAACAATCTTCCATTCTAGTTCTTCTGTGGACCGTCGCCTCTCTCGAAGCAGCTTCACACTATGGCGAACAAGTACTCGGATCCCCAGAGTACCCGCTTTTTCTATGGCAAGGGTGAGTGCTATCTATTGTCGTTGCAGTGGGGGTGCAATGTTGACATGGTGATTTTTTAATAGAAAACTTCTGATTGTTGGGTGCAGGGGAGATGATTTAGTAGTTGAATTTAAGGGTTAGAATATTGTAGGTTCGCTGCTATGTTTAAATGATATCTGGGAACCTTGTCTGTTGATTTGACAAGGGACTTGGAATATATTAGATGCTTGCATCTTTTCTCGTCGCGACAGTGATGATGTGGCCTCATCAATAGGCTATAAGACCATGCGTTCCATCGATATACGCAGTGGGCTAGCGTTTGCATGAGTTAAATTCTCTCACGACCACTCGGAGAAGTGTACGGACGACAACACAAGCCGTCTTCAGGGATGCGAGCTTTCCATGTACCACTAGCGTTTGGTGTTTTCAAACGCATCTCTCGATCAGGCCCGTGGAAGCTCCCTCCAAATTTTGTCCGGAAATTAGCATACTTTAGGCCCGAAAAGTGAAATCTTTGTCCGTAGGTAGCATCGTTGTCCGCGGTTAGCATTTTTTAGGACCTCTGGGGGGCGACAACTCGGGCAAAACTTATTTGGATCTGGAGGAAGAGGGTAGAAGACGCCTAGAATTTATCGTCGCGAGGTGAGCTGAGGGACAACAACGAAATTTGCCCGCGGTTCTTTCCGGCACGGACGGGCCGGATTGTCCGAGTCAGCTCATTTTATGCCGCCCTTGATGCATTGATGCCAAAATCAGGGTTTTTGCTGGACGAACCTTGGCGGGAGCTTCCCGGGGTCTCTCGATCCACTGGACCATCTGTATCCTCACTTTGCCAACCATACTGTTCGGTTGTTGCCCACCTCACAGCAGTACCGAATTTGCCCTCAGAGTTCTGCACGGAATGCACCGTAAATCACTCCGATTTCCCCCGGTGATATGGCGATGAACAACGATAGTCGATGTCCCTAGGTCAGCCGCTGCGTTTGCGCAGCAGTACGCTACTAATCAGTGGTGGTCAACGGATGAATCTTGCACGCTCGCTGGAACTAAGAAGTCGTGTCAAAGGTGGCTGAACTCAGCCTCTCCGCGCCATAGCATTGACTGGAATCTGTACACTTAATATCTGCTGGGGCAACTATAGCCGGCATTCAGTAGCACTAAGGACAGTCAAAATGGGGCTCTATATGTGATTACGATGACGATCATAATGCTAATGATGGTCGCTTCTGCTTGATAACCACCGCCGTATAGGTGGTTTGCGAGGTTTCCCATAATTCTGCCGTCCATCATCGTTGTTATACTCTGCACAGCTCTCTGCACACAATCCCACTTTTGATTGTCCCTATGGAAATACTACGCTTACGCCACATACGTCAACTAGTTCTGGTTTTTCCCCACACTGAGGTGGATTCCGGCACATGCCAATCATGTCGATCATGACGATATGACACCAGTGCACCTATAAGCTGTGCTACATGGAATTGTTGCACCATAACGACAATATTCTTTTCCGTGGTTGCTCCGTGGGCTCTGAAGCTAAGATCGACGATCTTCCGATAGCCGGATATACCAGCGCAGCTGGATACCGATGCTTAAACCAGTGCTTCACTGCTTGTAGAACTTGGTAGAAGCACGTCGAAGGATAATGAATCCGGTGAGTAAGTCAGGATTACTGGGAATTGCTTAGTAATAACCTTTCTCAGTGAGTTCGGTGCAAGTTCGGTGTCAGAGTCAGACAGTGACTAACTTCGATAGCATGGCGTGTCCGTGTACCCTTGTCATCCTTTGGACATTCATTTCACAGCCAAGATAATCTATGGTCAAAAATAGGGCCATAGCAAGGTCACAGCGGTGGAACCTTGGTGCAACTTGAATGCACAAATTACAGCCAAGGTGACGACTATGACTCGTTGGAAACGCATGAGAAAAGTGAGGACTCCTCAATGTATTGAGCATGACTCCAAAAGTGCGGTACTGACTCCTAATTCGACAGCTGCTTGACTACTCTCTGCATGACAAACAGCGAACTCAGAGCGACGGTCGAGCGTCCTGCGGTTCCACTGCCATCGGCTTCGTGAACTAACCTCCGCGTCGGGGAGGGGATGTCGAGGTACCGGATTACCGTCGGTCGCCGGGGTTACGTGGGCTCGCATGACGCATGGGGCACAGCCATCGCATCGGTAATCCCAACATCCGGCTTGGAAATGCCAGATTGTACCATGAGTAAGTCTGCTTGAATATCTGTCGACCGGGAAAGGGTGCTCGTCAAAGCCAGGTGTTCGGCATGCTATGTATGACTCGTAATTCGAACACATTCCGGCTGACTCCAGACTTCGGCAAATGCCGAACCGGAAATCCTATATAAGCTGAATCAGTGAAACTACACCTCCACACTCTACTATTTCAGACACTATTCCACTGCTCCATCTCGTTGGTGTTATACGTGTTTCCATGTCTCAACCATCCTCCCATACCTCTAAGCCCAAGCCCGCTGCTAAACCCACACCCAAACAGAATCCCGACCTTTATCGAATCGCTAGTGCTCTTGCTGGACAGAAAATCAAGGAACTATGCAGTAAGGGCTTGATCACAGTGACATCTCCCATTGACACGCAAGTGACGCGTCCCCGACGTTCCCCTGCCCGCGAGCACACATTTACACCAAGGTAAGCATATTCCCAGTGGCTCAAAGGCTTCAGTCGTGAATAATGAACTTTTTACAGAATGGATGTCCTAGATGACCCATCATCACCAAATATCATGGCGACATTCGAACTTCCTGGTGTCAAGGCATCCGATATGAGCCTGTCAATCCTTGACGGCCATCTCATCATTCAAGGCGAGCGGCGGTCTCGCTTCATAAGCAGCGGTTCCGCCGATGCGGATGCGCAGCCCAACGGTGATGCATCGTCCACTGGTACTATGGACGTCGACAAGAAACCATCCATTCAATTTCCTGTCAGAGAGCTCAGATACGGGCGATTCTACAGAAGCTTCAAACTATCCCATACTGTCCAAGTGAGTCCATTTCCTACGTCCACGAGGCTGTAAACAGCATTTTCGACGTTTGTTTACCAACCATCTTTGTTCTGTAACTATCCCTTGAATGAGCTGTTACTGATTCTTTCTCTTTGTTCTCCCATTATAGCAAACAGACATTTCGGCATCTATGGTCGAAGGCATGCTCACAGTGACTTGGCCAAGATCCAAACCGGATCTCGCTACCGAGGCGTCTGCAGGAAGCGGGGAGGTGGTTCATATCGAGTAATGGGCTTATCACGCGTTCTTGTTTCGTTACAATCTCCCCTCTCGGCGCATGGATTTAGCTAGGCGCCAACTCGTGAATCATTTCTCCCTCTTAACGGTGTAATTGGCGTCCACAAAAATATCGCTGTTCCAATCTCGAGATCACTTCCCCAACACCCTCCTCCGTTCCATTTGGGTTACTATGTCGTTATTTGGATCTTTACTACTTTTTCTGGGTTGCTTGGATTCTCTGCTCCACTCTTACCATACTAATACTTTCATATACTGCTTTCATAATCCTAACTACAATATTCTTGCTCTACCTACTCGCATGCATTTGTAGCCATCAATGTACTACCCTTCTATTCATCATTCACTCTTATTTGTATCATGTAGTTCCCGACGCCATCGAATAGACACCCACTGAATCTGACGATCAGCCTCACATTCCCATGCCACGCAATCGTTCCTGGGTTCATGGCCTGTTAACACACAGACAAACTTGGAGGCCCTGTACACACCAAAACTCTTGACAAAGAGCTGTAAGAAGCGATGTCAGATTCGACATAGGTCACGGCCACTAGAGCCAAGGTGTACATATAAGTGCAGCATAGACGAGTCATTGGCGTGAGGCCTGCGAGAGATGTATGATCCGTCCGTTACGGGCTGGGAGGCGAAACACTATTGGGCGCTTCGGGATCGACGCGGACATCGAGGATGACTCGTCATTATGTCGTTTGACTAGGATCAAGGAGACAATAAGCTGTAGCGCCTGAATCAGATTTCACCAACAAAGAAAAGGAAGGAAGGAAATTGCCACTCTACGTGCCGATCCATTATTGGGTCTTCGCGGCATACAGGTGGAATAGTACACAGCAGGCCTACCTCCCAAGATGATCGACCCAGACGTAATTTTGGAAGCCATCCGGGAAACGATTGCTTCCTAAGCGCTTACAGGCCATACAGAGACTGCGGTGACCTGTCGCATTCGCATGCTTGATGGAACAGCAGCTATGACAATGAGGATGTCTTCTGTTACAGCCGCGATTAGCACGAAGAGATGTCGGAGTGTCAACCAATATCACAGACCATCAACGATGTTTCATATGGTACCCCTGCAGCTATGAGAGATACACATGTTCTCAGCAGGAACGTTTTGACAAATATTAGCATGAGTCATAAAATTTCCCCACATGTATAGGTATTGGCCGAGGATCTGCGCTTGCGACGCACGGCAATCAGAGATACACCAGTAGGGGATGTAGTCGCTACGCCTCGTTCATCCTGTCAAGTACAGCGTAGAAACAGCAGGGAACCCCAGATCAGTAGGCATAGGAGCCGGAAGTTTCGTATTTGCACGGTGTTCCGTGGCTGAGCTCCATACTAAAGCCTAAATAGACGCTGAAAAGATGGCGTAATTAATGCAAAAGAACGGCCCATGTACATATAGACTCAGGAGTATCACAGAACCATTACATCGCTAAACGGAAGGTCATTAACGAAACCAAATTTGAATTCAAAAACGAAACCTGACTCGATTCAAAGGACGCGTGGATGTCGTGTCGGTTCCGCGAGGCATCACGAGCCAGATTTTGGGTGCAGTTTTCATATCGTTAGCCGGCGACTATCGGGGCTATCTACGAACCCTAGTTCCATGTATTGACGAGGAAAGCTGAGGGAGCACTGGTAGCCATTGCGCCACAAATATGGGGGTATACCCCAAAAATTAATCCAGAGTCGTTAACAGCAAATACAAAGGCGCAGAATTCTAGTGCAGGGGTTAGATGCGGGAAAAGAGGGGCATCGGCGATGTCCTGCTGTGAGTTCCAAGAAAATGATCAGTGACGGCGACAAAAAAAGAGCTATAAGCCCATCAGATGTGTATGAATAAGGGGATACAGAATGTCTCACATTGAGCGCTCTAGGACGTGCGTCCCTTGAGCTTCGGCATGAATCAGGTCACACTATTATAATATGTGAAGTGAAACGCGTCCTGTGGCTACCGTAATAACGTCAGAAGGGCTGCAATGAACTGAAAAAGTGCTCACTTGAGCATTGAGCATGAGTATTCTGGCTGATTTGTGTGTGAAGTCTGAGTCGCTACAGCAGAAGAGTTGAATTTGTTCTATCCGGATGGGTTTCGAAGTCCGAAGTTCGTTTAACTTGAACAAAACTACATGAAAGGAGGGAGGACTTCTGATAGTTTAACGCCCATTTGGAGGCCTAGAAAACATAGAAAGGCTGGCCGACGTTGGTCCAACACAGAGATAAAACGGACGCGACGCAGGTCGTCGTTGTTGAACACGATCACGTTGCCGCTGCCCTTGCGGGCCGTTGGACTGACGGCGGCATCTAATTGCGTGATCGGAAACGATCGGAACGGTTTCAACGCATCGTCACATTTCAGCGTCACTGGCAGTCTTCAGTCTCCTTCAATTCATATCGGCGTCAGCTCATTAAACTCGGACTTGTCTCTGTGGACCCTTTCTTGCTTGCAACATCAAGGGCAATTAGAAACACAGTTACCGGTTTATTGACTAACGTCCAAGCGTAGCATAAGCTTTTCTGACTATGTTTCAAGGGCCATGAACAGCATTTCCAGTTTTTATCCGCCCGGCGCAATATCAATACAACGGTTCTGGCTAACCGGCACTACGGATATAGGCTATGAACAGGAACTTTGACTGCCTCGCTGACGTACGCAGGTAAGTGCTGTCTAACGGAATTGCTCCAGCGCGCACTCATATGACTGAAATAGCAGTAGACGCTACTATAATACCATTATCCATATGAAAAGAAGGACTCAAAGCTTCCCCCCAGACTGTGAGCACGACCCGTCTCTGACTCAGGTGGCATTTGCTCGCCATCTCCGTGCCGATTCTTGCCACGAGACGGAGAATAGGAATAGAGAAGGTAAGGATCGAATACAAATACGGCTCTGATTAATGTCATGGAGGCGATATGTGCGTCCTTTTCCCACGCCATTGAACGCCCCTCGCTCTGACATTTTGAGCTAGTATACTCGCGAAAACTGCAATATTGTCCAAAGGTAACATGGCGTCAGTAGGGCAGGTGTAACGGAAAGGTTATTGTCTTTCCCCGACAATTGACTGGATCGCATGAACGACTTGAGTCGGATGAGCAAGTCAGATTGGCTATCAAGCCAAGGAGGCCGTCGAATAGACGAAAGCATGTGTTTCGACCATGCTCATTTTCCCAATTATGCCTATTACAGGTAGGCCCAACGCATTACCAACGTTACCCGCCTTTGAACCTGGAAAGACAGTAGAATACCTTTCTCAGGGTAGCCTATGTCTATATCACCTTCGCGGGTGTCCCAAAAGTCTAAGGACCGGAGGTAGGCGAATTGCCACGTGCAATTCGGCTTCTCATCTTATTCTACCTTCAGTGCATCGCAACGTGGGAGGCGGCTGTTCCGAGGCCATGAACATACCACAAGTCCATACTTGGCGTCTCTCCCTACGACTCGCTACCCACCTTTGGACACCACGAGTTGGTTACAGTCGCATCCATTGGTCCTCTTGTTTTTCCCCGCAATACTCACCTCGACTCAGTCCCCATCTTTGGAGAAAGGCCAGTTTGTTATCTATACCAGGATGTCATCAAGTTAATTTCGCGCGCTCAGGCTGTGCCGCAGGGTCATCTACGAGATTGCCGTTGGACAAGGAACTGAACACAGCGGCCACAATTCGAAAGCGGTGTGGATAGCAAAAGATATGATGGTGTAGCAGCTACCAGCTTTCGTCAATGTGCGTTGTTGAGCCATTGATTCGTATATAGGCTGACCGTTATAACAGTCTCATTGTTTCGATAGAACGGGTGTATGATATGCGCTAATTTGTCCGGTAACCAGAGGATAAGAGTAGCATTTGTGTGTATGTCTCCTTCATGTTCTCTCTGGATATACGCGTCCATTGATTAGATCTGTAGGTGCAGTTGTTTTTCATTTTTCCTGCTCCGTTGCCCATTTCCATTTGAGGACCTGAAGATGTAATTTTGTCGAGATGATTGGCTCCATTGAAGGGAAACTAGATTTCGCGACAAGGCCAGGCGAACACATCAGTATCCGTCATGATATCTACCAGTGACTCATTTGCCGCCCTGGCTCTCTAATCTGGTTTAGATGTTTCGGAAGTTTTTGTACGCTTATTCCTATTTCTGTGTTTACAATTTGCTTTGCTGATTCTCGCGAGCTTAACCAGCCGTCAGCTCAGTGTCCATCGTCATACCTCTCCCGTATTACTCGTCCTGTCTGGCCCACAGCGATGTAATGGACGGTGTGCGCGGCGCGTACAACCTCTCACCGGTCCACCGTCGTCGACACGGGACATAATGTTCAATGGGGCCCTCCAGATATTTTTTCCAAATGTAAAGGTGTATCATGATTCATACGATGGAATTATTCTACGGTGATTAGAGCGATAGTACGGTTTGATTCTACAGAGCGGTCTACCATGATTAAAGCGAACCGGTCACGTCCAAATTGTACAGGCAATGACTTCACGTCAATCCTGATACCACAAGCGTTTATCCTTGCGTCTACCTGCGACAGTAGGTGTCTGAGAGTGGTTCGGGAAAGAGGGTCGCGGCAGGGCATCTATGAGGTCGACATATGTCGCTCCTTCTCCCAACCCACCAGACTTCAGGACCGTTACGAGCGAACTCGTGAATATACCAGCCCATACCTTCGTACCCTTTACTCGCCTCGCTTTGACAACCTCGTCTCCCCTACATGCTGCTACTATAACATGGGAATCCATATCTGGGACCCAGTCCTCTGAGACGACGGACTGACAACCAGGGAGGTCTTCCAGGTTTTCGTCTGCAACGAGGAGCATATCCTTGATCGAGGTACACTCCAGGGGGGGAGCACTCCGCACTCCGAGTCCTGGACTCAGTGCTCGAGTGACACTGCCTGCGTGACAACAGTCCAGGATAAACGTGATTCGATGGCCTTTGGTACGGGAGATCTGAGAGAGGATAGTATTAATTTCCCGGTCGGTGATATCGGGGACAAATGCGCCGCTACTGTCGAGGGTATTCCGGTCCATGGGACAAAGCGCCTCAACGAATTTGTGAGAGCGTTAATTCCAGTCACCGGGGTCCGTCGAAAAAATCAGGATCATAGTCATCGTCTGACAATGGATAGCGAGAACCATGTCCAGCGAAAAAGATGATAATGGGATCGCCATACTTGATGTCTGGGTTGGTAATAGTATTGCGAAGGGCGGATAGAATATTTTTGCGAGAGGGAATTGGATCGTTGGTCGACCCATCACTGTCGTTTGCTGGTCTAAGAAGATGCTCGATTCGCTCCTTCGGTACCAGGAGGTCTTCTATATAATATTGCTTTATTGCTAAAGCATCCGCCACGCAGCCTCGCAATGGGTAGGATGGATACCCGTCAATTCCAATTCCAATGGCCCAAATTCGGTCGGGGCCAAGGCACGGTTGTGGCTGCATTACTGTTCATCAGTAATTTGGTCGACGAAAAGTAGTGTATACCCACATCTGACGTCTCACCGTTGTTGTTCATGTCGTCCTTCTTCGCCAAATGCACCTCGAACTCTCGGGGGGAGGGTGACTCGTTGCAGCGTTGTAAGTCTGAAGCAGAGATGTGGGCGAGTACGTTGCACAATTGGGGTGTTCGTGCAGAAGGAAGGTAGAGCTGCAGACATGTTGGATTATGTCTACTGTTGCTTTTATGGTAGTCGAAGGTAAACATACCCCTGGTGAGAAATCGTCCAAATTTTGAGGAAGACAGCTGATTGGGTGGCTTATTTTAGTGTCTTGCCTGGCTGTTTTATTGTTATTGTGAAAAACGAGTCTCTTCAAGTCCGCACTTAGTTTTTAACGTCTATGTACTCGAACAAAGCACCTAGACGGATAGGATGAAAAGCAAATACTTTTATATTTGGTAGTGTTAATCTAGTTTCTGCATGAAAGTTCCCAAAAACGCGTTGAGGAATGATGAATGCGTCAAAGACTTGAGACTCGAATACCCGTGTCTCCATCACGTGATAAAATGATATTAAATTCCAGGGTATTCTTGGACTGTCCTTGTTCCGGGAATAGAAACTGCGCGTACCAACGAGCTACCCAATCAAAGAGAATGCCTAAGGAAAATGTCGATTGCAGCGTTTTTTGGCATGGACTACCTCCCTGATACGCTCTTCTTCCTTCCGGTACGATCACTCAGGCGACGCATTGAAATATCCTGCGAGTTAGCTCGTGAGCAACGGAAATGCGGGGTAGATGGGAAAGGTTCACGGAGGCAATAGTTCGGTGCGTCGATTGTCATTTCCGCTTGCGATGTTGCCAAAAGGGTACGAGTCGTTACTCCCGGCCATCTAGGTCGCGGTTGTTAGAATAAGCAGATTCTTTTACCATTTCTTCTTCTGTTACCTGTATGAGATTGCGAGGAGACAGACCAAGAACGCGACTGACATGAACGCTTCATTTTCTGTTAGCATGCCATAGTAACCCCATCAGATCTTGCTAATTTCTTCGATTGTGATCGACCATTTACGCGCTTCGAACTCTGTGGCGTCTCCTTTCGCGTCGGTACTGACACGTTTCCGCGTCTTCTGTATAATTTTCTTAAACATTCCGGTCCCTGATGCGGAAAATGTGTGGTGATCCGGTTTCCTGCGTTTACTTCAACAGTCACGGTACAAGGTGCGGCAACTTGCAATAAGATCTACTTACTTGGCTTGCTTATTGAAGGACCCCCAAAATAGTGGGGAGAACGCATCGCAAAGTTCAAGTTTTGACACGAAATAGATTTTCGTCGGTTTTGTCTGGGTGAACCCCGTTAGCTTCGAAAATTAGCCTGGCAAGCCGTCTTTATTAAATACTCGCGGAACTCGTATCTGTATATATTCGAAAATAAATCAAAACGTTGGAATCAGGTGACGGGCCACTCTGCAAAAGGCTGTTCAATGTTCTCGTCGAGCCGCTGCGATAAGACGCGTCAGAAACGTGCGTACTACGACACGGCATCATCCTGACTTGCTCCCTGAGGTCCGGACAAGAAACACGCGCGAAATGTAGTTGATTTTGCCTAGGGGAAATACATGATAGGACTTTTCCTCCTAGATTTCGTCCAGATGGATCATGGATAACAATACAGCTTCTTTGCTTGTTACGGGGGACCTCTTGTTGGGAGATTGCTGGGCCGAAAAAAACGGAGTTAGGCATAGCTCTATCTCTAGCATAAGATTGACCGTGGGAAAGGTTCTGCGGAAGCCAATCATGTATGAAGGGAAGGAGAATCGGAGGAACCGAGGCCGCAGGACAAGACTGGAATTGCGGCCCAGTAGGATAGAGATTGTACGCGTCTCATCCTCTTCGCTTTGACTGGTGCTTGCTCGAGGTGCTCCTGAATCCACTGCATAGACAGAGAACGTCGAGTACTCCCCCCACCATACTGCTTTATCTGGCTGTTGAGCGAGTGGTGTCTTCCAGAGTAGGATAAAGGAACTCGCCCAGATCCCCGGTCAAGTAAGGATAGAAAAAAGTTCCGCGGAAGTAGATTGCGAGCCATGATGCCTCCATTTCGTGGAATTCGATGCGTCAAATGGAATCAATGGAATAGCCTAGGGTTCTATTCCCCCGACAAATACCAACGCGAGGCGTGAATGAGAGTGGGGACTATGGCGAGATGTTCCATCAAGTCGACATCCTGAGCCAAGGACCCAACAGAGTAAGTATGTCATGAATAATGCAAATTCCAAAGCAGCGCCTACAGGGGAGCGTACACACTATCCATCGGGTCACACTTAGCTCTGACTCCGAGCAATGAAGAAAGTGGACTCGTCGTGAGGAGATTGTCACAGTGAGCATCCTTCAGGCAAGGTAAGTGCAAATCAAAGTGCCGGTCCTAAAGCTGAGGAGCAAGTTGGGGCAGTCTAACTTGTTCACATTATCCCAGGCATTTCTCTAACTCGAAACGTGAACGCACCAGAGATCCAAACCTGCCTCGCGCTGCCACGTCGTTGTATAGTTGGATCTCGTCCCTTCTCCCTCACTAGTCTATTCCTCATTTCTCAATATTCGGGTATCAGGATCAGATGAAGTGGTATGTTTGGCTCTCTCCCATATCATACGGTTGAGAGAACAGACAAAGTTAGCCTGGTAAACAGGCACGTGTCGTAGCGGCCGGGGCAGATATCTGAATCGTTGGAATTGGCGAGGCCCTTCACTTGGAAGTAACAGTTTGGTAGCATTGAGACTTTTCGCATATCAGAGAAGAAATCGCAACAACCAGAGCGCAGAGAAGGACGACGAACATGATTCTCGGAACAAGCACGATGCGGCAGCTTTGGGACCTGGAACGGCAAAGTCCGGCCCGTGCTTTTTTTTTTGTCTTCCTCTTTCCGTGTTCTGTTGCGCGTAGCTTGCAGACCCCAATATGCCTTCTACCGCAAATGATTGAAGCTCTTGAAACGATGACTTTCAGCATATGCGACGCAAACCAGGGTTCGTACCAGATCAAAATGACCTCCGAAGTGCCGATACCATCTACGTGAAAGTGTAGCATTGATTTCGACGCAAGTTTGTTTGAATCAGGTTTCCTGCTACCAGGTCATACACCATCTGTCAGAGTGCCATGAACAGCGGCATATCTATCGTTTGTTGGGCTACCTTGAGGGTCACATTGTAGAGTGTACATCCCTCCAGACAAGGTCGCCATCTACAAAAGGTTAGACCAGGACCACACGCCATCACGTCTTTTGGATTTTCTCGTGAGCGCTTCACGTACTCTATGCTGCAGGAAATAGACCGACCTTGTTGTTTCGCATTTGAAGTCTAGCCGTCAAGAAGTGAATGGAGCCTAATTCACGGTGTTCTCCACGTTCCATCCTTCTTCATTCCCAAAGCGAATCCCGTTCTCGCCGTCGCCATAATCTTGTTGTGTCTTGGACCGCGGTAAATGTACCACTAGTCATTTTGTGGTTTTGGACATTTTATTGACGCATGGCATAGAAATTGTCTTCCTGTGCACAGGCTTCTCAAGAGCTTGCACCAAAAAAGGAAAGGCTACACGATTGAAGGGATAGAACGATTTTATAGGTAACAATCAAGGCAAATAAAAAAACCCTGCATCAATCCTGGTACCAAAGGCGTGTATTCTTCCGTCCTCCTGCGACAATTGGTGTCTGATGACGGAGCGGTGGAAGATTGTCAATGAGGTTCTGATACGTCGCATCTTCGCCCAATACACCGGACTTAAGAATCCCGATGAGCGAACCCGTGAAGGTACCACCCCACACTTTTGCGCCCTTCTCCTTCCTTACCAACTTCGATTTTGCAGTCTCGCCTCCCCTGCACGCCGCTAAAATTACATGGGAATTCATGTCTGGGCGCCAGCCTTCTCCCAAGATGGACTGATATCCAGAGAGGTCTCTGAGGTCTTCTTCACCAGCGAGGAGCATGTCGATGACTGAGGCATGCTCCAGCGGGGGAGCAGTCCGCACCTTTGAACTCAATGTTCGAGTGATGCTGCCTGCATGACAGCAGTCTAGAATGAACGTGATACGATGCCCTTTCGTACGGGAGATTTCGGAGAGAATAGTGTTGAGCTCTCGGTCGCTGATATCGGGAATGAGGGCTCCATTATCGTCGAGGGTGTTGCGGTCCATGGGACAAAGCACCTCAACGAATTTGCGAGAGCATTCCTCATCGTGCTCCTTGTCAGAATCAGGATCGTCTTCCCCGTCTTTGTCTGACAATGAATAGCGGGAACCGTGTCCAGCGAAGAAGATAATGATAGGATCACCGTATTCGATGGTTGGGTTTGTGATGAGGCTAAGGAGAATGGATATAATGTTTGTACGGGAGGGGATAACAGATGAAGCATCGGTGGGTGTGCCAACGCAGTTTGCTGGACCTAGAAGACTTTGGATGCGCTCCCGAGGCACGAGGAGGTCTTCCGCAAGGTACTGCTCTACTGCTAAGGCATCTGTCACGCAACCACGCAATGGGTAGGACGAATATCCATCGATCCCAATAAGAACTGCCCAAACCCGACTCGCGCCAAGGCGCGGCTTTGGCTACATTATTCCTTATTAGTAATCAATGTCAATGAAAGTAAGTGTATATTTACATCTGCTGCCCTCGGTGTTGGTTCCCGAGCCAAAGGATGCTGAGGTCCTCTTTGTTCAGGTTCGAGGAGAATATTGTGCGATGTTGTAGCATCCGCAACGCCGTTACATCGAGATTCTGCGTCTAGAAAGACTTCCACGAAATTGGCCATTTTGTATGCTTTCGCCAGATGCGCCTCGAGCTCTTCAAGTTGGGAGGAACGAATGCCTTTGATGATTTGTGTCAGGGCTAGTGATATAGCACGAGAATATTTTGTTTACGCAGGTCTTTCTTTGTACTTTGTACTTACGGAAGTTATCTAACACTCAGTCTACAGCGTTTGACCTACATACCGGCACCGTTTCCGTGAATTGCAGCAACGCGCGCGGCGCGTTTGCAACTACATTGGACTGAGTCTAGGAGGACCCAAATCAAACAAGGTTGCCTGATGCTCAAGCTGGAAATGTTACAACAAAACTGGACACGGCCATGTAGAAAAGTCAACACTATTCCTGCTATAGTCGGTATTCTTCTCGCATGACCGAAGTATGCCCGAAGTATGTTTCACGTAACTTTTAAACTGAACAGTGACTATAATTCCACATGTGGATGCCCATAAGAATCGTGTGCCTGAAGTTCAACAACATTCTATTGTTCTTGCTAGCTAAAGTCGAGACCTTTTTCTTTGCTTTTTCCCTGTTCACTTCTGATGCCCGAGGATTTCCGCGGGGAGGTTGTGGACCACCACATAGGTGCTAGTGTACCCAGATTCCATGACCTCATGACCTCTCTGGGAAGAACCATAATGAAGGGCGGAAAACTCAGGATTGAGCGTAACGCTGCTGGATTTCTGATTCCTGAAACTGTGAAACCAAAGTTGTATGATGTGTGATGGTTTCTAGAATAAGAAACCGGTTCTGAGTGTCGCCTCGCAGTATGTATTATCTTAACTGTCAAACAGAATATGAGATTTCTGAGAAAATCAATTCATTTACAATGCCTTGTACAATTTTTAATGGGTGATGGCCCAAATTGTGAAACCAGGGTGCTGTGATGCGTGATGGTAGGGAAAATAAGAAACGAAACCAGAGGGCCGCATGACGGTTTCCTCCCTACATACAGAGACAGTATACCAACTCAGACCTCATGAGATAGTGAGAGAGTGACAACGTTCTAGCAAGAGCGGGATGATGCCTTTACAGATGTTCCCACCGACACTCCGATACTGCTTGTTGTTGGTGTCGTCTGACCTGGTTCTATTCGGAGATGCTGATTGTCTTGGGGGAGACGCCAGGCATGTGCACACCTTGGTATCAGGAGTGACGTGAGCAGTCATTCTCTAGAAGCTGGAATTCACTCTGTTAGGCTTAGCCATCTTCCGCGAACTACTCAGCACCACACTTCTTCGAAATTATGTAGTCTGTGGGGTAAATGAGGAACATCAGCATCCAAGTTGATGAATTCAATTACTCTGATTCTATATAGATCATGATATATACTGTAACGACGTCGGTGACAAGAAGCCGAACTAACTAAAACAGATTGAGACGAGTGCCTGCCTATCTATGTAGGGATATGCTGAAATGCAGGTACGGGAGCATGGGGTGAGAGCGATGTAGCTTTTAGATTGGCATCAGAAAGCGTATCCAAGGGTTGTTCAGTAAACACAGCCGCTGAGGGTTCATCATTTATGAGTATGTACTAAGGTAGACCGCCAAAGATAGAGACAATACGAGACAATCCGGGAAGACTGAAGTATGTGTTGGCTCGCCAGTGGAGATTCATATCCATAACGGCTACCGCATCCGGCGCTGTAACCGAGATCGGATGAAAAAGAGGGAGAACCACGCTAGACATTAACGGATCTTCTCTAATATGTAGCGGTCAAACAACGCGGTTGTAGGGCCAGAGAAATCAACACCTCCATCGTTTCACCGCACAACCCCTCCTACAGAAACACAAGCAGACAGAAGTTTCAAGCGTGGCATCATCCATAGTCAACAAGTATCGCCAGCAGGAGAGATACGCCATAAGTGCGAGCCGGGACAAGCGGGGCATCAACTGCTGGCACCGATTTTGCTATTGTATGCTTCTACCAAACAAACCCTTGTGCCATCCCCGTCTAGCTGCAAACACCCTCGCAAACAATGGGGCGAGGACATTAGGAATGAGGAGATGCATAGTTCCTCATCGATTGGGGTATACAAATCTGGGTCTCTCAACCCAGTACAAGTTATGAAGAGGCCGAATGGTATTGCGGAAGGGAAGTGCCTCCGGCCGAGCGGTGGTGAGGACGAGCGGGTCCCAAAGCGTCAATGCTGGTGTAAGGCTACCATTTTTAACCGTGGATGGAGTGTGCACCCTGCTTGAACAATAGTACTGGATAAAACTATGAGTGAACTGTTCCTCAGTGGCAGGAAAAAATATCGTAAGGTGAATTCCACTGGCGGCGTTAACCAAGAGGCAGATACGGCCTCGTCTAGGAATGGAAAGTCAAATTCTCCACCATGAAGTTTCAGCCTCCCTACAATGGATGCAACAACCGCCTTGATAGTCGGGCCTCGGTTATTATGTCCGGGTCACACGAGAGTGATTGTAGCACAAGGCATTCTATTCTGCGAGCGGTGTACACAACGTATGCGGATAACAGAGAACAGAGCGACATCGACAGCGTGGAATCCAGGGATAACCTCTCCCAACGTCCATCCAACCCGCTATCGTCAAACGTACATCCCATGCGGCATACATCGCGCAATGCCCGCCGCAAGTACGGTCCCTAGATCTGGGCATGGGTATAATCGTTCTACTGGTATAGCGCCCTCGTTCTTGGATGGAGATTTGCAAGATTGATTCTGTGAAAGCAAAATGTCTAGGAGTGCTTGCTTGTCGGGAGCTTGCGTCGGATGTGCATGTGGAGGAGGGATGTGTCATGGCGACTTAAGCTGGTAGGATGGCCAGGTCTGATCAGATGGCCAAGATTTAGTTACGCGGAAGCAAAGAGTTCATGTTAGTCGCATGGGATATTTGATAAGTCTGAGGTAGGACTGAGCCAGACGTAAGCTGCAAAAGGTTCCATGAAGCTCGTGAGATAGGCCGATGGAGGCAAACCACAGTGAGCGAAGAGGACAAGCTGGAGAACAGGACAAGGTTAGAAGAATGACAAAGGGGAGTGAACACGCCTCATACCTGTCTCATCCTTTTCCATGCCTTACAAGTGCCGCCGCACCTCATAGCTGTTGGAGCGTGCCCTCTACCCTGAATATTGAATAGGTGGTGTCTTCCGGAGTAAAATGTGGGGACTGAGCTGGGTCCCTAGCTACGTAAGGATCGACGCCACGAAAAACGTTTGGCGGAAGCAAATCGCAGTTTGTCGAGAGTCGAGAGTATTTGTCCTGGTCGCGGTGTAGCAATATCGATATGAAATCGGAGTCAGACAACATCCTCCTTGGTCATCTCCGCTCGAGTGTGTTAGGGCTAAAACATGTATCTGACGTATGATGTAACGAAGGTCGCGCGCATGACGATGTGAACAAATGATTCTGAATTGTCTTGAAGATTATTCGCTTTCAATGGATTCTTGAGTGGCATAGTCGATATATATCTCCGAGTTCCCTATGTGAATGAATTAGATCCGTAATCAAGGACAGGAAGCCCATAACTCACCGATCGACTGACCTGATCAGGGCCTTTTCAGGACCGCCAACGTAAACGGCGAAGTCCCAATCACTCTCCGTTCGGGAGGATAAGGATGTTATCATCACTGCCATCGCGATGAAAAAGACGGTAACCCTCGCATGCTCCCCCACGGTATCCGCCCAGAATCGTAACGAACCCCAATCCTGGTCTGCACAAGGGTTCGCCACACTAGCCATCCCTCGGGAAACCAACAATAAGAGCGGCAGGATCATACGCCAGATGACTGGATGTACACCTGCTCAGAACGGAAAGCGGCTGCGTTGCAGGTGGCCTAACAAATATTTCCCGTCCATCCTCTCCTCAGTGTCATGTAGATGCTCTTGGAGGGCCGCGCAGACTAAATCTTTCTCTATACTTGAGGCTACAGAAACGGTGGTCTCGATCGCTCCTCGACAAATTGTGATAGGGATTCGAACAGATGGGATTCAGGACAAGGGGGAAGGAGCGCGAAACGCGATCCCTACGGGAAAAAAAGTGCGGTGATTGTGCTCACGAGCACGGAAAGGAGATTGGATTGCGCAGATATTAGCTGCACGTTCGATGATATGGCCTCGAATAGAAATGGCGCCATCTAAACGGTCTTTGAATGGATCTTCGTCGACGAACAGCCAATCGAGGAAGTGTGCTGGTACATTGATTGTCACGTATAATCGAAATTGTGGTATTTCACAGAGGCAGATGATGCCCGTAGGTGATTCGACTAGGATTGTTTGTAATTGCTGAAATGTACACCGTTACTTCTCGAGCTATCCAGCGTATCAACTTTCGCATATTAAGCAGTCTGATAGACTCACCAACCTAGCTAGTCCTATATCATCTTTGCTCATAAATTTGCACGGTACACGGCACCCATAGCTCCAACGGCTATCCAGCAAAGACCTGGATTTGACGGGTGGTAACGACGCGAGGGATTATTGGTCCAAGGGTGTAGGAACGTCCCAGTTGTCCTCCGTAGATTACTCCTAATCTTTTAGGCATCCTCTATTAGTGTGTTCGAGTACGATGCACTGGATGCCAGAGGCAGGTCCAGCGAAGCGCTGTCCTGTGTGAAGGGGATGTTAAGTTGAAGGGAGAGGACGTGATAGGAGATCTGAGAGCTGGGGCCTGAGAGCTGTGTAAAGCGTCGAAGTTGTGTCGCCCACGTGCTCTTCATCTCCATTTCCCAACACCGCTACACCTCAGTCTCTCCTTCTGTAATGGCACAGAATATCTGCAGGGGCCGCGTATTTCTGGGATCATTTCAGGTAGACTCTGCACTTCGACTTCGGCAAATCCTCGTCTTGGTATAGCTCCGAGGCTACATTCTCGATCTTATTTGCTAAATATTGTGTCCAGACACCGTAGAGGTCCGACATATGCACTGTTGCATGTCGCTGCGGTTAGCCTTTTCTCAGCACAATGGATGATGTCAACTAGTCTTACTAACACAATTCACGGCAGACTACAAAACCAAGACCTTCTCCTCTAACGCGCACCGCGAGTGTAGTCAACTTCTGTGCAATATTGTGGATGACCAAAGTCCAAAATCCGTACGCTATCGGAACAGGAGCCTCTTATTCTTTTCTAGAAATGAGTCAAGAACTGACGATAACTTATGGGTACGTTTATTGACGACAATTGTGCAATCAAACTAAAGGCAGCTACAGAGCCATCTGCGTACGGATGAACCGTCAAACTGCCGGAATTTCTGCTCCGCTTCTCTCCTCAACGGTTGGGAGAGCAGACAAAGTTAACCTGGTAATCGGGTATGTTAAACCACGTCCTTGAAACAACACTAGAATGGATGTTTGACTGCACTAGATCACGATGACCAGACATTCAGACGTCATCATCTACGTGGAAATGCAGGATCAATATTTGACATACCAAGTTGGCGTCAAGCCTTATGTTATTAGGCCCGGGCAACCAGCTCGAAGTCATTCAGTATGTCAATTCCTGTCCTGGTCTGCTCTCTAATCAGATGTGTCAGCAACGTAAGTTCATTCCTGTTTTCATGGTCTATAAGTTACCTTGCTAATTTCCGCTCTCTAACCTAGCGATGCTATACGAATTACGGCCTAGTTATACCGTGATCACAGCCCTCCCATCCTACGTTCTCTTTCCACCATCGTAGTGGTTTTCAGCTGAATTCTCGGTCTTGTCCATCTCAGAAATCAAATAGACAGTCTATGCAATACGTACGACCTCTCAGACCCATTATTGTCAATGCCTGACATCGCGTTCGGCGTTTCTCTACAACCAATAGGCCCTCCGGAGCTTGCACTGAAGGTAAGAACATATTACTATTATCATTGCAATAGAATGATTTTACAGTGATTAGGACATACTAGGACTAATAGCGATTCTACCATGATTAAAGCGAATCGGCCGCTTCCAAAAATTTACAGACAATAGCTTCACGTCAATCCTGATACCAAAGTCGCGTATCCTTGCGTCCCCCTGCGACATTAGGCGTCTGGAAGTGGTGCCGGAGAGAGGGTCGTGGCAGAGCGTTAATGAGGTCAACATATGTCGCTTCTTCTTCCAACACACCAGACTTCAGGACCTTTAAGAGCGAGTTCGTGGATACACCGCTCCATACCTCCATGCCTTTCTCCTTCTTTACCCGCCTCGCTTTCGCAACCTCGTCTCCCCTACATGCTGCTAGCATAACATGGGAATCCATGTCCGGGATCCAATCCTCTGCGGCGATCGATCGATAACCAGGGAGGTTCCTCAGGGTCTCTTCGGCAGCGAGGAGCATATCTTCGATCGAGGCACTCTCCAACGGGGAAACCGTCCGCTCTGCTAAGCTCAATGCTCGAGTAACACTGCCTGCATGACAGCAATCCAGGATAAACGTGATTCGATGTCCTTTGGTATGGGATATCTGGGAGAGCAAAGTATTGATCTCCCGGTCGGTGATATCGGGGACGAATGCGCCGCTACTGTCGAGGGTGTTCCGGTCCATGGGACAAAGCACCTCAACGAATTTGCGGCAGTGCTCATCATCGGGGTCCTCGTCAAAAAAGTCAGGATCATCGTCATCGTCTGACAATGGATAGCGAGAACCATGTCCAGCGAAAAAGATGATGATGGGATCGCCGTGCTTGATGTTAGGGTTGGTGATGAGACTACGAAGGACGGATAGAATATTGTTGCGAGAAGGGAAGGAGGAAGGGTCGGCCGCTGTGCCGTGACCCTGGTCCGTTGGACCAAGAAGATTTTGAATTCGCTCTCTAGGCACGAGGAAGTCTTCGATAAGGTACTCCTTCATTGCTAAGGCGTCTGCCACACAACCGCGCAATGGGTTAGATGAATACCCATCGATCCCAACGAGAAAAGCCCAAAATCGACTGGAGTCAAGGCACGACTGTGGCTACAATTTTTCCCATTAGTAAATACGCCAACGGAAGTAAGTGTAGACTCACAACTTCCGCCCATGCCTTCGTTTCCCGAGGCGAAGGATGCTGAAGAACTCTTTGCTCAGATTCGAGATGAATACGGGAAGTCCCGTTGAGCTCTGCTCTTGACATTGAAATAGGATCGACGCCACCATTACATCGAGATTTTGATTCCGCTTCCGACAAGAATTGTGTCAGGTCGGCCATTTTGTACTCTTTTGTCCGATGTATTTCAGGTTCCTCAAGTTCGAGGGAACCCGTATCTTCGACGATTGATCCCAGCGCTGATGATATAGAACGCCTAAGAAGAGGGTATTGGGGATAGTGTTATTAATGCAGAGATATGCGTAACGCGCCTTTGTGAAGCTCTTCTGCACCGTAAACCGTGATGGAAAGAAGGTCAATTGATGGTAAGGATCATACGAAATATACTCTATGCTTTATACTCTTGCGTAGATGTACGGCACGTCGTGACGTCCGTCGCGTACACAACTATCCCAACCTCCGTCTGGCCAACGTCTCTAGGGCAGAATGGATCTATTTTTCTTACCATCCGCACCGTGTCAGTAAGTAATTGCCATTTTATTGTTGGTGACGTACCTTTGAGTTGGACGGTGCATACCGTCCGTCCCTGGTTATACACGGATACAATGTAGATCCTTAAATCCTGTTTATGTTCTGTTCGGGTTTTTCCCGTTGAAGGGTGATTTTTGTACCTGGGGTTGTTAAGCGAAATCTGAAAGATCTTGGCTTCAGAATCGGAAGGAGGAAGATCTCCGAACGAGGAAAGAATATCGTGTAAGAGGTGGAGCGGCGGACCCGGGACTTGATTTGCTCCCTTTCTATCCTATCCGAGTTTCGATTATTCGAGGTATGAAATCTAGTAAACTCGTAAACGGATCATATACCTTCAAGAAATTGCTAGTCCCTAAGTTCGATTCCACCGAATCTGGTCATTCAAGTCGCTTAATTACTTTGTCTGAGCTATGAGTGTCCGATCCCGTACCCTTCACTCTAATATTTCCAAACCTACGCGGATAACGAAGTCCCAAAATTTCGTTTCCTGAAAGGACTTCAATTACATCATCAGGTCAGATTTCCATCATCCGAAAGCGAAAGTTAGATTTTGAAGAGGCGACGGCATATACATTGGTTGCCCAAGTTTTGTTGACACCTCGTACCTCCACACCGCTTCCTAAACTCTAAAACTCTACAGTCTATGTACTAGATACTGGCTTGTGAAAATTTCAATAACATGCTCCACAGCTGCATTGGACTGAACCAGGGAAGGACCGAATTGAACAAGGTTAGCTGATGCTGCTGGAAACATTCCTTCAGAACTGCATTTTTTCATTGACGGTTACTACAATATCAACGCCTGCAATGTACGCTGCAGATGGAGGTGAAAAGAATTTACCGCGCCGTGCCTGAGATTCTATTGATTCGGTAATATCCCGAGTCGCGAGAGAGGTCAGGGTCTCGTTGACCGCTTACCGAGTCGAGACTTCCTCTTCCGCTGACCGATTCACTCAGGCTGGTTCGCCCGGTAGAAAGCATTTATGGTGGAGTTGCTACCCAGACGTGCCTTGTACTCTTATGCCAGAAATGTGTTTGGCTGCTGTGCTGAAGGAAAAATTCGGGTACTTACACGGACGTAACCCAAACAATGATATCCTAACAAAGAAATCAGCTTATTATGTGACGGCATAGAATGGCCTACGGTGAGAACAAGCATGTACGAACAAACGAACAAAATTCCTTCGTATTGAAGAGATCGACAGTTGTCTGGCAGGAGTATGATCACAGCATCTTCGAGCTCACGGCCAAGGACTTCCTAGTTACCGATTGGTCCCGACATGCATAGAGTGTTGTGTGAGTGCTGGTAATCCCAGTCTAAGGATGGAACACGGCGAGGTGGCGGCTTCATGAGTCTGCTCATCGGCACTCTGAAGCCCGCTACTCGGAGAAAAGGACTCAGAAGCGCCATAACATTATCTCCCGTTGACATTCTAGCACATCGATCATCTTATGAGGACACCAGGATATCCGCCTTTGGTGAAAGAACCGACAACGACGGCCATCTACAAGCTGTGAGCTGGAGGGCTCGGCTCCAAATCTTGAAACCTACGGTGCACCTATCTTCTCCCCCGGATCCTGGTAATAAAGGCGACAAAAAGGCGGAACTATCAAGCACAGACTGGCACAAATGCATAAATAGTAAGCATCATCCTACTACGAGGCAGCAAAAAGACAAGGGAGACATAAGAGTGAAGCTGCCAAGGGGCCAGTTAATTCGTCGCAGAAACGGTGTAGGAAATAGGACGGGCGTTTCTTCCGGTCAGCTTCCGGTACATCTATAGACTAGGGTGAAGGAAAAGCTGTATATGTTGGATCGGGCATCTAAATATAGCATCTTTCACCTCGTTGGATGCTATGGAGACAAATGATGAATTGACTATCCGGCGGATTGAAATTTTCGAAATCGGTATGAGAAAAGAGATGTGCCTGACCAATTTTATTTGGCCCGCTGACTCTGAATGAAATCGGGAAACGTCTCTTCTTTGATCAAGATTTGAAGAAGCGCGATCGAAAACATCTTTGCAGTCTTTCCTTCAATTTCTTGCCACCAAGTTCTTTGACTCCGTAGAGGCAACGGAAAGACGAGGAGATGTAACGGACCAAAGGCACAAACGGGATCATTCTATTTATTCTGAGAGACGGCGCAATGTAGGTCCCAGGGCCAAGAAGTGGAGACGGAGGAATGTCACTTTTCGGCGCGCGCCGCTGAGTTGTGATAAAGCAGTGGTACGGATCCAAAGAATAAAGGGGGCAGTCCGAACTCTATGATCCAAGCTCTAATTGACAGATCTTCCAAAGTTGATGGTCGCTTTGATATCGGGAACGGGCAGAGGAGAGGAGAGAAATGGGCCTTAACAACCTATTCATATTAGCCAAGAGTTCTCTCCGAATCGAAGCGGGAACGTGCCAAAGACCCAAAAGTGGTCCATGCTACGTTGTACTATAACCCTCCAAGCGCTTCCTGCGTTCTCACCCCGGACTTGGATGGTGTGGTACGTTCGGCATTGTGTCATATGCCTCCTGGTTACATACGGTCGGACCCAGCAGGGTTGTGCACAAAGCTCGATGTCAGAAAGCTTTGAAGTAGTTCGTTTCACCATCTATCGCGAAATCTAGTAAAAATATGACTTTACTGTGCCTTGTGTCGCATTTCCTCGGGACGCTGCGCAGTACTTGCCGTAAAGCACTGATGAATGTTCGGGAACTACATAGCAATACTTATTGATTGCGATGTAATCAACAAGTAGATCCTCGAGTATTCGCATTGGGACTATTTCGTATGTTAGTACTTAGTGAGGGTTGACACGGAGAAGTGTCAGTCGTGTTGGCCACGTTGATCTTTTGATCCCCGACCATCACCACTCATCGGGTCTGGTCGAGTTCGCATCCCGTGCCTCCTCCAATCCCTGCTGCAAGCCGATGCCGTCGTTGACTATGCAACGTAGGTTTAACAAGAAGGCTTGGTATCCCCTACGACTTTGGTGCCGACCAAGTTCATTTTACTTGATGGAAAATCCTAGGCTCCATGATCCGGGAATCACAGATTCTTCTATAAATGCGTGCACAGCGACGGCAGAATCAAGTTGAATTGGAAAGTCGTCCTGGGTCCATAAAATTCGGATTCGTTGTTTCATCTTGAAAGAAGCCCTTGCGCTATCTCAATCCCCTACGAGAAGACAAATCCCTTCCAAGTCAGTGTAGATTGAGGCCTTGAGGCCTAGAATATACTATTGGGGGCGTTACGTCCACGTAGGAATAGTAGCAAAAACGTGCATGTGCTGATCCATCGACAGGCGTAAGTGCGAAATCGGATGAGAATGCAGGGGTTGAGATGTAAGATTGACGAGTGCACCGGGTGAGATTGGATAGTTAGGTCTGCTTGTTGTTTGACGGAAGCTTGGGTTGGAGGGGATGTGAGCTGTGGTCCAGCTGATTTGATGTGAACGTCTTCTACTTGTTCTTGATCAGATGATCGAGATTGATATTGACTCCCTGTCAGTGGAAGCAGAACATTCGCTTGCTTGCGTCGGATGTGAATGCAGATTCAGAATAATGGGATAGAGTGCGCCGTGACAGATCGGATGGATGAGATTGATTCCGCGGAAGTAAAGAGTCCACTTGAAAATGGAGCTAGAGGTTAGAATAGTGGAAAGGAGGGTACAGTAGAGGACGCACGCACCTCATTCTACAGCGGAGTACGCAGCTGAACTTGAAGGACATTCTTGAGAGGCTAGCGTTCCTACGCCAGCAAGGTGGATGCCGCGTCGCTGTCCTTCTGCGCGTAGATAAGAGCGCGAATGTCACATCATTCTTGATATTATCCCCGGCCATAGATTTGGGAACGTTTGCTTATCGGGAGCTTGCGTCGGTGGGAAGAGTTCCGCAGAATCAGGGAGGGGAGCCCGGCAAGAGGAAGGTTTAAGAGTATTGGGAGCTTGCGTGAACTGAGCATGGGAGAGTTGAGCAGTCGATACTGTGAGAAAGATTCCGCGGGAAAAGTGAGGACAAGAGATAGAGGTATACATACTTAATACCTGTCTCCTCCACGAGCATCTCTGGAATCCATGAAAAGGTTTTGGTGACGCTGCATTCTACTCAATGGCAGACAAATCTTTCTCGAGTTGAGTCTTCAGGTGAGTTTTTAGTAATTTGGTTGGTGCTTCAGGCGATGGTGCAATGTAAAGTGCTGGACTCGGAGATATGATGCATGAGGTTACTAGCGTCGACCGCCTCTCGACAAACCGCGATAGGGGTTCGGGCGGGTGAGGTTCAGGATGGTGGTGGGGAGAGGAGCTAAGGCGGAACCACGATCCCAATGGGAAAAAAAATGTGCGGTGATTGTGCTCATGGAAAGGAGGTTGGAGTGCGCAGATATTGGTTGCACGTGTGATGATATGGCCTCGAAAAGAAATGTCGTCGTTTGACATAAGAAACCACGACGCCATTTGGTTGTCAGCATAGGACCTCGAGTTCCCGAGGGAAGGGTCTTTAAATGTATCTTCATCGACAGAGTCAATCGAGGAAGTGCCGACTCATTGGTTGTGCAGAAATCGAAATAGCAGGCAGATGATGGCGGCGGGCGATTCAACTGGGATTGCTTGTATACGTAGTCGCTGCAGTGTACACCGTTATTTCTCAGGCTAATCAGTGCGTCAGCTCTCACATATTAAGCAAGCAGTCCGATAGACTCACCAGCCGTAGTCCTATTTCATCTTTGTTCGCAAATTCGTGCGGAATCATAGACATGGGTTTGACGGGCGGTAACAATACAAGGAATTGATCCAAAGGTGCAGCAACGTCCTGATCGTCCTGCATAGATTAATCTTAGTCTTTCAGGTGCCTTCTGTTCGTGTGTTCGAACCATATACGAGACACTATAGAGGCGGATTTGAGCGAAGGGTTGTCGTGCGTAAAGGGCACATTAAGTTGAAGGGAGAGGACATGAGAAGAGATCCTTGATCAGAGGGCGTCGAGGGTGGTTGGGAACTGCGATTGGCTGACTGGCAATGTTGGGTGATGACGTAGAGGGAGAAATTACGAGTCACAGTCACATTCCCGATTCTTTCCGAAGAATGAGGAAACGATAGAGGGTTATTATCGGGGCGTAACTGTCTTGAGCAGTGCCAAACTGTCTGGACAGGGGCTATACTCGGGGTCGGCTTAGTAATTTTTGGTGATAGGCGATCATCCGGCACGCAACGGCTTATTTGCCGAGCGGTTGCCGCTGTGGCTGAGAAGTCTTTCTTTCCGAACACTTCCTATTGGTTTGCGGGCTTGTCGACATCAATTTCCTCTTCATTTCCTCTCACCTACTATCACCTTTTTTGCTTGCATGTCGCAAGTGATTCCTGCCTTCACTGTCCTTTTTCTGCTCTGTGACTGCAGATGCCCTCAACTACTGTCTGTTCTACAGTCCCATCAGCGGGTTAATAAAAATCTTGCAAAAATCTGCCTCAGTGCTATCACTCTGGTAACACGTTGTAGTATTATACATCCACTTATCTTCAATGGGGTTTCCTGTTACATCATGTAGATTTGATATAGTGAGAGAATTCAGTGTTGATATGAACCTACAAATCAGAACATTTTGCTACAGCAAGTAATGTGTGTTGATTGTTGTGTCTGGTTTTTGGGAAGTGCATACCTGTTCACCATCAGATTTTTATGGTCATGTAACAGTTTGATGAATGTTGTGATGTGTTCATTGTGGACTAATCAACCTTATGATGGCATGAGGTGTGCAGTACTAGAGATAATATTTTCTTTCTCGAGACAGTGCCAGGCATGTAGAGTGTGTAATTATAAGATGCTGTTCAGATGGCCACCAACTTGTGATCTCTCGCATACTGGATGACAGACTGAGTTACATTCACCTTCCTCGGGGCCTCTAGTGTGAAATGACAATTCATCAATGAGTTCGATTTTAATGCCAGAAAATTTATTGTTCTTTGCAATCTTAGTATAGGTCATTGAACGGAGTGCACTCAGATGATTAGATTTAGACTGTGCAAAATGTGAGCTGGTGGCACAGCTGCCGAGCGAGCTTTTTGCACTACTACTTTATTGAGCAGCTTGAACAGGTGGATATATATATGTACATGCCGTTTCTTCGACCAAGGGAAAGAATCGGGGACCCGGCAACTGCCGCTACTGGATTACCCACATCTTTATTTTCTTCATTTCTGTCCCGCTTGCGAATGGCTACCCACATTTCTTGACTCACGAACTGGCTGCAATTACAACCCTTTGTCCTGATCCAAGAGAGTCTTCTCTTCTTCCCTTACAATACTTACTTTGACCCATCTTTGGTCAATTTGTAGCTATGCCATGCTATCAAGTTGTGCATGCTCAGGTTGTACCGAAGGGAGTCAAGGGACATCTGTGGAATCGCCGTTGAATAGGAAGCTGAATACGGTGACTGAATTCCAGGAGGTAGCATGGGTTGACAAAGAACATGGTCTGTGCAAGCTGCTAGCTTTTGTAAAAGTATGTTGTTCAGCCATTGATTCGTATATTGTAAGCTGACCGTTACACTACTCCCATCTGCTCAATATAGCAAGTGTATGATATGCATCTGAACTGCACGCGCAACGCATACAACCTTCTATCGATCCATCGTTGTCAACACTCGATATAAAGTTTCTCCATGGCCAATAGGCCCTACTCCAGAAGTAAAGATGTATAATGATTAATACTATGGAACAATTCTTCCCTGATTAAAACAATACTCTAGTTGATATGACAAAGTGATTCTACAACAATTAATTGGTATGTCCGAAACCTACTTCCAAAAAATTGCTGAAAATATACAGAAAATGATTTCGCGTTAATCCTGAGACCAGAGACGTGTATTCTTCCACTCCCCTATGACAGTTGGCGTCTGGTATTGGAACTGGTCACGGTAACGCAGCAGAACCTCAATGAGGTTGTCATACATCGCTCCTTCTCCCAATGCATCAGACTTCAGAACCTCGATGAGCAAACCCGTGAAAATACCACCCCACACCTTTGTGCCCCCTTCTTCTACCCATTTCGCTCTTGCAACCTTGTCCTCCCCACATGCCGCTACAGTTACATGAGACCCCGTGTCTGGGACCCAGTCTTCTGGAGCAATGGATCGATAACCAGGGAGGGCTTTGAGGGCTTCTTCAGCAGCAAGGAGCATGCCCTCAAGCGAGACACCCTCCACTGGAGCAGCGGTCCGCATCTCTGGACCCAATGCTCAGGTGATGCTGCCCGCATGACAGCAGTCCAGAATGACGCTGATTCGATGTCCTTTTGTATGGGAAATTTCAGAGAGGATGGTGTTGATTTCCTGGTTGGTGATATCAGAAATGGGCTTGCCATTTCTGTTGAGGGTGTTGCGGTCCATGGGACAAAATGCCTCGACAAACTTCTCCTTGTCCTCATGATTATCTGACCACAGATAGCGAGAGCCATGTCCAGCGAAAAATATTATGATGGGGTCGCCATGTTCGATGTCAGAATTCGTGCTGAGACCAAGAAGCGTGGACAAAATGTTTTCACAGGAAGGGATGGAGGAAATGTCGGTCGGTGGTGCATCATGGTGGCCAAGAAGCTTCTGGATTTGCCCTGTAGGAATATGGAGGTGGTGGACAAGGTATCGTTCCACTCTTGAGGCATCTTCCACACAACCGTGCAATGGGTTAGACGAATACCCGTCGATCCCAACCAGAAAAGCCCAAATCCGGCTGGGGTCAAAGTGTACCAGAGGCTACATTGCTCCTTATCAGTAATCAAAGCAAACGAAAGTAATTGTAAACCTAGTACACCCACCATCTGTGCAGTTGTTTCCTGAGATGATGGATGATGAGGTACTCTTTTCTCAGATTTGAGGTGGGTACTGGAGAGATCTGTCAATGCTGACGTAGGATAGGCATCCTCACCACGTTGGGTTGTCGATTCTGTGTCTAGTAAGCCTCGGAAAGAACTGTCCATATTGACCTCGAGCTCTTGGACGTTGTAACAATCTCGTTCGAACTGTCGTGAGACCAACAATATTGGGTTCCAGAGGTGCATGAGTGCTAGGGTAAGACCTCCCCGCACTGTACAACATGTTCGAATGTCATGAGGATCTTGACCACAAAGAATGGACATGGTAACCTTTTCTTGCGCACATGGTCCCATAGTACAGTGCTTTATATACCAAGACCAACCCCACTCCATGATTAAATAATTTTCGCCTACTGTCGAGACCGTTGATCTGATAGACGGTCCGGAACAGCCGGTCCTTCATATATCTATTTACCTGAGCTGTATTATTAGCAGAGATGGCCAATCAATCCAGTTTTCCAGTTTTTCGATCACACATGACACTATGCGCCAAAACAGTTTCTCCATCCGTAACACGGATCTCTCTTTCCTTTTCTATGGCGATGTGTCTCTGTGTCACCTGAATCGCACGTTACACACTCGTCTCAGTCTACCACCACAGTTTATAACCAACTTGGCTAATGCCGGACTCACTCACCTCTTTGACATCGCATCCTTCACCCTAGATCCCACAAAACATGTTGTGCAACTACAACCTCATCCCAATGTCCACTTTCAAAATGCTACCACTCACGCTCAAGAACAGTGGTTACAAACTTCACAGTGGCTTTCTGATTTAATGCTGATGGATCTGGTCAATGGGTATATGGCTATGGACTCGGACATGACAGATAATGTTGTAGGGAGACGATGGAGAGCAGTTGGTTGCCAAACTCGCATACAGATCGCTGGCATGGATGAGAATCTCCTCCATGGTGCAGCTGCGAGTCTGGACTTGGAGCCCCTTTGGTTCCTGGGTTTACCTCCAAGGTTGCGTATGCAACAAGCACAAGATCTCATCAATGCCTACTACGCTGTTTCCCCTCACACGCCCTTTCCCACCTCCATTCCTCCTGGGATTTTTGCATCTGATGCATCTATGCTTCCGGCTGCACCCTCTTTCCGACATCAACATTCAGTAACCTTCTTGTCAATTTCTCATTCCTCTGCCCTGGCCATGAATCTCGACTGCTTCCGTACTTCAGCATGGGTTTATCATGGCGAGACGTACAGACTCATAGCATCAACAATACATCAATACAATTTACCATCACCCCCTCCTCACCTACCCTCTTCTCCAACTCTCTATACTGACCACCTCAACTCTTCTCGTATTGTATCTTCTGCTCTCCACCTCCCTCCTCTGCCTCATCAATGGTCATCTCTTCCTGGTTGTTCGCTCTACCGATGGCTCCTTCATCTCTTGCAGCATTCTCCACCACCACATCATCCTCCCAATATTATCTACACTCCAGCTCACACCAACTCCTCCTTGATCCCTTCAACAGTTAATGTGCTTGCAGATCAGCTCGCCTCAGGTTCTCAGCATTTACAAATTCAGCCACCTCCCACACCCTTACCTACTTTCTTTATGGATTCTTTTATGCTTTACTCACCAAACAACAGCTACATTGAAACAAGTATATCATCATATCTGCCATCTGTACTCACTTCCGCTGCTTATTCTAGCCCAGACTTCTGCCCTGCCATGACGATGCTACTGCCGTTCCATGACCAACACACACCTCCCAAACATCCCTATTTGCGGGCCTCCTCAGCATACTCAGCCTTGGTACAGCTCTACATGAGATCAGATCAGCTGGACATGACATACGCACGATTCCGACGCTTCAGAAACATATCCCCCATGTGCATCAGTGGATGCGATGCACTGGAAACCGTCCACCACGTCTTCATCTCGTGCCCTGTGTATCGCTCCTTCCGCCAACATGCCACACAAACACTGATTACCAAGACATCCCATATCCTGGACTCTGCAGAAGTACCCTTGCTCATTTGCAGGTCCTTTCTTCAGGTGGTCCGATGTCTCTTTGAAGATGGCCCCATTTGGTCCCAATCTCTATCTTGCTTCTACCTTGGCCTAATGCCACCCTTGCCCGCACTTACTGGTTTGCTGGGAGTGAAGACAAGTTGTCTGTTGGTATGCATCGCTCACACATGGCACACATCATGCATTCGTCTGGCTGGCAGAATTTGGGTGGAATATAAGCGAAGGGTATGTCCGGCTCGGCTCCATCGAAAAAGAATAATAACGCCGTAGCCATTGATTTACCATCTTTTTTATCTCCTATCTTATCATCCTGACGGTTTCCCTTAATATGTGTACCTTTACTTACAATGAGCTACCGAGGTAGATTAGTTTGCGCTTATTTACCTGAGCTGTATCAGCAGAGGTGGCCAATAAATCCAGTTTTCCAGTTTTTCGTGTTCTGCTGCCGGTTGGAATCCTCCGAGACAAACTCCAATCGGATATCCTAATCGACATCCTTGAAGCGATACTAGAATGGATTTTCAGCATGTACGACTGCACCAGATTAGAATGACCAGCAATCCAGATGCCATCTCTTTGTGAAAATACAGCAATGTTTGACATAAGTTGGCATCAAGCTTTATGCGATCAGGCCTGGGGTGATCAGCTTTGCTCATCACGATGTCATTCAGTAAGTCTTTGACTGTCCTCGCCTGCTCTCTAATCAGATGTATCAGCAACTTGTTTTCCTGTAAGTTAATTCCTGTTTTCATGGTCTCTAAGTTACCTTGCTAATTCCTGCTCCCTAGGTTATTATAATCAAAGCGAACCAGTCACTTCCAAAAATTTACAGACAATAGCTTCAAGTCAATCCTGATACCAAAGTCGCGTATCCTTGCGTCCCCCTGCGACATTAGGCGTCTGGAAGTGGTGCCGGAGAGAGGGTCATGGCAGAGCGTTAATGAGGTCAACATATGTCGCTTCTTCTTCCAACACACCAGACTTCAGGACCTTTAAGAGCGAGTTCGTGAATACACCGCTCCATACCTCCATGCCTTTCTCCTTCTTTACCTGCCTCGCTTTCGCAACCTCGTCTCCCCTACATGCTGCTAGCATAACATGGGAATCCATGTCCGGGATCCAATCCTCTGCGGCGATCAATCGATAACCAGGGAGGTTCCTCAGGGTCTCTTCAGCAGCGAGGAGCATATCTTCGATCGAGGCACGCTCCAGCGGGGAAACCATCCGCTCTGCTAAGCTCAGTGATCGAGTGACACTGCCTGCATGACAGCAATCCAGGATAAACGTGATTCAATGTCCTTTGGTATGGGATATCTGGGAGAGCAAAGTATTGATCTCCCGGTCGGTGATATCGGGGACGAATGCACCGCTACTGTCGAGGGTGTTCCGGTCCATGGGACAAAGCACCTCAATGAATTTGCGGCAGTGCTCATCATCGGAGTCCTCATCAAAAAAGTCAGGATCATCGTCATCGTCTGACAATGGATAGTGAGAACCATGTCCAGTGAAAAAGATGATGATGGGATCACTGTGCTTGATGTTAGGGTTGGTGATGAGACTGCGAAGGGCAGATAGAATATTTTTGCGAGAAGGGATGGAAGAAGGGTCGGCTGCTGTGCCGTGACCCTGGTCCGCTAGACCAAGAAGACTTTGAATTTGCTCTCTAGGCACGAGGAGGTCTTTGACAAGGTACTGCTTCATTGCTAGGGCATCTCCCACACAACCGTGCAATAGGTTGGATGAATACCCGTCTATCCCAACGAGAAAAGCCCAAAATCAACTGGAGTCAAGGAGCGGCTGTGGCTACATTATTCCCCATCAGTAATTGCAGCCAGCGAAAGTAAGTGTTGACCCACAACTTCCTCCCATGCCATTGCTTCCAAAGGCAAAGAATACTGAAGAACTGTTTGCTCAGATTCAAGGTGGATACGGGAAGTTCCGTTGAGCCCTGCTCTCAACATTGATATAGGATCGGTGCCACGATTACATGGGGCTTTCCATTCAGCCTTCAGCAGAACTTGTGCAGGATCAGCCATATCGTACTCTTTCATCAGATGTATCCCGAGCTCTTCGAGGGAACCTGTGTCTTTGACGATCCGTCCCAGCATCGATGATATGGAATGCCTAAGCAGAGGGTATTAGGCCGCTAATGTATAGATATGCACAAATATGCGCCTTTGTGCGCTTTTGTGAAGCTTTTCAGCACAGTAAAGTGTGGTCGAATACAACCGTTTCCACGTATATCGCACTGAAAAGACTGATGGTAATGACCAAAGAAATCTGCTCTGTGCTTTACTTATAGTCGTGGAAGGATGTAAAAAGTATGGCATGTCGTGACATTAATCGTGCATACATGGAGACAACTTGAAGGACACCTAATGATCTGTTCAGCCAATGGGTTTCTAGGGCAGGATGCATCGAGATTCCGTTCTCGTCAAAAAGTAATTACAAAATTATTGTGAGTGATGCACCTGGGAGGAGGACAGTGTTAGTGAAGGCAGGTTTGGAATTGGACCATCGGCTATGGGTAACTTGTATATGTGTCCCTGACTGTACATGGATGCAATGCAGATCCCTAAATTTTGTTAATATATTCGATCCAGACTGAATCAATTCCAGAGTATGTATGTACTGCAGCACGATCATACGTCACGGTAAGATGGTTTCCAATTTATTTCCTTCTTGGGCACAAAACGAGAATAAATACCTCTCCCTGCCTCCTTCCCGTTGAGTATTGATTTTGTTACCTGGGGTTATGAATACATGTAAGTGAAACAATCTTGACATCTAACTTCAATAGTGATTTGAAAGGCCTGGCCTGAAGCCCTAAGCTGAGCCAGGCTGAACCGAGCCCTGAGGCCCTGAAAAGCTGAGCCGTAGGGGTGGGCTTGTTGAAGGCTCGGGCTCAGGCTTCATATTTTGAAAGCCTAAGCTGTTACGGTTTATTCATTTCTTTTTCCTTTTCTTTGTTTTACTCAGCCTAATTACTCATGTGCGATCGCAACGGACGCATTCTCACAGTACTATTATTAGCTTACCAAACGTGTATTTAAGTAGAGCCTCAGCTGGTCTAAACCCCAGCTTCGGCTAAGGTTTAATCTACCCAACTCGAACTCTGTTCTTCGGGACTACTTGCTCACAATCCGCTTTGACATCGCCTTTGACTTACTAGAGTATCTACCACCGAAGTGCGAGTGGTGATCCTAGTCCGATCTAAGTCGATTATTAGTTGGTTGTCAACATTTAGCCGAAGCTTGCTCAACGTTGCCCAGCACCATGCTGCCCAACATTTATATCTTTATCATCATACTCCTGGTAGCCGATTGGATTCTTCCACTCGTACTACCCGACCCGATCCTTACCATCGTCCTTATAGTCCTTGTGACTACACTCTTCGTTCTAGCCACCATCCCGGCACCACTGCTAGCAGCCCTACTCATGGCCGCATATACTGGCCTCCTCCGAATCTGAACCCATTCACCATTCTTTTCCGACTTGCTTCATTGCTAACGATTCTTCTGTTGGCATTGACAAGTACTTCCGACACAAGCGAAATCTTACTGATGACCGGTTCCAACTACGAAACCGACCTCAGCCTAATTATCGCCATTCTCATTGTCCTGACCATCCTCATCTTCCAAACGCTTGCACGTTACCTGTTGAGCTGTTACTCGTTGTAACAGTCGTATGGTAAATTGCAACCATTGGACTTTATGGAGGATAGACTCACGAACGGATGCCCTGGTCCGACGCCATTCCCGCTGTCTTCGCGACTTTTATACTCTTTTTCTTCTCCATTATTTTGTACCGACTACTCCGCTGTTTTCAACGACAGAGGAGAGTCCATGCCCAGCTCCCATTTCATTACGTTCCCAGCACTCCCGCCTACCCTCCTCCCGTAATTCACATTCCCGAGGCATCTCAGCAGACGATACGAGATGTCGAATCCAACGTCTCCGGGGGACATGGAGAATCCCTCTATGGATTGTCGCGGTCCAGCTCGCGATACTCAGAGTCAAGCACTGACTCCTACAGAAGCGCTACTGCCAAGTCAGCCGACTCCGTCGATATCACAGATACCAGGGGCGTATTCCTCGACAGAGGAGACTCGCCCCTACCAGGTCTCTTCGACCAGTCTTCAGTCCAGGACGAGTCAGGCTGCGCCAGAAGCCGAGGACAAGACATCAGGCATCTGGTCACGGGCGAAGAAAGCCCTGACACCGAGTTCGAAGGGGACGAGCTCACAGATCTCGAAAGGATCCGACTCGAAAACATCCTCGACGACCTCTACCCGAACATGGAGGAGGATGCAACCTATACCGGAGACAATTGGAGCGGGCGCTCCTCCACAAGGTGGACAGACGCCGACTGGGGAAGCGAACGAAGGAGATACGAAAGAAGGGGAAGAGAGGACTTCGATGAAGATTCCGGAGAGCTTGCCCTTGGGGCCTCCACCGCAACTACCGCCAGTTCAGATGGAGCAGGACCCCTTCTTCCTGCTTGGCCAACAGACCGGGGCCCCCCAGTCGGCTGGCACCCCAGCACCAGCTGGGTCTATGCCGACCCAGGGGAAGAGGCTCCTGTGGCCCGAGTCTCGTCCACGAGGGGCGTCTCTGTCCCCGAGCGCCCAGAGGCCCCAGCGACCGCCACCGTCCTCGCCAGGCCTGAACCGACGGATCAGCAGCTCTGGGAGGAATACCCAGAGTACAGCCCCGAAGAGCTTGGAACAATTGCCGGGGCCGGAGACCTTGCCCCCGTCCCCGCTTTTACACCGTCCGTCGCGGGTCGAGCATTCACCGACCCTGTCCCTAGCAACCAGCGTCCATGGATGCTTCTCTACCACACGCTCGTCGAGTCGCTCAACGTCCCTCGAAATGCCCAGGAGTCCCCAGAAGCAGAGGCCCGAATGGACCGAGCATGAGCGGCTGACACATGCACTCGACGTGCCAAAATCGCCGCCCTCCTCGGACCCAATGGCTTCTATGACCTCCCTGTTGAACCTGATGCCACCCACGCTGAGATCGAGAATAGGCAGTGAGCTGCTGCCCTTCGATACTCTGGGCTCGTCGAACGAGCAGGAACAGACCTCGAAGCCAGACGAAGGGCCTGGGAGGCCTACGAGTCGGAGATCAGCGACCCTGACTCCGACATCGGGCAGTGGAAGAGAAACAAGGAGATCAACAGACTCGCCAGAGAGAGGAAGGAGGCCAAGGATGCCGAGTCGGCCGCCAAACAGTTCCCTCAAGGGAGAGGTGATGAGGGCAGTCCGGACGGTCCTAGTCGATCCCATGGCGCCGCTTCCAACAATCTTTAATATCCTACCATGGCATGGACTATACGAAATAATGATGGAGGACATGGAACGAGACTCCCAGTGGCTTCTCACGGAGGCAGGGGAGGATTACCGACATGCAAAGTACATGGGGGACGTCTACCTCATGAAAAATATCCTGGAAGTCGAAACGTGGCACCGAGCTGCCCTAGTATGGAACCAGGTCCACCCCGATAACACGCGACCGGGGTGTGAACCCTATCGAAGACCTCAGCCGATGCCAAACCCGCTTGAGACAGAGGAGTTTTGGGCGGGCGCTGGACCTGAGGACCCAGAGGATACGTGGGATGATCCCGGTGCCGGGATGTCCAAGAAGGGCAAGGAATCCACAGTGCCGAGTCAGCCGCCGCCAGCACCGCCACTGCTAAAATACCCAGAAGGTTATCCCCCGCCAGGCGACAACCCCCATTTATGCTCGCTATCGCGACTGCCGAACGCGCCAGTCCCGCCAGTCCCGCCTCCGCCTCCGGACCCTATTCCCCCTTGGGAGTTGGCCCCGGGAGTGGTGAATAACCCTTGGAACGACGTAAAACCCAAACTGATCACACAGCCAGAGTACTTCTTCGGCGTGTCCTCAGACATTACGTGCTTCCTACATCACTGCGAAGTGTACTTTCAGGTGTTCCCAATGTATTACACCATGAACGACGAGGGGCAGAACCCCTATCGAATCACCTTCGCCCAAGGGTACCTACGCGGGGAGGCGCAGCAGTGGTGGGTGGACCAATACTACCGATATCGGGATCCACGGGGACATTGGAGGTTCCCCACCTGGAAAGAATTTTCACATGATCTGACAGTACAGTTCTGAGAAGTCACGGAACTTACGATATGGAAGGCAGAATGGAAGAAGGTGCAGCAGTCAGACTTCAAGTCCGCCGTAGAATTCTTCGCGAAGTTTGAGCGGTTAGCTCACAAGTGCGAAGAGTTCGGAGACAAGAAGCAGATGTTCGAGACCGTCGAAGCGGCGATAAGGCCAACGGTGCGAAAGACGGTTATGCATGGGGACAATGAGCGCCCCACAACCTACGCACAGTGGAAGGCCCGAGTCCTGAGGATCGATGCAAACTACAGGTATGATGTCGCCCAAGGGCTAGGCGGTAAGACCTCCCCGAACCAAGGCGGTTCGGGTCGAGGCAATCAATTGAAGGGCGCAGGCCAGGGTTCCAGCAGCGATAAGAAGGACGCCACTGGCACTACGTATGGCGGTGCAGGGCAGCCAATGGAAATCGACAAGTTACGATCCGACAAGCGCTGCTTCAAGTGTGGGAATACGGGGTGGAGCCGGGACCACAAATGCCCGACGGATAAGTCCAAATGGCTTCCCATCAAACTCCCACCTCGCAAAAAGCCCAAT